ATACATTATCTATCGTAACTATAAAGACTCGGTCCTTAATCTTATACTATTTTAAGATATTAAGGAGGACGACACTTAGATTCACACTAGTATACGATCTATAAAGTGGTTTAAACCTAAGAAGAACCTTACGGTATCTCTAGTCTATATTAATAAAGTAGCCGGTGATAGCTATAAAGGCCTAGGTAAAGGGTGAGGTCTAGCAATTAAGGGCAATAGATATCCTTATACCTTAAGGAAGTGTTCGTAAGATCCCTTCTTATTAGTCTTATATAGAGGCCTTAAGCCGGCGCCGTAACGTCTTTATTAAGGGGATAGATGGTGTAAGAGGGGCGGATTAGGCTTACTAAATCAATTTATAAAATACGGGATGTTTAACCAGCTAAAAGGGAAGCCGTGTATCTATAATAAAGGTAAGAAGGCCCTACTCCTAGCGTTCCTAAGAGAATTCTTCGACGTCCGGCACATTCTACTTATAGTAATTAGAGCCTAAGTAATTATAATTATATAGAATATCTCCGTACCTTTTATAAAAACCGAGTAATATCCGATTTCTAACCCTACGAGGCCTTAACACAAGCTATAGTTTTAAGGTGTGTTTTTATAGTCGAGGTTCCTTAACGCGATTTTCTTCCATCCTTAGTCTCTCGGATAAAGTTTAGATGCTTAAGAATCTGACTATAGCGCTTACATATAACTTTTAGTGCTCCGTCCGAGATATTTGCTACTTATTAGAAATCATTCTAAGTAGTAGATTGATATACTATATCCCAGGGTATATTATACTTTTTCCTAAAGCTAGTTTTAAGCCACTAGCTTACCTATTCGTTATAAACCATCCCGTCGTAAAGAATATAGTTTTTCATACAATTAGGGCTAATATAGGTTAAGTATAAGGGGATTAAGAAAGGAATAGCCGGTCGGAGAAAATCCTCGGTTAGTAGAGTCTCCTAGCTCTCTAAGAAATCGGGGGTAAAATGATTATATAGAATAAGATTGTCTAAATCACTATCGTAGATAGACGAAGAGAAGGTTAACTACTAAGTTTAAGATATGATAAGTTATAAAAGGTAAAATATAAGGGGAAAATAATAGAATGGAGGGAATAATACCTATAGAAATGCTTTAGATCCTTATAAACGCGACCGATAAATAGGAGAAAGAAGAATTAGTTAATATATCGCGTTTCTAACCTATATCTCGCTACTAATTAGTTGACTAAGTGGGTCAAGCTCTACTATAAACCGTAATAAACCACTATAAACCGTATATAAACCGCAATAACCCATCTATAAACCGCAATAACCTATCGATAAACCGTAATAACCTATCGATAAACCGTAATAACCCATCTATAACCCGTAAAAAACCACCAACTCCTCTTAACACTTCGTAACCATATATAGTCATTAAAATAGCAGCTTTGAACTTAGATATAGCCTCACCTTTAGTACCTTTCTAGTTAAAACTAATACCTGATTTTAAACTGTGGAATTCCCTATCGAATGATACTAATTAAGGCATAATAACAAGGGAAATCATAAACTATAGAACCCTAGCTTTTACTTCGAGGAAAATCACTTAGCTTACACTACATCAAATATATATCTCTATGGCAAAACATGTAAAAAATTATAACACTTAATTCAACACACTATTTTTGCTTAAAACCAATAGTAAAAAAGGCCAAATAATACAACCATAACTAAATTTTAATAATATCTATAAAGCAATATAAAATTCGAATGTTTTGTAGCCCATTCAAGGTGATAGTTGGAAGAGTACCTGATACAAGGTTAAAAAACAGTAATTTATGGTGATAAATAAGCAGAATTATGTATGCCAAGACCTTGATTTTATGCAAAAATGGGTTGTAAATGGGTTTTTTGGGGCCCCAACAGAACCCATCAAAAACCGCAGTGCGGTTGCGGTTTGGGGGTTGGGGCGAAGGTTTGGCCCCAATTGCGGTTTATGGCGAAGTCTACTAAATATAACAATTCTCGCCGTTATATATAGATCACCGGTATCATCAATTCCACCTAGGTCAAAAACATGAAGTATAAAGAATATAAATTGAGTGAAATGGCCGATCAAGAAAAGACGAAGCGGAAGTGGAAGAAGGTGTTGATCGAAATTAGGAAGTATGGAAGAGCCAAAAAACGTCGGGGAGGCTAAATTGTTTTTATATTATAGTAGTAAAATAGCTAATTGATTTATCTACTATTTTTAATTAATTAAATTACTATATTATAGGGTAGTAAATAGTGGTTGAAGTATAATATATGAAAAAGGTGCTATTTGGGTGATCCATACTATATGGTTGGCGGACCCTCGCTTGCGAGGGTCTGTAATTTTGGTAAAAAATGTAAGGGCCGGTTAGTTTTAATTAATTACGATAATAGTAGTAGTTATTATAAGTGTAATTAAATAATCGCTTAACGCCTATACTACTAGTTAGAAACAAGAGAATATCCTATATGTTACGGACATGCTAGTCACCAATCAGTTGTGGGGACCGCAACTACTGATGGGCCACCGAGAGCCAACCGAACGATCTGTCATCAGATCACGTGCAACATCCTATACTCTGGGATACCCGGGCATTCAGGGAAAAGAGAAACCGTGATCACGCTCAGCTCAGTGAGTAAGAGCATGATCAGCCCTAAGCAGGACCCACTTCTAGAGGATATCCGGTATATATGTACCTATATGGACTAGCAAACCTCTGCCACTAAAGGGAGCCAGAACCGGCCTCCCGCTAGCCGTTCCGAAGTATACTCCATTTGGTGATACTACGGTTAGCCGTCACGTGATAATGCAAGCAGTAGAACAGTCGATGGTAGACTAGTAGAATCTGCCAAGGCAATTCCACTCGTCTACGATCTACTCATCTATATAGGAAGAACCTAAGGATATATAAGGACACTCATTCATATATCTAGTTTAGTTCTTCGTCTTCAATCATACATTGTTACTTGTATATACCTTTAGAACTTCAGTGACTCTTTACTTGATTATAACTTGATAACACCTACGAGTAGACCAATACCTCGGTATAGATCTCCTCGGCGCTCTACCTGGCATCGTTCCTCGATACCTCAATAGGACCTATCCTGCAGTAAGGCCTATAAGGCAATAGTACGGTTGAGAGAACAGATCGTTGACCTTGGAAACCTGAGAAGCATAAGGCAAGTATAACCGAACCCTTCTAACCTAACTGTGACCAGTTAGCAGTGCGTAACACTATATTATTCTTATAAAAATAGGAAACTTATACTTATACTCTTTCTAGAATACTTAGGGCTTCTATCTTTTAATCCTATATATAAGATACCTTATAATCTTATTATCTTTAGGGTTTAAAAGCTTATCCTATAACTAGTTCTAATAAGTATAAGCGGTATTAAGATTATAATAATTATTATCTAGAGCCTCTCTAGTATTATCTTATAAGACTAAAGTATCTAAATTATAGTGAATTATCTCCTTATATTAATAAAACTCTTACTTAGAAGCTTTATAATAGTATTTAATATTAATTTTACCTTACTACTCTAATAATATAAAATATCGAGGTTTTTTTAATAGGTAAAAGATTATTATAAGTATATATATTTTACTATATAATTTATAATTAATAGTAGTATAATACTTTAAAAGCTTCCTTTTTATAGTCTAGAGAGCCTCGAGTATACGCTTTACACTTCTTCTAGATAGCTCATTTATTCTTTAACTTACTCTTAGCTTTATTAAGATAAGAGAAAAGCTTATTATAAATACTATAGATATTATATATAGTAATACCCCTAGTCTTTAATAATATGGTAGTAAAGTTAAAGAAAGGCTTTATAAAAAGAAGATATTTAATCTATCGCCACTCTTCTTAATTAAGTTAAAGTAGAGTTATTAATAATCCGTATAATACTAATTATAGAATAGTTATAGCCTTTTAGCACGATTAAGTAGTATAAAGGTTAAGTTCTATCGGGTTTAGATATCTTAAATAGGGATTAAACGAGGCTCCTTAGTTTATAGAGCTATAAATACCTCCTAGCTTTAATACTTATATTAATAAAGACTATAAGACCTTAGATCTCAGACTTTCTTATTAGAATAAACTTAAGAGACCTAGGATAATAAGAAACTTACCTTCTTTAATATATCTACGATTTATCTAGTTAAGCCAGATAGTTAGTCTAAATTAAATAGGTTCGTTTATTAGACCACTCTAGCTTAAACCTCTTTATTAGGTAGTATCACTTTTAGCTTCCTAAGAAGCTTATTTAAGCTTAACTAGATTATATACGTAATATATAGAACTCGGAAGAGTAGTGTCCGATCGGCTTTATAACTAGATAGTCTCTTAGATATTTATTATTAAGGTGTTATTATTAGTTATATTGTCTATAGTTACGGATAATACGCGGTCGGTAATTCTATAATCGCTAAGAAGCTAAGTTATAATTTTACCACCGGGAGCACCTATTGGGCTGACTACATCGACGCAAACACTCTGTACTTTCCATCGTTGCAACCGATAGTGTGTATTGATAGACTAGTATAGCCATCCTCTGGTCAAGGTCCATACGACGGAATAGGTGGCCGTATTGGTGATGTGGATTGTCCTGTGTTTGTTATGGAAGAGACGAAGAAGCAAAATTCGCCTTACTTTCCACCTTAATAAAAATTATGAGTTGTTGGAGGCGGTGAAACCTTCTAAATAAATGGTATTTTGTTTGATAGAGAAGTTGCCAATCTGCCTTAAAATCAAAAGTGACTGGATATGTCGATCCTAAAGATGATCTACATGAATCTTTTCATATCTTCCCCCTGATTATCTTCTGACACACTCCAGTATGTCTGTTCTCGCTGACCTGATAGCATTTTTTAGCGATGCAGAAAATGGGGATCATTATTACATCCTTCATTTTTCCAGATATCAGGTTTCGGATACAAAGAAATGGCATCGCCATCGCCCCAAAAAGGCAACACCGAGACCATCAGCCACTAGCTACGTTATGGCCGAATCTGGATCCATATTTCTCCCTCAGCGAGCGCCCGAAGCGATTAAAAACAACCGGCATGCCTAGCAATGCTAGTGTTATAAACCCAAGCAATGAATTTCCCCAGCCATAGCCAAGTGTCTGGTACATGGTAGGACCAGCAAGTGGCAACAGCGCGCCAAAAAGAGACCGAGACACAGTTATCGCTGCTATTCCCGACGCCGCATACCGAGGATACGAGTCAATGATATATGTCTGCAAAGTCGCAAAAATGCCAACCAGGCCAAAGGCAAAAGGGAAGAGACCGATAATGGGCACTATCCAGTGCGATTTTGCCTGTATTGACCAGCCATACCAGAAGAATGACACCGGAACACAACAGGCGAAGAAGATGCAAAGTGGTAGCCGCATTTCAGGCTCAAAGACACCTTTGTTGTGGACTTTGAGTCGAACAATGGCTCTATCACTCAGTAAGCCGAAAACGAGTTGTCCAGCCAGGAACCCAACACCAAGGCCAAGGTAGGCCAGTCCACTAATCTGGATGCTCCAATTGTAGGTATCTCTGAAGGCAGTTGTGATGGTTGTTAAAAGAAGATAGAGGCAACCGTAGACTGTCGCGATATAGACCGCAATGATTGACACTATCGGAGAAAGAAATAAAAGCTGAAATGGGGTCGTTAGGCCACGTAAGAAGGTGATGCCTTTGGATTTTCGACTCTGACTGTCACGCTTCGACTCGTAAAAGCTGCAAAGGTCAGAACGTCCCAGATCCTTTTTTAGGAGGGCAGTTTTTCGACGTATGATAATAACCGGATTGGTCTCACGGTTGAATATCAGAACGAAGACAGTAAATGAGCCACCTGCGATTACAAGAACCCAGAAAACCTATTTCGCGTTGGTTAGTTAAGATTAGTATATAGATTGAACAGAAAGTGTTCTTACTCACCCATCTCCATCCAGCTCTCTGTGCAATAAATCCGCCGCAAATAGGCCCCAGGACGGGCCCAAACAGAGGCCCAGCGCTGAATATAGACATTGCCATACCACGTTGTTCGGGCTCAAATAAATCTGATACAACACCGCCCCCGATAGTTAAGCATGCCGAGCCTCCTATTCCAGTAAGAAGCCTAAACACTATCAACGCGGAGAGGTTGGGTGCAAGTGCACATCCGATCTGGAAGAGGACGAAGAAGGACGTTGAAAGGTTGAGAATTATTCTTCGTCCGTACATTTCACTCAATGGTGACAGAAACAATGGACCAAACTGCATGTCTTGTCAGGCCACGAAATAATAAATTGAAATTCAAGATTTTACTTACACTGTAGCCAAACAGATAGGATGTCACTGCAAGGGAGCTCAGAATAGACGAGGTGTTGTGGAAAGTTCGATCCGCATCTGCAACAGCCGGCGCAAAAACGGAGGAGGCAAACGGACTGAGATAAATAAAAAAAAAGACTCGTCAGGTCTCTGCCTTCCCTAAATATCAAAAGAATTCAATTGTACCCACCTGATTAAAGTGATCATGCTGACGAGCGCAAGAAGAAACCATTTCCGAGTGACAGGGTAATTTCTGGTGAAGTGATAACATTAGCAACGAGATAATGGGTCAAACAAGTATCTCCATCCATTTACTTTGGGTTCATAGGGTCTTGTTGATCATCCCAACCCACGATCCCTTGATCTAGGTCTGTGATAGGGTGTTTTTCTCGCTTTGCGACATTGGGCACCTGCACGATCTGTTAGCACAGAGCTTGCCTTCGGTGGGTTCCAAGTCTCCCACATTTTCTGCGTTTTCCTCATCTCCCTTTGCCATTATGATAAAGTAGGATGGTAACGGCGTGGTCGAAGCCGAATGTGTAAAATGCGATCAATAGGAAACAATCACATTTATGGCGACTACTATGCATTTTATTCATCGTCGGACACAGTCAAAAAAATCATATAGTTCGGGACTTCGGGACTTCGGGACTTCGGGGCCAGGAAGTCGCGCTGTTGGGATTAGCGCCGTTCTGGAATAGGCAATTCTTCTTTAGAAATCCGAGACTAACCTGAATGTCGGAACTTTAGCACCAATCAGCATCAAGACGGACTTTTCCCTTATCTCCGGCATACTCCAACCGGAAATTGAACCCTGTCTATACAGGTCCTGGGGGATATTTATACCTATAGTATGACCCAGAAATTTCAAAGAAAAGAGACTTTTCAGAATACTTCGTTTCCTTTTTCCGTCGATATCCCTCGATCCTGACCTTTGCCCGACTGCCCGACAAAATGGCAAGCCAAGCATGCTGTAACGTGCCTCCAAAGGGAGAGCCAGCCGTTCTATCTGAAGATCAAATTGATCAAGTGGCAGGAACCAATCTCTGTAAGTACGCGTTCTTTCCAGTATAACCAAAGTATTGACTGATTATTTGTATTTAGACGCTTTTGGTGATCGGAATGCCAAACGAGGCGTGGTGCTTGTTTATGACATCTTTGGACTTTACCAGCAGACCAAGCAAGGAGCTGCGCTTCTTGCAAAGGAACTGGACTGTCTGGTCATCATCCCCGACTTTTTCAACGGAGAAGGAGCGAACTTAGAGTGGGTGGGAATGGATACTCCCGAAAAAAAAAGCAAAATGATGGGATTCTTTGCAGAGAAGGCAAGTCCTGAAAAGAATCTGGCTACCTTGCTATCAGTCACGGAGGAAGCGAAGAAACTCTATACAAGCGTTGAAAAATGGGCCGTTTTTGGACTTTGCTGGGGAGGAAAGGTATGAGTCTTCCCTTAATACTGCCGCGTGATGGACGAGTGTATTAACTCAGACACCTTCCACCTAGCTTGCTGCATTGGCTTCCACTGGCCAGACTCCATTTGCTGCCTCTGGTCAAGCCCATCCTGCGTACGTGCCATGGTATCGTTGTGCTTTGGAATATACTATCGCTGACCTGCTTCATAGATTCCTCGACGTAGCAGATGCCAAGGGGATGACCATCCCGCACATTTGCCTGGTTTCTCCCGATGAGCCTGCGGACATTTTCAAACCGTACGAGGAAGCACTGCCCCCCCACTCCGAATTCGAGCTATATAGTACGATGTTCCATGGATGGATGGGCGCACGAGCAAACCGGGAAAGCGAAGAGAATGTTCGAGAATTCAACAGAGGGTGAGTAATGGCAAATGATAGGCTATACTACTTCCTAACATTTTGCAGATATAAGCAGGTCGCTACCTTTTTCAATCGCTGGCTATGAGACACCTTGTCTTCAATAACTCCAATACACGGGTCAATCGAGTCCAATCTCTGTTGATGGGTCCTTCAAGATAGCTGAGATGATTGAACGAAGTACCTAGGTAAATATCTGTCTATCAACCATGTAAGATAGATGCTATTTACCAATTAGACATTTGGAACTTGGGGAGAAGGATTCTCCTCTTTGACTTTTCGTTTTTTTTTAGTCAATGTAGATTCACAATGGAAGACAAATCTGATCAATACAATGCTTATAATAATATCCCAAGCATCTACCAAGGTGCTTCCAAGGTCCCTTTTCCACGCAGAATAGTTTAATAACTCATCCTTCAAGATATATATGTACTGCACTTACTGTAATTACAAACCAAGAAATTGCCATAAACTTCCAGTTGAGTGTTGCCACTTCTAGTGTTAATCTATGGAAAGGGAGGTCATTAATTTGGAGCCGTCTCTGAGAAATACAGGAATAATGAAAACAAGTAAACATCCTGGGAATAGATTGTTTGATCACTTGCTGGAGACAGTTTGAAGTGGCTTTGGGGTGTGGATCTTTGGGGATCGCCCCCGGGTTCCCGACAGCTTCTCGGACTTAGCGGAAACAAGCACTTTATCGTCAATATTCTTTCTCCGCAGAAAGTATCATCACTCAAGTCGGCAAGCAGCAAATCTCGGTCATGGCGGCTGAATGCTCTACAAAAAACGCGTTTTCCGGTGATTCCACCACTGGCGACCGGACCCGAAAGGGAAGTCAAGCTCTTTATTCCCGGTTCTCAGTGATCGACCCTCAAACCGCGACCTCTGCCGCCCAGACCACAGGAGTCGATACCGACCGGAAAAAAAGATCATGTGAATCCTGTCGGCGGCGCAAAATAAAATGTGACAGAAGAAATCCATGCGGCCAATGCACATCATCGTTCCACGGTATGGGACCTCCCTTCATGGCAAAAATGAAGTTCGAAACTGATCTGGTAAGATTGCCTTTACTTGAGGGCTCCTAAAAGACAAAAGAAAACCATGGTCTCATCCGATCGGTTGGCTTTCCTCGAGAATAGATTGAGGGAAATGGAATCGTTGAGGCCATTGGCGCCAGCAACATCCTCAGCAGTCTCTACTCCCACAGTAACAGGGTCCATTACGATACACAGCGAGAGTTTTGGCGAAATCAATGTCTCTGGATCAAATAACAACGCCACTTCTTCAAAGCTTGAAAGATATGGAACGGCATACCATAACATCGAGCAAGACGAAATCGAGTTTCAGGGCCATTCTTCAGATCGAACTTTCATTCAAGACCTCAAGGCAAAGGTAGATGACTGGCCCGGTGTTGACATAACACGGCACCAACTCCCCCCAAACATCTCTTCGCCAGGGTTCTTTGAGCCCAGCAGTCAATTGTCCGATGAAGTTTCTTTGCCCACAAAGGAATTGGTAAGAAAACTGGTCGACACAGCTTTGGATGCGCAAATTTTGCTCCATGTCATACATCAGCCAAGCTTTGACATTTCTTTTAATCTGATCTACGCCCTCGATAAATCGGAATATGGCAGAAGAGAGGTGATGTTTCTGCCGCTGCTTTATGCAGTAATCGCCTATGGCTGTTTGTTGATTGAACCGGATCAGGGGGATGAAGGTGGTGAGAATATGGCCTCACAAGGGTACTTTGCATCCAAAATGCGAATATATATGGAGTTTACCCGCCATTAACCCCTATACAGATCGAAATACTTTTCCAAAAGCAGACAACTGCAGGATGTCGCGAATTGTCAAGATCTTGTTTCACTTCAAGCTGTATTTTTCTTGAATCTCTTCCTCCTAGCGACAAACCGAACTTCGACCTGCTATACATACCTCAGTACCTCATTTTCGATTGCTTTTCGAATGGGGCTCCATCGATCTCTCAAGGTCAACCAGGATTTAATCTCTCAGGAAATCAGCAAGAGACTGTTTTGGGCATTACGGCAGCTTGTCAATGATATAGCCTCTTGCTGCGGACTGCCCAGGCTTTTGAACGATGACGAAATAGACCAAGAGCTTCCAAGAGAAGTAAACGATGTGTACATCACGAGAACAGAGATATCAACGCAGCCACAAAATGAAGTCTGCTATATTTCTGGCGCAAATGCATCTTATCGTCTTCATATAATTCGGGACAAGGTGACTAGGCACATTTACCCTTTCAGAAGCGTGAACAACGTCCCGTTGGATGATTCGATGGCCTACGGTGCCAATAATGAAATTATACGCGAAATCGAAGAAGAACTCACAGAATGGGCGAAGAGCGTACCCCGCGGGTATAGACTAGGCACATGGTACAGGGAATCAAAACTAATAAGGTAGAAGAGAAGACCTTCCAACGGTTTCTTTACAACACAACCCACCACTAACATTCTCCAGATCCCAATATATGCTCTGTGCATCATATGCTCACGTCCATCTCTATCTATATCGGTCGTCCTTACGCCATGCCATCAAAGCCCCTGAGCTCAAATATACTGCCGGTATGGACATGTCCTCCCATGCTACCAGATGCATCCAGAGTGCGCAAAATATTATCTCGCTATTTGAAGACATGTGCATACGAGGCCTTTTAACAGGAGGGAACTGCTCAGCTGTCCGAATGCTGTGCAGTTCCATCACAACACTCCTGTACATCGTGCTTGCTTCTCGGGGCTCATACGAACCGGAGTCTTTGTTCCAAAAATTGGCCACTGGGAGGAAGATCTTGAATCATCTAGCAAAACGAAGTTTTCCTGCCAGTCGGTGCAGAGTTTTGCTCGCGGTGAGATACAAGCCCAGCCATATCGGGTCATTCCTATACATTTTCTAACAACAATACTAGAACATGATCTCAACTTTACCGGGGGACTTTCAAAAGGTCCGCGATAGGCTACTCAACTTTGATACTGAGGTTCCAGATGTGCTATTCAATGAGGAAATTGAAAGCAACCCGCAGCCTGACAATTCATACACTACCTCTCTAGCAGAGAGTACTTTTGCAATGAGGCCCAATTCTCATCCACGAAGCTCCAGTTGCCTTCCGCCGGTTGTTAGCACGATGCAGGGATTTGGTGGGAGCGCTCATGTACTAGGCATCCCAAGTGATGAGCAGCATAATCTCCACCAGGGAAAGACGCCATCTACTCCGGCAAACCAAACGGCCGACAGGGCTGTACTCGAAGACAAGACACGAAGCGTAGATATCGAAACTCTTGGATGCCAAAGTCGCCAGTTGGCGGATCCACCCCTCGATATTCGTCCTCGGATTTGCATGGAAAGCATTCAGTCCTCGGACTTTCCACCAAATTGTTCCGCTGGATCATGGACCAGCGGGCTTGACATCGGCAATGCCTATCGCTCAAGTTTGAACGAGGAACCACTGGCTGGGGCATTCAATATTGAAGGAAAGGATATACGAGGCATAGATGACTTCTTTGATTTTGAAAGTTGGTTCTAGGCGAATCGCGGGCGAAGAATGTCATGAAAGCAGGATCCGGGAAATGTTGTGGCCATACTTGCAGCATACTGCATTGGGGGCCGGGATATAAAGCCAGATTCTTGAAAATATAAACCTCAGGGCCCCAATTGAGTCGATCTAAACTGCTACATCAAGGCTTACCATCTCAGACTCTCAGTCTACAGTATAGTAGGTAGACGTTCCTAGCTTTTAGGAAACCCCGAACTGATTTCTATTTTCCTGCCTTCCATAAGCCAAGCCATACTATTAGACTTCGGCAGAACCCATTTTGGGTCGGATGCTCCGACCCAAAACCCAACCCATCCGCCCTCTATAACCCAACCCAACCCAAAACCCAATTGGTTAAACCCAATAACCCAATAATAACCCATTTGAACCCAATTTTGTATAAAAATTCATAAAATACATAAAATATAGGTCTTGGCATTTTTAAAGATACTTTTTTAGTAGTATAAAATACTTTTTTACTTATATTTGTTTTAGTTTTATAATTAAATTGCTATACTCTTTATATATATATTTAAGTTTTAGAATTTTAAGCGTATAAAAATTTAGTTTGTCTAGTTTGCACTATATTGGGGCCCCAATGGGTTACCCAAAACCCATCGTCGGGTCGAAGCAATGGACCCAAAACCCATTTTGGGTTGGGTTCGGGTTAGAGTGGGTTGTGCCGAAGTCATACACACACGTTAGTACTGTACTGCCTGTAGGCACTAAGGCACCAACTATAACCTTATTCGCTGTGGAGAAGAGGAGACAAAAAAACCGATTATTGCCAACTGGCCATTCGAAATATGAACAAGGAATATGGTTATATTTAGGAGTAGCTATAAAAAGTTGCCCTTCGTAAAACGTGTGTTGTAATCCGCAGCCTTCTTTACCATCTCCCGGCGCTGCGAGCTGGATATCTTCGAAGCAACTGCCATATCCTTCTCTCGATCAAACGCTCGCGCACTTGGATCATCGTCTTTTTTCTCAGCCTGACCTGGGTTTTCTAGGCGAGTGTTCTTCCCAGTCATGTCCTACAACAACACTTATGTTAGAACAAAAACAAAGAACACGGAGAAAATAAAGTATCAAGTGCCTTTCCGAGGAAAGTATATGCCAAAATTACCTTGTATCTCTTGATTTGATCCTCCATCAGCTTTGCATTTGAAGCACCTTTGTGGTCCCCGGGCTGATTTGTTGAAGTAGCAACGCCCATAACTGCATCCTGTAGTCGCCGCATTCGTTCCTCTGGAGTCTCAATCCACGAGGAATCCATGTTCTTAGGTGCCGAGGCTGATTTACCTGTATTGAACTTGCGATTTCGTAGTTGTGTAGGGTCGACCTTAGAAGACCAGTCGGAATGGGAAGGAGGTTGCAGCATCCATTGATCTCGCTGGTTTTCCCTTTCCACCGATTGAGATATATCAGGAGCCGTAGGCTCTTGCCGCACATGGTCTTTCAGTTGACCAGATGGAGGAAGGCTTGGACCGAAATCATCGTCGTCGTCGTCGTCGTCGTCGTCATCATCATCTTTGCTAGTTTCACTGTTCGCCGCGTCGGCCTCTTGAGGCGGAGGGAGAGAAGGTCCGATCACCTTCCGCTGCTTCGAGACCGATCCGGGCTGAGGATCTGTATTCTCGTCAAATTTCCGCTTGTCTTTAGAATCCATTGCAGAACTAGAGGACGACATGTAGGAAAAGAAGAGAAGAAATGCGTGATTTTATCTTTATCTTATCAGGACTTTCCCGGCTTATCGCGTATGGTAATATTGTAACAGAGCTGATGTCATTAGAAAGGTACGAGAACTTACTGGCCCGTTGTTTTGTATGGAGACCCATGTAGCTTCACTCTGGTAACTTACACAACAAATACCACACCTCTCCTCAGTGCTCTTTTCAACCCTTATTATACCTTTTCTACCTTGTCACTTAATTTCAACTTACTTCCTTTTCTTTTTTAAAAGACCCATGATAACTGATGCATTACATCGGGATACGCCATTTTTGTTTCTCTACTACTAGTCACATCGAGACCGCTTTTTCGACCCCGCATGCTCGCCGTCATAAACAGACACACTGATAAGACCCTAAAAGTGCCTTAAATCAACTGAAACCCAACCCCCCCCCCCCATGTTTATTCCCTGCCAACCATCCTGATATCCAATACGAGCATGGTTCGGATCTGTCATAGATTGCGAGGATTAGACAATGGGCCATCCCCCAGAAGCACATGGGAAACCTAACATACCCACGGAGGACGGCAGAGAGGTGTGTCAATCTACAGACAAACTTCAAGATCTGACCACTCTTCACGAGTGTCAGCCAACTTCTTCGAATAATCCACATCAGCCACTCGGGTCTTCACTTTCACAAAGTCAAGTACCACCCAGGGTCCCTCGGAGATTCCTGGCCCAGCCAATCGAAACCGTATCACGAAGCTCCAACGTCCAACAGCCAGCTTTGAGCGGAGCAAATCAACCCGCTCTATCAAAACCCGAAATACATTCGAAAGAGCCCAGTGAGCATCGACCGATCAGAAGATTTCAACCTGAACCAATTGAAACAAGCAAAGCTAGTAATAGACGGTCTCATTCGACTTCTGAGGTACATGGGAGGAATTCAGCGTCACATAGCAAGGCATCAACTCCAAGAAGATTCAAACCCGACCTGATAGAAACCGACGTCCGCTCGGTTCGAAGAGGGGAACCTGTCCGGTTTCCCCAACGGCATAATGCCGTAGGATCTTCAGCACCCCATACAATTATTGGCCCAGACACGACATCATGGCCAGATCCAAACCCCCATGCCCACACTTTTCTGCCATCCGAGTCTCAATTTTCGTATTCCAATATTCTGCGCCGACAACAAGCCCGCAGACATTCATTTCGAGTTCCGGATCTCCCATCCATCCCCTCTAACAGCAGCGAAGAATCGGATAACTCCAGATCGCATTCAGCGTGCACTTCGCCGCCTGGGCCTTCCAATAAAGCGACACAAGATTTATACACGAGCAAGCTACCCCGTGAAATCTCCGATGGGGAGATCTCGGAATTCTTGCTCTCTCTTGCCGCTCGATCCGCACGGATCCAGTTGAAAGAGCAAGCGTTGGCTGCCTTTCCGAACGAGCAAGTGTACGAGCCTGTTGATCATTTCGCCATTGACGAAGATGATGAAGATTCAGACGATTATCATATGTCTATGAAGTATCATCATGTTAAGTCTCGACGACAATCTTCGGCAGATTTGTCCTGGGAACTTGAGTACATGCGCCACCACAAGGAGGAGGCGGAAATGAGGATCCGGGCTATGGGTGCATCTGGACAACCGAAGTCTTCACCGGAGCACAATAAGAATGGCAAGAGCCCGCCCATGCTTGGCAAGGACATCGTCCTTCCTCGAAGCGCCTCACCCGAGAGAACAATATGTGAGCACTCTAGCACCGATGCAGCCTCTCGTGGCGTACATGATCTTTGCACTGGCTGTGGTGACTTAGGGTACGCAGCGCCTCCTCGAGGCGGCGGAAAGGGTGCTGGTCTTTGGATGGGCACTTGTTGCAAGAACGAGGGCCAAGAGCGGGAAGTGCACGGTCTCCTGCCTGGAATTGTTACCCCCATGCCCCGTGTCGATGAGGCTGGCATTAGCATGGGACTCAGCCCATCTCCTTCACATACACATCTGGATCGTCTCGCAGCCTCGCCCGGAAACCATAGTTCCCGGAAGCCGGCGAGCCCCAATCTCCAGAAAGCCATCGAGGTCGAATTCCATGATGGATTTGTGTCTCAAATTTACAATTACTTGTCTCTGGGTTACCCGTGCCTTGCCCGTCATTATGATTACGAACTCAGCCGAATTTCGGGCATCTCCGTCGAGGATCTTCGTCGGGACGACTTGCAAACTGATGCTAGAGGCTATGTTGTAGCTCCAGGGATGGACGATCTCGCGGATGCCTGTGCACGATGGAAAGCTCTCCGTCTATATATCCAGGAATGGGCGAGGCAGGAGCCTGGCATGGCCGAAGAAGATACCAATCTTGAAGGTTGGGGACTGCCAGAACGAAGAGGCAGCTGGGCCATTTGAAGTACCTAAGGAATATCTAATTTGTATGTTATGATTGAGAGACGTGCATTGGTGTTTGATTGATATAAACGGGTGAGTATTGAATTCACGCAACTGTGGTATTTCGTCTGGCGTTCTCGAGTTTTTCATAGAGCTCGGGATTGTACATGTGCAGCATGCCCATGATACTGTACTACGAGGACACTTTGATTTTTAACTCGATTGAGAGTGAGGAGCCAACTTCCATTAAAAATGCTCCAATATCTTGTTCTTTCCCCCTAGTCTGTGATATGTGTCACCCAAACCCGCTCTCGTGTAATTCTATTGCATATTTCCCTTTCGAGCCCTCTCATGAACGATACCCGGGAAAATTTTCTGCTCTGGCAGACCGTCTGCTCCCCCAACTCCTGTTCCGAGGGCAGGGTTGCCACCGGGAGACGAGAACTCACCTGTTCCAAGGCGAGGTGATCGAGCTAGATATGTCGATGGAGTCGATGCGGAGGTAGTCATCTGGTTTGTACTATGGACCTCACTGGGTGAGGCATCTGTAGTGTCAGCTGCACTTGACTCCAGCTCAGATTGCGACTCGAGGTTAGGTGTATGGTGATCTAAGAATGAGTGATTTCGAAGTCAGTCTGCTGCATAATTTCTGATTATTCCTGATTATTCCTCCAAGATAGATTTACCATGATTCGAGGACGCCGCTTCCCCTGGTGGACCTGGAGCCAAGCTCTTCCGCTCTCCGGTACCATTGTCCTCGGCATACCGCTCAATCCTGGCGAGACGATGTACGGTTAGCCCTATTTCCTTGACGCCAAAGACATCATGGGCAACTTACAAGGACAATTCTCCAAGCAAAGTATCATGTCGGAATGCCTCACGAATATCCGGTACATTGCTCTTTGCAACATTATTGCCAGCGGTTCCAGGTATGGAACAATTCGAGCCAAGCCATCTTTCTTTAAGGGAAAGCTCAAATCCACTTTGGTCGACTGAATGTTTAGCAAGTTCGCACATGTCGACTGCGCTGAATTTGTAGATCTGCGCTGCGACTGAGTATTCCTCGATGAGGGGCTCCTTTGTGAACGCAAACTGCAATGGATCATCGGTGGACAAAGACACATTGAGTCCTCGCTTGAAGAAGGTAGCACATGGGTTCTTATCGTATGTGAGGAACAAAGCGTTGTTACTGAGTGGTGACATGGCAATGCCGATCTGATCCAGATAGTAAAGGTATTGCAGGAGAGGTACCTTGCGCAGCAAGATACCATGACTGATGCTGTGGCAGCAGAGGAAGCCGACAGCCAGATGATCCGGGTCGCCTGCCTCTCCGCAATGAGGGCGTAGAACAAACGTGTTGAATCCTCGGCGTTTCCGCCAGTTATTGAGGGAAGCGATGTTGGCGAACATGAAGTATAACCAGTAAGTGTAAGGCGGATTCTGCTTGGTGCTCCACTCCCGGGGGATGGGATACTTTCTGTATAGCCGGCGCTCGGGCTTGCTTTCGTCATCCACACTGTCAAATCCAACCACTCGCTGGAGGAAGATGTGGAGTTTGGGATGACTAGAAGGATCTTTGGTCACTTCAAACAGCGGTTGGAAGACATTGGTGATGACTTGTTCATAGTTCTCCATCATGCCGCTTGCTTTGTAGACATCGTAGAGACGAGGCACTTGAATGAGCCAGCGAACATTAGGCGAGAACAACTTGTTGTCCACTACCCAGGCCGCAAGCTTGTCCCATTCCTGAAGGGAACGACCGTAGATCGAGATTCGCCATTCCACCATTTGGTATTTGCTAGATTCCAAGTCTGAGATCACTTCCTTGGTAATCTCTGCGAGGTAGCGACCTTTGATGTAATTGTCTGTTTTGAGGAAAATTTCACGCAGTCGGGATTCTCCAACCGGATTATACTTCAAATTGAATTTGTCAAATCGGTGGAAAGAGTCGGTGTGTGCCTACGAAATTAGAGTTAGTAATAGTAATACCTGTGGCTTAAAAGTGAGCGTAGGGGGAAGGACGAGCAGATACTGATGCATTCAGACTTGCATCTTCCTTCATCATTTGTAGGTTTCCAAGAATCAATGACAATGGATGTGATGAGAGACTTACGTGCATATCCAAAGTATCAATGCTCAGGTCATAAGCAGTCAAATTGATACTTTCAAAGACCTCCCTCAAGGTCAGATGTTTTCCGTCTCGGAAAAGAACAACTTCGTCCGGGGACTTTCTCATTTTGCTCTTGATGAATCGAAGAAGATGTTTCTGGTTCATGCACGCCGAATGGTGAACGTGGGTATCGACTTTGCGCACGTTGTAGAAGTCCCTGTGAGGAACCTTCTTGCTGTCGGCCATCTCCTGGTATTCATTGAGCAGCGTATACAATTGGAACTTGCCCTCCAAGTACGACAGCCGCTTGAACGCAAAGCTCTTAGCAGGTCCGTCGGTCGACACATCCACAACGGCGTCCAGATCCATATAGAAATCGCGCAATGAGGGGATCTGGACAATAGGTGTCTGCTGGTCAGCAGCAGCCTCAGAATCAAAGACCTGATATACGCTGTTGCCATCCAACCTATACGTCCAGGGTGATTCTTTGGGTAGAGGCATCAATTCTTCCATGTCGAAATCCTCCCCAATGTCTTGGCCCATCTTCCTCTTCTTTCCTGCGAGATCAGATGGGTCACCAAGGTTGCCGGGTTGATATTCTTTGCCATCATCCCACGCTGGTTCTGGAGGCGGAGGATAGATCTCCCAGTCAGGTTGGTCCTTAGGATCATTTCCGGGTCCCTGCAAAGAAAGCTCCATGTACTGAGATCGCCGATCAAGTAGTTTCTTGATCTTGCAGTAGATAGCATTCAGCTCAGATGTCACCGCATCATTGCTAGACGCAAATCCGCTAGCAACCTGGGGGCCTCCGATCCCCACACCGGCGCTTTGCAGACTCTCCGCCGCCGCCGTGTATGGTCCCTGTCCATGGACAGCACCTAGAAGCACCGCCTGGTTTCGGGCAGAATCGTTCGCCTCATCTTGGTCGTCTGCGAGGTAATGAGACGCAGAGAGATCGGGCTCACTGGCAGATTGCAAGCGTAGTGTCGAGGGTTCGGATTCAAAGACCATAGATCCCTCGCGAGAGAGCTGGCCTTGAGTATGCATCGGATCCGAAAGGTTAACCGGTGGCTCTTCGGGTTGTGATTCGACTGAGCGGGCTGGCACCACTGGGCTCAAAGGTTGGGTGATGTCGTTCCGCGCGGCTAGCTGATGATGTTGATAGAAGAGTCTTGCCTCGGCGTGGCTCATGGACTTTTCGTAGGCATAGTCATAGGTGGCTGTTTTCTGCTGTTGATCTCTGGGCAAAATATCCTCTGCAGGCTGATCTAGTGCATTGGGGCTTTCATCGAGAGGAGAGTCCACGGAATCCTTGAGACCCGGGGATGAAGTGGCTGATGGATTGTTAGAGGAATCAGCGGACGCGTTGGCATTCCGACTGGAACTGAGATTGGGTTGAGGAGGTCCCATGACTGCTGTTCCCCCCCTTGTTATATCTTGTGTGTGTGTGTGTGTGTACCTAGTTTGTAATGAGATTATTGCGTAAGGGTTCACACCAAGATCAATATGATTTCGAAAATGAAGAAAAGATAGAATTCAATTAGAAAGTAGATATTCCAATCAAAAGCAAAAGCAAAAGAAAAGAAGAGAAACCTGCCCCAAAAAAACTCTTCGAAAGCTCAAGCTCCCCACCTTCTGTCGGTGAGAAATGGGGGGAAGAAAAGTCCAGGCCCGGTGAAACTGTAAACTACATACACATAAAATACAGACACTGTACATACTATGTACATGCATACTGTATTATATGTAATTATAGGTATTTCAAAATCAGGTACATATATACACATGCAGCTATATAGATTCACTGTTGCCGGTTTTATGAGGACACTCAGGCTCAGGCTGAGTAAATAGAGACGTCTACTAACCTTTGATTGTCCATACATTGTCGTACTGCCAGATTTCTTTCAACACAAGAATGAACTCCGTGCCTAATTCAGCAAAGGGGAAAAGGCTGCCGTTGAGCTGGTCTTCTAACGTCGCCCCCCTCCACACTCATTAATATCCATAACTGCCACGGTTGCTATCACCTTACCTCCCTCTCCTAGGAGCTTGATCTGTCATCAACTTTGCCTCTATTGATCTGTGCCAGCTCTGCTACGGTTGCTATCACTTATTTTCCTCTCCTAGGAGCTTGATCTGTCGTCAACTTTGCCTCTCTTGATATGTGCCAGCTCAACATCCCGCCTCAATATGCCATCGCCCCCCGCACTCCTCTCTTCATGGATATCCGGATTGTGGGGAAATGATACTCGACTCTCCGAGACCCCCAAGCAGGAGACACCCAAGCAGAATACGCTGGCTGGACTACCTGTCGAGCTATTGCTGTCAATAGCCGATTTCCTCCCTCTAGTTGATGTGATCTGCATTTCCCTCTGCAATCGTCGACTCTTTGCTACGTTTCACCGTCGGAATCATTCCATGCTGCCATCAGGAAGAGACAAACTTCCCCCTTTAAATCGCCTGGAGCGAGATCTACCTAGTTACTTTATTTGCTACATTTGTCACCTTCTTCACAAGTACGATGCCTCGCAAGACTTTGGTCCCCACTCGACCTTCGAGGATCAAGCCCATCCTCTTTTATGCTTCTCAAAATCGAGGCGCCATCAGTTATTACGGTTGCAACTAGATGCGCGTCCGTGGTGCAATGTCTCGTACTAACTTTTCTTCCTACACGTTCAGCTTGCCATGAGGAGATTCTATCATGGTCCACAGTTTGGAATCAGCACAGAGGCCATATGCTACACTCAAGTTCGATGCCACCCCAAAGAGTCCGCCAGCCCTGAAAAAAACCTCGCTTTTTTCGATTGACGCACAGATTTGTTGCGAGCCTCCAGGTCTTGTTCTAAGGACTCAAGAAATAATGTCTATTTCTAGTCAGAAGCGACGTCTAATGTATTGTAACCCAAATGCGCGTGAGAAATTGGGGGAACCTCCCTTGACTATGTTTATTTGCTTGCACGTTCGTCGCAACGAACTTGCTAGCTTAATAAACCCCATTGTGAAGGCTTACCGAGCCGGAGAAAAAGCTCCTTTGTCCACTTACACATGTGGCCGTTGCGATACCGATTTTTGCATTGAAATTTGCGAATACGAAACCGAGTCGGCTCTGATCATCACAAAGTGGTTTAATCTCGGTGCTGGTTTATCTCCAGATGATCCTCCCCATTGGAAACGGCATGCCGATTTTGCGGACCGTGTCCACACTGACAAAGTGAGACCAAGCCCATGTGATGGAAAAAAAACAGTGCCCAAGTCTGTTTTGAAAATGCGTCAACTCGATCGTTAGAAGACTTGCGGTCCTGCAACCTTTCCTATCTCAAAAATGAGCGATACAAAAAGGTTATGTATAGAACTTGGTTAGGAGGGCCCTGGTATACAACTCGCAAAACAAGAAGCTGGTTCGCATTTTAAGTGATAGGGAGTTGAAGGGAAGGTAGGTAGTCGTTAGTCGTTAGATGGAGTTGACAATCGGTTTTTTGTCTCTTGTCCACAACGAATAAGGTTGTAGTTGGTGCCTTGGTGCCTGCAGGCAGCACAGTACCTATGTATGTATGTATGTATGTATGTATGTATGTATGTATGTATGTATGTATTGGCTGTACGAGGTATCGTATTACAACACCTTCCCCCTAACCTCTCTCTTCGTCTCTCTTCTCTCCACCTTTAGGCTTCATCATTTTCCTTGACCCTTTCTCAATATTTCCCTTGATTCTGTACTTATCTTTTTTTTGTGTGGCGATATCCTCATCTTGGAAGCACTCAACCCGTTGCTTCTATCCCTTTTGCTCGGTCAGTGTTTACAATAGAACCCACCTACGTCAACTCCCTCTTCTCCTATCTATCCCCCCCCCAACTTATATTGCACCACAACGCCAAGGGCTTTGACTATTTTGTGCTGACACTGCATGAGACACAGATATTGTAACAAAAAAAAGCAAACACCCCTCCCACGTGGACACATCTAAAACTTGACAAACTTTCCCTTCCTTCTCCCCGCCTATCCGCCGGAAAGTCATGGCTTCTCTCAATCTCTCGTCCAATGGCCCCTCGATATCGAAAAGCTACCAGACAGTGGTGAATGCACCACCTCCTTCTGGGAATGGAGGGTCTCCGACTTATGGCCAATGGGCGGTCTATTCAGTTTCTACCCCGCTTGTCAGTGCCTTCCAGCAAGATGGAGGTAAGGAGAGTGTCCTTAAGGTCCAGAGCACCGGAGGTTAGTGATCCGCTTTTTTTAATACCAGCCAAGCTCATCATCTCACATTGACGAATTTTACTGTCAGAGGGTGAATTGGCCGATCTCATCGAGGAATTTTCCGAAGGACGAGTGCAATTCGCCTATGTGAAGGTGACGGATTCCAACACCGGTCTTCCCAAGAACGTTCTCATTGGCTGGTGTGGAGAAGGTGTACCGGAACGAACAAAGGGTTACTTTACCAGCCACCTGGCTACAGTTGCCAAGTTCCTTCATGTGAGGAGGTTCCTTTCCATGACGCAACTCCCGCAGTGAGACTGACTTGGCTGGATAGGGATACCATGTGCAGATCACAGCCCGAGCAGATGGGGATCTAACCCCCGAGGGAATCGTCCAGCGGGTAGCAGATTCCTCCGGCTCCAAATATTCAGCAGGCGAGGCTTCTGCCCCGGCCCCAGCCCCCCGGCCTGCTGTGGCTAGCAAGCCTGCTTTCACACCGACTCGATCTGGGGGTGTCACCCCCAGCACAGCTGCCCGCGTACAGCCCACCCCTTCAAGAGCTGGTTTGAATGATGATGGATGGGGTGCAGATGCCCCTCCCGTGACTCGCACCCAATTGGAGAAGGTACAATCGGCTTACCAGCCCACTAGAGTGAACCTGCAAGAACTCAAGGCAACCCCCACTGCGAGTCGTCAACCTGCCGCTACTACCTCGGATGATTCTAGCGATGTGGTTAGAGGTGGTTACCAGCCTGTGGGTAAAGTCGATATTGCTGCAATTCGGAAGCAAGCTGCCGCATCCGGTCAACTGAAAGATGAGCGCCCGGCAACTATCAAAGGCTCTTATGAGCCCGTTGGCAAAGTTGACATCGCCGCTATTCGAGCTAGAGCACAGAAGCCGGAAGGCGCCAGTGACAACGTCCTATCGAGCACCGTAGTCAACCAACAGCCAACAACGTTGCCCGAGCGACCTGCGCCCTCCAATGCCTCGGAGCGCTTGACCACCCTACCCAAACCAAGGGTTGCCAACAAGTTTGGCTCTAGCCCCTCCTTCCCAGGAACAAAGCCACCCCTCCCAATTGCTCTCGAGCCTAAGCCAAGCTCGAGTGCGCAGATTGGAGCTGCAAGCCGAACTTTTGCCGATGAGGGAGGCAAGACACCTGCTCAAATTTGGGCAGAGCGTAAAGCCAAGGAGCGCGGAGTGGCTTCATCGTCTGGAAACACTGAGAGTGCCTCTACTCTTGCCCCGATTCAAAACCAAACTAGTGGCCAGGGTGAGTGGAAGAGCTCCTATGCGGGCAAGTCCTGGGCTCCCGTTCAAACCGCACAGGAGAAATCATATATTCCTGAGCAGTCTATTGATGCAAATGCCGATGATCAACAAGAGGATGAACCACAACCTCATGTGAGTGGTATTCGTGACCAATTCGCTCATGACGCGCCTGCGCCCGCGCCACTCGCTCCTCCTGCTCCACCCGTTCCGCAGGCCAGTCGCCCTGTTCCTGTACCGGGGCTATCCTCTGGGCCCGTCGACTCCGAGCCCGAGCATGATGCCCACCAGCCTCTTCCTACTCCCCCACCGCAGCCTCGCTCCCCAACACCTCCCACTCCCCCGGTGCGTGAGAGCTCGCCGATCCAGATTGCCATGCCGGTTGGCCACAGTGCTGCCGACAGTGTTGCGGATGTCCACGAGGAACAACATTCTCCTCCCCCTGCTATGCCTGTTCGGAGCCTCCAAGAGGTCGTTCCAGACGAAAGGGATATTGAGGATGATTCTCACGACCTCGGCCGTGCTGCGGCCGAAGCAACCGCTCTTCAGCATCCCGAGCAGCCCCAAGGCGGACCGCGAGCTCAGATCCAGTACGACTACGAGAAGGCCGAGGATAATGAGATTGAATTGCGAGAGGGAGAGTATGTGACCGACATTGAAATGGTGGACCAGGATTGGTGGGTGGGTGTCAATACTCAGGGTGAGCGTGGTCTCTTCCCCGCCAACTATGTGGAGATTGTGGAAGACAAAGAACCTGTGTCACACCCACCGGCCGGTTCCCACCATTATGAAGCAGAGCCAGAGCCTGCTGCTGCCCCCGTCCCGGCCGCACCCACTCCTGTCGCTGCCGCTGCACCGTCGGCGACTACTCCAAGCTCCAAGGGTGTCACGGCCACAGCTTTGTATGACTATGAAGCCGCCGAGGATAACGAGATCGGTTTCCCTGAAGGGGTGAAGATTTCCAATGTGGTAAGTGGAACAATCCCTGTCTTTCTTGGCCTTTGTACCATCGCTATTTACAATGCTAACCCGGTTGTAGGAATTCCCGGATGATGACTGGTGGCTTGGTGAGTACAATGGCAAACAAGGTCTATTCCCTGCCAACTATGTTCGCCTGGACGAGTGATTGGATCATACATAGATACTCCTGATTCCAGCAATGCGACAAAGGGAAATTCAAATTCTATTCATTCGCCAAACTAGAATCTGACCATGTATCATTTGATTCTTTTGAGTATAAAATACCCAGTTCACTACCAATTTCAATTCAAATCGAGTCAATAAAGCTCGTTCGAAGGACTACTTGTCCTGTAGATAGACACCTGCCTTTTTTTTTCTCTCTTTTTCTTGTCCCTTTCTACTCCTTTCGAACATGTATATGCATATACCTAGGTAATTCGTGCATGAATGTATATAAGTCGACGAATTATCGACGTCATGAGCATATGCTTAGGTCAGCATCACGTGTGCCGAAAAAGTGGCCATAAACAATGTTCCCAAGGTTCCAAGGAAAGTTGCTTAGGCCTACAGGGATCCCGTTGACCGTTTTGCACGCGACCTCACTCTGCGTGTACCTTTCTAGTTTTTTTTCTCTTTTCTTAACTCCGAGCCCTAAGTCTTACCTGTGCGCCCCAAGGTGCCTTCTGTTCGACATCATGACATCGCTGGGCGAGGATCTGCTCGTGACAGTGAACAAGCTTCAGGATCTGGTCTTCAATACCATTGGGAATGATTCCCTGGATTTGCCCCAAATTGTGAGTCTGGTCGGGTAGAGAGCTCTCGGAGTTTGAGAGGGAGTTGTCATTTGATGCCCGGTCAACCCAAGTCTAATCCCCCACCTCCCTCTTAGGTTGTTGTTGGTTCCCAGTCATCCGGGAAGTCTTCGGTACTAGAGAATATAGTCGGAAGGGACTTTCTACCAAGAGGTAGCGGAATTGTCACCCGACGGCCCCTAATCCTGCAACTTATCAACGTGCCCAGCGAACGTGATGATAAGCCGGAAACCGATGAGATCCATATCCCACACACGGCTGCTAGTGTTGCCGGTCAACACGAATGGGCCGAATTCCACCACCTGCCGGGGCGCAAGTTTGATGACTTTGGACAAGTGAAGCAAGAGATCGAAGCGGAGACGGCAAGGATCGCAGGAAGCAACAAGGGCATCAATAGACAGCCGATCAATCTCAAGATCTTCTCGCCCCATGTTCTCAACCTCACACTCGTGGACCTGCCTGGACTGACTAAGGTGCCTATTGGTGACCAACCGTCCGACATTGAGAAACAAACACGCACCTTGATTCTGGAATATATCGCCAAACCGAACAGCATTATCCTTGCGGTCTCTCCGGCCAATGTCGATCTGGTCAATTCCGAGGCGCTAAAGCTTGCCCGCCAGGTGGATGCCATGGGCCGGAGAACGATTGGTGTTCTGTCAAAGCTGGATCTCATGGACCATGGCACCAATGCGATGGATATCCTGTCTGGACGTGTGTATCCCCTGAAGCTTGGATTTATCGGCGTTGTCAACCGGTCTCAGCAGGATATCCAGTCTGGAAAATCGCTTTCCGATGCATTGCGGGCAGAGTCTGAGTTCTTCCGGCATCACCCAGCTTACCGGAATATGGCCAACCGTTGCGGTACACACTTTTTGGCCAAGACCCTCAACACAACCCTGATGTCTCACATTCGAGACCGGCTTCCGGATATCAAGGCTCGGCTGAACACCTTGATGGGTCAGACTCAGCAAGAGTTGGCCAGCTATGGAAACAAACAGTTCAGCGGCGAAGAACACCGGGGGTCATTAATTCTTCAGCAGATGACCAGATTCGCCGCCTCATTCATCTCATCTATCGACGGAACTTCATCGGAGATTTCTACCAAAGAGCTATGCGGTGGAGCAAGGATTTACTACATTTTCAACTCTGTTTTTGGGAACTCACTGGAAACGATTGATCCCACTCATAACCTGACTGTCTCCGACATCCGAACGGCCATCCGAAACTCGACAGGTCCTCGCCCCAGCCTGTTTGTCCCGGAGTTGGCCTTTGATTTGCTGGTCAAACCACAGATTAAACTCCTTGAATCACCCAGTCAACGATGTGTGGAGCTGGTCTATGAGGAGCTTATCAAGATCTGCCACACATGTGGCAATCAAGAACTCCTGCGTTTCCCTCGTCTCCAAGGAAAGCTGATTGAGGTCGTATCTGACCTTCTTCGTGAGCGCCTGGGCCCCTGCTCGACTTATGTAGAATCTTTGATCTCAATCCAAAGAGCTTACATCAACACCAACCACCCGAATTTCCTCGGTGCCGCAGCTGCCATGTCTTCAATCATGCAGAATAAGCAGGACGAAGAAAGAAAAGCCGTGTTAGCAGAGGAAAAACGAAAGCGTGAGAAGCGACGTCAAAAGGAATTGGGAGCTCCCAATGGCAATACTGGAGGTCCCGACGAAGAAGAATATGCTGACAAGCAAAACCTCCCCATTCGAAGCCACTCTAAGGGATCGCGAAGCATGTCTCCTCACGTTGGTCGCACAGGCGAGAATGGCATTGCTGCTACTCTGAATGGCGCTCAATCTAACCATGCTGCGTTCGGTGGCAGTGCCTCGAACACTGCCCGAGACTCGTTCCTGAACTACTTCTTCGGCAAGGAAGGTACTCACAACATGGCCATGTCACCGGCAGGCATGAACACCAACCGGCAAGGGCCACATGCTGGTGAGCCCAGCATTAGCCAGAGCATTCGGCGTGCCGAGGTTCGGGCTCCCATTATGCCGACTGAGGATTACACTGCACCACCGGAGTATGGCGGTGACATGTCTGTTTTCGTAAGTACCACTTCGCAGGCGCTGTTAAGCTTCACATGCATCTGACTGATTTCAACTATTATAGCCCCATGAGAACACTGAGCCTGCGCTCACAGACCGTGAGATGCTCGAAACCGAGCTCATTCGCCGTCTCATCTCATCATACTTTAACATCGTCCGAGAAACCATTGCAGATCAGGTTCCCAAGGCTGTCATGCACCTCCTTGTCAACCACTGCAAGGACGTAGTACAGAACAGACTCGTGAGCGAACTTTATAAAGAAGATCTTTTCGGCGAGCTTCTCTACGAGGATGATGGTATCAAGGCCGAGAGAGAGAAGTGTGAGAAACTACTGGAAACATACAAAGAAGCTGCCAAGATTGTGGGCGAGGTGTTATAGATGGTTCTCTGTTTTTCTTATTTTGGTCTGGCTCGGGGGTAGCCTGGGTGATCTTGATTCTGCGTCATGCTTGACGCCTTTCCACTCAAATGGTGTGGAAGATGTTGCTTCTATCTCAATTTATGTACAACTATTGCGGCCTGCACATGATATCGATGTATCTTTCCTTCTATTCGTGGCATCGGTAGCTCTTGGAGGTGTACGGAGTAACTGGCTGTAAGATAAGACCGAGATATGAAATGCAAAAGGAATGCTGTCCAGATATATAGATCAACCCCATCTAATATGCAATATCACTGAGCCTTTTTGGCAACGCTTCGTAAACGCGCACCCTCAAAGCCATATAAACCACCCCCGACAAACACCAGAGCCGCGCCGACCAAGACACCTCCAGCTAAATGATTCCCGAAGAGGTAGATCGACAGGAGCAGCGAAACCAACTTGCGGACATTCAAGAAAATAGTAACAGTCAACGACGATGACTTGGCCGACAGAAGATGGACTCCCCGGATACACAGGTACTGCGTCAGTGCATTCATCGCCAGATAAGCCACCTGAACCGGCAGTTGCGCCAGGAAAGTCTTCACAGCCTCAATCTGGCAAATCCGCCCCAGCACCGAGAAAGCAGTGCTCTCAACTGCACCGGACGACACCCACAACCCGGAATCCAAATGCGACAGCAAAGGAGGTGACGAAGCTACTACCCGCCACTGACCCAGCAACTGCGGACAACTCGTCAAGAAAAGCGGCAGAGAAAGCGCATGCGAGTAGAAAAGCGCCTCTTTCCAATGATCCCTACCGTAAGTTGCGTACAGCCGGTCGGCATAGATCCCCTGAAATGCAGAGAGGACCATTGCAAGCGCGAGGATCGTGAAGCCCGTCACGGTCGTGACTGTGTCCGCCGCATCGGAGTCGACGTGGATAGACACGCCTTTGGATTGCGCATCGGCCATGGCGGCTGCTGCCACACCCACCGTCAGCATACCTACCGAAGCGATCTGGCCACGGGAATAGCGTTTGCCGTTGTATATATAGCCGATTACCATTGAGGCGACGGGGCCTGCGGAACGGAGGATTATGTGTAGTGGGACGGAAATCTTGTATGCGAAGGCCCAGTTGTTGAGGAGGTTGACGCTCACGAAATAAGCGGTGTATACCACCCACGAACGTAGTGGGATAGCGCGTGGGTTCAGGAATAGGGTTCGTGGTCCGGCTGAGGGGGATATGAAGCTCGGGATGGTGAATAGGGCGCATATAGCGAATTGGGCGAATGTTATTAAGGGACCTGTGCGGGGAACGGGTTGGGTTAGGATATGCGTTGTGGTTGTTTCCATTAGTTCTGGTTGTTGTGCTTACCGGCAGTATGCTGTTCTCTGGAGAAGATATGGGATTAGCGTTGTGTTTGGATTGGCCTTCCTTGATGACTTACTTGATAATTGCCTCTAGCGCAAACACCTGTACACAATATTAGTTCCTGTTTTACCCCCATAGCAGTGTTGGGGATTCTCTAGACACCCACATTGGCACAGCAGCCCCCAAAGATAAAAGAGACCATTAGAATCATGCTTGTCCAGCTAGGAACTGCCGCATGGGCAGCAGCAGCAACGAATCCCGGGGCATCTTTCTTCAATTGAGCATAGTCAAGCTTGTCCTCGGGTTTTGGAGATCGAGACGTGGAGGTCGAAGCGAGCTTCGCGTTTTCATTTGATGTATTCACAGCAGAGACTCGAGCCCGATTGATCAGGTAGGAGTCACCGTGTCCTCGTTTCGAGGGTTCATGATCATTGAGCATCCTATTTGGGTGTGAGTGATGATAGAGATGGATTGTTGAGATAGATGAATTGATTTACCTTTTAGGAGTTTCAAAGGGCTATGAAAGGCGAGGTGGTTGAAAGAAAGAAAGCTGGGGCTGAAGATAAGAGAGTGGATCACGAGATTCGTAAATATATATTTAACTAGTTGTACATGAATAGTTATGTAGTTACATAGTTAGTTAACTACTACTTTATAACTATGTTTCTGTTCTCTAACTAGTTCATTTACTATCGTACACATGATATCTAACAATATCACACTCAATCAACAATATCATCGTCACTGAGAATCAATTTCTCTTCGGGCAGTCGAGGTCCAAAACCATTACTGCTGGGTTGTTTCATACGCGATCCTTGTGCTGGAGACTCCTCCATGTCGTCAATTCCATCATTACGAAGATTATCGTTGGCGCGAATGCTGGTGATCTTATCCAACTGCCAACAATCCGGGTCTTGACGCCGGATTGCAGCCATATAGGGCAGTTGATGAAGCAATAGATCATGTCGGGGCATCATCGTGACCACACTCGGAGTGTTATATTTGTTCCCCGATCTGGCCGATGCCGACCTTCCCACCTGGAGATTTTTCCAGGAACTGACGCCAGTGAGGTTAGAGCCACCCTGCGAAAGATGCTGCTGTCCAAAAGGATCGAGTGATCGGTTCATCCACGAGTCGATCAGTCCATCAATTTCCTCAGCCTCTCTCCACAGTCGCAGAGACGCGGGATAAAACATCTTGTAGGCATCACCCGCGCGGCTTTGTCCAGTTCCAGACCCAACCCGTCTCTTGACCGGGTATGGAAGGGCGAAAAGAAGACCACGCGCTGCAACTTGGAAACTCATTTCTTCCTGCCGGAGCACGTCGACGCCGCTACCGAACGAGGCGATTCCAGTTCCTATCCCGGCCCGTGCCCCTTGCCCTGGCCGGCGGCCGGCGCTGAGGACATCGCTATCGGAGAGTGCGTCGATGCAGTCGTTGAAACAGTCGGTGAAATTATCCCCATCGCAGGATGGAATGTAGTTCTCATGGAGAGCGCTGATGAACGTTGATATGTCGGTCCCGGTCTCGTCGACCAGGTCATTGACCAATACCTGCGAAGCTTTTGGTCGGGCATAGTGGCGTAGATAGTCCGGTGGCGGTGGAAGGATATCGACATCGCCCTCGATCAGACTCGGGTCCATGCGTTTGTTGTACACGATCTTCCCAACTGCGTGGAACATGCCCAGGCTCGCCTCTCTCTGAGTTATCATCTTGAGGGACTCTTTTTCCATTGCTGTCAAAGCAACCTCACCTCGAGCTTTCTTTGTTTTGGCCACGCTACCTCCCCATCTCCCCATATCGTCCCCCTTCAGACAGAGGAACTCGAGAGAGGATATTGCACTGCGGATATCGCCGATTTCAGAGATACTGTCGATAACACCCGGCCCAGGTATTTGGACACGTTTGGAGTTCCGCGCCTCTCTGTCCAAAATAGACCGCAAAGCCTTGTGCATGAAAGTGGGTGCAATGCTATTGAAATCCAATATCGTTGTCCCGGGGTGATTGTAGATCGTGGGCCCCAGTAACCGGTGAACTGTCAGGTTATCTGAGATTGAGGACGCAGATCCTAACAAAGTCTCCGACACGACGATCACGATGGGCGGGTGATTCGATCCAGAACTCCCCCGGGCATGATCATTCACAGAGGCAGCCAAATATCGTTGGAGAGACGTCCGAAACGCCGTGAGGGCGGAGGATGCCCGGCCAAGTACAGTTGGAAACTCCTCTATAAGAAGTATCCGCTGGTCCCGAGGTTTCTCATATTTCTGGGGATCGAGCTCGCTGGGATTTTCGAGGTCAAGCCCTCCAAATTTATCACCCCGTCCAAGAAACTCTTCAAAGTGCGCGCTCACGGATTGATAATCGCGAGCTCCAAATTCCGAAACCGGGGGATTCTTCCACTCAACAATGTCGTAACCAAGTGACTCGGAGAGTAGGGACACAGTGGTCGTCTTCCCACTGCCTGCCGGACCCCGTAGGACGAGTAACCTCTGCTTATTGTTAGTAACCACATTCAAACTCAACCCCGAATTATCCTCGGTTGATCAAAAGCTCACCTCAGAACGCCTCCCAGCAAAAGCATCTTCCAGCCAATGCTGTACATCCGAGACTTTTTTCTTATGAACGGCTAATTCGCCCAGGTTGGCCGGAGCGAACCGTTGAGCCCATGGTCGACGGTCCGGTTCGCCGGCCGGTTGCGCAGCCAATGGCTCCTTCGCAGTGCCATTCCCGGAGCCCGTAGACAGAAGAAACCGTTTCGTCGTCTTACGCGGCGGTTTGACTGGGGCCTTCGGCTTTGGCTTTGGTGCTGGCTTTGGCACTGGCTGACGCGTCTGGCTAGAGCTCATGGTCGCCAGACCCATTCCCGCCCGCTCATTAGCTAGATGCTGTGTGAAGATTTCATCGTAGGAGTCGTAGTCATCATCAATCAAGTCCACGTCGACAGTCTCCCTGACCGGCGGGAGGGACTGCTTCTCGGTCTTTTGGGGTGCCCATCGCTGTCCCTCTGTTGCGGGCTGGAAGAAGCTGTGCAAGGACTTGGATGTTGAGTCTGGGTTTGGTGACGATTTAGTCTTTTTGTTTGGAGAGGGTGAGGACGAGGGGAGCCGGGTTGATGGTGTTGTGCCGCGCGAGTAGGAGGGTTTGGGGCGCGAAGAGAGGGCGAAGGGTTCTGTTGGTTCGATAGGGCTGGAGCTATCTGAGATGATGACCGGGGCGGCTTTTCGTTTTGATTTTAATTTTGGCTCATCTTGCTTTGAATCCTTCGATCTGCGTTGCCTTTTAGGAGGACGAGCGTCCATGATGAGTTGGTCAAAAACCTGGAGAAGTTGAGATACGCGTCCGATAAGCTTATGACGCCAAGCGGTGGGTCTTTTGCCGGATTTATAGATGTATAGAGTATGTTGTAGATGTAATTGTTAATATTAGACTATATCCTATTAGAATAAATTATATTCATAAAGAAAAATCGCACAACGGGTATATTGACCAGAATCTGAGTCGGCAGAGCCAAAGAAACCAAAAATCCCCAAATAACCAAAGAGAAATGAGAAAAGACACCTATAAAGAGGAAAGTACTCCCTATGCGCCTCCAAATACATCATAGTAATAATCTTCATCCAAGCCATCTCTCGCAGGGACCTGGGGAGCCTCACCGGCGAAAGTGGCATCGTCAAACCGCACATTGAGCAGGCGGATTTTCAACCCATAATTGCTGACCAGGTCAATCAGCTTGCTTGTCTCTGCGGTGATGGGCTGCTGGTTGAGGAGCATCAGCAGACCATCCAGCCATTCGGATGCAATGCTGTGCGAGGATGGCCGCAGCGTGAGCAGGACTACCTCCTTCTGGGTGGTCCTGCTGCCGGACCGGGCATGGCTGTGACCTTTTCCGTGTCCGGTGGCTGTGGAGGAGGCGTAGCCGTGGATGGTGATCTTGGTTGTGGGTTGACGGGGTGCGGTCTTCACGGTGGCTGTGGAGGAATGATCTGGGTTGGTGGAGACGTTGGAGACTACGGATGATACAACTGAGAGATCGACTGTTGAGGGCAGGGCCCGGTGTTAGCAGCAAATACAAGATAATGTATGAGTGGTTATAGGTAAGCACTCGGTGACACTCACTTTTCTCTGGTAGGGTGTCCAACTCCGGAGCTCGGTCGCCCATCAGATCAAATTGACCGAAATGCAAGTATCGTCGGTTATGAGAGAGCTGGACATATTGATACGTGGCAGTAGACTTCTGCACCGCCCCCGACTCCGACTTGGAGTGAGAGTCCAGAGCGAACCAGCTGCCTTGGAGTAAAGATCGGATTCGTTGCTCTTTAACGAACTGGAGAGCCTCATGGTGAAGTTCCTCGCGCACCTGTCGCAAGTGCTGGCCCCATGCATCCTCGTACGTAAGTTCAAGAAGCTCCATCTGCAGCCCGCGCAATCGGTGGTATTCGAAATCGGCCAGTTCTTCTTCGACATCCTGGACATCCTTGATCCGAGCAGCTCCGCCAACCACCGACTCAATGAGGATACGCACGAGCTCAATGAGCTTGTCCAAGTCCTCTTCCTCGGCGGCAGTCGCCTTCCACAGGCGGAAGAAGGCCTGTAGGCCGGCAACATGTAGTCGGGTCCAATGTAACAGCAAGGGCTGGAACAGTTTATCAAAGCCCGTACGGGACTCTGAAATGAGATATGTTTTGGTGTCATCCATGTCGGACTTTTCGACCTCGAAATGCTCGTATAAGATGGATGTGACGGCCAAGGATGCCCGAGCAATCGGACACCGCTGTCGTGATGGCTTCGTAGAGTGCTCCAGGAGCATATTCTGAAACTCATCCCCATGACTGCGAACATAGTCCGCCAGATCCATCATCCCCAGGAAACCGACCTCGTAGAATTCCCCCGCCGGACTCTCCGTCTCAAACCCAAGCCGCCTCCATTTTTCCGGATGGTGTCGTCTAGAGCGCCGTGTATCGTCGCCATTTTCGGTAGCCTCGTTGGGGTTCTTCTCCGGGTTACTGGCTAGATAAATCCCCTTCAGCGCGCGGCGATGCTCAGGTTTCTCCTGGTTGACGGGAATATCTCGCCACTTGCGCAGCAAAATCTTGGTGAGTGACTGGAATTCCAGCAGCGGATGCGCCAGGTCCTGAAGGGCGGAATCCTGCATAAGCACGTAGACGGCTCTGATAACGCCCAGATCCTGTAATTTCTGAATAAACTTGGGCCACTCCGCCTCGGGGTCGTGGGTGATCGAGTCGCGCATGAGCGAGTTGATCAATTGGAGCGCATTGGCACACAGCGCATGGTCCGCGGAGGATAATCGGCTGACGAGCATCTCCAGGAACTGGGGGTATATGGCGATTGCAGGCTTCAGGGCGCGGAAACCAAAGTTGTTGACCTGGGAGGCGCGGTTCCCCATGTACGGGTGGGAGACAATAGAGACGAGAATGGACATGGCGCCACGGAGGATATTGACCAAGGGATGGGTGACGATCAGCTCGACAATCTAGAGGATAGTCATGTTAGCATCTGACATGGCCGCGAAAAGGTGACAGAAACACAGGAAGAAAGCACTGCAATTGCTTCAAGGATAACTCACGCGCTCAACCAACTCCTGGTCAACACACTCCCACCCCTTGTCGACATCGAGCAGTCTCGAGAAACTGGTCAAACTATATGCCAGGGTATTCCCGCTTGCGTGAAGGGTTAAGTAGCGTAATCGAACCAGGCCGCCCTCTGCGATGAAGATGTCGGCGAAGGACGGGTCTCCGATGTTGCTCTGGAGCTTGAAGACGGCCATTTTGCGCACGGCATCTTCATCGCTACCCAGGCGCTCGACCAATTCGGCGACATTGACGGTTTCCATGTCTTTGAAGCCAGTAAGAAAAAACCTGGGGAGAAGTTCAAGGAGAGAAAGAGAACAGGGGGTTGCTGTGGGGCAATTGGAATTTAAACGGTGATCTCGGTGATCTCGATCCTTTTAATTTAAGCATGAATAGATTAAGTCCAATACTCCCACATATACGGAGTACGGAGTACGGAGTAACGAAGTTGAGAATTGGGAGGAAACAAGAATAGCTGGGACTAAGCAGCTTTGATTTGTCTCCCACGGTCAACCCCCTTCATTTTATATACACCAACCTCGCAATTTCCCTCGGATCTATACATTATATAAGGGCTATCTACTCCCTATATAGCTAGAATTCCAATGTAATTGTTTCATTATGTGTTATTTTTATGCATTATGTCGTTACATGATTCTATACAAAAAGAAATGCCTTCGCCAAATCCAATTCAACCACCATCTTTCCCTCCCCCAAAAACGCCACAGGGTGTAAACTGTTTTTTTTTCTCTCATTATGTACGACGGGCTAGCCGTCATCGTCAGTCGTGATAATTGCGGTGATCAAGATTAGCGGCGCCAGCCCACATTCCAAATCACATGGGCAATGTCTCGAGCTGTGTTCACCGTGTCCACAACCCGGTCCAAGATACTACTGCTGGGGGTCTCGGTTTCGCCTTCCGGCATGATCATGCCCGAAGCAGTCAATCGGAGCGGGCGATCTGATGCTGGATCATCTTCGATGAACCATGCACGATCACGATCAGGGTAATTGCCCGTGAAGTCCAGGCTGGGATCTTCACACTCATCCAAAAGGAAGTTGGCCGAGGGCTCTGATGGCCGTGATGGACGCAGGGTCTCCACAGAGGGAGTTGGTGATAACGTCCGGGTGGGGGTGGTGGACCATCGGTCAAAGATCGTCTGAGCATGGGGCTCGGGGGCATCCCCGCGATACTTGAGCGTGGTTGAGGGGAGAGGGGCGATGGTCTTCCCATCGCCGCTGAAGCTGTTGCGTGTAGTGCTGCGGTTGCTCAGGGACGACCGGCTGGAGATTTGTCTCATTAGGACTACGCCGCCGTCGGAAGATGACTCGTCTTCAAAGGTGGCCGGCCAATCGTCCTCGTAGCCCTTGGCTTCAACCGCGATGCATTGTACGACTTCATTGTTGAAGTGGATATGGCGCCGTTCGCTTGGAGACGTCATTCCAGATGATGATGAGGTAGTGAGAGTGCCACCGAGAGAGTAGGTGGAGCTTCCAGTCCGGTGATGCAAGTGGTCCAAGTCCGTGTTGGACCTTGGGAAAGGGGGCCGAGCCCAGTTGCTCTCAGCTTCTTGCGCCTTGAGAATGGCCCCGGCATGTTGGAGTAACGTATGTTGAGATAGTGACCGCTGGAGGATGGCCTCGGACGCGGTCTTCTTCTTCAGGATTGGCTTTCGGTCTAGATAAGAGTTTGGTGTCTCCAAACGACTTGGAGGGGGGATGGAGAGGTTGCACGTTCGACGGAACTTTTTAATGGCCCGTAGAGCCAGGTGACATCGCAGTCCTTCAGCCTGGTAAAAGGTTAGCGGGATGGACAGGAGACGAAAAAATATCAACAAGATCAATAACCTACCAATTGAGGCTTTCCGGCGATATCGTCTTCAGGTTGTGCTTAGCCTTCGCCCATGTCCTCCAGGAGGCATTCTCCAGCCTCACTCCATTACTATAATCGTTCCTTCGACTCGTCACATAACGCCAGGAGGACCAGATATCCTCCTCCTTCCAGTCATGTGAAAGGTAGTCCACATGCCTTGATGGCTCATCCTCAATTAAGGTATCATCTGCCGATGGAGCCTGTAACGTCCACGAAGGGTGTGATTCTGTCGACGCGTCACTCACATCCTCTGGTTCTTTGGCATTGTGGAGGGATTCTGTGTCGTAAGAAGGTAGGATAAGTTCGTTCTCCGGTGACAGGCTATTTAGAGTGGGCGCGTAGGCGAGTTGCTCGGGGACAGGAGTAAAGTTCGAAGAAGGGAGCACAGAGGGTAGATTCGATGCGACTGGGGAGGAGTCCCTCGCGCGATAGTCATCTTGCATGGGTGACTTTCTGGGGATGGCGTGATCTTCTAAGAAATATCGCTGCGCAGTGGGACTGGTGGGACACCGTACAGGATCTGAGAAGGGCGAATGAGTTTCGCGGGGAGTCAACAACGTCGTCATCTCCCTTTTTTTTCTTGTTTCCTTCCTCTTCCAATGATGTAATTAATGACAAAGGAATGGGTTTGAGGGATTGGCCATTCAAAGATATAGCATATCTAGGTGATTGCTCACGGGGGATAAGATCCCAAAGATGAAGGAAAGAGGAGAAGAAGAAGAAAAAGGGAAAGAAAAAGAGAGGCGGAGGAGTGAAGATAAAACCAAAATCTGGAGGTGGAGATATGACTGTTCCCGGGTTTCTGGGGATTTGGGGGGGATTGGGGTTTAAAAGGGGGGGGGGGGGGGGGGTAAAAGGGGAGAGAAAAAGCAAATAATAAGTTTATATTCACAAAGAGGTAGAATTCTATAAAATGATAATCTAGGAAGTATATATATATATATATATATATCTCTCTATCTCTCTCTATGACATAGAATTTGCCACAAATATATTCTGTTTAGTCCTAGTCTAGGTATAGTCTAGTAACTAGTATAGTAAGTACTAGTTAGCTATTATTACTATTATAACACATAAAAATAAAATAAATCATCTAGACCGCACGATAAACGGTTCGTCTCCACCAAATATGCAAGTTGGTTTTTAGTGCATGGAATGTGGTTATGCATCTACGTTGTAGTATAACGGTCGATCCTGTGGAGCATATGGGATGTACAATAGAGACAATATACAGAGTATATAAGATATTCTATAAAATAGATGGAACTATCCAAGCAGAAATACCAGAAATACCTAAAGTACTATCTACTCCGGAGTATCACGGAGCTATCCGGCCTAGAGCCTGTTGCCCCCCGATGCATCCGCAGGGCCTGAGCACGTCGGTTTCCAACAGAGTCGGACCCCTTTGATCCACTTCAAAACGAGTTTTGATTGAATTCTTTTTGATACATTTTATATATTTTATATATTTGAGGTCCAGATCACAGGCAGTAGTACTAGCCGAGGCACTGGCCTTTCTAGAATATCATGGTACTTTGTACAGTAACACATGAACCTCCCAGAGGACCCTGTTGCCTATCAAACCACATATGAAAGGAAAAAAATTAGCCATGATCGACCGGAGATATGAGCCGAAGCTAAGAGCACAGAACAATAGGAATGCCTCTTGAAGAGAATTATAAAACAGATGCCTATTAGTGGCGTATTTCGTATATTTTTTTACCTTCAGCCATTGACATCTTCGACTTTTAGATTCTCCCGAATTTCCCAATTCCCAATCTAACGCCCTTCTAAGGTTGGACACATGCACGGACAGCTCGAGAATATGCAAGATAGAGCTAAATAGCACCAAACATGATACAAGAAAAAAAAAAAGAAGGAAAAAAAAAAAAAAGGGTGTACACAGAATTGCCTTTGTCTGTGCGCTTGCATCGACAGAATCTGGGCAACCATTCACCGAGGACCGTCATGATTGGCGGGCCAAAACCCTCGACATCGGTTCTCAGGATTGTTGCAAATCGCAAGCCAGTGATAACCGCCCATCACTGCATGCTACCATGAAGTATTCGTGTTCAGGCCCTTTGGATCTGGAACTGGAAACTTGAAACTTTGTCTATATGCGCTATTCCTGTAACATTGTAAGTTCCTATGTTATGTTCTGGCCCATGGTTAAACCTCCACCTTTCCGCGGAGGCTTGATCTGTAGCGCTAGTGCGATGCGCACCCCGGTCTCTCCCCACGGGCCTCTTTAACGTTTGTCATATTTGACGCCGATCATTGGCCTGTACAGTATCAGTCAAGGGTTCCTAGGTACCTTCTCTCTGCACTGCTTTGACGCATGTCGCCAACACTCACATCCACAGGGGTAACGTAACCACCCCTCTGTTCATCAACTTCGCTTCCAAGGCTCATGATAACGCAGCTAGCTGACGTAGACCAGTTTTGACACCCCCGCTGGATGTGAAATACGAGACAAGACAGGGATTGCAAGATTGTAAGATTGCAATTGACTATCTTATCAGCCATTTGCGGATCTCTTGTCAACCGGGACACCAATTGGCATGTTTGGCTCCCTATCGTGATGGTCGCCACAGCTGCACGTTAAACGGCTCGTAGGGGGTTTTCTGCATCGCCCCCCAACTTCCCAGTTTCAGTCAACCGGGGGATAAGGGAAGTGGCCCCTCCATCCTGGGGAGATTGGGAAATTGGACCCATCGCACAGCTGTCAAAGGAAAGATTAGCAAAAATATGCAATGTCGTGCTGATGAGTGACATTTGTCCAATCTGGACTTGACATAAAAAACGATTGAGCATGTAAGATGGTCCAATAATGAGCAATTAAGCACCACCATTATACCACTTTGACTAGTCTGCCACTAAAGCAGCAGCCGTACGGAGAGTACGGAGAGTACGGAGTAGAGGAACAATCAATGACATTGCACGTGATATCCAAAACTGGCTTAGCTGGCAGAACTGCCCCTCCGCCCCCGCTATATGTTGATTCTGGCAGAGAAGAACAAGTCTAGACCGGATACCATTTACCAAGGTACTATTTCATACATCATGGCTGAGGTAGAAACAGCACCAGTGGTGCAGGCCAGACATGTTGTCTACTGTGGAGGTGAGGACCCCCCGTGGCACAAATCACAACCCCAATTCGTTTGAATATAGCGCTGACGGAATCCTGATAGTCTGCACGTTACCCCCCGAGGTATGATCTTTTGAGTTCCTCCAGTCCCCAGTCCCCAGTCCCCAGTCCTCCCAGAAGTGAAGGACCCAGACCCCTTTTTCCCCGCTCTTGCCCCTGGTTTTTAGCCCTTATCATCGGGGCCTTCGTGCGTGGCATAGCTCCTAGCCACTAGAAAGCGCCCAGCATAAATTGCCATTTGAATTATACTTCCATTGAAGATCTATGTTTCTGATGTGCGGGGTTCTTGTCTAGTACTGCGAGTTTGGAGGTACCGCTAAGAAATGTGAAGAATGGCTCAAGGATAACGAGTCGGATCTATGGGACACACTATACTCTGAAGGTATGAAGCTCCCATGGATGCTACTTGGCTGGCCATTACCTACATCTGGCAATCTGCAAGCCCGGAAATGGGAAATCCCGATAATCTAACACTGGTTTCCTTTCTATCAGATGCCTTGAACGCCAACCTCTCCACCCTCTCCGTCTCAGCACAAGAACGCGCCGCCAAAGACGCCGCTAAGAAGGAGGCCAAAGCTGCTGCCAACGAGGCACGCGATAGCGAGCGCAAGGCCGCCTCTAAGATTCAGATTAAGCGTGTCGAGCGGAACAAGCGCAAGTACGTGACGGTCGTGATTGGGCTGGAGGTCTTCGGACTGGAGAACAAGAAGATCGCAAAGGACCTGGGTAAGAAGTTTGCGACGGGTTCTTCGGTGACCCGCTCGCCTGCGGGTATTGAGGAGATCACCGTCCAGGGTGATGTCAGTGATGACCTGCGTGAATGGCTCCTCGAGGTCCACGGCAAGAAGATCCCCGCGTCTAATATCGAATTGATTGAAGACAAGAAGAAGAAGAAGAGCGAGGGCCCGATGGTATAATGACGAACACGAATCCTTGGCGGACTGGGTATCATGACATAAATCCAAAATAAAAGTACAAATTGAAGACAATTCAAGCACAAACCAGAAACCAGAAACCCCAGACCCGTGGAAGCACAAACAAGGTCAGATTGGGGAAGTGGTCTAGGTCGAGAGTCCGAAGCACAAAAAAAAAGCCATTTCATAATTCATCCAGCACACTCAACGCATCGTGTTCCGCAGGTGCTGCATCATGCCCTGACCGAACAGTCGAGGTCGGGCCAGCCTTGTCCAGGCTCTCGCGACGATCTGCAAGGTTGGACGGATATCGAGCAGGCCCTGCATCAGACCCTGAACCTCTTCCCCCGAGACCGAGAACCTCGTCCCACGCCTCGGACTGAGGTGGCACAGAGGGCGAAGAGTGATTCAACGCTGTCAAACGTGACGTCTCAGTGTGGGGAGACCAGAATTGTGGCCAGTTCTGGAGGACCAGAGCAAGTACAAGCACCAACAGCGCGCTCGTGACAATGCCCCAGAAGATGCGTAGTCGACGGCTGGTCCGGGTTTGCCATTCTGTTTCTCGCTGTTCCCAGCTATCGATCTCGTGCCGTACGGTTTCGAGTCGTTTGCCTAGTTCTTCGACGCGCTGTCGGCCTGCTTTCATGCGTTGCTCTAACGCGTCGGCCTTTTGGATCTGTGGCTCGAATCCCTTCAGGTCATTGAGCTGTTTGCGGATGTCCTGGTCTAAGTTGGCCGTTTCGCGTTCGAAGTCGTTGAGAAGTGTTGAGGCCGAGTCGGAGAGTTCCTGGAACGACGAGATAGTCGAGTTGAGCGCTGTGATTTTCTCAAGCAAATTGTAATAGGTGTAATCCAGCCGACGGGTGACGTCTGTCGCTAACGTCCCAATTGAAGTCAATGCAGATCGTAAATACCTTGAAACAGCCGTTAGTCAATCTACTGCGAGTAAAGAAGCCAAAAAACACATACTCCTCGCCTAGCTTTCTCCGCTTCTTAACCTTGTCCAGGTCATCCATAGACAGAATCTCATGCCGGCGAATAGGCGCCAATTGCTCGTGCTGTCCAGGCGTATCAAGCAGACTCCCATTTCGACCATCCGACATTCCAATAGTCGAATCAGACCCCCAGCGACTCCGGTTCGTCTCCCTCGTAGTCGGCCTCAACAACCCATCATCGCCCTCGCGGTCCTTATCCTTCCCGCCCGACCACGTAGGGAGCAACCCCCTCGCGCTCGCCGAGGAAGCCAGGTGGCTCATGGGATTAGGGAAGCGTAGTTCCCGCGACTTGCTATATTTGTGGCGGTTGGACCTTGTGCCATCAAAGATGGATGGCTCTTGCGCCCGAGGGGATGGAGATGGACCAGTTCGATGCTCTCCTTTTGGGGAGATTTGGTGGTCATCAGAGTCATGGCGGTGCGAGCGGCGGGACTTTCTTCGGTCTGTTTGGCGGCTTTCTTGGCTGCTGAATCTGGAGAAGTCCTCGGATTTAGACTGGAGGTCGTTGGCTTGCTGGTTTGGGTTCTGGCTCCGGGGGGAGGTTTGGGTGGGTGGGAATGTGGCGGAGGCTGCTCGGGATGTTGAGAATGGTGCGTGTTTATATGGAGGTTCCATGACGGTACATTCTGAGAAGAAAGCTTGGGGGAAGCTTGGAAGCTTGGAGGCTTGGTGTTGCGGTTGGAGTGTGGAGTTGGGGGGATCGATGACGCCAAGGATGAAGACCGATCAGCGACATTGCAGCTGACAGTATTATATAGTCCTCCCTACTACTTATATTGTACCGGCCAACACGATTACGCTAGAGAATAGATTGCGATTATAGAAAAACATTTGTCTTGCTCGCTAGTAGTGACCTATGACCTAACCTCAGAAAAAACGCCTGTAATCGAACAGCCCACGCCGGAATGAGTGCCCAGACTTTCCCGCCAGGGACAAGGAAGAAGGAAGAAGCCCCAACAAGCCGATGTATATACACACAATGCAGTCCTGGAGGAGATGGAGAGATGGTGTGGCGGAGATATGGAGAAGACCGTGAACAGCCTCAAGAGCTGAGCAGCTTGTTGCGCTTCTCTCTGCGCTTGAGACGGTCGAGTCTCTTATGGTGCATCTTCTCGGCCATCTTCTCATAACGTAGCTTCTCCTCCTTGGCTTCTCGGCGGTCCTTGATGCGCTGGATACGGGCCTGGAGGAGTTCATCGGTTAGTGATACCATCTTGGGAAGTGATGTGTTGTCGGAGATAATATCATTATTATGGAGACAGGCTGACAAGAGATGGAGACCAAAAAAAGCCACAAAAGCATAGGGAAGTGAGACAAATCAAGTAAGAAAAGGAATAAGATCGACATACCTTCCGTTCAGCCTCATGTTCCTCCTTCATCTCACGTTCAAGTTCCTTGACAGCGTCGCTGTGTTTCTTGAGCTCTTGACGCTTAGCGTATGAGGTCAAACCCGCAGTAGGGCGGAAAGCCTTCTTGGTACCATGCCAGTTTTTACCTGAAGGTCCGATGGGGTTAGCCGGGGAGATGAGGGACAGAAGGGAAGTGGGGACTGGGTATATAAATTTTTTTTTTCACTTACCATTTTTCCGCATGCCGGTGGTCGGAGGCGCGACTGGTGTCGTAGCCGTTGAGGTAGACATGATGGGATATGTGACTTGGAAAAAAGCAATTCCAAGTGGAAGATTCAAGAAAGTGGATTGGGGAAGAAACGTGAAGCAAAAGAGATGTCGAGGCAAAACGGAGACCGAGTTTTTCATTGATTATCTCGATCTGATAAAATGTCTTGGCGTCCGCTAAAGAGAGAAATTGCTTCGGCCCAAATTTCCTGACTCCACCTTTTCTTCCCATTTTCCACCTGACTTTCTCTTACAGGCTGTTTCATATTATTTACTGCCCATCTTCTTCCTAGTTTTGGTCCTCGTTTCCTTTCTCCTCACTAGCTTCTGCACGGTGGCTTGGCACCTTATAAGCCCATCAAATCCCTCGTTACACCGCCCCTCCCCCCACCAGTCCATTTCACTCACTACTTAATACCTCTGGTTCCCCGTCTTACCATGATCCCTCGATAACACTCTTTCACCTTGTCATTTTAATCTTACTTGATGGCGGCGACAGAGCATGCGACCACCATCAGTGAACCGATGGAGTTGCCATCGCTCCCGCCCAATCAGGGCCTTGAGGCGATAAAGGATATCATATTTGGATCGGTAAGGAAGTACTTGGCACATGCATGTGAGAGACCTAGACTGACACTCTCCAAAGTCGGCAGGAATGGCAGGCAAACTCATCGAGTACCCCTTTGACACCGTCAAGGTCCGACTACAGTCACAACCCGAACACCTCCCTCTCCGATATGCAGGACCACTGGATTGTTTCCGCCAGTCTTTCCGAGCCGATGGCTTCCGGGGACTATACAGAGGCATCAGTGCCCCCATGACCGGAGCTGCGGTGGAGACCAGCTGTCTCTTCTTCAGTTATCGTCTCATCCAGGATGCCCTGCGCGCGACGGTCTACCCAGGCGTTGAGCACCTACCATTCTTTGCTCTAATTGCTAGCGGAGCTCTATCTGGCTCAGTGACCTCGCTGGTACTCACACCTATTGAACTGGTGAAATGCAGGATGCAGGTCCCCGCGGAGTCAGCAGGCCTTAAACCTGCTGGCCCCATGGCCATCGTCGCAAGCATTTTCCGACATGAAGGGCTAGCGGGATTCTGGCGGGGCCAGATGGGAACTTTGATCCGGGAAACTGGCGGAAGCGCAGCGTGGTTCGGTGGATACGAGGGCGTATCATCGCTCTTCCGCAAGTATAACAAGTCGAACCCGCAATTGACCTCCGACTCGCTCCCCATCCACCAACAAATGATCGCAGGAGCAACGGCTGGAATCAGCTACAACTTTCTATTCTACCCGGCCGATACAATCAAGTCTCGCATGCAGACCGTAGACGTTTCACGACTTCCGGTCCATGCTCAGCAACAGACCTTCTGGGGCGAGACCAAGGCTCTATGGAGGCAGCAAGGGTTCAAGGGCATGTATCGCGGGTGCGGGATCACCTGTGCACGCTCGGCACCCAGCTCAGCCTTCATATTCACTGTTTATGAAGGATTACGGCAATATTTTGGATGAAAAAAAAAAGGAGAGACTGCTACAATGCCCCTGCATATAGAAATTTGTCACCATTTTATCGGTCTAAATGAGGTTGGACGATGACCATGTTAATCCCCATTTCCCTTTTGAATTTATCACTACCTGACTCTCTGGATTTTGGCATCGTGCGCTATACCCCGAATACATTCAAACACGATTCTTGACTCTTCTACACTTTATTTCACTTTTCTCCTTTCTCTATCAACGATCTCCAATGCCCAACCCAACGTCTATTTCAAAAATCAAGCGCCATTTTACGCTTTCCGGCTTCCATTTGTGAGACGCGCGTCGATTGGTGCCAGCACAGGACTTGGTTGGCTTGATGTACGCCAGGCCAAGCATATCCAGTCCAATCAATGATATCCCATCTATGGCACTCCCTGGCGGATCCTTCACGCGTCAATTGAGATGAGAGGCGTTCACCACTCGGTATTTAATCTGAGCTTTTTCTGTCCTCTTGACTTGTTCGTTTTTCTTTGTATAGAATAGATTTCAGTTGCAAATAAAACTTTCCACTGCTTAACACTTCGAACATGCCAGACTCCATTCTCCCATTATCATCCAGAGCCCGAACAAGGGCCCAAAATCTAGCCCTACGCGAAAATGGCTGGAGATGTATACTCGCAGGAATTTGAACATTCTAAGGTTGGGATGCTGAAGGTTACATAAGACACCTGGACCTCCCGAGGTCCCGAGGTCGGAACGGGGATATCTACCTACACACCTCTGGACCGTATTTCCACGTACTATCAGCCTATGAACATGTCCGATGTCGAGCACAATATACCAACCTCATCGTCTGGTCTCCAACTGAATAAACGCAGCTGCTCGCGTTGCAACCAAAGAAAAGTGCGGTGCGATAAAATATATCCCTGCAGCGCATGTGTAAAAGCCGAAGTGCAGTGCAGCTTTCCAGGTCCAAAAAGAGCACGGCGGATATTAAAGAGGCCACCAGTTAGTGAATTACTCACTCGCTTAAAGCATCTTGAAGAAGAGGTCGAGCAACTTCGCTCAACGCGCCCCAACCCGGATATCGACCATACACCGGTCTTGGATGAACATCCGAATCTGGAGAAGGCAGTCAAAAGGAAAGAGTTGCTGGTTCTTAAAGAAGGAAAGAGTCGGTACGTCAGTGACGAGGCTTCTGTTGCACTAGGACAAAAGGTGGGATAGGATTACTGCTGGTATTGTATAGGCATCAACTAATATGCTGTGCAGATCTCTGAACTTCGTGATATTATTGAAAGCTCGTCAGATGAAGAGTCACATTCACCCGATGCGAAGTATAGTCCCATTATCGTGCCAGAGGGTGGACTTCTTGGAAATCACGAGTCCACCTGGTCTCTCGACTCTTTTCGCCTCCATTATTGTCAACCAGCAAGGATTGATGCTCTATGGCGAACATACCAAGAGAATGTGGCACCGTTGATTCTCATACTCCACCAAGCCACCATGGCGAGGATTGTCCAAAACGCCTGTGCTGGCATCGATTTAACCCCCTCGGATGAGGCATTACTATTCTCTGTGTGTTATGCCGCTGTGGCTAGCATGAGAGCGCACACTTGCCCTTCCATACTTGACACCGATTACGATACAGCCATCCAAGACTGCAAAAAAGCGGTGAGCCAGGGGCTTCGCCGAGCCAACTTCATCAATTCCCAGAGCCTGTCAGCTCTCCAAGCGGCCGTTCTGTTCTTGCTATGTTATCGAGTCGGTGGTGATACACGTCTTGTATGGGCCGAATCTGCCGTCGTGATACGAGTTGCACAAGCACAAGGCGTCCACCGCGATGGGCGGAATTTTTCATTACCACCCTTAGTAACAGAGATACGCCGTCGGTTATGGTGGCATATCTGCATGCTTGACATGTTGTCTTCGGGAGACCAAGGCGTCGATACCCAGATTAGACCTGAAATGTTCGATACACAGTTTCCGAGTAATGTCGACGATGATGATATTGCTCTGTATATGACAGATCAGCCACTACCGAAGATTGGCTTCACAAATACCACCATCTGCATCATGAACTGCCAGATCATGACGGAAATGCTCTGGCCGCGTCAGGGTGGATACTCGGATATGTCTACACATTCCCGTGAGAATCTCGTCACAGCTCTAGGGAAGAGTCTTCATGAACAGTATATCGATCATTTCAACCTGGATATCCCAATTCATTGGGTAGTCGCAACTATCGTGCGACTTCAACTCTCCAAGGCGTGGCTGGCGACTCATTTCCAGTCATGCGAAGACTCGGACGTGGAGGCCTTCCGCCACGACAACCGTATCTTCGAGACCGCTGTTGAGCTTGTGCAGTTCTCCTATCTCCTGCAAACCAACGAAGGAACGTCACAGTGGAGCTGGCTATGTAAAAGCTACAAAGAATGGCATGTGGTCGCTTTTCTACTTTCCGAGCTGTGCTTGCGTCCACTTAGTCCTGAAACTGACCATGCTTGGGATGTCGTGACCAAAATATATACTTTGTGGCAGCATGATATGCCGCGTACTGATGCCATGCTTCAGAAGCCCTTGGACCGGCTCATGGCACGCACGGCCTCATCGCGAGCTGGTAGACAGGGGCAGGATGGCCAGACACCATTCAGTGGAGAGGCTTTGTCCGATATGTCTGATGTGTCTTTTGGATTGGGTGGTGACCCCGATTCTGATTTGCTATTCTCTGGTCTGGACTGGCTTGCTGGGTCCTTATTTTAGGCCATTATTCTGTCTACCTGGGCAAGTATGTAGAGAGGTCTCTTTCCCTACCAAACACGTTAATTCCATAATAACTAGTATTCTACAACCCCAACAAAGAACAACCTTCAACCCTAACGTGTCTCGAATTGGCTATCCTCTTTCAACCAATCACCAAATGTCTTCAAGCCAGGATCCAACTTTTTCAAAGCCGGAATATCCGCACCATATCCCTCATCATGGAACCATTTGAACATAACACCCAGCTCCTTGACACCAGCCATCATCAACCAAACCGGAATGCTAAAAGTGGTCGGTACGTTCTTGCCAGTCGACTTCTTGAAAATCTCCGACATCTGATCAAAGGTCAATTCATCCCCAGCAAGCGAGAAAGCATGATTCTTCGACGCCTCGGGATTCATAAATGCCGCCGCAGCAAAGAACCCAATGTCACTCGTCGCGACCAGCTGCAGGGGCTTGCCCTTCAGAGACATCTGCCATGCAGTCGTAAACACCTTCCCGAAGTAATCTGGTGTGAAGTTCTCGAAAAAGGCAACGGGACGGAGAATCGTCCATTCCATATCGGTCTCTTTTGCTTTCTCTTTGAGATGCTGCTCGATCTCGTGTTTGAAAATAAAATGAGGGACTGGGGTTGGGTTTTGGTCTGATTTCTCGCCACTACGGTCGACGGAGCTGTACACGAAGCACTTGACGCCTCGTTTGATGGATTCGTCTATCAGAGCGATTCCTTGGCGTCTTTCGGAGTCGTTTCTGGGATTGGCGGTCTATTTTATCGGTCAATCGGGGCATATCTGAGATATTGTGTTTCGGGGACTTACTTGGACGCTGAACACGCCCCAAATTGGCGTTGAGGTTTGACGCTTTACATTCTCAAAGATGGCAGCCGGGTCGTTGAGGTTGCCTTGGATCAATGTGATATTGGAAGATTTCTGGGCGAGTTTTTTTGCCGAAGCAGAATTGACATCGCGGGTCACGGCGAGGATCTTGAAAGGGGCATTTTTCTCGAGAAGGTTCTTAATTACGGAGCCTCCCTGTTTGCCTGTGGCTCCGGTGACGAGAATAGTGGTCATTACAGATTAGTCTGGAGGATAGTATGGATGATAAGCTGTTGTTAATGATCAGTGGAGGTAGTATAACCTTTAAATAGTCAGTCCAAAGGCATTCAAAGGTCATTCGGCATGATTTATAAGATTTTATAAAGATCTTGAAGTCTTCGGGATGAATCTCAACCCCGGATTTGATATGAATGACGTCACATATAGATGATAATATCATGATAAAAGTCATGTAAGTCATATAAATCATGAGATATAAGGACATAAGACATAAGACATAAGTCACATAGTATTATTCACAGCAATAATACTCATCCCCCTATGAACTTCCGTGTCGGCAGCATGTAAAAACTCCCTTACCGTCATATCTAGCCCTTCCTCTCCCAACAAGTCCCCCTCCAATTCACCTCGCAATAATGGTCCATTCATGCCTCCATTCAACTCCCAAACCTTCCCATCTTTCTTAACAAAAGCAATAAAATGAAACCCACACTCCTCCTGCGGCAAAGGCACAATCGAGCACCCCTCCGACGCCGCATCCATATGCGCCTCTTCCAGAAACCTCGAATCATACAAGAGTCGTGCCCTCTCCACCGGCCCCAGTCCAACAGCGCGCTTCACAATCTTCTCCAGTTCTGATCCAGCCATGATATATTTCCCATTCTCCAAATTGACAACCACATGCAGCAATGCCATCAGCCCACACGCATGTCCGATCGTCTGCTTCATCCACAGCACGGGCTCGTCGGCTCCGCTGCCGAGATATTCGGGTATGCTGTGTTCGACGCGAGACCGCGCGGCGAGATAGATGGGTTTGTCGCAGAGGAGGATGAGGGCGTTTACGGGTCTTGGGATCCAGGAGAGCATTTCTGGGGTGGTGGAGAGGATATCATGGAAGGTGAGGCTCGGGGATACTCCGAGGTTCTTACATAGATGCGTGTGGACCTCTGGGTTGTTCTCTGATGCATTGGTGAGATTGATGAGACTGGGCTGTGTCTGGAATGATGGGCTTACCTAGTGGTATAAAGGTCTTTTGGCCGTTGATGACCTGCACGCCTAGATTAAACATGTTTGGAGATGACAAGACTTGTGTCTATTTAGTTCCACCTGAGCCATCGTATGTTGGCATAAGCGGGGGAAAAACAGTGCTTAGTCATTGCCCATTTGGGCCCGGGGCATCCAACATCCAACGTCCAATGTCCCCCTAGATATACTTTGATTTCGGTGGAATATTGGAATATCTGTGGGATATCTGTTTAATCCTGAGATTGTATGTATATAACATGCTAGATCAAGTAGTATTTGAATATATATTCCGAGATTAATAGAGTGTGATATTCTCTAACTTTCCTAGTGTAGCACATACGTACCATTTAGGGCTGTTCTATATCAGAGCAGTAGTTGAACTCATCTAACTTCGACATCTTAAATGAATCCTTATATATATTTATACTGGAATCGTCTAAATAACCCCATATCTCGTCTAACGCATAAAATCGCCTATCGCCTATCAGCGGATAAAAAATTTCCCCTCATCTCCCCCTCATCTTCCTCCAACATCTCTCTCGGGCTCTCATCATCTCAACTATAATGGCTCACACCCTCACAGCCCAGGAGCTGACAGCTCTCTCCACCAAGGCCATTGACGCCAAAGCGACTGCCTACTGTATGACCCTTCCCCTACTTCCCTTTAAAGCAGTACAAGCAGATATCCAGTTCCAAGTACATGGAAAAGAACAATCCCAAACTAACACCCTCCCAGGTCCATACTCCAAATTCCGCGTCGGAGCATGCATCCTCACAACATCGGGCGAGTTTATCTCCGGCGCTAACGTCGAAAATGCTGCCTACCCAGTCGGAACCTGCGCTGAGCGCGTCGCTATTGGCACTGCTGTTGTATGTTCTGTCTTCTCTTTCCCTGGTCTACTTTGATTGTTTTTTTTATATAAGAACTACCTGATATCATTGTCATTGTCATTGTCATTGTCACTGTCATTGTCATTGTCATTGTCATTGTCATTGTCACTGTCACTGTCACTGTCATTGTCATTGTCTGTCTGGACCTTCGCTAACTCCCACAGGTCGCCGGCCACAAAGATTTCAAGGCTCTGGCTGTCGCGACGGATATCAAGCCTCCTGCGTCGCCTTGTGGGATGTGTAGACAATTGTGGGTTTTCTCATCCTCCTCCTCCTCGTTCTTCTTCTTATTGTTTTTTTTCTTTCTACGGTTGGCTCATTGGGATACAGTATACGCGAATTCACCTCGCCTTCTTTCCCGGTGTACATGTACGATGGGGAGGGAAATTATAAGGTTATGACTATGGAGGAGGTGAGTTTCTTTTCTTTTTGGATATATCTATATTGTACCTCTTCGATTCTCTGCTAATGAACCCAGCTACTGCCCGACTCGTTCGGTCCCGAGCATCTTAAATAGGGTTAAGTATGTGTCCATGGACATCAGAGAAAGAAAAGAGGGCGAGGGGGTTGGAAATATGCATTGGAGTCTGAGATCTAGGGAAATAAATATATTTACAGGTGTCTGTTCAAGGAAATTTATTAAAAAGGTGAATCCTGCTTTGTTCAAAAGGGGATATTCAGCCCGTAGCCCTAGACAGCCTACATATAAAAGCGAAGGGCCACAACCACAACGTACACAAACCAAAACCGAAACCAGCGAAAAGAAAAAAAAAAAAAAAGCAAAAAGCTTCATGGCACGCTCATAATGTTGCAAGAGTTAAAACCCCAAAAAGATTATTTCCAACTGGAAACCACAAAAAGGCAGCTATATCAAAAATCCAAATACTTAAAAACCATAACCATAATCCGCAAGCCCAAACCCAAGTCAAAGCCTAAGCTTGCTCCTCCTCATCATCAAAATCATCAGCTCCAAGCAACTCATCCTCATCATCAACAACAGAAGAATAATCCCCCCTCCTCGCCGCAAACGAGCCACGCGTAGCATAAGGTCTCTGCGCGCCTCGTCTCCCAAACAACCCAGACGTGCTCCGCGCCAAACTCTTAACAAGTAACGGCAGAGACTGCGCAACGGCAACAACACCCGCGATAATCGCCACAGGCACCGCAACTAGCACCGAGTCCCTGGATACCCAGCTCTGCGACGCGACTCCGCCATCGCCCAGCCGGATCTGGCCGAATTTGCCGTCCCAGTGCGTGTACGCATACCAGCCGACGGCGAGGGCGACAGCGATCGGTGTCACGATCGCGAAGAATAGACCTGTTCCGCTGATGCCGTGCTTCTTTTGGTATTCCTCTTCTTTGTTTGGGCACGGTTTTGACACGTCCTGGTCTAGGAGGAGGCCGCCTTCACAGGTTGTTTGCGGGATTCGGCGGTAGCCGGTTGGTTCCCAGTATTCAACCTTCTCGGGGTCTTGGGCGCATTGTGCGATGTGGTCTTGGGGTTGGAGGCCCGGGACGAGGCCGCAGCTGCCGTCGGTTTGGATTTCGTAGTTGTAATCGCTGGTTTATGTTAGTTAGTTATTTATATTGGATGAGGGGGGTTTTGGGAGGTGCTGTGTCTGCTTACCATTCGAAATCAGCACGGGTGCAAGTGCAGTTCCGGCCGATGCTGTGGATGTGTGGCTCACGCCAGGCATTCCAGCACTCAGCAGCAGGTTTCTTGCGGTGGTACTCCTCGACATGGCCGAAGAGACAGTTCTCTTCCTGGAAGGGATGAGAGGGCGCCCAGTTATAGTAATCGTTTTCATCGTCGTTACAGTCGCGGCTCCAGATACCGCTGAAGTCAAGTGTGATGGTGACACGCTTGCCGCCGTCCATTCCCCAGAGCAGGAAGTTCTTCGATGTATCTGATGGCACGGTCGAGATATCGTCGATGACCAGTTCCTTTTCGGCGAACTGGAACTCGTGCCAGCTCACACCCTCGTCGAGTGTGTAGTGTACGACCTTGGTTGCCTTCCGGTCGCTGACGAGTACGATTACTGAGCCTGCGGCGCCGAATTCCCACATGTACTGTCCCTTCTTGACTTGCGTCCAGGTGATGCCGCCGTCCCTGGTGAGGTATGTGTCGGCTTCGCTTGCGCTGGTGAGATGCTCACCGACGTTGCCGAGCGCGAGCATCAGGCCGATGGCGGAGCCCGAGTAGAGGGTGTCGCGGTAATCGCGGCGTTCGGTGTAGCCGTGGAAATGGAGAGCGCATTTCTCGGTGCCTCTACTCTCCGTAACGGAGCAATCGAATTTCTTGCCATCGACATCTTGACTCGGGGGAGCCAGAAGCATCCACTGACCACCGTCGTTGTGGGTGATCATAGTGCGTAGCTTCTTGGTCGCGCCCTTATTCAGAACTTCTTCCCGATTCGAAACCACATTGGCAATGGCCACGCCCTCAAGGCCTTGCAACTCATCGTAGTCCGTGTAGCCGCGGTCGTTGACGTTCAGCCCCTCGAGACTCTGGACGAAGTAGGTGCCGTTGCTGTTACTTTTGACTAGGGAGCCGAAGCTCCGTTTATCTCCCCCGTTCGCAATCACAAGGAGGAACAATGCGTGCGGGGAGCTAGGTAGGACAGTATACTGGGGGACCTTGATGTTGAAAGGGAAGTGTGCGTTAGCGTAAGTGCGGCCGTCGACGCTAACGCTGGCATTCAGGTATTCCTTCTGGTCTCCTTCGTACCAGGCGACGACGACGAAGCGATTCTTGGTAGCGGAACGGGCGATGTTCTCAAACTTGACGTCCATGGTAGAGAAATAATCATCACTGAGAACCAGCTGCCGGTTGTTGTTCTTTTCCTCATCTTTATATTGCTCGCAAATCACCAGTTTTTCACTGTTGTTGCGGCCCTCATGATATCCAAAGTTACAACCGCCGTCGGCGATCCCAATAAGCATCGGGTCCCAACTAGCGCCTCGCTTGTCGGTAACGTACGCCTGCGAGCGACAGTTCTTCCCCTCACAGTCCTTGTGACCAATCCAGATAAGGGAGTCCTGGAACTTCTCATGGAAAGCGAGCGCGCGGATGTTCTCCTTGGTCGGCACACTGGGAGCGTCAAAGAAGTGGAAAGAATCACCGTGATTGATAGTGTAGTACACCCTCTTGCTGTCGGTGAGGAAGAAAGCCGCATCACTGAAGTAAGGATGCGGAACCATTTCCGTAAACTTCTCCTCCGGGTGGATTTGCTTCCAGTTCCGGCCATGGTCGCGCGAGATATGCAGCTCGTATTTATCTGTGAGCATCATGATGGTCTCATCAATGCCGTTGTTACTGGCCTGTCGTTCGAGATAGAAGTAGTTTGTATTCTTGGCAGAGATGGTCTGTGGCTTTCCTGCCCGAGGTTTGCCATCGGTGATGAGAGGAGGCCCCGTGACATTCGAGCAGGAGCGCTCAATCTGGCGCTCGAGATCCTCGCCACCTTCGCGGATGCATGCGTTGCCGGGGATGAGTCGCCATCCTGAGGGGCCCATATACTTATCGCTGGGCTCATTGCACTTGCCAGCCGGGGGTGTCAGCGGGGCAGCCGGTACACACTCCTTGCGGTCCTCGCTGCGAACAAAGTTGTAGTCGCATTCAAAGTCTTCGGCAGAACACTTGCAGGGTTTGAATTCAGGGCCGCTGATGGCGAATTCCTTCTTGATGAAGCAATCCGCATTTGCCTTACGGCGTTGGAAGAACTGTTTCTGACCCATCAGACAATCCGGCTCGCCCTTTTCATTTAAACGAGCAGTCCACTCTTCAAGGTCTCCAGGGCCACACTGGCGCTCGTGGAGGCCATCAAAGTCAATAAAAAACATGAGGACTTTGGTGTTGTCGCTGGAAATACCAACGAGTAGGAACTTGAGGCTGGTCGAATCCGGCGTTGAGATCAGGAACAGAGGCCTGATCTTCTGCTTCAGATCAATCGACTCCCACTCTTTCCCGTGATCGATGGAAAATTGGACATTGTCCGTCTGGCTGCTATCCAAGACGGCCATGATCACGCCTCCTTGGTCGCCAAACTCGTACCGGTGCGGACCCTTGAGTGCGCGCCGCCAGGTAAGACCCGCGTTGTCTGAAACATAGAGATCACCCTTGGAGTAGTCCTCGAGGTGACCTCCAGTGTTACCAACGCCCATGGCCAAGCCCGGAGCCGGGCTTGAGAACATGCGGTGGTCTGGCATGGGCATCTCCCGCAGCGCGGCGTAGGTGGTCATTGAATGGAGGTGTAGGTCGTCTTTATCAGCCTTGAGAGGTTGGAATGTTCTCCCATCGTCAAAACTGATACTGCTGATAAGCTTCTTTTTATTTGAGTCAGACTTCCCAGCTTCCTCCCAGTTCTTGACCGTGTTGACGATCGTGATACCATGGATACCCGTGACTTTCTCAAAATCGACCAAGCCATTCAGGTCCTCGTTCGTGTGCTCGATATTTTGCGTAAAGTAGGTGCCATTGGAGTTGGACGAGAAAAGCCTTCCCATCCGGTTATCATGCCAGGTGGTTTGCACGTCGATCTGGATGCTGTAGTTGGTGCTTTCTAAGATAGTATAGGCATCCTCTTCAATGCGGTGCTTGCCAAACTCCGCGCGGTGCCACACATTCGAGTCGTCACTGACGTACAAAGCTTGCTCCTGCGTACCGCGCGATTGAAGGCGCGCCACGATGTACTTGGACACAGAGCGGACTTGAAGACTGATACCGCTCAGCGGTTTTCCATGGTCCAATTTCGCCTCGATACCCTCCGGATCGTCTTTGAAAAATTTATCGGAATATATCAACCGCTCGGTACGGGTATGCTCAAAGGGCCCCTTCAACCCAGGGACCACGCAGAGGATCCGGTCTCCTGTCGACTTCGGCATGTCGATGTCCAATGCGAACTGCGGGCGGCTCGCAGCCCACATACACTGGAGCGTCATCTCGCGCAAGGGCTGGACATTCTCGAAGTCGTCGATGGTATAATACGCTTGGGGCATGCAGCCAAGGATAGTGCAGTCCAGACCCATGAAGATGACCTTCTTCGGATCCCAGCCATTGAACTCCAATGGGAACGAGCGCATCGACGCGAATGGCAGTACATCCACCTGGAAGGGTTTCCACGACTTGGCCTGGTCGGTCGTAATCCAGTGCTTGCCATTCTCACCGAGGATGTACGCGCGGTTGACGTCGAACGGATGTCTCCAGATCAATTCGACGGTTCCTTCCATGGTTCCATCCTTGCCTTTGACGGTCTCCCATTTCTCGCCACCGTCAAAGGAGACATGCGCGGTTAGGGAATTCTTGTCACGGTAGAGGATGGTGTTTGTGCCGCGGAAGTAGAACAGGTCTAAGGGCGGAGCGTTGAGTTCATGGGTCACGACATTCGGGTCGTTTCCCTTTGCCGCTGCTGGGTGCGAAGCCCATACCAGCAGCAGGCTCAGTGTGAGCAGCAGCCACCGTGGGATCATGACCGGTGCTGCGTAGGCATCTGATGGGGTGTGCGGGTGGGAGCTTGAGCGGACCGGACCGGGAATACGGAGTCAATCGATGGACGAAGGGAAAGTAAATTCGCTGGAAAAGAGAGGATTGTTAGAGGCCAGCAACGAATAAACAGGCAAGTAGAAATGTGAGTTAAGATAGTGATGTTGATGACGGAGCTGCGTGGCCTCTGCCTTGGGATGAAGCTCTCTGTCACGTGAATTGCTTATCGGTCCTATCAGCTAAACCATGGTTATTGGACAAAGTCTACTGGCAGCGAACCATGGATGAGACCACGCAATTGGGACTAGTCTGTTGGTCTACAGGTTGAACACCTCCTGAATGTGGTGAACATGGTGAATGTGGTGAACATGGTGAACGTGGGAAAAAATAGGTAGTCTGTTGAATCAATTTGACATCAAGCAGCTGGTTATATGTACAGAACACTGCTAAATAGATACATAAAAATGTAGACCCCGTGTAGAAAGAAAACATCGCTCAAAAATGCAAAGGATCGGATTAACGTTCAGAATGGTATAGAACGAAAAATGAGTTCACGCCAAACGAACAAGAAACAACATCTTAGTGTTGAGAATAAATCGGGGAATATTAAAGATAAAACGAATGGAAGTCAATCGAAGTCGATCGAAATATTTAAATCAAACTCGGCGTCGGAGCTTGCGCCACATCTTCCTCATCATACTTTGCTCGTCCAAGTCCGAGTCCCAGATCGACTGGCTGCGATCTGGGGGAGGAAGTTCAGCCAACCGCAAGGGATCTTCCTTTTCTTTGGAAGAAGCAGGAGGGGTGGGAGAGTCGGTGCGGAGGTCAGGCCGAGTGAGGGTCATTTTGAGAGTCATCTCACGGTTTCCCGGAAGCCGTTGTGGGACTCCCTTGGTCCCCGGCAGCCAGGATTGGCGTCGCTGCAAGAGGGCTGATGATTCCACGGAGGGTCGGGGCGCGTTCGGCTGTGTGAGCACGGGCGAAGGGATTGGTTCATTTTTGACCGATCCCCTGGGGCTCCCCACCATGGTGCCATCGTCGTCTTCGAAGAATGTGCCAAAGTCCGAGTTGACCAGGGTGGGTTTCGGTGAGCTTGGGTTCGGTGTGATTGGTTCCGGGGCGATATTCTCCTTATTGTTTTGATCCAGCGAGGGAAATCCGAATTCAATGGCTTCGTCGAACTTCTGTGGGGATGCCAGGTACACGCGCAATTTCAAACGGGCATCGGGGTCTTGGTAGTATTGTGCATAGGGGTCGATGCTCGAGGTGGATGATTTGGGGGCATGTTCGAATCGGTGGGATGATGGGCGCGATTCGGGGGTTCGGTTGGAGAGAGGGGTTAGAGGCTGAGACTGCCTGACAGGCGGGAGTCCCCGAGCTGAAATAGGTGTAATTTCTAATGTTTTGCGAAGGTGGTTGGAAAAGGATAAGGAGCGGCGGAAAGACGGGCGGGTTCTCTTTCCTGTGGCAGCATCTGCGACATGAGCGTGATATTCATCGAGAGATAAGTCGAGATCGCCATCCTCGTCGAGCCACCGGAAACTGTCATGGAATGTTGGATCCATGTTTGGGTCTTCTTCGTCCGACTCGGAGTCTGAATAAAAGACGGTCGATGGTTGAACCTGTTCAACAGACACAGTTGCTTGGGAGGGGTGGGTGTCAATGGAAGAGCGACAGTTCCGGCTAGAATCTCGACCGGAATCTCGACGGTAGGCTTCGTCGGCAGCGTCGTAGATGAGACTTTGTCGATAAGCGTTTCTCAAACGTCGACGTTCTTCGGGGGAGAAAAGCTTTTGTTGGATCTTAGCGGGGAGAGAATGGAAGCATTGAGAGTCCGCCTGGGCGGCCAGGTAGGCCAATTGAAGAGAGCCGGGTTTGCGTAATTTCTTGGAAGGAGAAGAACGTTTCTCGAGCCCTCGCTTCCTAGATCCGTTCCGTAAGCCACGCGAGTGATAGTCAGACCCAAGACGAGGGGCTCGATAGACCCGATTATCGGTCTGATAGTTTGACGTGGAGCAGGTAGGGGAACCGTGATCGCTCTGGGCTAGCCGGATACGCAAACGCTCGACGTTCGAGAAGAACTGTTCGAGTTAGTTGTGGACATTGAACAGCAATGGGATAGGCAATATGGGGAGGAAGTGGAGTAAACAACATCCCATGCGCTAACATTGGCCAACATTGGCCAATGTTGGCCAATGTGACGAGAAAACGAGTGGCGCCACGGACGATAGTGCGGGTTGTCAGCCTCCACCGAGGGAGCTCAGGGGTAAATCCCCGTCTATCACCGTCTATCAGAGAGTAAGGGCAGACAAAGAAAAAGGAAAAATGGAGAAAACGGGCGAATCAGGCCTGATTGGGTTAAGATGATCTTCTGTGGAGGGAGCTATTGGGGGGAGGGAAATGAGAAGTCCGAGCGTGTGACGGTGAGAGTCCAGTGATGAAGGGAGAAAATGAGCAACCCTTACCTTTCTTCGTACTGCTGGAGGCAGTGACTCAAAATCCTCCGACATTGCGTAGAGAATATAGAGATATAGAAATAGAGATAGAACGGGTAGAATGCAATAATCGAAACAATAATAAGAGCCCAAGTATAAGTGTATACCAAGTACGGAGTACGGAGTATATACTTATGCAATAATTCAATAGAACATCCAAAATTGAAGGAAAAGAAAGGAGACAGGAAGATCTTATATATACCATTTCAATATCTTTTAAACTCTTTGATCTGTGACAGGATGATGTACATTAGCGCCTGTGATTTGTGATACTTCTATTTCCCAACTCTTACCTCTCTCGAGACTTTGTATACTTCTACCCCTCTATATGATCTATCATGAACCCCTCTATTATTCTCTGCGAACATGTCAAACGAACTCTGAATCGATATACTCTAAACCATGTGAATTCATTTATCCCCCATCATCCCATCTCACCTTGGAAGCCAAGTCACCAAGTCACTACGCGCCTCGCTTTGACGTGGCCCAGTAAGGGGATCAGGCTCAGCTCCACTTAGATCGCTGATTTTCGGTCTGAAACACACATATCCTAGATCCCCGGGGGGGTTTGGGAAATTGAGAAATTGGAAAAGGTGAAGTCTTTGTGCTCTTCCCTGTCCCCAGTCGCCTCTATTTTCCCTCAATATTGAGTACTATCGAATTTTGTCGAGCTAACGAGAAATAGAAGATACGAGAATGACATCCCTGGAGGGGAAAAAGTGATGTATCAAATATTCAATGTCCAATGAGAACAACACTAGAATGATTGGGGTGTCCACTTGAACAAAGAAGGTCAACAGTTACGATTTAGGTCCTTGACACTAACCTGATATTAACTATGAGTACTCTGTAGGAAACTAGTTAAATAATTAAACTAAAGAACTAAACTAGTTCTTCCACCACCGTTACACTACTTCGTACCTGACAGCTCATATACAAAGTAATTACAATGTCAACCAGAATGATCTATAACAAACTCAACTAAATTAAATTGCCTTTACAGTCGAGACGGTAATCCGGAGATTACCAGGAGCCAATGATTTGCTTTTGCTGGATTTAGTTGAAGCGTAACAATATACAATACAAGGTACAACATATCTCCGTGATAGGCTATTATTCCGACAATAGCACTTGCATACACATGATCTACATTGATATTTTGGGCTGAAAGGAAGTTCCTTTCAATCCGGCTCTCAAAAGAGGCTAGAATGGCATTCGGGATCGAAGGTACACTTGCTGCCTGCGCAAATGGGGTCTCTATGGGGAAGGGCGTTTAGCTTGAATCTAGGGTAAAATAAAATACAGGTAATCTAGCCCTTGACATGACCTGTAGAATCGCCAGCGTTGATAACAATATAATAAAACCACTCCTGCCCAAGTACGGAGTATGAAGCACATATGTATCCCCATAGCAATGGCTTCAAGTCCCCCGAACATTCCTGCTCTACTCCGTAGAGTAATCCAAAACCCTCTTCTCCTTGCATCGGGCTAATGCATATAACTTCAATTACAGGAGACAAACGAGGAGGTCCTCCTTCCGGACTCGTGGCACGTCGAGGCGTGCAAAGCCGGGCTTTTAGGTATGATCTATCACCTGCAAGTGCTATTTTTACTATTTGTGGAAGCAAACGCGTGGGATGTTCACCGCTGATACTGTACAGAGTACGGAGTAGGAAGTGGTTCTTCCTTTGAGCTTCAAGGAGAATACGAGGTGATGCAAGTGCCCGTGTTGGCGATGGAGTCCACGGTGGCCACACTGTCTACTTCAGGCCCCTGTCAGGGGGATTGTCGTAATGCTAATCGTAGTACGGAGTAACCAATAATAGCTAATCCAGCTAGATTGAGCCAGATAATACCTTGTATAGAAGACCTGAACATTTCTCCTGGGGATGATAGTACCGGTCTAGCGAAGGATCGTAGTTGAGAAAATGTCATCGCATTCGTCATCGCATAACTTGAGACAGCGATAATCAATATCAAATGAGGGTTTCCAGTACGTTAATTCTAGACGAGAAAATAGTGGAAAATGAAGAGTCACATCATGATGATTTGTCAAGTGCAATATGCACTACGGAGTACTCCGTATGAAGTATGTACATGTATAATCTATAATATAATTACATCCACATCAACGACGTCTGTATATTCAAACCCACCCACCCTTCTCACTCTCCCCCGTCATCTTTCTCTTCCCAGCCTGAACTTTCGTAAGCGTCAACTTCCTCCCAACACCTCTCCCTAGCGCACCATCAAGCGGAATAACATCATCCTCAACCGACGTCCTCCTCGAATTTGAATCCTTCTCAAGACTAAGTAACACTTCAACCGCATCCCGGTCCTCAATGACCTTCGGATGCCGCTGCGCAAAGTACCGTGCATACTTATACAGCGACCAGTAGCAGCTGAACACGTTGACGACCGTCAGGGCGATCTTGTAGAATGTGTAGTAGAACAACAGGACTTTCCAGTCAACGCGCTCTTTCTTTAATCGGAGATGGATCTCGTTGAAGATTATCACGTTGAGAATGTACATCGCAATCGTGACGCCGAGCAGCATTCCGCAGAACGAGGGGCGGACTATGAATGAGATTGGGAGGACGAAGGGGGCGAAGAGGTAGATGAGGGTTTCGTAGACCTGTTAGGGTTAGCTTATGTACTAAATAGGATGTACGGGCCTTTCATACCTCTTGAAAAACGCACAGCTTCGCACCAAACTCCCACCAACCCAGCTTCCAGCTAGTCAAGATATATTTCAAATCGTAGTACACACCAACAACGAAGAAGAAATTCCACCGCTTAAACCGTTGCTGGAAGATAGTCATCTCGCCGAATCCACCACGACTACCACCAGAACCACTCCAGAATACCGAAGCCGGCGTCTCGGTTTCAACAAAGACCTGCGAACACATAGTAATGCGTCCACCCAGACGCCGGCACGCATCGCCGAAGAACCAATCCTCCGACACGGAGAAGCCGGGATGTTCATGGAAGGTCTGTTTTAAAAACTCGATATTCCAGAGCGAGATAGCTCCGTGTGGGAAGGTAGCACTTCCGAATTTCCCGAAGAAAGCACGCTGGATACCGGACATTTTGTACTCAAGATCCTGGGCTTGTTGGCAGTATGTACCCTTTGAGGAATTGGGGCCGACACTTTTAATTGTGTACCCGATGCATTTGACGTTCTTCTTGAGTCTGTCGCTGGCAATAGGGAAGTTTGGGGGGAGGAGGCAGTCGTCGTCGATTAGGACGGCATTCTCGAAGTCTTTGGCTGCGTAGCAGCCCACGAACTGAGCCACGATCTTCGAGCCGATGGGTACCCAGAGGTGGTTTACGCCGTAGGGTTTGCAGATTTCTTCTGTGTTGTCGAGGGGGGTTTTGGAGTTGCCATTTGCTATGACGAAGATGTTTTCTTTGGGGAAGACTTTTAAAGCGGCTTGGAGGGTTGCGCCGACGATTGTTGCTGATTTATAGCAGGGGATGAGAAGAGCAGTTGATTTTACCTTAGAGATATTGTTTTCCAGGTCTGGAGATTCGGATTCGGAGACTTGGGCTGGAGGATCCTTCTCGAAGAGGATCATAAGAGGACAGAATGCGTATCTGGTTTGGTTAGAGCAAGAAACTCAGAGTCTCGAGAAAACACTTACAGCGCAGCCAGACCAATGACAATTGCGTATCCTCCTTGGATAACGAATTTGGTTCGGACGACATAATACAGCCACCAGACAGCACCTTTCCACAGTGGCATACCGATGAGGACGAAGTAGACGAACAGAACGAGAAATGCATAGATGCTGTATTCAAACAATAGCCGCACCCAATGCTTTCGTTGGATGGCAACGCCTCTCAATTTGGCTTTTTCATAGACTTCTTGCAGGCCGCTCTGCTCGCTGCTGATTGTCTGAGAGCTGGCGTTGCTAGGTGGTTGTGGAGTGAGGAATGCATTCTGAACTGGCGTTATTGGTCCTTTCTCGGGGATTGGAGAAGGGGGCTCGAATGTGGTGGGCTTTGCAAAGTAGTCGAATGTACCTGAACAATAAGATAGGGTTAGCTTATTGATGTATATAATATGTTGGCATCAATTTGATATGATCTCTCATTGTATTTCTACAAGTCTCTGCCATAGATATGGGATATCAATTTCATACCCTGAAAAGCAGGAGGATCACTGCGTCCACGAGACCGGATTGCAGACTTTGGCCTTGCCACTGATCGCAGAGCAGAAAGACTCAGAGGACGATTGGAAGAGGTGCGAGGCTCTGGAAGTGATATACGATCGTTGTCGGGGAGAGACTGTTCCCATCTAGCCAATTCCCATGGCGAGTTGAATTTGGCAGTCGTGAGTAGTTCTTTGGGGATGAAGACATCTTCCACAATGGATTTTCTAGTGCTTTCCTCAGCCATTGAGGAGTATATATTCAATTGGCAACCATAAACGAGGGTATAGTAGTCAGAATGAAGGGACGGCAACCCGAGGTCACCAGTGAAAGAGTGAATATCTTGCTACGAAAAGGGGATTCGAGGGTGTTTCTTTTATTTATTATTGGAATAGCCTTTCAAATCAAGATCTCTATGGAGCAAATCTCTTGCCTGAGACTGTGGGCCAAGGTTGGGTGGCGTCTCCGTTTGTGAGACTAGATCTGATGGGGCATACTAGTACGAAGTACAGCTGGGACCCGAGAGAACTTGGCAAAGGAAATGAGGATGTTGATAGTGGCAAAATCATCGTCATTATTCGAGACCCTGGGTGGGTTACTACAAGTATTGGGGTATAGTAGCATGACATCCTTTCCATGGTCCTTGTGTCCACGATGTGCTGCAAAATCCTTTTAGAGATGCAGGAATCAACCTAATGCGAGAAGAACACAAATATGGATATGGCTAAGAATAAACCAATGCGGGTCGTGAATCGAGTTCTCTACGCCCTGGGCTTACCACGGGCCAGCTAAATCATTTTTGGCCCCATGGTTTTCCGTAAGTGCCCATATAGTTCTTAGAGAATAGCTATTGCTTAGAGCATTTTCAACCGTGAAATGCCAAAATAGACGACAATAACAGAGCATCTCAATGTTTCCCCAAGCAAAGCCTCGGAAATATTCCATCCTCTTCAATTGCTCGGACAAGTTGCGCAGTGGAGCAGTCTCAGAGATTTTTAGCCTTATACCGAAGCAGAGCCTTACGAGCCACAGAGATCTAGCGCAGTGATCGTCATTGTCTATTCCTAGCTAGGTGAGCTAAACTTAGCTGCATCTCACCCCCATTGCTTGTCTCTCTCTGGTAGGATGATGGTACCCTCGTATGTAATTACAGTGGGGAATTATGCCGGAAGACAAACTGCCGGACACGGTGTTTAGTGAACAGCTTAACAGCCCCTTTTTAAGTTGGGCTGAACTGCATGAGTACATACTTCCCTATAACAAGTTACGAATAAAAGAAAAAGGAAAAGAAGAAAAAAAGCGAAAAAGAAAGTTCCAAAATGTCGACATTCCCGAGATTCCCGAGATTCTTTCGATCCAACGTTGAAAGTTCCCCGGTAGAGTTTCGGCCCGCCTTGGTTTTTCAGCCACAAAACCTTGGAAAGCCACATTGAGATTTCTATATAGGTAACCGAGAGTTATCCAGGTTAGGATAGTTGAGGTTTCAACACATTGTTCTTATGGAGTACATACAACATAGGTAGTTGTATTGTGGAAATCCACTTAAATGGGTAAACTGATTCCATAGCTCAAAGTTCTAGCCCTTTCGGCTAGAAACTGCCGGATTGACACTTAAAAAATGATGATCGATGATCAATCTGTTAGGGCAACAGGTTTAGCCACTGGCAATGTAGTCATTAATATCTAAATATGCCATGTTGACAGCAAAAAACAGGATATTCCGGAACATGGTAAGATTACAAGTGATAGTACCATGGTACAGAGCTCCAATCCAACCCTGGAAGGCAAGATGAAACTGCACGTGGGTCTGTTTACAGCGGAGGACCTCGGGTCTTGCACGATGGTATCTACCTAGGTACTACCTAGGTAGGCCCTGTAGGTACCTGGGCAGGTAGCCCCCGGGGCCTGTACCTGAGCCATCCAAGGCTGAGCTTTTACCGGACTGTCGGCTTTTTCCACGGTTACTTTCCTTATTTTTTTTTAGTGTGGATTATGTGGATCTATAGAGACCATCTAGACACATGCGGAGTAGAATCTTGGGAGATACATGTAGGAAGCAGAGCTATCTGCCACTGCATATCTTGTATCAAATCCAAATTAAATTGCATCTCAATTATGCAAACATGCAGATTTACTATAGAACTATTAGATCTCGACCTTTTCTACTGAAGAATATACTATATGGAAAATTACAGGGAGAAGCGGTTTATATTGATAAGATAGTCACACAAAGAAAGATCAGAAACGGCAGAAACAGGAGGAAAATCGTCAAAACAAAGAAAACGCAAAGGGCAGATAGCTGAAGCCGCGGGTGGAAGACACACCGAAAGCAAGTTATTTTCGTTTTGACGACCAGGAATCAAACTGGCTCAACGCCAGGACGCCAGACGGCTCATCGATTGGAATTCGACCTAGTTGCTTGCTGGGTCCAAACTTCTCGGATGGCCCCCAGGTTCCACCACTACCTGCTCATGAAACCCCCAATGGGAGGTTGTGTGGTAGTAGCACAAGCAGACCCAGTTTCTCTGGATCTGAGTTGAGAGTTGATGTTCTCATTACTCATGTTAGTATTCTTTTGACCCTTTCTCTCCTCTGCCGGGTCGAACATTGTGTAATCCCTCATTAGCTGACGTTTTCGGCGTTGGCATGTTCCGGATCTTCTATACAGGCCCTTCCGGAAGGCGCCGTGATGACGCGCGACAGGGCTTGTCGCATCGGTGCCTGAACGGGTGCCTACATGGTATAGTTACGGGAATATTTAGGTACATGTTGTGTTTGCGTTGTTCATAACAATCGTAGAACAATAATAGAAATGTGATGTATCAAGAGAACCAAGTACTAATGCATGCATTATCATTACGCCAGTCTATATCCACCCAGTAGAAACAATACGCTCCCACCAAATCAAAAACAACAGGGTATAAACATCCCAGACCAAGATTCCCCCCCCTCACAATGCATTAAGAACCTGCTGCATAGCAAAAGTATTGGAGTCCTCGCGACGCGAGACATAAGCCCGCACCTCCTGCACACTCAATTTACCCTCCTGGGTAGTATTGCGTCCCGAACCCCCCGGTCCGCCAGTCGTGCCGCTGGCAGCACCACCACGAATTCGTTCGCGGAGAGCCTCGGGCCCAATCACGAATAGACTGCCGACTTCCAGTAGCACGTCCAGCACGCCACCGGGGCCTTTGGTCTCGTCGTCGATGTCCCAGGATCTGAAGAGGTCTGCATATTGTGTCATGTCTTTGGTTACCATTAGTCCGCCAGGTCCGCTGACGGAGAACCGTTTGAAGTGTTCGAGAAGGAGGCTGCGGATTCCGAGTGCTATCTCGGTCAGCACTTGGCGCACGTTGGCGCCGCTGGATGGGAGGGAGGTGCGCGCGATGTTGTGGAGACGGGTTAGGAATGAGGTGATGGATGCGCAGGTCTGGTGGGATTAGTAGGGTTCTTGGTGGGGGTGGATGTTGGATGGGACTTACTGGGGTCTGTAGCATCTCTAACCATGCGGTGTTATCACTCTCCCTGGGCCGGAAATCGTTCTTCTTCTGGCCAGATAGCAATCTGCTAACCCAGGCGAATGTGGCGTCAATAGTTTTCTGCTCGATGCTGTTGATTTTGTCCTCGATGCGCGAGGTGGTTTGGCTGGTACGCTTCTCCATATCCCGGCGAGTGGTGATGCTCGCGGCTGATAGAGGGAGAAGGACCGCATGGATGCACATCACCATCAATGTGGTAATGCTGATCGTGGTGCGAGCTGAGAAGAGGTAGGAGAAATCAGGCTCGGCCTTGCCGGATTCTTGCGACGTAGCCGCTTCCAGAGCGGCGTCTAGACAGACATCCACGTATCCCTCTCCCATCGCGAGGAGAAGCAGGTTGAGCAAGGCGGAGACATCTTTGGGTGTGTCACTGTTGACGCTGAGCTCCAATCCTCGCCCCACGGCTTCAGCCAGCCACTTCAGCATCCGCTTAGCGTCGCTGAGATTGGGTTGTCCATCTTCTTCTGTGAGCTTGATTTCGGTCAATCGAGTTGCCTCTAGCGTATCGCCTGTCTTGGCTACGCTGAGCAGAACTTTCCGCTGGATAGGTGAGACCTCTGGTGAGTCCAACCGGCTGATAAATGCATCGCGTGTGGTCGAAAGGAGTTCTGATCCAGCCCGGGACAACGAGGCCATGAAAGTTGTTGCCGCCTTCTTGCGGCGGGCATGGTAGGAGGTGAACTTGAACAAGACCGCATTGAAAAGTTCTTCTAATGTCCGCTTCTCGCGTTCGATGTAGGACGATCCAACGAAATAAGGAACGAAAAGCTCTTCCAGCTGCTGATCTAGCAACACAGCTGTCTGCGAAGAAACGGGCTCCGGATGCTCGGTCAACCCGTGCGACTTCAAATCTTCGATCAAGGCACTGATATAGCCACGGGAGCTCTGTAGACAACGGAGGAACGCTAGTGACGATACACCAGCCGCTTTCTCCAGCACCATTTCTAGGCGCTGCTGGATAGATTGCTGGAAGACCCGCTGTAAGAACTTACCCAGGACTTGTTCGTAGTAGGGGAAGGCCCGCCGAATAATAGCAGACTCCTCCTGAACCACAACCTTGACTTCATCGATCAACGACTGGAGACTGGATTCAACGCCAGGAAGCTCCGCGTCCGGGTCAGCCAGTTTCTCCCACGACTCCGGATCCCCACCGACTTCCTCTGTTACCAGCTGGCTGCGTTCAATAAAGAACTGATGCTGGTTGACAAACAACGCAATAACACTGGCACCGCCATTGAAATCCTGCAATACAGTCGCGCAGTCCCTCATACCGTCGAAGTTAGCCTTGCGGTAGAAATCGTCAAACTGTTTCAGCAAATCCTTCTCCAGTGTCTCGGAGAACTTCTCAATAATCTCTCGCGTGTTCCGCCGCGGCGTGCTGCTTTCGCTGAGATCCTCAGACGAAGAGCTATTCCCATACCCACCACCATTGGAGTGAGCCCGATGTTCCTGCCAGCTCTGCGGGTCTAGTCGTTGACTAATACGCAGCAGTTGGCGCGCAATGTGTGCGGAGCGTACCTTGGCCTCTCCCGTGCCAGATCGCCGCAGGCCCTCTAATAGCGAGATCTCGCCCCGGTTGCACACCCCGTCCCAGCATTGGATAAGGAAATGGGCGTCCAGAGCTCGCCGCCGCTGTCGGTCTAGCTCCTCTAGGCGCTTTCCTGTCTCGACTGCCATATTCCCCGTCCCTGCTGGATTCTCGCGGCCGGGCGCATTTAGAGACGTGTCAAGCTGTTGAAAGTTTTCGATGGTGTGGCGGAGCTTCTGGCCGAGGGTGTTGAGGTTCTGGCCGTGTTGCGCTTCTGCGCGTCGGACAGCTGCTGAGAGTTCATTTTCGCGGAGCTCGAGATCTCCGGAGAGCTCGCTCAGGCGACGTTGGGCGCTTTCGAAGGTGCGGATGAGGGGTTTGGGGTCGAAGGGTTGGTTGGCAGCGCCGGCGGTACCTGCTAGCGAGCGACGGTTGGAGATGGCGGTGTCGGAGAGGGCTTCAATGAACTCCTTGACAATGAAGTCCCGACTGGAGAAGTCTTCGAGGGTGAAGCTGGGCCCTTGGGGGAAGACGGTGCGGGCGGGGTTCGTGATTATGGATGCATTGTCCATCATGATTGATAGTGGACAGGCATGAGCTGCCTTCAGAGCTGGACAATCGTGTCTCCTCTCGCTTAGACTGTTGGGGGAGTAATTGAAGGAAAGAATCCGGGGAAAGCTGAGGGAGATGACGGATTTGGTTAGGGGAGGTTTACTGCCACGCACATATTCTATTTCTATATACATACGTATACTCCAATACTAGGCAGAGATATTTGCGAAGCTGAACTCGATATATTAATAGAAATAGAAAAGAAGAATACTTTTAATACCTTGAAATACTTCGAAAATAGTCAGAAGAATGAGAACTTTTGTTCATTAGTATACAGTCGCCGGCTGTTAAACAATTCCATCGGACAACCTGAACATCCATCCACATCTCCACTTCCCTCCTCCATCCACCACAACAATGGTCTCCCAACGAGACCGCGAGATCCTGCGCGATGACCTACGCGCCCGAGGCACAAAACTCAGCGTAGCAGAACGCGAATCTCTCCTCAAGACCTATCTCCCCGACCCCGCCGAGCTAGGCCAGAAGCCAGCAGCACCGACTGCCAGCGAGCGCCGCAAGACACCACGCAAAACGCCCATTCGCACATTCCTCAGGTCGCAAACCCACTACCTCACCTATGCCCTGACACATATCATCTTCGGCATCGTCGTGCGTCTCTTGCAAGCGTACCACGCCGTCGTCGACCGCATTTTCGCAATCGTCTATCACCACCACCGCACCCCCGAGCTGATCCGGAAAGATGTGAGGAATCTCAAGCGCTTGCCGCAACATCTGAGTACGATTCTCACGCTGCGGAAGGAAGATGACGCTCTTGCGGTGTTGATGGACGAGGTTGCTGAATTAGCGGCCTGGAGTTCGTGCTCGGGGATTTCCCAGCTCAGCATATACGAGAAGTCGGGTATGAATGGTCACCTCTCTGCTATCCAGGATATACAGTAATACTAACCTCTATCCAGGCGTCCTGAAATCCTGCATCCCAGCCCTTCACCAAATAATCACCACCAAACTCGCCTCCTACTACGGCACCCCGAGTCACCAACCAATCCTCCAAGTCTACGCCCCTCACCACCCAGTCCATCGCAGCGCACCCATATCAAAAAACACCGACACCACAACCCAACCCCAGACCCTGACAATCCTCCTCCTCTCCTCAACGGACGGCCGCGAGACCCTCGTCGACCTAACCAAGACCCTAGCGGAGATGAGCCAGAACGGCAAACTTTCCCCGGAAGATATCACGCCGGAGCTGGTCGACGCAGAGATCAGCGAGATCACTACGCAGCCGCTGTCTATGGATCCCACGCTGCCGGATACGGTACTCAAGCCAGAGCCAGATCTGTTGCTTGTTTTTGGTCCGTTCCTTAAGCTTGATGGGTATCCGCCTTGGCAGTTGAGGTTGACGGAGATGTATTGTACTGGTGGACGCAGTCATGGACTTAGTGGGGATGGAGAGGCGGTTGAGTATCAGGGGTATATGCGTGGTCTTTGGCACTTTGCTGGGGCCCAGATGAGGTTTGGAAGGTAGGGTAGCTAGAAGGATTGAGGATTGAGGTTGATATTGAGATTGAGATTGGGACGAAGTAGGTTTGCATGTGGATAAGCATGGGGTTTTCATTTTGGCTATACCCTTACCATATTACTGTCATGTTCTATGGTCTTCATTTCTAGCATGGCATCAATGCATTCTATGTTTTATATATATCTGTTTTAGTATCAGCCTCCAGTCTATAGTGTTACCAGAGTGAACCTGACAAGACAAAGATCAATATAAACACTCTAGAAGGGGTTTCAAACTGCTCACTAATTGGATTGCTAGGAAGCTCCCTAGCGTGCATATGTGTGTAATATATGGTATCCTATAGTGTATAGCTGTCCTACGATAGACACTGTACACTGTAGAAAAGGCTAGAAGTAATCACTACATACTATTACATACTATTATTACATATTCAGATAAAAATAAAAAAGTAGACAGGAGGGGGGGGCGGTCTCCTTCGGAGGGAGGGAAGAACGGTGGGATATCCCACTTCACTTTGCCCATTTAGAAATGCCTCGCGGCTGAAACGCACGCGCAAGCTCGGATAGCTGACATCTGCCGGTTGAACCGGCCAGATAGGGGGTTTTTGGTTTTTTTGATTTTTTTTTGGTTTTTGTCATTTTTTTGTCCATAGTACAAGACTTGAGGGGTTTACCCCCTCAGCCATGTCCTACCTGGACAGGATATATGGGCGTTGACCTTTTACTTATGGGATCATAGTCCTATTTTGGGGTATGCTTCTATCTTTACTTTGACTCTGACTTTGATCTGGTCTTACTTGATTTTCACATTTGGTAAACTGAGAGTAGTCTACTCTACATACAACATATGTATATACACAGAGAGTTGGAGTATACAAAAAGGCTGATATCATTATGTTATATGCTAGAATATAGAAAAGAAATAAAAATCAATAATTCGCCATGCTGTCCAATATAAATGCCAAAAGAAATCCACCTCAATCCCAGCCAGTCCCTCCAGTCCAGTCCAGTTCCAATATCAAACTCTGGAAAAAAAAAAAAAAAATAGCAACTCCACAAGGAGCAGCAGAAACAACCCCGAGGTCGTAAAGAATGTTATACCGTAGTTTCATGTGTCATTCTGTCATATCCCTCCTCAATTCCCACAGAGGCGAGTAAATCAAACTCCATATATCACCCTCACCCAGTCATATCCTCATGCCGCATATCATCCAAAGCCCAATCAGACGGAATAGCCGCCGAAGCCCACGAGCCCGCACCACGCACGCAGTCAAGACAACGCACAATCTCCGCACCGGTCTCGGTGACTTCCTCCACAGCACAGCCGGAGCAGATTTTCCTCCTGGGTGCCTCGCTGGCGTCGTAGCTGGTGTCGTCGGTTGAGCTCGTGCGCATGTGCATGTGCATGCCTGGATCTTGGAACAGACCAAATGTCCCACCGCAGGATGCGCTGTCGCATTGTCGGAGACAGATGAAGCATGCCCGTTCGTGGCAAAGATCGCAGTCTGCGTAGGCGTCAAGGACTTGGCGGGTTGTTGGGCGGCGGTGACAGATGTGGCAGGGGCGGAGCGCGGAGGGGGAGGCGGATTGTTGGGTTGGGTAGTGCAACGGGACGAGGGTTTTGGGGGAGACTGGGGGTGAGTATGGGTCTTGATTTGGGATGCCGTAGACGTTTGGGGAAAGGTGGGTTGGGGATTGTTGGTGTTGGAGTTGATGTTGATGCTGGTGGGATGGCAGCGTAAGATAAGGGCCTTGGACATGTCGGCGCTTGCGAGGGAGGCAGCGTGGTCGGAAGGAGATGTCTGTTCCGTCTGGGTGTCGCGATAGAGGCAATGAGCAGCCACCGTCGTATTCGGGCCGATCGACTCGACAGGATGAGACATATGTTGCTCTGATGATCATGTTAGTCTATCTGTTCGCCTCACTAAGAGAAACATTGTCAGACTTACGGACGTGCTAGAGTCCTCGACTCCTCATGGTCCCACTTGCGTTTCTTCCATGCTGCCGTTATCGAGTCGGCCTGCTCGGGCGAAAACCCTGGCATTGGTGGTATGCCGTATTCAAGCCAATTTGAATATATTATAGATGGTTAGGAACACACCAAAGAAACCTCAGGGGAAGTCTTCGACTAAAGTGAAACTGACAAGGAGAGACCCAAACAAAAGAAAGCCCCCAGTTGTTAGGCGGTGTGCCGATAGGAGACTGTTATCAGCGTCCACTTCCAGGCCTCGGGGCGATTAAGATTATACTAAGTCTTGTCTGGTATAAACTGTTGGAGATTGTTTTTTATATACAAAACTGACAAAAGAAGTCAGAAAAGATCACAGCCATACCAAAGAAACACTCTATTCCTTTTCCCGAGCCACCGGAGACCCAACACCATCCAGACGAGCTTGAATAGTTTTCTCGTCAAAACGCCCACTGTCACCCACATAATTGTGTAGAACCTCATAGGTCATAAGCCGCCGAGGTGCTTTACGGCCTGTCATCAACTCAAACTGAGCAATGCCCTGTTCGGTAACATTCTCCAATCCGTCAGACAAGACCCAAGGCCGTCCAGTCTCGCTCCGGACTCGGCGCATTTGTCGTAGAAGTGGTGTATCGAGGGGTTTATAGGCCAACTATATTCAATGAGTACGTGTGGCAAGAAGCACACACATCTCGGGGGAGGGGGAAAAAGCTCACCTCGAGTATCACACCCCCCGTAGGACTCCCAAGCCACTGCACCGGCATCTCAAAGTTCGCCGGTGGTTCATCTCGGTCTGGATCAGCCGGCACACAAGACGCAACGAGACTAGGCTGAGCAGCGTCCGCGGGCCAGTCTTCTCGAAGCGACTGCAAGACACAAACCACCTCCGCCGAGTCCACCTGCGACGACGCCCAGGAGTTGAAATGGCGCGCGACTTCCTCGGCACGCGACTGCGTGCGGTTGTAGATGAAGATCTTCCGACACCCAAGTCGGAGCATAGCGTAGATGGCGGCCCGCGCCATGCCGCCCGCGCCAATGACCAGGCCTGTTGTTTTTGCGCTGATCGCGTTGCGCGGCGAGAGATGTCGCCTGATGCACGTCATTATCCCAACCCAGTCGGTGTTCTCGCCGTACCAGCCTAGCACGCGCCCGGCTTGGTTGCGTCGGCTGGCTTGTTCTTGGAGGGGGAACATCGTCCCGTCTGCATGGCCGCGGAGCGGCATGATTGTGTTGATTGCCCCGATGGCTTCGGCATGTCGGCTTTTGGAGGCGAGCTTTTGGTATACTTGTACGCGCCATGGCTGCACGACACTGGATCCCCCGAAGTGAGGATCTCGGCCTAGTCGGTCTAAGACTGCCAGAGAGGGTGAGTCTGGAATGCTGTAGGTGTGGCCCATGCCGCAGTGTTGGTGTGCGGCATTGTGCATTGCTGGGGATAGACTGTAGGCGACGTTCTCTCCGTAAATGTAGAACTTGAGCGGGTCGAGCACGTAGCTCTGGAAGAGTGCGCGAACGGCGTCGCGAGAGGTTATTTGCGGGTCGTGCTTATTCTCTGCCGACTGGGTGATTGCTGGGTGTGTTACTGCAGTGAGGATCGAATTGAACACTTGTGAGGTGCGGCCTAGCGCGCCGATGTTATAGGCGATGAGCGGTGGGTGATCTCCTGGGAGTGATCGGATTTTATTAGAGAACTCAATCACAGCGGCATTGTCTTCGCGCTCTGTTGCGACTCGGAGGAGGCGTACGAGCTGGCAGCCGAGCTTTTCGGCTTCATTGTAGATGGCGACGCAGCCCGCGCTGTCCCATGTAGTAGGGGAAGATGGCTCAAAGACCTGCTGGCCGATGATCTTGGTATTCCCACGAGCTCTGATAGTCCCAGCCAGCCGGGATCGGTCTTGGGTCAGGTCTACAACAAGATATTCCACACCCAGGCGTAGACCGTGCTCGAGAATATCAAAGTAAGGTCGAAGAGAAGAGGTGGCTGTTTCCGGAGAGCCGATGCCGGTGGAGGATGTGTCAACGGAGAGAATCACAGGCGTCCGCGCATTTCGACGCAGGACAGATACCTGTTTACTGATGGTGGCTGCCATGTCTGGACTCCAGCGATCGACACACAGCTCGATGGCATCCCCACCAGACTCAAGCTCAGTCAGGTTGACATTATCGGCGATCAGATCTGAAGATCTCACAAAGATAGCATGTGTAAAAGAGCGCAGCTCTGGCGGCGTCTCCAGCAGAACGAACGGCGAGTCATAGCTCGAATAGTTTACATCGAGTCCAGTAATAAACTGCACAAACCGCGTAAAATCCTCTTTCACCTCTTGCAACTTGAAAGAATAATCCGCAGACCGGCGATCCGGGCTCCCATCGTCCGACGCACGCGTCCGATCCTCAAGATTATAAAATTCGAAATTCGAACACATCCGATGCATCGGGTCCCCCTCCCGGAACAACCGCACCGCCTGATCCTCCAAACCGAGCAATTGTTGAATGCGATTGATATCGCGCAGCAAATGGACCACCGGGTTGGACCGAGCATAGCGACGCAGATGATCCTGCACAGGTCGCGTCAGACTGGCCAGCCCACACTCCACGACGCAGCCCGTGCGGTGGTTATCCAGCATCATCTTCAGGACTTCAATGTCGCGGCGCTGGAACTCCTGGCTGCCATACCGCTTGAGGTATTCCTGTCGTGTGATGCCCGTGACCTCCCGGAAGTAGTGGTCTTCGGTAATGAAGCGTCGCTTTAGCGCAGTCGCGGCGACGAAGCCTAGTGAGCGCTTACCGCATCCACGGATGCCGATTAGGACGAGGGATGCATTGGGAGCAAAGGTGCGAGGGGCGGACTCGGGGCGGAGCATGGTGGGAGAGGAGGATTCCTTGGTGGCACATGCGGGGATGTCGGACTTGGCGTCGACCGTGTGGGATATGGAGGGTTTAGGACTGATCATGGTGAGAGACGATGAATCAATTGGGGTCTATGTCGAGTGAACGAGCGCCATGATCAGATGCACTCAAGGGCATAGAATCGCATCCAGAGATCGAATGCGGGGAGGATTTTGAGAAGGGATGAGCGGGACTGCTCATGTGGATAATAGACAGGGCAGTGTAGTATGGAATTATGGAATCTAAGTATGTCAGTAGAACAATATCCCAGATGATATTGCAGGTAAAATGTTCCCAGGTTCCCCGGAATGAGGATCTGGGAAGTTGCCGGTCCAGATTTCCGGCAAAAGACTTTTCCATCAGATCTCGGTCTGAGGATCCAGAGTTGGCTGCACATCATCCCATACATACATGTAATATACATATGTAACCAACTAACTATATGTACGTAACAACCTTGAAATTCTTGGATCTTCACTTTGCCTTTAATACTCCTCATGTTGATAGTCATGTGACCCTTTGTCTCCTGTAGAGAGTCTGACCGTCTCCTTTCCTCCCACCTGCACCCCGGAATATCATGGTGGATAACGGGAAGGTCTCTGCGATTGTTGATTGGCTGTTTCGCGGCTGGTACCCAGAATATTGGGAGTATACTAGGGCACACTACGGCCAGGTAGATCGGCCAGAATGGTATAATGGATTGGAAAATGCTTCATAGAAGAGATATGACGATGAGCTTAGAGCGGAACAAATTCTTTGGAGGCGATTGGATGATCCACAGATTTTCTGGCAAGGGAGAGAGCATCTGATTCCGGGCCTTACGTGACACTATCGAGACGACCTTTTAAGTTAGAAAAAAATGAGGACCCTATGGGTTCTCTTAATGGTTTCTACACTTCCCATTCATGCGTTGTTCGTTACCGCTTCCCGTGTAAAAACGTCATCTTTCTAACTGGTGACTTGCTTGCAGCTATAACTCCGTACTTCTTCTTTCCCTCTCATACTACTTCTACAATTCCACCTTGACTGCAATGCTAATGGCAAACGAATATGAAAACCATGCGGTTAGGGGGTTGCGCCACGATTCCACAGTTGAAACACAACAACTGCCACCGGCTAAGGGACTTCGTGTATCGAGTAGTCGGAGGGGTGCTCAGCGCTCATTCTATTTCCTCAGTCTCCCATTCCGATACAGTATCCCACTCATGTTAACCTACCCTGTGCTGCACTGGCTTCTGTCTCAGGCCATCTTCTATGTCCAAGTCTATCTTTATGATGCAGACATGCATCGTGATCCAAGCCTTGACGTTAACGCGTGCGGATGGTCACCAATTGCTTTAATATTTACCATCATTGTTGGGTCTTTGATGGTCATGGCGCTTTTGGGTTTAGCAATGAGACCCTTTCGCTCAGTTATACCACTTGCTGGGAGTTGTAGTGCTGCGATCAGCGCTGCTTGTCACCCACCGGAAGACGATGTGGATGCTGCATTGAAGCCCCATCATGTGGGGCGACCTTCCAAGGTTGTTGTATATATAGTCCCAATCGGGTTAAGCGTCGGCTTTGGTCGGGTGTACATCGGAACACCTTGATGCCTTGGTGCCTGATCAGTTACACTCTTAACTCATCAGAGTAAAAAAAATATATGTCTAGTTACAGAAGTGCTCTCATCTATATAAAAAAAAATTATCTGAAATATCTGAGTACAAAACTACTATGATGTAGCAAGTAAGTGTGAGTATGTGTGAGATTTGTGGGGATGTGGAGATCCCCCGATAATTCCGAGTGCCTTCACATCCCGAACTTCACGTCCGAGATCCTCCCTCGGCCTGCCTATCTGTGACCTTTGCCGTGGAGGCTAACTACATGGTAGTTTGGGTTAGAGTCTGCTCCTCCACTTTTCTATTTGCGGTCTTACTCTTCTTCGACGCCATTCCGAGTATCGGTTTCTTATACGGCCCGACCTTGCATTACTTTCAACTTAATTCTGCGCAGTGAACCCCGAATTGAGACAGAGAGCTCCTGGTCCTCTTATTTCCTCTACATGGCGTTATCTCCTACGCTAATAACCCCTCTTCATGGATGAGGGATCGGATAAGGCCCCTCGGCGCAAGAGGGTCTCCCGAGCTTGCGATCGCTGTCGCAGTAAGAAAGTGAGTCGCGTCCGGCCATGTTCTTTTCTCGTATATCATTTTCCCAATCTAACATCTCGCCGATCCTAGGATAAATGCGATGGCATTCGTCCCACTTGTTCCGCCTGTCAGGCATCGGGCCAGTCCTGCTCCTACGACCCCCATGCGAAGAAACGCGGTCTTCCCGAGGGCTACGTCCGTGGCTTGGAAAAGCTGTGGGCACTGTCGATCTGCAACATTGACGGGTTCGAGGATACCATGCTGGCCATGTTAGGAAGCACCGCCGAGTCCGCCGGTCGTCGCGAGAAAATGATGTCCCTGTGGTCGGACGATAGTGCCTCGGAGAGTTTACACGAATCCTGGAAAACGAGTCGGCTGTTCGGCGCGCTGGAGAAAATTCTCTCTAATTCTGATGCGCCGGGGCCGGCGACCGGGAAGCGACCGCGTAACCCGCAAGATGATGGCCCAGACGGTCAATGGGGGTTCCAAGTAGCTCGCACTGCCACCTCGATCGGTCCGGGTGCCCCGCGTGTAGTTGAGCCCTTTGCCGCATCACCGGGTGCAAAGCGGGCTCGATTGTCGAAAGAGTCGGATGGCTGGGGTATCGCTGGACCTAGTCCCCATACGCTACAGTTGCCACCTCAGACATCGCAGCTGCTCGATATCTACTTTGCGGTCACGCATTCATGGTTCCCCGTGGTCGCCAAGCATAACATTCTTCGCGCTTCTTACCTTTACGCCAACGCCCCTTTCTCTATTTCCACGGCTTCACCTGGGTCCGGCGATCACGCCGCCCTGTGGGCAATCTTGAGTTACACTATCACTCAATCGCGAACAAATCCACGGGCTGGTCCCGCTGGAACAGTCGCGCTGGCGAAGGAATACTACACTGTCTCGAGGAATCTCATTCCAACGGAGAAAGAGCGCTATGAGCTCGGACATATCCAGGCATTGCTGCTGCTGACCTTGGTGAACATGGGTCTTGAAGATTGGACCGCGGCTTGGCTGTTGAGCGGCCAAGCAGTGCGAATGGCGATTGCCATGGGTCTTGGAACTGTGTCCGACAGCCGGCGGTCCGATGAACTCAGACAAGGTAAGGCGGTTTTCTTGGGATGCTTTGTAGTTGATTCATTACTCTCTTTCCGTCTTTCACGGAGCCCAGCCATGCCTCCAAGCGACCTTACTGCGGTGGGCCTTTTGGAAGAGGATGGATTGGAGGAGTGGAACTCCTGGGTGGACGTTTTACCACCCACGGGTGCTCCGCAGGGCAGCAAGAACCCCCCCGCGCCGAGGACCACTCTTGGCCCTGAGCTGCTTCAACCGCTTAGTTCAGTTGGCGAGCGTGCTCAATAAGATCTCCCGTCACATGTCTTCGGGATACAATATGGCTACCTTTGCGCAACAGTTGGTCATGGAGCTTAAGCAGTGGGATGACTGCCTACCTCTGGGATGCCGCCTGATTGGACCGGAAAGCATCTATCCAGAACGGCATTCAGCTTTGCTTCCCCACCAGAGTTATCTAGGGCTGACATATGTGGCCACCCTGCTTTGGCTCTATCTGCAATTGATCTCAGGTGAGCAGGGGTTGCACCGTTCACAGCGCCCAGCCACAGAGGGGGCCAAGAAGCTCCTCTACCGAGGGCTCTCTATGCTCACCCAACACTTGGAAAACTTCTCTATGTGCGGTTTTCCACCGTTATTCGAACTAAGTCTTCGCACAATTGCGGAGCAAGCGTTCAGACTTCGGGCTACTGCCGACTTGTCGGACACCTTCCCCTTTGCCAGATGGGCAGACGAGTTCCGACACAAAACAGCAGCTTTCACCTCCACATGGCCGGCCTATGGATCTTTGGTTTCTATCATGGAGAGGTGGCAGCACTCCAAAGATGTTGTTGGGGGCCCATCCACATTTCCGGGGGCAGTCGGCCTTCCATTTTCGGGTGCACCCATGGCAGGCCCCATGCAACCATTAGGCGGAGCTCGCAGCGTACCCCAAAACGGCGAAGGAGATTACACCTCTTCTATCCTTGGCATCAGTATGCCAGTCGATGGGCAATCTTTGACCCCAAAAGACACAGTAATGGAAAACACAGATCTAGGCATGATGGACGTGTCATTACACCACCCAAGGGAGGTACAGTCGGCCCTACCAGACAAGATCACTCCGCGCAGCAGAGTAGATTCTGTGTATGGCACAGCCAGCGCACAACACCAACAACCACAACCCCAAACTCCCGACTCGGCAACCTCAAACCCAATGATGGCTGGAAACATCGCTTCCGTTGGCGACATCGACGCCATCTTCAAAGACCTCGCATACCTGGATACTACTGAATGGTCCACTAACCGCGAGGCCGGTCTGAAGGACTTCGGCTTCTTGGATGATAGCACATTCCAGGCTTTCTGCCATGATCCAGATCGCTTGGGCGGATCACAGCCACTGGTTCATCCGCCTTCTATAGCGGATATCTGGCCACCGCCTGGGTTCTTCCCAGAGACCTTCCAGGAGGTGCCCGAGGAGTCTATGGGCGGCTGAGAGATCTCATTATGATCTTGCCAGCTAGCTTTTAGAGGCCATATTACTGTGGTCTACTGCATCTTCCTTGAAAGGCTATCGCCCGTTTGGGGCATCTCAATGGCCTCCTGGGCTGTCTAGTGATGACCCTGTGATCTCAGACACATTTGTTGTCTAAATGGGACATGGTTGGCCACATAATAGCCACCATCACAATCTAAGTCCAATGCTTAGTATCAAACTAACTCGCATGAGATTCATCTCGGCGGCTCATACCCCAACTGTCACGCTCTCGGTACAGGAAGAAGACTCTTATTCGTCCTCGCCTCACGAGAGACTGAATGCCATCAAATAATGTACATATACCCGTGTTGTAGGATAATTTGAAGTCCAGCGCATCTACACAAGTGTGGTGGCTGAAGCCACGCTACAAAAATGAAAGATTTTCTCCAAGGATACCACAAAACACTCAACTCGTGAAGTAGACATTTTCTATATAATTTTCTGTATAACTCTTGACAATATTGCTTTTCTATCTCTATCCCAAAAGCCCCAAGCCTATCCCCCACAACCCACATCCCTCCCCTACCAAACATTCCCAGCCGTCTGCTCCCTCTCCAACTTCTTAACATTGACATTTCTCCAAAACCAAGTACAAAGAATACAAAGCGTCCAAAACAAACACTAACAATCGCCATCTTCCTCTGAACATCAGCATAAGCCCCAACAATAGCATCCCCCCGTCCCATCCGCATACGACATCTGCGTCACCAAACTGGCAAAGATACTCGATACTCGCCGAAAGGTGCTTACTCTCCTGCGGCAGCGGGTTATACAACTCCTTCTCAAGGATATTATTCCACATCCAACCAGCAATGGCAGATCCCACTGCAGCTCTAATCGACCCCGGACAATCCCAAGATCGCCATCACAACGGCGATCTCTTGGTGCGTTACCATCGCCATTATCGCTAGCTGTCTGCACACAGTGAACAGGCAGCTGCCGAGTCCCACGAGAATTTGGATCATTGTAAGTAGCCCCACGTGTGTGTCTAGAGCACGGAAGGGCACCAGGAGTGCTGTTCCTAGGAGGAAGATTTGGACACCTTCCATGGCCATTTGGAGTCGCCGGTCCAGCTTATTACTCTGGGAGGGGGAGGCTTGTTAGGCTTTGTATATAGGAGGGATGTGTGCCTTTACCGATTCAATAAGGCTTTGATATGAAAGTCACTTCTTCTGGTTATCGTACTTTTTGATCATGAATAAGAACGGACTTTTGAGCAAGAACAAGTTAATAGACCTACAGAATACACCTTCACCACATCCATCATCTGAAACTATCCCCCCTCCAGTTTAAGACAAAGTCTGTACATAGCAAAGATCGTCGCCAAGAGATTGGGAGGCCTTAAGATGAGGCTTCAGCATAAAAGTACACTGACAGGAGTTGGTGTATTTGCTTTTGCTTTTGCAATCGGGGTCTTTTAGTCGCCATAGAATTGTTCCTTGAAGCTTTCTTACTTGACTCAGAATCCCCCTATCATCAGTTGACTTGCAACTATGGAGATTATTACACAGAGGTACCTTGTCCGAAAATTGTGCGACCACCTACATATGTACACTCAATCTGGCACCTCCATAACCTGACATGTGTATCTCAAAACAACCTCTCACTCCATCCCTCCATCCCCATCCACAGTAGCAACTGGACTTCCTCAAGCATCGCTCTACTCGTTTTTCCAAGACTATCAAAGACTATCAAAGACCAAGGGCTCGCCTATGAGCATTATCCATGTACTTTCTGGCGTAGACTGTTTTTCCATGATCATAGCCTAGCACCTTCTCTCGCCCCTGAAGAGCTTGTCGATACATGACTTCTGCCTCTTTGTACTGACCCTGGTCATAGAGTGAATGACCAAGCCAGTACGCAGAGTCGGGTGTTTCTTCATGATCATGGCCTAGTACCTTCTCTCGCCCCTTAAGAGCTCGTCGGAATATGGTTTCTGCCTCTTTAAACCGTTTCTGGCTATAGAGTGAGTTACCAGTCCGATGATGGCTTTTGGCTTCCGCGCGGAGCCCAAGTGTCTCGGCTTCGGCTGGTACCGTAGTCCCTAGAGAATAATATAACTTCTTATCCGATGCCGTGCTCCCTTGCGCAACGTTTGCCAGATCTGTGGTAGTTGAACGAGGCATGCCATGAAAGACATCCTTCGGTGCTTTTGAAGAAGGTTTCGTAGTCCATGACGCAAACTCTTCAGTCATTATCGTAGCTGGAGAGTGAATTCGTGGCTTGTCTTCAATAGCTTTCCTGGACTCAGGGGATTGGAGTATTAGCGATTGTATCCATACATTTGACATGGCAGATGTAGCCGTCATTCGATCATTAGGATCAGGACACATAAGTGAAAGCACAAAGTCGACGCCTGCTTGACTGATACCAGCATCGGTAAGCATGGTGACTGGGAAGTTCTGTTGATCTTTGTAATCTGCAAGCAATCCGGGAGTCGCAAACGCAGGTTCCTTGGTGAAGATCTCGAATACGATCTCACCAAGAGCCCAAATATCAGTCGCATACGCACTGCCTCGCTCAACGAACCCCCAAATTTCAGGGGCAAAATATCTTGGGGTGCCCTTTAGCGTCGTCGATTTCCCATCGCTTTCTTCGATGCGTTTGGTGATACCAAAGTCGGCGAGCTTAATCCACCACTCGTCTGGAGGATGTGACTTGATAAGGATATTCTAGACATTTGATTTAGTGAACTCTCTCTTTTGCGCGCTTGATAAGTAAACCCACATTTGGTTTCAAGTCTCGGTGAGCAAACCCATTTTCATGCATCATACTCAGACCATCGAGAATCTGATATGTGATTTCTTTCGCCTCAGCCTCTGGTAGTGGTGGTACTGGTCCTTTTTTATATAGATACATGAAAAGGTCGCCGAGTTCGAGGTATTCCATTGATATGAAGACCTGGCTGGGTCCTTCGTACCATCCGAATGACTTAACAAAGCATCGTTCATACTACTTTAATCAGCAACTCTTCTTATAATAAATCTTCCTTTCGAGACTAACGCGAGAGTGCGAGAACTTAGCAATTGCCTCCAACTCCCGACTGTAGTCGATCGATCCGAATCGCGTATCCATGTCAATCTGCTTAACTGCCCGGACTGCACCATCTTGAGCTGTGACCTCTGGCCGCCCACCTTTGGTGCACTTCTCCAGCCAGACGCTACCAAATCCACCACGTCCGACCCTTCTTTGCCGCCGCCAATGCTCCGATCTGGTCACAAGGCGCCGTCCAGAAGTTTGGTCTGATTCCTGGAACGTATGGACCGTCTCCACTGTACAGTCCGGGAGGAAATATGTCTCTAGCTTAGAATCTCGAATGAGGTCTGGGATTCGCGCCATTTAGACGTTCCTGTGAGCAGTTCACGCGTTGGTAGTGGGTGGTTTGTCCCCGCTGTGCCTGAGCACCCTGCACGTCACCTGACATAATAATGTTCTGGCCGCCAAGTGCATCTGACCTGCGGGCCTAACTCTTATTATAGAACCCATATATATGCTACAACTAATTGAGTCCACCCGCTCGTATTGAGGCTGCATCATATCACATTTGTCTTTGCTCAGCCGCGAGTATTTGTGGTGGCGGTCTACAACTTGACCAACCAGGGACTTCCATAGACTTACATGTACTTGGCTGGGCTTCATGTATTCTGTAGTGTTTCAGTCAGATTCATATACTTCAAGCCATACGGGGAGATATAAATAATGCATTCTCTCGCTGCGAATCTTTCATTTAATATCCATATCTCATAGTACATCATATATCTTTCTATCGATTCAATATGAAGTTCACTGTCGTCTCCCTTCTACTGGGTGCTAGCGTAGCCATTGCTGTCCCCATCGTCGAGCGAGACAGCTCTATTCAGATCAGTGACTTCTGGGCCAGAGCTAGCGCCGGCTCCTCTGCTACGATGCATTTCGTCGCGACTGATCCAAACTACCCCGACGATACCCCCACTGACTGCAACCTGATCTGGTGAGTCCAATTTGGTGAACATGATTACTTGACAATGACAGAGACTAACTGATATGATATGGTTGTCAGGTCATACGGATCTTCGCCAAAGGAAAGTGCCCGATGCAACAACAGTCAATACTACATCCACTTTCCCGATGGTGCCGTGGACTTCAACCGGTTTACACTGGGAATTGAGAGGGTCTCAGGCCCGATTGCTGAGAACGGTCAGGTTTTGCTGAGCTCCGGTACACAGTGGTCTTGTGTGGACAATCCGGAGAGTGCTGTTCACCTGAGCTGCTCGTATGATGGCGTTCTTAGTATGCCCGTGTGAGGATATGAGGAGTCAACTAGGAGTCACTCTGTACGGTGCTATTGGAGGCCTGTCTCTATGTCTATATTGGTAGATCTATGTGAAATTCACGAATTGCTTTATTCTCGGTATCCTATGATCTCCATTCATGACCACCATCCACGATGACCCTGTCCGTGATAACCCCCCACCTCCCACTGCACTTTTCACACTTCCAGCTCCATCAATCCTTGTGGTCTCACAACCACACAGCCACACATCTCTCTACTACCAACGGTCATGGTCATAGTCATTATCACATCTGGATAGAGTGGCTTTGCAAAGTTGAGAAACAAAAAGCAAAACAACCAACAGCTGGCTTCATTAACCTGCCCAGGCGGTCTGGTCACCTTTTATCGATATAACTATCCACCCACATTTGCCAAAGCCTCTCATCCATCGATAGAGTATCGCCATCTACCACAGCCTCTCACCAGGGACCACATTGGGGGGACATTGTTGGGGGGAGTTGATAGCATTTCAGCATTATTTTCCATGTACTTAATATCAATGTATCTGTTTCTGTTCCAATCAATGTTCTTTCTTACTAGGGTTGACTTCGAAGTTGCAGGTGTAAAGCTAGGTCAATCCCAAGTAAAGAAAAAGAAAGATAGAAGGCTTAACAGCTTAAATGAACGACCTTGTGTTTTCTGTGAACAAGGTCTGGCAACTGCTGTACATATGTAGTAGTTGAAGTCTCTCTGATATCTTGAAATTCATATCCGGAGTGGCAGGATACATGAGCCCGAGTCTTGTGCCTGATGCTTATGATCTTCAACATGGCATGAAGTTAGATAATTCTAGTGCAGTGTTTGCAGGTCTCAACTTGTTATGGTTTATACAAGAAAGGGAATATATGGAATTGAGACCCATCCATAGATTAGTACGATACAGTGTGATAGCTACAAAAGCTCTTCTCCCTCGAGGTCGAACCCATATCCCAATATCATTACTCAAATTACCTACGAATATACCTCTCCCGCACCGGATCACCTTCATGTGAGTAGACAACCCAATTCCCGATTCCAACAGCGTCACCTGTATCCCCCTTCCGCTCCGACGAACCAAAAATCAAATTATCAGGATGGTAAGAAGGATCCAACTTCATACGCTGGATAGCAGAGACATGAATTCGGGCATTCAGAGGGATATCACGAGATCGACCACGCGGCGGTGGCCACCGCACAGCCTTCAACGCTCCATCGGACCGCAATTCCATCCGTCGGAGGGGAAGATACTCCATCAGACGCCACGAGAGGACAGAAGTCAGCGGTAGACCGTTACCATACGCCAGGAGATCATGAATATGCCCTTCGGTGCCGGCCACCTGAAGCGCATGTAAGTAATCTCTGTGGGCTATCGATAATTCCGAGCTCGAGGCGTCCCTCTTCGAGTCCGAGGCATCTTGCAAATCAGAATCACCATTAAATTCCTCAATGCACTCGTGCTGTTTCAGCTTTCTCGGATCGAGTCGCAGTCCGGCGCGCCGCGCTTCTTGTACCATCCACACGAGAGGGGCGTGTGTTAATGGCCATACCTCGCTAGATCCGAGATTCCATCCTCCACCAATGTCTGCGTGTCCGCCGGGGAACCACATTTCTTCGATGTCCTGCATTTCGTTGTTGTCATCCGCTTCTATCTCCTGTTTCTTGCTTGGTGTGTTGACATTTGGGATTTCTGGAAGAACGGGAGGTCCGGATGTGGTTTCGGAGTCATCGTTCGCGGGCTTCTTCTCATCTGAGGACGTTTCACAAGCCCATTCATCTTTATGCGATCGCAGCAAAACCGGCCGGAACTTGATGCGTCGTTCATCAATGCTAACCGCATGTCGAACTACCTTGCTCGAGGTCCTCCCGTCAACATTAACCTCAAAGTCCGCGATACTATTGACTGCGTCGAACATGCCCAAGAAGTGCACACGAGCCATAGGCCGCGACAGTATCTCCCGGCTGTCTTTCATGACTCGAAAAGCCTTTTTCTTTGCTTCTCTGTCCTTATCCGTCCGGCCAAGTTTCCACGATACAAAGGCATCCCAAATAAACGGCACAACTTCTTCATTATCCGGACCCAGAAGCCCGACATAATCGAGCATCTCATTCAAGAACCGCGCCGTGTATGCACCACGCGAGAAGCCGAAAATATACACTTTGGTACCGGCTTGGTAGTGCCGCATGAGGAAGCGATACCCGCCCAGAACGTGCCGATCGAAGGAACGACCCAGTGCGAGATTGAGCGCTTTGCTATTATCTAGCGTGCCTTTCTTTTGGATCGTCGTGCTGGCCAGGGATCCCGGGGTTATGTCGGTGCCAATTCCCGCTGCCTGGGGTTAGTATCCTTGTGCTTTGTTGGTGGGTACGCTCATACGTTGGTAGTAACATACTGGCTTGCGGTTAGAAGACTTGTTTCGCTACCAAGTAGAGGAGGTGATCCCTTACGTTGCTCGTCGGACTTTTCTAACATGCGACAGATTCTCAAGATGTTGGTGTCCGTGCCGTCCGTGCGGAAGGTGTTTCCTGTGCCATCGAAGCACAGGACAATTTGTCGGCTTGACATCGTGCCGTCTGCTCCCAGAGCCTGGGAGGGTTCTTTCTCTTCAGTAAGGTTGGGGGACCTCGCATTTATATGTGCTCGAGGCGTTGTTTAGTGTTCGATTTGCCTTGTAATTCCCCACTCATGGGCATAGTACGGCGACGATCATGGCGATCTTCATCAATTGAGGAACCATCAACTTGGCAAAAATGCCAAGCGGGAGTGGGTGGACACTAGTTCGCCAAATCGGGTGTCATGCAGTTGATCTACACGGTCATTGCTTGTCGAGCTTTGAGCTTCAGTTGGTGGCTGCCCGGCATGTGACCAGTCTCACACAGCTATACAATATTACAACGACACGGGGTCTACAGGGCACGCGGAGTGCAGCCGACTTGAGCGCATGGAATCGACGCTAAAAACCATTGCTTGTTTCAGACCATTAAGCGAGTTGACACTATCTCAGTGGCACTATTGTACAACAGGCGTGCTCTTCGCAGTCCACCACTTGATACTGAACTCAAACCCAATGTCTGAATGGCCAATGAAACGAGTCGCGTTCCACGACTCTCTCCCAATTGAACGGAGAGTGCATCAATCCCCGAAATTCAGCTGGGTCTATTTCGTCCGTGTCCTCTATCAAATCCATCAAGTCCCGACATCTACAATAAAAACTCCATACTACCAAGATCCATCTATATAGGATGGTAATATAGATCAGACACCATACGGTGGATCAGGGTTGCATCCAAATTACAGGTATCCCTAATTCCGCACCTGTAAATGGCAAGCTTTGAAATTGGTTTGATATGATTGAAGCATTGGTATCACTAGATATGATCAGTAAATGGAATGAAAATAAGAAAGAAATGAGTCTTCGTCTGCCCGGCAGACGAAGCCAACACAGCGCCATAGCAAAACGCCTCAGGCCAATGACTCCTTTGAAAACATGGAACCATCTTTCCTCAGATGTGAGAATAGATGCAAGATCGAGTAAGAGGAAAAGAAAGAAAGGAAAGTTGATATATGTACAAGAATAATCCAAGTGGAAAGGAAATAGCTGAAGAGCAAAGATCAATCGAAGATATACTGCACCTCATGGCATGAAGACTGGAATGCCCTTAGTAGCTTGTTCACACGAGGTGTAATCCAACCAGACTGCGTGCCATTGGTAGCAACACCCGCAAAGGTAGTAGAAGCATGTTTACAAACACCCTCGGCGTGATTAAACGAGTACTGCAAGCACTCATCATTGCGCGTGCAGACCTCCGCACAAACATCCACCGTAGGAATCGTGCCAGCCGCAAAATCTATCTTGATCCCAGAGAGGTTATCCCAGTCGTCGCGTGCCGAGAAAGTCCCATCGTAGACAAGTTTCTGGTAAACGTCGGCATGCAGCATGAGCGCGTTCTTACCGCTAGCAAAGAACGCCCGATCAAACTCCCACATCTCCTTGATATCCTGCGGCGCCATGTGGTGGTACGAGATAACAGGGTAACACCACGGCTGTCGCCCGTATCCTTCGGAGAAATGGTCGATTTCCCATGGGCGTGACGTCATCATCATCGGCCATGCCCACGTCAGATCGACGTGCACGTCGTGCAGTGCTCGCGCCAGCGCACAGTCGCCTGCCCACTCGTGTGCTGTCATGGCTTCGAGGTCTTCCTTTGCCCCTATCTGGTACTCGTGCAGGAGGTTCATCGTCCACCTTGAGAGGACGATGCCCGCCCCGCCGTAGCCAAAGAGGGTTTCCCCGATTTGCATGGGGCTTCCCAGGTAGTATTGCCGATCTGGGTTGAGGTGTGCCAGCCAGCTGATCAGGTTCGGCCACACCATATAGGTGTCGGCTTCGAGGAAGACGTACCACTTGGCGTCGGGCATGACTTCTAGTGCTTCGTCGATCATTGGGAGGAATTTCCATTTGTCGAGCTTCCAGCCTGGATTGTTGACCTTGCCTAGTGGGCCGTTTGTGTCGTCACCCCATTCTTCGTCTGTTAGGCCTTCCCGTCCGACTTGTTGTAGACGGCGATAGATGTCGAATTCGGGTTCGTTATCCATTGTCGACTCGCTGATGTTGCGGAGGACGTCATACGTGCGGACCCCCTCGATGGTTTCTTCGTAGTCGGAGAAGATGGCGAAGTGTGGGACGCATTGCAGGGTGGTGCGGAGGTGGATGGGGACTTTTTCGAGGGATTCGGTCGCGCCAGTTTTAATTACGACCATAACATCATCGAGTGCATGTAGTAAATGGCCGCATTTCTCCTCCAATGTCTCCTCTTTGGGAGGGGGAGGGGGAGGAGAACTTGTCTGCTTCTCCTCCCCTACCACAATTGTCCCTCCTCCGGCATGAGGAATTTGTTCTGAGTTGTTCACGATTGTCGGGTTGGATTCAGGCAGTCGAAAGAGATAGTATATGAAGCAAAATGAAACGAACGGAAAGACGACGAAGAGCCATCGTCGCGGAGAACTAGACATAGTCGGGTTGGTGCTCAGGGACAATCTAAAGAAGATCAAACAGGAACCGATGCCATTTAGCTAACGAGAGTAAGGAGGGTGAGAGAAGACAGAAAATATTGAAACAAATGCTTCATAGCACGAGGAAGGAAAAAAGGGGTCAGTGATCGCTGTCGCTGGGCCAAACCAGTTCGACACTGCCTCGGCGTGAATAGTGGACATTCCATAGGCCGGCAGAAATGATTCGGTCGAACCTGTGAACGGGGGAGCTTTGATAGGCCAAGAGACAGGTTCATGGGGACTGATCAGCAACCACGCGGCACATGAGCCAACTAAACTGTGGCGTCTTTCAGACCGCTGCCCCACGGGAAGCGTCATCGCTTGCGGGACTTTACATAGCGAGGCAATGATCGACTGTGTCGAGTGTTTGTTAGTGGGGGAAGATTCAGGAGATGAAGATCAGGGGTATTTCATCAAGTTTGAGACTGGTGTCAATTAATCTGTAGTATGGAGTATAGCAGTCAGACATGGCGTTAAAATAAATTAAGCATGAAACAGGGGGACGTCTACGGCCATGTGGACATGGGATTGTGGCCTTATTATGGCCTGAGGGATGAGGCATGAATCATGTGTGGTTTCATTGTTTTGAGCACAGACCAACTTGGGGCTGACGAGGTCCCTGTTGATCAACTGTCAACTCATTGTCCAACTACAACATACAAAATAAATACAGCCCAATCATCACACATATACAGTTATCCACAAAGTTTAAGCTTCAGCTTCAGCTCCAACTCTCAACCGCCTTTTCCGTTCCCACAAGAACACAGGAGTGATAGTCAAGGCAACAGCCATACACACAATGACAGCCTGAATACCAAAAACCAGTCCGAGCCCATTGCGCTGTATCCACGCAGGCTGAAAGTATCCCACCGCGAACCCGCCGCAGGTGCGCCACATATTCAGAATGGCCGAGACACAGGTCGCCTGCTCCGGGTATTTTTCCAATGCATAGGCCGAGATGGCACTGTGCCAATGATGTTAGAGATATGACACAATACTCAAAAGGGTGAAGTTGGAACTTACACAATCGTGGCTACCATGCCGATGTTCACCATGATCCACCCAGTGGCTATCCCAATCCAGTGCTTGCCAAAGTGCATGGTTAGTCCGTACGCGAGGAGACCGCTGGCCATGCTACCTATCGGGAACCAGACGCCGTGGAGGCGGAGCTCGGTTCTCCATGTTGAGCCATGGTACTTGAAGATCCAGCCATTGAAGAAATGGCCAACTGCCCAGCCTGGGGAAATGGTGAGAATCTGGAGAGATGGGGGGTTTGTGAGGATTCAGGCTCATACCACATAAAGCTCCAATCACACCGGCGAATCGCATCGATGATGCCCCGATCGTGTCAAACAAATATGGGGGGCTGTGCAGGAAAGTATCGATGGTGGTTGTGATTCCTAAAGAGTCAGCGGGTAAAAAGAAAAATATAATGATAGTTACTCACCAATTGGCCAGGTAAATGTTACCAAGATAGCCATGCCTATGACAAAATCCTGGTCAGTGAATGCCATTTCAAGCTAAGTCGGCCATACCCACCAGTCATCAACAGCGGGAACTTAAACACATAGACCACGACCGTTCGGCTCCAATATCTCAATGTCGATCCCTTGGGAAGCAGGGTATTGCCAATGCCAAAATAAGACGCGAGGCGGGACTGCTTGGTTGTTCGTCCAGGCTCATGGTATGTCTCATAGCCGAACAGGATCACCATTGCCGTGGACACGCCATAAATGGCTGTCAGGACTCCGAAGGAGGTACGCCAATCTGACCCGGCGCCGATGTATCCTGCTATCGCGGGACCGAGGAATGGCCCGACGAGGAAGGTGGTGCCCCTGTGCTCAGTCAGTGCTACTCTGGTTAGACTTGAGTGGCAAGTCTCCTACCAAATATTGATCATTCGCGGCCATTCTATTGTTGGATCAGCATAAAGTACTTTGGGCAATCCCGGAGAAAATACTTACCGGCCGAGGTATACATATCATGAATGATTGGAAGCCCAATTACCTGAGGCACTGTCCCAAACAGACCCTGCAAAGAGCGGAACGTCGTGAAGGTAGACCAATCATTGGAGAGGGTAGCACCCAGCACCATGAACATGGTGATCACCTGAGGCCACAGCCAGATCGGCAAACTACATGCAGCTGTCAGTGTGATAGCCAATGCGAGCGAAAAAAGAGAACCAACTCACCGACCATACGCTTCAATGAGCGGAACAGCAAAGATCCCCCCAAACCCCTGCAGCAGAATACCATAATTCATACTCGTCGCCGAATGAGCGATGCTAATATCCCAATCCATGGCCTGCTCCGTGACCAGCGTTCCACCCCAGACCATAGCCCTGCAAGAGATCAGTCAGAAAAATCATCTATGCATACCATACACGTTTGAACTGGCAGCCGCGATGGGTTTCGCGATTGACTGTCCATACATACCCATCTGCTAACAACGAACTCGTCATCAGCGACACGAAGAGCATTGTCTTCCGCGCCGACGACCAGTTCCTCGGGTTCAAGGGATCCCTGGCCTTAACATCCAAACCGGAATCGCATTCCTTCAGTTCATGTGTCCCAAGCGACCACGACGCACTGGTTGCCATCTCGTGCGTAAAGTAGACTGGAGAGGGTTTCTCCATGCTAGATATGTTTACCCTTTTCGGGCCTTTATTCTGTATAGTGTAAGGCGCGACCCCACAACGAAGAATTTGGGTCAGGTAAGGAGGTGAATGAAGATCTTTTTCTTTTCTGTGTGACGGGGCACTGTAGGTTTTATGCACGGCCGGTTTTTCGAATACACATGGGGATTCTCGCGTGGCTTTTATTGCAGAGGGAGATTCTAGAAAGTTAGAAATTAAGAGAGATCAGATGTCCATAACTGGTTTCTGATTTGGATCTGTTGAAAAGTCTCCGGGGGTCTACGTATAGTGGATGTATCACAAAGGTAGATCGGGACTACATAGTAGATCCTTTGCCTTCGGGTAATTCGCAATTGGGCTCTTCTATTCGCTGGTTTATTCTTCTTAGCTTTACTTCTTTCTATCGTATGAAGTATTGCCGTGGCATTGCCGGGTCTTGGTGTGACATGGTATCCCTTGCGCATACCTGACCTAGCCACATTAGACCAATGATCTTCCACGGAGCACAATAATCCTATACTAATAATGGGTCTAGAATTGTTGTTCTATAATCTGCTAGTATTTCAGACATGAATTATCTACTCCGTACATCGTATTCGCACTTGTACCGGAATTTGTACCGAACCCCACATGTTATACATGTACTGCATGTAGATATTTAGACCAGAGTATAAGGCAGAGAGTTATGTATACATACACACATATCACTTCCCTATCGTCCTCACACTCAAAACTCCTTCTCTAATCCCAATGTCTTTTCTAAACCGCCTAGCCAGCCTTCTGGGCCTTTCATCCCCTGTTGCACCCCCAGGCGCCGCCCTCGCAGCAACCGTTACAGTAGTGAGTATGACGAGCCCGTCAGACAAGTCTTCTATCTAATCCAGTCACAGTCTGCATCGTTGGGATTTGTCCCAGTCGCGGTTCACTTTGATCTCTTCAATATCCTCGTGAGTCATGGCAGACCTGTGACGGCAGATGAAGTATCGGCGACCTGCAATGCACGTATCAAATCCCGAGGGGAAAATGAGCCTGAACTGAGTACGTGTTTAAATTTGAATACCTGATGGCTGTTATACTGACGATGAACATAGGTACAAGATTAGCCTGTAAGCACACCCTCGTGCAGGTAGGAGCAGTATACCAATACTAATCCCTTTTTGCAGCGGACACACTCTACATCATGGCTGGACTCGGCCTAGTAGAACGCGTAACCGACGATTGCTTCACGGCAAATGCCATCACAAACCACATGGTTGCCATGCCGTCCGCGCAGCATGGCGTACTGCACTTGTCAGTCCCTCACCCCCCATGCATGCCCGATTTCTATTCTAGAAACTACACAAATTTCCAGGCACGCACTAACCCCACCTAGCACCACGGAAGGCCTAATGGCAGGCGCATTCTTGATGAAAAAGCTCCAGGATACCCGCTTTGCATACCCCTTCGCGGAGGCGGATGGCCCCTTGCAATATGCCTATCGGCTAATGGGCCAATCCAAGCTGGCGAAGCAGCATACGTACTCGATCATGGAGACCCAGGGTCGTATGGACAGTTTCAACCATTTCATGGTCGGCAAGTTCCTGAAGTTCGGGACTTTCCCCGAGCGCGTCAAATCGATGGGCTATGATTTAGATGGCGCGTTGGCGGGTGGCACTGCCACTGGCACTGGCACCGGTTCTGCTACTATGGTTGACATCGGCGGTGGTCGTGGCGAACTCCTCCTCGAGGTCCAGGCTGTGTACCCCCATCTCGGCGCGGAGGATCTAATCGTGCAGGAATTCAATGCTGATATCGATAACGTGCCTGGTGTGCGTCTTATGGAGTGGAACTACAAGGAGGAGGAGGAGCAGCCCGTTCGTGGGGCATGTGTTTACGCGCTGCAACATATCTTGCATAACTTGCCTGATTTGGATGCTGTGGCATTGCTGCAGAAGATTTCGCGTGCTATGACTCCTGGTTCGAGGGTGTTGATTATTGAGTATGCCAAGAATCTGACTTATGCTTCACTTCATGCGAGTATGATTGCGTTGTACGGAGGCCGAGAGAGGGGTTCGGTGGAGTGGAGGCAGATGGCGGGTTTGTGTGGGCTGGAGGTGACTTTTGAGGTTTATGTTAGGGCTGGAGAGTCATTGGTTGAGATGAGGAGGGCAGATCGGTAGTTCAGGGCTAATAGAGTTAATTAATTTAGTACTTTATTAGTTGATTGGTTAGTTGGTTAATATGATGTATCATTTCTACCTCTTATGTACATATGTATACAGATCACATCCCTTCAATAGCTTCGCTTACCCGAAGCTTATACTAGTTTTTATCTCTCGAACTGCTAAGCAGATCTTTGTAGATCCAAACTAGGAGTGTATCGAACCCATCGATTCCATGTGGATATACGGAGTATGTTTGATGTATTTTTTTTTCTCATTCCTCGTCACATCCCTTGCTGCAACTCACATGGCCACTGCATGGTTTCTATCCCCTCCACCAGGAATGTCGCCTGTGTCTAATCCACATGGTCCTGGCAATGCGAAGCTTTCCATTTCCACGATCAAAATATTGCATTTCTTGATACGCAGATTGGCCACGCGAGCTTGACTCTCGTCATAACTGGACGTACATGACCCCGTATTCACGCCATATCATTCAACGAAATAAGTCGCTTCGCTTGGCCTGATTATATTCCCTGCGCAAATCTCTTGATTTACAATTACATCCCTTGTTTCCTCTCAATTTACTTTTACTACCTATACGAACCTTCCCACCCGATAAAAACGAGAGTCCAGGCAGGTTTCTGATCTGTAAATCGGTTCGTGTGAGAGTTTTAGCGTGATCTCCATTTCCGAGAATCTTCAAGGGCAACTTGAAAACTTTGCTCTACTGGTTCTTGGTTCTGGATTGGATTCGGATTCTGATTCATCTGATTGACCCCGCGTATCTTTCTCGTCTGTATCCATGCCAATGAGTATTTGAATTGGCTCCCCGCGCTGTAATCGGGAATTTGCCAAATACTTGGCTGCTTGACACATCTAGTCCTTGTGTTTCATCTTTATTATGGATATTCCAAAGCCTGGTGAGGGCGATGTTGACATCGGTATGTTTACCTCGGGGCAAAGGCCAAGAAAATAGACTTAGAAGGTTGTGGATTAACATGTTTAACAGGAACTGGCGCATTTCAGGCTTGCTGGGTATGCTATTCATCCCTATAGACTGCCTCTGCATAAATGTATGCTGATTTTCGAGCAGGTCCTCACAGCCATTGTCGGCGTGGCATTGTTGTTCCGCTATGCCATCAAGGTCTGGGTGCGCTGGGCTTTGCCTCAAGTCACTGCACCCGGCCGAATCTGGGGTATAGAGGACTTGTTCTTCCTCGTGGCTTGGGGTTTTGATGTTACCCATATGATATTTATTCAAATGAGGTGAGATCGACTTGTGTCATTAGTTCCATGTCAGCCACTAATTCTGTGTAGTGCCAACTGGGGTCTCGGGAGGCATTTCTTTTACTTGACTGGTGAAGAACGTCTTTATGCTATGAAATGGGATTTCCTTTCCCAGCCTCTGGCTGTCACTTCTGCCATGGTCTCACGCGCAGGCATGATGTGGTTTCTTTTGACTTGCTTTGCGGCGAGCGACAAGAAGATTCGCCAATCTATCATTGCTTGTGCTGTTGTTCAGGTTGTCGTCAATATGGTTACAATCGTCCAGATTATTGTCCAGTGCGGCCCGAATCAGTATCAGACGGTCAGCATCCTCCTTCTTAGTGATGGGCCCATTCTAATCTCATAGCAGACTGATCGAGTACAATACTTCCACTATATGTGGACACCACTCCCTGAAGATGGTTCCGTCAAGTGCCAATCACCGACTGTCCAGACGACTATCGGCTTCGTGCAAGGAGGTATGTAAAATTATACTTCAACCCAATGCAAAGCTAATTAAAATTCCGACAGGATTCAACACTGTCATCGATTTCTTCCTTGCCGTGCTCGCTGCCGTCGAACTGTGGCAATTCTTCTTGCGAACGCTCCATCGTAACCCAAACACCTCATTCTGGTCCCAATTCTGCAAAATTAGTGGCACCGTCCGATCCCGCCGGATCTGGCAGACGATCACTCTCAGCGGACCACTCCTTCTCTCCGGCTGTGCTTCTATTGTAAAGACCTATGTGAGTAGACTGTTTTTCCCCGACTGGTACAGCAATGCTAATATCATCCACTAGAAACTCAAATCCCTCGGTGACAGACAGGATTTCACCTATAACATCGTGACCTTCGTTCTCTGGGTAAAGTAAGTACAACCACCATCTCCCAATCTTAAACCCAAACCCTAATATCATTCATTGACGACCCCAGAATCGAAAACTACAGCATCCTTCTCGCCTCGTGTGCCCCAGTAGCCCGCCTCTTCCTCCGCTCCTTCGTCGACCAGAGACGCGAAGGTCGGTCTCATGGCTACTGGTCTCGCTCCCGCTCGACAGGACACAACGAGCCTGACACAGAGCTGAAACGCCGCGCCAATGTCCAGGACCAGTGGCTGGATTCCGCTACGGTGACTAATATGACCAATACCTGTATTCACGATGAGGAGAATCCGGCGACTAGGTGGAGTGGACATGGGCATGAGCGCTCGATGAGTCAGGTATCCAGAGCGGAGATGCCGGAGCATCTTGATGATGGATGTGTTACTGTTAAGACCGATATTGTTGTTCAGGTTGATGATGGGAGGTCAATTTCTTCAGGTGGGACTAGATTGTTACCTGATGGTGGTGAGTCTCATTCTACGGGGTTTCATTGATTTACGGTATACAGATCTCTAGTATATAATAAGGAAGGTTGACTGCGGCGGATGCTGCTTTTTATGTTTATATATATATAGTGTGGAGCACCCATGAATGATGCCCAATAAGCAATTAACTCAGTGTATATACTAGCCCCCAATCAAACCAGACTATCCAGTGGTTTAAATTGACAGGGAAGACATGCGGTACGATAAGGAAAAAGAATGCCACCGATATACATGAATTTGGAGAGAAAATATACTGTCATACATGTACCACGCCGATTACTGGGACATAATGCCATTTATGGCCTGCCCATTCATTAATTGGCCCAAGTGGTCGAGCAGTTTCCTGGTCTAGCGGTTATGATTTTCCGTTAACAAATGCATCTAGTATATGTTCCGGAAAGGTTCTGGGTTCGATTCCCAGGGAAACTATTTTTTGTCTTTTTGCTTATTTAAACTACAGTCAAGAACTTGATTTCCTTTTTCTGCCGTATCACACCATAATCAGTTTCCTGGTCTAGCGGTTATGATTTTCCGTTAACAAGTGCAAAATAGCATATGTTCCGGAAAGGTTCTGGGTTCGATTCCCAGGGAAACTATTTTTTGTATTTTTGCTATGTAAATGATAACGGAGGTACTTCGCTTTTTTTTGGTTTGTATCACCGATGAAATATTTTCCGTCACTTCAATAGATATTGTAATTATGCTTCCACTACATTACCAACGCCCAGGCTGCTGATGTCATCCATTTTCAATAGATCTAAGGGGAAAAAAGCAAAAAGATGTATAAAAACGAGCAACACAAGATAGCCCTAGAAAGGCACAAATTGTACTCCGTTCACACACGTCCATGAGTGGCATTGTCGGTTCTACCAGAGTTTCAAAATTCAGTCTACTTCTCGGCTACCAGTGGAGTTCAAAAAAGCGAGGATCTCATCATTACTTAGTGATGCGCTTTAACGCTAAGCCATGCGAGCTGGTTGATGTATGTCATAATGAGCCAGAATACAGATTATAAAAAGACAAGATGTTTCCCACGGTTGCTTTAACCTTGAACAGAGGTGGGGCCTCCCCGCAACCTCGAATATACCTAGGTATAATCTCAAGCCTGTAAGGTTGTTTCAGCCTTCAAATATCAAATCCTATTACTACTATGGATTCATGACACCGATGACATAAACGTCACGTGAATATATCCCAATCCCCACCGCACGGTCAACAGCTCCTTCACCCTCCAACAATGCCGCCCAAAAAACCCGCCTTCCCTTACCGACGGAGCTCCAATGCCTCGGAAGATGACTTCTTCGACATCCCCGACGAACCATGTCTCTCCATAGTTAAGCGCCAGCTACGACATGTCCGAACATGGGTCACAGTCGCCGTTATCATCTTGTTTATCCTGTGGCAACGCCGTGAACGTCCCCCGCCGCCGCCCCTACCACATATCCACTACGACGAGGTCGATTGGTCGCGCTTTGCCTATACCCAGTATGCAACCAATGAGGTCTACATGTGCAATTGCCTGATGGTCTTCGAGGCTCTGCACAGACTCGGCAGCAAGGCGGACCGCGTGCTGTTTTACCCGGAGGAGTGGGACCTCGTTGTCGAGGATGACTTTGATCGCGTCAGCCAGTTGCTACTTGAGGCTAAACACAAGTACAATGTGCTGCTGATCCCGATTAAGATTGAGGGAATTCAGGATCCATCGGGTGAGTTGGGCTGCCGCTGTTGGAAGTGACCTAGCCTCTTGAACACACTTACTTACATGTCAACCCATTTCATAGTCGCCAGTTCCAGGGCTTCGTGGGATACTAGCACCGCCAAACTCATGGCATTTGGCGAACACGAATATGACCGCGTTATCCACCTCGACTCGGACGTTATCCTCCTCCAGACAATGGACGAGCTGTTCTTCCTCCCTCCTACCACTGTCGCCATGCCACGTGCCTACTGGCTTCTCCCGGACAAACTGCTCTCGTCGCTGATCGTGGTCATTGAGCCCTCCCTCCGCGAATACCTTGCCTTGACCGACTCTACTAAACTCGCTCAGAACGGTCAAGTCGATATGAACCTGACAGACCACCGGTATGATATGGAGCTGTTGAATAGGCGGTACGGGGACTCGGCAATGGTCCTCCCGCACCGGCAGTATGGTCTGTTGAGCGGCGAGTTCCGGACGAAGGATCATCGCAAATTCCTGGGGAATGATGATGAGGTCTGGGATCCTGATCATGTTCTGGCGCAGGCTAAGTTCGTGCATTTTTCGGATTGGCCGCTGCCGAAGCCATGGGTTATGTGGCCGCAGGAAATGTTGGCGGCGGAGCAGCCGAAGTGTGATAATAACCCTGGCACGCCGCAGGAGAGTGGGTGTCGGGATCGGGAGATTTGGAAGATGATATATGATAAATATCGGAGACAACGAAAGGTATGTGTGTGTATGGGGATGGGGATGAATTGGTTGGTTGCTAACTGTTGTAGGATATCTGCAAGCTGCTCAGTTATCCGGCGCCGGTTTGAGTGGAAACACTTCATTGATTAATTGTATAGACATGTAGCATAGGTAGATTATGGCGTTTGGGATATTAGCTCTGTAAAGGGAAGGCATGAATCAACGACGATCACTGTAGTATCACAAAACAGAATTCAACTGGATATCTCAGCAAGTAGTACTCCGTACACAAAACAAACTCCATAAATGCAACCCTCCAGGAAGACATCAAGCATACCCCATCCCCCTCCTCCACCAATTCCAAACCCCCCTCCTCGCCATAATGCCCCCAAACTCTTTGACACTCTCCACCTCATCCAATCCCACTGCGAGATTTGGCTCTTTCCCGACTTTCTTCTCCCCGTTCCCGTTCCCAGTCCCCTGTTTTCCACATCCATCCTCCACCTCCACAACCCCGGGCCTTGTAACCAACTGGAAATCCTTATATCGCAACCGACGCACAACATCCACCCAGCTCTCCACTGGCTCCTTCCCACCCTCCACGTACATGATCCCCGGACACCCGCCGGAGCGCAGGAGTACGGCGCATTGGTGTGTGTCTGCGGCGCGTTTGAGGGCGGCTACTTTTTTGCGGGAGGTTATGTGGTGGGTGCGGATTAGAGCGTTGTAGAGGGTTTGCATTTTGGGGGAGGGGGGAGAGGGAGGAAGTTGAGGTTGGAGTTGGAAACTGGGAGCTTGGACCTTGGCGCTAGACTGGATTGGGAATTGGGATGGGAATATGGTTTTAGAGATGAGAGAGGTTGGAATTGGTACTGGGTACATTTCAAGTTGATATTGGGCCTTTGATCTTCCAAGGCTTTATTTGATCAATTAATTCTGATATGTAGATTGAGTATAATCACATATAAATCAAATGATATTGTGTCTTTATGCGTCTTTATGTTGTAAAATAGACACCTGAGGCATGAATATGCTAGTAATCCCACGTGAGAAATTCTCCGTCATTCTGCATGTCGAAAAGTGCGGGGGGTGACACTTCAGGGCTGCACGTAACTGGCGGTGTATGATGCATGTCTTAGGACTTCGTATAGTATGTCAGGTATATCTACAGCATACTACAACATAATGACCCGAATGCTCATATTGAAGTGGACTAGAATATATTATGTATATGTGGATTCTTGTATAGTTATAACTCTAGACCGTATAGCCCTGGAGACCTAATTGGGTTAGATAGTATATGTATATCATTTGTACGGGTAACGAGTTAGCCGCTATAGAAATGATTCCCTGGTTCCCCGATGGCTCTAGAATGGTTTCGGTGGATCCCTTTTCTCGTCTTGGCTTCCTTTTTCTGCTAAACAATCGCGCGGTGGCCGCGGACTCCGCCCAGGGGAGCTTGGGATTGTTTTTTATATCCAAGCCTTTCTCGAGTGAACTGCCAAAATTGGTGAAAAGAATGCAAGGCCTTTCATCGCACCCACTTTTCTCCTGTCATTGGCCGTATAACGATATGGTCAGATATCATCTTGGGCCCATCAGGAACATCTTGAAGATTCTGCTTTTTCATCGCTTACCGGATTGGCTGATCATCCCCACGTTCATCATAATGAGCCTTGGCTTCTCTTTCGGGGGACATCTGGTCATCGTACTGGTTTTTTTTTCTTGATTGAATTTGTTAATTTTCATTACTTATAAATATAAATCGAGATCGTGCAATTTATTCATATAAAGTACAACAATGAGGTCAGGGTTTTCTTGAACTATCTAAAAGGCTCAATATGCCCGCTCCTCTTCACCCCCACTTGAAGCATAGTTCTTCCTTTGCCACAGAAAAACACAACAATGATCCTCCAAGGGTGCAGGTCTCACACGAAGATGAGGATGCCCTCGCCGACATCCATCACACATTAACCGCCCAAACTCACCTGGATCCCAAGTATCCGGAACCGCATTCCTCCTTTGACAAGTTCCTCGAGGAACAAGTCCAGGGCAAGAAACCAGCTAACCTCGGTGTCTGTTTCCAATCCCTCTCAACTTGGGGTGACGGGGACTCCCACGCAGATGTGAAGACCTTCGCCACAGCCCTGTGGCGTACCCTCACCCTACAGGATATCTACGAGTGGACCATTCAGCCATGGATCGCAAAGAAGAAGCCTGAGAATGGACGTCCGCTGATCCGGGACTTTTCTGGTGTCGTGCAGAGCGGAGAGATCATGCTGTAAGCAGAAAACCAACCCCATCTCATCCCTACCGAATTTGGCCTAATTGAAGTATATAGCGTTCTGGGCCGTCCTGGTGCCGGCTGTTCAACCTTTCTCCGAACTATCGCTGGCCACCACTCTTCCTTCTTGGGTGTTACAGGGTCAATAGATTACTCCGGTCTCAGCTCGGATGAGGTCAGGAAGCACTACCGTGGCGCAGTGGCCTATGTCCCAGAGGACGATGTGCATTTCCCGACCCTAACCGTGCTTCAAACGCTCGAGTTTGCATTGCAGAGTAAGACCCCCAAGCGCTACCGGGAGAGGATTCCCCGGTACCTGGAGATCTATGGGCGGGTTTTTGGTATGTCGCATACCATGAACACGCTGGTGGGAAATGAGTATATCCGCGGTGTGTCCGGAGGAGAGCGCAAGCGTATCTCCATCATTGAATCTCTCGCTACTGATTCATCGGTAGCATGTTGGGATAATTCCACGAGAGGACTGGATGCGTCCTCTGCACTCGACTATGCACGCAGTCTGCGTATCATGACCGATACATGTGGCAAAGCAACTTTGCTCACTTTGTACCAGGCCTCAGATGCTATCTACGAGCTGGTGGATAAGGTGCTGCTCATCGATGAAGGCCGCATGCTATACCAAGGACCTGCCAACGAGGCGAAGCGTTACTTTCAAGATCTGGGCTACGAGTGCGCTGATATGCAGACGACTTCGGATTTCCTGACAAGCATCACCGTTCCTGAAAGACGGCGGTTCCGTGCTGGATGGGAAAAGCGCGCCCCAAAGGGCCCCGTCGAACTCGAAGCCGCTTTCCGCCAGAGTGCTGCTTTTGCCAACATCGAGACCGCTGTTGAAAGCTACGAAGACCAGAAGCTCACCGGTAGGCCTTCTGGCCCGGCGGATTCGGAGTGCGACAGCGTGGAGGTATTCAAGAAGACCGTGCAGAGTGATAAGTCGCGCTTCGTCTCGTCTAAGTCACCATATACGATTTCGCTCTTCCGACAGGTTGTTCTTTGCGCGAAGCGTCAGATGTGGCAGCTGAAAGGGCATATGGGCCCGCTGTACATCAAGTTGATTTCTTGCGTGGTTTATGGGTTGTTGATTGGATCTATGTTCTACGATCAACCCCAGACCACCGAGGGTATGTACTCCCGTGGAGGTGTGCTCTTCTACTCTTCCATTTTGCTTGCCTGGCTGCAAATGTCGGAGTTGGAAGAAGCCATGCAGGGTCGAGATATCCTGAACCGACAGAAGAAATTTGCTTTTGTGAGGCCCAGCGCTGTGTGTTTGGCCCGAGTGCTCTCAGATATGGTGATAACGGCGCTTTTGACTTTCTTATATTTGATCGTCATGTACTTCCTGTCTGGCTTACGGTCTGATGTGAGTAACTTCGGAATCTTGCCGCAATTATAGACGCGCTAACTCTTCTAGGCCGGTGCCTTCTTTATCGACGGCCTCTTCATTTACACCTGCACGGTCTGCCTCACGGCGCAGTTCCGTGTCTTCGCCGCTTTATCGCAGAACTTTGAAGTTGCCCTCCGCTACTGTGGAGTTTCTGTTATGTTGTGCATTGTGTTCGGCGGCTACGTTCTCTCCGTCGACAAGATGATTCAAGATGTTCCTTGGGTTGGATGGATTGCGTATACAACTCCTGCTCTGTATACATACGAAGCAGTCATGGCGGCCGAATTCCACAACGTTAACTTCACGTGCGCGGCCGCATCCATTATCCCATCCGGTTCGGAATATACGGACCTCGCGTACCAGACCTGTGCCTATGCTGGTAGTCAGATTGGCAGCACCGTCGTGAACGGCGATGACTACCTGGCTGTGAAGTATGGATTCTACTACAGCAACGTCTGGCGCAATTTCGGGATTCTGTGTCTCTTCACCGTTGTCTTTGTTGGGATGACCTGCTGGTTGAGTGAGGTGCTGGAGTGGGAGCTGGACAGTGCTGGTCCTATCCAGTACAAGGGCTCGCGGAAGCTGTTCAAGCGGAAGAAGAAGGTTCAGTCCGATGAAGAGAAATCACCAGTCTCGGTTGATTCTGCTGCACCGCCTGTTGGTTATGAAACAAAGCATGACCAGACACTTACAGCTACCGAGTCTACCTTTTCCTGGTCTGACTTGGAGCTCAATGTGCAGATTGGCAAGGAGACTAGGAAGATCTTGGATGGTGTTTGTGGATACTGCAAGCCAGGGTCTTTGACTGCTCTCGTTGGTGCCTCGGGAGCAGGCAAGTCTACATGTAAGATCCCCAATGAAATGACTTCATCGCTTGATTTCTGACAATCTTTAGTATTGACTGCACTCACCCAAAGAGAGAGTCCCGGCACCTTATCCGGGTCTCTATTCGTGGACAACCGGTCAATTGACCAGTCATTCAACCGACAGATCGGGTATTGCCAGCAAATGGACATCCACGACGAAAGCAGCACGATCAGAGAAGCATTCGAGTTCTCTGCACTCCTCCGACAAAGCCACGAAGTTTCAACGGCGGAAAAACTGGCATATGTGGAAACGGTGATTCACACATTGGACCTGGTTGAATTGCAAGATGCAGTGATCGGCTCCTTGGACATTGAGAAGAAAAAGCGTGTTACTATTGGAGTGGAGCTGTGCGCTCGACCAAAACTGCTTCTTTTCCTTGATGAACCGACAAGTGGACTCGACAGCCAGGGTGCAACTAGTATCGTCGCTCTGCTTCGACGTCTGGCTAACCAGGGACTGGCGGTCCTCTGCACCATCCACCAAGCTAACCAGCAGCAATTCGAAGAGGTAAGTACCAGCCGCCCTGATCAAGAATCAATACTAATAAGACCAGTTTGACCGCGTTCTAGCTCTGAGCCCTGGCGGAAGCACATACTACTTCGGTCCAGTTGGCGAATCCGGCCATGCAATCTTTGAGTATTTTGCAAGACACGGCAATATCCCAGAAAAGGTCACCAACGCAGCCGACTTCCTCATCGAAGTAGTCGTCGGCGGCATGAAAGCCGCGGGAAAACAAACGAACTGGGCAGCCGTCTGGCGCAACTCAGAAGAATTTGCCGAAGTTAAGAACGAGATCGCCTCAATCCGTTCCGACAAGAATACCCGCTCCCCTTCCCTGCCTCCAACCCTACCCCCTCTCAGCCTGCAGATCAAACTCCTCACCCAACGGACATGTCGACAATTCTGGCGCACCGCTGAGTACCCATACTCGCGTCTTTACTCTTCCTTCCTGCATGCTCTCATCAACGGCCTCACCTACCTCCAGATCGGCAATAGTACCACGGATCTCCAGTCAAAGGCTTTCTCCTGCTTCCTGGTTCTGATGCTCGTCCCCGAGTTTATCAACGCTATCTCCATGCGCTTCATCCTGAACCGTGATATCTGGCTAGCAAGAGAAGGCCCGAGTGGTGTATACGGCTGGGTAGCATTCTGCACTGCCCAGATCATCTCCGAGATCCCCTATTCCGTCATCGGCGGCGTAGTCTTCTTCGTGCTGTATTATTTTATGGTGGGACTCCCACTCGGCTTTGCAGCCGGCTACTGTTTCCTGATGTTCTTCCTTTTCTTCCTATTTGCGACCTCGTGGGGTCAGTGGATCGCCGCTCTGAGGTGAGTCTAGTATCATCAACCGTTTTCCACAGTGATCTGATTAACTAACACTTCTTGTCACTATAGCGCTGACTCAATGATAGCCGCTACCCTCATGCCTTTCTTCATTATCATGTGCGAGCTTTTCAACGGTATCCTCCGTCCGCAATCCCAGATGCCTGCGTTCTGGAAGTATACTATGTACTACGTCACACCGTTCACGTACTGGATTGGTGGCGTGCTCACCTCCGTCCTCCGTGGTACCGCTGTCGTTTGCTCTCAGACCGAATTGACCATCTTTGAGAGTCCGCCCAACACAACTTGCAGTGAGTACGCGGGCGCGTGGCTTGATGCGAAGGGTGTTGGTTATCTCTCTAACCCGGATGGGATGGGTGAGTGTGGATATTGTGAATATAGCTTTGGTGATGATGTAAGTTTTGTTCCCTGGAACATGTTTTGTTTTACCTGGAATGGATGCTAATCTGTGTTGATAGTATTTGTCTGGGATTGGTCTGGATTCCTCGAAGATCTGGCCGTATTTCGGAATCTTCCTTGCTTTTACCGTTACGAATTACTTGATGGTTTTCTTGCTGGTTTATGTGCGGTCTGTTATGAAGCCACTTTGGCGGTCGAAGTAGGGATTTGATGATCTTTTTGTTGGGATTTTTCTTCCAATTTGATTTGGATGTACATTCGGCATAGCGTTGCGTATATATCAAAAGTGAAGCTTGTCATTAGATCTTTGGTTCCTCTAAAGAAAGCGATGCTAGGAATGATTTAGAAAAAGACTAGGGTGCAAGGTATAGAAAGGGAAATCCAAGTGCCACCTCCAGGGCTGCACCTGGCCCGCCGTTAATATTATGCAATCAAGTAAAATCTAATGCCTGATCTTCAAGGCTCAAACCCAACCCAGACCACGTGACTCCAAGTGAGTCTCGAGTCATTTTGCCTTTTATCCGTACAGAGAGGATGATTATCTATTTTAATTAATGAAACCATGGACACATGCAGATTTCAAGCCGAATACGCAATGAGTCACATTGGCAAAGCTTGACTTGGTTATCAATCAGCATCTCTCGGAGATAATACCTCAATCACCGGAAAGAGTATCTCCGGGACTCGGACATTCTGTATCGAGTAAGCAGCTTGGAAACCTACATATATGTCAAATAAGCCCTCGTGTCACCGTTTCAAACGCCATCTGTCAATTAACAGTCAGACACGTATTTTCCGAGACGTCGTGGAATACATATGTAGCTAGGTAATCCGGAAAGGCGCCCTATCTCCGACAAGGCACCAACGTCTCACCCCATGTCTAGCGCCGTCGCAAGGACATCCTGTGACGAACAAAGGAAAATCAATCTGAAATCAGAATCACTCGACAACCCTGAAAATGGAAAACCATCACCACCTTTCTCCAGATCATGAAGAGATGGAAAATCAATCTCGCGCTCCACAGCGCCGTCGCCGCCCGCCCCTGTCTTGTACAGTCTGTCGCAAGCGCAAATTAAAATGTGACCGCTCTCTGCCCTGCGGGCAATGCGTGCGCTCAAAGACAACAGCCCAATGCGTTTTTGTTGGAGCCCAGCCTGATCTTGTATCCGAATCTTCTCAGCGACGCATGTCACCCCCGCAATTGCCATATGGTGGTATGGAAGAGCAGTCCGGCCGGAAAAGTGGGATGTTCGTCTTTGACTCGAAATTGGGGCCGAATTCGACTTCAAATCGTATTTCGAAGCGTGGTCGTCCCGATGAGCTGCATGAACTCCGGAGTCGGCTGCATGTTCTGGAGAGTTCGCTCGGCAAGTCGACTCATCTTCAGACGCCTGAGACCTCGGTTTGTGATGTCTTTTCTGAAGTCGACACAGCCAATAGTTCTGAGAATGTTGGTGTTGATGACCGCGTGCGATTCTTGCCGGATTCGAGCTTCCGCGGGAAGAAGACTAAGACTCGTTATTTCGGTCGCAGTCATTATACCACTACTGTTTCATTCGTGAGTATCCTTCCTTGTATTGTGTGATTGATGCTAATTAGATGTAGTTTAAAGATATTGGTTCCTTTATGCGCCGTGGTCATTGCCGCGGAGAGGGAAAGGATAAAGAGTACTCTGATATGAAACAGTTCAAGACGGAGCTTTGGTCGCGCGAGACACAGGATCATCAGCGCGAGTTTCGCGAGCAGGCTTTCAAGCTTAATGAAATGGTTCCTCAGCGAAATGTTGCAGACCACCTGCTTCAGCTGTATCTCGACACTTTCGAGACGACATATCGAATCTTGCACACGCCGACTTTCTTGAGACAGTATGCTGATTACTGGGGCAATACCCAGCCAACCGACATGGCTTTCGTCGCTCAGTTACTCGCCGTGATGGCTGCTGGCAGTTGCTTCTATGTTTCACCTCCAGGTCAAGACGACCGAGACGTATTCCAGAAACCGGCCATGAAGTGGATCATGGCTGTTCAGTCATATATTTCGTGCACATTTGTGAGCCCGGATATTGACTTCCGAATGCTGCAGACACAAACTCTTCTTCTAGTAGCTCGCCTCGGAGTCGCCAGCGATGGGGATGTAGCCTGGGCCTCAGCCGGATCGCTGATTCGGTCTGCGACGACAATGGGTCTGCATCGCGATCCGACTCGCTTCCGCAAGGCTCGACCATTCTACTCTGAACTGCGCCGTCGTCTTTGGGCAACTATCGTCGAGCTGGACCTCAAGATCTCTCTCGACCGCGGCGTTCCGCCGTCAGTTGACCTAGACGAATGCGACTGCGATCCACCGTCCAATTGGGACGACGCGGACTTGATACCGGACATGGAGAATAACCCTGCTCCACTCAGTACTGCCCTTTATACCCAAAACTTCTACCAAACTCTCCTCACCAAGACCCTCCAACTGCGATATCGAATCGCCAAGAAAATCAACAGTCTCCGATTTAATCTATCCTACGACGATGCCCTGCGAATGGGCGATGAACTCTCCCGCTCCATGCAACATGCATCCTCCCTATTTGACGACAACGGCCCGAGTATCGCCCCGGGAGAATCAGGACGTCACCGATTCGCCCAATCCCTGCATCTCTTCATCATGCGAAAATTCCTCCTCGCCCTCCACCGCCCCTTCTCACTCAGTGTCGTCCGCCTACCCAAATGCTCCTACTCCCGCAAAATCTGCCTCGAAGAATCCCTCGGCATTCTCTCCCAGATGGAACTCCCCCTTTCGACAGAGGACATCCTCTACCCGCATATCACCCAGCTGGGAAGTGGTATGTTCCGCGATGAAACCTTCCACGCCGCAATCACCGCCTGCGTGGAGCTGTCCCTCCAGGCCAATGAAATGAGTACGTCTGCGACATCTGTGATGGACGGTGTCAACTCCAGCGTGCTCATGAGCATGATTCAGTCCCAGCAAGGCGTGATGATGCAGGCTGTCGAGCGCACCGCCGATAATTTCGGGAGACGCATTGGTCCCGGCGGGAAGGGGTGCAAGCCCTACTTCTTTTTGAATATTATCCTTGCTTCGGTCAAATCGCGCGTGAAGGGTGAGGATCCTTTGTGTAATGTTGATACGGCCTCGAAGAGGGCCGTTCGCATTTGCAGGGCGATCTTGAATGGTCTTACATATCAGGAGGCTAAGATTAGTGTTGATAATCGCCCCGTTCAGGTGGGTATCTCCGCTTACAGCTGTGTGTCTGCCATACCTAACATCCCTGTTCAGACCTCCATTCCTTCGGGGACAACTCCAGCCTCGGCTACACCGAGTGATATTGATCCTGCATCGCTTCTATCGACTGACTTTAGTGATTTTACGGTAAGTTATTGTTCCTCGCATGCTGTTTGGGGCTATGCTGACCTTTCGCAGCCAATGGATCTAGGGGGCTGGTTCGATGGATTGGATTACACTGGCCCGGAGTTGTGGGATTGGGATGCCGACTTGCCTGGTAACCTTCCGACATTCTCATGAATTATGTATCCCCTTATTTTAATGCGCTTGATGCCCTGTGATATTATCTCTGCTCCTCTCCTTCTCAAACTCCACTCTCTTGACCAAATAGATATTCCTTTTGTCAGAACAAGAATTTAGCCTCCCTAGGCCATAAGTGGAACATTCAAGTTAGTTTTGTTATGGTCTCCTGCAGTTGCCTATCGCGCTTCTTCCTACGACGATATACGTCCTATGCATTTCGACATGTCTCCTACAGACCTCTTTTAATACAGACTTAAATTAGAAAACAAGTAAACATCTACAACCTATATACCTCTATAGAACGAACAAACCAATTCAAGCCTCAAAACCTCTCTATCTCTTTCCCCATTTCCTGGCTGACAATCCGCGAACAAGCCCGATCCACACAATTCTTCCTCGAAATCGAAACATAACTCTGAACCAGCCTATTCAATAAAAAGGATTAGCAGAAATCCTCTCATAGGTCAAGCCCGAAAGAAGTATACTCACGCCTGATACCGCTGAATATTCTGAATCTCCAAACCCGCCAAATCCCCCAACGCATCATGTATATCCCGCACCAAACTCACACACCGTCCCATACTGAAATCCGTCCTGACAACAGCTCTCATCATCCCCATCGTCTGACAATCGGCAGCCATAGTATAAGCAGGCACAATCCACCCTCTCTCGCGCAGTTTCCGCGCAAGCACCCACTCGTCGATGAAGATGTTCTGCGTTGGACTCAACCTAAACGCCACGACCGGTAGCCCCTGCCCAGCCCCTTCACTCATAATTATGAAGCCCATTTCTTGCAACTGGCTGGTGAGGTAGTCTGCTGTTTTCGTGAGGTTTTTCATGATGCTTGTGTACCCGCTTCGGCCTAGTCGGATGAGTTGGTAGTACTGGGCTATGATGTGGGATGCTGGTTTGGAGAAGTTCATTGTGAAGTTGAGTTGCTCGGCGCCTAGGTAGTCGATGTTGAAGATTAGGTCTTCGGGGAGGTACTCTGGTGATCGCCAGAGGGCCCAGCCGATGCCGGGGTAGACCTGTAGAGATTAGCATATTGAGTTGTATTGGAATTGGGGATGATCAATGAATGTACTTACAAGGCCGTACTTATGCCCAGAGACGTTGATCGAGACGACGTTGGGTAGTTTGAAATCCCATACTAGATCCGGGTTCACAAACGGTGCCACAAATCCACCACTGGCTGCGTCTACGTGGATAGGTGTGTCCAGTCCTTTCTCAATGAGGAGTTGACTGATAGCTTGTACGTCTTCGTACTGGCCCGTGTATGTCGTTCCAAGAATCGCGCAGATTCCGATGGTGTTCTCATCGACCATGTCGACTGCTTGAACGGGGTCAATCACGTATCGCGTCTCGGTACATGGAACTAGCTTCTCGGCGATATCGAAGTATCTGGCTGCCTTTTCCCAGCAGACTTGTACGCCGCTACTCATGATGATGTTTGGGTTGGTGGCATCTTTCCCCTGGGCTTTGCGGGTGATTTCCCAGCGCTTCTTCATGGCTAGGGTTGCGATCATGATAGCTTCGGAAGACCCAATGCATGATGTGCCAAAGGCGGTTGGAGCTCCGTCGGAGACTGGGGAGTGGAATAGGTCGGCGAGGATGTTCAGACAGCGGTGCTCGATTTCGACGGATTTGGGGTATTCTTCGTGGTCGATGATGTTCTTGTTTGATGATTCGGCGAGGAGTTTGAGGGCTTCGTCTTCCTGTTGTAGCGTTAATGTCGGTCAGGTATAAGAGGAAAACTTTGAAATACCATGTATGTAGTCACAAAACTAGCGAGGCTATATGGAACAATATATCAGTTTAGTTTTCGGGTATTTGAGAAATAGTATAATCACTTCAATGTTGGCTGACCATCCAGGGCCAAGTCATCTTTGATCAGCTGGTACGCCACATCTTTTGGCATCCCTCCATCTGGAAATTGATGCGATGGCAAAGGCCTGGTAGCGAACCGGGAACCATAGACATAAGAGCAGTCGCTTGTCTGCTCAGAGAGCTGCTTGGATAATTCTTCTATAGAACCCATTGTGCAATGAAATACGTAGATTCAAATTAGAATACTGATTAAGTAGCAAGACTTTCTTGGTTATATATTCTTTCTCACAAGTCGTTGCGTGCTGGAAAAATATCTCATAGCTAAATCGCGTGATAGAATTATGAGGCATTTACACCAGATATCATGATCAGCGCTATAGTGAAAAAAGGGGCTTGGGCACCGTTTCAAGTTGGGTTGTTCCTTTCTGTAGCTTGAGGTATATAAGTGACAACGTGATGAACATCACTGTACTTATTTGACGCTATTCTCGAGGCTATCTATATCCGAATATTCCATTCCATGTAAAACAAGCCAAGACCTTCTAGAAAGAAACATTAGCATAGACATACATTTTAAACTCCTTGTTACACCCTAGTAGAATTGGAAATGATCCCTGCTATCATCCCTTGTTCTAAAATTCGAAACATTCTGGCCCTGGATTGTTGGACAGGGATGCTTATAGATAGTGCAAGTATATACATACTCCGTAACAAACTTGCTTTGCCACATTTATGAACGAAGCCTAGAAGCGGCAGGTTTTCCTCTCTGGTTAATTAGCCCCTGACTCGCAAGGAAACGTTCCCACCTTCGCGGGTGCGGCGGTCCGAAGGCCGAAAATGAGGGTGGCGCAGCACAATAATGTACTTTGTACGGAGTATTGATCAAATGCTTTTTACACTTAGTATGTTAGGCAGCAAATTATTGAACTATTAATACAAGACCATAGAGCTCGTTAAGTTTATAGTATAAATTCATTTTACTGTGGCTTCCATCCATTGGATATCTAGGAGTGGCAAACATCGTATAATCCCCTATTTTCTGTCCAACTTTTTGTGAGAATGAAACTTATGATATTCATTTGACGCAATTCGATGTATTTCTTAATAAGTAATTACTCCCTATATGGGTATGACACGTACACAAAGCACATCCCTTGCTCCGGGATCTATGCAAGCCGCCGATGAGGCCAACAAGATAAGACCTCGCGTAGGCTCAGACATGGAAAAGGGAGCATTCTTCAATGAAATTGTCATGTCGACATTCGTGCGATTTACAAATGTCCGTATCACCATTCTGTATTCTGTTCATAGCAATACCAGTTCTTCGCTTGCGGGAACAGGATGCTGCACCCAATTCTGGATATTAGTAGTCTTAATGTTGTCCTCTCGTTATCAGGTAAGGCCTGAAGTGCTATGCCTGTTATTCCCTCCGATTAATAGTTTTAGGAATATACGTCTTGATCTTTGGGTTTATCGCTGTGAAAGTCAAGCAGAGATGGTATCTTGGTGAAGCTTGTATGGCGTCTCTCAATCTCATTGAATATCGGTCGCTGATAATATTTAGTACCATCATTCATAGTCGGGGCGGTCATAGGACCCTTCGGTGCGAAGTTGATCAATGTCAGTCAGTGGGGAGGAGATACCGACAGCGATAGTGGTGACATTGCCTATGTAAGTCTTTTCGCCGCAAACAACATTATCAAGCTAATTATACAAGGGATTGACTCGACTGGTGATTGGCATCGCTATGGTCAAAGTCGGCTATGAGCTACCGAAACGATATATTCGGCTTCATCTGGTCGAACTCACCATTTGCCTGCTGCCATTGATGACGATCCAGTGGCTGATGACGTCGGCATGTATCAAATTAATGATCCCCAATCTATCGTTTGTTCGTGAATCTTCTTATCTCCAACAACACACTGCCACTAACCTCCATGCAGTTGACTTCTCTCATCATCGGGTCATGTGTCATATGTATCGACCCGGTCCTCTCACAGGCTATCGCCAAGGGCCCCTTCGCAGATCAATATGTTCGACGACATCTTCGAGAATTTATTTCAGCCGAGGCAGGTGGGAATGACGGGTTCGGGTTTCCATTTTTGCTTCTGTCCATTGCCCTTGTTCGTTATGCCGACACCCCAGATATGGAGACAGTAAAAGGTGGTCTTGGGAAACAGAGTCGAGATTGGATTGGTGAGCCAGATACGGGTCGATTTGGTGGAGACGTCGGTCGAGCTTTGGCACATTGGGCTGTTGAGGGAGTGCTGTACATGCTGGTCATGGGTGCTGGGTATGGTGCGCTGGTCGGGTTCTTGAGCCGAAAAGCCCTGAACTTAGCCTCAAAAAGGTATGTACATATATGCTATCGGTTTGAAAAACTGGCTAATGATATATGCAGGCGTTGGATTGACAAGGAGAGCTTCTTCTCATATCCTGTTGCGATGGGTGTAAGTTATTCTTGAGAAACAGTTAAACATATGCTAAGATGACTTGCAGTTATTTATCGTCGGTACATGCGGTTGCTTTGGCTCTGACGAAACCCTCGCCTGCTTTGTTGCGGGCTGTGCATTGAACTGGGATGGGTCTTACCACTTCGAAGTCGAAGAGAGACATGACTCCTTCAATTCCACAATCGAAAACATCTTGAACATTGGAACGTTCATGTTCCTCGGTGCTACCATGCCATGGGACCAACTCCACATGTCTAGTCAGAATGGAATCACTATCGCTCGACTGGTCGGGCTCGGGTTTTTGATTTTGATATTCCGCCGGATCCCGGCGATCATGATGGGGTATCGATTCATGCCTAAGGTCTGCGAAAATTGGAAAGAGGCCTTGTTCATGGGATACTTTGCCCCAATTGGTATGTGGCCTAGACTTTATGTTAAAGTGCAGTGCTTACCGGTTTTAGGACTTGGCGCTATTTCGTATGTCGGGTATGCGCGACGATTGTTACCGGATCCTGGAGAGAGTGATAAAGAGATCAACAACTTGACTGCAACTATGATCCCAGGTACGACATCCTCCTACTTAATGATAATGTATACTGACCTTGAATTTTAGTCGTATATTGGCTTGTCTTCTTCTCTATTGTCATCCACGGGCTGTCTATACCAGTCCTGAATTGCCTCTACCAGTGGTTTAAAGTCCCTACTATTCAAGACCGCCCGGTAGAAATTATTCTTCTGTCTGAAAATGAGCCTGTTCCTAATAACAGCGTGGTGGACCGCCGTGGCCACTCTGTCATATTAAACAACCGGTTTTCCTGTGCCTCGAAGCAGCGCCCTTATTCTGATCAGGGTTATCAGCACCGCGAGGGAACAGACACGATGATGCTACGCAGTGGGGAAACTAGCTATAGGTGCTCGCTGGAAAGGGCATCGACGAAAGGTTCGTCGCGAGAACTGGAGCAGAGTGTATCTGCCAGAAATGTAGTCTGATGATAACGGGGTTTGTATATTAAATGAATATCCTTTGACATTCTTTAATTTTAAAATTTAATATGAAATGAGGAAGATCAATGCTTTTCTCTAAAATCAAAATAGCTTCGTTGTGACTTTCCTGTAGGCTATGCAACATTAGTTGATTCTGTCCATAGAGGTTTTAATTTATCAATCTTTCCATATGCCATAGATTGATTCCTTACTAAAATGCATAACTATCCGAACAGCTTTGCCAGCCCTTCAGCGCTAACATTCCCACCGCTCAAAATCAGTCCCAAGTCCCAACCCTTCTCACCTGCTTCCTTCTCCACTATCTGCCTAAACTCCTCATTATACAAAGCCACCGCCAGCGTTACCGCAGCAGCAGGCTCGACCACCATCTTAAGCCTCTCCAATATCAACCTTGTCGCCTCGAGAATCTGCTCTTCAGACACAGCAAACATGCCATCAACGAGCTTTCGCTCATAGATGACACTCCAGGGGATCTCGCCGACAACGCCGATTAGTCCGTCTGCGATGGTTTCGGTATTGACGCTCGTGACCCTCTCGCCCGTGAGGAACCCGCGTCGACAGTCATCAGCGCCCTCGAACCCGGGCTCGGCGCCAAAGACGCGAATGGAGGTCCCTTCACAGCTTAGCGCAGTACCTGCTAATAGTCCTCCGTACGGCCCGAACTATATACTCTTATACTTCTTTTTAACCGCTATATCCCGAACTTATTACTTTTTAATAGTGTAGACTAAAAGTAGCTCGTTCGCCTTTAACCGGGTATCAAGAGGAGCCGTACTTACTCGTCCTAATCTATAGGCGAACGAATATCTAGGGATTCCCCTTCGTTAGATATAATTTATAGGTATACCCTATATATAAGGTAGTATAGGCTTCTTTTCGAGACTATATATTCCCGTACGCGTATAGCGAATACCGCCTATATAAGATACTCGTCCTATAGTCTTATAGGTTTCCCTATTAGGTATTTTATAAGTATATATAGACCTCGTCCTCACCCGCACCGAGTCCCTCAAACTGGAATTGAAAACCGACCCGCATGCGGGTCGGTTCTCTCAGAGGGAATTGGGAGCCGACCCTCAACCCGCATTGCTCCATGTCAAGAATACTAGTTTTCAGGATAGCACCTGTTGGTCAGGCAGGTAATACAGTGATGGAGAGGAGAACGAGTTGTATTCTTCATATAGAGACTAATCCTTGCTAAGGGGAAGTTATGGAGATGATCTGGTTCGTATAGATCTCTCTACCGAATCGTGTGCATAACGATGACGATGCTGATTCCATGTATCTTCCATATGCTTCTTCTAAGAAGTGTGGCTGTCATACCCCTGCAATGATGAAAGAACTCTATATACAAAGGTCCTGAGATATCAATGGAGTGGCCTTAGGTTGTAAAGCATCTTATCCTTTACAATTATCTCCCCTCCTATATAGGTTGTCTCAACCTACCATTTACAAGTTGCAATTTTAGAGATTCCGTAGTTTGTTGGGTAATGCGGCAATTCGATCTAGTTGAGGGATACCCCTGGTCCTTAAGCGATTCGTGAGGGTATATGAAAGGTGGTTTCATGTTTTAGAAGAGATAAAGAATGAATGCTATAAATAGTAATAATGAAGTAAAGATAGATCTGTCACGATCTAGAGTTGACAACTGTAGTTCTGCCGTTGCTGACCGCCTGCCGGGTTAAGACACTTGGAGGATGATGTTTGCATTGGTTTGCACCAAGGCCCCACAAAGGACCTTGTGCCAACCAATCCTCTTCTTCTTTTTCTTTTACTCTCTGTACTTAGTATTTTCGTTGAATGCACTCTTTTTGTTTAAAGAACTGGCTGGTAACACACTGCAGAAGTGTGCGATTCTTCCGCTATTTCGACCCGTCTGCTTGTCAGACTGCCATCGAGCGCTTCTCTCTTCAACAGTTATCCTTCGAGTCCGCCTCGACATCTTGTCGGTCCAGCAGTAGCCTAACCACCGCTTCATGTCCACCTTCAGCCGCACAGGATAACGGTGTCCGACCCCAGTTAGCCTTCGAGTCCGCCTCGACATCTTGTCGGTCCAGCAGTAGCCTGACCACCGCTTCATATCCGCGCCAGGCCGCATATAACAACGGTGTCCGACCCGAGTTATCCTTCGAGTCCGCCTCAACATCTTGTCGGTCCAGCAGTAGCCTGACCACCGCTTCATGTCCGCCTCCAGCCGCAAAGGACAACGGTGTCTGACCCCATTTAGCCTTCGAGTCCGCCTCGACATCTTGTCGGTCCAGCAGTAGCCTGACCACCGCTTCATGTCCGCGCCAGGCCGCATATAACAACGGTGTCCGACCCAAGTTATCCTTCGAGTCCGCCTCGACATCTTGTCGGTCCAGCAATAGCCTGACCACCGCTTCATATCCACCTCGAGCCGCATAGGATAACGGAGTCAACCCATCGTTATCGTTCGAGTCCGCCTCGACATCTTGTCGGACCAGCAGTAGCCTGACCACCGCTTCATGTCCACCTCGAGCCGCATAGGATAACGGAGTCAACCCATCGTTATCGTTCGAGTCCGCCTCGACATCTTGTCGGTCTAGCAATAGCCTGACCACCGCTTTATATCCACCTCGAGCCGCATAGGATAACGGAGTCAACCCATCGTTATCGTTCGAGTCCGCCTCGACATCTTGTCGGTCTAGCAATAGCCTGACCACTGCTTCATATCCACCTCCTCCACCTCCAGCCGCATGGGATAACGGCGTCCGACCACAGTTATCCTTCGGGTCTGGCCTGATACCGGCGTTTGTGAGCAGTAGCTTCATCAATTCGCCCTCCCCCTCCCTCGCGAGTAGATGTAGGATCGACTTCCCTCCTTCGTCCTGAAGCGTGGTATGCTGAAAAGTTAGGACCCGTGCGAGCCCAGGAGCCGCATATAAGAGAGACAGCAGGTCAACAGGCATAAGATATTCGGCGGAAAGTAGGGTAAGTTCGATAGGGAGATAGGCTCCTACCCTAGACACTCTCATTATGTCGCTTTCGCGGAGATACGGAAACAGTAGATATAATTCACACGTCCAACTAGGAAGCCGAACGACGCAAATGATTCAACGAGGAACAATGTTCAAGGATGAATGAAGTTTCAGTTTCCCCAGCTTGTCGAAGTGCTCCTGAATACTACCTCAACTGTTTTGTACGGTAAACAGGGCTAATTTGGAATACCCAGTGTCGTAACATGCCAGTACTAGCCCCTTGTAGTATATGTGCGAAACCAGTGTGGGTGGGCATGGCACGGTGACTGGATAGCTTTCTCAGGCACCTCGTGAAAAAGTCAACTGCTCGCCACTTGCGGCCCACGAAGAGGCTGTTTTCCATGGTCGATCAGGAAGGACACTCTTGTACCGTGTGTGTAAGATGGTTGTATTGTGTGCGTCACACACGCAGTTTTATAGATACAGGTCTGGCCCTAATGCATGAGTAGTGCTTTTCAGAGTGACAGAACAATACCATCAAAACAGGTGCTCCAACAGACATCAACCTTACAGTCACCTCTTAAGTTTGGACACCCCTGGTTGACCCCACCTTTACACCGCATTCACCGCCTACTTGAAACGCTTTTCTACCTCTAGTTTCTCCTTAATGCGCGTCTTCCCCTAATTATATGGTCTATGCCGCATTGTATGGGAGCTATTATTGAGAAACCAGGGTTAGTATAAACCATATTAGCTAGAGGTTAGATGAATAGGAGACGTTTTTGGTCGGCAGAATATTAGGTAATAATGGGGGGTATGGGGCGAATGGTGTCCAAACTTATGAGGCGTCACTGTATGTCTCATACCTAGCCCGATGATTGGTACAGAGCGACCCCTATCTTTCTCCAGACCATCGGTAAGTGGAGCCCGTTCGTTAAGAGGACCACTAAAAACGCTTTCGCCGCGGTCGACGCTCCTGAACGCGAGTCGAACGTGGTTCGCGCTCGTCTAAGATTTCTTTGTTTGGATTGGTGGCGGGTATTTTGTCACTGAGCGTGGTGGTTTGGATCGTGTGGTGGATCGCGGACAGAGTTTCTTCTGCCGATCCTTCGTCGGGTGTGCATCGGTACCGGCGGGATGTAGACCGAGAAGACCAGAAACTGATGGTCAGCGGTCCAGATCTTGATCGCCGTTACGTGTGAGTGACTGCATTGCACCTGCCGGTGAGAAGCTGTTGAAAGCTTGCGGTTAACATAGGTGAGGTTTCGGAACCGGATGGAGTCATCTTCTACTGTAGCTTGATACAGTCGCCATGCGGTGTGGTTCACGCGTGTCCGGTATGCAGTAATAGACGGTTCCTGAATGAGGAGAATGTCAAGGTTCTGACTTTGGTGATCGTTGATCAGGGCTTCTATGACCGCTCTCGATTTCATGATGTTCAGCTGTAGGATTCGTAGCTTATTTCCTAACATTGTGAGGAAGTCTCCTGTAGGGGCTTCCCCACTTGGCGCACTGAGACGACCACTGGGCATTCGCTCTTCTCCTATCGGACTGCTCTCCGAAAGCCTCTGCCGGCGTTCTCCCGTGGGCCCGCTCTGCAAATAGACACCGTCCTAAAAATATCTCTCCACGTCCTCTCCCAAAAAAAATAACCAAAAATCTGAGCAGCCATCGGCATCGCCGCCCCTTTCGAAATCTTCTTCTCCTTTCTGATTTGATCGGCTCCCTCTTCCTCCACTTTGGAGCCCTGTCTTTTACCACCCCTGAGAACCCTAATTTGCCTTATCACCAACTGCCTTTTTCCTCCCATAACTACTTTATCTCATTTTTCGGCCTTTTTCCCCCGCAAAAGAACGCGTCGCTTACATAACTGCCTTACCGCGGGGCGGCTGTCCTCCCCTCCCCCTTCATCCTGAATATCCTTGGATACCCGAACTCTCTCTTTCAGGGTCTCCTTTTCGACATCCCCGATTTCCCGAGTGAGTCGGGACGTCCCCGGATCATACCCTCACATCCGTCCCCGAAGAACTCCTGTGGAATCACCCCATGTCACTGTAACCGGCTTGCTGGATTTGTCGTGTCAGGAACCCGTCCCAGTAAGTTGTGCTTGTCCTGACTCCGCTTCGGCGTTCGACCGTCCCGAACTCTTTTTTCTTGGGAGATGGCTCCCATCCTGGCCCACGAACGCCTCGAGGTATCAGGAGAGACATTTCACCCTGGATTCGTATCTTGCCGGGACGACCGGACAGACGGCGCGGGGACTCGCAGTTTCGGGTTCTGCATATCATCACGACCGTGGAAGATCGACTAACAAGGTGCTAGGGCACAATGGCTGGTGCGGACGAGACTCTCGTGGCAGCGACGGCGGTGCTGCAGTCTCTCGCTAGAGACGAGCCCACCAGGGGCTCTGTCCCCCCCCCATTTGATTTCGAATTTCCCGCGACCAACGGTGCCAAATCATCCAAACTTGCCGAGGAACCCAGCCCAGCAAAGGTCGCCTTCGAAGCCGAGTTGGAGGCCTTGATGCGCCGCGTGCACCACCTGGAATTCCAAGCTGTCAGTCATCACAAACTCCCCGACAATCCCCAGCACACCACCCCGTCTGCTATCGGATCCAACGAGAATGACCCTGATTTTTTTGTGGACTTTCGGGCTCGATCGCTTGTTGTCCGGTCAAGGTTCTGACTCTTCTTATTGCCTTACACAGCAGCAAAAACTAAATCAACCCGATCGGCGACAGCGGACCCCGTCGGGCCCTGAAGAGAAATTCCCTTATCCACCCCAACCATCCGCCCCGGTTGGAGACCTTGACGAAGATGACACCGACGAGGAGGATGAGACCGGCGCAACGCGTGTGGTGCGCGAAGAAGACATCAGCATCCTCCGCAATCATGTGCAAAAGCAAGCCGAGGAGATCAGCTTCCAGAAGGATATCATAGCGCAGGTTCGCGACGAGTTGCAGAAGCAGGAGGAGCACACCCGCCGTGCGCTCACCAAGGTCGAAAACGAGGATGTCGTTCTGCTCGAACGGGAGCTCCGGAAGCACCAGCAGGCCAACGAGGCCTTCCAAAAAGCCTTGCGAGAAATCGGCGGCATCATCACGCAAGTCGCCAACGGTGATCTCTCTATGAAGGTCCAGATCCACCCCTTGGAGATGGACCCGGAAATTGTTACGTTCAAACGTACGATCAACACCATGATGGACCAACTGCAAGTCTTTGGTAGCGAAGTGTCTCGAGTCGCTCGCGAGGTCGGAACGGAGGGTATACTCGGCGGTCAAGCTCAAATTACTGGTGTCCACGGTATCTGGAAGGAGCTCACGGAGAACGTCAACATCATGGCTAAGAACCTGACGGATCAGGTGCGAGAAATTGCGGTTGTCACAACTGCTGTCGCCCACGGTGATCTGAGTCAGAAGATCGAAAGTCGCGCTCAGGGTGAAATTTTGGAACTGCAACAGACGATCAATACTATGGTGGATCAACTCGGGACATTCGCTACGGAAGTCACACGAGTCGCGCGCGATGTCGGTACGGAAGGTGTACTAGGAGGTCAAGCTCAAATTGAAGGTGTCCAGGGCATGTGGAACGAACTTACGGTCAATGTCAACGCGATGGCCAATAATCTAACCACGCAAGTGCGTGATCTCGCCACTGTCACCAAAGCCGTCGCTAAGGGTGACCTGACGCAGAAGGTGCAAGCTAACTGCCGAGGAGAAATTGCCGAGCTAAAGAATATCATCAATTCTATGGTAGACCAACTACGCCAGTTCGCGCAGGAAGTCACCAAGATCGCCAAGGAGGTCGGTACCGATGGTGTACTAGGTGGCCAGGCCACCGTGAATGATGTGGAAGGCACATGGAAAGACCTTACAGAGAACGTCAACCGTATGGCCAACAACCTAACTACTCAGGTGCGTGAGATTGCGGACGTCACCACGGCTGTCGCCAAGGGCGATTTAACCAAGAAGGTCACTGCCAACGTGCAGGGCGAGATGCTTGATCTGAAGAGTACCATCAACGGCATGGTGGACCGTCTTAACACGTTTGCTTTCGAGGTTAGCAAGGTCGCGCGTGAGGTCGGTACCGATGGTACCCTAGGAGGTCAAGCTAAGGTGGATAATGTGGAAGGAAAATGGAAGGATCTCACCGATAACGTCAACACCATGGCGCAAAATTTGACGTCGCAAGTGCGAAGTATCTCGGACGTGACGCAAGCTATTGCTAAGGGTGATCTTAGCAAGAAGATTGAGGTGCACGCGCAAGGAGAGATGCTGACCCTCAAAGTGACTATCAATCACATGGTGGGTCGTTTGGCCAAGTTCGCTACTGAACTGAAGAAGGTTGCTCGCGATGTCGGCGTCGATGGAAAGATGGGTGGTCAAGCCAACGTGGAAGGGATCGCAGGAACCTGGAAGGAGATCACGGAGGATGTGAACACCATGGCCGAGAACCTAACATCCCAAGTGCGTGCATTTGGCGAAATTACCAATGCCGCCACGGATGGTGATTTTACCAAGCTCATCACTGTCAACGCTTCGGGAGAAATGGACGAACTAAAGCGCAAGATCAATAAGATGGTTTCCAACCTACGAGATAGTATTCAACGAAACACTGCCGCTAAGGAGGCTGCCGAGCTTGCTAATCGCACCAAATCTGAGTTCCTGGCCAATATGTCCCACGAGATCCGAACTCCTATGAACGGTATCATTGGTATGACCCAGCTCACGCTGGATACCGACGACCTGAAGCCGTATACCCGGGAAATGCTGAACGTGGTGCACAATCTGGCCAACAGTTTGCTCACAATCATTGACGATATACTCGATATTTCGAAGATTGAAGCCAACCGGATGGTCATTGAGAGCATTCCATTCACCGTGCGCGGTACCGTATTCAATGCGCTTAAGACTTTGGCTGTGAAGGCGAATGAGAAATTCCTTAGCCTGACTTACCAGGTCGACAACACAGTCCCCGACTATGTCATTGGCGATCCGTTTCGTCTGCGCCAGATTATTCTTAACTTAGTCGGTAATGCTATCAAGTTTACTGACCACGGTGAGGTTAAGCTCACGATCCGTAAATCCGATCGTGAGCAATGCACCACTAACGAATATGCCTTTGAGTTTTCCGTCTCCGACACCGGTATTGGAATCGAGGAGGACAAATTGGACTTGATCTTCGATACCTTCCAACAGGCCGATGGGTCAACCACCCGCAGGTTCGGTGGTACCGGTCTCGGTCTGTCAATCTCTAAACGCCTAGTCAATCTCATGGGTGGTGACGTTTGGGTTACCTCTGAGTACGGACACGGCAGTACCTTCCATTTCACTTGCGTCGTGAAGCTCGCCGATCAGTCCTTAAACGTTATTGCTTCTCAGCTCTTGCCATATAGGAATCACTGGGTGCTGTTCATCGACAAGGGCCAGAACGGTGCCCAAGCCACTAATGTCATGAAGATGCTCAAGCAGATCGAATTGGAGCCGTTGGTGGTGCGCAACGAAGAGCATGTTCCACCACCTGAAATCCAAGACCCCTCTGGAAAGGAGTCTGGTCATGCATACGATGTCATCATTGTGGACTCGGTGGACACTGCTCGCATCCTGCGAACATTCGACGAGTTTAAGTATATCCCTATTGTTTTGGTGTGTCCTTTGGTCTGTGTCAGCTTGAAGTCCGCTTTGGATCTTGGTATCAGCTCGTATATGACAACGCCTTGCCAGCCTATTGATATGGGCAATAGTATGCTTCCTGCATTGGAGGGTCGGTCGACTCCGATCGCCACCGACAACTCCCGCTCGTTCGACATCCTTCTTGCTGAGGACAACGACGTCAACCAGCAACTCGCCATGAAGATACTCCAAAAGCACAACCACAACGTCTTTGTTGTTGGTAACGGTCTAGAGGCCGTGGAGGCTGTCAAGAAGCGCCGCTATGATGTGATCTTGATGGATGTTCAAATGCCCGTCATGGGTGGTTTTGAGGCTACTGGCAAGATTCGAGAGTATGAACGAGAGAGTGGTCTCCAGCGAACCCCGATTATTGCACTCACTGCACACGCCATGCTGGGTGATCGCGAGAAGTGTATCCAGGCTCAAATGGACGAGTACCTGTCCAAACCACTTAAGCAGAACCAGATGATGCAGACCATTCTCAAGTGCGCAACGCTTGGTGGATCGCTGCTGGAGAAGAGCAAGGAATCTCGGATCTCGAGCAGTGGAGAAATGCATCCCATCCACTCATCTGTCCCCGATAATCAAAATCAGCAGCAGCGGTCACAGAAACAACAAGGGTTACCCTCCCCACCACGGCCTAGCATGGAGACCCGGGCAATCTCCACTGCTGGCCCGATAGGCCGTGGTAGTGTCGCCGAGCCTGAAGACAAAGATGAAGAGATGATCGATGATCGGGTACGTTACCATGTCTGTTGTTGAAGGACTAAGTTCCGGATCAACCCTTGGCTAACCGTTCCTTCTTTCATCATAGACATTGCTGCGCTCCAACAGTACCTGAGCTCTCGTTTGCATACCCTGAACATTTACTTTCCCGCCCTGCAGATTGGCCCGATGGTTTTAGTGTGGCCTGTTGATACCCTGTCCATATGAGTCTGTTGAGTGCTTCTTGTTATCATTCCCATTTTCTTTTCAAGGTGGTGAAGCCGAAACGGAACTCTCATGAATTTTCTGCTTTATTCCCACTTCACTTATATTTGCTCATACCCGCGTACTTCATTATCACCTTTCTTCCATCGTTTTTGCCATGGCCGGTTGGGTTCACACTTCTTCTTTGTCTCTCTGCCCCGTACAATGATAGGCCTAGTAATTACATATATTATAGAGCCACCAGTCCACAGGACCCAGCGTCACGTCTCAATCACTGTCGTCAGTATCACTGCATATTCAATTACCTGGTGGCTCTCTACAGCCCATGGCCTATTGTTTCATCAAAGCCCCTAACAGAGCCCCCAACAGTATAATCGGAAAACTCGCTACAAAGGCCACTTCAGTCGACGTCTATACTCTCAGCCTCTCCGCCCCTCATGAGATCATCTTCCCATGGGACCGGGAAGAAACGTCTCCCCATTAGCTGCGAACCATGCCGAGCCAGAAAGATACGCTGTTCCCGTGATGGTCGTCCCTGTCGGACATGCGTGAACCGTGGTGTCGGTGCAAAAGCTTGCATTTATCTTGGCCAGTCTTTTTAGTACGGCTATAGCCACTATAGCCGGCCCTATTACCCTACAGAATAAGAAGGGTAAGAGACGCGCGGATAGTAAGGATCGAAATAAACTAGCTAATAGCGATAGCGGTAATACTAGTAAGGGTATATCCGGTACCGGAAAGAAGCGTAAGAAAGGCGGCGATAAGGGTAGTAGTATAGGTACTACTAAAAAAGCTAAGACGCTGCAAGGCGCGATGATGGCATCGAGATTGTCAGCTTGCTCTTGGAGCTCCAGACCGACAGTGGCCTGTCCGAGGATGACATCTGGATGATTGAAGGGTGGCACAAGACGGGCACCCTTCTCGGCAACGATCTTGGCGGCGGTAGTCTCTCGCTCGAACCGTGGGCAGACAATGACGTTGGCTCCATAGCCCTTCGTAGATGCGATCTTGTTCGGCCGCGTAATGTCAGGCATGACAATGTACGCTGGTATGCCACTCTCCTTAGCAGCAAGAGCGAGCGCCTGGGCATGATTACCTGCAATTATGGGCTTAGTGCTGCGATATAAAGAAGATAGAGGTCTTCTCACCTGCACTGAATCCTACGACTCCTTTTTCTATGCCGCCCCTCTTGATGAAGCTGGGATCCTGCTTCAGCCTCTCGATGGCGTGGAATGCACCGCGGGCTTTGAAAGCCCCTACGCGCTGCAAGTTCTCACATTTGAACCATAGTCGGATGATCGGCTTTGCAGGCTGGCAATCTTCCTTTCCCCGAGCCCGAGGAGTTGATGCCATCTGGTTCAATGCCCTACTTGTGAGCACCGGAGTGCGGTGGATAAAAGGTTTGATCAGCTCATGGGCCTTGAGGGTGGACTCTCTGGTCAATGGAAGGCATGTCGAAAGTTCTGCCATGATGGACTTTTAGAATAGTTGGGCAGCACAGGTTATTTTCGTGTTTTATAGCCTCCAAGTTCGGCTATATGCACACTACGTAAGGCGGCAAAATTGAGGTTCGCCGCACTACCATCTCACGCCGATCAGCTGATAGGCATACAGAAAGGCGATTCCTATAGTTGACAGATCATATAAGATCATCTCCAACCTCGGAATTGATAAGCCGCCCATTAGAAGGTTGCACCCGAGATCCGTATCTCTCTACTGCACTAGCCATGTTAATCAACGGTGACCCTGTCATTGTCCCTTCCGGTATCCAGGCCTCGCCAACTATCCTCACGGCCGCCTCGCCCTCGCCACCCAGTTTCGCACTCTCTATGTATCCGATACGGGCTGCAGGCGTCCAGACGGCACATTCACCGGCGTCAAAGAAAATGAAGACGGGACTCTGGACTTCGACATCCGGGAGCAGACTGTGGCCATTCTTCGCAACGTCGAGGCTATCATCAAACATGCCACCGGTGACCGAAACGGACTCGAAAGTATCATTGATGCAACGGTGTTCCTCCCCCACATTAAGGCGCATTACGCTGGCATGAATGCGATGTGGAATGAGTTTTACCCTGATACTGACAGGGCGCCAGCGAGGACGGCGATCGGAGTCAAGGAGCTGCCAAGTCCGAAGATGATCGTTGAAATCAAATGCATAGCGTTGGTTACGGTTGAGCATTAGCTGGGCTACCAAAGATATGCAGATACAAAGGTCAAATGAGTGTAATTGATAAAATGTGCACCTGCTAGCTATTTCCGAGGCCACTGACAATCGCTTCTAAGTGGGTGTTCATGCACACCGTGCCGAAGTTATAAGGCTTCCTTCTGTCTCTGCTTCCCACAGTCAAACTCCTGAAGCGTCTTGTGCATCTCAGTGATGGTCTTAGCTGGGGTCATGGCAATTCCAGGAGATTGGTCGTGAGCAACTTTTACGACGTAGTTCTTTGGTTGTCATCGACAAGAAGGCGGAGCATATCGGGGCGCGAATAGTGACCAACGGGGTCCGCAATGGCCTTTGCATAGTCAATCTGACCGAGATCGATGTCGCAGTAGAGGGTCCAATCGAAGTTGGGGTCTGTCGCCTCGGTGGCCTGGCGTCCATCGGGTTGAAAAACCGCGGCACGACCACCAGATCTCGGAATAATAAGACAAGGAAAACCAAATCAAGGAGAATAACATGCTACATCGAGGGTAGCTTGAAATAACTTTGGGTCAACACCAGAGTTGCAAATTTGACCGACTTGATATGCAAAATCCAAAGATATGTGTGATTCAATACAATCAATCAGTTATTAGTGGTAAGTTACTACTTCCATGTTCTCGCATGCGACTATGCTTGGTGCGACTAAGAATGAGCCCAAGATTCAGGCACTAATTCCATGATAGTGGACGCCGGTCAAATCAGGCTCACTTCAAGAAGTGACGAAGATCAGCTAGTCGTGGTGTTATTTCCCACAGACTAGAATTCCGCTACAGTAACCCAACTGGTACGACTAGATATCAAACTCCCGACTTTCCCGAATCTTTCAGGCGCAGCATTCTGATTTCTCGGGCTGGGAACCATCCGTTCCCTGAGTAGAAAGACGACAGAAACATGAAGCAACAATGCCAACGTCTGCGGAGGCCAAAGCTAGATCTTTCTGGATGCCGATGATTTTTGCCTCTCCAATTTTCCCGGTCTTGGTCAAGCATTCATGAAGACCATGAAGACCCCAAACATTGTTCAATCTTGCTTTGCGCTTGGGTAGACTATCGCTCAGTCCAAGATCCTCTCGATATACTAGCTCTGCTTCCTCGAGATGACCTTGTTCTAAGAGTAAGGCGCCCAACGCATGTCGGGCTGGCTGCATCCAAGGCGGAGGGTCGGAATAAGGGAGACTATCTTCCAGAGCGACAGCCTCTCGCAAACGGCGAAATGCAACATCGAAATTTCCCTCTCTATACTGGATCTCGCCTTGTAGCATAGCCGATGCAACATTCAGTACATCGGCCTCCACAGTCGGTAGGCTATTAAGACGGGTTCTCGGCACAAGGGCTCTCGCCGCCTCAAACTTGGCTTGTTCGAGCTTTGCTTCATCAACCCGACCAAGTACCGCAAGTGCAATAGCTCGGCCATAATAGATCATACTTGTTGTGGAACAGTACAGCTGCTTGTCCTCTGGTACCGGAAGATCTTGAAGGATTTCCCTCCAGTGACCAAATCGGACTAAAACATGTACAATCGCGCCGAGAAAGCTTTCGGCCCAATCTGCCATCGGAGGACTAGAAATAGAAAGCACCTCGGTGGTAAGTATTCCAGGCAGACGATATGCCGCAGAGAGTGCTTCCTGCGAGCGGCCAGAAATCAAGGCGCTATACAGTTTCACGTAGATGTTATGCGCCCGATATAACTTGTAGATATTGGATCCTTCTGTGCGGGCAAAGAACTTATCATCGGAAAGCATAGCTTGGTGATTTGAGTCCACAGCTCTACGATAATCGCCACAAGCGATATCGATGTGTGTCGGCATATGCAGCATATGGGATGCATCGGGCATTAAAAAGCGTAGCCGATCAGCTGCTGGCAAGGCGATTTCTGGGTTAGGTGACATCTCCATCAAATGAATATACAGATGGCATAACGCGGGATGTTCTGCGCCCGTTGGAAGGGTCATCGCCCTCTCTATTATCTCACGAGCCAGTACAGTATGATAACCGGTGGGCTTTCCTGTATCAAGGTTCCATAGACCACGCGGAGTGAAACACATCAAGGCTTCTGCCGTGAGAGCGGCAATATCCAAATCATCCGAAAACTGTTCATACACAGCACGCATAGCCTCCCCGTAACTTCGATCCAGAGAGCCAAGATCCTCGGGTATCACTTCGGATTGTGGAAATCGAGCCTTCAGAGCCTTAATTAGAGCAAACTCCATCGGGGTTTCTGGAGTAGTGCATGTTTCCGCCTTCTGAAGAAGGTGCCGGGCTTCGGTGGTCGATTCAAGCAAGTCGGAGCGATCAAATCGAATCCAGGCCTTGTTGTAGTTAGGTCCTAGGGCATAGGAAAGACCCCAGTATGCCATGGCACAAGTTTCGTCATGTGCAATTGCGTTCTTGAAGCATCGGGCAGCTTCTCCATGATTGAAACCCTGGGCCCAACGATATCCGCGATCAAACCAGACTTGACATTCTGGAGAGTTTGTCTTCACGGGCAGTTGATATGACCCGAGATCATAGTATGGATCTTCCGACATGTTGAGTTCGCGCATATGACTGAGGGCCGACATTCAAGAGAGCCGAGGTGAGTCGTTTTCTGAGAGGTGCGGGAAATGGCTCTAACGATGCAACTAGCATTTCTAAATATAACTCGGTTTCACAATGTCAATGCGCAACTCCAGATCGGAAATCTTTACCCTTTTCGGTAATAGGTACATACCTACGTTGTAGGTACATCGGCGAGTAGGGGACCCGCAGCTTCGGCGACCAAATACAAAACATGCAGGTGACCGGACTTTATTCTACAATATGGGACTCTTTTCAGGTCTACTGTTGTGGGCGTTTGGTCTTATATGGCTCTTCTTCGCAGTATGGTCATTCGAGCGCGTAAGTTTTCGCTTCAACCTAGGTTCTGGTGGGGATTATCTTCCCTCTGGGCGTCAATCTCAGTGACGCCAAGCGAATCAATATGAGGGGGTCGGCGATGGTGTGGGTTAGTGGTAGCATTCTATATGTACAAGATCCGGGTTAATAGTAGCAACATATACAACATCTCGTAACAACATGCAGAATATGAAAATGTTAGCTAATGATGCCTGGGAAATAATAATGGAATTCTGGAGACATTGTCCAATTCTTCAAGCTTCGAACATGAAAATCAAAGGCTGGATTTTCCACGGCTTGATAACTCTCCCACAAAACTGCCCCAGCACTATCCGGGTGCCAATTCGACTCTGATGCCCGTGGAAAATTGGGGCGAAAAATCAGCGTGGGGAAGTAAATATATACTTTGTAGTAATGGGGGATGCTTTTCCCTATCTTGCGCGCCTTTTTAGTGTATACTAACCCATCGGTAAGCGATCGGTGAAGCATGAAATTGACATACTTCGATTAGACACTCTCCTCTTGGATAGAAACCTGGAGCTTCCAGACCCAATAATCCGAATGTGGAGTTCCTTATGCTCTATAGGCTCGGGAATATCGGGGAGTGGAATTGGCATTCCGAGCCGAAAGTACCGAAAGCCGAATTTTCTGTTCGCAAAGCAAATCAAAAATTTCTGAGATGCCAATTTCCTTCTTTTAAGATTCTGATTCGGCGTAGTCTAGCGGCCTAGTCTAGGGCTAATTTGAGTGATATTGCTGTCACTTTTCCAGCGGTCTGGAAGGAAAAGGGGGCGAGTGGATCGTGATTCAAAGCTTCAGAGACTTTCTCTCCAGTCTTCACCCAGTATAGACTGCGCCATAACCCATAAATGGGTTATGATGTACTTTCATACAAGCTTGATCCCGACTCCAACCTAGTTGGCGATAACTGAGAGATTTTTAAAATCAAAATCTATATATAACACTAAAATTGACTAAACTATAAATTAACTGTTTCAGACTGGCAACCCTTAACTAGTTCCCTTTACTAGTACGGGGTACATATTAGTCAATAAGGGTTTCAAATAAAGTGCCAATCTAGAACACTGACACTGTCCCTGAACAACTTATATAAGAGATCTTAGAGGCTGGAATTCTTTTTAATCCCGGTAGGCATTCCACATTTTGCGGGGACGCGCTAGTTTCTTGCCTCGCATCTGTAAACCAATCTTGTCCCCGCTTAGTTAAGCAGTGGTTTAGGAGACTAGGAATACTTCATTCTAATTTAGGGCTGCCACGGCGTGAAGCCCTCATCCGTGGCGTGGCGGGACTATGGTTTCTGAATCAGGGGAGTCTTGGCTGGTATCGTGAGGGTTACAGCGAAAATGATGAAACATGGCTGAAGTGGAGTGAGTACAGGATGTGAAAGCAAAACTACGGAGTACATCACAAGGCTATAGGGATCTGCTTTGATTCCTCGTATGACCCACACTGTTCGTGACAGGAGTCCCCATCAACTGTTTGAGGATTTTGTCTAAGTTCTTGGCAGCAGGCACGACTCAATCATAGGGCTGGTGGGTTTGACATGGTTCTTGGTGCCTTCTTACGGCATCTATTGGCACGATCGGCACTGAGATGGTGAAACAAGGGACGAAAATCTAGAGACAGATCAGATCAATGGAACATAATGAAACGGCTAGAGCTGTGTCTGTCAGGGACAAACTAACAGGCTGTTCTAAGTTGATATAAAAGATCGATGTACGGTCGCCCAGTCGATAGTATTATCCTTAACAAAAGTCTTTCTTTCTACCTCCCATACTCTCGTCCTAAGTAAGGCCTGGTGGCTCTCAACCATTACGTCTTATCCAATCTTTTGCCATAATTATACTTCTGTTTCCATTACCAAATCACCCTTGATCCTATTCATCAAAATGCGTTTCTTCCAGGCCCTTGTCGCTCTGCCTCTTATCGTAGGCGCCGTTGCCAGCCCTCTCGAGACGCGCGCTACACTCGAAAACTGCTCTGGTGAGAGAGCGCAAATTATCAACAACGCACTCGCCCAGGCTGCAAAGATGGCCCAAGCCGGCGCCAACCTCATCCGCAGCGAATCCGACTACTCATACAACCTCTTCCAGAGCTTCTTCAAGACCAATAACGCCCAGTCCCGCAACCGCGTAGCGGGTGTCTTGGACAAGATTGCCACAGAGGCCACGAGCTGGAACCAGGGTGTTGTGAGCTACTACTGCACTCCGGATGGCATCAACTGCGTTGACAACCACTCTTTCACCATGACTGCCTACGGCGAGACAGACGGAACCTACGGAAGAATCCGGACCTGCCCTGCGTACTTCACCAAGTTCCCTGCCTGGTCGAACACCTGCGATGTTCTGGATCAGGCTACCTCTAGCTTGCACGAGATGTCTCATACCAAGGGCATCTTCGGTCCTGAGACGTATGGCTATGATGCAGTGCATGGTTTGAGCTCTTCTTCCGCTCTTGAAAATGCTGAGAGCTATGCTTTCTTCTCCAAATGTAAGTTTCTCCATTGTTTCCACGGAAAAGGTGTATTACTAACGTTGTTGCTAAGCGGCTTTCCTCAACTGCGATATCACCTACTAAGCAGTTTCCTTTGAGGACAGAAAATGTGTCATAGAGCGTTGATTATCGAGGTTAATGCGGTGTCAGGAGTGGAATCGAGGTTGCATTTGATTATGCTTAGTGGTCAGGTCTCATTCATTTCGTCAGAAAGGCGATGCCGGGTCGACTCGCATCCGACCGCTGTAGTATACATTCACGAGCCTCCTGAGTCTTAGTACAAAGAAATTCTATCATTACCATATATATGCATTGTCCGCGAAAGTAAAAGATCTAGTGATCATATTTCAGCTCAATCTCTCTCTGAGTACCGTGCACACACTTTGTATACCGTAACATACTAGGAGTTTCGTAACTGCCGGGAGGAGCCAAAGGCTGGCCTCTCGGCATGGTATATAAGGGATCTTGGCGCTGCTTGTTTTCTCGTGTTGGAGATCTTGCTTTTCTGCAATGAAGTAGGAGGGTGAGGTAGTATATATTGGTAGTTACCTATCCCCACCATCCGACACTTCGAAACAACGCTTATACACAGTGGAAACAAAGGATAAAGGCAGAAATCATTGGGCAGGGAAGAAATCTGGTGATAACTAGGTGCATGGTTGGTCTTCGTGGAGAAGTTCTTGGGCCTGACACAATGAGAGCTTTCTCTGATCGGCTCCACCCTGTTTTGACGCAGAAACGGCACTTATTTAATGTTCTTATAGCATAAAGTCAGCCTCTCCAGAACAAGAGTAACGGGACATAGCCACTTTACTGGATCCCATCATCTCCCCTTGGCCATCTCCGCTATTTGATGTTTGGCTCCGTTTGCCGAACCGGCCCAGTCCAGAGATGCTTGTCTGAAATTGAATGTGAGATTCTTCAGATTGAAGCATAAGTATAGAATTGAACCGCCGGGGGTCATCGGTTTGGGTGTCCGCTGTCTAAGTTAATCAAACGCCACTCCATCTGAGAGCTAATACCCCATGGCTATGAGCCAGTGATGAATACCCCATCTGAGCTTATTTTTGGCAAGGCTTCTCGTCAATTGCATATCTCTCGGTTCTAGTCGGTATGCGAAACCGACCCTAGCCATGAATGGGATGATATGGATTAAGCTAAATCGATACCAACTGTCGAACCGTCTAATATAGACTGGAAGGATACTAGTATATGGGAGTGGTGAAGCAAGAAAAAATCATTCTCCTACTCGAGATTTAGGTACAGGGAACTCAAATATTCAGAACTTGGGCACTGATAATTCAACTATCGAGAATTAGAACTTGGATTTTAACAGAGTTAGTGCGAGATAGGTGTATTCACATGTATAGAATATTCATATTACAAAATATACTGCAATGGATGGTATAGATAGCATGTTTGATGATAAGTTGCAGCCTTGTATATCAGGCAATTGACACAGCGTCACATAACTAACGTATTTCATATGCGAGTGGCGCACACAAGCGAGCGACGCAGTCCGAAGCACAGTATAAACGCGATATTTTCTTCATTCATATCTCAACAACCACGTTGTTATTTGGTTTCATTGTCATTTGATAGCAATTGATAAGACTTATTAGCACTATATATCAATCTTAAAGGAAGCAGAAGGCTATACGATCATCATTTCGAAAATTACCGAAAATTACGTTGCTAAAAACTAGAAATATATATATCGCAATAACTATATTATGGATTATTTCAAAACTCTTTAGAGAGGCTAGGTACCACCTGAAAAACATCAAGCTATTAGGAAAACCCTACATAGACCACCGTTGTTGAGATACCAAGTTGTAATTTATCGCATTTACTATGTGTTTTGGACTGCGCCGCTCGCTTGTGTGCGCCACTCGCATGTGAAATACGTTAGTTAACTAACTACATATACACCGGATTTTAGGCCGCCTGAGATGGCTTTCCCTTTCCGCTTCAGTGCTCACCCCGTGCCGCTTTTTGCTCACTGAGTAGACTGGTGAGGTTAGCGGAAAACATTAGTGTTAGTGACTTCATTTTGCTAGGGGGCTACATAGTAATAGAAGTACCTAACTATCGTTCCTAACCGGCAACGCTGTGAAGGACTCATGCATTGTTACCGGGAGAATGCATTGGAAATACAATTACTGCAAGAGGCCTCAATAGGTTTAGCGAGTGGAGAAGGGGTCCGAATAATAGCCCGAGGGGGTCCTTTTAGGATAGCCCTAGTTTTATTCGAATTGAAGCTGGGGGGGGTGGCTTGCAAATCGATCTTCGGAGTATAAATTTTGATTTTTGTCTGGTTTCGAGGGTTTCGGCCCATGATGCATAATATTCCCAAAATGATCATAATCGGTTCCATAACTCAGTTGGTTAGAGTGTGGTGCTAATAACGCCAAAGTCGAGGGTTCGACCCCCTCTGGAACCACGATTCTTTGCTTATTTTCTTTTTTTTAAGTCCTTAGTCATTTTATCCTTCTTAAAGATCAACCAAATCAATTCCGGCTGGACTTCATGTCATATTGATGCAGTCGGGTAGCCGTGCCTTCCAGTGCCCCCCCCACCGCCTTCGGGATGGGGGTGCACCACACCGGAAAACCAATTCACACCGGAAAACCAATTTTGAAGCCATTCATCTTCTTGACTTTATTCCCACCTACCCACCATGCCAAAGGCACCCAAAATAGACGAATCCCATGTTCTCGAGGCCTGCGAAGCCGCCCAGCGCGAAAAGAAACCGAATCTTGCGAAGATCGCGCGGGAATATGACATTCCGTATGAGATACTGCGCGGTCGCGTTCGCCGGGGACGATAGGCTCGTAACGCCTATACACCTAAGAATAAAGCTCTTGATGAGTATCAGGAGAAAGCTCTAGTCCAGTGGATCATTCGTATGCGTGATTTATACCTCCCCGTTACCCCTGAGATGCTCACAGAGTGGGCGAATCGGGCTCTCGTGCGTGCTGGTTCAAATCATGAAGTCAGTAAGATGTGGGCGTATCGTTTCGAGAAAAGACTTCCACCACATCTTATGTTAGGCCCTGTGATATAGAGAACGAAGGATAAGAAACGTCTTGAAGCAGAAGATGTAGGATACCTACAGCACTAGTATAATCAGCTTGCGAACGTACTCAAAGGTCTCCTATCACACTTAATCTATAACTTCGATGAATGCGGCTTCTAACCCGGCTAGGGAAGGGCTCGGAAGGTTATTAGCACGAAGGGAAGATGCCCTAATCTCGCTGAGTTCGATCATACTAAAAACATCATAGCGATCGAGTGTATCGCTGCTAATAGGTGGATTATAGAGCCGCTGTTTATTTTTAAAGGCGAGAAGTTCATGGAAAGTTGGTATGATCACCCTGATCTACCACACTTTTGGACGGCTGTTTCGCCTAAAGGATATATCAATGACTTCCTTGCTATTGGATGGCTTCAAAAATTTCATGAAGCTACAAAAGATCGAGTAAAGAGGGGTGAAAAACGTGTATTGATATTCGATGGTCATGAGTCCCATAAGACCGTCGAATTTCTTCAACTCTACGAGGATTACGACATTATCCCTTTTTGTTTTCGGCCTCATACGACTCATATTTGCCAGCCTCTTGATAGCAAGCCTTTTCTTGCTTATAAACAACATTTTCGCAAGTAAAATAACCTCATTTCTTAGTGGGGTGGGATCCCCGCGCGGAAGGCGGATTTTCTTAAGGACATCGTGAGCGTACGCAACAAGACCTTCAACCAGCGAATCATTCGAAATTCTTTTAAAGAACGTGGTATATACCCTCCGAATGGCGATACTATTATTCAAAAACTTCAAGATACACTTCCGCCGATACCAGACCTCTTCGCGCCCGATCTTTATACATACGGTGAATCAACACCTCCTCCGAATATCTCTTCTTCTAGCGTGGAAAACACCCCTCTAAAGAGTGCCTAAGACCTCGAGAAGAATCAAAAAAAGCTTTCGAAGATATTCACTACAGAGGCCCTCACACCAAAGCTCCAACGAGGCCTACAACGTGCGTTCTACCATCATAAACGTACGGCGGAAGAGCTTACGATAATGAGCGATATAGTTAGTCGAATGAGGGAGATATAGGCCCCTCGGAAGCGACAAATCACCAAAAGAGAGATTCCTAAGATCGGAGACTCTGGTATACTCAGTACAAAAGATGCCAATCGATCAATGAAGACCAGGAGAGAGAAAGAAGCTGTACAAGAGAAGAAGAGGTTGGATAAACAGTGGACAAAATTGTACGGCCAACCGCCACCCAAGTCGCCTACCGGGGAGAGTTCTATATTGTCAGATACAGTGGTGGTAGCGCGGCAGGGAGGGGAGTCTTTTTGGATAGATACTCAGGGTGAAAAGCAGTAATTAATGTGAATAGCTTCAAAATTGGTTTTCCGGTGTGAATTGGTTTTCCGGTGTGGTGCACCCCCATCCCGAAGGCGGTGGGGGGGGCACTGGAAGGCACGGCTAAGGCTTTCCCAGACTTTCTGGGGGATCTACGTGGGTATATGGCTCGATGGTACCTTGTGCCTTTGCCATTCACGTACGGTGCCTGGATTTAGTGAATTTAATCTTAATTATATGTAGGCAACGGCCTTTCTGAGCCATTGTACGCGGATAGCAACTTTTGAGTTATACAGACCCAGCGCCAAGATCAAGTGGATAGCCATAGCCCTGAAGATTTCCATATTTGAGCTATGATCTGTTACCAGATAAAGAAGGAATTAACAAGCCTCTGGTCCTGAACAATTAAACACATTCCTTTCTTTCAAGTCCGAGCTGGAATTGTATCGGCGTCTCGGCTTTGTACACGCCGGGAGGGCGACTCTTGTTGAAGCACTCATCTCAAATGGGGATGATCATCTTGTTCCAAAAGACCAGACCTCGGCGGCGTTTGCGGAAAGAAGGGACTCATTATGCTATCCCGTATATCACGCGCATAATAGCGTGGTAAAAATATGTCAAGAATTTCCGCATTCAAGCACACAATCCATCATTTCCGGTATCTAAGCTAGATTCTAATCATAGTAGGGCACTAGACTCAGACTAGCCGAACTTTGAGAACGATGGATACTTTTGTTTCTCTATCAAAACAGCCTACCTATGCGATTACTTTACGGTATTATCGCTAAGTCCGTTGTCCTATCATACAAATGTACCGCCTTTATACGCACAAGAATTACTAAATACCTATTCATACCACAATATTTGGAAGACCGATAGAAAGACATCTAAAAAGACAGTTCAAGGTCTGTGTAAACATACATCCTATCGCCGGCATCAGGCTCTCTAGTTTCGCCATTTCTCATTCTAAGAATACTTCTAATATCCCGTATGCTATATCTGTAAAAAGAATGAAATATCTTCCATTTAGGGCCACCAAATATTAGGTCATGATTGTAATCCGTAGCCAAGTATCAACAATGAAAAGGCTAACCAATGGTGGTATGCTTTCTTTTCTTTGCTACAACCTATGTGGTCACCGCCGTGACCACTAATTCGCCGTGATCGGAGAATGTTGAGCTTACCTCGGCGAATTGCTGCATGATGAGGTCGCTCGGCCATTGCTGCCTCAAATCCTCATGTATCTGAATCCTCATGTATCTGACGGACGGTGGGCACTTCATCTCCCAGTTGGTGAATTAGTAGAGCAAGGCAGCACATGGGCTGAGGCTGCACATTATACTGGGCCAGTGATTCGATTTGATGCTGGTAGAACATAATGTACTATGCAGCTATGGGCAAGTCTTCCCGTTTAAGGTTGTGCATTTTCAAAACCTCGGCTTCGACGATTGAAAGCATTCTCCTTCCGCTGACGACTTTGTCAACCTCCTGCATGAGATCATCGGCAGAATGCGGCCATTCCAGGCAGCTCGCTTCAATCGCGCATATGTGTGATTGCTGGTTGTCTACTTTCACACTAGCGCTATTCGTTCGTGTAGTTGGTCTTCCGCGGTGCTCCTTTTTCCGTGCTCCTCACATCCCAATGGCGACAAAGGGAGCGAGTCTCAGTGAGAATGATACCCTCTAGCATATCGACTTGCGTGTTTATTCTCATAGCGGCCTTGCTCCCAGAGCTTTGAATCCATTCATCGACTTCATTACCGGAAGAATTGCAGCGTTTGATCGATATTGCAAGTCGACTCGCTGGATCGCAGGGCATTGCTTCAGACGCGTAGCCGCGGGTCGGGAGAGCTCCTGAGATCGTTATACGAAGCTGTAGCTTGGCGCGCCCATGATCGAACCGCAGGGTCATCTGACCGTGTAAGTGCTTCGAACCCTGCTCGGTCAAAAACTTCTTTGCTTGCCGGTAAATTCTCGTCATAAAACCTCTGCTATATAGGCGGTACGACGTTGAGATGGCGGCCAGCGGATGAACTGTCCGCAGATGGAGGCAGATATGTGTCGAGATTCTTGGTAGTGAAGGTTCTAAAAAGACAGGCCATCCACATCTCTAACAAGTTCAGTAGACATTGTTTATATCTAGATAGATTCTGTCCTTCGGTTTCACCGTTGAATATCGCAAGTATAACGAACTCAGAACACATGTCTTCTTGCGAATCCCAAACGTGATAATGAAGGCTGGGATGTTTTCTGCGATATAGCCTATTATTGTGATCTGCTATCCTGTTTCCCAAGTTTTTTGCTTGGCCAACGTATAGGCAGAAATGCCGGGGATCATTCGGGGGCCAGAGAATATGCATGTAAATGCCAGCGGCAGTTGTTTTGATATCTTCGCTAATCGACCGTAATCTAGCTAAGAGCTAATTAGAAACTGCGGGAAAATCCCGTGAATCTCAAGACATCCACTTACCTATCTAGGGAGAATAGTCCCTTATCGCTAACTAGTCTCACACTAATTTCTGTTTGGCATTTTCATGCGTCTTTTCCTATAGCTTAGTTTTTTCCTCTTTCAATAGTTGTTGACAGATCTGCCTGTACGACAATGTATGGTATACCTCAGTGGTAATGAATTCTCTCTGTCTGGACTCTGTCTGTATTGCAGACATTGGTTGCAGTGAGAGCTCTCTCTGAAGCTGCTGTTCAACCTCGTCTTGCTCATCTCTCACTTGTCTCTCACTTCCGTCTCACCTCCCCCCACCCCACTAGTCAATCGACTGTATCACAGAGCTTGGAGCTGGTGACGGCGTATATGGGGTTTTTCGGGGTGTATAATCCGGTGGAATCAATGATATTGACGGAACCGGAGGAATCGAGGTGGATCTTGACGGATCCTGTGGTGTGGAGCGTGGTATGGAGGATCTTGCTCTGGGTGGTGGTGGTGGAGAGGTAGGTAAATCTATAAGGAAGCTCCCTGGGAGACTACCTTGGGACCATGTTTGCCACTGTGTTTGTGCCGGTCTGATCTCGGATTCCGGCGTCAATGGCAATCCAGATGCTGATTTCAAAGAGCTTGCCACTGGGGTAATCTCTCTCTCTCCCCCTATACCCAGATGCAGATCTGTATCTGCATCTATATCTGCATTTGGATCTGGATTTGTATCTGGAGCTTCACCTTGCTTGGTATGCTCGGTTTGCTCTTGCAAAGCTATCCTTGCTACTGACATTGGCATATTTAGTATCGCTGAGATCTCATTTTGTGCTTCATCCAAAGTGAGTACTGTGGGATTTTCATCATTGATCAGACTACTAATCGCCGGTTCTTCTTGCAGGTCTAGATCCGGTCTATATCGACGACTCTCATCAAATACAGCATCTCGTACCACGTCCACCCTTCCAAAGCGGCCCTTCTTGTGTGGGAACCATACTTTATACATGTTTTTGGGTACGTATCTAACCAGACATTCGATCTCTACACGTGGTGACTTCTTGTCTGACTGCACCCGCTTGATGATTCTCGAATACACTAATCATCCATATAGTCTTAGATTTGACAGGTTGACAATCTGGTCTTTGACTCCGTTAGGAGCGGTATAACGTATCAACTCCTTCCATGGTATGATCCACTAACCATTCGTCTTAGTAGGAGTCCGGTTTAGCATATATGCAGCTGCATATATAGCTTCTGGCCACAATTCGTTCGGAAGCTTAGTGTCGGATTTTAGTGCTCGACCGGTACGGACGATCATCCCTCCTGATCTCTCCGCGGGACCATTCATCTCTAGCAAACCAGGTGGTGCATACTCTATAATACAACCTTGATTTTCGATTATGAATTCGACCTCATTGCCAGCGCTCCGCTCGTTATCATAGTGGGATACACGGATCTTGACATTTAGCCAGTTTCGGATCAAAGTAAGGAATCTCCTTACTACCATCTGGCACTCGCTCTTCTTCACGTGAGTAAATATAAAGTGGCATCTAATACCATCTAGGTAGATATGCGTCATCCAGACATGGCCATTATACGCAGGCTGCTTCTAGATAAGATCGAAGTGTACTCTGCCGAATACACCATAGGCTTCTCCGATTCTTCTTCTCGAGATCTGCTTCGGAGCATCTGCCAATTGATAAGCTTCACATACCTACTTCCTTTTGCTAGAGTCGCTTTCAATAGTAATACCCTCTGTCATCTCGCTTAATTTGAGAATACGCTCAGTACCAATATGGCCTAAACGCTTATGCCAAAGCTTAATCGGAGCTTTTGAAGCTGATTCTCTTGCTGACTTCTTTATAGTTCCAAATATCAGCTCTCCTTCTGTCGGTTTTAGAAGCTTTATATCCGGCAGTGTAAGCCAAAGAAGCTTCTGATCCTAGTATGTCTTATACACTAGGTACTAACTATCAATAATCTCAAGTTGGTTCTTCCTGACATTTGCCAATCCCCCCTTCATCATCAATCCATAGGATATCAGATTACTATAGAATTGAGGTGAGTACTTAATATCGTATAGCTCCATTTTGACTAGCTTGCTTGTGGTAGGACTGACACCATAGATCACTACAGTGCCTCTCCCTACAGCCCCGGTTTCGGTATATCCTACACGAACAGAGCTTCGCACGCTCTAGAGCGTCATAAATAGCTCTATATCATTATAAATGTGGACCTGGGCGCCGGTATCTACCACCCACCGTTTGCCAAGTGGTACCGGATTGAGATTGATATCCTGGTTGGTGGAGAAGAAGGTAAAGGCTTGACTGTCGAAGGTTGCATTTGCTTGCTGCAGTGCTTCTCTCCCCTATCCGGTCTTTATCTGGTTTTCAGATTCTTCTCGATGACGTTTGCCAATGTACGCTCTCTAGGTAGGGTCAGCCTTCATAGCTATCTCCCACTTCTTCTTCCACCCTTGATTTAGCTTATATCTTGGCGGTCTGTTAGTGTCAAAGATGTCCTAACACTTCCAGGCAACAAGCCTGCCGGCATTCCTAGTATAGGGACAGCGTCTTTGTGACATTAACTCTCCTTATCTTTGTGATATTGACTCTCCTTCCTCTGGTTGAGCTTCTTGTTAGCCATGGAACGTGGAAAAAGCAGCTTTTGATACTATCCTTAATCCTATCTGCTTGCCATGACTAACGCGCTAGTGTGTTTTATATCTAGTAAGCAGCTCTATAAAGGAGATATCAGGATTGTCTTCTAATCTTGGCATCTATGTTTTATAGAAGCCAGTTGACATGACTAAGACTACATCTAGAAATTGAATACTCGCTTCTTTGGCTTCGGTAATACCGGCATTTGCACACCGTATTTGAAGGTTTGCCTAATTAGTAAGTCATTTTTCAATATCATTTCCTCGATCAAGTCCTCGATCTATCTACCTCTATTGTTATCGAAGCTGAGCTTTATAGGTGGGATCACACTCCGGTGCAAATATCTTCCGAAGATTCTAGAGCAGCTTCCAAGCGGTGTCATGTTTTATGATATACTCCTAGTAGTCTTGATACTATAAATAATAAAGAGAGTGTCACTAGACCGATTAGAAAAATAAAAAAATAAAAGAATAAAGATTCTAAATAAAAGAGATAAAAAAGGAAATGTGGTTCCAGAGGGGGTCGAACCCTCGACTTTGGCGTTATTAGCACCACACTCTAACCAACTGAGTTATGGAACCATGTATAATTCATTTCAGAATTTTAACAATCATATTGTAATACCATAATTCGATCACGTTTCCAATACCCGTGCCAAGCGCTCAATACACCTGCCGGGTATTGGTGCGCCCCAGCAGATGCAAGATTTTCAATTTGTTCTACTATGAAAATACTATTTACATGTAACCACCATGACTATCTATATACCAATTTGCACCATTACTATCTCTTGCCGCCATTAAAGCTCCATGCTCACCTTCAGCTAAATCCCTGGCTTCCTAAGCTCGCTGCTAAGTTTCTAATTCCTTGGCATGCCTAGCCTGTAACCGCTTCAACTTCTTAGTATCGACATCCTATCTTTTTACTATCATCCTATTTTAGACCTCGCCCTCACCCGCACCGAGTCCCCTAGACTGGAATTGGGAACCGACCCGAGGGCGAGGTCTAAAATAGTAGGAATCAACGCTTTTTAACCACCGTAGAGAGGTGGGTAAACTAGAGAAGTAAAGCACCGTAATCTTCACTCCCTACCCTCGATTTTTCCTTTGGTTTTTAGGTGATATAATTAAGCCTAGGGGGTAGTCATATAAGGAAGCGGTACGGCTAGTTATAGCCAATAACCCGATCTTCACTAGCCTTTTTTAAAATGGTATTTGTAGCATCTTTAACCATCTCTAGGGTAGATGATGTATACGCACTATCTAGGGTTTAAATCCAGCTAGTGAGTGCCTTTTCTTGAATTAAATTCAAGCTTCTGGTTGTTTCGGAACGGCCGGCATTGGACTAGCGTCCATAAATTCGGTGCCGAAGCAGGTAGGGTGGAACTTCAAAATCCCGCGCCAATTTAGCTATATTAGGCTTAATAGCTGCCTGGTAGGCTTTGACTGCATCTTAGATTCGATCCTTGATTTTTTCGGCTTTTTCTGACATCGTGTTGTAGTAGTAAAATGGGTGGGAATTTGGTGGAATTGTGAAAATCTTGCATCTGGTGGGGCGCTTGGCACGGTTACTCAATCAAAAAAACACATTTAATCTATATATCTATAACCAGCTATTATAGTACCGCCTTGATCTAAAGTTCTTTAAATTCTTTCTTAAAAGAGGATGGATTAAGCTATATAATAAATGCTATTACTAGTCCCTGATTATAATCTTCCTACTTAATCTAATTTTATAGCGGTATAAACAATGACTCGGTTAGAGAGACTGTGATAGAATTAAAAAAATTAGAAAAATATAAAGACGCTGGTTCCAGAGGGGGTCGAACCCTCGACTTTGGCGTTATTAGCACCACACTCTAACCAACTGAGTTATGGAACCATATTGTTGGTTATGGCCAAAATTTTCATGTCCTGAACCAAACACGGTAACGAGGCTTTTTAAGAACATTTTAACGTATTTCACAAGCGAGTAGCCACCTCAAAAACATAGTAAATGCGATAAATTACAACTTAATATCTCAACAATAGTTTTATACAAGGGTTTTCCTTATAGGTTAATACTTTTTAGGTGACATCTAACCTCTTTAAGGGGGTTTAGAGAAATTCTATGACTTTGTGATCGCGGTATATAGATTTTAGTTCACAACAAGGTGATTTTCAATACCGTGATACTATAGCATTTTAATTTCTTTAATATTTATATATGGAGATCAAAATCCTTATCTACTCCTATCGACAAAAAAAGGGACACAAGAAGAATGTTGTTGTTGAGATGTAAAGTTATAAAACATCACATTTACTATGAGGTTTTAGTGGTGGCCATTCGCTTGTGAAATACGTTATATAGTTATGCAGTCTTATGCTCTCTTATTAGTAGAATGCCTTTTGTTGAGTCTCCTGGGTCATGTGACTCATTGCTGCCTAGGGTCTTTGTATAAAGGTCTCGGTGCATGCCTAAGGGATCCTCTTAGTCCTTTAGTCTTCTAGTTTCTAGTTATCGATCATTGAATCCATCATATTGATTCGATTCCATGATCTCCACAGGTTATGAGACCTACCTTTTATTGGTTGAATTCATTTTGACCATCACGCTTCCAAGAGCGATTTTTGAATAGGGTCTTAACCCTTTGATCCAGGGCATCAGCCTTGACCCTTTTGAATACGGGGTCTGCACATCCGTCCATACTCATCAGAGGATATCTCATCAAATAGTCTTGCTTACTTCTTTGAATAGCTTCTTTCATCAATACAATTATCTTTAATCATCATCTTTCACCAAACGAACATCTTTCATTGTCTGAGCCGGGCCCCAATCCTATTAAGATTCCGGAGCCAGATGACCAAGCCTTCGAATTACCAGAGAAGCATCATATAAAATTCCAAAAGATGGAGATTCTCGAACAATCCAATAAGAATTCCGAGCGCTGGTTCGATACAGTGCGATTCATTCTCTCTCCTCTGGGAATCAAGCGAATCATCGACCCTTTAAAGTACGCTAGACCTCCAACGACAGACACGAGATATAAGAAATGCCGTTATTGGTCCATAATGGTAGCCGGTTGGCTCTATACCCATATTGACGGTGAATTGAAGGACCGTTTCAAGGCGTCTCAGGGTGATATAGACGAGATCTTCGCCGATAACATTGTCACGGAGCTTAGGCAGATGATGGGTGGTGATCACAAGGCGAATCAGTTATGGCTTAAAATTACCAATTTAGATAAGATAAAGCGGTCGAGCTTCAGCTCAGCCAAAGAATTCATCATTACGTATCAGAGCCAAATCGAACCTTGATTTGTATAATATCGCCCCAGCATCCTTCTACTCGTTAGTCTTAATGTTGAATCAACCAAGATCTGAATTACCGTCGATCTCATTCATCGAGGAGGATTTGAAGGACAAGGACGGCAAAGATCTCACTATTAATATGCTCAATCGAATCTATCGAAAATTGCAGGTCGAGTGAGATCATATTCGACAGAACAGTGGACAATCCAGGGCAGCTCCACAAGCCAGCAGGAAGCCTAAGGCGAAAACAGCAGTTACTATCCATGATCCAGCAAATTCATCAGCTCTTAAAAGGGAGACTCCTAAGGAAGAACCCAAGGCACCATCAACATATGGGCCAGGGCTTTAGGGTGTTCCCCCGAAGGGCATTTTAATCCATCAACATACAAAGCACAAGCGTGAACAAGAACGACAACGTGATGAACATAGAAATTGCAGTCACTACGGCGCTAGTCCTCATAAAGCAAAGGAATGTGCCTATCTTAGTGATAGATTAATCTATCCTACGTGGGAAGCCGTCAGGGCTTCAGGGGTATATCATCATAAAATTCTGTCACATTAATATCCTCTTTGTCGTCGAAGTCTCGGCGATCATCCCGCGTAGTGCCTGGGACCAGTCGTGCGCCCCTTGTCCGATGGGGCGAAGGCACGTAGACGTATGTAGGCGGCGTCTTGGCTGTAAACGGCGCGGAAGATGTTCTCGTTATAGCCGTTTCCTTCCCGGCTAGAAAGACCAATGCACCTCTCGGTCATGAGAATTTGACGTCATTAGCATCACATTGACCTATGCATTCTAAGGTATATTACTTTACGCCCCGAAAGGATCCATAGAAGGAGGTACAAAAGAGCCGTCCTAGCACCGACTTAAGATATATGATTGCTCTATGAAAGATGTCTTTTAATTGAGACTAGGGAGGACCAATGAACTCATGCTTTGCTAAGTGGATCGGTCCTAAGAGGCTATTATATACAGTCTAATTTCTTGAAGGTATTAACGCGCTGGGTATGTTACAGATGGGTTCCATAACTCAGTTGGTTAGAGTGTGGTGCTAATAACGCCAAAGTCGAGGGTTCGACCCCCTCTGGAACCAGCTTATTTCTTTTTTTCAAAATTTTGTTTCTATCAAAGTCCCTCTATATATTTAATCTCTATCATTCATGTTGGTGTTCATCCTCGCTAAAATTTCCATCGATATTATGCTCATCGAAATCTTTATCATTATCGCTTGCTTTAAGTGCAACTATAGCTCTGCATTGTGCTCCACCGACGTTAGCGATAACCGTATTTAGGTCTAGCATCGTCATTATTGTTATTGTTGCCCTACGAGTGATTGTGGCTATAGCCGCCGAGCTGCTGTATTATCTTGATGAAGTCGGAGTATTTACGTGGAAGGTTGAGCTGTTGAGATAACCGGTTCGGAAGCGAGGTATTGGAATTGCACCTGAAGCTTTGGCTTCGTAAATATGTAAATAGTGAGGGAGTCGGGTCTTGTTTAATCGAAAGGAGGCGATCTTCGGCTTTGTGAACCTTATTTGTTATCTATAATAGTACACACGACGAAGTTGATCGAGAATTGTATTTAGGTTATGGATGCCGGAACGTGCAGGTAGGATTGCGGTCGTTTCGATGTAAGGATGATGGTAAGGGCGTGCAAGGCTGAAATTGCACCTGAACCTGCTGTCGAAAGGTTGATTGCTGTAAGAGGGTTAAGATCTCGCTTTGGAGGGCTTGAATGGTGGAAGCGAATTCGGCGCTGAGTTCGGCGCGAAGTTGATCCATGATGTTGTTTGTGGCGAGCGAGGTTGAAACTCAGATAGTTGCACTTGCTGAGTTCGGGCTTGTTGTTAAAAGATGATGGTGGCAAGCGAAGTCGAAACTTAAATGGTTGCACTTGCTAAGTTCGTGCTTACTGTTAAATGTCGTTTGTTAGAGGATAAAATCCAATGAAAAAGGAGGGTTTAAATAGCCTTGCCGCAGCGTACCAAGTGCCTCGAAGCGGTGCAGTCTCGCACAGAAAATACCCAATGGTAAAGGCTTACTGTGCTGTTCATTCGGATCAGGAAGGTGGGTGCTGGACTAAGAGTGATACCGAGGCTGGAACCTCTATACAGTCGTATAAACACGTCCAGTTCGCCAGTTCTCAGTATAGGGCTTCGTATTAAGGATATTCAGTATAATGTGATAAGGCAAGCTTATTGTAGTAATAAGTCCATTCAACGAGATACTGAAGATGGGGAGAGAAGGAAAGAAGGAAGGAGGAAGTGCGCGAGAGAGATACTAAATAACCATGTCGGCCCCACTTCCCTTACATGCCTGAAAATTAGGGTGTCCGAACTTCATATGCGATCATGTGACCCGAGAGCTCATCAGAATTTGAAATTTGATGGTTAAAATTCTCAATCAATAATCATCGGTTCCATAACTCAGTTGGTTAGAGTGTGGTGCTAATAACGCCAAAGTCGAGGGTTCGACCCCCTCTGGAACCACGATTTATTTTTTTATCCTTTCTTTGTTTTTTGCTACTCTATATTCCATTCTTCATCTCATTTTTGTCAGTATTTTTGCTTCTTATTCAAATAACAAAGGTATATATGTATATATATATGTACGATACTCTGTAGGGAGTATCGATCATGGATACAATTTGTTCCCCTCATGTCAATCAAGTCTATGTAACCAAACTATATAACCTGTGTATGACAGTGTTGCTGGTCGAAATAAAAGTTTGGAACTGTCAGATAATGAGGGGAAGTACCAAAAAAAAGGCAATGATGGACATAAAAAGATTTCATACAATTATCTAACGAGCGTCTATATCTTCAGTTGATGAAGATTATCTTTGCCAGGTTACCAGTTTGACATGGTAACGACAGCCTAGGTTGGTATTAGTGATTAGTTATTCTTTTCGGTTAATCCGAGTTAAATATGACCAGAAATGGCGTCGTAGCTTGAAGAAGCCCACTTCATCCTCGTACGGGCGTATGGACGCTGCTATGCCAGGGTAAGTGGGCGGCACTATAAAGCAGGAAAATCTATTTCGAAGCGGATCAAATTACATATCACTATGCTTTGAAATGTAATTTCCGCGTCTTTGTAGTCCTATCGACCAGCCCTAGCAGATAAGCATCCGTAGGCCTCTATGGGGATTAACTAGAGTCCTACTAACACGAGTAGTTGCTCCGAACTTGACTTTTTTTCAAAGAGGGTTAAAGACACGTTACCTGTGATGGAGATATCACTTATGTCAAGAAACGCCTAAAGCCTCAATAGCGCCTTTTGTAGCCGTGATCTTCTCTCCGCTATCCTTTAAGACAGCTTTAACGATGGCCTCCACAGTAGTAGCCATAGGGCCCGGGTAGATTGTGTTCCTTTAGGATCGATTGTTATAGACACATTCTGCTAGGCCTGTGGAGAAGCCTCGCTGCGTAAGATAGGAGTTCGACGATTTCTCTGATATGATGTTGTTTATCTGACCTAGAAGAAATAAAGATGAATCGATCAATTTCATATCACTACGGGTGGTGAGATATCACTTACCACGGGTCGCATGTCGACGAAGGCCCTCCTTGTCAAAAACCAGCTTGATGATTGTATCACGAAATAGAGCGAGATCCTTGTTCCCATCCTGGTGGAAACTATATGCTAGCTGTAATGCCTGTCGGATTTAAAGCCGGTAGGTAAATCGATACGAGATGATGTTCTCGGCGTTCACGATCTTTCCATCGTCAAGAGAAGTAGGATGAAACATGGTTGAGTGCAACAAGGAGTTAAAGAGATGGAAAAGGTAGATAGAGAGAGTTTGTTAAAAAAAGATATACAGTTGCAAAAGATTATTTTTACATAGATAAAAGCTCAAGGGAGATTGTTTGAAAAAGTGCAGGGCTGGGGCATGGCAGATGATAAAGCGTGGGACTTCCATTGAAATTTCTCCCATTCACCACCATGAGCTCGGGAAAGAAACCTAATGTCTAGACCGCCAACCTCGGAAAGAAGATCCACCTGGGTACTCCCGAAGCTCCCTTTACTCCGTTTCAGATCCGCTGCCTTCGGCTCAGCGAGAGGCGTTCTTTATTAATCAATAGCATGTCGTAAGGGTCGCTCCGCTAGAGAATTCTTTTCGGGTCTGCTTATGGTGCCTGGCTTTAACCTAAAGGACTTCTTAGACTCGCTGTATGCTTGGTTTGACTTCCCGGGCCTCTGTTACCCGTTCATTCCCGAGGAACCATTCTAGCAAGACTATAAATTCGATGTAGTCGGGCCCTTCTCTTAGCTATTGCGTACCGCGGCATACCTTTCGTAGCGGCAACAGATAAGTGGGAAAACCAGTAGCTCCTTATCGTCTCGTGTGTGAAAGAGCTTATGAGGGCTAAAACTAATAGGGCCGCCACTAACACAATGCGCCTGGATGATCTCGAAGCGATGGCCCTTATCATCGATTTCAAATACGACGGTAGATATACGGGATTTAATTGATATTAGAAGCCGTTCATTATCCGTGATTCTCTTATGTTGATGACCCTGTAGTCTCGCAATCGAGGACTAAAGGACTCCAATCCTTCTAAGATATTAGCGTATGCCGACGAGCGCTTTACACTTCTATACTGGTATATATATAGCCTAGATTCTTTTAAATGCCTTAATTGTAAAAGCATCTCTCTCATTTTAAATAACGCCTTAGATCTAGCAAAGGATCATCTGGGATACCAGGCTAAAGGCTACCTTAATGCGATTCTGAGCTTGGCTGTTATTACACGGTGCATTAATCAGAAGTTGTGCAATGCCACAGTTAGAGTTAAGGGTATCGAGTATATGGATACTAAAAGACTCTACGAGCAACTTTCCCACTAGGGCAATAGTATTTTGCCCTTAGATTTACGGCGACCAGTCGATAGAGAGACTGAATTCCCAGCGGAACATCGCGCCGTTAGGAAACGTCGTGCAGTTTTGTGGGCTCTTGAAAACAATTGTTATTACAAATCGATGATTGTGGTCGCTCGATATGGCTTTAAGGATAGAGCCTCAATTCATGCAAAGGCGCATGGCTCGCCGTGTGGGGTACGAGAGTCATATAATTGCGCTCGAAGCAGTCGATTTGGCCAATATGATTAGACAGCGTCATCCAGGGAAACAGGACGCCGAAGACGCCGAATAAAGGCCGTTGGTTGATATTGCACCGCCTGTACTGCGGGATATTTACGCCAGTGTATGCAATTGGGTCTGTTTCTACGATGAAGGCCCCTTAACGCTATAAACCCTGATTATAGACACAAATCTTGGACACAAAAGCCCTGTCCAAGCTTCAGGGGTAGATACTAAGAGACGAAGGGCAGACCTCGCCGAAATTGGAAAGACGCTTCGGGATACCGTGGCCGCAGCTTCGTCTCATGGAGATACGGAGGAGAGCCTTGAAGGCCAACTAGCTTTTCCAGGAAGACTAGGCGATTATTGCGAACTGAACGGATGGCTAAGTGCGCACTGTACCTTAATCCAGGGTGTTATCAATAGTCAAGCTCAAGTATGTTTACTCATAACACTGACTAGATTGACGATCCCGTTATCCCGCACTGGCGCAGGTTGTCTCCATTCCTAGTGATGGGTGCAAGCTGAAGTGGTAGGAAGGCTGTCGCAGGACTGAATAGACTAGTAGAGTAATTCTTGAAGCAGACTTGGGGGTGCCTGGGTATAAGGAAATGTGCGTGATTTGGGGTGGAGATTGCTATTTGGCTAATAATATCCAATGAACACCCTACTTCTTCTTTGTGCTACCAAGAAGCTACTCCTAATAATGAGCTAATCCACTTATTATTCTTTTCGACCATTGCTGTACTCGGATCTCCGAGACAACCCAACGGGGAGAAAGCGGAAATGTAAGCATAACAGACAGTAGATGCCGGGGGCTGGGTATGGGTTGGGTTGGGTTGGGTCCCGGTCCAATTGGGTTCTGGAGAAGCCTAGTTAGCACTTAGCGTCCGAGATATGGTCCGACAGATACTCGGACCTGTTTTCTTGGCTGAGTATACCACACTGGGAATAATTAAACGGAATAATCTTAGTGGACCTGTGTTCCGAGTGCTGTCAAGAGTACAAGGATCTTCGCCTTGGAACGTAAGCCTAGCGACACCTCTAAAGAGAGATCCCCGACGCTCGGGGACTCACTACGTAAGCCCTCTCCACCCCCAGGGCCCCGCCATAGGACTGGGAAATGTCATCAGATAATCGCGTGTTGTAAATAGATGGGATTTAAGAGGAGTTAATAATATCCTAGGTCAATTTGTAGTATACAATCTCAAAAGAAGAATCAGAACCAGAAAAAGAAGTCAAAGAAGCCATCGCTTGGCCTCTTTACTTTGTCCCGCTAGGTAGGCCTAGGCTAGCCGTCTTTTGCCAGACGCCTAAACTAGGCTGCTCTAAACTAAACGTTAGGCTGATGCACTTTCCCTCTCCTTGTTTCCCAGCTGTTTGCTATCTGGAACATTTAGTTATGCCAATCGCCCCCTCTTGTAAACAATATAATGCTTGGATACGAGTGTCTAGACTCCAACAGTCCCCGCTCCTTCCTCTTCTCCGTCGTCGCTAATGTCGGCCCCCGTGGCGCCAGCCGCTCCTGGCCGTGGCTTACCGCCAGGGTAACGATAGGGACACCTCAGCGTCATCTCTAGCACGCATAGAGCATGTCGTGGCAGACACCCTCGCGCTGATCGAAATCCTCTCGGATCCCGCAAACCGCGCGCCGCTTGAGGCGGAGAGGGCGCTCGCGGAGGGCTGGTATCGTCGGTCTCACGGGGGCAACGAGGCCGAGAGTAGTGAGCGGCCTAGCATTCCAGACACGCCGCAGCCCCCTTTCGTCGTGCCTGATGGCTCCCAGCGGTGGGAGCAGCCGCAAATACTGCCCGAGCTGCCGTGGCATGATGACGCGCTCAGCGAGTTCCCCTTTACAACGACGTGCCTTTTGCTGGGATTGTTGCGCGACGATGGCGATGGCGATGCTAATGCCACTATTAGCAATAGTAGGCGCCCTGGCGACGTCCAGCTCCAGCCGCTATCCACTGTGTTCCGTGGCGACTGCGCCGAGTATGGCCTTGTCGTTCTCGATATCTCCGACCTCGACAGCGGCGTCAAGTACGGCATCGTTGGCTTCCCCGTGCGCTATATGGCCGAAGTTTCCTACTACAGCAAGGAGGGTGGCTGGGATCCCGTTGAAGACCCCCGCCTAAGAAGGAGCCTGACATTGTACTCATCAGCCCGCGGCCTCGAGTGCCGTTGTCTATTCTTCGGTGGCTACGCAAGTACTTCTACTGCATGAGCCTGGACGCGGGACCCAGCGTCCTGAGACTGGAGGATAGGCCGCTTGTTGATGCTGCAGCCTTGGACTGTACGTTTGTTTCCACGCCATCTGTCCGCTTGTGGGATTAGGATGATGTGCATGTGCTGACTTAGGAATGGTAGACATTTGGCCGCCGGAGCTTGAAAATCAGGCTAGAGTTGAAAATCAGGGTAAAGCATCTTCGCAAGGTGTTATCTCAAGTATCTCCGACTGTCTGTGAATTACTCGCGCTTCTCCATGCTCACACATATCTACCGCATTTACTGACTCATGAAACAGACTTCTGGCCTTCAAAGTCCACTACCCGGGCCAAAAGTGCATCGACCTCATCACCCTGGCGCTTGACCACGTCCGACGAGCCGCCGCGAGATGCGCACATGGACCGCGCCAAAGATGCATCGTCCACAACAGCCTCGCGCTTGACCACGTCACACGAGCCGCCGCGAAATGCGCACATGGACCGCGCCATCGATAATCTGCTGATTCTCACACAGGAGCTCGCCGACCTCCACCTCGACGAAAAGACAATCGGCAAATTCCAAAAGCTCGCCGAGTTCCGCGAGCATCTGCGGCGGCGGCTCGAAGAGGTGCCCGACAGCCTGGGCCCATCCTCCGAGGCCTCGGGCCATATTCTGCGCGTTGCGTACGCTGGACGCACGCACCTCAACTGGGTCGCGTTTAGGAACCTCGCGCCAGGCCTGATCGCTGCCGCCGTTGCATCCGACGAGCTTCGGGGGGCGTCTGCGCTCAGCCTCTGCGTCGATAAGTTCAAGCTGGAGGGAGACGAGGGATACCTCGGTGATCTAGCAGCGGCTCTGGCGCAGTCCACCCTCAAACAGCTCTGTTTCTTGCAGGGACCGGATAGGGATAGCGACGACGCCTCCGCTCGTTTCTGCACGCAGCTGCTGCTGCAGAGGAGGTCATCAGGGGACTTAGGGTGGCTCCGCGACAAAACCATCTATCCGACTTACGCCTTTTCGAGATCCTTGCGCAGCCGCAAATTCAAATCGCCCTCGACATGATTCTGCTGGTTTTGAAGATGTCGCTCCAAAGTGGAGACAGACGTGGCAATTGACCAATCATACTTACAATGTCCTGTGATGTAGTGGCTCCCATCTATCAATTTACGATCATCGTGATATGATAAGAGAACAAGAACTGGCCGTACAGAGTCTAGCAAGACTGTAGGCCTCTCTAAACTTTGCTGCTTTTTGTACATAGTTCGTTCCGCTATGTATTGTATTAGGAATTTTTGTTGCGACAGAATAATGGCAGGAATTAGCGGTGACCGAGAGGGATAACAGACACTATGGCCGCCTATTTTGGTGTAGTGGCACTCTCAGCGAGAGGAAGAGATACGCTAATCACATTTTGACATCCCAGTTGAAATTCTCTGGTATCGCCCGAGGAGTTCGAATGGAATGGAGGTGGTCCTTGCGACCAGGCTGAAATAGTTTCTTGTCAGAGACACTGGGGGGGGGGGGGGGGGGGTTAATAACATCAAGACCGGGTGTCGTTAGCTACGAGCTAAGGTATAAATCCATATCTAAGAAGTCTTAGAAGTAAGATATAATTGAATTTCTCCTACTGCTCGCGCCGGTTTTATCTCTTCTATCAGATGACACTAATCGTCTTAGCTGATCTTCGATAAAGGAGAGCTATAACTATCGATTTGGTGATACTAGCGTTTTCTAAGGGATATTGCTAAGAGTTAGGACGTGGAGGCTGGTAATGACAAAATCGGAGTTCTTTCGGCCGTCTTGTCTCTGGCGCTGTTGGACTGTATTTCAACTCAACTTTGGAAACATGTGCCAGACCATGATTGTCAGTTCGGGCTTTTTTGGCGCAGTTTTCGCTTCTGTCGTCATTGCATTGCTGCTGCTCTGATTGAAGATCTCTCTTTTTTTTCCCCCGCACGTCGAGCACTTTGCTTCTTGTTTAAATAATAAAAATAAAGAATATAGAGTACCAAAAAGCAAATAAAGGACAAAAAAAGAAATCGTGGTTCCAGAGGGGGTCGAACCCTCGACTTTGGCGTTATTAGCACCACACTCTAACCAACTGAGTTATGGAACCATGTATAATTAATTTTAGAATTTTAATGATCATATTGTAAGTTGATAATTTGATCACTTTTCCAAGTACTCAATCAAAAAAACATATTTCATCTACGTATGTTTTGCAATCCGTTTTCTGCTTCCATTTTCAAGGCTTCTTATTGGCTCTTGTCGTTGCCCGCCCGCCCTATTCCCTTATCAAAATTCCGTTCTAGCTTTAACCTCCGCCCTGAGCGCCCTCATAAAGCGGCGGCACCCCGACCGGGAAAATCGCGACCGTGGCCTAAAATCTGGTATATACTGCTACATATATTTGCTGAAAACCAACCTTCCCTCCACACCACCTTCTCACCTTCTTTATCATTTCCCATTATTGATGGCCTAGAAGTGCCCTGAAAGGCACTCTTGTCATCAAAGAAGCAGGATAAACTTTTATACAAAGGCTGCTCTTGATGCCGGTATATTATACACACCATCTCCTGATGTGGGTGGACGGCATCCCTAAGCGCGTTGCGCTCAATACCAACCACCCCATGAACTGTTCAACAGTGAGCTTTATCTCGCTCCAGACATTTTGAATCCAGTCCCAGCCCCCATAATCGACCTCACTATATCTTTAATGACTTCGGGGCAGATGGTAAGCAAAATAGTTCAAGATCCATGACTACACTATCAAGTAGGTCAACGTTGAGATATTGTAGGCCTGACTTGATTATACCTGTCCTCCCTCCCTCCCTTGTCCCTGTCTCTGACCTCAGACTTGGACCTTTAGATAGAAGGATCATTACACCGAAGTGGATGAGTGATGACTTATCACACGGACCCCGGGGTTCACGGCAGCTATCAAAGAAAAGGTTTCACTGCACAAACTTTGATTTCCGAAAACCCGCAGGCGTTGAGGGATATCAGGACCTCGTCCTGTCGTTAACAAAAGAAGATTGATGAATACGTTCGTTAAAATTGTGAACACAAGGGATGCCAAGGCAATGTGTGTCGCTGGTTTTATGGCTACGACTCAATGCCCAACAAGTGCGGATAGTTTTTGAGACAACTTGGAAGTCCCTCATCATTGCGCCCTGGAATGATTCTGCTCCAGTAGACGAGCAAGGCAATGTTGTTTATTAGTGACAAAGAGAGACGTGCTCAACTTCCTATGAGATGCTTGTTGAATGTGTGAACCGGTGAACCTTCGGAAAGCCAGGCATGTCCTGCTAAAGCGCCGTGTCTCAAATCATCACGCCAAGTCTCGACAGTGAGACAGTCGTGGAACAGGCACTGGCGCGGAAGCGCAATAAAAACCACCATCATTCTCTCACCAATTGAGCCTTTTCCAGCATATCCAACCGATTGAAATCGCCGCTAACCCCGTGAAGCTGCTGATATCCAAGTCCAAACGAGATTAGGGGGTCAAAACCGGGCCGAGGAATTGTGGATGGAGCTATTCCACTCAAGACTAGCAAAAGAAATAGAGTAAAGCGAATAAAAGTGCAATATTGTCCGAGTGGACCCCTTACAAGCCTGTAGGATTTGCGAAGATGCGGCGGATGATTTCATGCCTCGGCCCCTCTTCCAAACTGATCTCGACATAAAAAAAAAAGATTCGCCAGGGGAAACAGCTCAAAAATTACACAAATATCTGATATTCAAGAATGTCGTGAGTGCCTATATACATACACAAGAAGAAAACCCCAGATTAACTCTCACAGTGCCCTTTTAACAACTCTTGGCCTCCGCGCCGCGCCTGGCCACGCACCGGCGAATCACGCATCAGCCTTGCTGGTGGTGAACTGGTTCTTCGCGTATATTCTGACGAGCCCGCGCGGCGCAAAGATCCGTCTGGGTCTTGATCACAATGTCAGCCCCCGTGAGGACTTGACTACGTACGGTGAGGCGGCCGTGCAATCGGGAAAGATTACCCGTCGCGCCCTTGACAAGCTCAAGCGACAGACGTCGGCTCATGCCAATGTGCAGGAGGGATATACTTTGTTTGTTGCGGCGAGTATGTGGAAGTCACTTTTCTTTTTCGCGTTTTCTTTTTCGCGTTTTCTTTTTCGCGTTTATGATGAACTTGCATCTCGTGAAATTGCTGCACTGTACTGACCTCGCGATCTAGTCCTCGTCTCCTTGTACGCCGGTCTCCCAAATGAGACTATCAATACCGTCGGCGTTTGGTATTCCGTTTCCCGTGTCGCGTACCACCTGTTCTACTGCAACATCGAATCTTACTCTTTGAGCTTTTTGCGCTCAGCGGCTTGGTGGTCGGGGAACATCAGCTGTCTTTATGCGCTGGTGCAGGCCAGCAGGAACTTGTAAAATAGATAAGAGGTGCTCCTTGATTGCCACCTAGTCTCGGACGATAGATGGGCTGAACAATACAACCCAATTGCATGTATTATCCGGGCACTGGGTTAAAAATGACAGTCGAGATAAAACCTTGGAACTCCTAGGTGGCGCGACGAGGCGCTATAGACACCTTCTTCCACGAAAACTCTACCAGGATTGATCAGAAGAGGAATATGCCGAGGGTATCGGATAGAGATAAAGAGTTGAGGGAGCTGACTAGGACGAATTGTCGCGGGACAACTCACTCCATCCAAGACTGGGCGTCAGCCACCTTTCATAAACACAACATCTAACGCAAAATATAAACCCGGAAGAATTGAGGTCTTGAAAGTCCTTCATGCATGAAATAACCACAACATCATCACCATGAGAATGTTGCATGTCGAACCGTTCCGCTGATTGGTGGAAGAACCCAACCCTCCAGGCACAGATCGGCCCCAGACGGGGGAATGAATCCCGGCCATAACGATGAATTACACACTTTTGAATAAGAACAATCCGACAACGTTCAAGCTCGCTCAAGCTCGTCCCGACAGTCTCTCCACATCCCCCGCTTATCAATACCCTTGGCGAAAATGCGGAGAAATGAGTCAATTCACCGTCTACAACATATACACAACACCAGCTAACTCGCTCAATTGCCGCATTCCGCATGCCTTGCCGATTACCCCAGCCTGTCATGGAATTGCTTTTTACAGGCGGAGAATCCCTTTCCTCTGCCCGTGCCGTTCCCCGGACATTGCTAATCTGGGGAAAGCCATGAGCTCCATTTTTGTAGGGCCGATATCCTGGGGTATTCTTATAAATTAGCAGGACTGCCCGCTTGACTCTCTTACAAATCAACCGCAGTATCAATTGATTTCATTGGCCTCGCTATAATGAAGTTCCTCGCTATCGGTGCGCTCCTGCTCAGCACAGTTAGTGCTCTTGCGACGGAGCATATTATCAAAGGCGCCCAGATCATCCCGGTCAGCGACAAGGCAGGACTGAAAAAAGTCGGTGCTCATGGACATCACAAATACCACGACCGTCGCACAGTGACAATCCGGTCATCGAAGAGCGACACCGATGATGTTTCGGATGATTTCCTTTGGGGCATCAAGGCTGCCAATCACGGCGGCAGACTTCTCTTGCAAAAGGGAAAGACATATGTCATTGGCAAGAAACTTGACCTCAGCTTCTTGGATAATATCGAGGTGCAGCTTGAGGGTGAATTGAAGGTACATAACCCCCAATACGGTGACTAATTGAACGGCTCTGACATGAACAGTTCACCGATGATATCGACTACTGGCAAGCAAATCACTTCTACTACTCTTTCCAGAAATCTATCACTTTCTGGGTCTGGGGTGGTCAAGATATCAAGATCTTCGGAAAGGGTACTCTCAATGGTAATGGCCAGGAGTGGTACAATGCCTTTGCTGGCCTGGAAGTTCTGGTAAGCATGATGTTCCAAAACAGTTGGGAATGTCTCGCGCTAATTGATAATTCAGGACCCGGACAATACTTTTTACCGGCCCATTCTATTCTTGACCGACAACGCTACCCGCGTGTCCGTCGAGGGTATCACCCAACTCAACTCGCCCTGCTGGACCAACTTCTTCGTCCGTACCAAGGATGTCTCTTTCGATGATGTCTTTATCAACGCCTTTTCCACCAACGCATCTGTAAGTCGTGCATCTGGTTACAATACCAATAAATTCTAACCCGTTCGCAGGCTTTGCCCAAGAATACCGATGGATTTGACTCCCTCAACGTGGACGGTCTCAGTGTGACCAACACGCGCGTCGATATCGGTGATGACTGCTTCTCGCCCAAGCCCAACACAACCAACATTTTCGTGCAGAACCTGTGGTGCAACAATACCCACGGTGTCAGTATGGGAAGTATTGGACAGTATTCGGGAGTCGAGGATATCATTGAGAATGCCTGGATTGAGAATGTGACTCTGTTGAACGGCCAGGTAAGATACTCTCCCCCACATGGATTTATGAGCGATTGATCCTAACCGGAATTCAAGAACGGCGTCCGTCTCAAGGCTTGGGCTGGACCGGACATCGGCTTTGGGCGCATCAACAACATCACGTACAAGGACGTACATATCGAGAACACCGACGCCCCTATTGTGTTGGATCAATGCTACTTCAACGTCAACGCTACCACGTGTGCTGAGTACCCGTCATCAGTCAACTTCACCAACATTACTTTTGAGAATATCTATGGAACTTCGTCGGGCAAGAATGGCAAGGTTATCGGGGACTTGACTTGCTCGCCCAATGCTGTGTGCTCGGGTATTCAGCTCTCTGAGATCGATATTACTAGCCCGGCTGGAGGTCCCCCCGTCGTGATTTGCGATGGAATTGATGGAGATATTGGCGTGGAGTGCCAGTCGAGCTCGGCTTAGATGGTGAGTATAATTGTTTAACAGAAGAATTATGGAAATAGTCATAAATCAAAAGTACCGAAACGAATTGCAGAAAAACTACCTAGGTAGCATAAAAGATTCTGATTTAGGAAGTGTAGTCCGACAGGGGTGTTATGTCCGAGGACACGGAGTAGTCATCTCCGAGATAACTTGAACATCCAACTGGATGGCCATCAACTCTCCGTGAAATAGTCCACATGAGAATTAGCAGGCTTTTCAAAGCAGCGGGTTGGTCATAACCAGTCCCTTATCCTGCACTTATTCTGCACATCACCATACCGCGCTTTGACCCAACACCCTGGGCCCCGGCATGAACAGCCAAGCAGTCAAGCAGGGAATGTGGGGAGCTAAGACTACCAACAGCTCCATCTGTACCTCCCAGCCAATGAAGACCAAAACAAGCACCGTCAACTTTCTTTCCGGAGAGAAAATAGATGTTGATATCCGACCGGGCCACCGACATTCCCTAAAAACAACGGAGAGGATTCAAAACCAAGCCATCATCCTCGATGACATCTTGTCATGAGGAATAGGACCCCCCTCATACTGGGCTATTCTCTCTCTCTCCACACCCCACACTCTCCCACAATCTGAATGGCACACCCGGCTGAGACTATATCCGCCCCCTGTCTTTGGTCAGGATCTATCGTGCCTTGTTGGGAATGGTCCAGGATTCGATATCCTAGTATCCTGCTTGCAAATGATTACAATACTTGCAAATCTCTCCAATCCGGGGGAGATGCATCCACAATCTCCTCCTTTGCCCCCGCCCCCAGATCCCCGGGAAGGCGGAGTACGGGGAAAGAACGGGATCCTAGATGTTACGGAGTCTCTGCTATAAGAACGCTGACGCATACACTATTTTTCTACCTTTTTTCCCTTTCTTCTCTTCGTCTGTGCTATTATCTTCCCACAGATCCTAGCCTTCATATTCAACATGGAGAAGATGGATAGTCAACATCAGCACATTGAAGGTGCAAATGCTAGTCCACAAGAAGTGGAGTCTGGAAAGCAATGTGATTTCTACATTGAAGACCGAGTCGCTCATCTATCCGAGGAACATCGCCAGTATATTCTTGCGAAGCATGGGACGCTCGATTTGGAACCCATTCCTGACATGACCGATGCCGATCCATACAATTGGCCGCAATGGAGGGTGAGAGACCACAACTCCTATCATCAATTCACATTTCGACCATGTTTTCTAATATGATTCTTTGATAGAAAAACTTGAACTTAACCCTAGTCGCCTTCCATGCCATGATGGGCACATTCACTGCCTCGGCAATCCAGTCTGCATTCGAAAATATCTCCGAAGACCTCGACGTCAGTATGCAGCGAACCAGCTACCTTGTCTCTCTCTTCATTGCCGTGCTAGGCGGTGCACCTCTCTTCTGGCGCCCGCTGTGTAACCGCTATGGCCGCCGCCCCATCTTCCTGATCTCGTTGGTCTGTAGCTTGATTGGGAATGTTGGTTGTGCGAAAAGCCCTTCTTATGCAACCATGGGTCTCTCGCGTGCTATTACTGCCTTTTTTATCAGCCCTGCGGCTGCTATTGGTAGCGCCGTCGTTGCAGAGACTTTCTTCCGGAAAGATCGTGCTCGCTGTATGGGTGTGTGGACCGTAATGGTTACTCTGGGTGTTCCTGCTGCTCCATTTATCTTTGGATTCGTTGCTTTGCGTGTGGGCTATCGCTGGATTTACTATATCCTTGCAATTGTGAGCTTTCCTGAACCCCATCCTCTGGGAGATAGACCCATCTAACCCTTCGCTTTGAACAGGTCAACGCAATCCAATTCGTCCTCTACTTCTTCTTCGGATCGGAATCCCTCTACATCCGTAGCAATCTCCCCTCGAACGGCGTCGTCGACGCCAAGCAGAGTCTCTTCAAATTCGGCCGTATCGACCCTATACCACTGAAACTCTGGGACTTCTTCCAGCCCCTGAGCTACGTGATGAAACCATGCGTGATCATCCCAGCCATCGCCTACGCAATGATCTTCCTCTGGGGCAGTGTCGCGCTCACAATCGAGATCTCCCAGATCTACCCTGCCAAGTTTGGCCTGAATACCCAGCAGGTCGGTATGCAATTCCTGGGGATTATTATCGGATCTGTCATCGGCGAACAGATCGGCGGGTTTATTTCCGATCGCTGGATGCTTATGCGTCAGAAGCGGACTGGAGAACCATCCCCGCCGGAATACCGTCTGTGGTTGAGTTATATTGGCCATGCTTTGACGATCTGTGGTATCGTAGTTTTTGCTATCGAGATCCGGGATTCTGGTGGTGCATGGAACATCGCTCCCGTTGTTGGCGCCGCTATTGCCGCTGGTGGTAATCAGATCGTTACTACGGTTGACATTACTTATGCGGTTGATTGTTACCGTGAAGATGCTGCCAGTGTGGGTGTCTTTATTACCTTTGTTCGGCAGATTTGGGGTTTCATTGGTCCTTTCTGGTTCCCTCAGATGTTTGAGGTTGTTGGTTGGGCTGGCGGTGCTGGTATTGCTGTTGCTCTCATGGTTGGCATTAGTGTTATTCCGACTATCTTGGTGCAGTGGCGAGGAGCTGCTTGGCGTTGATCGACATGGCCGAGGACATATAATTGCTCTTTTTATCAACTAAACAAGAGAATGTAGATGTTTACACAGTAGAAGATGGTGCTTCCTACATTTCAATCTACCTAGTAGTATCGAAATATGGAATGATCTGTATTCGTACAATAGTATATCAACTTGACACCCCTGTCCCATACGATATTGATACCATCCTTCTGTTTAAATCGAGTATACTATATGTTAATGTTATTGGCAGAGAAGCCCTCGTATACCCGTGAACACTTTGGCAATAACTGCTAATTTTCTATCTGAAATTTCCCACTTGCTGCTCAGGGCTAAGTCGGGGATGGTTTATAGGCTCATTATGTCTTTATTATCAAAAACCGACTAACAGACATTTAAAGCCCTTCAGAATAAAGCCAATATACATAAAATAACAAATCGTAGATCATCAAATACCAAAATTTACCACCCACCAACCCTCCGCATCCTCAAATGCATCCCCTCAACAGGCTTAATAGTAACAGCCCCGGCAACATGAATCACCTGCTTTGGATCCTGCATCTCAAAGAAAAACCGCCCAACAACACCAGCAACCGCACACCGCAACTCTGCACGCGCAAAGTCCTTCCCAATACAAGATCTCTGCCCATGGAGGAACGTAATCTGCGCGAAATTCGTCGATGCGCCGCCATTATTGTTCGGGATACAGTGTCCATTCTTGTCCGTGTCGATCCACCGCTCAGGCAAGAATTCTTCCCCATTCTCGCCCCAGAAGAGAGGGCTCCTGTTTATCGCCCACGGGCACAATACCACCCGCGTCCCCTTTGGGATGTACTTCCCTGCTACGACGGTGTTGCGGACTGCTTCGCGGATTGTTGTTGGGACCGTTGGGTATAGACGGAGGACTTCTTGGCAGACGCCGTTTAGTAAAGGGAGGGATTCGAGGTCTTGGTAGGTTATTGGACTGTTGCCTGATGGAATCTTGGTGCGAATCTCATCACGGAGGCGGGTTTGGTATTCTGGGTGGAGATGGAGGAGATAGCAGGCCCATGTTAAGGCGCTGGCAGTGGTTTCGTGCTGTGAGAGTTAGCTAGTCGCTCAACTACCCAGGCATACAAGCTGATTATAGCAATGCAGTTGCATTGGAATACTCACCCCAGCAGCCAAGAATGTCAACATCTGATCCACCAACTCTGTATCCGAGAAATCCCCACCAAGCATCATCGTCCCCAGAATATCAGCCTCAAGCTCCTGAGCAGAAACCTTCGACCCAGCAAGAGTGGCTCGCTTCTCGCGCACGATTTCATTGCACGTACTGCGCAGATACGCTGTTTCGGAATTCAGTACGTCGTTCATCCGCCATGGCACACGCCTCGCCATCCACTGCGGCAGTGCAAAATTCATCACCAGGAACGCCATCTTTTCCTTAGTTGGTTCGAGGATCTTCGCGAAGCTGTCTGCCACCTTGTTTCGCTTGTTGTGCAGTGAGCCAAAGTCACGTCCCATTGCTATAGGCCCGATTATGTCAAGTGTGAGGCGGCTGCACGGTTGTTAGCATAATATAACAATTCCGGGGTGATAATTCGATGCCTGTAACACATACCTCGCCCATTCGGACATCTCAATTTTACCCTCCTGGTCATCTGGACTTGTTCCATTCATCGGGTTCACCTTGATTTCTTTCTCTAGTTCATCCAGTAACTGTCCCGTCTTGCTCCACATGAGCGAATACATCGAGCGAATATTCTTAATGTTGAACGCGGGCGTGAGTGCTTTGCGCTGCTTCTTGTGTGCTGCGCCTTCTGATGTAATCATCCCGAAGCCGATGATCCGCGCAAGGAAATTGCGCATCCGCCATGGCTTCTCGAAGTCGTAGGTGTTCGTGCTCATAACGTCTAGCAGGGCCTGGTGATTTGTTGGGATCACATAACTTTGATTGAGCATGTCGCGCATGTGGATGAGTCCTTCATTTGGGACGGTTTTCATCCAATGGAGGGGTTTTGTTCCTCGTGGTGAGTCAAAGATGAGTTCTATATTCGAGCCCTATATGAGGTTAGGACTTGGTGTATGCTTTTCGTTATGCTTTGTTGTTTCCTACCTGGACTTTCGGTAGATGCCGCGCCGGGTTTAGTAAGAATGGCCATATTACTATATTGTAGAAGACTTTTAGGAGGATGTTTACTCCCAGTGCGCTGAGAGAGATTCTTTGGAAGGTCTTGTCAGAGAAGACAGTGCGTTGGAGGAAATACGCCTCGGCAAGCGTGAATGCGCCCACTGCCAGTATACTATCACCCAGAGCCATGTTTCTTTGAATTGAGTTGAAAGAGAAAAGCCTCGGATTCAGGAGTTGAAGCTCATATCAACTCATTTTTACATCGGATATGCCCCACAGGGATCGGCACACCTGTTGGGGTGACCAATGCGAGACCTCGGCTCTGTGAACTGCCATCATTTGGATCTGCATGTTAGCGTTTCATAATAGTCATAAAAGAGGGTTGTAGAGTTATGAGCAGCATGTGCACTATGTCAGTAGCTTGTGATGTTCCAGAATTTCCAATGTGGAGGCTTAGACCAGTAGTTCATAGGGCTATGTACTAGTTAGGGCTGGGGTAAGGTGATATCATCGATAATGCGGGGGATGCCAAAAGACATGTGAAAATAGATGAAAGAGAATAAGAGAATTCAGAAAGAAGTTAACAGTCCAAATGGAGATGTCATAACTGTCGATCTCTCGTCGATCCCTGTGGGGAATCTTCTCTCGCATTGTTTTCCTTGTTAGTGCGAAAGCTCTAAAAATGTGAAGCCTCGGTCGGAAAGATATGCCCTAAATATCCTAAATGTCCTTAATAGCTTTAATATACATTATTATCTCTGATATAATCCGATAATCACCGCTTTACCCTCCGACATCAATCCTTACAACCTCACTTCATCCATACCCCCCAACAGCAACAATGTCTACCCTCAGCCTCATCACCGAATACACCCAAACAGCTCTATCCCACCTCCCAGAGCCCACCCAACATCTCCTCCGTAACCCAACAGCACAAAAGGCACTCGGCGTCCTTGCCGCCCTTGTTCTCCTCCGCGCTACAAACCGCTTCTTTTCTAAACGCACCCTGCAAAACTGGACCTTTAACCAACCATGGATCCCAGCCCGCGAGCTCATCCTGCTTACGGGCGGCTGCAGCGGGATCGGCAAGCAGGTTATGGAAGACTTAGCGCGCACAGGCGTGCGCGTCATTATCCTCGATATTAATGAGCCGACTTTCACGCTACCCGCCAACGTCACCTTCTACAAGGCGAATATCACTTCTTCGGCTGATATCGCCGACGTCGCGGGCAAGATCCGTGATAACCACGGCGAGCCCACGGTCTTGATCAACAATGCTGGCGTTGGACACGACGGGACGATCCTTGAGGAGCCTGAGGAGAAGATTCGTCAGACTTTCGAGGTTAATACCCTTTCCCATTTCCTCATGGTTAAGGAGTTCTTGCCGGCTATGGTGAAGGCGAATCACGGTCATGTTGTTACTATTGCTAGTATGGCGAGCTTTGTGGCTCTCGGCGAGATGGTGGATTATTGTTGCTCCAAAGCCAGTGCGCTTGCTTTCCATGAGGGACTGCGTCAGGAATTGAAGTACTGGTATAATGCGCCCAATGTGCGCACTAGGTGAGTTATCCTCGGGTTATGTATGTGTGGATTTTGCTGATTGTTGCTTCAGTGTTATTCACCCCATGTGGGTGCGTACGCCCATGATCAAGATGCTCACAGATCACGAGAAGCATTTCAGTCAGCCTATCATGACCCCCCAGGTCGTGTCTGGCGCTATCTGTAAGCAGATCTTGACTCAGACTAGTGGCCAGGTTATCTTGCCTGCTAGCCAGTCAGTGGCTAGTTTAGTGCGTGCCATGCCCACCTGGATGCAGGAAGGTGTGCGCACTTTGGCGTCGGGTGCGTTGAGGAGGATGCGTATTGCGCAGCAGGCGGAGGAGAAGGCCCAGGCGCAGTAGATCTTTTGCTTTGGAAATGATTGGAGATGTGACTATTTTGTACCCATTTTGGATTTTGTTATATGGGATGAATGTACATACTATTGGGAGTCGAAGAAATATCACAGGCTGGTCCATGGAGTTATAATGTTTTCCCCGAGCAATAGCCGGAGTCGATTTCCACTTTGGGTAATGGCATAGTTCGTATGTAATAATGATCTTGTTCTGTGATATTGGCGGCTTCTAGTTTGGACACCTATGGGCTGTGGAAGTTAATGGGCGAGACACGGAATATTGGACTATCAATGTATAAAATACTCTACCCATGTCTTTAATATATACTGAATTCATGTATGTGCAGTGTTGCTATATACAATCACACCATCAACTCGGCCAAAACAGCCTCAACCTTCTTTCCCTGCTCCGTCTTCGTAACATCCCCCAACTCCAAATGATAAATCGGCGCAACATGACACTCACGATGCCCAACAAACAACTCCACATTCTCAAAGCCCTCCTTAAACTTCACCGCAAAGTCTTGAATCAGGGGCAACATGATCTCATTCCCACCCGCAGTAATCAACACCGAGTTCACCGGGAACGTCGCAAACCAATCCGCCGGCGCAGTCGATAAATCAGTGTAATAATCCCGCTTGCCAGCACCAATATAGGCTGTCGCCCATGGTCCCGCAACCGCCTCGGTAATGATATCACCACCGTTGTAGATCTCCATGCCCGGGAATTCTTTCTCGAGGAGTGTCCACGGTGCGATCATCACTGCGCCGCCGAGGTTGCTGTGCAATGGCAGGGAATTGATCTCTGCGTGTGGGTGGGCCAGGTGAGAGAGTACTCCACCAACCAGGTTCCCACCTGCAGAGTCCCCGCCCAGGAAAACCGTGGACGGGTCGCGGTTTGGCTGTGAGAGAATGTATCGTAGACAATTCACGGCCTGTCGGAGTTGAGTCGGGTAGACGGCAATTGGCGCCAGCGTGTAGGTCAAACTGAAGACTGCGACGCTTTTGCCTGATGCTTTGAGGTCGCGCAGGAGTTGCGTATAGAATTTGAAATAGCCCATGTTGGCGGGGAGCCCGAAGCCTCCTCCTGAATGATGGTCAGTGGTGATCAATTGAATAAAGGGGCTTTCTTTGTGTTAACTGTATACATACCGTGAAACCAGACTATCACGTTATCGGCGTTCCGATCGCCCACCCAGTGGCCCAATGCTCCATCGCCCAATTCCACGGACTCGGGCAGCCCGCCGGTTTTCTTGGAGTGTTGTTCGTAGATCTTGTGGGATGGGGGTAGGATGTACTGCATTTGACTCGGAGTCAACCGCGAGGTCGCCTTGCGGAACAGCGCATATCCCAAATGAAGGGATAAAGACTTGGCTTGGCGCTCGGTGCGCCGAAGGCCAGTCAGGAGAGCATAGATGTAGGCGATCACGATGGAGGCCACGGCTGGGAAGAAGTCCAGTTTCTCCTTTATGGAGAGCTTCACTTTGGTTACTTTGGTGATTGACATGATGATTGGACTTTCATGACTTGTCCACGGGTTCGTGAGTATGAGCCCATGATAAGTATATCTTATCCCGTATAAAAGTGTGAAAGTGCACTGTGTCGATCCTTCGCAAGGCTATCCCGATTAGGAAGGTGCCGAGGCTGGGGAAATTCCTCGGTCTCTGCATTTCTTTGAGGATTACGGAGTCGCTATATCTCTATATCTAGGGATATAGGGCTATATATCTATATCTATATCTCTATAGATCTTATATTCAACCAAGCGGATGAATCGGAGAACGATCTGTGTGACTTCTAAGTCACTTTTATTTACTGCATATGTAAATTCTAGAATACATCCTACATGATGTATATATATAGTTATATACACTAGTACCAATATGAATCTCCTGCGTCTCCCCGATCTCCCCGTGCAGAGCTTAAGGTTCTACGTGCTGTTTACCCCAAATCGACTACGTCGATCTGCCGATCAAGGAAGTCGTGAAACCGAGGCATGTGAGCTTTCTTTTTAAATAACCTCGTCGCCAATGTTATTCTCGATTCATTAGATCGCATTCATCCATCATGAACGGAATCAATGGAATAAACGAAACTAAACACTTCGATATCATCATCGTTGGTGCGGGTATCTCCGGCATCAATGCCGCCTATCGCGTCCAAGACCAACTCCCCGGCTACAGCTACACCATCCTGGAAGCTCGCACCGATCTAGGTGGCACCTGGGATCTCTTCAAGTATCCTGGTATCCGTTCCGACTCCGACCTTTTCACCTTTGGTTTCCAGTTCAACCCCTGGTCTCGCGACAACCCTATCGCTGAGGGCTCTGCCATCAAGGAGTACGTGCGCGATACAGCGACCAAATACGGGATCGACAAACACATCCTCTACAACCACCGCCTGTCTTCGGCAGACTGGTCCTCCGATGAAAACACGTGGTCGCTCGCTGTCGATCATAATGACTCCCAACATACCTACACCGCCCGCTACGTCGTCTTCGGCACGGGCTATTACAACTACAAGGATCCTCTGAAAGCCGACATCCCTGGCCTGGACGCCTTCCAGGGCCAAATCATCCACCCACAGTTCTGGCCCGAGGACTTACAGTACAAGGACAAGAAGATCGTTATCATCGGCTCCGGCGCGACCGCCATCACTCTCCTCCCTAATCTCGCCGACCATGCCGCCCGTGTCACAATGCTCCAGCGCAGCCCAACATACATCCTCTCCGTCCCGAACCGATCAAGTAGCCGCTGGCTCTCCTACCTCCTCCCTAATGCCCTATATTGCAGGCTACAACGCATGATCTGGATCTACACTACGCGCATCTTCTTTCTCTTCTGCCAGCGCTTCCCGAATTTCTCCCGCTGGCTGCTCAAGTTGAATGTGCGTAAGCAATTGCCCAGTCATATCCCCCATGACCCACATTTCAAGCCCACATACAACCCCTGGGAACAGCGGTTGTGTGTTTGTCCCGATGGGGATCTGTTCCGCAGTCTCCGGCAGGGCAAGGCGGATGTCAAGACCGACACGATTCGGGAGGTTACGAAGAATGGTATTATTTTGAATTCGGGGGAGCAGCTCGACGCGGATATTATTATTACTGCTACTGGCTTGCGCTTGCAGATTGCAGGTGGCTCGGCGCTGTCTGTGGACGGGAACAAGATTGACGTGGGTGATAAGTATCTGTGGAATGGAGTCATGCTCCAGGATTTGCCTAATGCCGCTTTCGTTATTGGGTATACTAATGCCTCGTGGACTCTCGGTTCGGATGCTACGGCGCAGTTTGTCTGTCGCTTGCTGAAGGAGCTTGAGTCGCGGAAGTTGATCGCTGCTGTCCCCCGCTTGAAGGACAATGATGCTGCTACGCTCCAGGATCGTCCTCTCTTGAACCTCAAGTCCACTTATGTGTCTCTTGCCGAGCGCGCCTTGCCCAAGGCTGCCGACCGTGGTCCGTGGCAGCCGCGTGATCACTACTTGAAAGACTTGAAATTTGCTCAGGGTGGTGATATTAACACCGGACTAGAGTTTGTGCAAGGACCGAACCTGCGTCTGCGCCCTAAGATGTCATGATTGATGCATGGTTATGATAAGATACCGCCCTATACATTATTTGGGGTTGTCTGATTCAGTGTAAATATGTCGTTTGAGGAAGCTCAGTAACAATATATTCATTCCTATTCTTGAGCTGTGCAATTACCTTCCATCTCCGTTGAATGCTATGCAGGCTGCCAGCGGAGCAAACAACAGCAACACTATCTCCCACTGCATCCCCATCATCAGCTAATGCCTATGCATCTATCGGAGTCGCACAGACACTCATATTCCCAAAATACCACCCATGTTCAGGATTCGGCCACCTCAAATCCCGACCCGAACCAGCATTCCCCGCCTTGCTATTGACTCCTTCAATATATTCGACCCCATCAGTGGTGGCCTGCACCCCGGTTGCCTGAGTAACCCAGTATTCAGGTGAAGGCTGACTCCAAACCAAGAACGGCAGATTCAGCGGCACTTTCGGGATGGGGTCTGTAGTATGCGTGGCTCGGTAGATGCTATTTGGCGCTTGTTGGTTGGTGATGAACTCGGCCAGCTTCAAGTTTCCTGGTTTTGGGCCTCCGAATGTCCACTGGTGATTTTTATACGTCAGCTGGTATTCACACTTCCGCGGAATGTCACGACGATCAGTTCCCGCGTGTGGTCCAGGGCAATGTAGCCTGTCGGGCTGTGGTCGCTGTGGAATGCGTTGATTACCGTCGTGTTGTCGGCTGCTACGAGTGGGCAAGTGCCGTAGTCGCAGGTCAGACTTTGGCCCATGTGGTTGATGTTTTGGTCGCAGGCCGATAGAGCGGCGAATTGAGAGAATAAGGTGAACCGTTCCAATAGCTCGCTTGAGATTTCTGGTACATTTTCATCGTTAGATTAGACATTGTGCTTTGTTGTATGTGAAACTCACCTCGGCGAGCTAGTTGGACAGGAGATGCAATGGCTATCATGCTGAGTGATAGCACTGCGAGCACACGACAGATCATTGAGCCAACCATATTGGCTAAGGGAAATGATTTATATTGTCAAGTGATACTTTGCAAGTATAACAAATGGATTGCAAAGGCGCCTAATCTCTTCAACTTCTGCCCTTCTCAGCTGAGGGGAAGGTCCTTAAGTCCCTCTATTATTCCTCCATGTTGACATTGGAACAGAGACACGGAAACGCCAAGGAAACAACTTTCTAAGTAACTGGCTATTTCTTGACCCTTTCGTCTTGCTCTACCCAACCATTCTGAACTCATATCCATCCATCTGGTTTCTCGGACTGCAAAATCTATATGTCTCTACGATTTAACAAGAGACAAGCAATGACTTGCTCTTCTCTTCATACGGGCCTTTATTCTATATTGTGATCAAGGCTAGCTCTTGTCACAATATGCAACCATGTTAAAATGAACAACGCCTGTGCCATTTAGACTTGCATCTCGAAATTGCTTGGAAAATGCCTATCTACATGGGTAGTATAGATAGCGTTTGCCTTGGATGGTTACGGTGAGTTAACTCTTCCATAAAAGCCCCGAAGCAAAGATTTTCTTGGTTGTAAGTAATTGAGATCAAGCTCATGTGGTGCTTAGCAGCTACTGGGATGCATTTTGCTCCTCTAACCATATATTTCAAGGGGAGAATACGGGATGTCTACGAATTCTTGGGCGTTTAGTCTCTCCGAGCTGCCCAATTAAGAATAATTCTTGACTTACCAACGCTAGACCACACAGTTGAGTCGCCAATGAAAGGAATAGATTTTAATTTCATTGTAACAACTCAATATCAGCACTCCGGACTAGATCATGCCAACGATTAATTTCTTGTAGCATGGTGTATATACTAGAGCTGCCCCAATTTAACTTTCGGGAAAGATTTAAGGTTAAGACTCTGCAGGGAAACCGGATCTCGTTAATTCAACCAGGGCACAGTACAACCTCACATTCCGGGATGATGTAACTCGATGACACCACTTGATATGTCATGACCTGAGGAGTATCTACAAGACACACTGCCTTGGCCAGTCATTTTCTCATTTTACTTTCATCACCCTATATTGCACAACTGAATATCGCTCTATCTCCATATAACCCTCGACCGTCTTGATGCCCCCCAAAGACAAATACAGCGACCCCAAACTCCGCGATGAAATCAAAAAGGAAGTCCACAACAGCGACAAAGGCGGGAAGCCTGGCCAATGGTCTGCACGAAAGGTACCCACCGCCATCGCTGCTATTCCAATCCCTTGATATCACCTCATGTGGTTTCTGACACTCCTGCAGGCCCAAATGATGGCATCCGAATACAAAAAGCGCGGCGGCAGATACAACACCACAAAGGCAGAAGGCCAGACGGAATCTCAGAAACACCTCGATGACTGGACAAAAGAGGAATGGCAGACGAAGGAGGGATCTGGCACGGCGCGACAGGATGATGACTCACGTAAACGGTACCTGCCCAAGAAGGCGTGGGAGGAGTTGAGTGAAAAAGAAAAGGAGGAGACGGACAAGAAGAAGGTTGAGGAGTCACAAGGTGGGAAGCAGTTTGTTGACAACACCTTGGAGGCAAAGGAGGCGAGGCGGAGGGTTAGTTCTGATGTTGAGAATGAAGGTCAGAAGGTTGAGGGAGATTCGGAGAAAATTCCACGGAATGGGAAGGCTGGTAAAAAAGGGACGAAGAAGAACGAGGAGGAGAAAACGGACGAGATGAAGAAAGGCGACAAGAAAGGGGGTGCAGGAACCAAACGCAGCGCAAAACAGGATGCGACACCAAAAAAGAAACAGAAGGAGAGCACCAGGATGCAAAGTCTGCGGAAGAGAAAGTAAACCCTCAACCGAGCTCGGTTGACTCCTCCAAATGCGTCGATGGCCGGAGTGTGACGGGTATACGAAAGTCAACATACAGGGAGGAAGGTGCAAGGGGGGAAATGATAGAGAAGCCATCAGACAAAATTCGACGGGGAAAATCCCGGCTCCTGGCACTATCCTAGGTATAGTCCTAAAAGATATAACATAACACAAACGACACTAGAGTACAAAGTCTACGAAAGAGCGAAATTGATTAAATGAAATATCATTTCAATGGGTATCCATGGTCTTGAAGCTACACTTGTTTATGTTCAGTTTTAGCCAATCATGCCGGGATATTAACCCCAAACCACCCATATGTACCATTACTTCATCCTGACATATCTCATTCGATACGAAAAGAATATAATCTTTTCACTTCCGTTCCTCATCCACAGCCGCCTGGGGAGTGAATGCGCTGTCTGGCAACATGTTCATGGAGTCCTCCTGTGCGTCCAGCTTGTAATTGGTGGCCCAGAATCCAACACCGCCCAGGAAGGCGAGGATAGCAACCACAGTGTAGTTCCAAGTCAAGAGAGGATCCGCAGCCAGACCAATGAAAGCCTGACCAATGGCGGACGAGAAGGCGTTCATCAGCAGCGACACGGCCTGGACGAGGGATCGCATGTTCTTTGGGGCCTTGGTGTAGGCATACTCAAGGGAAGTGATGGATGCAAGGATCTCGGAGATACCGCCCATGATGTAGGTTAGGGCCTGGACCCAAACCGAGATATTGGTGTACTCGTGCTTAACCTCCATACACATGTTAGCCTGGTTACCGCAGGGTCCCAACTTGTAGATGTAGTATTGGGTGACCGCGGCAACGACCATGCTGAGGGCGGCCATCATGAAACCGGCCGTGATACGCTTCAAGGGGGTGAAGTGGATACCCATCTTGCGAATACCAGGGTAAACGAGATGATCGAAGATGGGAATGAAGATGATCAGTGCAATGGGGTTGAGGTTGTTGATGATGTCGTTGGGGACACCTCCAAGTTTCATGGTGGCCGCTTGAGATGTCAGGTTGTTCAACATCTGGTTGTAGGCGAGCCCTAGAGATGGTCAGCATGAGCGAATGCAGCAGGGAGGAATTCTCTACGTACAGTAAAGGGGGTACCACAAAAACACTCTGCAGGCCATCAGTCCGCGGCGGACTTCATCAACCCACGCATCATCGAAGTCCATCCACGCGGGCTTGTTGGCTCCGAGGTGGCTGGGCTTGGCAGTAGCCCAAATATCGGTATTAGAGGTCTTGAACCTACAAATGAACGTTAGTAGGCGTAACACTCAGCATTGACAGGATGTAGCGTACCATCGCACGGGGTTCAGTGTCCAGTGGCCCTTCATCGCCAACATCGACAATTTGAAAGCTTTGGGGTAGATTGATCCGCTGGGAGGAGTGAGGATGTAATGCTTCTTGCAATAGAGCAATACCGCAGGACATAAACAGAACATGGCTGTGGGGAGCAGGTAAGAGAGCCAGAAACCAACATATCGCTCGGCGTAGACCATGGCGACCTGACCCACAAAAGAACCAATATTCACCATCATGTAGAAGTACATGTAGATACGGGAAACAGTGGCAGCCGGATCAACAATGACACGTTCGCCGGAAGAAAGTGTCGTGACGTAGGGCCTATCATCGCGATACTGCTCTGCGATCAGGGGGGCGATGTTGGCCTTGAAACCACCAGTTCCTACACCCATGATAATAAGACCAAGAGAGAAGCATGCAATGGCTCCGTTGGGGCTTTCAATAACTTTGGGAATGGCGGAAATGATGAGCAAGATGTGTCCAACGAGTGCGCAGGCAATCGAAGACATGATGGTGCGGTAACGACCCCACCATTGATCAGCAACCATGGCACCAAAGAGAGGCATGATATAGGACCAGAAAGAGTTGACTGTGCAAGTTAGACATATTAGCAATGGAACTTCACCCCTCGAGACCACATCACTTACACAATGTCAATCCGGTAGAGGCCTGCTGGCCCATACCCAGAGCTCCGGGTGAATCGTTGCTCCAGTTGGAGACACCTGGAACGAGGGCACCGGTGGTGGATCCAACGGGTAAAGGTCGCTGAATGAAATTGACGACTAATTCAGGTTAGCCATCTATCCCTCTGTCAAGGATTGATAGTCCATACAAACAGCAGTGGCACCGTAGTACGAGAAACGCTCGCAGAGTTCCACAAAGGCAACGCTGTATGATGCTATGGGCAGGCTGCCGGCAACACGGCGCAAAGTGGCCAGTTCCTCGTTGGTAGGAGCGCTTTTATCCATAGAATCGTCACCTTCGATTGACACTTCTCGGAGGGGAGGGGCATTGTCGATGGTCAACTCATCAACCACTGGGACTTTCTCGTTAATACCGATATCGTGCGCGATTGCCTTGGATTTGGCAATGTCAGCCACATCGAGAGGATCGCTGGCATTCATATTGGCGGTTCTGGGATCCAGAGATATGGGAGATGAGACACACAGCAGAAAAAAAAAAGGAAAGAAAAACTTGGGGGAGGGCGAGGTGAAGCAATTATATGGCCCATGGCGTGATTAGCGTACCTGTTTAGCTAGGGTCTCCAACAGTTTCACTCCTGATTTCTCGCGTTCCCCATTCTAGAATCCCGGGGCATTATCTGCATTGGGATGTGGCGGACGGCGGACATGGCAAAAACCGTCAATAGCCGGAAGAGACCCTGCGTCTGGTACTTTTCTCAGATTAAGATTAAGCCTGTTGGGATGTGTTTGGCTCCAATAATGGGTGAGCTTCGGCCGCATCCGGCGTTCATTACTTTCCTCGATAAGCAAAGTCCCAGCTTTGTTGGAAAGTACAAGAGATCCCGGAAGGCTAATGAACGCCAGAACTTGGATCAACCAATCAATGAGCTGGTGTGGGCTTGGACCCCCAGTTTTGGGATCCACTCGGTGTAACTTAGCGTCGACTTAGCGTGTCGTGGCACATGGCTAGGCACGGTTTGGCCGAGTATCTCCCCGCGTTGTGCCGCTTGGCTTAGGTTACATTGTAACCCTGTCGGCTTGGCTATACCATCTGGCCAATCACAGTAAGGAATGGTTGATAACCGAGGTGAGATAACTGATATCCTTTGATATCTCGCACATGGCCTCAGACCCAATCACAGAACTCAACCACCTGCTCGATGGCAAAAATGCGGGGCCTCCACTGATTAGGCTCAAGGTGAAATTGCCACTATTTCCCCCCTGGAGTGGTGAGACATGGTGTGATTGGCCCCATGTGATGTTGCCATCAATTACCCGACTCTTTTACAAACTGCTTCAGCGCATTGGCAGCCTCTTGGGCCGTCGGTGTCCGGGGATCCTATAAACCTCATGACTATCGAGTTGACTAACTACCTGTTGTATTGTTGGGACCGATTGGTCTCCCCCGTTGGTCTCACGCGATTAGGCCTCCTGATTGCCCTTCCCACTTCCTTCCACCACTTCCTTCCAGTTCATACAATACATTGTCTGATATTCCAGGGATAATCATTATCGCATGTCTCTCTCACCACCGTGCACTGGTGGTATCCGCATCAGCAATCGCTTGAGTCGTCCGAATATCCAGTTTGCCATCCGTCAGAACGCTCGTGTTTGTTGTGAACGGCGACCACCGGCCAATCTCACCACATCCACGCCCATCGGTGGGATGCTAGGAAGTCGTATGGTGGAGTGATACTCGCACTCGAACTCGAACTTCACGGGTGATTCCTGGACCATTGGGAGGTTCACCAATGTCCCCGGCTCCTTGCTCACTTTCACTTTGGCACGCTCAAACTCATTTACCCCAGGTTTGGCAGATATGTTCACCGCTTCGCGTCGCATGTTGCCACATTCAGACAACCTTGCCCACTTGCTCTGCATTGACCACTTCATCCTTGCATATTCTATTGACCGTCTGATTGGACGATAACATCACATATGGTGGTTGGAATGTCTCTTGAACTGCGAGTAGCTAACTTTGCTTGGGCTGCCTCGTTTTGAGTGTATATTCATCCGATCGCGTGACTACACATGCTTGCATTATTGTATTGTCAGATTATATTCAAATTCATGCAGGCTCGGGGGATACTAAACTTGAAGGGAGCGTGAACAAGGTTGTGTTCAGTAAGTCCCGGTAAAGCCTGCCTGCTAACCCCTCTTTTTCACGTCTTTTCAAGTTTCCCCATTGCCGACGACACCGCAATTTATACCACACGATACATATAAGGCGCAAAATCCCTCCGAAATTCAAAATTCCTCCAGATGGCATGGAAGTGACTACCGCGGAATATCTCTCCGCCCCACACTCCGTCACGGCGACTCGATCTTCAGGTCATTAGACGAACCGAACATAGGTGCATCCGAGATGATCGAATCATATGGATAAAACACCTGATATTGCAAAGTTTTGTACGGAATAGATCAAATTGAGCTGACCGGTGTAAAAGAAGGTAATTCCATAGACACTGTCCTTCACTTGCGATGTACATCAATCTATCAAGATCTACATATTGTTATTCTTTTTTCGATGTAATCCATCTCAATATCTCCTCCCGAGCCTCCATTCTCAATCCTTCATCGAAGTTCTCAAAGCCAACAATGATCGAGCCGATCAACCCCCACCGTCGATGCTAAACTCGAAGGTGCGGCCATCGCCCGACATGTCTGCAAAACAAACGAGCAAGCTCCCCTCAACACTCTCATCAGCTCCTATAACTATTTCCACCCCATCCTTGGTGCTTCTACTTCACCGAGGAATGATCCGAGGGGCCTCGTGGCGGCTGGCCGACTGGCTGATCATCTCACATTGTCTCCTACAGGCTCGCTCCATCGTGACATCCCCGAGAAAACCGCTCTTACCCAGCACAATGGCCAGATACCACCTCAAATTACACCGACACACATTTACAAGGAAACAATATTGGAAGTAAGTCAGATCGGTCTGATCAAGATCCCAGCCGCGAATCCGATACCAGTTCGCCCCGATGGCCCCTTCCAAATATTATTTGAAGCTAGATTGAGCTCACCAATATTATCAAGATCCTCACCAGTCCCACCCTATAGATTCCACCGATCACTACGGCAGAGGGCTTCCTACAAGGATCCCCAAGGCCTCTCCCCCGATCGCACCTTAGTTCGCACCGAAGGTCCCTTCCAAATATTCTTGCAGGTCGGCCTAGCTTCCTTCTAAAAGGACCGTGATAGTGTCAGTGCGGTGTAGGACATGGTGTTGGTCGAATCGACCCAGGTTCCTTTCAAGAAGTGCAAGTCCGTCCGTGCGACTTGAGGTGGGATTGGGGTAGGGATTTTGGTCAGGTTGATCTTATTTTCCTCTGAGAAGCTTTCCTTGCCAGGGACTGTTGGTGCGACCTGGCAGGAATTCAGTTATATCCATCTGGATTCCTTCCGAGAATTTTTGCACCGGCGTATCAGTGCGATCGGGGAGGGATTTAGACGACGGTCTTGGTCGGAAGATCTTGTGTCCAATCCCACCCCAATACCAATAGCTTTGGCGTGAATAAGTTCTTAAAAACCAGATCAACCTGACCCATCCCGGCCCAGATTTCATGCCGATCGCACCGACAAGTCCTTCCGAGACCTCTTGAAGGGAAACATATCCATCTGACCGAGATTTGGGTCCTGATTCTCTTCGAGATCGGACCGACAGCCCTGGTACTAGGTTAAGATTCCTTTATGACTTCATTTCATCCCAAATCGCTCCGATAGACCCTCATGAGGGGGCGATTCTTAGAGGGAATGCAGATAAATCTCCCAGGCCCAATTCCATCCAAGATCGTCTCGGCGGGCCCCTCAGAAGTTCTTATGAATCCGGATCAATCTGATCAAGAGTCCCACCCAACCCAGTTCAATGCTAGATCGCCGACAATTCTGACATGGAGACTTCTTGCCAAAGTGCTAGATCAGGCTGACTAAGATCTTCGCCTCAATCTCAGGTCTGGCACAGAGAGCTTCTCAGAAGGAATTCAGATCAACCTGATCAATCAGCTCGCATCGACTGCCTTGGCAGAACTTCTTAGAAGGAACCCGGATCAATCCGAGTAAGACCACTCGGCCAGGGCCGATCTTACCCAAGATCGCACCCACAATTCTGGTATGGAGATTTCATAGACGGAAGCCATATCAATCTGGCCATCCCTAGCCTGATTCCACCCGGATCGGTCCGACGGACACTTGCACTTCTTACTAGAAACCCTGATCAATCGCACAAAATATTGCACCGACCGGCCCTAGCAAGGACAGCCTCTTAGAAATCCAGAAGAATGTGATCTTCATTCTGGTTCTGACCACTCACCCCCCGATCGCACCAATCGGTCTACACAAGGCGCATTTCTAGGATGGGAACCGGATATATCTAACAAAATCGCTGATTCCTCTCATCCATCAGTTAGGCGAAATTATATTTAGATCTAGGCATACAGATCATCAGTCCACCGACGGATCATGGACCTACTGGTCTATTGCACGTGAAATTGTCTCCGATAAGCGCTATTGCCCGGTTCTGTCCGCTATATTCTTGTTCTGGCAGCAGCATATATCGCAACACCTCGATCATACCTAGTTCAGCCTGTGCTCGTCTGATGTAAAAATCCCCATTCGTAAAGCTATCATCACACTAGAATTGTTCGATCATACCGACCCGACGAGAATCTCACCCCTCTCTTACCTCGAGTCGACCATGAGTGGTATGTTCGTGTGTACATATATTTCTACCAGGAGCGCACGATCAATCTAGCCACCCAGTTCGTATGTTCGATTTTACTCTAAGAGAACGACTATCTGTGGTCCGATGAACGTTACATAATAATAAAAGTTAGGGAGAACGTCAACAAATGGATTGAATACTAAAAGGAAGGTGGAAGTTCCTATGAACCCGAAATATAAATCTGAAATCTCAAGTATCATGATGCAATACAATCTTTCGACCCCTTTTCGGTTGGCCCGCTGTCGGTTGACGCCTTTTTTTTTCGATTGAGGCTCTTTTTCGCTTGCGAGGTCCACCATGTTAAATGGCTAATGCATGGGTAATGAATTACGTCTTTAACGTTGTCATTGTGGCGATACCATGTCTCGATAATGCCCATATCAAGTTCATCTACTTTGACTCCGAGAACGCGAAAAGGTTCAAGCACCTCCGTAGGTGCCTTTCGCCGCACATATTTCAATTGCACCACTCTGTCAATAAAATCCCGAGTGATTTTCCTGCTGAATCCGAAGGTGTGATCAACCCGCCTTAGTCGCGAGAATCCTTTCAGACGTTGTGGCAATAGAAGGAGGGGCTGACAATCGAGTCGAGATTCCATGAAAATGACGGATTCAATGTACTGCAGGGCAATTCGATTGTCATTGCCACCATAGACTGGTGTATTGTGCCAATTCTTCCCATCCCTTGGTATCATGGCGAAAGTCTTCATCTGGAAAAACAATGGCTTCCCTAACAAGCTGAACCATTTACATGTCCTGGTCACAAATTTCCAGTCTTGAAGATGGCGGATTTGACTTTGACTGATATATCTCCATCGCCAGGGCCAATTATGCAAAGTGGGACGTGTGAACCGGTGGTCGACAGTCCACTCTTCGTGTAGCAGCTTTTGCAAAGACAGTGGCCTCTCTTCCATAGATATTGCACGTTTCCCCCGAGACTTCAGACGTGTTATCACACAATGCTGTAAACAGAAGGGGGGTTTGGTGCTTGCAAGAACATACTCTATGATCATTCGGAGTAGTTCGTAAGGGAGTTGATCCATTTTGACACTGAGTGATAAACGAATCGAGTTTTTCGGGATTTCGTGAGGAGGTCAGAGGTCGAGCCTATATAAACACATTAAGCACGTGTCATATGGATGTAATGACATCTGAGTTTCCGAAAGAGCCAATCGGTGATTCGAGGTGTTCATGAATCCTTCACACCGACCTACATTGTACAGTATAGTTTTATACGCAAGATGCCGATCTTTGTTGGTCAACGTGAGCAAACCCAATCTTGTCCCAGCAACGAGCCATCATGACCACGCAGGCACATCGCCGTCGCCATGACACGAGAGTTGGGATGAGAAAGTTTCATGCGAGAATGATTTACCTCGATATGACGCATTATCATGCTCTCATTTGAGAAGTTCGGTTATACTGCTAACATCAAGCAGGAGCCTAGGATGGTTAACATCGTAGATGCTAAAATAGTCTAGCATCCGAGCGATTTAAGGTGAAGTTGAGTGACATGCCACATTATTTAATGTTTACCACATGCAAGCCTGGCTGTACGTTGAGTCTTACTTTCCGACAGTCAGAGCGATAGGGACAGATATGAGGGGTTTCCTAGGGACCGTGACAGCTTACAGGTTTTTTCACCTCAAGCAGACTCGCCGATATTAGAGCAATCAAGAGGTAAAAATCAAACCACTGAGTTCATCCAGTGAGATATCCCAACTCCATGTTACGTTTGCCGAGAGAGGCACAGTTATTCCCCGGGAAAAGCACCTTTGACTCTTGTCATCAGTGGAAAATGGCTAAACATACAACATACGCCCCTTGCGTCAGTCAAGTTGACTGAATTTGTTAGCCGGAGCATTCTTTATCCGATGTGCATTCCTCCCGGCGGATTGTACTCTCCCAGCACAGTGGTGGCATCTTCGTGACCATGCCCCCTGCGCGTGCAAGATGACCTGCATGGTGTGCATGGGGAGGATAGCTCTCTCTGCATTATCACCGCATGACCAGTGCCCCGGCTGATCTGCCGCTTTGGGTTGCGGCTATGCTTTCTCCACTGCACCTCAGCTGTTGGCAGGACATACAGAATGCCAAAACCGAAAGTGTAGCGGAATTTAACCGGAGAGACACGCGCTCGTGTTTTTCGAGTTATGAAATATGAAACCTGTCCATCTAGATTTGTTCTGAGGATCAACAGTGGGGAAAACTAGCATTCTATATATATCCCTTGGTTGCCCACTCGACATGCGGATTGTGAGGCAAGGGCGAAGCGCATCAAAATGATTTCTCTCGAGTTCAAAGAAGGATCATAATGCCTTCCATCCTGAAACTGATCTTGTTGTCTGCTTTGCCTCTAGTCTGGGCTGTTCCGGCGCAAACGAAAGCAGCCACAGCCAACCCAACTGTTATCATCTCCAGGCCCGAAGCCACTGTCGTTGGCTCCACGGGTCTCAACAAGATCGATAAATTCAATGCCATCCCGTTCGCACTGCCTCCCACTGGCTCCTTTCGGTTGAGACCACCTCAACCAATCCAAACATCCCTCGGAACTATCCATGCTACTTCCGCTGCGAAGTCCTGCCCGCAATTCCTGTTCAGTACCGACAAAAAGGACCTCCCTAGCTCCATAATCGCGAAGCTCATCAACATCCCGATCTTCCAGGAGATCACCAATGCTGGCGAGGACTGTTTGACTCTCGATATACGTCGTCCGTCCGGAACTCAGGCACACGCAAAGCTACCAGTGCTGGTCTGGATCTTTGGTGGTGGATTTGAACAAGGTGCCACCACAAGCTATGATGGATCAAGCTTTGTGACAAGCTCTGTAAAATTAGGTATGCCAATCATCTTTGTGGCCATGAACTACCGTCTCGGTGGGTTCGGGTTTTTGCCGGGCGCAGAGATCTTGAAGGATGGCTCCGCCAATCTCGGACTTATGGACCAGCGTCTTGCTTTGCAATGGGTCGCAGACAACATCGCTGCATTTGGAGGCGATCCGTCCAAGGTCACTATCTGGGGTGAGTCTGCTGGCGCCATCTCAGTGTTTGATCAGATGGCTATGTATGATGGTGACAATATATACAATGGTGCGCCGCTTTTCCGCAGTGCCATCATGAACTCCGGCAGCATTGCGCCTGTGCATCCCGTTGACGGCAGGAAAGGTCAGGCTATATATGATACTGTTGTTAAAAACGCTGGTTGCAGTGGTGCCAGTGACACCCTTGCATGTCTACGCGGGCTGGATTACACCAAGTTTCTGAATGCTGCCAACTCAGTCCCAGGCATTTTGGGTTACAATTCTGTCGCCGAGTCATATCTGCCTCGTCCGGATGGCACGATCTTAACCCAATCACCAGACCAACTAGTCGTCCAAGGCAAATATGCCGCGGTGCCATTCATCGTCGGCGACCAAGAAGATGAAGGAACTATATTTGCTCTATATCAGAACAATTTGACGACAACCGATCACATCGTGGACTATCTACAGAATCTGTTTTTCTTCGATGCATCGCGACAGCAGCTTACAGATTTCGTCGCCACCTACCAAGATATCAAAGAAGACGGCTCCCCCTTCCGCACGGGATCTCTTTACAACTGGTATCCACAATATAAACGACTGGCGGCCATCCTAGGCGATATATCTTTCACCCTCACACGCCGGGTGTTCCTAAACCACGCCCAGAAAGCGAAACCAGATGTTCCCTCCTGGTCCTATCTTTCAACCTATGACCATGGCCTTCCCTTCCTAGGAACCTTCCACGGATCCGATATTGTGCAGGTGTTCTATGGGATCTTGCCAAACTACGGATCCCAATCCCTACACTCATACTACTTGTCATTTGTGTATGAGCAGGACCCCAATGCTAAGGCTGGAAATTATATGGATTGGCCACAATGGGGTAACAACCAGTCGCTGATGAACTTTGCCATCGACCGTTCTTCCCTCTTGCCGGATGACTTTCGTCAAGATAGCTATGACCAGATCATGGCGGATCCTGCTGCGTTCTATATTTGAGTGGAAATGCAAGTTTAGATAATCAGGAGCCTGACGAATTACGTTTATACGAATTACATGTCACGATAAATAGCTTAGCTAGAACCATGCTCTGGAATTTGGTCTGCAGCGTTGTACTCATAAAGGGTCGGTAGTTATCAATGATATTCGCAAATTTGAGGCATGAATTCATCTCCAAGCAGAATCTGCCATCGGAAATAACCCTTATTTCATTTCCAGCTCGCCGTCACAGTGGCTGTAGTTCCCGAACACCCAGTTGGCACCGTATACGATCGGTTAGGATCGCTTTCCCACGTCACAGCTGAAGATCCTGTCGTCATCTTGAGGAATTTATACTGGAAGGTTGTTCCGACCGGGAGTGTGATAGTAGTCTGCCACAAGGGATTGGAAGAAGTGTAGCTGCTTGCAGACAGTGCGATGGCTTTACTCGTGTCCCAGGTGCCAAGCTGGCTGATTGACCCTGAGACGTAGATATCCTGGCCATATGCAGTAGTCACAAGCTCCTTGAATAGAACCGGCAGGGCAGTGGCTTGGGTGCAGCCCGCCTCCGTAGTGGTTGTCGTAGTGGTTGGAGTCACTGTGGTGGCTGTGGTACTAGGAACGGATGAGCCACATAGCCCAATGTTGCTCACGGATGATGCGAGAATAAGCACCCGTGGCAATCCGGACGCCATTGGCACCGCGATGTTACCGCTGGAATCCACTGTTATAGATGTGCAGGTGTACATCTCCACCAGCTTGGCGCCGGATGAATACCCACTCCCACTTAAAGACAATGTATAGGAGGATCCGGATGACCCGGCGTTGGAAAGGACCGTTATGACTGGCGAGCTGCCCGATCCCTTCTTCATAGCTAATGTATGGCTGTCTTGATAGAAGGGAATATTCTGATAACCTGTCAGTCTGTTTCACTAGCACGGCTTTTAAAATACGTACCTTGGTCGTGATGTAGCTGGAGTCTGCGGCGACGGCCGCTTTGCGGATCTTGTTCGTAGTCGCAATATATTGATATAACTCTGCTGTGGTAGAGTATCCCGACAGCCAGATAGCTTCGCGGTTGGCTGGATCACTTCCACCACTATAGTGTTGTTCCTGGCCGGAATATACAATGGGAATACCATCTGACAAAAACAGAAATGAGAGCACATTCTTGGCCTGCGAGTAGTCGCTTGTGTAGCTATGACGGACAGTTAGACAGTGTCGAGTATTCCTGAGAAACCTCGAATTTCTCACCTTGGGAAACGTGGGTTGTCGTGATTCTCGATGAAATTGCCGAGTAGGGTTGAATCAGCACAATCAGATGCCACAGTGCCAATCATGTTATACAAATCGCTAATGCTGCCGCTAGAAGACTGGAACGCACGTAGCAGTGGGTAATAGCTGGACAGTTAGTTTTTCAATGGGAAACCGGATGGCAGTGATCTCACATGGGATAATTCAAGACACCGTCCATGTAGCTTTGATAGTCGCAGGTGTAGGCTGGATCTCCATCAAAGACCTCCCCGACACTATAAACGCCTGCGGCGTCATTGAAGCCAGGCCAGAAAGACTTCTGGACATGCTTCACGGTATCGACGCGCAACCCATCAACTGACAATGTTAGATCAGCTTTTAACCTAAACCATTAGACTTACTGGAGTACTTAGACACCAAATCAGCAATCCAATTGTTCCAGAGGGCCTGCACTGAGGTCTGGGTTGTGTCAAGATCTGGCAGCGACACAATGGTGTCGCCAAGCCAACAATTCTCAACATTGGACTGGTCATTGTAGTTACTGATCAAACAATAGGGGTGGAAGTAGGAGGAAGAGTTGAAGGGAGGTGAAAACACTGTAATCCACAGTATTCCCAGCTCCAGCGTAGCCCTATAGGCGTGTTAGAAAAGTTCCATCCAATTGTTCAAGATAACACACCATATGGTTAGCCACGACGTCAACCATGAGATACATGCCTCGAGCGTGCAGTGCTTTCGACAGTGCCAAGAGGTCATCGGACGTGCCGTGGTTTGGATTTACATTGTATCTAGTGAAGTTTGTGAGCAGAATCCCAGCATTAACCGTTCAATAATCTTACATATCTTGCTGCCAGTACCCGTGGTAGGATGTGCCGTCGCCAGTGTTCTGCGAGAGCTGTTTTGTCACTGGAGTAATCCAAATAGCAGTAAAGCCCATTCCCTGGATATAATCTAACTGGTAGTCAAGTCAGTATATGGATTTTGAATGGAGGATTGGATGCATACTTGGTTGATGATACCCTGCCAACTGCCACCGCAATAAATCTGATACGTGTTATTAGTGTATGCATTGAGAACCCAGGACAGAAGAACCGCGCATACTCTGTCGTTAACATTACAGTTAGCAGTGACTGAATTGTCACTGCGTCCGAAGCGATCTGTCAACAGGAAATAGATCGACTGACTGCGCCATTCCGCGGGAGTCAGGCCTATAACCATCTGCCAGAGTAGTATGGTTACTGTGAATATAAGTTTCTTCATTTTTGCGGCCGTGAATAGAGCGGGACTTGATATGTTGGCGAGGTTTGGATTTTAGTCAAACCAAAGGGGGCAGCAGTCGGGCCTGATTTATAGGTTTGAATTGCATGCTGCGCATTATAGTCATGTAATCCAAGATATGACAAGATGGACTTTTGTTCACGGAAATATACACTCATATAAGCCTTTGCCTATTTCCAACCCAATCGGTTAAATAAACAACACGTAAAAGGCCCAAATCAGTTGAAGTCTGCCCCGCTGGGCCGAGATGTCGAGTCAACACACCGATTGGAGACCGGATAATTGTTTGGCAAAGCAGGCAGCCGCGAAGCTGCAGGATTCTAGCGATGCTAGGCCGCGCACCAGGCCTGAAGTGGTTCATCTCTCCGGAACTTAGCCCATCTGCGGGATTGTTTATGGTTCCACATCTTCAGAACACCATTGAAGACAAGAAATGTCGCATCAAACTCACGTGTAAAGCATTTCTCACCAAAGCGCTAGTTCTGAGGCAGGTCTAGCGTGTTGTTGACGGGGATAATCCAACCAGCTGATTGGTGGACATCAGCCACCACCCCAGATTATGCCGTGAAGATGACAGGGGGCGGAGATTCAACGGGATCAAATATCGGAGATGAAAACCCGGCAACTGTTTTGAGGTAATGAATGCTTGATTTGAATGAGGTCGATCTAAGCGATTGGGATAGAGATCAACGATCGGAAAATAAGACCTCGCATGTGTCTCGGGAGATATTCGATTCGCCTGCTGAAGAGAGTAGTGATAGACCTGATAGTTGCAGAATCGGGAACGAAGCTCTTGACTAGCACTGTAATTAAATTCTAAGCTAACGGTGATGCAGCAGGAAAATGACGATCTTTTCCCAACAGCATTTATCCGGGTTTCCCGGAGCTCATTTTCCTCTGCAATAGTGTGATATCATGCAATGCAATACCATGCAATGTTCATGCAAGCCCCACGCAAGTGCATCAATTTGGCTTGCAGTCGCGACCGAATGGACTTTCAAGCGGATTAAATCCCTTTACCTCCACCCGCTATAAAAAGGACGTTCGGCCCCCACGATGGTCTTAACCCAACTCACCTTCTGACCCCATGATGGCTCCTCGTTTTTGGACTGCGCTTTGGGCGCTCACTCTTGGCCACGCTGTTGTGGCCGCGCCACAGATATTATTGGCCCCTCGTGCGACAGGTAGCTTAGATACCTGGTTGGCGTCTGAGACTGCGGTGGCAAGACAGGGTATCTTGGATAACATCGGATCAGCGGGTGCCAATGCTGCGAATGCAAAGCCGGGCATTGTAGTCGCCAGCTCGAGTACCTCTGACCCTAACTGTAAGCTATCCCACAGCTATTTATTGAACTGAAAACTAACTGGACCCACAGACTATTATACTTGGACTCGTGACTCGGCCCTGGTGTTCAAAACTTTGGTTGATATGTTCAAGAACGGCGACAGCGCATTGTTGGATGTTATTGAAGAATATATCAGTGCGCAGGCCTATATCCAGACTGTATCAAATCCATCTGGAGGTCTTTCCGGTGGCGGTGGATTGGGAGAGCCCAAGTTCAACGCCGATGAGACAGCTTTCACTGGCTCTTGGGGTCGCCCTCAGCGTGACGGACCAGCCTTGCGGGCCACTGCATTGATTTCGTTTGGCCAATGGCTTATCGTATGAATTTCAAAACTGTTACCTTTTGCATTGCTAACCCACTTTAGGATAACGGGTACACCACCTACGCGGCCAATATTGTCTGGCCCGTCGTGCGCAACGATCTCTCCTATGTTGCCCAGTACTGGAATCAGACCGGATTTGGTTAGTATACCTCAGACTCTAATTGTGCACACTCCTAATACCCTACAGATCTCTGGGAAGAAGTTTCTGGCTCATCGTTCTTTACCATCGCGGCTCAACACCGCGCCTTGGTAGAGGGAAGCACGTTCGCGAGCCAAGTTGGCTCCTCGTGTTCGTACTGTGACTCTCAGGCTCCGCAAGCCTTGTGCTTCCTACAGTCTTTCTGGACTGGATCTTACATTCTGGCCAACTTTGGTGGTGGCCGCTCTGGCAAAGACGCCAACACCCTGCTTGGCAGCATTCAAACTTTCGACCCGGAGGCAGGATGCGATGATACCACATTCCAACCTTGCTCAGCTCGAGCACTCGCAAATCACAAAGTTGTGACTGATTCATTCCGATCTATCTACACTGTCAACTCTGGTATTGCTGCGGGCAAGGCTGTTTCTGTTGGTCGATACCCAGAGGACTCATACTACAATGGTAACCCTTGGTACCTGTGCACTTTGGCTGCAGCTGAGCAGTTGTATGATGCTATATACACGTGGAACCGTATCGGTTCTTTGACAATCACTTCTGTCTCTTTGAGCTTCTTCAAGGATCTGTACAGCTCTGCTGCAACCGGCACCTACTCCTCGTCCAGTGCTACGTACTCCTCCATTGTGAGTGCTGTCAAGACATATGCGGATGGATATGTTAGCATTGTGGTATGTTGCACTTTACTCTCGATTGTTGACTACCCCGATTAACAAATATCTTAGGAACAATACGCTGCGTCCAGTGGCTCCTTGTCTGAGCAATTCTCCAAGTCAGATGGCTCTCAACTCTCCGCTCGTGACCTGACTTGGTCCTACGCAGCTCTGCTTACTGCCAACGAACGTCGAAATGCTATAGTCCCTGCACCATGGGGTGAGACATCTGCCAGCAGTGTCCCTGGGCAATGTCAATATACTTCGGCTATTGGTACTTTCAGCAGTGCGACAAACACCGCCTGGCCTACCACTTTGACTAGTGGATCAGGCGGTGGAACTACCACCAAGACAACTACCACTACGACCACGAAGACCACCTCGACAACAACGTCATGCACCACTCCGACCGCCGTTGCAGTGACATTCAACGTGATCGCCACTACTGTATATGGCCAGAACATCAAGCTTGCTGGGTCTATCTCTCAGCTTGGCTCCTGGTCCCCAAGCAGTGCGATTGCGCTGAGCGCTTCCTCATACACTACGAGCAACCCTCTGTGGTTTGTGACTGTGACACTTCCAGTGGGTACTAGCTTCACCTACAAGTTCATCCGAGTGGAGAGTGATGGAACCGTTACGTGGGAGAGTGACCCGAACCTGTCGTACACTGTTCCCGCCACGTGCGGTACCACAGCTGTCACGGTTAGTAATACCTGGAGGTGATAATGTCCAGGGAATGGATCCAAGGCAGTTGGAACTAGAAGTTTCACTTTTTTAGCTTCTCGCTGCTTTGGCAGAGTTTTAGACTCCTCCGTTGCAGATCGTGTTGTGGTCGTTCTATCGCACTAGAATAGCAGCATGACAATGAAGATTTATTTGAGTATTACCTTTACGACTATAAGTATTGCGTGAATTGTGTTCCCTCTGCGATCTATTCTGCCGTCGGCAGACGGTATTTGGGCCGGCGTTCTCATTGACCAGTGTTGGACCGAAGAAGCGTACGAGGATAGAGCTAATACTATTGTTGAAACTTTGGAGGGTCTGGAAAAGGTTCTTCCTATCGATTCATGGATTTAACAGTATGCTTGGGTGATATTTTGCTGTGATATTTTGGAGTGTCTTCATTTTCCTTTTTGATGCCGTTTTTTAAATCTTTCTTCAATCCTCTACAAACTAATTCACATGCATCTGGCTTATTCAGAGCTAGTCTAGCGCAGAGCCAATAATAAGCAAGTCGGCAATGATTCCTGCTTAGCCCTCGGCTGCCCCTGAACCTGTCGTGAGAGTGGTTGGCTGCGAGCCAAATGGCCATTATTGGTCACGTTTAACGAGGGAGTCATTTGGTGGCTTTCTCACAGCTCAATAATGAAAGACTGAGCTATCCCGGCTCTCGATTCTGGCACACTTCGTCGCGGTTTTATCATAAGGAACGTCATTTTCAAATCCCGATTCCAATCTTATTTATTTTTAATCCTATATACTAATGTAGGTCCGATGGAAGGAGTCTAGATTTGATGGCGCGCAATAAACAGCCCGCCGAATGACGCCAAAAGCGAACAACCAAGGGAAACAACTTCAGTACGTCAGTGGAAGGTACCCAATATAACAGAATCCATGAACTCACGATATGTATGCTTAAGTCCCGAAACGTAACAAGCCACCACAATCTCCCGCAGGTGACCACTTAGATGCGCGATATAATTTGTATCAGCCATCGCACGTTGAATAACCTAGAACAATTAGCACCGAGATCAAAGATCCTCACTAACAAAGCACTTACCTTCTCAGAGCCAGGCCCGTGAAGATTTAGCCTTAGCTGCCGCTGGAACTCCATCCCTAGAACAGAATTGGACGTGGTCACACCAGCCGTCATGGAGAATCCCACAATAAGCATATATCCCGCTGTCGCCATAGCAATTTCCTCGGCCGGTAGCATAGCAGACATGGCGATGAATGATGACGCCGATGCGATTCCCGTGCCCAATCCGCCTGGAAGAATAAATAGCGACTCCCAGAAGCCGCTGTGTCCGTCCCAGCGGAGATAGAGGAGGAGGTAGGAAATGCCTGCAACCAGGCCGGCGACAACGAGGAGGATTTTGAATTGTCCTGTGCGCCGGATGAAGATTCCCGCTAGTAATCCGCCCAGAGTATTTCCTATCACTGCTGGAATAAGATGCACGCCTGCTGCTGTGGTTGATGCGCGCTGTGTCACTTGGAAATACAGTGGGACGGAGAACATCATTCCCAGCTGCGCAGCGATCTGGAGTGCGCCAATTATGTAGGCCATTGAGACATTTGTGCGCCGGAGAATGCGCAGGTTGAAGATTGGTTCGTGGGCAACGTAGGCTTCCACGAGCACGAAGGCGATTAGGAGTGATACCCCGCCGCTTGCTAGGAGGACTGTCCACCATGAGCTCCATGGGAAGGACTTCCCGCCTTGGTCGAGGAGTGTGGTCATTGCGACAATTGATGAGCCTAGCAGTGCCGTTCCGAGGAAATCGACCTGGGCGAGTTTGTTTTCCTTGGAGGTGGGTTGTGGTCTCTCAGTGACGTTCAGTTTCACAATCACGAGAGCTGCAGCCAGAGCGAGGAACGGAGCTTGCAGGATGAACAACCTGGAATGGGGTTAGAACATAGGCACAGCTATCGGATACTACACACTTACCATCTCCATCCGATAGTATCGCTCAGCCAACCACCCAACGGACCTCCGAGACTTCGTCCAAGTGTCATGGCGATATTCACATATGCTCTCCAAGTAGCGACCTCACGCTTAGGCACGATATCTGTGATGATAATGGAGCTGATGGTCATGATTCCCGCACCGCCCATCCCGCTGATCGCACGACCCCAAATCACCACCCACATATGGGTTCCGAGGCCACTATATGTGGTCAGAATTGTATTTCAGCCGCTGGGTCGGGACTTTCCCTACCTCATTATACAGCCAACTGCGAATAACAGATATGAGAGCAGCAGCATTGGCTTGCGACCGTAGATGTCACTCAATTTTCCATACTGAACGACAATCAGACCATAAAATGTCTCCGCTGCGGGCCACGATCACTTACCATTGGCTGTGCAGCACAAAGACCCAACGTATAGCCCGTTGAGAGCCAACTGGCGTCGCGTAAACGATTGAATTCGGAGGAGATGCGGCCTGCCGCGGCCATAACAAGTGTCGCATCGGCATTGGAAATGAATTCACCTATATTCGATTAGATTTCCGGTCTTCGTGTATTGCCAATTCCCCTACCGAGCAGAAGCACCGCGATAATTGTCCCAACGCCCGTCAACGCTTTGAGCTTAGGCTCTGTGTCAGATCGCGGCAGTAATGGACTCTCTTCATCTTGGGATTGGCTATTCGAATCAATGCCCTGGGTCCCAATGATACCTGGAGGCACCGACTCAACCGCGTCGCTACCTATATGAGCCATGCTGTAAATTGAACAGAGTCAAAATAAAAACACATACCGAGAAGGGGAACTCGGCGATAAATATTATCCAAGTGAAGCTAAGTTGTGCTCATTGCGGTTGTAAAGCACGCCATATATACAGGGATCCACTTTCATACTTCTGAATTTCCTATCGAGAATAGTATGCTTTGTCTTTTGTTAGTCTTTTGCTACAACATAGTCTTTTTAATTGTCTCTTTATCCTTTTTCCGGATATTCCCGATGTATATAACTTCACCTCTTCCCGGGGACATAGTTCCCAATTAGGTTTAGTACTATTGCTACACCTGTATCGATATTGTCCAACAATAGTGTGATACTAATTATCTAGCAACATCTGAGCTGCCTTGTATAAGTCATTGAAGAGCAGTGTAAAGATGACATTGTGATTGAGAGATGATGGATATATTCACAGGTCCGCTGATCGGTTGTCCACCGCAATCATCATAGCTAGAGCAACAGTGGAAAGTTCTTGCATATCAGGCGCGCTATCCAACAACCATGGACCGTATCGACACCGAGGAAAAGACATAGCAGAAAAACGATATTGAAGTAGGCAAAGCAAAAAGACCCAGCGGAAAGAAGATACTGAAGCTCCAAGCGGATGAATGGTATCCAGCTTAGGTTTGAACGGGGGCATCCAGAATGTCCATGACATCGTTATGGATCTCTCGCAGGCGCTGATGGAGCTGGTGGTGACTGCTGTAGATGTTATCCACGGTCTTCTGAAGCAATCTGTCCGCGGTGCTTGGTGATTGGATAGAGTGGACCTGGTCGAGTAGGTCCTCCAGCCGGGTTAGATGGTTCCGGCTGGACTCCAGAGCCTGAGCTAGGTTGGTGAGATGCTCGAACAGTCTGCGCCGGGATGATTGGTGGTCAGGTGTGGGGGTATCGATGTCTGTAGTTGTGGCACTGGGAGGGACTTGGTGATGGCGGGTAGGTTCTGCGATGGGAGGGTGCTGGGTTGCAACGGTGTGCCTGTAGTGGTAGCGGTCATCCCGCCCCGCCCAATGGCAGTTGGCGCAGGCCGTTAGGCTATTGAGAACTTCAACAGAAATGCAATTTGAAAACCGACCATGAAGGCGCAGGTAGGAAGTGCATTCCCGGGGCCACCGGTGGGCCCCATCACCTGCATCAAGGCGGCCTCTGCGTGTGCCAAACTGTAATTGATCATCCCCTGAAATCGTTATGCGGTCCATATGTGACCGACGCGGAGGAAGGGTTCTTTCTGGCTGGGTCTTGACACCTTGAGACCAGTACGTCGAGGTATCGGCCTTTGAGGAAGTTGCCTTGTCTTGCGACGCGGAAAGGCAGGCTTCGGATGTGGACCGCCCAAGGCCCAGGTGTGGCAATGCCTTCCCCTTCCATTGGTGTGAGAAGGACGAAGATAAGAAGGGGGTAGCTAAGTTCGAGACGATGTGTCACAGGTGAGAAGGATGGAGAAATGAAAAAGATGACCCTGAAGGAGGTGATGGAATTCAGTAATGAATGAGTGGTAATGAGAAGGATGGAGAAATGAGAAAGAGAGAGACAATTAAGATAGCGTTATGTCTATCTTATTCTGTTGAAGGGTTTTTCACCCGCATCCAGAACTGCTTTGGAGAATAGAACACTGATATTGTTCAAAATGAAGATAAAAAAATGATGAAAGGGAAGATAAAATAGGCAGACCATTAAGATCGTATTATGTCTTGTTCATCCTTTTTGTTTTTCAGATGCCTTCTAATATCCTTCCAGAACCAGGCTGTGGAAGAACTTATAGAACAACCTTTGAATGTATGTGTGATTTGGTACATCTTTCTTCTATACAAAATTATATTTTACTGACATATTCAAGCCCGGAGGGATGCGAGGCGTGAATTAATAGATCACACCACTATTCTCTACTGTTATATACAATCGAGAAGGCCATTGATATATGGGAACAAAGGCGTAATGCGCTAACCATAGCAGATTTCTTTTTATGTAGTGAAAACAGGAGAAATATCGGCAATTGTGAACTCCCGGTGATTCACATACAAAGCCCAAGTGCTCATTCTGGTTGTAAAGCACGCCATCCACTATACTTATATTTCCCACATTACCTTACGTACCTCAGATCTAAAAAGTAGTGAGAATAAACTCTCCGAGGTTGTACAAGATATATATGTTACGTTACATATGTTACATATGTTATATAAACCACGTTAAGCTGGATATTCAAATATGAAGTATAACTTCCTCGTTAATGTTAATGTTAATGTTAATTGTTAATTGTTCATTGTTAATCTCGCCTAACCGCCCCCTAATCAGATCGACATTACAGCCATCTATGGCGTCATCATCTCCACATCTCAAAGCTCCACATTTGCCGAGAGCTTCATTTTATAATTAAATACTTACTTACAAAGTAGCTTCATCTCTCTCAGACTACTTCGCGCATATCATGAAATTAATCACTGCCCTTGTCGGCCTCGTCGCCGCTGAAGGGGTTACTGCCCTCAATCTGCAATCCAACCTGCAATCAGCCCTTCAATCTGTACTAAATCACAGCGAAGCACAAGCCCGCAAACCAAATATCCTCTTTGTGATAACCGACGACCAAGACCTCCAACTTGACTCCATATCTTACACCCCCCTGATCTCAAAACACATCCGCGATCAGGGCACCTTTTTCCGCAACCACTTCGTCACAACAGCCTTATGTTGTCCGTCGCGTGTGAGTCTATGGACCGGTCGCCAGGCACACAACACAAATGTAACCGATGTTCATCCGCCCTATGGGGGATATCCCAAATTCGTCGAGCGCGGCTTCAACGATGATTTCCTCCCGCTTTGGCTGCAAGCGGCCGGGTATGATACATATTACACGGGCAAAATGTTCAACGCACATACGGTGGATAACTACCACAGCCCGCACATCAATGGGTTCAATGGATCTGATTTCCTCCTCGATCCTTATACTTATTCCTACCTCAATTCAACTTACCAGCGAAACCATGAACCACCTGTCAGCCATGAGGGTGAACATACTATCGACGTGATCACCGGAAAAGCACTGGGTTTCCTCGATGATGCATTGGCCGGCGAGAGGCCCTTCTTCCTGGCTGTATCGCCCGTCGCGCCACACTCCAATCTCGATCCGGGGGATATCGCATCGGGTAATGTTTACATGTCCGCGCCCATCCCCCTCGAACGACACGAGCGTTTGTTCCAGGATGTGAGGGTGCCCCGCACGGCAAATTTCAATCCGGACCAGGTAAGCGCGGCCTTGATTTGAATCAACGTGTTTGTGCTCGCCAATTCTAACTGATCTGATTTGCTTGCGCAGCCAAGTGGAGTCAGCTGGGTTCATGATTTACCCCTGCAGAACCAATCGGTGATCGACTACAACGATCACTTTTATCGTTCACGTCTGCGTGCCTTGCAGGGTGTTGATGAATTGGTTGATGGGCTTGTCACCCGGCTGGAGGAGAGTGGTCAGCTGGATAATACTTACATTATCTATACCTCGGATAATGGGTTCCACATTGGCCAGCATAGACTGCCGCCCGGGAAGACCTGCGGGTTTGAGGAGGATATTCGCGTTCCCTTGTTCATTCGTGGACCTGGCGTTGCTAAGGGATATGTCCAGGATGCTGTGACCACTCATGTGGACTTGGCGCCGACTTTGTTCCACCTTGCGGGTATTCCGGCCAGGTCTGATTTCGATGGTACTGCCATTCCTGTGACGCCCGAGTTTGATGGAAAGCGCCATGAACATGTTACGGTGGAGTATTGGGGTTCTGCTGTTGTGGAAGGCGTTTATGGCGGCATTGGTAAGCCCAGGCAATATTTTCATAGTCACTGTGGGATGTGTGATACTAATTCCAAGGCAGGCCCCGGAGGTTCAATCATGATCCCGAACAACACCTACAAATCCGTCCGTTTACTCGGAGAAGGCTACAATCTGTACTACTCGGTCTGGTGCAACAACGAACATGAGCTGTACGATCTATCGGTGAGTACATAGCACCTTGGTTCTTTATCACAGCAACGACTAATCCTTTTGCAGACCGATCCGTACCAGCTGAATAATCTGTACCCGACCACATCCCAGGCGGATATAAATCAGCCCCGTATTCTCGGTCGCAGCTTGGCCCAGGCTATCAATCGACTCGACGCTCTTTTGATGGTCCTCAAGTCTTGCCAGGGTGTGACTTGTATCCAGCCTTGGGATATCCTCCAACCGGTAGACCCAGTGAGTACTCTCCATGATTCTCTGGATGAGGAGTATGATGGTTTCTATGGTGCACAGCCTCGGGTCTCATTTGACTGGTGTGATGCGGGATACATTGTTGAAGCTGAGGGTCCACAGGTGCCGTTGACTAGTCGACACGGCGTGTCTTGGGATGTGTGGGTGTAATGGAATACAGTTGAAGTTAGATTGTAAATACTGATCAAAATTGGATATAGTTATGTCTATTCACTATTTAATTTGGTGTAAATTACTGTAAAAGGCAACGTATGCAAGGGTGGACTACGAGTACATATGTATAGACCTTGGAACATCCGAATCAACGCTATAAAGTTTCCGATAAACCACCAAAGTAAATAGAAACAAAGAATAATCTCCGTATTCCGATGCTGGTAATGGCTAAATAATCCCCCAATGCTCGGCAAATCCCGTCAGATGCGCCGTGATTGCGCCATATCTCCTCGTGTCGCGACATCAAAAAGTTACATTGGCATTCGATATGTTTTCTTTTAGCGCATTTCTAGTAAATTGAGCTACGCAATTCTTTATTAGTGTCTGTTTGCTTTTTTCTATAAGAGTGATCGATCAGCCAGGAGTGTTCCTGTAGATTCCCCAATCTAGGAATTGATCGTCCCACATACTTGCTGTTTTGTTTATTTTTGGGCTTTTTTTCAAGCTTCTTTGAATCGCAAGATGGCAGAGCAAGACATTTTCGATGAGAAACACAAAATTGGCGAGCAGGTCATCGACTCACCTCCAAGTGAGCTTGACCATAGTATCGTCAAAGATTGGGATGAGGAAGAATCAGCCGTTCGACGGAAGTACGTATAGTTCTGATCACGCATCAACTATAAACATCTCACTAACAAGTGTCTCTCAGAGTTGACTTTATCCTCATTCCAATTCTCGCAGTCGCCTTCTTCGCCTTGCAAATGGATCGCGGGAATATCAGCGCCGTGTTGACATCGACTATCACGAAAGACCTCAATATCACAACGAATCAAATCAACATCGGATCACAACTACTCTCCGCTGGTATTGTTCTATCAGAGATCCCGTCGAATATTATTATGCAGCGAATTGGACCCCGCGTTTGGTTATCGGGCCAATTGTTCGCTTGGGGGTTGGTTGCGACCTTCCAGGCCTTTGTTAAGTCGTATCCTGCGTACCTGGTTACGAGAATTTTATTGGGATTCTGTGAGGGTGGCTTTATTCCTGGTATATAAATCTATGTATATTTGCGCTTGATAATCCACTAACAACCTGCAGGCGCTCTATACTACCTCTCTACGTGGTATAAGAAGGACGAGACCAGTCTCCGCACCAGTCTCTTCTTCTACGGCCAGATGTTCGCATCGGCTACATCGAGCTTGATATCCGCCGGTCTGCTTCAGTTGAATGGTACTCATAGTATGGAGGGATGGAGATGGATCTTTCTAGGTAAGTGCATATCGAAATTATATACATCCTGCCCACCCGAGCTGGGCTAATGAATACTCCAGTTGAGGGTTTAATCACCCTCTTCATCGCAATTGTATTCACTCTCCTCGTGCCTCCATCGGCCGGAGACGGGCGTCCATTGATCGCCTTCGGTCGCTGGAGCTACTTCACCGAGCGCGAGTCGCACATCATTCGCAACCGCGTTCTGCTAGATGACCCTCTCAAAGCCAAGGGCCATATCCAGATTTCAGGCTCTGATATCTGGCAGACCGTCAAGCAGCCGCGCATCCTACAACACGTTTTCGTGACTTTGGTGTCTATGACTGGCTTCTCGGGTTTGACCCAGTATACACCCAGCATGATCAAAGCGCTGGGCTTCGGCGCCGTCAAGGCAAACGCGTTGGCTTCCGTTCCTGTCTACTGTAGCATGATCTGGTTGATTGCTCTGTCTTTTGCTGCGTGAGTGCTTGCTATGACCGTTATGACAACGAAACAGATTCTAACTCCTACCAGCGACAAAACGAGACACCGTGGACCCTTTGTGCTGTTGGCTATCACTTGGAATGTAATTTCCTATGCTTGCCTTCGTACAAGTAACCCCCATGCTTCGCAATGGCACCGGTATGGCGTTATTGCCGTCGCTAACATCTCTTATTGCAGCATGCAGTAAGTTCCCTGTCCCCTGAGTCTATAACACGCTCTGACAAAATATAGTATTCTAAATGTCGGCTGGCTGTCATTCTACTGCCGTACACCCCAGGAACGAAGTGTTGCCATGGCGTTGGTGGTCATGGCTGCTAACTGTGCTGGTATCGCTGGCTCGCAGATCTTCCGCACTTCCGACGCCCCGAAGTACTTGCATGGTCTCACTGCCATCTGCGCCATTGCTGGTGCCTCATGGGTTCTCACGGTTGTGCTTTGTGTTCAATATTATTTCCGCCGGCAAAAAGCGGCTCCTTCGGATAAGGGAGTGGAGGCGAAAGCTTGACAAAATTGGCGATAGATGGGCGATTATGAATAATTATGAAGATTCTCCACTAGTATAAATATGTGTCGAATCAAATGCATTTCCATTCTTTTCTTGAACTCCCTAACTAACCCAATCGATCCTGACCAATGCAAAAACAAGCGTGCCGGCTTGGCATTTTTAAGTCCGACGTCATGGATGCATGGATGTAAGGGGTAAGCATCTTAAATCCTTAGGGTAGGTCAATATGGTGTTTTATACTTTGACAAAATATGTATCTGATATCACCGACAGTATTACTTACCCGTTTATCACCGGCTGGTGGTGGTTTACAATATATTTGCTTCTAAATAAAATCTCTTCGCCGGACATAACACAAATTAAGACCGTGATGACAACCCACTCGGTGATAATCCACTCGATAATAACCCACTCGACGGGTCAAGTGGACCTTTTCTTCACATCGATGACCACGTCGCCACAAAGCAAGATTCGCAAGAACCCTCCGAGACGGAGCTCGATCTCTCCGCGTGGATGGTTTAAAGAATGGAGGACCCTGCAGGAATACCTTGTAGATCATATCCATTGAAACCATTGAATCCGAACTTTATACTTTTTTATCCATTTTTATTATGTCTTCCACCGATTACAAGTTCGAAGGCTGGGTAGGCCTCAGCCCCGAAGCCGCCGAGGGAAAGATGGTCTGGCAGGAGTTCGAGCCTAAGCCATGGGAGGAGACCGATATCGATATCAAGGTTACTCACTGTGGTATCTGTGGCTCAGATTTGCACACTCTGCGCAGTGGATGGGTATGACGCATCCCTGTTGAACATGTTCGGAATTGAATCAAGTTGCTAATAGCCGTATTCCACAGGGACCCACCAACTACCCTTGCTGCGTTGGCCACGAGGTCGTTGGAACTGCCGTCCGCGTCGGATCCCAGGCTGAGGGAGATATCAAGGTCGGTGACCGTGTCGGTGTCGGCGCCCAGAGCGGCTCGTGCCAGAACAAGGATGGGGACTGTGAATCCTGCGCGTCTGGTCTCGAACAACACTGCAATAAGCTTGTCGGTACCTACAACGGTACCTATGCCAATGGTGGCAAGTCGTACGGTGGTTACTCCACATATAACCGCTCTCCCTCGCATTTCGTGATCAAGATCCCGGATGCTATCTCATCTGCCGATGCCGCTCCTATGCTCTGCGGTGGTATTACTACCTACTCACCCCTGAAGCAGAACGACTGCGGTCCCGGAAAGACCGTTGGCGTAGTTGGCGTTGGTGGTCTTGGTCACTTTGCTATTCTGTTCGCCAAGGCACTCGGTGCTGACCGCGTCGTCGCTATCTCCCGCAAGTCTGATAAGAAGGCCGATGCGCTCAAGCTCGGTGCGGATGACTTCATCGCTACCGGCGAGGATGAGGATTGGGCTACCCGCCACGCTAGCTCTCTCGACTTGATCATCTCCACTGCCTCCTCTTCTAAGATGCCTATTGTCCAGTATTGTGGACTTCTGCGTGTCCGCGGAACCTTCATTCAGCTCGGTGTCCCTGAGGATGGCGCTCTTGAGATTCCGGCGTTCGTGCTCATCCTTAAGGGTCTGAAGCTTGGTGGCTCGGCGATCGGTAGCCCTGGTGAGATCCGGGAGATGTTGGAATTGGCTGCTGCCAAGGGCATCAAGCCTTGGATCCAGGAGCGCCCAATGAAGGATGCCAACCAGGCCATCGTGGATATGGAAAATGGTGATGCTCGTTACCGCTATGTTCTCACGAACGAGCAGTAAATCGATCAATTATGAATGAGTGATGAATATGTAAGACAAGTTCACTTTTAACTGATGGGCGTTTCGGCAATGTATAGAAGCAGTTAGATTTAAAGAGGAATGAGAAGACCAACGTTTTGTATATGCATCTTGTTGCGGTGGAGGATGTTTAAAGCAGTAGAAATTTATAAATCTCTCTGTTTGCCGCCAGGGTCCTCGATTCATCGCGACGATGTCATCATCACTTACCGATTTATTTGAATTCTCCACCTGGGCAAGCCTGAATTCTCCAAGCAATTACTTTTCCTTCGCATTATCCTGAATGAGTTCTCGAGACTAATTTCTCTTACGCCCTCCGCAATATCCAGGTGAGTTTGTCACCTATCAAGGGCGTACGTCCATTGTGTATACTGGCCACAGGTTATATAGCTAGGCACTCCCCGTGTTAAACTAACTACAAATTACTCTTTGACTAACTACATCCCCAGGCAACCAAATTAGCAGGGTAGAACTTAAATATTGCTCAATACTCTGCGACCTTACGTATTGCGATGGTTTCCGCTGTAGTTCTCACACCATCCTCCATGGCGTCAAGGATGACATAAAAAAAGCACGTTGATTCGAACACCGACCTGTAAGCATATTCTGATTTATGATACTATGAAGATCAACAGAATGAGAATGTGTGACAATTTATACATCCTTCACTTTTGAGACTCGGTGTCTTAAAAGTTTCAACGCCCTTCTACTGTGCTTTATATACGGTCCGATATGTTGCCAGAGCAGGAAGAGGACAGTCCAATTTCGCCCAGTCGAAGCATCCAAATATGCCAATTGGAAGTGGAGCATGATTGGCTTTTCACTATGATTTAGGCGTTGAGTGGTTCACCCGCGGTCCTTCCCGAAGAAGGTAAAGAAGACATGGAGGACATTCTTCGAAGCGGTGATGAAGTGAAAGAAAGGGCCTCAAATTCGTTTTGTTGAAGGCACCCATCTCACTCTCATTGATCTCCCTTTCATTCATCTTGCTTTCATTCATCTGGCTCCATTCTTTGTGACCATTCAACCCCTGAAAACGTCACCATGAAGACGCTTGTTACGCTTGTTTCCAGTTGCAATCAAACATCATTGAAGGTTTCTAGACTTCATATCACATACCTTTCCTTCAAGCATCCCCAACAACTCATAATCCCAGTATAACCAATCCACCAACGCCAAATTCCACCTGTTCAGGTTGCACGGTCCCTCCATTCACTTCAGAGACCCTACTCTACGGGCTTTCAAGAGGCAATCTCGGGACTGTGGCTGTTGCCTCGAAGGCAACCCCAAATAAAGACAATCCGTACGGGTATGACCTCTTCCTCCGACCGCACTATTCAAGCTAACCACTCCATGTGCCAGCTTGGGCCTGCATAGAAAAAAGGAACTGTTGCTCAGCATATCTACTCCTGTCGAAAGGGTTAATAATTAGGAGCAATCACTCACAATTACTTTATTCCCGTACCCAACATGAGCGCTCTTCATGGCCTCGTCGACGATGAGGGTTACTACATCAAGTTTCATACAGTCCTTGAGACTGGCGATGCAGCAGTCGTTGTTCAACGGGAGGACTTGGCAATAAAAATGGCAATTGTGTACAAAAATAATACGCTGGAGGAAGTGGAAGAAAACCGCAGCAAGATCCGACGAGAGCAAGAAGTCTGGCGGCGCATTCAGCCTAACTTCAATACCCCAGTGGAAGGCATCGTTCATTGTCTCGATCTTCCAGGAGATACCATCGAGATGAGATACATGTCCGGAGGTACACTTTCAAAGTGGCTGCAACACAGGGCACGTCCCAGCATTGAGCTTCAGAAGCGGTGGTTCCGCCAGCTCGCCAACGGTCTCCACAATCTTCATCAACGTCGCGTCATCCACAGTGATATTCTCAGTCGCAACATTCTGCTTGATGGTTCGTTGAACGTCGCAATTTGTGACCTCGGTGCGTCGAGTGTCATGCCTATCGACACTGTCATGGCGAACGCCGTGGATGATTATAATTGCTCCATCTGGACGGATCTTTGCCAGCTGGGCATCGTGTTCTATGAGATAGTCACTGGGAGACGGGCCAGTGTCAGTCTCTATTACAACAGTGGCATTGATGACTCTGTCGCTAGGTTTCCATCCCGGGATATGCTCCCTGCTCTGGCCAAGCATATCTGGGCCCGGGATATTATCGAGACCTGCTGGAGAGAGGGAGGATATGGGGCGGCAGGTGCGGCGGGGATTTTGGCCAAGCTGGATAAAATGCAACGCCCGCGCCGCCGCCGTTGAGATGTATCTTCGATTCAGTTTTGTGTGAGAGTATGGTTCTCGAGGGCTCCACCTGAAATGAGAATAAGTATCACCATCAACTCTCTTTTGTAACGTGTTTACATTGGCTGTCCTCCGGGAAAGTAGATACCCCTTGTTGATACTTTGTCAATACTTCGCAGGTGATACGCTTCCACATCGATTGATAGATGTATAAACTTTTGGATTGCATTGCCACAATGTAGTGCGTATCTACTACCTTAGAGCCATCTAGACGAAAAATAATCGTTCCCTGTTACGACTATAAAAGCATTTATGTTCGCTAACTATCCAGCCTACCTTTCCTGTCGTTTTAATTATTTTCGACTGAGTTTCTTGCCCCCAAACCTTTAGTATTTTCTTACTTTGCTATCACTTTGACCAAATCAACTGTTGCCAGGATGTTTAAATTCACCTTCTACCCCGTCAGAATGGCATTTGATTGGACTATTGTTGGAAGGTATATGACGCATTTTGACAGGGAAAGGTTATTCAAGTCGGTTCGAGTTTTAGACCAAGAAATTAGGTTGATGATTGAGTGCTTTAAGTGCATAAACATGACCGACCTTATGAAGGGAACAAAGAAATTCCTTTGACAACGACATGTTAACTGATGGACTGTCCGATTCAACAATCAGATTCATGATAGATATGGAGATCGGTCCCCAGCGATGGCTCCTTTAAAGATTACTCTAAGATACAACGACCCTTCCCGTACTATGCTTTGACTTCAACGTGAACGCCAATGTCGGGATCTATGTGAGTGTGCTCAGAAGCCGTAAAATCACTGCCGGGTCATATTTCCCACATAGTGGAGAGCTATGTTTGAACAAACGAGCGGAGATGATCTACATTCTGGAGCGGGTTTGTAGGGATCACCGGTCAGCTCTCTCTTTAACAAGCAGATAGGTTCGATCGTATACTTCTCAACACTGGGCTCTACATTGCGTCCTCTTGGTAGACTGCACTCATACAGTTACGACCGTAAATGACATCTGAGCCTCCTGTTATTGTAAGAGACCTCTTGGGTGCATTCGTCATTCCCTAATCCTACTATAGCCTCTAAATTTGAAGTTGTGGTAGGCGCCGGGTCTTGCAGTGTGCGGCAGGTGATTGATTTGACGTTACCGTTGCCGCCGAAGCCCAGTGGAAAACGTTCGACGAGCTCAACGTTCGACATATTGCTTTTGCCGGCAATATATGCCAGCCGGTTAGAGAAACATACACCCGGATTTTGTGGGATGCCTTCGCTGTCCTTATCCTATTGTGGCTAGTGGCGCACAGGCTCTGTGGTGTTTGTTGGAACCCCGGCAACATGGCTTGACATCATCCCCTTGAATAGTCTGTCACTGTCTGAAATATTCTCGGAAACATCACACAAGAAATGGTGTACTTCGCGTCACTCTCATACCTTCGGGTTCACCGGGTCGGTCTGCTCCTCGTTGGGGCTATGCCTCTTGGCCGTTCCCTTTTGTGTGTCTTTCTTTTGTACGATGCTTTGTTATCCGGGGGTATGTGTACTCGGCAAAAATCATAAGAGGCGGGGATTAGTAGTCAGAGGTCAAGAGTAACGCAACGAGTTATTTGGCAATGGAGATGTAGTCCAGTAATGCCCATGCGACGCGTAAATCTTATTCCGAGGGGCAAAAGGCTTCGTAGGTGAAAGTTTCCATCTTCGAAAATATGAGACTGATCATTAACAGGGAGCCGTAGTGACTCGAAGCCGACTCCAAACGCAGGGAGATGTAATGGTACTGGCCGCCTGAGGTATTCATGTACATAGAGGTGAAGTCTTACAGCAACCTTGGAAACCGACTGGGATTAGATGAGGTAAGATTGGCAGGTGTCTATATATAGCTGATCACTCACTTTACATCTTCTTCCTTCCTCTCTCCACACCACGCTTCCATCACGTTCGTCCGGCCGGTGGGGGATTTCAATGGGCCTCGCCCTAGCTTGGTCATCGCGAGCCAATTGGCCGCACCAGAATGTATACCTATTCAGGTGAAATGAAGAAGACAACATGAAAAAATGCTTGACTAAAATATAGCCACGGATGGAAGAGGCATTGGGCCTTCCACATATCAAATTCCTCATGAGGATGCCAGCGAGTGGGATTCCACCAAATGATGAGAGCGGTAGGTTGTTGGGCCCGGCGGGCCAAATAGTGCAACTGGGCCAAAGGCCGCTTGCTCAAATTCTAAAAAGGGCACCAACCATCACCACCAAAGCGGCCTGCAGACAAACAGGGAGCCCGTCCTGAAAAAAAAACAAAAGACCAGGGCGTACAAGATGCACTGCCCCCCAATAGGGCCGAGATTGACGACCACATCAGCCAAAAGAATTCGAACATGAAGGCCTTAATCGCCCAGGCCGTTGGGGAGGTGGCTTACCCCAAAAGACCTGCAAAAGTTGCCAGAAAGGGGACGGTCGGTTCTGGGGATGTGTCGTGGTACCAACACTGGCGGGAAAGATGGCCGATTGTGCGAACTGCCAATTTCTTGGCAACGGAAAGTGATCGGCTTCGGGCCATTTCAATCCGATATTGACCTGATTCTCGGTGACTGAAAGAGAAAGATGCTTTCAGGCAACCGATCGATGTTTGTAGCCCTACGGAATAATATGAAGGCCAAAGCGGATATCACAGTGAGTTATTGAACCGGCGCATTGTGAATGCTACACAATCAGACATGTCTCTCTTCCGAGGACACTCTCCTTGAATAATAGATTGAATGGCCCAAATTGTTGTAAGATATATTCATCATGAGTTCTACCTACCCATTGCAGCATCAATTAAGCGTAATTGGTGCTAGATTCCCGTCACTGTGTGGTGGAGAATTTTTTAACAGCCTGTATTTCAGGCAGGTATATGACCTCTGTGGCGGTTGCTCACTGTATACAGCATCTTGGGGGATCCTATGAGCCGCTACTCGGTCCACCGTTCCCGATCCATTGTGTCAACCAGTCGCGATGTTGAGGGTAATACGCAGTGTCTCAGTCGCCTGTTGGTTTTTGCTTCAAATCTCCTGTTCAGCTAATTAAGTTTCATCATGTCGCTTCACATGTCTGATTGTCAGACTGGGAATTGATCTCGAAACTCGGTCTTCACGATTAAGATAGGATGATGGTATCAATTGAGACCCGCGGGGTTATCGACAAATGCGGGGGCGAAGATACACGGGTCGGGCCGTGCGTGTCTCTCCACGGATCGCCGAAATCATAAATTGCATCGAATGCATTCCAAGGTTGTATCTATACCTACGTATGTAGGTTCAGATCATAAATAATGATTGCATTGCATATGGGAGCAGACGGTAAGGAATGTGAGGGATAAGAGAGAGAGAGAGAGACAAGTATGCCAAGATGTCTCGGGAAATTAGGGACCTATCGGCCATCTGACTGTGCCCAGGAAGCCAACACTAACTAAGCAATTGAAGTATAAGTGATCAAAGCTTCTTTTGGTGAAGTTTTTTTATTTGATGATGCGCCGGAGGAAGTTTATAAAATTATTTATATGAACCGAGCATCTCCGAGTCTGAGCTAAGCCGACCGTCCACAGACGACCGTCCACAGACCCTCCACCTCAAAGATTACAGTCCCGATACCGCGGGGGCCAAGTACTAATCCAGGCTTAATAGGCCGAGCTACGAAACGCAATCAGGTACAATTGTTGCTCGCTGTCCGCGGATTGGTTAGCCACCTCGGGCATTTTACACCTAGCTTTCTTATTTCGGTATTCGCTTTTGGGGGGCCTTATAGCCACCGGACGCTCCCGTCTTCAGCTCTTTTTATGGCGATGCTTATCTCGTATCTGACACCGAGTGCCTACCGAGCGCCTAGATTGTAGTTCGAGTCAAACACATAACCATGATGTATTTTATCTCGCATGTTATTTTAGACATAATCCCGGTTAATTTGATGGTTTTCCCGAATATTTCCCTTTTTTTCTTTACTCTGATATTCAATCCAGAGCTGTACCTGGATTTCCGCGGCCTGGGCTATTTTTATATAGTTTACTGGCTGAAGTCTCTCACCTTTAAGAGAAGGAAGGGCTGGAAGTGTAACCTTGTCAGCAATGCCAACCCCTCGTATTATAAACGAGGAGTCCACCATATGGCATCATTCGCATTAGTATGTACTAATTTAGTACTAACTTAGTGCGGCACCAACCTATCTTGACGCGGCCATCGGTTCCAGGGTGTGAACTCAAGACACGAGCAGTCGAACGTCCAAAGGCCTAGAGATCCAGGTCTCTATACGATGTACTCCGTCCTCCATTAGCGGTTTTGGGCGTTGAATTCTCTCTTAAATATCAACCTTTGACATTTACAGTTCTCTGGAAGCTAGATTTAGGGAAATAGTTGGAGGTATATCTTTTAGATTATGGGGGCTTATATGCTTTGAAGTATACCCAAGGTAAGCACTACATATGTACTATGAGCTACCCGTGGACATACGAACATTACATGCACTCCCTTTTTCCCTACCTATTATAGACGGAGTGAATTTAGTATTAAATTTATTTTTTCACCAACATCAATTTAGACTCCAATATCACTCGGATCCACTGGTGGAATGGTTGAATGATATTGGTCAGGGGGTTGTTATCTAATTGGGGCTAAAATGCTATCCCCCACCTGGGCAGCATTTGCACCGTCCTCTTTTCTACATACAACCTCCAATATGACTACAATAAAAAGCCACCAACTCCCCCCAGATGTGGAGTCAAATAATCATCTCCTTTTTTTGAAAGATGCCCTTATCCGAGCCCCGCCAAATCAAGAAACCCCGGTTATCGCTCAGTTGCATCGTCTGTCGACGACGCAAGGTTCGCTGCGGTCGCGAACAGCCAGAATGTGCCAACTGTGTGCGCCTGAAGGAGAATTGTGTCTATAGGGCTATGGTCCGTGACGAGTCCACCGGCCGTGTACGACCAGTATCCCCGCAGGACAGAGAGTCTAGAGACTCTACATCGAATGCCCGCCCAGACCTCGCTTGGCCTCATTGGGCCCGAGACACCAATACGCCATATCCCGAGAAGCCGTCTAGACCTCCTTCTCGTCCTCAATTATCCGCCAATGCCAGTCCTTCCCCACATCGACAAGAGCCATATCCAACAGTCCCTTCATGGGAAGAGGCCATCCAACTCCCCAGTTATCGCGACGCGAGTGCTCCTCAAATTCGTGGTAGCTCGGCAACGACGCGGGATCCTTCCCCTGTGCCATCAACAAGCTACTTTCCGACCCTCAGTGATCCCCTTTGCCGCGATTATTTGAGTATACGACGAGGTGGCCGCGTACGATATGTTGGTCGGACTTTCTGGGGGTTCGTTGCCGGAAAGGTGAGTCTGGCTAGTGAAACAAACAAAGGAAAAAAAAAGGAAATGCACTCTGCGACGGGATGCGTCGCCCGGCAGGACCATGACTGACCACAGCTGATGATCCTATAGGAAAGTCTGAGTGATGATTTCTTTGATAAAAACCGTTATGCCCACCCCGATCTCCCCCTTCCACATATTTCCTCTATGGGCATGTTTAATCTCCTCCGGTCGCTGCCTACTAAGCCCGTGAGTGATACCCTGCTCGAGACGTTTTTCCTTGCCGTATGGCCACTGGCTCCTCTCCTACACCCGCCTTCCCTACAGGCAGATTACGACGAGTTCTGGGAATGGTGTCGGAATAGCGAGACTGCTTTACCCTCGGATAAACTCCGCGATGACCCAACCTTGATCTGCCTTCTCTTTGCAGTTCTGTACTGCGGCGCATCTGCCGCGCCAGTAGCTAGCTGGGCAAACACCAACCTCCAGGGTCTACAGAAGGAGACGACGGTGAGCCACCTCAAGTCGGCATATACGACCAGTCTTTCTCTATGTCATCATCTGGAACATCCAACATTAAATACACTAGTTTCAACTTTGCTGACGGGACCGTTCTTGGATCGGCCATTCGAGCCCATGCGTAGTTTGGTTAACGTGAGCACCACGGTGCGCATTGCCCAGACTATGGGGTTACATCGGGAGGCAACATGGTCTGCGCTGAGTGCCGTTGATCGCGAAATCCGACGTCGGGTCTGGTGGCACATTGTTTGGCTCGATGTGCAGTCGAGCATCTCCACGGGGCTGACCCCCTGTTGTGGGAACGAGGCCTTGGAGGCCGTCAGCATGGTTGACACTCTCCATGAAGAAGCAAGCAATATCCCTTCCGGACTTTCCCCGGGGATCGATTTTGTGACCAATGGACAATCAGTGGCCATACTATACGCTATCGGACGCTTCCAGACTGCTCACTTACAAGCGAGGATCGTGGCGCACCTGCAGAGCGTGCGGGGTCGAACCCAGGATGGATTTGGCGAGCTGGTCACAGATGCCAAGGAGCTTCTGCAGAAGATCGACTCGCTTATCGCACGCGTTCCTACCCAGGGAATCCCCGAAAGGGGTTACATCCCATCCCGTCTGGCGAATGCATCTCCGTCCACGCACCCCTTATTGTACAAGGACGATTCAAGCCAGCCAACCGTATTTGCAGCATGGACGCGAATTATGCTCACCTTACTAAAATCGGAAATAGCCATTATACTGCAGAAACCATTCCTAGCACCACTAGACAGTGCGAATCCGCAATCATGCAAGTCATGGACCAGGTATGAATCATTTCTCCCTACATCTCATCCATATCCCTTGTACTCTGGTGCATCCTGCCCAGCTTCAGTAATTATCCATTCACATTGATTCTTCACCATATTGTTATTTCACACTTATTAACCCGCGATTTGACTGTTCAGCATGGCGCAGCTCTGCGTGAATTACTTGCGTATTTACCTGCAGCTGTATCAAGCTCCTGCGTTCTCCCCATACGCTTGGTTCTGCTGCACCCACTATGGGCCTCTCCAATGCGTATTCATCACCCTAATGTACCTCCATTACTTCCAGGACTCTGGAGAGACCATGCTGGCCCGATATTGCGTTGATGAGGTTATACATCACTGCGTCGCCCAGTATCAAGCTCCAGATACCTCCTCGGCGAGGACCAGCCCCGATGATGCTGATTCCAATGGGGGCAAAATGTGGATGCCATTGGCCATCCAGGTTCTCGTTGACCTTCATGAACGCCTCGACTCCTCTCTCGGCCCTGAAGGCAGGCCCCCGGCATTGGACATGATCGAGTGTCAGGCCCGCTTTCCTACGCCCCACCTTGCCACCAAGGCGTCCGGTTTGCGCGCGACATCCGACCAGCCCTCTTCTGATGCATCCTCTACCACTCGCACCAACCTCAATTGTGATACCCCACCCATAAACGCAGGGCCTCCTCCAATGGCTGCTGGTAACAAACCAGTCCCGCCGACTAGCGTCTTTGTGGCGGGGAGTGATTCGGGCTTAGATATGGACTTCCTTGCTACGATTTCGGATCTTGAGGCGTGGTCCTCGTCCTTGATCTTGGAATCCGACAATCTCCTCCCACATCCTGATAATGTAACCCCTGATCATGCTGTAATCACAGGGTTAGGCCCAGACAGTACGGCATCTGGTCGCCGTGACCTGCATGAAGGACTTGATTTCCCAGTGTAATAGGGTTATGATACGTGGTCTTATTTTTTGCTTTTCCTTTTCTTATCCTAAGTCAAAATAAATGTATAGATTCTACGAGCAATTTTGATAAGCCTGCTTCATCCAATTACATGTTTCTGTTTCGACTTGATCGCACGGGAGATCCCGACCCCCTGCGAGCCTGTAATACAGGATGCCGCATTATCCCTTTACAGACTGCGCTACTGCACCACCATTTAGCGAGATCTCACCTGCATAAAGGTGCATATAAGCATCCCAATACGGACATTTTGGTACCGTGCAGCCTTCCAATCATATTGCATGAATTGCATCCTTCAGAAACGCCATGTGGCGTGCACACTATCGCCTCCACCGTCCACACCCCCGTGTCGAGGTTAGTTAAAGTATAATATATATACCACCATCGGCCGAATAATCAACCGTCAGCCTTGTGCCAGCAGTGCTCGGACTTTTGCTCTCGGCCTAACAGCTTATGGCGTCGCATACTGACATAGAATATCGGACTCGGCCCGCGCGAACTCGCGCAGAATCGTCTCGGCCCTCGCAGAAGAGCGAGGAGAAACTTTACACTTGTACGCTCGCGGACACACAAGGAACCCCTCGGTGTACCCTGTGATTGGATCGGTGTCGATTGCGACCGGCTGTCCCGACTCATTGAGCCCGGGCTCGAACTGGAACCCCCATAGGAGCTTCGCCGCTCCGATGAACATGCTGCGCTCCGACAGATGGATCCCTGGGCAGAGCCTTCGTCCAGCCCCGTAGATGAAGTGATCTCGCCGCATGTAGTCCGGCGAGGCGGCGTAGTCCGAGGCCAGGTTATGTCGCCCTTCGTAATGGCTCGGGTCGAACCGGTCAGGGTTGGGGAATACGCTTTCATCGTGGTGGAGGCCCCACACGTTCAGAAAGACCGTGGTCCCCTTCGGTAGGAGATACCCATTGACCCAGTCATCTTGGCTGAGCGCGTGTGGGAATGAGAGTGGCGTCACCGGCCGCCAGCGCATCGTCTCTTTGACGATCATGTTGATATACGGTAGACGGCTGAAATCTGCCCATGTCGGGGATCGGTCTTCACCACAAACGGCATCGAGCTCGGCGCGCGCCCGCTCCTGTACTTCCGGATGTTGCACCAGCGCCTGGATCATCACCAGGAGCATCGTGGACCCAGTGTCAGATCCACCCTCCATCATCACGCCACCGAGGAAGTCGACCTGGTTGTCGGTGAGGTTTTCCTTCTCCTGTAGGTCCAGGACGTGGTCAATGAACGTACGAGCTCGGCTTTGCGAGCCCTGCTCAGCCTCTCGTCGTGCTTCGATCGCCCGTCGCCGGAAGGACCCGTACAACGCTTTCATCCCGCTGCCCACCTTTGTTGACCGATCGATCCAGTTGCCCAGCCACTTCTGGGGAATCCATTTCAGCCACGGGAAGATATCGACGGGCGGCGTGGCGCCGGTCTCCATGACCTTGGACCACTGCTCCATGATCTCGTAGAGTTCCAACATATGGGGTGTATCCCATGACGGGGTACGAATTCCATACAGTAGACTCATAATGATACTGTTGGTGGTGCGCTTCGTATGCAGCATGTGTTTCTCTGGATACAGGAGGAAGTCGCGCATCATCTGTGTGTGCTCGGCTTCCAGCAGCTTGACGTGCTCCTTCTCGCACATGCTCGCATTGAAGTGCTGGTGCACTGTCTTGCGGAATAGCCGCCAGGTTTCGTTGTTGTCCATAACGAGGAGATGGTCGCCGCCAGTTATGAGGTTCTGTCCAACGTAGGATGTTGGCCGTGAGCTATATAGAGCGCTACGCTTGTCGAGCAGTTCCTTGACCAGACCTCGATCGGTGATCACGGCGGCAGTGGCTGGGCCAATACGGAAGCTGTAGAGACCGCCATAGACTTTGGCCCATTCGGTGAATCTGTCAATGTTAGATGGGGATGTAGTTGATTTGGTAGATGAAGAAGAACCGACTGTTGATGCGCGCGCACACGCGGGATCTGGTGGATGTTGCCAATGAGAGGGAGGCCGGGTGGACCTGCACTTCATTAGCTCCAAGTTTTCTCACCTTTGATGAAGATCGAAAGATCAATGAAATAAGTACCAGGAGGTAGTTTGCGCTGTATTCTCCAACTATCCAAGACCGCTCGGAGAAAGAGCAACACCAGAACCAGGGCAGCCACGGTGGTTATATAAAAGAATGCCATGATAGTTGCTCAACACTTTTAGTCTAACTCATGGAGAGTTTCAAAATAAAGTGAAAACGAGGAGGCTCAAAGGGATACTAGACTATTGTATAAAGTGGCAGGGATATGAGAATATATTCTCCTGGGATACGAACGATCACCACAGGAAATCAAGTCGGCCGACCTCGTATGTTCGGATGTCCGGATGAGACACCAAATTGACCGAGATGAGACAATAAAGTGCTGTATACTTTCGAAGGGATATTGTTCGATTCTACAAGTCTTGTGTCCTCAAACTTCGTTTCTCTCGGAAACCTAATTAGCCCTAATATCGAACTTATATGTACGCTTTCTCGTATACGATCCTCCAACGAAGATGCATTTCTCTCCACTTACCCTTGTAAATCTATCTATCTACAGCCTAGCTTCGTAAAATGCTTCCCTGTTATCCTCCTCAATCCGGAATCGCGGAAATAATTCAACCGCCGCACCCCGGGCAATCTCCTCCTCCTTCTCTCCTCCTTGCCCAAGGAAATGCTCCATCTCCCCAACATACTTGTTAATTGTCTCCACCGGAGCATATGGGAAGTCACTACCATATAGCACATGGCCTGTCTTTGCAAACCCATTCTTGCCCACCAGCAACTCCAAATTCCCCTCGTTCCCAGAAAGCGCGAGATCGAGATAAAACCCCCTAGCCTGCTCCAGGAATCTCTCTGGGGTTATCTCGGTCAGACCCGCATCGTAAAGCAGGTTTGCTGCCCGAGTAGCGAGAATAGGCAGTGTACCACCTCCATGGGACAGAATGATCTTCACATCAGGGTTCTTGGAGATAGTCCCTGAGGTGATCAGATCGACCGCCGTTCGGCATGTCTCGTGCGGATAATCAATAATCGGCTGCGGTAATTTTGCATTGACCATCTCAGGTTTATTCTGGGCGTCTGAGGCGGTGTTTGTCGGATGGATGAAGACTATTGCCTTTCGGCGGTTCAGTTCCTCCCAGAGCGGCGCAAAGGCCGCATGACCGAGGTACCCGGTTCCACTATACCGAGTATACAGAGTAATGCCGTCAGCCTGGAGTGTGTCCAGAGCATAGATCGCTTCCTCGATAGCCGAGGGGATGGTTTTAGGTGTCAGATGTGGGAGGCTGGCGAAGAACCCGAACCGAGTGGGGTTTTCCTGGTGAAGTTGGAAGCCATAGAGGTTTATTTGCCGGGCGAGGGTGACCGAGTCTACTAGAGAATCGGATAGGATAGAGGTGCCCGGTGCGGTCAGGGAGAGAATGGCCGTGCGGGTGGAGTGAGAGGTCATGAGGGAGAGGGTCGATTCTGGTGTCCATTTGGGGAGGTGCCAGCCAGAGGGGTCACCAGGAGTTGAGTTGAAAGCTATGTTTTGGTTAATTATCTTTCTGGGGAGAAGTTAGGGCTCGGATTAAGATACCCTTGACATAGGCAGGGGGGATGAAGTGGTGGTGCACGTCGATGCGGTTCATGGTGACGAATAGATGGTTTTACTATATATTTGTATATTTGTGGGGATGAATGAATGCGAATGACTCGTAACATATATATTGATCATAAGGTCATAAGGTCTAAACCAACTATGCATCTGCGCGGCCGAGTAAGAACAAGACCGATCATCCTCGGCCGGAGGACATCTAGGCAGGGTAAGACTTGACGGTGTGACTCACTTCACACTCTGAAGCTCAATGTCATACTTGCCTGGTGTGATGCTCCATCCTCTAATGCAGCTCCATCTTCATATTTGCCAGGGAAACATCATATACTCGCACCACAAATAGCTCCAACAAAGACACCCCAGTCAAATACAAGCCCAGCTTGATATTCGACTTGAAAATCCGGCCTCCCGAGTGTCGATCCTTTAGATCCAACGATAGGATATGCCAGGGCACATTCACCATCCACACACCGAGTCCCAGCACCCAGAAAATGAGCGACATGTCTGCCCGCAGCGCGGTGACAGCAAAGAGCAATACCTGTAGAGCCCCCAGCACCGCCAGAAGGATCTGGACATTCTTCCCCATCAGCACGGCGAGTGACTTTACGCCAATCTTCTCGTCGTCCGGACGATCCTGTGTCGCATAGAAGACATCAAAGTAGACAACCCACGATGCTGTAGCGAAGAATAGAGGAAGTGCCTGATCCAGACCCTTCAGATCTCCAGTAATCCCAACCCATCCAGGGAATACGGCGCCACCGATTATCGCCCCCAGGACGACTTGTGGGAATGGCATGATGCGCTTCATAAACGGGTAGATGGTGCTCAGTACCCATACGGGAATGAAGCCCGCTGTGACGGCCGGACCCAATGTGCCCCAGGTAACGGCGAGTGTGATAGGCAACCAGCAGATAAAAGCCACGATGGCCTCGGAGGTGCTGATCATCCCAGCTGGTAGCGGTCGAACCTTGCATCGCTCGACGTGTTTGTCCAGTTTTTGGTCACAGATATCGCTAATATACTGGTTAGTGGAAGACAAGCACACTATCGAGCTTTTCACACTTACTTGAATGTACAAAATGCACAGTGTGTAGCTGTCACGCTGGCCCAGATGCCAAAGAGTAAACGGAGGAATGGCGCGAGTTCCAGTGAGACATCTCGCATGCCTGCGGCCACACATGCCCCCCAGATGGCAGGATACCAACACAGCCAGGCTTCACGGGTGTGTAACCGGGCTAGCTCCCATACACCGCGAGCCACGTTGCGCTGGGATTTGGGGGTAATAGAGACCGTCATACTGATAATGGTATTCGGGACGACTGCCTCGGTGAAAGCAGTGTACAATGAAAGATCCTTATAAAAGACAAATTAGGATAATGAAAACCAACAGTTCATATTCCCGGTCGTCAAGAGATACATTTCAATGCACTACCTCTGTGTATCAGCCGGGGCTCTCGGGGTCGGTCTCGTTGGACCGAGTCGCGCCAGCCATCGCGTTAGGGTAGAGGAATCTCACCTCGGCCGACAGCTGACCACTTGAGACTATGCTATGTCGCCAGAGAGGCACACCGGCCGATAGTGGCCCAGTGAATGAGGCTGGAAACTGAAATAGACTTCTATTGGTGAAAGACGAAGTATAGAAGTATAAACATAGCGATATCGTAGAATCTTCACGTTAATATATAGACAAGGAGCTTGATTTGTTTGGATTCACTACGCGAGAGATTAAAATCTTCAGATCAACTTGTTGAATTGTTTTTCACCATAGAGTATACATTATACAGCATAATGATTCCTTCAACAAACAGCACAGAGGTCCTCACCCCCGCCGACGGCTCCAACGATAGCAAAGGCACAACGACTCCTGCAACCAGCACCGAGGACGCTGAAATGCATGATGATCTCCCCCAGAATGATACCCATGATGAGGTTGCCATAATAGGCATGGCATGTCGCGTCCCAGGAGACGTGAAGTCCCCCTCCGCATTGTGGCAGTTCCTCCTCCAAAAAGGTGATGCTTCAGGTGACATGCCTTCCTGGCGCTGGGATCCCTATCGACAGCGCCATCCTCGTAATGCCGCCGTACTGGCCCAAACCACCGCGAAGGGCTACTTCCTCAACGACATCGACCAGTTCGATGCTGCATTCTTCGCCATTTCCCCACGCGAGGCGGAGCAGATGGACCCCCAGCAGCGCATTGCCCTTGAGGTTGCCTGGGAGGCCTTGGAGGATGCAGGCATCTCTCCCTCCCATCTTGCAGGTTCAAACACTTCCGTATACATGGGTGTCAACTCTGATGATTATGCCAAGCTGGTCTTGGAAGACCTTCCCGATGTCGGTGCCCATATGGGCGTTGGCACGGCATACTGCGGCATCCCCAGCCGTATATCCTATCTGCTGGATCTGATGGGTCCCAGCGTTGCACTGGATGCGGCCTGTGCATCATCTCTAGTCGCGGTACACCATGCCCGACAGGCTATCCGTGCTGGTGAGACCGATCTAGCCATCGCAGGTGGTGTCAACGCACTCCTGGGACCCGGGTTGACCCGGGTGCTGGATGAAGCTGGAGCCATATCGGCGGATGGAAAGTGTCGTTCCTTCGACGACTCCGCTAGCGGGTACGGCCGAGGCGAAGGAGCGGGTGTCGTCATCCTAAAGCGTCTGGATAAAGCCCTGGCGGACGGTGACCAGGTGCTGGCCGTACTCAAGGGTACTGCGGTGGCCTCGGATGGCAAGACGCTTGGTATCATGGCACCCAATGCGCAGGCACAGCTTCTTGTTGCCCAAAAGGCGCTCAAAGAGGCAAAGGTGTCGTCTGACTCCATCAACTATATTGAGGCCCATGCCACCTCCACATCACTGGGCGATCCCACAGAAACGAGCGCCCTATCTGAGGTGTACGGTGTGGGATCCGGAAGGCATCCATCCGACCCGTGCTATATCGGTTCCATCAAGCCGAACATCGGCCATTTAGAAGCTGGTGCTGGTGTCATGGGTCTCATCAAGGCGGTGCTTGTGCTTCGCCATGGCCTGGTGCCTCCGCAGGCCAATCTGCAGACGTTGAATAGCAAGATCGCATGGAAGGAGAGCTTGTTGCGCCCAGCGCGCGAGCTAGTGACATTGCCCCATGGCAGCCCATCACGACCGCTGCGGGCGGCGATAGCATCGTACGGATACAGCGGCACCGTGTCGCACGCCATTATTGAGGCCTTTCCAGGAAGATCCTTATTCGCCGAGCGCCTAGCCCAGATCCCGGACAGTGAAGCTGTACCAGTCCTCCTTCTATTATCCGTGCCTCAAGCGAACCGAATCTCCACAACAGCCGGTGGCCTAAGCCAGTGGTTGCGCGACACTGATGGAGCGGTATCCCTGGCGACACTCGCCTCTACGCTATCGCAGCGCCGCGCACATCATCGCTTCCGCCATGCCATTGTCACTGATTCGGTCGCAAATGCCATCTCTACCCTCGATGATCTGACTAAGGATGTGCCAAATCGCTGGGCGATCAACGACCGAATCGGAACCGAGGCGGCCAAGGGCACGGTCTGGGTGTTCTCAGGCCATGGTGCGCAGTGGCCCGACATGGGTCGCGAATTATTCCACTCTAGTCCGGCATTCGGGGAAGTAGTTCGCAACCTGGAGCCGATCATTCAAGCCGAGTTAGGATTCTCCGCGATTGAAACCCTGCATGTCGGTTGTCCGGATCGCACTGATGTTATCCAGGCGATGACATTCCTCATGCATCTGGGTATTGCCGCCGTGCTAGAGGCCGAGTCCGGTCCTCCTACCGCTGTCGTGGGCCATTCCCTGGGCGAGGCCGCCGCGGCAGTCGTCTCTGGTGCTCTGACATGGCATGAAGCAGCGCTGGTAGTATGTCGGCGAGCGCGTCTTTATCGTGAATTCATAGGAGAGGGTGCCATGGCCCTGGTTCGGCTGCCGGCCTCTGAGGCCCGTGCTCGTATCGCCACGCACCCCGGCGCGTCCGTCGCAATCGAGGCATCGCCGACCGCGTGCATAGTTTCTGGCACTGTTGACGCGGTCCAGAACATATCCGAACAATGGCATGAAGAAGGTGTCGAGGTGCGTGCTGTCGCCACAGACGTGCCCTTCCATACACCACTGCTGGAGAAGCTGGCAGGCCCCCTCCGCGACGCGCTGAAGGGCGAGCTCCATCCTCAAGTGCCACATCGGGCGCTCTATTCGACTTCACTGCTGGATCCACGCTCAGATGTACCACGCGATGCGGAATACTGGGTGATGAATATGGTCCAACCGGTCCTACTGCAGTCGACAGTGGCAGCACTCGTGGACGATGGATTCCGTGCATTTGTGGAAGTGGCGAGTCATCCCATCATAACGCACTCGATCGTCGAAACTATTAGCGAGCAGACGACGGACCGGTTTATTGCGACCCCCACGATGTTGCGTAAACAGCCGGCGCTCAAGAGCATCTTGGCCGCCGTGGGCCGTCTGCATTGCTTCGGCTGCGCTGTGAAATCTACAGATCTTGACCCAACTGCGCCATGGAGTTCATCAGTGCCCGGTACAATCTGGCATCACCAGCCATTCTATCGCGCTGTGAGCGGGATGACGGCCGCACAACTGGCGCCAACACACAAGCCTTCTGCCAATGACCTGCTAGGTACTCGCACTGCGCTCTGGGGAACGGACGAGGTGCTTTATCAAACGCGCCTCGACGAAGACAATCGGCCTTTCCCCGGCCGTCACCCACTCCATGGGTCAGAGATCGTGCCTGCCGCTGTGCTCTTGCACACTTTCCTGCGTGCGCTCTCTCCCAGAAGCGTGGAGGAAGTGTCGCTCCAGGTGCCTGTAGTAGTGTCTCCGGCCCGCGAGATCCAGATCCGGCATAACACGCGTAACATCACTATCACATCTCGTCTAGAAGAGTCGACAAGCAATGAAGATGGCTCGTGGCTGGTTAATACAACCGCGAGCGTGGGCGCAGCTGATGCAGTACCCTCTCTCGATCACGTCAACATAGCGGAGATCGAGAAAAGACTGCCACAGAAGCTGTCGGACAGCTTCTCGATGGATTACCTCGCCTCTGTCGGTGTGTCTGCCATGGGATTCCCATGGAGGGTAGCTCACCATGTGGCCAGCGACAATGAGATGCTAGCCAGGGTAGACGCCAATCCGAACAGCCTGCCTGGCATGGACGATCTTTTGACGTCCGTCATGGATGCAGCAACGTCCATCGCGTCGACCCTCTGGCACCGTGAGCCCCGACTCCGCATGCCCACAGCCGTCCGTCGCGTCGTGGCTGTTGACGTAGCCACCCCGCAAGTTGTGTACATCCACTGCACGAAGGCACAATCCTCCGTCGAGGCAGCTGACGTGATCATCAGCAGCGAGGATGGCACCGTGCTGATCGAGGTTCAGGGTATGGCCTTTGCCGGTGTCGAGGGTGAATCGCTATCGCGAAAAAGTACGTCTGGCCTGGTGCACCAAATCAGCTGGCCACCTGCCGCTCTGGTTGAAGAACCGCTGGAATTCACCCACATCGCCTTCCTGGCACCAGATGTCACCAACGCTCACGTTGAAATTTACCAGAGACAGCTTGAGAGCAAAGGTATCTCTACCTCTATCCATGAGCATGCCTCTGACTTGCCCTTGGCAACTTATTGGTCTCTGGCGGTCGTCTACATCCCTCAAGTCACCGATCAAATATTTGAGACTGCCACCAGCGCCTGCGATGGGCTCGTCACAGCAGCCCAGGTCATTCTGTCCTCCTCGAATAAGCCCACTGTGCGCCTCTTCGCCCTCACCTCCGAAACCAACCTAGGCCACAGCGCCCTCACAGGCCTCGGTCGTATTCTGCACACCGAACACCCCGAAATCTGGGGCAGTCTCATTGACCTCGAAGACCCCTCGGTCTTCCCACTCGTGGCAATGCGCTACGTGCGTAACGCTGACATCATCAAGATCCAGGATGGGGTTCCGCGCACTGCTCGCCTGCGCCCACTCCGCCCCGCCCCGCTCCAACCAACAGCCGGACCAGCTGCTCTCACGTTCTCCCCAGCATCCACATATCTAATCACAGGCGGACTCGGCTGTCTCGGTCTCTCCGTAGCCCAGTGGATGGTCAGCCAAGGTGCGAGACGTATCCTGCTACTCTCTCGTCGCTCTCTACCGCCGCGCTCCACCTGGGCCGCCTCGCATAAACCCGAGACCCAGTCTATCATCCAAAGTATCCTCTCTCTTGAACGCCTCGGCGCCACTATCTACCCTCTGGCCATCGACATCTCCCATCCATCTGCGGTGACCAACCTTCACTCGGCCCTCAATACACTCAACCTGCCACCTGTCGCCGGCGTAGTTCACGCCGCTGGCATCCTCCGCGACCAGCTTATCGAGCAAATCACCCCAGATGCCTTTGAAGCTGTCCTCGCGCCGAAGATAGCAGGCGCTTTGGCGCTGCACACTGTCTTCCCTCCCAACTCCCCTGACTTGGACTTCTTCGTCCTCTTCTCTTCTTGCGGCCAACTCCTGGGATTCCCGGGTCAGGCATCGTACGCGAGTGGAAATTCGTTCTTGGACGCTTTGGCACGGTCACGCAGAAAGGAGGGCGATAATGCCATCTCCCTCCTTTGGACGTCGTGGCGGGGCATGGGTATGGGAGCTAGTTCCAATGGGGCCCTGGAGGCAGAACTGTATGCTCGCGGAATTACGGATGTAACTTCGGACGAGGCGTTCCGTGCTTGGAGTTCTATCACTGCCACTGAGGGTGCCGATCATGGTGTGGTTCTTCGTGCTCGGCCGCTTGAATCTGGTCAGCCCCTGCCACATGCCATTCTGAGGGATATTGTAACGAGGAAAGAGAGAGTCGCGGATGAGGGAAATGGGGAGAAAGGAAAGGAGAGGAAGAAGTTGACTGGCAAAGAATTGACGGAGTATTTGCGCGTCGTTGTGAAAAAGTGTGTGTCGACGACACTATCGATCCCCGAGGATGAGGTAGACGAGACAGTAGCGTTGCCGGAGATGGGTATGGACTCTGTCATGACGGTGAACTTCCGCATGAGCTTGCAGCAGACGCTGACGGTCAGTGTTGGACCAACTTTGGTGTGGAAGTACCCTACAGTGCATCATCTGGTTGAGTATTTCTGCCAGGTGCTGGATGAATAGTTCAGATATTGTACTGTCGAATGTATGTATATATATAGATGTTCTATATACTTCTTTCATCCTCGCAGAACAGAACTAGAAACGGTCCCACGAACTATATAGACATATTGTCTCATAAGACATATCAACCTCGTCTACAACCATAGAAAATAGACCCCCAACGATAGAAACGACTCCTAGGGACAGCTTCATTTACACCTAATCCTCCCGCCGTTTCGTCAACGCCAGGAACTCTCCATGAAACTGCGGCACGACCATATCATCCCACTTCATATCCTCCACGGTTGTCCCTACGAGGTCCAAATCGAATCGTCGCACAATATATGCAATGGCCATATACATCTCCATATAAGCCAGACTAAATCACACGTCCATTAGTCACATTTCTTTCTCGAAGCAAGGGGGGTAGATACTTGATTCCCAGACAAGACCGACTCCCTCGCGAAAACGGCACCAGGAACTTTGCTCTTTCCGCCGTCACCTCTGATCCCTGCAGCCAACGCTCTGGATCAAATACGCGGGGGTTCTCGAACAGAGTCTCGTTGTAGTGGATATGGTAAATGGCCATTCCCACCCGAGTTCCCGCAGGGATGAACCGGCCGTCCGGAAGACGGACGCCACCCGGGGGAACGAGACGAGGAGTGCGGGAAGCTGCAGGAGAAGAGTATCTGAGGCCTTCTTTTATCACTGCTGTCTGTTTTGTATCATATCAGCGTTAGTTTAAGTGCTTTACATGGTGTGCCCTCTTCGGAGTGAGGAAGGGGGTAGAAAGTACGAACCAGATATGGCAGCGCCTCGAGCTGTAGATAGGAGGCATGGGAATTAGGTGTTGGCATGACAGTTTTCAGCTCCGCTAGGAGACGGTCATGGACTTCACGGTCATTGAAGATATTGAAAAGTGTGACTGTGTTGGCAATTCCGGTGGTATCGTCCCCGGCGGAGATCACGGTAAGAAGCTCATCACGGAGACCCTGTTTGTCGGGTACTGCATAGCCCTTCTCAGGAAGTGGAATGAGTAGACGCTCCATGAGAGTGGGGAAAGTAGGAGTTTTTCCCGCTGCCGCCGCGGCGATATACTCATCGATGCGACGAGCGGCGAACTGAAGAGATTGAATTAGTATACATGGCTTAGCTGGGGAAGGTATAAGTCGAGCTCACCTGTTCCAACTCGTGGCCCATCTCAACAGAATGTGAAATGCGCTTTGCGATCCACAGTGGCAGCGAATTGAGCAGTCTCACAAAGGGGAAAGCTTTGATGACATGTAGACTGGGGAGATACTGTTGGAAGACGCGCACAGGGAGCGACTTGAACTCCGGGTCGGAGAGGGCGTCGAGTGATTGACCGAAGGCAAACTGAGAGACCATGTCTGGGCCAGTCTATTAGATTACAAACGTGATGGGATCAGTGCAAGGATAGGATGCATACCCATTGCTAGAGACTTCAAAGCCCATTCCATCGAGACAGGTTTTCCCTGGGCAAAAAGCTCATCAAATCGTTTCGAGCAGTAGTCAACATGCTCCATCAGCATTGGCTCCAGACTGAGGATATTCTTCTTGGAGAACAGTGGCTCTAGTGGCGCCTTTCGCTGCTTGTGCCGCACCGGGTCACTCTCAGCCAGCGTGCTCGATGGTGCTCCCAGGACCTTGTGCATAGATGGGTCTTTGTAGTACCGACTACCCGGTCGGTATAGCTCATGGTAGAAGGCTGGATCATAGATATGCACCTCATTGGGACCCATGCGCAATGCAGGTCCTAGGCGCTTATGCATCTCTTCAAGCTTGAACAGTGTCTGGCCTTTATGGCCGGGTTTGAGGCCGATATTCCAATAAGCCTCCCAACTGCAGCTTATTGTTAGCAAGACGGCCTCGGGCACAGGAGAAACGTACGCACTATTCTCCTAAAGCCGCCCATGGCGAGCCTGGAAAAGCGGCCAGCGGACTGAAGAAGATCAGATAGACGGCACGAATGGCATGGTAGATGGCAAATGTGCCGGCTGCAATGAGCCAGAGGCTCACAGTAGGAACAGAAAGCAAAGCCATTGGTTTGTATTGACCAGAAATGATACCCAACTCTGGTCATTCCCATTTCTCTATCTGTCGAGTTGTATTTAACTGCGTTGCTTCTGTCGCGATCGGCCGAATACCACGCAGTTCCGATGACCGACAACGCCGAGATAGAAAAGTCACATAGACACAGCCAGGGCCGGACAGAAGATCTCCTGCTCTTCTCCAGTTCCTCTCAATATGGCTGACATGAATGCTTCGTCGTGGACAACCACGACTTTGGAAACGAAACCATTCTCCCTCGACAGTGGACACTATACAGCTCTGGCCTTCGTTCTGGCCGTCTGCATCCCCCAGGCCCCCCACGGAAGTGCACTTCGTTATGGAATATTTCTTCTCCAAATTACCTGCGCAGTACAGGCATTCATTGCGCCGCCACCCCCAGTACTAGACCGAGCTGTTCTCTACACGTCAGGTGTGCTGATGGGCAACCTGCTAGCACGCTACTTTGATCGACTATACACGACTGTCCCAGAAAAGACATTCCACCGCATCATCGACCCTCAAACCCCTGAGGATGGAGCCAGGCTTCCAGCACCTGAGCGCCTCTTCTGGGCCCTGGAACTCTTCAGTGTCACCCGCGGTATTGGCTGGAACTGGCGTGTCGCCGGAATTCCCAAATCCCCGGCACCAACAAGCAGATTCCAATTCGCTGCTTCCCAACTCCTTAGATGGATTGCCATGTACGCGGGTCTACATCTAGTCAACATGGCCTGTCAGCTCGTCTTGTCAAACCCAAACTCCATCCCCTCGCTTCCTGGCAATCTGGAAATCTACACCCTGATAGTCACCGGCTTCGCCATCACAATATACAGCCATTTTGCTATTCTTATGCTTCCGCTCTCGGCTCTCTGCGTCGGCCTCCAAGTCGGCCCTCGCTCATGGCAAGATGTTGCCTCCTGGCCACCGAATTTTGGCAGTGTTCGCGAAGCATACAGCATTCGCCGCTTCTGGGGGTACACATGGCACCAGCAACTGCGACGACAGGCAGGTGCGCCTGGTGCATATCTCATCAGCTTGCTGCCGGACAGTGTGAGGACGTCCAAACAGACGTCTGTTCGCCTGGGGAGACGATACTCGCTCCTCTTGATGAGTTTCGTCGTTTCGGGGCTAGTTCATGCGTGTGGGTCCTATCAAGTGACACGAGCGCTCGGCCTTCCCTTGTCGGATGGTGGGGAAATGAAGTATTTTGTGTTTCAGGGGATGGCAGTTATTGCTGAAGATTTGGGCTGTTGGGTGCTAGGTATTGATGATCGGGGAACAAAGGCTGGGGGGATGCGGCGGTGGGTAGGATATGCGGTCACCCTGTCTTGGTATGTTTGGAGTCGCGTGCAGCTGAAGGGCGTCCCGGTGGCGCTGGCGATGGGAATTCGGAATGAGAGGGGGGAATTGTTCGCTGCATTGGATCTCGTTCAACAGTCTGCTGCGGCGGTGCCGGGAAATTTCGTGGCGAAGGCGTGGGAGCTGATTCGGTGAGTTTAGTATTAGTGATGTAGTTGCTACGAGAAGGGGTTGGAGACACTAGATGAGACATCTCATTTATAAATATCGTTAGAATAGTTAGGATGGATTTGCACTAGAATACTAAAGCCTTAATGGCTTCCTCTTGGATGAGGTAGACATTGACCAACGACAACCTCTCAGGAACATACAGATCACTCTCCAAATAATCTATTTGAACTCAGCAGGAAGGGTCGTCAATGTGCCAATCTCGGCAATTGTCTCCTCCCACAGCTTCTTCTGAATCTCCTGGCCCGCCGGCGACTGGATGAACGTCGATTTGCTATAAGGGAAAATGCATTAGTTATTGGAGATAAACAACTTTCTTGTGAAAAGGGGTATCTATCACTTACTCAGAGATGGTCTTGTCATTCAAGAACTTGCCATGAGACTCAGGGCCAACCACCACCGCACTATTCAAGATGATCCAGCCACCCACCTCAACAGGTCTAGCGCGGAAAGACTTGACAACGTTCACAATCAAGCGTAAATGCAGGGGTAGAACGTCACTCATGTTGGTATTTACCATGCCCGGGCACATCATGTTGATGATCACTTTCTTGGGATCCAGCCGCGGCGCCAGACTGTACATGAACATCGCGCAAAGTAGCTTCGAGTCCCCATAACGCTGGAATGGGACAAAAGCCTCCTCGTTGTCCATATGCGCAAGCACACCTTCGCCGGGTTTGATGGGAGCTTTCTTGTCCAAGCTTGTGGCCTCGTGCGCGCGACTGCCAACCCAGCTAATGCGCGCAGGAGAGCCTGTTTTCTCGGCACCCGCCTCAAGATACGGCAGGAGCTCGGCGATCAACAAAACGTTGGAGTAGTAATTGACTTGAGTGGTTCGGTCATGGCCGCTCGGGCTGCGTTCCAGCTTGAGCAGACCGATACCCGCATTGAGAATGAGGAGATGGACCACTGGAATCTCTTCGCGGAGCTGCTTCGTGAACCTTTGTACGCTGCCATAATCATCCACATCAAGTGCCATCACCTTGATGGTCGGCTTGGGGTTGTGGGTTTGGATGCGGCGATCCTGGCGGAGGGAAGTTGCGCAGGCCTCGCCCTTGGCGACATTGCGCACGGCGAGAATCACGGTCGAGGCGCGCAGTCGCAGCAGCTGTTTGGTAGTTTCCAGACCCATTCCAGCGCTGGCACCGGTAATGACGACGGTTTTACCCGTCAGGTCAATGCCCGTAGGCAGTGGATCGACTTTCGGCTGGATGATGTTGACCATGATGGAAGTTGAATCAGGAGTGAAGATCCGAGAACTGTCGCCAATGTGAAGAGCACAATGGATGATGGAAGAGAAGAAGAGGTATCGAGGTAGTCATACTCAAGTTTATTTCCAAGGTTTCCCTATCACAAGCTCCACTGCTATGCTGAATGTGCAAGGTTCTTTGTTGGATTGTTCAGCGGAGCTGACAAAACCGGCTTAATTGATGGGTGACTCAGCATTCGGCCGACGCCAGCCCTAAAAGGGAAAGTTCCAAGGGACGACGACCGAGACAACCTCGCCCGAATGAACATGGCCAAATGTGTTTCTCGTATCTCAGTCGAGATTGAATTCTCGGGTATACGCTCCTGGGAGATAGCTGGGAGATAGCTGATAGATGAGAAGGAACACCGAGTATGTAAAGTAAGTAGTTATCCATTTCGCTCCCTCCCCCCACACGTCTACTTCCATTCTAGCTAGAAATGGCTCCCTGCAAACCTCGTACCTTCACAGCCGGTCAGGATCCGCTGACTAAATTTGATGGAGCCATTTCGGTCCGTAATCTTCCACGGCCCCCGGACCGCTTGTTCCTTTTTCACGGTATCATGAGGCCAAGTCGCGGCATCTATGCCAAGCTGATCGCCACCGGCCAAAAGCCCCCCACACATTTCCACCCCTCCCAGTGGGAATTCTTCCGCGTGCTCCGCGGGAACCTTACTATCGAGTTCAACGGGCGTGCCATTCACCGAACCCCCAGTGATGGCGAACTGGCAGTGCCTCCCTATACCCACCATGTCATTTATGGAACCCCGGGGACGGAGATGAACGAGGTAGAGTTCGTCGTGAGTGCCAGTGATCCTGCTGCGGAGGATGAGGGCGCTACTGTTATGGACCAACCGTTCTTTGAGAATTGGTATGGGTATCAGGAGGATGTATTTCAACGGGGGGAGAAATTGGATTTTGTGCAGGTGCTTTCGGTGAGCAAAGTATTTTCCCCTGAGAAATATGTAAAAACTAACGAGGTATAGATGTTCGATGCCGGCGGCACGTATCTGTCTCCGCCGTGGTGGGTGCCCTTCCGCTCGTGGATCGGGCTCTTTCTGGGCATCGTGGTGGGCCGGTGGATCGGTGGACTGCTGGGCTACGCGCCCTTTTATCCTGAGTGGACGACCGACTGGGAGGCAGCCTGTCAGGCAATGCAGCAGAGCTGGTTCCAACGTCGATTTGCGGATCCACAGGCACAGGAACGAGCACGAGAAAGGTTTCGTGAGCAATTAGAGCAGGAGGCATCGGCCAAGGGGCAGAAGTCGGAGTAGATAAATATCTTGGAGCAGGGGACTGCATATATTCACATATTTAGATAAACAGACACTCCTCCCCAGGTTGACTGAGATCTATACACAGGAATAGGCGGCTATTCCGACAGAGGACATCTACATACTTGTACGTAACCTCAATATTGAACATACATGATATTTCCACATCTTCTGCGAGTGATACTTTGTACCCTTATCAGCGAGCCTTTTTTGCCTTGGTGTTAACCAGAGAGTCCAGCTGCTTCTCGAGTTTTTGAACATAGATGTAAACCACAGCATACACCATGTCAGACCCGATACTACCCAGCAGCAAAAACTGCCCGTAAGCACTCCACGCATATCCAAATCGCTCTGGCCAGTAATATATGCGCCAGAAGAAGCAGCATGCAGCGGCGACCGTACCCAACATCCTTGTCGACCTTCTCATGGTGTCAGCGCCAGATTGAGGTGACTATACCAAGGATCTATCCACTCACCAAATTCCCCAAGAATGACCGAGAGTATTTCCACGCGATATTAGCTGCGCAATTGAGCTGAGATTGATAAGGACCTGCATGGGCCATGCAGTCATGAACACGACCTGTCGACCAATGCTTGGGATGAATGTGGCGGCAATCGCCAGGTGCAGCCACAGACAGACCACGCATCCGACCACGATTATACCCGCGAGATGCCGCGCCACCAACGGTGACTGCTTCCAGGCATACGGGGCCGATCGAAGAATGGCGTAGAAGAGGACGACGTCGACAATCATCCATTGCGCGAACACGACCTGATTTAGCAGCCCCGGGCCGTAGACAAACCCGTAAACCGCCTCCCAGGTGATGTTCAAGCAGAGACAATGGAGAGGCATTGCGTACGAACGATCTTTGAATGCCTTTTTGGCCATCAAGATGTACGAGATAGACCAAAGAATTCCAGAGATGGCGGTGAAGCCATCGGGTACAGACTTCGCATGCCAGTACGGCGCCGTGGTATTGTCATAGTCGCGATTGGCAGCTGCCCACTCCTCGAGCGCGAAGAAGCCCATTTTGTTCAAACTGCTGAATTGAGAGGAAGTGAAAGGAGAGATAATTTGGTTCTGTGTGTACTTGGGTCTCCATATATCATTGGTATCATATAGAGCGAGAGGCATCGCGGCCCGTCGGCCGAGCCAAATCGGTAGTCCGAGAGCCGCATCGCTAGTCAGGGACGACAATATCGATCGTTCCATCTTCAAACTCGGGCGTGAGAAAAAAGAAAGAGAAAAAAAAGACCAGTCTGCCTTGCCATCCGTTCGGAACCATGCGTTACATGCAAACTACCGCCCGAGATGGCAGATCGCAGATCCATAAAGGGCTGGCAACGCGAATGAACTACAACCGGTCAACTCACATCAATCAAAATGGCCAAGATTACCTCGATAATAGGGGTCCTTATGGGTGTGTTGGCCACGGCCACTGCAACCTCCATCCCAAGTCAATCTTCAACTGCTGCTGCTCTCTCCTCGCTGGGTGTTTCTCTCCCAGCTGGTAATATTCTCGTCGGAAATGCTGGTTACACCTGTAGTCTCTTAAATCGCGTCTTTTCCAAGAACGAGACATTTACAGTGACCTCGCCCTATTATGATGTTTTCATCGATGAAGCCTGGTCGCAGAATTGCCGATTGAATGCGTCCTGCATTGTGACGCCTGATTCTGCCCAAGATGTCTCGCTCCTGTTACAGATCCTCAGCATTCTGGAGACTAAATTCGCCATTCGCTCCGGTGGACACAACACCAACCCGGGATTCAGTTCAATCGATCGCAATGGAGTGTTGATCGCTCTGGAGAAGTTGGACACCATCTCCATAAGCCCTGATCGTGGAACTGTTACTGTCGGGCCTGGTAATAAGTGGGAGTCTGTATACAACTACCTCCAACCGTATAATGTCACAGCTTTGGGTGGTCGTGAAGTGGTTGTAGGCGTCGGCGGGTTTATTCTGGGTGGTGAGTGAATAATTCCTCGTCGGCATCCTAAATGAACCAAGACATTGACAGGATAAGGCGGTCTCAGCACCTTCTACAACACCCATGGTTTGGCAATTGACAGCGTCACTCGATTCCAGGTGGTACTTCCCAATGGCAATATTGTCAATGCCACCCAAACCGAGCATGCCGATCTATACAAGGGCCTGAAGGGAGGTCTGAACAACTTCGGTGAGACTGATATTATTCGTCAAATCGTCGTTCAACCACCTAACTGTACCAGGCATCGTGACTGAATATGACCTCACCACCAACACCGGCACAAATATCTACTATGAGATAAACACCTACACTGTTGCCAACACACCCGCTGTGCTTGCGGCCTACGCGACGTATCTTTTGGATGCCGACATCAACAGCAATGTGGAGATCCAGATCAACCCCGGCTACACTTTGGTCTTCTACGGATATCTTGGCCATGTATCCACACCCGCAGCCTTTGATCCATTCTCTGGTATACCCGTAGCCTCGACATTGTACCCACCAACAAACGGCTCGCTCAGTGAGCTTCTTCTCACGATTGGCGGTGCCGGACTGACTTCCGAGGGCGTATCATACAGTGGTACCTTCACGTTCAAGGTGACAGGGCCAACATTCCTGCAAGATACCTACTCGGCCTATCTCAAGGCCGCCGCCTCTCTGCCGTCGGGTGCAGTACTCTCTTACGTGCCTCAAGGTGTGATTCCGAACCTAGTGACTCGGGGAAAGTCGCAGAACGGAGGAAATCTGCTAGGTTTGGATGCCACACCTCAAATCTGTATGTATCCCCTTCTACTCACATCTCCATCCCGTAAACATCTCTAACCAGTGTCTCGCACAGGGGTGGACATCTTCGCTCAATTCCCAGCAACACTCAGCCAATCTGTGGTAACGGGCACTGTGGACTCATTGCTGTCCAATCTCGCCTCCAGCGCAAAGTCACAGGGTCTTTTCCTCCCCTACATCTTCGTCAACGACGCGGGTCCCAACCAGAAGCCGCTACAATCGTTCGGGGAAAATAATATCAAGTATATTGACACTGTGGCGAAAAGGTATGACCCGAAGAGAATCATGCAGAAGCTGCAGAATCAAGCATACTTTGTTTCGAAGGAGTTGTAAAATACTACTACAGCATTTGCATATATAATTGGGGGTTCCAGCGCTCCGTTGTACCTAAGGTATCTCTTATTTCAGAAGATTCCCCTGCCAATTCACCAGCTTAAAACGTCGCGTATTCTCCTAGTAATCTCTCCTTCAGTTATGGAGTTTAGCCTACATCTGTACTATTTTATAATATTAAAATTAGGAATTCACTGATGTCCCCAAGCAATGACGAAACCACAAGCATAGCCACGGTCATCAAGCCACACTGACCTAATTAGTGCATCGACAACTGTCCAACTTACACAACCTGGTTCATACTTGCAACGACAAAGACAATATATATCATGCATCGGCATTCTATGAGGAACTTTTTATCCGTTGTGCTGAGAGAGACACTGTCAACATATACAAATACACCACAACACCAATTCAATCGCCTTTCCGGCACTCTCCGCATGGAACAGCCCAAGATCCGGAACATCCCCAGCTACGGCAGACGAGGAATCATCACTCTCCCCAATAAATCACATCATGTCATACAGGAGCCGGACATGAAAAAGGAAGCTTCTTTCAATCAAAAGGTGTTCAACTTATCTCTTGCTCTGTCACAAAGCCGCATAAATGATGCGACGGAGTTGCGCTGCATGGTGTTGGACCTTGATGGGTCTGTCAAAGAATCTGAAACTCGAGGAACTAGGAATGACCTTGCTAAGCAGTGGGGATTAGATGGTCGCGATCTGCGCAATGTGGATCTTGTCTCGGAGGGAATCCCGCACTTGTTGGTCCGTCCGTCTGTCATCTTTATCAGCATGTTCACTTTACGACTCCTGGTCCGTTCACATGGAGTACTTCTTTTCCTTCTCCCAATTGAGGACTGCCACGTGAAAGTGCAGGATGTCTTTATGACAGATCTCCAGAGCAGGCTCCGACCTGGTCCAGGCTCTGGCCTTTTAGCAAAGCTCCCATTTGAGATACGTGTAGTGGATGCAGCGCTTGCCTCTGTCATTGCCACTCTTGAAGCCGAGCATGTTCTTATCCGCCGAGAAGTCGAAGACAGCTTGCGGGATTCAACAAGAGAAGACGTTGTTTACTCTGTTCTCCGCGGGTTGCAGGATCACAGGAAAAGGCTCGTGGCCATTCAGCAGCGTGCCCGCCAGTTCCGCTCGGCGCTACGGGAAATTCTTGAAAATGATGAAGATATGGCGACCATGTTCTTGACGGATCGGCAGGCAGGTCGACCACATGAGGTAGAGGATCACCTAGAAGTGGAATATCTCCTCGAGGCATATTACAAGAACACAGACGCGATTGCGGAGTCTGCAAGTGCTTTAGTGGGTGATTTGGAGCGCACGACGGAATCTATTCAGTCCATCTTGGATGTGCGACGAAATCAGATCCTGGTTTTCGAGGCTCAACTGGAGATCTGCATGTTGGGATTCGCTGTGTCAACCTTTGTGGCGGGCCTGTTTGGAATGAACGTGGCGAACTTCTTTGAAGAGAGTTCTTCGGCATTTGTAATTCTTGTTGGAACCTGTGTTATGGGAACGGTCACCATCGCGAAGTATGGCCTGTGGAAACTCGATAAATTCCGAAAATTGCGCTTTTAGAGCCTGCTCGCATGGTGACAGGAAAGTATCCAAATACAAAGGAGTTAAAAAAGTCATCACCCATAGGCGACCCAAACTTGAGATCAAATGGCACTCAAACTGAGGATGGACGGGGATCCAAAGTCGCAGCGCGCCAAATGTCGCCAACAACCGCTAGGCCAAATGCCCGTCCATCCATTCCTATATATGACACTGGGCAGTGTAAAATAGAAAATAGAGATGCCAATTACCTTCCAATAATAACTACCTTCTGCTTGAGCTGATAGGAAGTCTACAACCAAGGCATTTTTGATAATGTGAGCTCTTTATGCCTGTCAGATGAGTAGAGGGCGGTGATGCAGGTGTGTGTTTGACAAACTTGAGAACCTTCACATTACGTTTGCTCCCTATAAAATACCTCCTCCTTTCCCCTCTTCTTCTTCTTCCTCTTCCTCTCTCCATCACTTCACATCTAACATTATTCTTCAACCCAACTGATTACACACTTCTCCTTAACCAAGCTCGAACAACCGCAATCATGCCTGAGGATAACTACGGCAACGAGTACTCTTACAAGAGCTCTGGTGAAAACAGCCAGGTGAGCTAAGAACCGGAAACACTCATCCAACTCGACTCTAACTGATCTTCAGGGTAATCACTACTGCTCCCGTGACTACGGCTCCGGGGCATCGAACTCCAACTCTTACCATTACTCCAACCAGTAAGTGATAACTCATATTCCTGTTTGATGGTTATCCCTTCTGGTGTCTGCATTCAACTGACATTCATTTTCTACAAATTAGGGATGGTTCCTACTACTACTCGAACTCCGATGGCAGCAAGTACTACAACAGCGGCAAGGGCGATGCTGTGTACACCCCTCCCTCTGCCCCAGCGAACTCGTCTCAGAACTCTGGCAACTCTGGAAAGTCTGGAAAGTAAGCTGGCTGTCAACATGCGTGCAAAGAAGTGGTCTGATCCACCTCTTTCGGCGGGAACACGCTGCGTTGCTTGGAAATGAAATTCTTGAGATGGACGAGACGGATACTTGGCTTGGTTTAGCCTAACGATGGACATCTGAATATGGGATCTTAGGATGGAAAAGCGTAAAACATCAAAAAAAAAATACATTTGCCCTAGGTTTACGTTGAACGAATTTCCAGTATTGCATCAGTCGCCTGATCTATGTATAATGTATAATCAGACCACAATCGTCCATCACCAAATGGGATATCTTCTGCCATGGGATTCGACCATCAACATACGAAATTATTTCGATATACCCAGGTTGGCGGCTTGTATACTCCAAGTCATTAAACATCAATCTGGTTTATCAATACATCATCCAATAATTGACTGTTGTAATGCATCATCCAGCTTAGTTTACAGCAATCCCACTCTGCTGTCGGCCTTCCTTCAACGCAACCTCCAACCCATCAATCACCTTTTCTGGCACGCTCAGAAATGCGGAGTGAGATGCATCCACATGGTAAGTCACTGGGTTGCCCAAAGTTTGAGCAAAGCTCTCTTGCCCAGCCAACGGTATAGCTCCATCCTTGTCACAGAAGAGATACATGCTAGGCATCTCATGCCAAGGTTCATGCGTAGCTGGTTCGTGGAACGATTTCTGCGTCTGCGGCTTCAATTTGGAAATCGCCTTCTGCTGCTCTTCTGGAGACATGTCGTTGTAGAATATTGTCTCTTCTCCAGAGGACCAGTAGTACCCGTCATCCGGACTCTTTATGTGGTTCGTCAGTTGCGAACAAAAGGGACAAACCAAGATGAACCACTCACCTTGATGACCATCCAGGGAGGGAAGTTTCCGCCCAGCATATCGTTTAATGTTTTACCCTTGGGTGTCACAAATGCAGCCATCCACACTACCATGATCACGCCGCCAGGAAGACCGGCTTTGCACCGCTGCGCGTACCCCAACCCCTCGACAGCCCCGGCGCCGACCATCCCGCCATAGGAATGGTTCACCACCACAATCTGGCGGCCGGCTTCTACCATCTCTTTGAGGACGGCCTGAGTATGTTCAATGTCGGCGTGCAGCCCCTTATCTGGAGGGAATGCGCCCACTGACGGGGTGGAGATAGCTTCTGTTGCAAGTCCACGCTTGTGCATCAGATCCCGAACGACGTCGAATGTGTCTGCGGAATGCCATGCGCCAGGCACGAAGACAAAGACTGGGCTCTCAGAGATCATCATCTTGTAATTTATCTTGCAGTTGAATATGTTTGAGAGGGGATACGAATACATCTACGTTCAAATGGGGTCTGGGGAGTCAGCAAACCCTAGCGAAGTGATCGTCCTCTCCTTATACTAAACTGGGCAGATTATGCCCGGGCCCACAATCACTCGGTGCGTGGAACGATTGGCTCTTTTGATCTATTGTTACAATTATTTTCCTCGAAGGATTTCGGGTGTTTGGCGCCAACGGTGGAGCGCGGCTGAGACCCGCCTTGCTATAGGCTCCCGTGTCACCAGTTGTCACTAGCAAAACGTTAGACCGTCCGGGGATTGCACCAAACGGCTCCTATTGGTATTTGAATCAGTATCCACGCGGTAGTCGGCTACGGCCAGCAATTTCCTGTCTTGGCAGAGCCTCGATTCACAGTGGGCCAGACGGATATTCGCTGCACTGTTGTACAATGATTGCAGAAGGCCGTTGTTATTATTTACGGAGTACCCTTTCCCGCGTCTCTGCTGTCTTGTCTCTGATTTGCTGAGGAAGATTGACATGCAGATCATATGTCATATGGAGAATATCCGGAGTCCCCAGTATGACCTGCCAAAAACAGGTCGGATTTCTTCTCCTTGTTCTAAATAGTTATGCTCTACAGCTAATCTTATTATTTACTCGCAAGAAGCGTGAAGTTGATTAAAAAGAAACTGGCTCCTATCCACGGTTGCATATGATATTACTATAGCTTGGGCTGGTATGATATCAAGCTTGCAACACATTTAAGGCCTTGAGTCTAAACAAGCATAGTACCCCCTGCATGTAACCCCTGTATCAACTGACAGAATGAAGCTTAAACGTCTAAATCGTTTAATTATGTACGAGCAATCGGAGAAATAACATTTCTCCGTGCCAAAAAAGAACAGAGCCAGCCCTATTTTATGATCCACCAAAGCACCTCGAATTTTGTTGCGGTTTAATACTAATTACAATAGTAAAATACGGATCAATTCCCCATAATCCTATTATTTTACACATTAGGTATACGGTCTGTCGCTCAATAGTGGATAAGTTTGAATCCTGACACTCGAAAGTGGATCTTCTCTAGCCAGTCTGTTTTGTGGCTTGGAGGGCTGCATGAGAGGGATCAAATCCCTTTAAATACACCATTGCTGCTACATGGAGCTCAAAGGATCTTTTGACCTTCGCCTGTTTTGGAGGTCCAAACACGATGACCACAATCAATGCCCAGGATAGCTACCAAGGGTCCTATCGGGCGGGGACGATCGCGATGACTGTCCTGGGCGTCCTGTTCGTAATTTTACGACTTTTGGCGCGGTGGAAGAAGTCACTGAAGCCAGGTCTGGATGACTATGTTATCATGGCCGCTTTGGTTCCTTTCTTGACTCTCGTTGGATTGATGCTAGCCTGTACGACAGATTTCTTTCCCTTGTTCTTGATTCTGATGCTAATCGTCGATAGTAACTAATTATGGCATGGGATTACATTCTGAAATCTTGCCAATGGAAAGCATCATAATGATTGCAAAGGTTCGATTCAAGTTATAGAAGATAAAACCTGACATCTCCGCTAATATCCATTTAGCTCCTGGTGGTATTTGAGTGCATCTACGTCACAACGATAGCAGTCACCAAAGTTTCTATCCTGCTTATGTACTGTCGCATCTTCCCCACGAGAGAAATCCGCATTGCCTCCATGATCCTGGGCGGGATATCCCTCGCGTGGGGCATCGCTATTATCCTCGTGTGCATCTTCCAATGCACTCCGATTGCGCGAGCCTGGGACACACGCATTCCCGGCACCTGTATCAACCTCAAAGCCTCGTTCATCGGAAATGCAGTACCCAATATTGTCACCGACATTCTCATTCTGTCTCTACCGGTACGGGTGGTGTGGGGACTACACGCAAGCCTCACACACCGACTATCCGTGATTGGAATCTTTCTGCTGGGTAGTTTGTTCGTATACCCTTTTTATACATATCGCTACTGGGATGTGACAATATACTGATTGGACGCTTCCGCGCAGCGTTATCTTCACCAGTATCTATCGCTTCACTACTCTTTTTGAATTCAACCCGGCGGATATCGCCTGGACACTCGGAAAGTCTTGCACCTGGTGTATCGTTGAAAGCTCAACGGGTATTATCTCCGCCTGCATGCCAACCCTGCGCCCGTTGTTCTTGATGGTTTCATCCAAATTCTCCAGCCGGTCTGGTACACAAAGAACACGAACGACAGATGTCGACCACTCTAAAGGTTATGAGCTGCACAATTCTGCCCTACGACCGTCTGATGAGCCGCGTAATAAAACTAGAGTACAGCTGGATGTGTCCCATGCCGACGATGGGTCTGAGGATGAGGTGCCGTTGAATTCCATTCGAGTTCAACAGGATATGACATGGCAAGAATCCAGGGGTAGTTCCTTTCGAGGATATAAATAAATACTTCAGTAAATTATATACATATTACAGATTATCAACTAGGTTTGAGGCTCGACGACTTCCCTCACATGTCTAGACAAAACGGATATTATTTCCGTACAGAAAGAAACAGTGTCAATGCGTTTCATAGGAATGCTAAGGGGAGACAAGGGAGATACGTTGGTGACATCGAAGGAATTGGGTGGGTGGTGTGCTTTTCCATCCTGGAGATGGATGATCATTGGCGACATCGCTACGTGGTCAACTTCATGCACCGAATAGGTCTCCTCCAACAGTTCCAGTATGTGACACCCGAGGAGGACGACGAACCGACAGGCCTTGCGGCAATGGATCTAGGTGTGGAAGACGATGGGTATTAGCCAATGACGATAGATGATACTGTGAAACGAGAACTCAGCCAGAGTCGACAACCACGCCTAACCGGCCAAAACAACGTCACCATCAATGAAAACTGAGGCAGGGGGAGGTTGCAGAGGATGGAAGGGAAGAGTGAGAAGTGAGAAGTGAGAAGTGAGAAGTGAGAAGTGAGAAGTGAGAAGTGAGAGATGGAAGATGGAGGGTGCACTCCATGGCAATCGTTATATATTTCTTATGTATGGGTTTGTGGGATTACGGGATTGTTAGGATGGATCTACAGGATCTACAGAAATGGGCTGATTCCACGCTCTTTACGATCAGCATCTGTATACACTTGGGAGTGATCCCAACTCGGCGTTTGGCTTCGAGTTCTTGCTTCAGTTGGATGAAGCGCCTGCATAGTCATACGCAACTAGTTAGACTGCAACAGGTTAATTGAACTTTGATTGATTGATTGATTGATTGATTGATCATTGGCGACACGATTTAGAACATGAAACGATGTGTCGAATGAAAAATTCCGTGCCACGCACTAGAAAATTAACCCGCCAATGATCAGATACAAAACTACAGTATACATCGATATAATTGTCAGAACTATATAGCAATTGGACTTCATAGGTCATGAATAACAATGAAGGAACCTCTTTGAGCTTTCTTAATCTACTTTGCCTTTTACGAAGTGTCGGATATCTAGAGACATATTCCACCCACTATCACCCCAGATCAAGAAAAGTGCCAATACCAATCAAAAGAGAATGCAAGTTGCTTGGCTTTGGGTCGATGGATTCCTTCTATGACTTGGTTGATAGAATGGTCCAGGTTATGATAGCTGCAGCGGTCGGAATTATGCTCAGCCAGCCTTAGAAGTCATAATATCAATGCATTAAGTTGCATGTGCAAGGAATTTAGGAATGCGAATATATTAATAAAAAATAATGGGAATTGCAAAAAAGAAAGATCGTGCGCAAATGGTATACAAATCAAGTTCAATCTTGACAATTTGGATGATTCAATAAAATATCGACATCTTTCACGGGCAATAACAATCAATCAAGCAAAGATGCGAGCAGTGCTATCTACTCGCTATGTCGACCATGTCTTGCTCTGAGGCCTATGTTCAAAATGTTGCAATAAGAAGGGAAAATAGACACACGATCCAAATGCGAAGAATATACACGAACCAAGATCAACTCAATTACAGAGCGATCATTCCAACACCCGCCAGGAGTGCGGTGGCAATGTAGACAGCCACGTGGAAAGAGCCGAAGGATGAGCTGGAGTGCATGCTGGTAGCGCCGCTGCTAGACTTGGTGGCCGACGCCGTTGAGGAAGCAGAGCCAGAGTCAGAGCCAGCGGTGCCAGTGTTCTCAGTAGTGATAGTTCCGGTTCCAGCAGTTCCAGCCTCCTTCATCTGTGTAGAGCAAATGCCAGTGGCCGTGGTCACGGACTTGACGGTTGCAGATCCGGCAAAGCTACAAGCATCGGCAGCACGGTTCTGCTCCACGTAGTACTTGTTCAGAGCAAAGGCAAGCTGCTGCTTGGTTGTGCACATACTGTAAGCACCGTACTCGCCGGTGGTAGCATTTGCTGTCAGTCCGCTGCAGTCAGTGTAGCCGCAGACGGTGCTGAACAACTTCGCGTACTTCGTCGAGGCGAGGGATCCGGCGACAACGCAGGCGGAGGCATCGTACATGCAGTCGCACAGCTGGACGTCAGCGATAGGGGGCAGAGGGGAGGGTTCGGCGGCCCACTTCGATCCGACGGTAGGGCAGCTTCGCAGGGCGGTGTTGGTGGGAGTGTAGGAGGCCTTCTTGACACCAGTGGGGTTGGCGTTGGCGATCTCGCTGGAATAGTATTTGAAGTCGGACATGGTGCTGACACTGGTGCTATCCACGACGGAAACCAGACCTGCAAGTCTGATCAGTTACCTTCACATATATGTGGGCAAAGGAATCGTTTTCTTACCGTAGTTGTTAGCCTCCTGGAAGTACATGTACACAATACCACCGGACCAGACCTCGGCCATAGTATCACCATACAGGGCCTTCACCTCGGTGAACTCGCGGGGCGAGACCTCGTTGCAACCGTACTCAGCGAAGAAGACAGGGACGGAGTAGTTTGCGAACTCTTCGGTGCGAGCCTGGTATTTAGACTCCGCGTAGGTCGAGTTACCGCACCACGAGTAGATATTGTATCCCCAGAAGTCAATAGTGTCGTCGGTGTCTCCGCAGTTGAAGTAGTCGGCCATGTTCGCACGAATGTCGGACACATCGGCGGTAGCATATCCAACACCCATCGAGCGGTAGCCCTTCTTCTTGATGTACTTCTTGGTGTCACGAACAGCAGCCTTGACGAAAGCGCTGGCGTCGGAAGTAGCGACGGTGTTGGAAACCTCATTTCCAGCGAAGAAACCAATAGTGTTGTTGTACTGGGCCAGTTCATCAACAACACTGGTGTATCGGGCAAAGAGATCGGTTTCCCACGAAGGATCGCTGCGATCGATCGATAGATTGGGGTTGGACAGATCGGAGATCACGTAAATACCAGCGTCCGACAAGAGTTTCATACACGCCGAGTGGTCAGCTGTGGCGTTGATGGCATAGGTACGGATAACGTTGGTGCGCAGCTTCGCCATAATGGGAACATCACGCGCACAAGCAGTGGCGTCGGCGAGAGGGTCAGTGTAGCCACTGCTACTCGTGCTTTCCTCTGTGAAAGGTTAGCTGAGATGTTGAAGTGATGGCATAAACGACCTACGTTGATAGGCGACTCCACGCATAAAGCTGATCTTGTCAGTCACCGAATTCAAGAGGATCTCGGCATATTTGTACTTACAACTGAGTGTCATTGCTGGAATAGAAGAATTTGGAGCCCTATTGACAGTCTTAGTACCGAATATACCACGATTTCTATACATGTATAGAGACAGTACCTTGATGACGATGGGATCCAAATCGGCAACAGCAACCCCAGCCAGGGTTGCCAGTGCCACCAAGGAGAACTTCATGGTGAAGAATGGCTTTGCGGATCTGATGCCACAAAGATTTATAGCGAGTGTATATAGTTGGAATAATTGGATTCAAAAGATAGAGGGTGAGAATCAAGAAATCAAACGAGTGAACAACGGCGAAATGGGAGGAATAAGATCAAAGATGGGGATCCATGGCTTCAAATCCATTAATAGTAAGATTAATAGTGTCAGATAGTCCTATTTTATTTGCTCTCTGAAACCACGAAAAGGACGCGTATAGCCGAGCTAACGAGCCTAATATGGTCAAGTGCTTTGAAGCCATCGTTCAATAGGTTTAGGCCGCTGGCGCCATGTCAATTTTGCCCGGAGATAGTCTCTCCAAGAAAGGATTAGTTATTAGGGCTCTAAAACGAATCGGTTCATGTAGTCCGAGCGAATCATAATAGAGAGATGAACGAGCTCCACGCACTTAACTGGTCTTGGCTTTTACATAGTCTGCAGTTCTTTGTCGATCTGCAAAAACCTATGCAGTTCTGCAGTTCTGCAGTTCTCAGTGCTACAATTCCCCATCAAATTAGACACCCATCAAAAGTCATATATTCATGGTATATTCCCAAAACTAGTTAAAGTGAAAAAAAAAAGTGAAAATATCCGGCTGACGCGGTGGGTGGTGGGGCTTCTTAGGATGGCGCCGGCATTTGGTGGCTTTTTCTTTTTCCGCGAACTATTTTTTCTCTTCTTCAAAAGATCTAATTTTATTCGGCGCTAGGTAAGTTGAAGCTGTAGTCTGTCTGCGGCATTGCTTGGTCCACGATAAAGAATACTGTCCAAGGCCTTGGATCATCTCGGTGATGATTTCTCTGTACGGCTGATCCACCGATCTATGCACAAGTATTTATGTATGTACATTGATTCTTTTTTTTTATTTACGTATGTAAGTATACTGTCGCAAAGGCTTTAAATTGTTCACTGTGTATAAATGTTGAAACTACCAGGGCAATAATAATGGTTACAATCGACGATGCCTCCATACAGAGTATCTTCAGGAATCGTTGTATAGTTCGGGTCAGTCCAGTCGAGAAAAGGTCTACATGTAGATCAGATCGGCTTTTCTCCGATTCTACGCTCCTTCGGCCATATCTGCAATTTAAGCCAGCTTCCGATAACCGACTCCGGTCGAGGTTTGGACAACTGCGCTTCGCGGATGGCAAGTGTGGAAATTGCCAGAAACATTTTAGTCGAGTGGGGTTCTCTTAACAGCATGGTACTTTGTACACAACTATGGATTTTGTGGGGACATCATGGCAGCTATAGCTTAATATACTTTGTATAGCTTTCTTTAAGATTCACTCAAGTAGTAATCATGCTTTTAGACTTGTAGAGAACCTAGTCGACTAAAAAGCCTATACCTAGAGTTTTTGTGGATGTTTCTGACAATTTCATCTCACATAGTATGTTGGTTCAATGGCGATGGCCACATGTGCCAGAGACAGAAATTCTACCACCTCGCCCATCTTCCTCTAAAAACTGCTGCACTGCCTCGATAGGAATAAAATGCATCAAATTTGATATCTCCCATGACTCCATTATACACACAATAATTATACATCAACACCCTGTGTTCGAATTGAGATTGGCATTATAAAGCGTTCCTTCGTTTCGTTCTGGTGTAACCACTTGGTCTCGATCCAATCTTCACATCCGTTGCTGTTTGCGATGTGCGTCGATGGCTGCATCGAACGATCGGATGGTGTCAAGAGGGCGCTCAAGGCGGCTGCGTGTTGGGTTGGAGAGATCAGGATCGGCTATCGCTAGGTTAGAATGCAGTTCCTATCAAAAATTTCATTGTAACTGGTGACTTACTGATCAGCTTTCCGTCCCGGTCCTTATGCTGAATGCTTCGGAGCGAGAATGTATCCCGAGATCCAGGTTCGAGGTTCACAGCGGCTTCCTGTTGTCAGTGAGTGTCCTAGATTAGAAAGGAACATTGTTGCAGGGATACACACTAGGTTCTTGTTCATGTAGGGCCATATTGGGGTCGGCCTTGCTTTGAAGAGAAGTCTTGGGGCTGTGGTGTGACTTGACCGAGCCAGAGCGCTCGCTAGAGGTCAATGAGGACGGCATTATTAGGAATGTATAAAACGAATATTGATTGAAATTGGTCTGAAAAAATGTGTACAAAGTATATCAAAGTAGTGTGGTGAGACTAGTAATGGTATGTCCAGCAATGTGGTCAGTAACCGGGAGGCGAATTTGATCCTATATATATCCCACACCCTAGTCATTTTTGTCACGTTCGGATTTTGGTGGACTAAGAATAGACGGCCTTTCTCAGAACATCAAAAATAGAGATCACGCAAGCCGGCACCTGTGGGTCAGTTGGGATGATGATTGGGCCGATCCTGATCGGCATCTGTGGGCGACTCGTCGCTACAATTCTAATTCCGTATGACGTTGTTGGTCCATCCGGAGCACTCCCAATGGCCAGCCAAGCTTCTATTAGTCTCCCGCAGAATGCTTAGCATTCACTGTGGCCAATCCGAATGAATGAGCACTCCAGGGGCCACGCAAGCACGGGGTGGCTGGAATCTTGGGATGCTCCAGGCACCCGCAAAGATTTCCAGGTACCCATGTTGTGTTGCGTTTTCGAGCAATCATACATTAGGAATACGTGCGTTGCCAAGGTGGAATTGTACATCAATCACATATATCGTGTACCCCCAATTGTATGACGACTTGCCTCCTCTGGTGGGGATGATCGCCGGTTTCGAAAATGTGACAGGAGCGCCCCAGCATTCTTCCTCCAGGAACAATCAATCACACCCTGCGAGTGGATTTCACATGGTTCTACAGGGCAGTGTTAGCTAACATTCTGTTCGCGAATAATGTTTGACGGATATATACTCGTTATGCTCACTTGCACGACGTGAAGGGCATGAAGTGCATGAAATGCAGAACCAACTCAATTGCCTTAAACAACATTATCAAGATGCTTTTTTTCTTTAGTTCACGCTGAATACCGCACGGTCGGGTTGTTGCGCTCAGACCGCGATTGAGAGTGTAAAGACACGAGGCTGGAGACCAGGCAACGCAATTAATACAATTGGAGAATAAAATCCGATCCAGTGGGGCAATTGAATAAAATAATCTTAGTTGTTGCAATGCACAAAATGTAATACGGAATACTCGCAATGCATTACTTCACTGCGATGTCACAGCCTCTCTTGTTCCGGTGATCGCCGGATTTGAAACACTCCAAGCATTCCCAACGTCGAACATTCTTTTCTTTTCTTCTCCATATTCCTTTGCAAAAGTGGACCCCAGCCCCCCCTCCCCCCATGTGGGCTGCGACAATGTCATTTCCCGTCATGATCTGAGGTGTGGTTGCGATGCTACGTAGAGTTCGTCGCGGCACATGACCGCATCCCCGTGACTGCCCAGTTTCTTAGGACAGTACGGTCGCTTTCAGTCCTTCGACCTTTCCGGGTAGATTTGACCATTTGCGAGCCAATCGAACAACGGATCGACAGATGCGGCGCTTAGACCTCGGAACGCCACTTGAATAACACTTGCGCACAGGGGTTCGGTCATAAATCAACCCGGAGCAAATCCGTGCAACGGATGAAACAAACTATGGCTTGCAGGCCTAGAAACCCAATTCGGATCAAGGCCAGATAGACAGACTATCCTGAGTGTGGATTGATCAATTCTTTTCTGGCATCCCCATTGACATGGCAATCCGGTCATGCCAGACCTTCGGACTGCCCGGTTGCTGTGGACCTGTTGGGTGCAATCGAGTATCTTCTTGGGCCTGGGCAATTTCACGGGCGTCTTTAATGACCTTCCACTCTTTCTTATACGGACTGAGTTTTAACCACGGTGTTACTGCTTTTTGTCGACTCTGATCGGACACTAGCACAACCGACAACTGTCGGAGAAGTGCGATCCCTGAATGAACGCCTTCGAGTGTGAATTTCACCGATGCATTCTTGGCGGAACGGGGAATCAATCCAAAGAAAGCCTGAGACTCTCTCTTGTTCCCTTCGTGATCAGCCTTAACGCCAGCCATTATTTGTCTTTCCACATCGCCCAGGACCTTTCGGCTGCTGTTGATTGCATCCATTAAATCCTCTCTCTCCGCATTGGTAGTTAGTGAGGAGGCGACTAGGGCTTTGGTCTTGACAAGAAAGCCTGGACACTGAGCTATCTCGTTGAATGCATAATCCATGAGCTGGCCCAGACGACAGCTTTTGCCACGCCGTTCCTCGTCTTCTTGGGTCTCTGGAAGAATGGACCTCCATTCCTCGCTTTCGAGGAAACATGGCTCCTCCCGAATGAAGGCCTCGTAAACTAGGAGTCCTCGAAAGGATAAGAGTAGGGTACGGCCATACCCACTCGCATGACTCTTTGCTCCCCTTAGACGCAATAGATGAGAGATTCCACGTGAATGCAGCAGCCATGCGTTCTCCTCTGTTGCATTCATCAACTCATAAAGTCCTAGCAGGATTGCAGCTCCAAGGGTGTCTTCCGTGCCAACTGTAGCAGGATTCTGGATAGCTTGAACAAGATAGCGCAGTCCACGGCCGTACATTTCCTGACTGGCGAGGATTTGTCGTTGGTTTCCATTTACTCTGCCTAGCTGCAAGGTTCCAAGGCTGCGAAACCCCCATTCCATTGCAATTCCTGCGCCTCGTTCGTACTGAGCGATTTCGAACCAAGGAAGTTCCACGCGAGTGCTGTAGCTGTAATAAATGTTCGGAAACATAGCATCCACGAAATCACAAAAGCCCTTCCTGCATTGTCGGTCTAGCGCCCTGGAAACCAATCCTGGCATTAGAGCTTCATCCATAGACGTACGGGGAGTCGTGGCGTATTGCTGCGCTTCTTTTGCAGTTACCAGTGCCACACTTGATGTTGATGATGGTGTCGGGGAGGATGTGGTTCTTGAGGGCTCTTGCTGACTGCTTGATGCAGAGAAGTGGTAGAATTTCCGGTTCCTTGTGTAGCCAGGGCATGGGTTCCCTCTTCTCTCGCAGGATTGACATCCTGGCTGGGTTTCGTCGCACTGGACCCTGGGTTAGAGTGTTACCTTTTTAAAAAAAAATAGCGTACCACTGGGGGGGGGGTTCCTACTTTAACCCGCCGCTGGAGACATGCCAGGCAGCCTTTGCTGCGTGGAACACCAACCATCAATTCTGTCCGATCGGGATCGCTGTGTTCTGATGTTTATTGTATAGGGATGAGGCACAAAAGGAGACACATTGCGAGAATACGAGGTCTTTCAGGGGTCCCCGCAACGTAACTCCACGAAATCCTCGCCGCGCATTGGGCGCCTGTGGGTTCCGGAGTGCTTGGCGCGTTCATCGAAATCGGAGCTTGGCGAAAAATGGAAGATTTGCCTTGAGATTCGTGGATGATCTTCAGATGGAGTGAATTTCTTGTCCATGCGTGGTAACTGTTGCCTTCTTTCATTCAGTGTCAATCTTTATCTGCTTGTCAATATTTTGAGATCCTGACAGAATATATATTTCCTTCACCAAGGCCTCATTTCAGTATGTCTCATCCGATTTTTTTCACATCTGTATTTTAATTTCTACGGAATATCCCTGGTTTCTGTTAGTATGAATTTGAAAGGGTGTGGCAGCAAAGATGAGGAAATGCTTGGCTTCGAGGTTCCAAGGGCGTGACGGGGATACCAAAGGCTTAGTTTCACAACTTCAGGGGCCGATCTTGATCGCCCCCAAGGCCGGAGTACTGTGGGACGACCACGTGGCCCTGGTTTATTCAGGTGCGGTCTTGGCCTGACAAATTTGAACTGAGGCAGTTCCTCACAGCGCTGTCATTCAACCATGTCCACTTGAGCATATAGCCGACTCATGGGGCTTGGCATCTGCTGAGTGTAGATCGGCATTTCGACCGAGGTCTTTCCCTCGCGCCGACTATCTGGGGGTTCGGGAGCTCAAAACCTCTTATCAGTCTTCTATATATACAAGGCAGCTAGCTGTCTCCGCAGTCCAATTTCACACCAATATTGGCAGGCTTCAATTCTCACTCCAGAATGAGATATTTCTTCTCACTTTCTTCCCGGCCACAAGCGCTGTCGGGCGCAGTTCAACCTGCAAGAGGATCACGGCTCATGCCCCGTCTTTACTCCAGCGCACCCTCCGGTGGACACAGGCCTCTGCCTCTCGCGGGAGTTACCGTAGTTAGTCTCGAGCAAGCTATTGCTGCCCCCTTTTGCACTCGACAACTTGCCGATCTTGGAGCTCGAGTCATCAAGGTTGAACGACCAGGTGTTGGAGACTTTGCACGACATTATGACACACGAGTCGGTGGCCTAGCATCGCATTTCGTATGGACGAACCGCTCCAAGGAGAGTTTGGCTCTGGACCTCAAACGCGAAAAGGACCATGCCGTCCTGATGAAACTCCTCGAAAAGGCCGACGTTCTCGTTCAGAACTTGGCTCCCGGTGCCAGTGCGCGACTGGGGCTTTCTCACGAGGCATTGAAAGAGAAACACCCCGGTTTGATCGTGTGCGATATCTCTGGATATGGCCAAGATGGTCCATATCGCGACAAGAAAGCCTACGACCTTCTTATTCAGAGCGAGGCTGGAATGCTGTCCGTCACGGGCACTGGAAAAGAGCCGGTAAAGGTTGGTATTTCCATTGCCGATATTGCTGCGGGAATGTACGCCTACAGCAACATTCTCTCGGCGCTACTACAGCGTGGTAAAGATGGACAGGGTTGCCAGATTGACATCTCCATGCTGGAAAGTATGGTTGAATGGATGGGCTTTCCCATGTATTACGCATTCGACAATGCTCCAGGTCCGGTACCAGCAGGTGCCTCGCATGCGGCTATCTACCCTTATGGACCGTTCGAAGCTGGTGATGGCCAGTCAGTTATGTTGGGCATTCAGAATGAGCGGGAATGGGTCAGTTTCTGCAATGGTGTCCTCTCACAACCAGATCTGGCGACCGATCCTAGATTTTCGAGCAACTCACAACGAACTCAAAATCGAGATGAGCTCAAGTCTATCATTCACGATGCGTTCTCGAAGTTTACGACAGAGGAAACAATCGCTCGGTTGGACGAAGCGTCAATCGCCAACGCTAGTGTCAATGACATGAAAAATGTTTGGGACCATGCCCAGCTTCAAGCACGAAATCGATGGACCAAGGTTCAAACTCCTGTGGGAGCCATTCCGGCTCTTTTACCTCCTGGATCAACCAACTCAGCTGAAAAAGGTGGATATGGGGCTCAGATGGGCTCAGTTCCACGGGTTGGAGAGCACAATGAAGCCATTCTTGCAGAGCTGGGTCTATCAAATTGATCTTATGTACAATGAATATTATAAGAGACCGAGAACTCACATAGATGATTTGCTATTTCTGATTGTCACAAGGAGGTCCTATGAGTAGATCCTACGAGTTTCCTAGTGCGGCTAGTAGGCGATGTGCTTGGCAAGCCTTGTACCAGAACTGTCAAATCCTCCATGACAGTGAATGTCATCTGTCTGCAACGCCAGGGGCAGCATATGCAGAATAACTTGAAACCTCGCCAGTTGCTTCGAGGTGAAATCACATACTCTGCTGCAAAGAAAGAAGACGCCACCATTCTCCATGAACTCCGGTATCATCAAGGCAGTCATTTTCAGCGTCAATTATGCAGATCTCCATATTCTATACGTAATTGGATAACGAAATTTAGTCTCGTCATTGAATTTGCATCACTATAGAAATCGATACAGAAACTCGAGGTTCTGTGGGTTCAGATAGTCTGGATTTGATAATGAGCCAGCAAGGCCCATAACATCATCACCCTCCACGTTGAACAGCTCATACCAGTCCATATTAATTGCTACCTCTTCTCCGGGGTTATGGTGAGGCATCATCGTGTTAGGAGTTTGCAAGAGATCGCCCCCTGTATTAGGAGAAAGTGTTCTATAAGGACCACTAGCAGGAGACGCAGATGGCATCTCCTCAATATTTTGAACGCCGCATGCTTGTGACGTTGATGATGGCATAGCAGGATCGGCCAATCGGAGATCGCGAGCAGTACGATCATCCAGGCACCGGAAGAAAAGATCCAGGACCCAGTTCTCCAAGTCCCACGATTTCTGTAATTCCTTCAAGCCCAGTAGGCATAACTTTGCCCTGTGTTCTGCTAACTTGCGGGCTGTGCCTGTAACCCGTCCGAAATGAATGGTGTGTATACATAAAGCCGAGAAAGTGTGGGTAATTCTGTTTTTTTTTTTGGTGTTAGTCTTAGTCTAGTGCGAGATGGTTGGAAGAATTTACAAGTGAACTGATCCATGTTGGACCAGGTTTTCTGAGAGCATGTCCTCTAAAATACGGGTGCTTCGTGTTGCTGCATCCAGTGCAACGTTTCCTTCTGGATTGACCGATTTGCCTGGGGGCTGTAAGAAAAGTGGTCGGTATAGGAGAATGTACAAGTTGCTATATGGATGTTAGCCGGAAAGGCTCTCGGTTATTACTACTAGCGCAGCAGTACATACTTATAAGCCATATGAAGCATGCCGACTAGGAACATCGCGTCCCTGTTCATGGGCATTTGAAACTGCATTTCCTTTGGGAGGCGCGACTCCCAGTCAACTAAACGTTGACGGAGCATTGGTCGAGCTTCATTATCCAACTTGGATCGACCAGGCAGATACTGGCTACAGACTATTTCCCGCACTGAAGATAAAGCTGTCAGCAAATGCGACTTTACCAATATTCCAGGACATCGTACATAACCTGGCCAGTTGAGCCATTCCAATCACGTAGGGAATGTGTACTTCTGGTGGGGTGCGGAATATCTCAGGAGGCCCCATGGGCTCGCTTTCCTCGAAGTCTGTGGCTTCAAGATCAGCGATTTGGCAGTCTTCATCGCGTATTCGAGGTGGCAGCCCCAAAGCTGCCGATGTTTGTTGATCGCGAACCTGATGAAATGTTAATCCCAGGGTCTTCGAAGCCAAGATCGAGAACTGAGAAGCGTACATATAAAGCCCACCAGATTCGTTTCCAAAGCTTTTGGTCTTGGGCATTCAGGAAGGACAATTTAGACCTATGAATGTCAGCATATATTCAAACTCATTGAAATGAGGCACACGCCATACATAACATGCATGCCCTTTTTCTGAGCAAGGCTGATGGCAGCCCCAAGCCAAAACCGAACATCGCGCTCCTCGGTTGGGCTTCCACGCCAAAAGCTCAGAAGAAACAACGATTGCAACTTTATAACCGTGTCGGTCTCCCATCCTGAATCATAAATATCCTTTGCTCGTTGATAAAATACTTCTTTGGCTTGGTAGCGATTATGAAATCCCGTGGTGTTCAAAGCCATATCCGAGCACAGGCTCACTCCAATGAAGAGCATTGACTGGAAGAGCAAAGGTGACAGTGTGCCATCTTGATAGTCACTTTGTAGATCTGTCCGATTAAGAATTGGGAAACATGGGTGGAGCCAGTCAAAATAAGCTTGAAGTAACGCGTCGCAGACAGCAGGCGACGGGAACACGAGGGCCCCTTCGCGGGTAAGGCGATCATATATCAGCTTGCGACGGGGACCCAGTGAATCCTGGCTACTTTCAGTTCCGCCACTAATCTCAGAGATGGAGTAGTGAAGTCGACCTTTTTGGATACTGCCTGCGTACCCGTTGTCCGGAGATCGTCGCCCTTCATCCACAACGCAGGTGAGAGGACTTGACTCGCCGAGGAATACGGTTTTATGGATCGCATCCTCTGCTATTGCAGGACGAGCCGGTGGATACTGAGAGCTCTGTCCGGTTAATGGGAATTGTCCCTGTATGACTCGGGAATCCGACGCCTTTGCCGTATTATTCGGCGTTGTGGCCGTTCGAGCCAATCCCTTTTTCTTTCGGCGAGGATATCTGCCTAGAATTAGTATAAACTCGAGGCATTCTCCTTAATATGCTTACTTTCCACGGCGTGAAACCCCTACTTCACAAGTAAGATTCCATGACACACAGTTTTGACAGGGCTGCATCTCTAACACGTTGCACCGCACGCGACGCGAGTTACATGACAGGCATGCTTTCTTTGCCCGCGTGCGTGGCCGATCTGGACTTTCAGTCTCCATAGGCTCCATGGATAACAGAAGAATCGGCTGTTTCGATTCAAATATTATTTGAATATCCAAAGGGTCAGGGATACTTTTGTCCTCAAAAAGGTGGGGCTCGGCTTCTTCGGTTATATGGCCTCGGTGTTTTGCCGACATCTTAATATTCATCATAGTGGCTGAATTTCTTTCTTTTTCCCCTTTCTTTTTCACTTGGAATGATTGAAGCTGCTCGACGGTCCTATTTTCTTGTTTTGACATCACAATGTTCGATTGTACGTTTGTCGCATTAAGCATAAATTGTACAATATAGACAGATACATAATATAGCCGCACTCTTAACACGCCGGGTAGCGTGGCAGATACTGTCGAATTAAGTGTGATATTGACTAGGTAAATTTGCTAAGAATAGGTTACCGAGAGTCGAAATGTTGCCCAGTGTGGTGCCTGGTTGGGTGCAGATGTCAGGAAATACGAAATCTTTCTACTTATCTCGTTCCTGTGAAAAGGAGGAACTGGTATTATTGGTACCGTACCACAGCATGGGTTGGATCTCATTCTTTGCCGCGGATTGTAGAGCGTGCTACAGTTTACTATTAAGCATGGTCACCGGCGTGGATTGGTGCCATTTGTCGGTGATTGCTAGAAGAATCTTGATAAGCGCAGCTCGGTTTCACGGCCTCGAAAGTGATGAATAGTTGCTGTAGTGGTGTTATGCTGGCCCCCAGGATTGTCAGCAGCATGGCGCCGACCAAGAACCCACTTCCATGTTGTTTCCACCCATCCCTGGTGCCGAAGATGCACACATAATTCACCGGATAGGTCGAACCTTTATATCAGACAACATGATAAGTTGGCGCACAGGGAATTTGTCATCGCACCGCTGGGCATAGACCACAGCGGCACTTAAGCATACAGCAGATGTCAAGGGTGCTAAGAACCGCGACAATGGCTTGGACCACTCGCGTGGTCATGTACCATTTCTCATTCTTTGGGTATTCATCCCACGTCTCACTGCTACTGACTTCCGCAGTCTAACTGTAAGTGGCGCTCGTGATTGGCCGATGAGCGAGCACACAGATCATAACCTACGCGAATATGGCCAGTAAAGCATAAGAACGTCACCAGAAAGAAGACGTTTGGGAAGTGATGCAGCGATGTGCTGGGTAGAGTCTCCCTTGGGTTATCTTCGATGTGGAGATCAGAGGATTCATTTTCGTCCTACCTTTGGTCGAATGTCAGATCTGATGTTTGGTCTGAAACTTCGATCTCATCTTCACTCTCGACACAGGAAAAATACTGCGGTAGGATTTGCGGTCCATCGGGTACACAGGTCTTGTATGTGTCAACAGAGGTTCCAGAGGTGAGGTGGGCGTGGAGTGGTTTTCATCCAAGGAGGCTTAGACCGCCAGATTCGTCAAGCACCCCCGGAATAGCCCCGGGGGTTGCCAAGAAGAGGGCCATCAACTGAGGAGAAATTGGAAGTGAGAAATGCTTGAAGGAGCCTCGTTGTACCGAGTTTTCGACCGAAAACATGTACAGAATAATGTACCAGGTACGGAGTACATCCATCCTAGTATTAGTATGTAGTGTCAGTTTATGCATGACCATGTTGGATAAGTGGACAACCCAGTAGACCAATGGCATGTCACGTCACTGGGGCAAAACATATCAGGGCACATATCAGGGAGTAAATGATTACAAATACACTTAGAAGAGGGCCCGGGAGAACCTGGGAAGAATTGAGAAATGAAAAATCCTTCGGGGCAATTAAATCCCCGTGTTCGCAACCCGTGAATTGTTATTAATTACATGTCAAGTTATGCATATGCACAATACCAAGCATCTAGAAGGTATCCCGGGTTATTCCAACCTTCCAACTTGCAAAGTTGACAATATGCTTACATATAGTATATTGTGAAGTGGATCACGATCGGACTTCATTCCCTCCGCAGACTTTTGGCCGAAAAGGACTCCCGATCGACGGTGGAACTGGGTGGACCTGGATTAGTGACCAAGGTTGGAGGATTAGAAGATAAAAGAAGCTATGTGCCTCAATTGAATATAATTCATCTCCCCAAATACCCATATTATTGGTATAAACTACCTTCTTTTTCACCATGCCTACAAGGTTTCCCAGCAAAAATGTCGATGTCTCGCCTCTTGGGGCGCCACTGCAGTTTGAATTCAGTCAGCGCAAAGCTTCGAATCGCTTTTTGAAGGCCGCTCTGACAGAAAGAATGGCATCTTGGTCTCCGACTGATCTTTCAGCGAGAGGTATTCCCAGCCAAACCCTCATCAATCTTTATCGTCGGTGGGGAGAGGGTCAATTTGGACTTATCCTCACCGGCAATATTATGATCGCATATGACCAGCTCGAGTCACCGGGAAATATGATCATTGATCTTGAGAACCCATTCGGTGGTGAACGATTTGAAGCCTTCAAGCAATTGGCCACTGCCGCCAAGAAGCACGGGAGTTTAATCGTTGGCCAAGTCAGCCATCCTGGACGTCAGACGTTTGAGCAGCTGCAATCCAACCCGGTTTCTGCTAGCGATGTCCAGCTCATCTTGGAGAAATTTGGCGCATTTGGGAAACCCCACGCAGCTACCGAGGAGGAGATTCAGGATATTATCCGCCGTTTTGTCCATGTAGCCGTCTACCTGCAAAAGGCTGGGTATGATGGTATTCAGCTTCATTCCGCCCATGGCTATCTCCTCGCCCAATTCTTGTCCAAGACAACGAACAAGAGGACAGATAAATACGGTGGAAGCTTGGCCAATCGCGCACGGATTATTGTGGAAATCGCCCAGGCTATTCGTCAAGCACTCCCAGATCCCGGCTTCATCATTGGAATCAAAATTAACTCGGTGGAATTCCAAGCGCATGGATTTACCCCCGAGGAGTCAAAGGAGCTGTGTGAGATTCTCGAGCGCACCCACTTCGACTTTGTTGAGTTGTCCGGTGGAACTTATGAGGCTGGTGCCTTCCAGCACAAACGGGAGTCTTCGCAGAAACGAGAATCATTCTTTTTGGAATTTGCAGACCTCATCACTCCTGCTCTCAAGCGCACCCGCAGCTATGTGACCGGGGGATTTTGCACGGCGTCAGGAATGGTCCGGGCTCTGGAGACAGTTGATGGAGTCGGTCTTGGCCGCTCCATTACCCAGGAGCCTCGCTTGCCAAAGGAGCTGCTCGCCGGAACTGTTCAGGGTGCAATCCAGCAGAAGATTGATCCCCAGGACTTTTTCAAGACAAGCCCTGCTGCCGGTGCACAAATGCTGCAGATTGCACAAGATGAAGAACCGATTGACCTGAGCAATGATGCCAACATGGAAGTCTTCATGAAAGGCCTTGGGGAATGGGGGCAGGAAATGCAGAAGGACGGGGCCACAATGAACATGTACGGTTATGCCCAGCTCCCCAAGGGTCAACCATTCCAAAGTCATCTGTGAAAGCAATGTCAAGCGAAGTAGAGGATGTCGAAAGTCATCAATATATGTTTAATTGCATTCATATTGATATCTACCTTTTCCACTATAGCGTATACCACAATTACAATCCAATGTCGACCAGCTGACAACATTAAGGAATAGATTTGACCACCTGTCTGTTTCTCGTTGTTGATGTGTACATCCGAGTAATGTAGGGCGTTCAGGAATGTAGGGGTTAACTCCGTCAACATCAAAACATCTCTACTGAGGAATGCTGAACTTGGTCCTCGCACATTATTGGGGGAACATAATAATAACATTTGCATTTGCATTGTCGAGCATTTACAAGTTCTTGGCCTATAGGTCCTGGTATTTATTGTAGCAGCTAATCATGATATCCCTCACTGTTGTGCTTTTCAACATCCGATCATTGTCAACAACATGCACTTCCATAACACCTTGCTCAGCGGCTTAGCTATCCTTCCAGTGGCTCTAGCTTCTTGGCCTTTCTTTGACTACACCGAGGAGACATCGGCAACTTCCTACCCCAACGAGCAGCCTGGTGTAAAAGTCGAGACCCTCTTTCAATTTCCCAACAATGGCTCATGGATCGACAATATGGTTGTTCGATCAGACGGCAACCTTCTTTTGACGCGTCTGGACACTCCCGAAGTTTGGCTTTTCAACACCACAAGCAGAAACGCGACCCTCGCCTACTCGTTCCCCAACGTCACCAGCTGCTTCGGAATCAGTGAAATCGAGGACGATGTCTTCGCAGTTGTTGTGGGCAATTTCTCTCCCAAAACCTTCCAGCCAGGTCCAGGCTCATTCTCAGTCCATAAATTGGATTTCACCGATATCGATGCTGAGCAGAACGAGCGCGCACTGGAATTGCCCACGGCCTCGGAAATCATCGCAATGCCAGAGGCTGAGGCCTTGAATGGCATGGTCACTTTCTCACGGGAGTCAAATTTGGTTCTCATTGCCGATAGCCCCAAGGGAGTAATATGGAGGGTCGATACCAATACAGGAGATTATTCTGTCGCACTGAATGATACTACAATGGCTCCGGCGGAAGGCCAGGCTCTTCCTCTGGGTGTCAACGCCCTGACCGTACTTGGTGACTACGTGTACTATACCGGAACGACACGAATGGTGTATTGCAGAATCAAGGTGGACAAGGATGTGAACCCAATCGGAGACTTCGAGGTTATTGCTAGTGGATTCCTACCGGATAACGTCGAGATGACCGATGATGGCTTTGCGTATATCCCGACGGCTCCCCAGAACTCTATTGTGCGCATCACGCCTTCGGGGCAGATCTCCCTCGTTACTGGTGGCCAAGTATCCACGCAACTTGCAGGCCCAAGCTCGGTTCGATTGAGTAAAGACCGACAAATACTCTATGTTGGCACCAACGGTGGTCAAATTGCCCCTGTTTTGGGCTCATTCATTGAGCCCGCAAAGATTGTCAAGATCTCGTTCGAAAAATAGAGGGAAAACGATGGATTTGGGAATATGTTGCAATAACCATTGTGGACATTCGAAGCTGATGACCAGCGAGATATGGGGAAATTGGAAGGATTGGATTCCTTGGATGGCTTATTGTATAATTTGGTCTATAGAGCACTTTAAATCTGAATGCAATTACATCTCTTCGTGATGCCTCGACATCTCAGGTTATGTGGGCGAAGTAACCAGTGCCTCAAGCGAGAGTATCAGCTTTGCCTCCGCCATACGGTCGAAAGTCAGATAGTGTCCTCGCTCAAGTGGTAGCTCCGCTATGAACCCAATGTTGTACATCTTTGCAAGACTCAGTTCATGGTCTCGATCAAGCAAAGTAAAGTCGGCCTTGTAGAAGACCCATGAAGACCGAGGTAACTCGCGAGGAGCAAGACCAAATGTCTTGCAAATACGCCTGTAGTCATGCAGTTTCTTGTTCCACCAGACCTCTACCTCCTCCCAGCCTTTCTGGCCTGGACCGCTTCCATGGAGGCCAAAGTACCTGGCTATGACCGGCAATTTGAGACACCAAGGCTTCGGTGTGGTCGTGTTAGCTATGTTGAACGCTTCGCCGTTGGCTTGCTCGGGTTTCACAACGGAGAGGTAAATCACAGACTTTGAAATCACATCCTGCGACGACTCGGTGTGTGTGTATGTAAAGTTGGCATTGGTACCCGGGAAGGTGCCATTGACGAATCTGTAGAGCGATAAATAAAGAGCCAAAGGCTCCACAGCAGTCATGCCAGAAGCATTGGGCACGAACCCTATGGATATATCAATGAGCTCACACTTTCCATCACTACATGATAGTCCGGCGGATAAATGAAGCACTATGATCAAATCCACCTGACTGTAATAAAATATCTCCTCTCCGTAGGGCGAGGGAATGCGAGGGGTGTCTTCTTTCAAGGGAGGCTCGATCTGGATATGGTCCATGTACTGGAACACCGCCACACAGTAGTGCTATATAGACAATCAACATATTATCAATAAAGCAAGGGAGCAACTATTCCCAGAAACGGAGCTATTTGACCCGGTTCAGCTTGTAAATGACCTCGATTTGGTTGCAATGGGGATTGATTGGGAGCATAGACGAAGATTGGGGAAGATTGGGGAACTTGTTACCCCAGCCCAAACCCATGCAATTGTGATACGTGCCGTGCATATCGGATGGCCTTTCCAGGTACATGGCCAACCTGGAGAGTGACGGTGACAGTTGGCGGATTGGCAAAGCGCACCAAATAACTCACTAGATGGTTGGTCATGTCATGTACCACGCAACGTACATGTGTAGCGGGCAACGATGAGACAGACCCCAAGGCAGTAAAAACTGCCATTTTGGGGTCTGAATCCATTAACGCATTTGTGCGTCAAACGACTGACATTTCCACCGCGTTCTCTTACGCTCTCTTGCACCGCCGAGGTGAGGTTTCTTCGTACGTGTCAAGTACCCCTTGACACCTGAGGCAGAAAATAAACAATTAGGTAAGCAGTCTGGGTCGCCTGGGCATTGACGTCATATGCCCACGGGTCTCTCCGCGCGTTGAGTAACAGAACGTTGCAGCCTTGCAGGACAAGTTTCTGTTCTGTCACACTCTCAAATTTCCAACATCAAATGCCTGGACAATTCGGTCAAAAAATCCTCAAGACCTTGGGTCTGAACGATCATGCCCATCAACAGAACTCCTCAGCCGTTAGGCTTCCAGGCAGAGCAGCCGTGAACAACGATGAACATGGGTTGTCTTCACCTCCCAACAATGGCACATACCCTCGTCTCTGCAGGCTATCCGATGGCACCATTCTCTCATCCTTTACTCGATTCCCCGATGGACAGCGCTCACTTCGTGTCGCAAAAAGTACCGATAACGGCCGCTCGTTCGAGGACTTCTCTGAGGTAACCCGCGGTGCTGGGGACGTGGATAATATGTTTTTGTGTGAGGTGGCTCCGGGGACAATACTGGCGGCTTTCCGAAATCACGATAAGGGTCCAAATGGCCCCACGCACTTCCGCATCACTGTCTGCCGGTCTACGGATGGGGGTCGGGTCTGGCAATTTGCTTCGCAGGCAGCCGAGAAGCGCCCTCCTCTGGGCATTTGGGAACCGTTCATACGCGTCGGGCGCCAGGGTGAAGTCCAGCTTTATTTCTCGCAGGAATTCGCGCATAACAACCAATGTACCATGCTAGTCATCTCGCGGGATCAAGGAAGTACCTGGACTCAACCCATCTGTCTGCATGGTGACCAAGATCCGCTTCGCGATGGAATGTGCGGCATTGCACGAACTTTGGATAACGGTCGCGAGGCTCTTCTCATGGTGTTCGAGACCACTCGGTACGGACCTTTCAGTGTTGAAGCGCTCCTATCCTACGATGACGGTGCCACCTGGGGTTGGCGCCATGAAGTTTTCCGCCCACGACAGGGTCATAATGCAGGCTCTCCCCAAATTGCCTCTTTTGCGGATGGGTCCATGGCTACGATATTCATGACAGACGAAGACTCCAACCACGTGGAATGGGTAAAGAATGCCTCTATCAAGGTCGTATTTGCTGGCCCGCCAGTTGAAGGGCGTGTTCAATGGAGCTCGCCAACCCTTGTCTCCCCTGCATCCAGCTTCTGGCCTGGAATCATGGCATTGGATCACCACAACGTGCTCGCTACTTATGACCGTGGTGGACCCCTTGCGAAGACCATCACCTGGCACCCTGCGTAAACATTTGAACACGGAGGTACTATCTAGCTGGCGAGAGTCTGAGACTGGTTCCCGGGCTTTCGTCATATTCTTTCTTGCCCAAGTGGGTGGATTATCCTTCACAAGATGCTTCGCTGGACGAACTCCGTATTCCTTACAAATTCCGAATGGATCTTATGGTCCCAGGAAATGGATAGTTGAACGCATACCATACCAGTTATGCCTTCTCTTGTCAAGGGGATCCCCATAGTTCACTCCACAAGAATATGCAGCAACATCCATATACACCGGATGTTACAGTTGAGACACGTAAATAGTTCCGTTATGTATCTTGATATTTTCATGATCTCTCCTAAATCTATCACAGAACTAAGGGCTTTATCCCTGGGACTCTGCTTCAGCCCTATCCTTCAATATTAAGCTGTATCACCGGGTCTACACAATAACCCCAACTTTGACCATAGGCCCCACTTAAGATCGGGGTTTTGCGTTCAAAATAAAACTTGTTTTCTAGACTATATGGGTCTATGCGCGTTAAGCGAACTCTGAAGATTAGGAGATTTTGAGTCGCCGAATAATGTGGTAGATGCCATGGTGAAAACTGCCTTTCCGTAGGGCGTCAAACATACTTGAATATCGAGGCGAGTAGTATGCCCCACCATCAAGTAACAATTATGTGACTTTGAGTACTAGGCATACCATACAAAAGTGTATATTACCATTAGTCGTCGATGTCCGCACAGATTGTTGAAATAGCGGGTTTTTGTCATTCTAGTTAAGAGTTATGCATATCAGTTGACCATACCATACAATTGCAGTACACCCTGATTTCTGTCAGATAGATTGGTTGGCTCTCAGTGGCCCATCAGTGGTTGCGGTCTCCATAATTGATTAGTGACTAGCATGTCCGTAATAGATAATATTGATAAAAGTCAAGTGGTTGGCATTAGAACAATATAAACTCTTCGCTTTTTTTTAACCTGCACCGTCTCACTTGTCAAGTACAACATAGACGCACTTACGCAACATTAAACAATTTGGTGTTATCGTGTTAGAAAAGAAGAATAGACTTCAGATACAAGCTGCTGTGAACGGAAAAAGAATAGTAAAAACAAGAAAAAAAACATCGAAGCTTAAGCTTCATTCCTCAATTGTGATCTTCTTCTTAACTTCCTCGTGCTTCGCAGTTTTTGGAACAGTAACAGTGAGAATTCCATCTTTTAAATGAGCGTGCGTCGCATCTCGATCGACAGGCGATGGAAAGCTGAACGACCGTCGGAAGTCACCCATGGAACGCTCAGAAACCCACCAGGACCCTTCCTTCTCTTCGGAAGAGTGTTCAGTATGACCCTTAATCTGCATAGTATTTGGGTCAGGATATTCAATCTCGATATCCTTTTGCTTGACGCCAGGCAGCTCGCCTTCGAGCTCGTACCCGTCCTTTGTCTCTCGCACATCAAAGGTTGGCGTGAATGTAGAATGAAGGTTGCCGAAGCCCTTCTGTGACAAGAAGTTGTCGTAGTCTCCGAACATACGGCCAAGGCTCAAGGGGCCTCTGTAGATGAAGGGTGTCAAAGACATGGCTCTGTAATTCGATGCTCGTGGAAATTGGATAGTAAATAATCTTTGTCGTTGAATTCTGAGTGCGGAAGAAGTCGCCTTTAACAAGGGCACGAACAAATTACAAGGTGGCATCGCTTATTTATGCTAGAGCCTACGGGACTCTGTAGAAATGTCTAGAACATCGTGGAAGGAAGGACCAACATATTTGATCATGGTGCGAAGCCAGAACTAGGTATCATTGTTACATCATATCATCTACTGTATATGGATATTAGCGTAATGTTATTCTTTGTCTTTTATTCTTGAGTTTAACAATTCCATGGAAAATTTCTAGAGCAAGCGAATTATCGGGGCGTGGTCGTTGATATTAATTAATATATATACCAGAAAGTAATTTTTTACCGGTCTGTAGAAAGGCAGAAGTCCTGGAGCACTATAGAATAACCATCTGATTAAAACCGAACATGAAGCCTAGAAATGTAGGTATTGTGTCAAATTGGCATCATGAATTACATCAGCCGAAGACCTCCTGATCAACCTGGTGATTTCACGATAGCTGACTCGCTTTTAGAAACGGATGTCAATAGCCAAGGTTGCAATACCTTGCTGATACAGGGTTTGAATACCCGAATATCAGGTGACCGCATATACGAGCCATACCATACATTGTCGTCCAGGGAGATCTATAATTTGGTCAGCTGGATATATTTTTATCAGCCTGAAGATTTCAATTGGCCACATTTACACATTTGTTCCCGAGAGGAACCTCGTAGTCCGATCGGTTGACCCTAAACGGCCAAATAACAGCCCACGGAGCGTATATGACCGCAACCACAACTTCGATCTTATGATTTCTCGCGCAGATTGATGACAATCTTACCAAATAATCGCGATTACTCATAAACGATCTGATAGGCTAAAATATAGATGCATGGACTATATTTTGACGTGACTGATACTTGGTATCAATGCATCTTAGAAACGAAAATCGTAAAAGTTTAGACAAGTTTCGTTGCATATCCGATAACAGGACGTTCCACATAAAGATATTTCGAATTTATTTATGGCTAGAATCAAAGATATTGTGATTGGAATGGTCCATTCAGGTCCGCCACGGACTGCCCTCTGACATGAAGCGGACAACTTCGCGATCTAGAAATGTCTCATGACCTCCTACTTGGAAGCTAGAAAGGTCTCAAATGTCCTATCGGGTGACCTTCAGCGTTCTGACCCTTGTACCATGCGCTTATTTATTGTATTGTTGTGAGAGTTGTGTGGGCCACAATCCCCAGGAAACCTGACGTAGCTTCTGGGGTCTTGTACCTCCGCCTCGAGGAATCAAAGTTATGTTCCTGTTGACAGCTTTATTAACTCCTGGAATCATAAACGCGGTTCCTGGGGCTATAGCTCGGCCTTCTAGGAATTATCGAATGACTCAAATTCGTCCGCAGGTTTGGCTAAGGTGTCGTGTCATGACTTTACCCAACACTCAAAGGCATAATATTGACTCCAGGATTCAGAGGTAGGGTCCCAGGAGTGTAAAAACTCCCAGACCAAGCCCATGTATTCCCCAAACCAATTTCATGTCCATCCTGGAACACAAATTGAAGATCTCAGGGGTAGATTTCAGTTTCCTAGAAATTGGAAATAGCCCCACGAACTAAAGAATAGTTTCCAGGGGGAAACAAAGCTCCTAGAATTTCGTTTGACGTTTCTAGTGTTTAATTTATTGATTTACAGAGCCAAATTAACATGCACGAGAATTTGCCAAGGCTCCGTGCCGGCCTGTGAGTTGCGATTTCTGCTAACAATGCCCCCCTTCGGTCGGCTGGGGCTCCATTTAGCTGATATCTATAACTACATTTCTTTAGTCGCCGCGGTTATACGATACTACTAGCACTTTTATCTACCGGCACTAGGTTTCGAGCTAACACGTATCTAGAACTAAGCGAAACTACCAACAACTTTTCGGGGTACATTGTCATCTAGTAACTACAAAGATGAGAAACGGTCGCGTGGTGCTCTGTGGAGTTTAACGATCAGAATTTCATTTGTATAGTTGCTAAGCTTGCTCCAAAGCTCTAAATCACGGTTGTGCTCTCTGTTGCTGATCCCAATGCCGAGTGTCTCCAGGGCTGGTCATTTGGAGTCACGTGTGATTGACAGTCGCTTCGCTAATTTCTCATTTCCGTCACACCTCCGCTGTAAACTGTGATCACCTACGCTGAGTGCAATTTAGTCGTATTGACTGGCGAAGTGGTGCAGAGGTAGAAGGGAATCGAGGTAGATGAGCTCCTTCTAGTTTGGCTGAGCGACGAGGGGCCACTCTGCTCGACTGATATCCCTTGGCATTCCACTGACAAGGTCAAGTGCGAAGCTCCGCGACTTCTTTGATCACTGGGAGAGCCGCTTGTGGGCAAGGGTGGCCCGATGAATAAGATCGCCCATTCCTATGACCGAAAGGAAACTTAGAAACGTGGATTTCATCGTGCAAAATGAAAGAGTATGTACACACCTGGTGGAGGTTCAACCGGCGGACATACGGAGACACTGCGGTATTTCACAGAGTCTGGTAAGACAGGGATCTTGCCATTTGTTAGGTTATATCCAAAAGAAATATAGGGAAATGCTTACATTTTTTGCATCGATTTCCGCGTATACCTGATCTGCTATTTTCTTGATATTTTGCAATTGCCTTAATAAATGGGACTTTTGCGGCGAAACTCCAAGTAAGGGGAGGCGGTATTTCGAGAGTACTTTCCTCCAGCTGTACCATTTGACGGACGAAGATGAGATGGTATAGTTGTTTGTTGCAAGCCAGCATATCAACTCCATATGGGAATACGCTAGAAGCAAGCCACGGTTGGCACATTGAGGGGTGTCTCTCCTCGAAGCATTAATGAGTTGGCCATCGGACGCGGCGCGCTCAGCGTAATCGCGAAGATATTTCCGGAAGCTCCTCCTGTCGAGTCTATTGGCTCCAAGGTTGATTGCGATTGTATTGACGGTGGCTCCTACATTATCCAGCAATTCAAGTGCGGTGGTAATTTCTTCAGGAATGGAGGGCGTCATATTCAAGGGTATCGAAAGATATTTTCAGATTTGGGGGCAAAGATGCCATTTTACGACAACACCCTGCATTTTGAATAAAATCAGCCAAGATTCAGCACATAAGTCATTGTTACCATCTAAGCGAGCGGGCGGCGAATTGTGCACCAAACCGAAATCCTGTTCTTCTTAAACCTTACCATGGATTGGTTGCCAGTGGGCAGCAAGAACCTGGGCCTGGGCACCCTGCCGCAACCGGAATCACATGACACAACTTTGAAATGCTACAAAGTTATTGGACAATGTTTATCATGACGTATCGAGATCCTCATGGTATCATTCCACACTTTCCTGCATCAATGCCCAGCCCTAATGATGACATAGTTGCGTAGCAAAAGATCCAGTGAAAAGAACCTCATAGACATGAAAAAGACCTTATACATTCTTTTTCCGGTTTTTGTCTGTCCACACAAGTGGACGCTGCAAGTGATAAAGTTTGGCCGCAAGGTGATCTACCGAGACGGCTTCACAATAGACACGTATTGGCTAAAAGCCCTGATAAAGAAGGGGGGGGGGGAAGTCAAAACAACTACTACTACTTATACTGCTGTCTTCGGTAAGCGAGCCGCCACTGTATGCCAGCCTCCACCTCTTTCAAAATTGTATATGCTACTAAAAATGCTTATCGATACCCATCTACCAATAGTGAAAATTTAATTATGTCGTAGTTGTTGAGATATCAAGTTGCAATGGCGGCTAGCTTACCGAATACGTTACTATCTGTAACCAAGAAAGAATACCTTCCTACCAAATTTCGAAGGACAAATGACTTCGTTTGCCAAGGACAGACTTAGGTTGAAATTAAATATATTTTCATCGCTGATGAGACATGCTTTTTCTCCTACCCCTTATAAAAATAGAGGCTTCAAAGGTCGGGGATCAGCATCCATCCTTGATATGGGAGTGGCGCAGCTGATGCACCAATATTATCTCCAAAAGAGAATTTTCCTGATAATCGAGCTCTTTGGTTTCAAAGGATCTTCCAAGTCTCCTTGCAGGCCCATTAGTTTGCAAACTACCATTTTGGCAGTGCGGATGCCGTAACTGACGTCTGCGCATGTGTAACCCGGGAACTCTGTAAACGGCCCAACCAGACCAACGTTAGAGAAGGGCGTAATTGACGGACGGTCACTTAATGCCCTTGTTAGAAATAAGGAACTCATCCGGGGCATCGCACGTGGAATGGTGATAGTGTGTGACAACGGCGGGTTATAGTGGAGATTGAGGTGACCTAATATCTCAGATAATATATCCGCGCCTGAACAATGGAGCATTATCCGTTTCACATAATTTCCTTCAACTTGGCATAAATGCGCAAACCCCCAAAGAACGCGGATATCTTGTGGCTGCGTTGGAAAAACCGACTGAGCGGGTATGCATAGGTTTATTTTCCAGTTGCTGTCACCGAGAAATATGAATGCCCCGGCTTCAGATGTGCACTGTGAAAGTGATTTGAGGTCATCGTAGAACACGTCATCCTGTGTACTGATCGTGAATGATTCTAGCATGGATTCACTCTGGCGTGTGCAAAAGTTGTACGGATTGCCGAGGCGGCCCGCGTACTTATTTCCCAGGTCCAACCATACTGACCAATTTTGGTCGAAGACATTGTCCGCATCGAGTGATTGCCAAACTGGCGCAGAATTATTCGTTCCAACCGCTGAACCTGAGATAGTGGATCCAATACTAATAATTGCGATATCGTTCTCTCGTAGTTGCTTGCGTAGTTGTAGGTCACCCTGGACAAGCTTAAATCCAGTAATTATTTGTTCAGCGTTGTCGTTGGTCACTTCTATATCCTTGACTTCGATGCCAAATTGAAAGTCAACGCCACAGCTTTGGAGAAAAAAGTATATTGGCAGGTACAAAGACTGATACTGATAATAGCCTGTGATGTCGAGGCAGCTTAGAATACTTAAGCTGTGGAATTGGGGCAGAAATTGACAAAGAGAACGCCTGAACTCTGCCGCGCTGTGCCATGGCTGGAAGCCAAATCTAAAAATCTTTAAGAAACGGAGTCGAGTAAGTAGTGCTGGGTATTGTGGATACGCACTGGGCGGACCAGATTGCCCATAAAGGGCATTGGAAAAAGCTCTCTGGGAAAAGCTCATCGATTCGTCTCCGCGACAGGTATCTTTCACGCTTGAATAGAAGGCGTATTAAAGCTATCCTCTGCGCGAAGCTCGTATTTAGTGAACCGGTGGGTATGTGCTTCACTGAGCCCTTGGTCATAGCCAGAAAGCATGTTCGAGCATTTCTTTTCTTGGAGACTCGATTTGCCTCAGCTGTTTGTATCTCGTCCAAAAGGGATGGCCCTTGCGATTGTGTTGAGGGAAGCATTGCAAGAAGCCTTTCCATGGGTAAGCCAGCCGGGACAGGCAAGCATGCGGCAAATTGATCATATCCATCCGACGAATAGTCTGGGCGGTGTGAGATTCGCTCGGAGAACAACTGCTTGTCAATAATGTGAATTTTGGGCGGATGTACTTTGGCGTCTTTAATTAAATATAGCGCGGACGCTAATGATTCAGTTCCACTTCCAAAGATCCAAGCCTCGGTGTTCTCGGCATTGCGCTGGGCTTTAAACAGTGGCTGGGCCATCATATCTACAGACGAGGAAATCAATCAATGTGAAGCAGAGTTCCAAGCGAGGAAGCCGGGGCGATTTAACAGGCGAACATTGCCGCACCTGACGTCAATCGGACCGTTTTCGTTAATCGCCAAGGAAGGGACAGCTCTGCAGATAACGTCATAAGGCAAGCTACCTTCGTAAGTGTCCTACATATTGACCCATGGGCAAGTGTAGTTCTAACCCATAATTCCAACTGCGGGGCTATCTTCTATAGTTTGGAGGAATGAAGGATTAGGATGAGGCCCTTCATCATTGTCTCCGAGGGCTCCGAGGGAGACAATATCAACATGAATTTCCGGAAGCGAGTGATGGGATTTTCATCGGGCTTTTAGAACCTCTGTGCAATTGTATCTAGATATTTGGAATGATGAAGGTTTCCTGGATAATGAAAATTACATGGATTTGATTTTAACTTTCTACAAGTTATTCAGGAAATTAGACAGAGATCCAGGGCATTGAGATTCTTCTAAACTCTTATACTTGTACCGATCCACCGTCGCTTTTCAATAATGTCCAATGTTGGCCGGCCGTATACTCAACTTTCTCACTTATTCAGGAGCTTATACTGAAAATGAGAATGATTATGGATCTCTTGGGTCGAAATGATCTCTTCAATATAGAAGGCGAACGCGGTCGCTACTATATCAACTGGAACGAGTTCAACGAAAGTGAAGTTGCTTAGAGCAGTGGCCTATGTTTTCCCCGCAGTTCATCGAGATCTATACGATATCAACTATATACCTATAATATATAATATTGGCTATCACGGGTTATCGCCGCTCATTCGAGGAGAGAGTGTCCAGACTACTAAGAGTAGCCTAAACACCCGATTACGAGCAGTCCTTATTCTATCGTTCTAAGAGTGGAACATGGATATTGCCGAAAGGCCTCACTAAATATGATGCCGGACTAGGGGATGACGGAAGTGAGATCTCGGATATCCTTGAGGATTGTCGTAGGGACAACAGCACTTTTTATATATAGCAACCTCGGAGCAGTTCAGAGTATATTAAAAACCACCATATAGCGTGGTACATTTGAACCGAATTTGTGGATATTAGTGCGCCTCTCGACGCGGAAAGACTTTAGTCAAAAACTGTGACATGATTTGACAGTTTCTGTCATCTACCTATTTTGAATTCTTTTTCTTAATGTTGTTAGTAAGTATTAATGTCGATAGTATTAATATTCTTAATATTTTCTTGATATTGGCTACTCGTGCTGCGGATGCTTATCGATTAACATGAGAGGCGCCGAGAAAGTGATCATCTATGTTATTACGCTATTTCTACTAGTTTAGTGAAAGAATTCTCGAGAAGTGTTATATACAGTCGACGTAAAGTTTTACAACCCGGAAATCGCGAGTGGGTGACGGTGATCGAGTGTACCTAGATGAGGACCTCAACCGGAGCAAGGACAGCAGAGCGACATGATACTTTGGCAAGAGGTCAGATGTTGCGTGGATGCGCAGTTTGGAAACAAAAGCTGGCGATTCATCCGGCGACGAAGGGGTATTTGAAAACAGCCGCAACTCCTCACCTCTGAGGAATGCTCTTATGGCATCGTTGAATTACCATATCGAAGCTGCCAATTACCCAGGTTCCGAAATCAACAATCCCTATACTTTACCAACGAAAGAGTTGGCAGAATGGCTACTGAAGTTATTCATTAACAGCTTCCAGCCGTCTCTGCCTATTATCCGCCAGGACCTTTTCATAGACCAGTTCGATTCGTTCTATTCAGCAAAATCAGGCCATCCTGGAAGGAGATGGCTGGCTGTGCTGAACCTGATCTTCGCCATCGGCAGCAAATTTTGTCAGATTTTTGGTCAAGATAACCAAGGTCACAATTCTTTTCTCGAGCACAAACCTTGAACATATCTGAAAGTTTGGTGAAGGATCATGAAGACTTGCAGCAAGTGCAAGTTGAAACACTCGCGGCTTTCTATTTGTTAACTTCATCACATATCAACAGGTAAGTTGCATTTGTGTCTCAGACCATAAAGAAGAGCTATCTAATCCTTAACAGGGCCTGGAAGATGGTTGGTACAGCAGCACGCTCCGGTATCTTTTTGGGTTTGCTTGTACGAGCCACACATAACAAGATAAACGGGGAAGCCCTCGAAGCCCGGCATAGGCTTTGGTGGTCGATTTTCATCTTAGAACACCTTCTCTCTGTCATTGCTGGGCGATCGTCTAGTTTAGAAAACAGTTTCTCTTCGGCACCTCCACCCCTCGTCTCGGAAGATATGAATCCTTTTACCAATAGTGCACCAAAAGGTCGTCTAGATCGACTATCCGAGAATTCGCACATTGATTTTTGAGCTTTTTGACTGCGGTTTGATGGCATGGTAGGCGTTTAAAAAGGAGTGGTTGGGTAGAGGCAGAGAATTTGAAGGACCGGCCGGAGTTGATTTACAATCAACTTGGACCTTACATTGTACTGTATATATAAGATCCTGAATCCCCTCAGAACAATGAATAATCAATCATCCCTCTGAATTACGACAAGTTGCGCACTCCCTCCACATCATTTGTTGAAACTCCCAAACATGCTGCTTGTCTTGCTCAAGGGCCTGTGGCGAGCTATGGGCAGCAGCTAAATAAGATCCCTTTGTGAAGATCGGTGCCAGCCTCCCGATACCAAGGTCGTCACCACCAGTATGGATAACAGTCGTTGTAGCTCTGAAAAGACCGGCCCACTCTGATGGATTTCCATGCTCAAATAGGACCAGGAAACGCCCTCTTGCGGTGGCTTGGCGCAGGAGAACATGCAAATTATTTCAAAACTACGTCGCGTTCCCTACAAATATAGTAGGCAGTCATGTATCGCCATCTTTGCGCCACATCCTCGCGTCCCCTGTCCACGTCAAACCAGAAAGGAAGACATTATCGTGGAACTGAAATCGGAACAGTGGGGACTGACAGACTTGAATGTGGATCGATAGAGGGGAGGTGAGCCGGGGTTTCTGGAGCGGAGTGCACTATCGGTTTGGTGTTCAAAGGGCTCCTCCGATGACGACGGGTATATGAGGTAGAGGAATATAAGCGGGAATTCTGAACACGTGCCGACACGGAGCGAGCCAAACTGGGCCGCTCGGAAGACACTTCGGTTGGTCCAGAGTATTGAATGTGCTGCGGGGAGAGTAACGTCTTCAACAGCGCAGTGTATGGCATCTGGCCAACTGGTGTGTTTCAACATAAGAGGGGGATAAAGGCAGATAGCAAAGACTTTAAGGGGGTCCAATATTTCCATTACAATAAAGTGCCTGAAGTAGCCTTGCCGTCAGTAAAGCTTCATTAAATTCCGAGTATTATAGCAAAGGTCAAGGAGTGGCAAGAGGCGAGGAAAGATAACACACCATTTCATCAGGGCATAAAGTGGGAGTGGGTGACACTTGAAGGTGCCAGTGGAAAAGTCAAGGTTTCACCGGTAACACCGGAAAGAGATAAATGAAGTGAATTGGGTCTGAGTCAATCGAGGAAGGAGAGAGCTTATCAATACCGTAAAGTATGACCACCGAGCGGCGATGAGATATTAGACAAAGCATCGGCAAAAGGAAATGTCTAACAAAATAGTACAGAGAAAGAGACAAGATGTACATATAAAGAATTAGAAAAAAAAGAAAAGGTTAAGCTCACGGCACAGCCACGATCAAGGGAGAGATGTACCAAAGGTTTAGTCCTCTACTACGTTGCTGCATGGAACACTGGTGTAGCACTATAAATAGTGCAAACATGACTAAACTCTTGATTTAGTTTGTGAGTGATCATAGCTCTGATTGGTCGGAGCTTCCGGGTGTGCTATTAGACTAGATCACGATGGCCAAATACTTCAACCAATGACGAGTAGTCCCTGTTGCCTTCACAGTCGTAATCATAGATAGCTCCAGAGGTCACCGTTCAACCCTCTATCTCCATATCCAGGCCTCAGGAATCGTGCCAGTGGCAAAGTTGCGTTGAATTTCAGGCTTAAGCCATGACCTTTATCATTGGATGTTGACGAATTTTGAGGGAAACAAAGTGCTCGTATGAATTTGCCATAGAAATTAGCAATAAGAACACGGCCTGTCCCCCTTGCATTTCTTAGTTTATTTTAAATCACAATCATGTGCACTGGTATTAGAGCTGCTCAACAAATCTTCAACGCCCATATTTGACCCACCTAATACTCGCTGATGGCATCGTTGCGAATGAACGAACCCGCCGAGATCCAAACCTCTGCTTTGGAATTGGATAGCGACCTATTTGACCTCTTCTGTAAATGCGACCATAAACTCAACGAAGTCCTCAACAGTCGCAATCGCGACCTTCGCAAATTCGTTGCTCACGCCAACCTATTGCAGAGTCTAATGACGCACACAAAATCGACTTCCACTGAAAAATCAGCTGCGTCATCGACAAATTCCTGGCTTGTGGAGCTGGATGAGGTTTTGAACATATCCGAGTTGGAAAAACAGGCCGGCGAAAACCCATTTTCGGTTGGGCTTAGCATTGAGATCTCTTATTCGAATTATGAGGAAGAATGTTGGCCATGAATACGTGGAAATGAGAAAGTATTTCTTTTGGGTTTTTGGGGGGGGGGTTTGATATTATTCAATGTTCCCATCTTCCATTCCATGTCTTTCTCTATAATGTCTTCTTTAATGGGTAAGAGAAGCCACATTCAGATGTGGAAATCTGCTCTCAACTCTGACTGTATCAAGAGTCAAGGATCCCTTTTCCGATATTAAGTGCCATTCCAGCCCATCCACTCTTCATCTCCATTCGCGAGTGAGAGTCATGGTGTCTTGAACATTCAAAACCCAGGATATTTACAAATGTGTGTGTACTTTAAGAGGTGTTCTCTCCAGCCCACCAAGTGACACATGATGCCAGATATGCACAAGCTTCGTGCTTGATGCATGATGCTTGATCCTAGGAACACAATGCGCAACCTATTGCTTCAACGCCGGCCCACCTAGTAGAGATAGGTCAAGCCGGGGGAAGCAAATACGAATTATAATAAGGTTTTTTCAAAAATTGACTGGATGCCAACTAAGCGCAGGTAACAATACGAAGTATTGACGTTTACTACCCACGACGACACCTGACTCGGTCTGTACGCGGTCAGCTGATCATCAGATTTTGGGCTCTATTCAAATTCAGACAAACAGCGCTCACTATTCTCCATACCATATTTTTTTAACTTGGACCTAGTCACTTTCGACAATTTAGTAACAGTAAAATGTACAGCAAGCATGCCCTTGACGGATGTTATGCGACTCCGATTAACCAGACCCTATTCACTCTGCGGATTACTCGTATTTCTAAGATTTGCTACCACACGGAACCGCGATCCGGTAAAGGGACTACTTCAACCTTTACTTGACGCATCATTTCCTGGAATTCCAAATCCTCACCTTTGGCATCGGACTTGTCAGAAGACACTAAAAGTAAACGTAACTGGGATGAATCCTTAGCTACGCTAAGTGAAGCTTCGGTATTATCATCTCCTTTCCTCTCCTTGTTGAATCAGTAGTAATAATAGCTTTCACTCAAGACATCGCCCTACTGTATCTAGCTTAAGGCTGATCGTGGTGAATCTGAGCCCAACTTGCGGGCCAAAATGAAGAAAACTAAGAGTCCCTCCTTAAAAATAAGCAACCGGAATCTGGCATTTGAATCCCTTATAATAATCCAGAGGACTAAAACCATGTTATTTTGGAGTGATCATCCACACATCCCACCCTCTCTGTTTTGATGGACCTTCATGCCTTCCATGATATCCCTGGCTGCATTGTATGAGGCCGTTTTTGTGCTTTCTCATTATGCTACTAGCGTTCTGGAGGTCTTTCTCTAATCAATCACTTTGTTCCTTGATTCTGTCATGCTTTCCTGAGTAGTCAGTTCATCAATATAGATAGATAGATAGACTTAGATAATCTCGTTTCAGAATGGATACTTCGAGCAGAGGCATTGTATTTCAAATTGCATATGCTCTTGGCTATGGGTAATGCATAAACAAAATAGAGAATTCGTATGAGTCGGCTGGCAATTTTAACGGGGCGTGTGTGGATGACCATGACTTCCCGGATACGGTGAAGAGAAGCGCGTTTCGATTGGGACTGCCGATGGGTTCGTGTATACGCACATGGTGGATGGTAAAGTCGCAGCCTGGTGGTGTATTCACGTGTGATGGATAGAGTTATTGGAGCATGAATTAGGCGGTCTACAGGCGGGGAGAGCGGGTGTGAAGGTTGGAGCGCGATTGGGGTTGTAGGGGCCGTGAGGGGGTGGTATTGAGACATCATGGCTTAGTGAGATATGTGGGAATGTAATACTTTGAAGCCTCTATAGATTCTCAACGTCGTGGTTTGTAATGTTGTCTCTATATGGCAGTTAGATGCCACTCTCCTAGCATCTCTACAGTCACACCACAAAAGTGTTAACATCCTCGACCAATATTCTGCCGGTAATTTGATTCTTCATCAGTCCAAATTCGGAGACATCGTGCGGCGTTCCCGTAGGGAAGGCGGTACAAACAGAAGTGCTAATACTTTTGCCGAGTTACTGTACTTGGTGGCTCCGTCTTGTAATGACGTCACGACTAAAGAAAGCTGTTTGTACCAAATACCAGAGTATTGAAGTTTGAAGTAGCATCGTATGTAAACTGTTGTGGTTACAATGTTCATACTCTTTCACGTAATTGTATATACTTGTGATACTATAACACTCTTTGTTTCTGTTCTATGCATCCCGTGTCCTATCCCCATAAGTATTCATTTCATGGCTCAAATATTGGCTTACGATTTTGTTTTGAAATAAATTTAGTTGTCAATGAGCGGAGGAGTTTACTTTCTTGTCAAAGCCAAAGTGTTTCCTGTTTGGAGCTTTTTCGATTCGACGTATGGACCAATGGATCTATCTACGAAGATCACATCACTCTGCTCACCTTCCACCTTTTTTTTTATCTCTGTTGAAACCCTGCGATACTCGGCGAGCTTTTGTAGTGATGATTCCCCTTTTCCCTTCTTTTCCTTTTGGCGCTGTTAGTGGAGGTTCACTGATGAAGTTGTAACATCTACCAGCGGCATCTCCACCAAAGATATCTGGCATATTGGACAGTTATTACGACGCAAGTACCATTCTTCAATACACGTATCGTGATATATATGATGGCAAGGAAGTGGGTGGACGAGTTGTGATTCTAACACCGGGTACAGACAAATGGCGCTACTTATTAGCCGAAGCTCAATTTTCCGACGAGAAGAGATACTTACCAGATGGGCAAGCGATCAAGCGTCGTCGGGATATTTTGTTTTGTCTGGGTGGATGTCCACCTGTCCAAGGTGAAAGGTTCCCTAGGTAGGGCCTGCTCAAGATCAGGGGAATTGTGCGCCCTGTCTTCGAAACTAGAATCTTGAGTGTCCGAGTCCGCAGCTTCGCTATTCCATATTCGAGTGTACGGTAGTTGTGACGTATAAAAAAACCTCATGTCTTGTTAATCGCTATTTAAACAGGAAAAAGGAAGAGATAGAATCAATCAATAAGTATTAGCACTTACGCGCAGTGTATAGCTGCGTATAGGAGGAATCCAAGATATATGACTAGAAGAAGGTCTGTTCCTAGTTCATGGGCCATTTGGACAATATTGTAGGGAAGGAATTTTCCATGATCGATCGTTCGGCCGGTGAAGAAAGAACACCGAGCAGGATCTACGGCATATATTGGGTATTTGGGTAGACATTTCCGGCACTACCTTTCAGAGTATATGAAGCAGCCAACTAAATCAATGATATCTCACGGAATGATCAGCTGACTCGTCATAGGACTTTTGTCTATTTTGTTAGGTTAAAACCGTAGGTAACGGCGGGGTACCACTACGAAAGTTTATGGACGTGAACCACCATTCTCTCCATAGACGATCGTTGAACAGTACGACCGGCCCTGAATTTGGTATCAGCTCCGAATATGATTGGCTACAGCAACTTCCGAGAACCCAATCAATCAATCCTTTAGACCGCGGGGCGATTAATAAGATTGCAGCCTTTGCCAGTGGGCCTTGTGGCTAGAATATTGTGGTTTTATTCCGAGCTTAGATTATTGGGTTCTCCAAAGCCATAGTTTAAATTCAGATTACGAACATGCCGTCCCGTTTGACCTAAGATTACACATGTTCATTACAGTAGCTCTTCTAAACGAAGAACATTTCTTTTGTCCAGGGTCACATAGCATTGGTCGGTTCGCTCTTAAACCACCCTAAGTACACACATTTTGCTCGCATATTCAAATATGCTCGACCCAGGCAATGTCAAGTATCGACATCGACCTTCTTGGTATTTGCTGCTGAACCAGATTTAGTTACGGTTATAGAAAGAATGCCATCCTTCAACTGGGTGTGGGTATTCTCTCGGTCGATAGCGGATGGGAAATTGAAGGTTCGTCTAAATTCTCCTACGGACCGCTCGGACACCCACCACGACCCTTCACTAGAACGAAACTCGCGCGAACTATGACCTTTGATATTGACACGATGTGAATCTTCAAATTCCACATCGATATCACTAGACTGAACACCAGGAACTTTACCCTCAAGGTGGTAGGCATCCTCTGTTTCGCGGATGTCAAAGGATGGAGAGTATGTCCAAACTCGGGGTCCAGAATGACTTGTCATTAAGCGGTCATAGTCATCCAAAGGTCGACCGACTGTAGAGCGAGATCTTCCCTGTAGAGAGGGAACCCTCGACATATTTCTCCATTTGTAGGCCCAAGCAACAGCATCAACTGGCTTTCGCCGGACGAACTGTGTGGAACTGGTAGTAGGCAAACAGAAACGCGGGACGTACTTGACGGCTCTCGACGGCATCATCATGCTAAACTCAAGGTTTGTTTAAACTGTAAAATGCGCAACAAATCTATTATTCTTATATACCCTGCCAGTTGTTTGTAGGTCAGTGTAACATCGAGCGAAAACGCTCGGATACATTGAGCTTGTGGCGATTTTGACAGTTTGGGCCAGTATCAGATGACATGGATGGGGATCAAAGAAGTCCGCTCATATGATCCTTGTAACATAACGAATGACGTGTACACTTGCGGAATGCCATGTCAAACTGATTGGTCGTTGCAAATTAAATTGTTTGCGTTGATAGATTGACGATCTTTTATGTTAGGCTGTTGCTAAGTTGATACTACTACCCAATAGGCTGGGTAAAGATTCAGTTTGGGCTACAACGTAGTGGCCAAAGTAACTTGTTGAGGCATATGGAGGCCACCACCAAAACATTGCAATCATAATTTCAACTTCAACTTCAGCCTATTTCACCGCGCCCTTGAAGCAATAGGTCAAGGTTCTTAAACACCTTTCAAGTAACAAATACGGAAAATGTCGTTGGCTCAGCATGTTACCCAAGCAGAAGGCTTCGACTACGATGGCTGTGCCAGGCCGAATCCGTATGCGACCAACGACGGCGTACGTGAAAGCGCAACGCCTGGCTACTTCTATCCGTCTGCAATTAATAAGTATCAAGAGCGACATTTCATGCATTTCGCACCAGCCGATTCAACTTCCAAGGAATTTCATATTGCTGCGTATAAAGTACCCGTTGTGAAACGATGCGGTATGTTTTGCAGGAATATACCATTCCGTATGGCAGGACTAATCTAATATTTTGGTGGTCTAGCTCAGGTGGCAACTGGAGTTGTAGCGTGCTGGCTATCCGCCGGCATCGTGTTCGGCTTTGCTGCATTAAAGCCGGTCTTAATCGCCGAAGGAATATACAGCGATCTCTGTGAGTCAGACTACGTCATCGGTATCAGCAATAGTAAAAAAAACCCACGGAATATCCTGCGCCGAGCAAGGTCTACGCTTAGCCCTTTTCTTCGTCGTCGCCTCTGTGACCGCAAATGTGTCGTCGCTCTTGGCTGGCTGGGCTCTTGATCGGTACGGCCGACGGACCTGCTGGGTTGTGGCTTGCTTGTCTCTGATAGTGGGCTGTATGTTGATGAGCGGCTCATTTTCATTTCCCGGATTAGATGAATATTTCGCTGGTAATATACTTCTGGCGTTAGGGGGCACCTTTGTCTTTGTCCCCACTTTCCAGCTTGCGCATGCCTTCCCAAAGCAGCCGGGCATCATTGTTGCTACGGTCACAGGCGCTTTCGATGCATCTGCTGCTATATTTCTTCTCACAGCTTAATTTACGATGCCACCGAGGGGAATATTTCTATCAAAACGTTTTTCCTAAGTTATATAATTGTCCCAGGTCTTATCCTTGTCGCTGAGTTTATCTACATGCCACCGCACTCCTATCATACTATCGCCGAGCTAGAGCGGAAGATTAACAAAGCTATGGACAATAGCTGCGATATCCACGAATCCGACGAAAATATACAGGTCGCTGATAAACGGTCAAGGGTACGTAGCGCCCGCGCAGATCACCGCATGGCCACCTTAAATGAAATCGAAAATATTGCGGGTGATGCCGACCAAAGGGAAGGACGAATGAAAATGCACCAGGAACGACAGAGGAATAGTGGTGTATGGGGCATTTTACACGGTGCCTCTACCAGTAAACAAATGCTCAGTTTCTGTTTCATTCTCATTTTGTTGTTAACTGCCCTTCAAATGTTGCGTATGAATTACTTCATCGCCACTATACGTGCACAGTATTTATCTCATAACCGCCATTTGAGTTGAGTGAAGATTTGCTTGTCTCATTGGATTCGATTTCAGATAGTCCCGCACTTTGACTTGGGCCCAATTGTGGTCGCTGCTGGGTGGAGCTCCTCGGTTTAAAAAATGATTATATCTTTCCCTTTATGCTAAACGGCTTTAATAACATCGATGGTCGTTAGCATATCCGAGTCAGCCCATTGCCACTTTACCAAGAGGGCAGTGTTTTGTGAGAATAAAAGCCTATATAGAACACCCAGTCCCAAACAGAGCTTAAGTATAAGCGGATTCTAGATATGAAAGGTTCTTTGAGCCTCTCCCCTCCACGCCAAAGGTCGCACTACCCATTCGAGCTTTCGAGGCATTAGATCCACCCTTCCTACTGCTAGTAAACCAAATTTCGAACATAGATGATCACCATGTTCTATGCCCAAATCGAGCGCGTATTCAATTGGACCGTTGTCCTTTACTCATAAATTAGTTTAATCTCGAATCGCAGAAGTAGAGATATTGAAAAGAGAGCTATACCTTTATATATTGATCAAGCATCCCTGCAATCTCTTCCCAAGTCTTCCCCGAAGACTCACAGTCGAAACCATGTTGAAATAGTACACAGAGGAACTATACAGCATGTAAAAGAAGGAGTATCTCTTGCAAAGTGGATATTTTCAAGTATCAAAAAAATGAATTGTAAAACTGTCTAATCGCTTCATACATAGAAAGAAGCCCATATTTATAGGCTTCTCCTTCTCCCCCTTGGAATCCTTTAATTGATCGATTTGTGATAGAAACAGAGTGGTGGAATCAAAAGGAAAGAACTGAATGAGCGGTGATAGCACTGAATACAGCCTGAATTGTCGCTTCGTCATTCGCCCCGCTTTCGAGACTTTTGGGCCCATCCCTCCGGTGATATTATTTCCAAAGAGCCCCGGCGTTAACAGGCTATGTGCGAAGGGAATATCCTTTTATCTTGTGCAGGTACATCTAATTCCAGTTGTTAACTCTTCGTATTTCTGCCTGGGCGGCATTAATCCGCCTGAAACATGATTGTGCTTACCACTTAGTTCGATAATTGAATGGTTCATAGAATCATTGAGACAGTTGTCGTTTCATGACCCGGAGTTTATCAAATAAATTCTCATAAGCCTTGAGAGAACATTTATCCTCCGTCGATACGTTCGTTCTCAATGGGAGATCTTGACCGGGTTGGCACCATTCCGTGGCACTCGAGGGAGATTCTATTCGGGAAATTGATCTGCCTCGAAGCCTTTGTTCCATGACAATAGTGGATAAAGCTGAAGCGAAAGATATAGGGGATCCGTTGGCAGCAGTTGGCATTGGCGTAGGGGGAGGTTGGTCCATCAAGAGGTAACTGCAGGTACCTGGGCAAAAAGAGCCTTCCGATGGATATTTGCCCAAGGTCACACATGGCTCATATTTGCAGGGCATTTTGCGAGACTATCGAAATTGACAATTCTTACTGGGATTGAAATACGGAATATAAAATGTTTGCCTATCCTTCATTGATATACTCTTTATGGTTCTAGTAGACCACGGATCTAGCTAGTAATATGAAAAAGTAACCCATGTAATCGATTATCAGGTAGCAAATAGCAAGGATAAAAATGTCTCGAGTGTGCTGTTCAATCCCTGACAGCGATAGACCACAATGATATTTTAAAGTTTAAATACCACAATCATGCTATTGGCTGGAAATAAGTGCCACTCGGTTCCAACCATTTAGAGGTGGTCAAAATGCAACCTCAACCCGTGGATGAGCACCTTGCTACGAAGACGTATAGGGGCCAGGGTTCAAAACCCCCTTTTAGGGGGATTTTATGCCTGAATGCCTTTATTTAGAACGGCAGAAAAGTTAAAATACCTGAATTACTATTACATACGCCTTAGTAATCAAAGTACCCTGATTCTGCTGGCGTTTACAAGTCCAAAAAATGAAGCTTTTGTACACCATACAAATGCGGGCATCTCCATATTTCTAGAGGTTGCAAGTCCAAAAAATGAAGCTTTTCTATTCATTTATGCTATACAAATCCCCCTATTCCCTAACCCCAGACTCGGCGGTAGATGTGTACCTCGAGGCAGACAAGCGTAAAGCAGGGACCGGAGCAGAAGAAGTGACGGCGCATGAAGGAGAGAAGAGGAGAAAGATCAGAAATACGCCGGGGGGAGGGGGTGGGGGGTCGAATTAGCAATCCCCATGTTTTGGACTTCCAAACCGCCCAGAAATATGGAGATACCTAAATTTGTATGGAGGTCAAAAGCTTCATCTAGGCAGGTTGATGTATTAACAATTTACAGTACACTGTATTAGGGCGGTGTATAAAGCGGTACTAAATTAAGGCATTCAGGCATAAATTCCCCTCAAAAAGGGGTTTTGAACCCTGGCCCCTATACGTCTTCGTAACCTTGCTTACCTATACACTTGAGTTTCGAACTTCAACTTTTAGCTTTAAAATTGATCGAGACCACAAGCACACGCCACATCGTGTTGGATGAGTGGTCGGCAAAACCGGCGCGTCGACATGGTTAGCATCATTGATTTTCCCGTACTCGCCATTGGTCTACGTAGTATCGAACTCCTACCATAACCACAGGCAAAACCTGGCTAATATCTAAATGGTAGCGTGTTTCGGGTGACCAGTGTCAAGATTGTAGGACTCCAAGGTATTCAAACAGAAATGAGGGGCTCACAAAGAAGACAGTTAGCCTCATATTCGTTTATTTTTACACCTCCCTGTTATAAATGATATCCTAACTTATAAATCAAATCTCGGGAGGCACTAGGATCATCAAATTACTTGAAAACCTCAACCTTAGTGTTACGCACTGCAAACTGGCTACAGTCAGATCAGAGGGGTCCCAGGTTATACTTGCCTTATGTTTCTCTGGTTTCCAACGTCAACGATCTGATCTCTCAACCGTACTTTTGCCTACAGGCCTCACTTCAGGATGGGTCCTTTCGAGGTATCGAGCAACGGCTCCAGGTAGAGCGCCGAATAGATCTATATCGAGGTATTGGTCTATTCGTGAGTATTGTCAAGTTATAATCAAGTAATAAATCTCATAATAATCCAAAAGGTAAACACAAGTAACAATGTATTATTGGAGACGAAAAGCTAAACTAGATATCTAATTGGGCGTCCTTATATGTCCCTGAGTTCTTCCTGTGTAGATGGGTAGATAGTAGAGTAGTAGAATTGCCTTGGCAGATTCTACCGTTCGACCACATACGGCTCTATTGCTTGCATGATCCCGTAGTGTGGTTGCCCCAGAGTGGCAGTTCGTGGTGCAGTAGTTTTCCAATACAGACGGTAACATATGTAGATGTATTTTAGCATTTTGATGAATTTCTCCCTTGGGCACCGGCAGTCATTATCCGAGATCGGCTTTAACTTGCACCTCAATGTACATATTTGACGTGTTTCAGATCGGATGCCGGGACTTGAAGGTGGCGTTCTGTTTTCAACGGATATAAACTACTCCGGTGGCTCGGGATTAGCCGAATGGGGAAATTGCCCTCGGAGTTTGATCTGATAATCTGATCAGATTATAAAAAGGGCCAGGACTATTTATAAAGGTTCTTCTGGGTAACCTGGACTTCCCCTCAAACTTCATCTTCCAAAATGGCAACCTCACTACGGAATATTATCGTTGTTGGCGGCTCGTTCGTCGGACGAGTGAGTTCATTCTGCTGCCCAAGATAGAGAGTGTAACCACTAATGTCAATATAGACCACAGCTCAGGAGCTCGCACGCATCGTGCCTTCAACACACCGAGTAAGCTAACATTGAAGTCAACCTTGAAGGCGAAGCTAATGTTTTGTTCAGGTCCTCTTGACTGAGCCTCATAGCCACTTCCACCATCTTTTCACCTTTGTAAGTTGACTTCGATACCAGTGGACGTTCATTCCAGTAAACCTCCAAATCTAACATGGCCCATAGCCTCGGTTCGCAATTGTTCCGGGACAGGAACACAAAGCGTTTATTCCGTACAGTGGGATCTTCAATGTGTCGCCCAATCCCTCCTCCCATGGCGTAGTCCAGGCTCGCGTTTTGTCGGTCAAGCCCACCCATGTTGAGTTGGATCGTGAATGGCAGGGCTCGAAAGAGGTTCCGTTCGACTACGTCGTCATTGCTACTGGCACCCGTCTCTCCAAGCCTGCGGCTATGGACGATGATGACAAGGCATCGTCAGTCGAGTATCTGCAAAAGCATCAAGCTGGAGTTAAGAGATCCCAGTCAATTTTGATTGTTGGTGGTGGTGCTGTCGGTGTTCAAATGGCGACCGATCTGAAAGAATATTATCCAGAGAAGGAGGTTACCATGGTTCAATCCAGGCCGCGGGTGATGCCGAACTTCCACTCCGGACTCCATGACCTTATTAAGAGACGATTTGATCAGCTGGATATCCGACTCATCACTGGTTCTCGAGTTACTCTCCCACCGAGTGGATTCCCCAACGATGGCAGCAGCTTCGATGTTCAGCTCACAAATGGTACAACCGAGTCCACGCAATTCGTCATCTTAGCCACCGGACAAACCCCAAATAACCAACTGGTGGCTGACTTGAAGTCTCCTCGTCCGGACGGTGGGTCAGTCGTCAATCCGGATAATGGATTTATTCGCGTTAGACCTACTATGCAGTTCTTGGATGAGCAATACTCGAACCTATTTGCTGTGGGTGATATTGCAGACACCGGTGCGCAAAAGGCCGCTCGGCCAGGCTCGGCACAGGCAGCGGTTGTTGCGAAAAATATCCAGGCTTTGATCGAAGGCCGTGCTGCTGAGGATACGTTTGTCAAGGGACCTGGGGCCATTCATTTGACACTCGGCATGGTAAGTCAATCAAGCCTTTACGGAGACTGACCCGGATTTGACTGGGCTAATTGTTCTTTTTCAGAAACACAATGTGATTTTCCGCAATCCCAATACCGCAGAGGGTCAGACAGAGCCTTGGATCAACCCGAAGGATGAGTGAGTTCCTTAGTTCTTTTCTCGCATCACCCCAGCAGAAGCTAACATCTTTACCAGTGGCCGAGAGGATATGAATGTGGAAGCTATGTGGGAGAGGCTGGGTATCTCTGTTGAGAATCCTCGTCAATACCACCTGTAGCCCTTTCAAGCATGAGAAAGATAAAATTAAAACAGAGTGCCATGATCTTCAGTCAATTTAAATTTACTTATATGACACCGGAAACTCGGGTCATCTTCACCTAGTCCGTAGCATGACATAATTATAAAAAATGAAGGTTATCAGCCAGATCAGATCATTAATAATCTTCACTGTCGATACCTAGGTAGTTGTTGATTTTCGAACTGGATATTGTTGTTGGGGCCTTATCTATCAGGCCAAGAGATATCCCGGGTGCTGGCTTTTCGAAAACCACATCCCCTTTTCTTCCTTTTCTTCCTTTTGTAAAAACTCATTTAAACGAGCACCATGCTATTGAAGAATCACATGTGAATATGTGCGAAAAAGGTACCACAAATAAACCGAGGACAGCCCCAACTGGACCATATGGAACTGCTTTTGGACAGAGACCAAATCGCGGTGACAACCAAAGATCTGAAGGATCACCCCGTATGGATCTCATTCGAACTTACAACTTGGCGTCTGTTCTGGCTCCTGGTGAGCTTCTCATCGATGCGATGTGTGATACCGATGTGAACTTGTGTTTACCAGTGGTTGCTTGCGATCTCAGGCCGAGCGCGGACATGGAGATCCTACGCAAAACTCTACCACCATTGGATACATCGCCAACAGGGCCCTTCCATATCTGTCACATACCAAACGAAATGGTTGAAAATGGCATCACTATCACAGGAACCACCGTCTATGTGACCACAGGGCCCTCTGGTACCAAAGACCATGAAAATGCGACCAGTACTCTCTATTCGCTTACCTCGGGACTTAGAACTTCCATCAAAACACTTTGGAGCATCCCCTATGATGCCGGGCATGTGAAGAAGCCTGGTACATTTGCGCGTAGCTCAGGTGCAACCCCGGCATTGCTAGGAGGTCGGTATGTGGCTATCACGGACAATGCAAACAGCTGGGACAGCCTAGTCGTTTATCATCAGAAAGCGCAGAATGGTTCTTCGCAGACTATTTGCAGTGTCCCGTTATTTGAATCGGGGCTAAGCAATGTCGACACCGCACCTCTAACTCACCGCGATGGCAATACCTATGGTGTGACGCTTTGCAACGATTTCAATGCACTAACCCTATACTATGTGGACCCGGGCTTGGATGGGAAATTCAATAACCTAACGCCTCTTGGTGTGATCCGCGTTGATATCGCTGCCGATGGCAGTTCCTGCAAAGTTGCCTGGGAGAATGACCTGAGGGTCCAGTCTGTTCCGCTTCTTCACACCAGAATGGCCTAATTTATGGTTATACGCAATCCGTGGCCGCATCTCTGAAAGGTCTCTATGAATGGTATGATGTCGCATTTGATTGGCAAACAGGCAAAGAGGTCCGGAGAATGCGAGCTGGCGCAGGGGGACTTACAATGATGACTATCAACCTGGGGCTCTTGGACCAGATGGAAGTTTCTATCGAAGCGTGATTGGGGGCTTGGTTAGGTTCAAAGATCGTGTATGAGTGTTGAATACTGTCTTTCCAAAACTGCTGATCGTGCTGTTCTTTCTTTTCTAGCAATATGTGAAAGAATAAATACAAATCCAGCCATTTACAGACTTGGCTTTGCCGAGAGGGATTGCTTCAGCTTCTTCATCCGCTCTTCCGTGACAAGAAATGAGGTAGGACATTCCTGAGAAACATCTTCTCCAACAATCATACGAGCCACCATCTCCGCCATCCTGAAAGCTTTGATCATACCAATACCTTGATACCCACCACATACCCATTGGTGCCCTCTGTTGCTGAAAGGAAGTCTGCCAGCAAAGGCCGAACCATCCTGTGTATATCCGAGGATACCACTCCACGCATGGCTGACTTCTGATGCCGAGTGACCGTGGCTATACATCTCAGCCATCACGCCTCGAAGATGAATCTGAGGGCAGACATCCGTCTCACTATCATCGCCTGTCGCCCGCCGACCTGTGCTAGCCCGGCCTACCACGATACCTCCCGAGGGTCTCTGGATCAGATAATCCCAGTCCTTGCTCGAGTATCGATGCCAAAATGAGTTTTCCAGGTTTCTGTGTGGTGAATGCACTGTTTGATGAATTACATTGCCTCTCACGGGAGAAATGTACGGTCGCAGCTCGGGTAGGAGATGACCCAGCCAGGCATTTGTTGCGTGGACGACATGTCTTGCCCTGACATTCCCTCGATCAGTATGCACGACAGCGAATTCATCGTCTTTCCTGTCGGTGATCGAGACAACTTTTGTGTTGGACTGCACACGAAGACCGTTTTCCGTGATAAGCCTGCTCAAAAGACCCGTTACCATTCTGTACGGCCACATGGATGCTGCAGGGGTACCGATTGCACCAATGCTTCGATCGGAACAGTTCAGCTGGCCAAGTTTGGCTTTGTCTGTGTACACTGTGTATTGGGAAGCAAGCTCTGGTGCATATCTTTGCATATCGCTGATAGCTGCAATGGCGTCTGCAAAGTTGGACTTGTCATAGTACACGTCGATTCCTTCGATCAGGTTCAGCTCACAGTTGAGCTCGCTCTCCCGAATTGTCGCTGTCATATGCTCCAAGTGACTGTGCTCGAAGTTGGTTAGACAGATTGCCTCTTTGACGCCATATTTTGCTTTCCTGTCAAGCCAATAGTTATAGCTCATTGTCTTGATATGTCCGCCATTTCGACCGGTCGCACCTGAGCAGAGATCGCGAGCATCGAGCAGAACTATCTTCAGTTTGGCACTCTTTTGGTATAGTGTTCGGGCGAGGTTCATCCCAGACATCCCAGAGCCAATGATCACAACATCTGCATTATTGATCCAAGGAGATTGGGTGCGAGCAATAGGTGCAGATTGGGAGAGCCAGAACGATTTGGTCGAGTTGGAGACTGGAATACCTGGATCAACCAGGCCCGGTTCATAGATTCCATCTGGGGATCCGGACATATTGAATTGACGACAAGAGAAAGAGAGTATTGTTGATTAAAAGTGTGAGCACGATGTTACTATCTAACCTGCTTCAACCGTAATATCGGGGTACCCATCAAAATATAAGAAGTTGGAGAGACGCCACATGGAATCTCCAAGGGCTAATATAACCTATTTGGGCTATTATTTCCCAATTAGGCAGTTCAAATGAGTAGGGGTTTGAGGGGATTTCAGTCTATGCGGAGTCATGTCCTATTCCTATCAGGGATGAGAAATGCCTTGTTTTTTTCCTTCCAATTCCTCGATACTTCATAGCTCGACTGAGATCATGTCCATATCTGGCATTAGCAAAGTACATCATGGCCCTATGTTCGGTGCCTATGAAAGACTAAAAAGGATTATACTGAACATTCTTAGACATCCAATGTAATAGACATTTCCATCAATCCAATAATAGTCACTTTGATGGGCAACATCAAAATTATATCTTCACAAACAATCCAAAGCGTTTGGTCATCTGGTGATGCCTGATGTTCAGGCCACCCGTGGACCCGACGGCGGGTGGGGTGACTAATCCAAATCGAGGCAGACTGACCGACACGTTCGCCCCATTCGCCAAGAGTGACCTAACAGCCCATTCATTGCCATCCTGCGCAGCAAGGTGTAGTGGTGTCAAGTGCCGAAAACGTTCAGATACAGTCACATTTGCACCCTTCGCCAGAAGTAGATTAAGAATGGACTCGCTGCTAGGACTTTTGACACCGAATACATAAAATATCGCTGTTTTCCCATCGGATGAAGTTGCCTCTAAGTCTACTCCCTTCTCTAGGAGCAGCTTCACAACCGCTTCATTTCCAGACAGAACTGCGTAATGGAGTGCTGTTTCTCGGCTGATCGTTAATGCTGCCACATCAGCTCCCCTCTCCAGAAGCAGTCTCGTAACACTTTCCTGGCCACCACGGGCCGCATAGTGTAGAGCGGTCTCTTGGAATGAATTAGTGACAGCGATATCTGCCCCCATTCCCAGGAGTACATGGACGGCTGTTTCGTGGCCATTCCCTGCAGCGAGTTGCAGTGCGCTACATGTCGGTCTCCGTCCCATATCTATCGCAGACGATAGATCCGCACCTGCGTCCACCAAAAGCTCGATGATGCAATGCGTTCCGGCCTCTGCGGTGAGACATAGTGCTTTGCTTTTCGCTTCAAGCGGAATTGGCGCATCCCTGGTTTTGCTTAGGAGCTTACGGATTACAGGTGCTTGATTCCTTTTCGCGGCCCATCCGAGGACGGAGTTTTCGTCGGCGCAGATATGGCTGCGCGCACGTTGATAAAGATGGGAATCGAGGATGCTAGCATATCTCCGTGCCGTGCGTAGAAATGAGCCGATGTCTCGGGTGTCCAGAATGTCCGCTATCATGAGGAGGATCTCGATTGGAAGGTCGAGTAGTGGACTTGGCCGCACCTGACTGATGGGCATATTGAATTCGAGGACTACTCTGAATAACCTCTTGCGTTATTTCACGAGTTTAACCTTGTCAGGTAATGTACAGGATGGATCGAAATCAGTTTCACCACTTTGCTCTCATAAGATCTTTCTCGAACCCTAATCCGAAACTGCTAATCTATTTCTGGCTTGGCCCAGTTTCAAGTATTGAATCGTATTGAAATGTATTATCACGTGCCATACTGCTCTATAAATTACTTGTAATGCTCCTGCTAAAAATACCTGCATCTCGCAGGCCCTTAGCTCGCTCGCTGACGACGTTACTTCTGCCTTTCCACAATCTCTTGGCAGCCTAAAATCGGAAGGTCAATTCCATTTCGAGTAGCGAGCACTAATTCAATCTATTATGGGAAGGATTGTTTTGAAAAATTAACGTATAAAGCAAAAATGGCTGGGTAAACATCTGATATTCAAGTATATAGCTTATCTATGCATTCATATTCAAGCGCTCCACTTCCCATTCTAACAATGTTTCAGAATTAGATAAAGTAGTGGGATGGTTTGGGCCGACTGTTTGCTTTTGCTTGGTTAAGCAATCTCGTAGTAAATTTATGGCTTCGGCATCGTGAGCTGAAGATTTCCAGGTGAAAGCGAGATTAGCCATACTTTCCAGCGTATCTGGATGGTCCTCGCCGAGCTTCATCTTGCGAGTCTCCATCACCCGCACCTCGAGCTGCTCGGCCTCCTTCCACCGGCCCTGCTTCCTATATGTCGACGCCAGGTTAGCCTTACTGGTCAGCGTGGAGGGATGGTCCTCGCCGAGCTTTATCTTGCGAGTCTCTATCACCTGCACCTCGAGCTGCTCGGCCTTCTCCCACCGGCCCTGCTCCGTATACCTCGACGCTAGGTTGGCCTTACTGGTCAGCGTGTCGGGATGGTCCTTGCCGAGCTTCATCTTGCTCGTCTCCATCACCTGCACAAAGAGCTGCTCGGCCTCCTCCCACCGGCCCTGCTTCCTATATGTCATCGCCAGGTTGGCCATCCTAGTCAGCGTGTCGGGATGGTCCTTGCCGAGCTTCATCTTGCTCGTCTCCATCACCTGCACAAAGAGCTGCTCGGCCACCTCCCACCGGCCCTGCTTCCTATATGTCGACGCCAGGTTGGCCTTACTGCTCAGCGTGGAGGGATGGTCCTCGCCGAGCTTCATCTTGCGAGTCTCCATCACCTGCACAAAGAGCTGCTCGGCCACCTCCCACCGGCCCTGCTTCCTATATGTCGACGCCAACATGCTTGTGCTATCAATGGTTTCTTCGTGTTCATCTTCTAACAAAATCATTCTTTGATTTCTTGATTGAAATGCCATTTCTCTTGCATCCGCGATATTACCAACCTGCAACGCATACCATGCACCTCTATAAAGCAATATAGCCCATTTTCGTATACCCTCAGGCGATGCTGGCTGTTGTGACATTGCGGATTTGACATGAGGAAAGAGCGGTCTGCATCTCTCCCAATTTTCGTATTCACCAGTAGGAAACTCGTCGCATAGGGTGCTAATGAATTCACCCTTCCATTGGTCTATTTGTCCATGAGATTTCAACCACGCGCGCATAGTCAGTTGCACCAGCCGGTGCATCGTAAAAAGTGTACTGTTTTCAATGACAGATATAAATGAATAGTCCCTAAGCGTTGCGACGTCATCTTCAAAATCGGGACCGGAATCGGATTCAGATGTCTCCCCGTCGCTGGAGTCAGTTGGAAGTTCTGAACTTGATATGTAGTTGGCCTTAGGCTGATGCCGGATAAGGTTCTCTGGTATTCCTTGCCGATCGAAAAAGCTCATGAGAGAAAGCAACCGCGCTGCTGACGGCTTTGTTTGGCGCATATAATCAAATGATATTTGCCACGTCACCAGAATTGAATTCTTTGCTTCCCAGTCCCGGTAGAGGTGGCCCGCCTCTTTTTTCAGTAGTTTTGTTGCTTCACGGTCACTCCTTAGAAAATCTTTCAAGTTTTGTGATACCGAAGACCGAGGCGCCCGATTTCGAATATAGCTAGCGGCCTGTACGATCGCTAGCGGCATGAACTCTAACGTGCTCACTAATTGTCGACTCTCTTGGCTCTCTCCTAGTTGTTCAAGCTTTCTTTGGAGAAGCTCTAGAGCTTCGGACTTTTCCATGGGTTTAACCTCAATAAGGTCGTTGTGATTGACCAACTTCAACGCAACCTCTCTAGTCCGACTCGTGATAATGAGGGATCCATTTCGGCTTCTAGGAATGTATTCTAAGAGTGGTTTTCTGGAGGCGTTCGTTGAGCCACTTATCGGATCTTCTCCCTTGCCTGTCGCCGGAAACGAGCAAAGAAGCTGATCGTTATCGAGATTATCAAGGATACAAACCCAATTTCCTATCTTTTCATCCCGGAGCCAGTTTTCGACCAGTTTGAATATGTTAACTTTAGCATCTTGACGACCCGGGATTTTAACCTGGTACGCGATGTCCCGGAAACTTTGCTCAAATCGGGCTTCATTACTCGCATGGACCCAGAAAACCCATGTTGCCGGTGATTTGGATCGGACTTGGTAGGAGTATTCGATCGCAAGTTGCGACTTTCTTCGAATTGTCAGCAATAGACCACGTAAGAGCCGCAATACCCTTACCCAACACCTCCGAGGCCAATCAGCGCTATCCTCGACCCCGCGACCGAGTTTTTACGATAGATCTGATCAAACAGTGTATTGCGACGGACAAAGTCTGGGTCGCGCGTGAATGGCACAGTTGACAGAGGGCTGGGCGGGGTTTCTGGTCGCTCTAGGGGAAAGCGACAGTTAGTCAGTCGGCCTTGACCTGTTCTGTTCCATTCCTGACTTACCCGGAGGCAGATGAAACTCCGCATTGATCGAGCCACGGTTATCTCCAATCTGAAGCCCATGGTTATTGCCATGGAATGATATCGATTTCATGATCAAATAAACGTCAGTTTAGTTCATGACAAGAGCCGTTAGCTATCTGACTCTCAACTAAAGGAGATGCACCCCCTCAGGTTCACCATCAGGTGACTACGGCGCTAGGACAGGAAATTAGATTGGCGGACAGACGTCCACCCTACTTTTAGTCCTGTGTGGGGCGAGATTACCATCTTCCCAGTAATCATTTCGGCCCGAGCCAGAAAACCCAAATCAAGCGCTGCACGCGATAACCAGCCAGATTCCTCTAGATAAGAGCACACTTTGACAGTACTGTGTCAATCTACAGCAGCTTTCCCAAATGCACGGTATAAGCAACAAAAGTCTCAATCTGTTTTTTGCTATGGTCGAGCTAGCACAGGATGCTCCGGTCCTTGCAACCGCCATTATTTGAGGTCCGGGTTCAGGAATAGACTAAACATAATAGGTATAGCGTAATGCAAAATAGAGTTCGAGAAAGAATCCAAGAGAATAAACTGGTGAAACTGATTTCGATCCACACAGTAAAGCACGATGACTTGTGGTTCCAAAAAGGATTCTCCATACTCAAGAGTTCGCAGTAGATTCCTAAGTCATTCACGACTACTTGTTGGCCTGAGGATAGGGGAAACTAGATAACTAGCCCATGCAGTCAGCTTATCGCGTGCGTAATTCAACCGTGGTGGAGCCAAAGCGACTTCTAGAGGTATGAAAAAGCCTGTACATAAATTAATGAGAAGCTCTCGTGAAGGTTTGAGACGAATTCTCCGCGCTGAGCTTCAATGGCATCTTGCACGGCTTCTATTAATTATTTGGAGAATTATTATAAGCCACCAAAGTACGAGGGGGTTGGAATAGGGCCTGGAAAATATGGCATGAAATAAGCTTGGCACGGGTGAAATGAAATTATAGCTGGAGACTTGGGGGATGTCTAGGTATTAGGAAAAATGCGCGTGATTTGGGAGACTGCTGTCTACCCAATAATATTCAATAAACACCCTACTTTAAAAACACAATAAATTAATTACAATTATAATTTTTCTAAACCCCCTCATCTTTCACCACTATGGGCCTTGTACTACTCCTCGACGATGTCTTACAGACTATGTGTCTATTCTCGTTTATTCTACTGATTGTCGTGGAAAATATCGTTGATATTGATTGTGCTTTCGGTCAACTCCCAAATAACCGTTGGTTGTATGTTATTGTTCATCAACGTCATGTCTCTTCAAACAGTGTCTTTGCGCTTTGCCCGCGTTTTAATCTGCATTCCAAATATTAATTACCCAGGCCAGATCCCGCTTTTTTTTATCTCGCGAGTGAGACCCTCACATTTCTGGGATCATATTCGATCCCAGAATCCATGGCATGGTTCCTAGGCACGCTCTTGGCCGCTCACAGGAGGAACGGTCATGGTCCCAGAGGACCTATAGCTCCCGGGGTGGACTGTATAGCTCCGGGGAATGAGAGGTGATACCCTGGGAGCGTTGGTTACTACTTCTGGGAGCAATCAATAGCGTGCCTGGGAGCATGGAATCTGGATGTGACGGATCGCGGATGCTTGGGTTGTACCACTACGCCAGCTGGCCAAAAAGGCACAATGTTTGGTCAGCGACCAAACATCCAAGCTACTATATATGCTCCATCTCTGACCGTGTGAAGAGGGCTCCGTCAGAAATAGATTCCTCTGATCCTCAGCCGATAACTAGCCGTGACTGACATAAGCTAGTTAACAAGGTAGGAATCAGAATCATAGCCCATTGCGCACAGTTATGAAATATAAAATGCAGAAATTACCTATTCAGGCCGATTTATGCTCATAACTTAGATTTGACATGACCAAGAAATGGGCATTTCTTGGCGGGCATTGTCAAGGTCTATATAAAGGGTACCAGCTCGGGGGTTTGTCCAGCTCGGTGGTGAATTACGTTAGTTAAGAGCGCGAAGCCTAACTAATTAGGCTTAGTCCCCGATATTGCAAACCTTTCTCTCGAAAGTGGCTACCTCCGAATGAGGCGGGAAGTACTCAGCTACGCGCTTCTATAAGAGCTCGGAAACGTATAAGGTGTGATGATGATCTATATGAATATTATTAGCTGTATAATCAATTGTATTTTCAGATTTGAGATGAAGCAGATTTAATCCACTGATGTAAAGAGTAAGGAGAATACCAAATGATACAGAAGGAAATCGCATAAGTTATGAATGTCATGGGGCTCCCGAATATTACTCCACTTTAGAGACCCCATAAACCATGGTGGTTTCTGGAACTCGCCCCAAAACCCGCCCCAATAACGGTTTGGGGCGGTTCGATTTTGGGGTTTTGCGGTTTGGGGCGCAGTCTACACCCGTTTAACCTTCTCAATTGATAAATGTAACAGCCACCAAAACCCGTGGACTCCAGTGGCTTGCCTTCCCGCTTACTCCATAGTGTCATGGGCTAAATCGCTTGACATCAGAGTACATGGGCGGAATACTCTTGGCAAATTTATGTTGTAGAGGCCCCCAAAGAACTTTGCGGACTAATCTATATCGATGCCTAGTTCGCACGAGCCCCCTCCGGTGATTGATGCGTCCCAGCAGGGTCAAGTTTCCACTGCAATCATGCGTTTTACGGGCACTAGTACCGTGCGGATGTACACATTCAAAGTACATCAGGCGGATCTTCAACTTCTGGACAAGATCAGATCCAATGAGGGGAAATAGCCTCAGCAGTCTAGAATACGGGCAAAAATCTTGACGCGAGTAGATACCTGTAGAGGTGGTTGAATCCCAGCAATGCATGGTTTCCACCAACCAAACGGCAAGAACATGTCGATGTTCCTACCAAGCCACTCCTAGATGTCGGTCTACATATTCGCAACTTCATCAATAGCCGTAGGGAGAAACGAGTTAGTGAAGCCAGAATCATTCGAAAATTACCTCATTCCTGCACGGTTTGTGGCAATGTGGTATTGATAGCCAAAGTTACTACAGTGATATTCGAAATCAGTTTTACCTGCTATCTCTCTCTCTTTGACCTCAAACGCACTGGTCCGCATTAGGAATTATATCCGCTGCCTTGGGTTTAACCATGCATCTTCAATGGATCAGCGTGAATTGCAGTAAGTTTCCATAAAATCTTATACGACGTTCTAGGTACCAAGTTGGACTATTGTAGAACTCTATCAAACCCTGATTTTAAGGCTATAAAGCCTCACTGACAGAGCTATTGATAGCAGACATAATGCTACTAAATACTTACTACGGAGTAGTGGTGATCAAATATTTTCCCTGTGTCGCTTTATGATGTGGCTTATATGAAGCACTAGCATAATTGTGGTAGGAATTAAATTAAGCTGAGGCGCACTTATCACTGGTATCACCGGGATCCTTGGCGCCTTGGCACGGGAACTTATGTAATCTTATACGAGCGAGGGCTGAGAGGGTAGGTAGATATCGAGCGGCATTTCCGAAAGAGGAAAACGCATTGTGTCATCTAGCTCTCAGATCTTGCCTAGCTCTTCTTGGGTTCCATCCTGTTTAGGCCGATCCTGTCGATCCCGTAATACGGTGGAGAGGAGAAAATTGATAGAGGCCAAAAACCGACACATTCATAATAATATCTATAAATTGGCACTATTACCTTGAAATATTTAGAAAGGTAGTGGCTATATCAGTTTTAAACCTAGAGAAAATCGGCCTTTTGTTTTGAGAAAGCATACACTATCAATTACTGCTCCGATTCAACCTCCATCATGCGTTTTATTTCGGGACTGTTAGGCACATATGGTTTGTTCTTCACTTTTTATGCTATGCCGTGAGACTTATAGCTAATGGTTGTGTGTATCAAGCGGCGATAGTGAGCGCACTGCCACAGGCCGTGCCAGAGGCGTTCTCATGGGAGGAGACGTGCTCAGGCATCGAAACCAAATCCCAGGAAAACTGGAAGAAAGGTGGATTTGGCGAATGGTTCTCCGTTACGTACGGTTTTTCTCTCCTCAATCTGGGCGGGGGATACTAGGGCTTTGTATCTGACAAATATTCTAGGGCATCTGTGGAAGGAATCTACACCCAGGATATCCAAAAGACAATTCAGTCTTGGGAATCGGATGACCAGAGCAGCCTTTATGGCTTTTATTGTTCCCCAATGAGCCACTGTGAAGCAAACCTCGATAAGGATCAATGTCTCGACCCAGAGCATCCCATCCGACCTGCGCTGTATTTTGTGATGTGGTCAATCGCTAACTTGAACAATTGGATGGATTCTTTATTGACTGCAGTGGACCACACAGCTGGTATAGCTGACGCTCGGGCTGCTGATTTGGTTAACACTTTTGCCACAAATATGGAGAACATCGTGAGTGAATGTTCATCTCACTTTCAGAGTCACGCCTATCTCACTAACTGAATCCCCAGCCTCTCCTCAATGCCGGTCCTGCCCTGGCTGCCGGTTTCTTAGGAAGTCTTGCAGCAATTTTCCCGCCCGCCGCCGTAGCTGGAGGCTTTGCTTCAGGTCTTGCGACCATCGGAGCTGGCCTTCTCTCTCTTACTAGTAATAGTAAGCCAGTTGAGTTGTACGTGGAGCTCAATCGAACCGAGTATATTCTATCCTAGGTCATACTAATATGTCTCATTCTCTCATATAGGGAACCCAAATTCAACGACTTTACCGATATCACTACGTATATCGCTAAGGCCTCGGAGGGGATGCAAAAGAGCATTGAGACATATACCCAATGGCTTCTAACAAGTATCCCATCGAATGACCGTGCCAATGGCATCAATTACATCTATGATCCTAAATCCCTCCCAAACGTCCTTCTGGACGGTGATTTCGCCGAGCCCAGAATCTCGGATGTCCTCCCAGACGGCATCTACGTCTCCCTATTCAGCGCCGCGGTCGCCCTTCTATGGAAAGAAGAAAGCGCGAGGGTCGTCAAAATTAGCCACGAGCTTCCTACCTTAAGCAAACTTGTCTGTGATCATGAGAAGGTCATGTATGGAAACAAGTGGTGCGACAGTGAAGGAAACGCCTACATTCTACTCGGCTGGGATAAAACCTGGTTCAAGACCCCCTGGGACCAGGCTGCGGCGGAAAGTCTCCAGGATCTCAAAGGCATTGGCAAGCTTCAGGAGTACAGACTAAGCATCGAAATTGTCTCCACAGCATCCGAGTATGCGAGCTTGCTGAACGGTGGTCGTTCATACTATGAATGGAACACTGCCAGAGTCATTGAACACATGAATCAAGATGAAAAGAATATGGCGAAGTTTTCTGGCTTCAACCTGCCCTTCTGTGAGATTGCTCCTTCTGCCTATGGCGTTGGGGGGAATGAGCTTCTTGATAGGGCTGAATGCGATGAACAGGTAAGAAACGACACTTCACTTTCTTTTTGTGCTACTAACAGTAACTTGCAGTGTCAAGTTATTTGGGCCATGCGGGATTGCTTCCAGGGAGAAGACCCGGAACATCCTGGGGTCGGACTCTTTTTCATAGATGACTTTGGGTACCACTATCCCATCACTCCATGTATACCGGGGCATCAGTGTTGATGGGAGTTCAGATGTGTAGCATGAGCTAGGACTGGATAGGAAGGTGGCATGAATTGAATATATAGTAGTGAACGAAAACCTATGAGTCCCCGACTCCCCACGTATGCAAAGAAGACCATTCAAGATTAGTACTAAGGCTAGAACGCGAGAAGTGGTTCGTCACTATAACTCTTCATCTCTCTGTGGCTGTCTATATCGCTTTCATTTGGCGAGGGGTTAGAGTTTATAAAAAAGAATTAAAAAAAAGCTGTAACGTGGGAGGAACCACGAGGGTTTCCACGGATTTCTGGAAGGAATAATTATCTGAGACCAAGCCACCTTTATCAATGGCCCCAACATATTTCAAACGTACCTGGGGGTATGCCCAATCAACAGCAGTTCAACGTGAGTTGAAACACATCTAGCAGGGGTCTCACTATACACAGCGGCTCACAAGCTACCTGGGGTAGTGTCTTTGTAGATGACTATATTGTGACTTGAATATTACGTTGAGAAGATGGTGTTGCAAATTTCTAGGAATGTTCACATTTGTGCCATCCGTTCTGCCCGGGCAAAGCCAGAATTCGCGTACCACTCATATATGGATTCTCATCATCGCAGATAACCCAGGTCACCTATGGGCAACTAGCACTACAAGATGAGTGCTCCTCCAGTCATCTTTTTCCCTTGTTCGCCAGGCGGTTTGATCGCCTATTTCCACAATTGTCATCTCCTTTGTGTCCTCTTTTGCGTTTGCCGGATCCTTCTTGACAGGGCGGATTGTACTTCTCGGGCTGGCTAGTCTCAATAGGTCGTACCAATTCATCACCTTGACCGGACCACGAAATGTTGAGCTGACCACAAGATGCCGTGTGGGTCTGTCCATATAGATCTGTTTACCCTATGGGCAGACACGGTTTTGAGATGTCTAGAAGAAATTTGCAAAAGCGCAGCTAGATGGACAAGATGCAAGATGTCGAGAGCTTCTGGTCTAAACACGAGCGATTGCGACCGTTCATACAGAGTGTAAAGCGGATCTGAAAGCATCTAGGCCTAGCAAGTCCATGCAGCCTTCGTTTAAGCCTGCACAAAATGCACTGTGTTCTTCGACATTGGGTGCCATGTTGGTTGGGAGTAGGCAAAAGAGGAGTGGGTCGGGTGCCTGTCGAATGTTTTGTTATGTACTAAGTCACATGTTTCATGAAATATGAGGATCTTGAAATCGACGCCGAAAATGACAGCATTTGACGCTAGGGACGGCTGGCTTTCCATCCGTAACTTGGACCGCGAGCCGCCGCTAAACCGCCCCCATTCAGAGGGTTCAGAGCCCTTCATACATACCCTAATCTATTATCGTGGGCACAACAGACCCATGTATGCGGCTCGCTTCGGCGACTCCGGAGAAGTTTTGCTTATCGCTTCGGAACGGAACGGCGATGCGAGGCTGGTGTGCGTGCAATGAATATGTAATATAGCTGACGAGTTGAACAATTTTTTAGGTAGCCACGTCGGGAAAACACCAAAGCTTGCCCTCTTAAAACACGAGCGTTACTCCTGACAATCTCAGCAAGATAGAGCAGTCCGTATCGCAGATGGCGCAGGCTGCTAGTTGTAACAGGGGAACTTCGGTATTTCGTATATCCTCGCTTTGCGCAAACCGGCGACTGATGGGGGAGATATTGTTCTTTTTGAGGAGCAGCGCGAACAATTTCTTCAAATGGTTGAATTGCCCGAAGAGCAACAACCGAGACTTTCCACATGAGATGCGCTTTTCCTTCACTCCGTCCATCGATGAGCTCCCACTGGAGACGGACATTAGAGTCACCTCCAGGGGCTGATACCTTCATGAAGTTAAGTGCCCCAGTCACCATGGAGTAATCCAGCCAAAGGTTTTCTTCGGGACCAGGTATACCGTAGACAACGCTGCATTCTGAAGAGTACCGAATCACTCCAGCAAATCTCCCAAGGGTATCTCCTTCCTGGACTGAAATAATTGGGCAACCCGTGAGAAAGACATCATCTTTGGGTTGAAGAATAACGAAAATAGACTTGTTCCACATTGTTTCTGCCTTTGGCTGCAAGTCAAAGAACACACCAAGCGTAACAGCGGATGGCTTGTGTGATCCGCTCAATTGGAAGACGGTTTCCTCTACGCTGGAGGACCATGGGTTAATAGCGCTGTTCCACGCATTTTCAGGAACAATAAGTGTGTCCGCTACAAGCGGCTGGCTCGGCCATAGTCTTCCTATAAAACCTCCCTTGCTCTCCTCGGCCACACGCTCTTCCAACTGTTTTATATGGAAGGCATATCTTTCTTCCCAGTTCCGGACTATCTCTACCAAAGAAGCTCCAGCTTCTAATGAGTAGCTTTTGCAGAAACGGTCGAATTCCTTTATGCGATACAAGAGAATTTTGTCAATACCCGCGTTCCGTATCTCGAATAGTCGTTTCCAAAAAAGACGGCACTGCCGTTGATTGGCGAGGCTAAGTCCATAACCCGCTTCCCTCATGAAGCGCTCGGTAGCGACCTTCTCGGCTATCGTAAATTTATCAAGAGGGCCTTTGGAGGTTGGCAAATCCTTTAGGTCAAGGAGTTCGGCGCCTTTTTTGATAATTTCCCAGTGTAACAGACCCCGCAGCTAGTGATTCTGTTGCATTGCCGGTCTTTTCAGTGGGAGAGCTAACATACAGCCATTACTCATTCACCCCGACCACCTGGGCTTGACAGTATTCAATACCACTCAAAAATAAACAGAAACTGTACCTTTAGCTTCTTTTGAATCTAAGTTCGTGGGAATTTGTAGGCTTTTTCAAGGACGCCGCTGTCAAAGCTTCCAGAATTTGTTCAAGTTGCTTGTATCGGAGTCATATCCCCAACAAAGATATGTCTGCATGTTAGAACTGTTTCTTACTGTGGTCAATTCCATAGACGATGCCGTAACTAGTAGCCGCAGCAATGGTGCCAACGAATAATGTCTGTGCCGCACCGTAGAACCCGGCACGCTTGGTTTTGATGACGCAGAAGTTTTTGACGAAGCCGAAACTGAATAGGGTGACCACTGTGATTCCTATTGAGACGAACAGCGCGTGGAGTACGTCGTGAATAGCAAAATATGGAATCATGGGAAGCAAGCCCCCTGAGACGAGGTTACTTCGAGTTAGTGGCAAGAGGAACTGACGAGGGAGGACACACCAATAAAGTAGGCCACTCCCATTGTTGCTGCTGAAATCCATGCTCGAGAACGATTAGGTTTCTCAAGTTTCAGCTCAAAGTCCATCATGAACTGTGTGTTTCGGTGGGCCGGAGTCCTTTGATTGAGAATGGTAAAAACATACCCGAATCCAATATTCGTCATTCTGAGACAAACAATCAACGACAGCTTGACTTGCTTCTCTAGAGATACCATACTGAAAGAGAATCTCGTGGATCTCTTCCTGTTCGTCAATTGGTTGAGAGAATATTTCTTCACGCTCTCTCGCCTCTTCGCTTTCATAATGATCTCTATCAGTGACAGCTGCAAGATAAGCACCTAACCCCATTGATATAGACCCGCTGAACAGTTCTGCTAGACCACCGATGATAACCAGTTTCGAGGATCCTAGGCTGGATAGGCCAGCGGTCAGGGCAAAAGGGACGGTCATTCCATCCGCAAAGCCAATGACAATGTCTCGAACTACCGCCCCAGATTCATAATGGCGTTCTGACTCTGCGTGCGCGATGAAGCGTCGTTCACTCAGGCTCAGGGACATTGCCACAAATATAGAGCGTGTAGATAAGGCGAAGAGAGATGATCCTGTACTCGCGACCCCGCATGATGTGGTGTCGGAATATTAATATTTACACTTCCGCTCGATGCGTCATTTATTAAGCTGACAAATCGAATACGTCACCATCATGGTCGGAATAGTGAATGTCTTCTATCACTGCGACCATGGAAGAGTAGTTGGCCGTTCGTCTCGAAAGTCCTATTATATTATATTAGAACCGACTATTTACGTTCGTGGTTTTGTGACCTCGAGTAGCTCATATCCCGGGAGAGTAATACTAAATTGAACATATGTTAACTATACGTCTGTAATAGCATTGCAGCTCCGATCACTGTATTGATGCAAAGCGTTTATGTTCAACTGCACCGGATGCTGTTAATGATAATAGATGGGAACTGCGTAATTGGTGCCAGAAAGACAACTCATAATCATGAACAAGACAATTAATGTCACACTTGCGTCGAAGCTTCTCTCACAATCTTGAAGCAATTCGAGTAAATCCAAAATATGAGAGACTAGGTTGAAATGATCCGCCTCTGCGCTCAATAAGAGGCTGGAATAGATAGTAAACACATTTCCAAGTGAAGAAACTATTAACTCATCAATGTTAATGTGTATGCCTGCCGTCCAAGCATGGGGCATCGCCTGATGAGGCAGATTCACTAGACTCAATCACACCGCCCATCTTTCCAGCCGGTTCTCCATCGCTCCTCCCAAGACCGACAATCAAACTCTTCCTTTCCAAGCTTCCTGTTCACTTCATTGTGCGCCCCGCACATCCACCACCCAAACTCCGCGCGCCCACCAAGCATGGGCTCATTACGCCCACTGGGGTGGCCCATCCATGCTTGGAAACCTTTTGCACACACCCAGCACGGATAAAGGCGCGAGAAGAGTTTCAAGAAGGCCTGCATGTCTTTTTGCTGTTTTGTATCGGCTTTTTTGGGGTAAGTGGCTGCCATAGAGTGGAGAAGGGTCCAAGTTGAGCGGCCAAGTTCTTCGACATCCGGGGTCAGTACGTGGGGATTGTGCTTGAAGGAGGCATCGCGTCGGAGGTGACGGTTCTTGCGGAGGTTATTGTTTTGTCGGAATTGCGTCGTGTTAACATGAGGGTAGGGGTAAAAGGGAATGGATAATAGCTACTCTGAGTATAAACAAATGGAGCAGGTAATCCTATAGTTTGGAATGGCTCAACCGACACACACTAGCTTACTTTTGTGTGCCACATGGGTCGCCAATGCGGTCACTGAGGAGATATGCATCACATCGAAAAGAGAGCACTCGGCCTCGAACGTGGCCACCAGCCAATTGCGCAGCTCAACCGCCACCAATGAATCCACGCCAAACTGTGACAGCGACATTTTGGGGACGATTTCCGACACCGGCCTGCTAAACATGCCTGCGAGATTCCCGACCAGGGCGTGTGTGATGGTCTGGACGGCCTCAAGCAACGTCGTCGACGCTGTAAGCTGCTCCTTGATGCTGAACGCCCAACAGATCATGGGGTGCGAAGGTCCTTGTTCACAGCTCACGGTTCATGTGTGGTTCAGCCCAGTAGGACGTCTCATGATTCCTTGGATATGTCGGCAGATCGGTGAGCACCGGTATTCCCTAGTGGCTGTAGGGGAAATTAACCGCCCCGAAGTCCACCGGATACCCTTGTTTGACCAGCGACGAGACCAGACGATGCATGGTCTGCACGGCATCCCCTCCCCTCGTCAAGCACGACTCGTAAGCAATTCCCGCTGGCTGTAGCTCCGGGAGCTGAAGGATCTGTCGGACCGGACCGGCCAGAGCGCCGTGGTGCCCGACTTCAATGACCAGATCAACCGCGAGCGTGCCATCAGCCTCCGCCGGATTGACACAGAGGTTGTGATGGAGAATCTACAGAGTGGAGATCCAGATATGGAGAAACAATACTGTGAGATTCGCCTGGGAGCAAAAGGACGGAGAGGAAGGAGAGAGAGAGAGGGAGAGAAGAGAGAGCTATCTAGCTCTCTATCACTATCTGGATCTGTCCCATGTGGGTTCACCCAATTTCCCCTAGTATTGGCATGGTATTCCGGGCAGACTTGGAAGTACGGTGTCGTAACACGCCGGAGCTCAATCGTATAGACCCCTGAGATCGTTCTACCGATCTTAATACCTACAATCAATCATCTGATTCTATTGGACATGTTCAGTACTAGCCAGTGCATCAATTCCTCATCCTGACATTTTCTGCTCCTTTCTTTTTCAGTAGCCGTAATTTCGGTTTCAGAATCTAGCGTCCCAACGCCATTCACGCTAGCCATGCACCATGCATTCATACAACCAGGGCAAGTGGCTAAATTTCAACCAGCCAGTGCACCATCCAATCGGATGCCATCAAGACTCCGATTGCTACTATGCTCGAGTGGCAATTTGCCAACCCCGAAGTGCTAATTAGGGTAGAGGTATGCAGCCACCATTTTCATCCTTCCTAGTGTTATGGTCAGGATGTAACCCTGAGGAAGAATGGACGTTTTTCATCTTTAGATGCATCTATTGGTTTTTCCCTTGTGTCATAAAATCGATCACGTCATTTTACTTTGTTGCCTAATAATCTTTCTCAGTTCCCCCGAGAAGCGGTCCAGTACCTAAATTGGCTGTATACCCTCCATCGAAACCACTTCGTTGTTTACTACCATTAGCCCTGCGAACTGAACTAGGAATTCGCCTTCTCGAAGCATCTTCTCAACCATGTCCGGACTTTTGGTTCGTGGGGACCTGTCAAATGGCTCTTCTCTCCCAGCCACTCGGGCCAGCTTGGAATCGTTTGGCCCTGCTACTTCCATGAGCTTCGACTTTACGCCACTTTTTGAAGACACTATCCTCTCTTTGCTACCATCGGCTCTTCTCTTACTAATCCTACCATATCGCATTATAAGCCTCTATGGCCAGCGGCCAAAAGTATCTTCTGGGGGTTTTTTACGCGAGAGCAAATCACTTTTCTTGGCCATGTTTGCCGCAATCCATCTGGCGCTGTTAGTCCTCCGCGTTTTAAATTCATCACTACGCACGTCTGCTACTATTGCCGAGTCTGCACTGGCTTTCATCGCTAGTCTAGGTCTCTGTCTGCTTTCGCGGCTTGAGCATTTGCGTTCTATTCGCCCATCGCCCATTATCAACGGCTACATCCTCCTCACTTTAATATTCGACATTGCTCGTGTACGAACACTCTTCCTCGATTCAGCCAACAGATCCATCGCTGGGATATTCTCTTGCATGATGGGCGTCAAAGTGATGGTTCTGCTTGCTGAAGCAATAGAAAAGCGAAAGCTGCTCTTGGGACCATATCGTGGTTTATCGCCGGAAGAAACGAGCGGCATTTACAGTAAATCGTTTTTCTTCTGGCTGAACCAACTCATGACATGTGGATTCCAGCGTGTTCTTCAAAGTCACGATTTGTATCCGATCGACAGTAATATGTCTTCCCCGGTACTCAAACAGCGAATGAAGGATGCTTGGAGTGCTGCGACACAAGATAAACCAAGAGCTCTTTTCTGGGCAGTATTACGTGCGAATTTGAAGCCATTGTCTTTTTGCGTCGTCCCGCGTTTGTTGCAGATTGGCTTTAGATATACTCAGCCTTTCCTTCTCACGCGCACGATTACTTTCGCAAATGATGAGGGCCAGCCAGACATAATTGGCTGGGGCCTCACTTGCGCCTTTTTCATAGTCCTTCTTGGTGTCGCGATCTCAAATGGCGTTTCCTACCATATGACTTTTCGCTTCGTGACAAGCGCCCGTGGCAGTTTGGTCAGCATCATCTATTCCAAAACGGTCGATCTCAGCGTCACAGCCCTCGATGAATCAGTTGCGGTTACTTTGATGTCCAGTGATGTCCAAGCCATTTGTAATGGTTTCCAATTGATCAATGATCTCTGGGGAGTACCCCTTGAGCTAGCCATTGTTATCTATCTCTTGACTCGCCAACTTGGAATTGTCGCGCTCGTGCCAGCCATTCTATCGTTCATATCTACTGTTGCTATCATTTCTATGGCAAAATCCATGGGAAATGCCCAAAAGATATGGATGAAGAGCATTCAAACGCGAGTTGATGTCACGTCCACAATGTTAGCGTCCATGAAATCCGTCAAGATGCTTGGCTTTACTGATAGGCTAGCGGACATTGTCCAAGGGCTCAGGATAAGTGAGCTTCAGGAGGCAAAGCTCTTTCGTAGGTTGCTTGTTTTGCGTGTCTTCCTTGCAAACAGCCTCCGATTTCTAGCTCCACCCTTGACGTTTGCTATCTTCGTAACCATCCCGCAAAAGGGGCATTCTTTGAATGTGAATTCGGTTTACACAACCTTGTCCCTAATCTCGCTGCTAGCTACGCCTATCAACACATTCATCCGAGCCATTCCTGCCATGAACACCGCTTTAGCATCTTTAGATCGCATTCAAGAATTTCTTCAGTCAGAGGGTAGACGTGATCATCGCATAATTTTGGAAGATTCTCCAGCCTCAATACAACGGATTCAGTCCAGCTTGGAAGGGATAGAGCTCTCAGACCTCAGTCCCATGAGGCAAAATACCGTACCGGAAGTCATTGCCGCCCGAGATGTGAGCTTCGCATGGGGTAACCATACAATCTTCGCGGTCCACGATATCAACTTGAGTGTTCAAAAAGGTCAATTTTGTTTCATTATTGGCTCGACAGGCTGTGGCAAGAGCACTCTCATGAAAGGTATTTTGGGTGAGACACCATCAACAAAAGGCTTTCTATACACGAAATACCGAGAGACAGCATTCGTGGATCAGACACCCTGGATCCGCAACACGTCGCTCAGGGATAATATTTTAGGCGTCTCGAATTATACGGAGACATGGTATCATGAGGTTGTTAGCGCCTGTGGATTGGATCAGGATGTTGCAAACCTCCCAAATGGCCACTGTGAGTTTCTATCTCCTAGTTTGTCTGTCTTATTGCTTATCTTTATTCCAATTTCTAGCGACAAAAGTTGGTTCTTCCGGTATCTCTCTGTCCGGGGGACAAAAACAACGACTTGCATTGGCTCGCGCTGTTTATGCATGCAAAGATGTCATTATGTTGGATGATATCTTGTCGGGCCTTGACGCTGATACTGAGGAACATGTCTTCAAAAGCCTTTTTGCAAGAAAGGGATTGTTTCGCCGACTAGGTACGACTGTGCTGCTATCTACGCATGCTGTGCATCGCCTTTCTTATGCGGATCACATTGTTGCTATGAGAAGCGATGGCTCTATCGCGGAGCAGGGCACGCTACAGGAGCTTGAGGCCAGCGGTGGCTATCTAACCCTCTTGAAAGCACAGTATAAAGACCAGGCGATTGACGAAGTGAACCCTCAACAGCACAAGGCTACGAAAGTTGCACTCGATGTCTCTGACCAAGGAAACCACATTGATGCTAGGGAAGGAGAATTGACTAGGCAAAATGGAGATTTTGCTCTTTACTTATATTATTTTGGGTCTGTGCATTGGGCATCCAGTGTTTTTTGGATGACTTTCTTCGTCCTTGAAGGAGTGTCGCCAAAGCTGAGCGAATTGCTGGTCAAAACTTGGGTGAGCGCATTGGAAAATCATGGCAGTGCTGTCAATTCCTTCTACCTGGGTCTATACGCCCTGGTGTCAATCATAACCGCCTTTGCGCTTGTGGGTGGAGCTTACCATTTATTCATGTTCTTTGCCCCCGGAGTGCTGAAACTCTACATAAACGTCTTCTAAAATCGGTTATGCATGCTCCCTTGTCATTTTTCACTTCAGTCGATACTGGCACCACTATGAACAGGTAAGCTTACTGAATTCAAGAAATTCTGCTACTTGAATTATCCCGGATTACCTGACCACCAACTATGAACAGGTTCAGCCAAGACATGACCTTAATTGATCATGACCTACCTTACTCTGCCCTCGATTTTATATTCTCACTTTCGGGTGGACTCATGTCCGCTATTATGATGTGTATATCGGCTCGGTATTTCGCCGCCGTAGTACCACCATTTTTCGTTTTTTTGTGGATGTTGCAGAAGTTTTACTTGCGTACATCACGCCAAATGCGCCTTCTAGACCTCGAGGCCAAGTCGCCGCTGTTCTCTCAATTTATTGAGAGCCTATCAGGCCTAGTGACAATCCGTGCCTTCGGCTGGGCGTCTGCATTCGAAGACCAGAATCTGGCCCTGCTTGACGAGTCGCAGAGACCGTTTTATTTACTTTTCTGTATCCAGCGATGGCTGGAACTAGCCCTGGATCTATCGGTGGCTATTCTCGGTGCTATCCTGATGGTTCTCGTCGTCAAATTGCGAAATGAGGTTGGCACTGGATATGTCGGTCTCGCCATCCTCAATGTCATCACTTTCAGCCAGTCGCTTTCTCAGATTCTACGGAATTGGGCCGAACTTGAGACTTCCATCGGGGCTATCGCTCGAATTAGAGATTTTGTTACCCATACCGACTCCGAGAATAAGCCAGGCGAGAACGAGGGGCTCCAAGCTATGGACCTTGATTTGTCCTCCTGGCCATCCAGGGGTGCGATTGAGTTTCAGAATGTCTATGCATCTTACAAGGCAGGGGAAGATCAACCACACGTACTTCGCAATTTGAGCCTATCGATTCAGCCGGGTCAAAAAATTGGGATATGTGGTCGCAGTGGCAGCGGCAAAAGCTCGCTTCTGGCTGCCCTGTTTCGACTACTGGAAATTGAGTCACAAAGTCGAATTCTGATTGATGGCGTGGATATTGCACACATCCCACGGCAGATTACACGTACAGCGCTTAACGCCATTCCACAAGAGCCTTTTTTCACCCACGGCACTGTTCGTGCCAATATTGATCCTTCCAATACCAACAGCCTTGAAGTGATTGAGCACGCTCTTCGTCGCGTTGAACTGTGGAATATTATTGAGACGAAAGGCGGATTCGATGCCCCTCTAGATGCCAATTTTTTCTCTCATGGCCAAAGACAACTCTTTTGTCTTGCACGCGCCCTGTTGCGCAAAAGCAAAATAGTGATTCTCGACGAAATGACTAGCAATGTGGATGTTGTTTCTGACGCGTTGATGCAACGGGTTGTTCGTGAAGATTTTGCGGACTGCACGATCTTGGCTGTTGCTCATCGGCTCGAGACAATCATTGACTTTGATCGCATCGCCGTGATACAGAATGGTGAGCTGATTGAATTTGATACGCCTCAGGTACTTCTTAAAACGGATAGTGCGTTCAGGGAGCTCTACGAGTCATGAAATGGAAGTTTGGCAAGATTGAGAGAGAGGCGTGAGTCGCCACACATAGAAACAAGATACAGTAGATGACGAGGAATATCAACATGAAAACGGAAAGGGTGCTACGGCTGTCCTTTAGTTACCAAACAATTCGTAAATGATGTTACAGAAGAAATCAATGTACATAATGTTTGATAATATTGTAAACACGGTAATTTAATACTTGAAATGATTAACTATTTTGCGGTTCTGAGGCAGCTGGCGGATCACGATCTCGTTCTACCCTCCACCAGATTAACGCGAAAGGCAATTTTTGATCAATGTGTAAACTCATCGCCCCCCTGAGCATTTTCCACCTGAGTACTGTGGTCCCCCGCCTTTTCACCCCTAGCAGCCTGAGAAAGTCGACGTTGCCTGTTAATCTCCATCATCTTCTTTGCAAATGGTGACCGCTCACGAATTTCAGGACCTTTGCGGTAGAAGAAATATATCGGCGCAGTGACAAAAATCGAGACACAAGCAAGAATTGTAGAAGCATACGCGTACGGATGTTTGTTACCAATGTTCTCAAACATCGGTGTGGAATACATAGCTGCAATTCCAGCCAGAAAGTCGCGTGCGAAGTCGTTGCCTCCTGTAGCGGATGCTGCATATTCTCCGTATGCTGCAATGGTGTAATCAATGGAAGATTGATAGATAGAATACTGTGGGACATCAGAAACCTTTCCGCGTCGCGCATTGGAAGAGCTCACATTAGCGATTCCTATTACCACGGTGAAGATCATAGGTGCGATCCAATGGACATTTGGTGGGCCCAGAGTTGTCCATGCAAAGCCAAAAAGGCCAATTGGCAGACAGGGTATGACTGTGACCATCATAAATATCTTGTGAACAATAGAATAGACCTATTGTCCCCGTGATTGGAAATATTGACTCACCATAGAGCAACCACCATAACCGTGCTTCTGGAGGCACAGATTCGGAGCCATTCTTACGTCGTCTTTGTCTAAACATATGGATAGAGGGCAGGAATGAGAGATAAGCGAGGAAATAACCAATAATCAGCCTAGCGAGAAATCAAAGTTTTAGCTTGCAAAGCTCAACCTGCTTTATATCCAGAGGGAAGATAGGGTTCCACTGACGGTATAAATGCAAGACTTATTTGAATTGTCCCAAAGCCCCACTGTTTGTAGACTGGTTGAAACCCTTGAAGGAACGTGAAAATCAATGAATCACTGAACCCACTTAGTAGCGAAAGCCACAAAACAATAGGCTCAGTGAGGAGCATAACGAATGGTCGTTTCCATACTCTCCAAATTTCTCGTAGGGAGAGCTTAAAACCGTGAATCTCATGTGGACCCCAGATGTTGACTTTTCCTGGTCCGGCCTTGCGTCTCTTCTTCGCTACCCTGTCGAGGATGATGGTAGCTCGCGTTTCCGGTACTAGGAAGAAGTGCATAATCTGGACACATCCACCAGCGAGGAGCTGGACCCAAAAGATCCAGGCCAATGGATGGCGCACTTCCACAAACCCACCAACGACCGCTCCGACAACTGAGCCTCCGACGGATGATAGCACGAGGAATGCGACAGCGTATTCCTGATCATCGGGCTCCCACATATCCGCAATAACTCCCAGTGTCACCGAGCCACCGGCTGTACTCAAACCCCCAAGGAGTCGAACCACAATATATGTCGCAAAATTGGGAGCAAGAGCACATGGTAACTGCCAGATGTTAACGAGGAGGAGACTAAGTTGCTGGGTTGGCCATCGCCCAAGTTCTTCACTCCAAGGGGCCCAAAGCTCACATCCGAAGGCGTAGGCACAAAGAAATGTCAGCTGAGGAATTCTCGCAACTTGTTCACTAACATTGTGCTCCTTCGAGATCGCCGCGACGCCGTTCGCATAGAGACTTGCGTTCAGGTTGATTGATATTTGGATACAAAACATTACGCAGAGGATTTGCCATTTTCTCCACACGGGATAGCTATATCCCAATTCGTCGTAGGCAGCAGACTGCGTTAGCTCGATCTTGTTGGTATCCTGCGGGGAGATTTTGTCTTCTCTGTCGTCGCCTAGATCCACCGTTTCTAAATCTGGGTGGGGTCTATCGCTTGAACCATCGATGAATTGATTAGTTGATGCCATAGTAGTGGTATAAATTTGTACAATTTATGTGGAAAGAAAATCATTATTCGATCTGAAACAGTAATTATATAGATTGGTCTAACCGACTACTTCATAGAACTCATACTTCCATGACGTGTGTGGAGAATTTCTCCCATGGGCACCGCAAGGCTTGTTTCGAATAATTCTTGTTGGCGTTGAGCTGTTCATTCATTTTCGTATTTCTCAATATGGATCGAGCGACTAAACCATGGAAACAGAGATGGAAAGACACTGGATTCGTGGACGGTACGTCAGCAGGCAGAATCCGACACGGGGCCACTTATGATCACTCGCTCTTTTTGATAGTTTTGAATTTAGCTTGGAGCTTAAACATAAATCAACGCGATAACTTAACAAAAAAGCGTTGCCACTCTCGTCTGTGGCGGATGCGTCTCTTGGTAAGAGGGGCGGATGGTACCGCCTGGGCGAGTGATCCCAGCGACCAAGAAGCGTGCACATCTCTCATCATGGGTATCATTGCGAGAATTTACGGAGTATTTGATGCGTGCTTTGATTCTCTCCCTTGCTTATTATAGCGTAATTTTATCGATCTCAACTTGTCAGCACTTATATCAATTTCAAGCTAATATCATTTTTAGGAAAATCTATGTTGTCGGCGCAGTAACACCGGCATACCGGAGGATTTATTAATCCTACATGTTTTAGTAATTTATGTTATGTAATCGAGGCTCCATATAAATTATGTAGAGAGCCGATACAGGAATACAGAGAGTTGAATACCATTGATTGGACCCTACATTTTACAATACGGAATACACCGACATATGTTGTATGCCTGATTATGCCTTAGGCAGCAGCCCCACATGGGACAGACATATCCAGATAGTGATAGATAGCTAGATAGCTCTCTCTTCTCTTCCTCTCTCCCTCTTCTTCCTCTCCGTCCCTTTTCTCCCAGGCGAATCTGACAGTATTGTTTCTCCATATCTGGATCTCCACTCTGTAGATTCTCCATCAATATCACGGCCGCTCTGCGTCTTGTATATCTAGAGTAAATGGCTATTTCTTTGTTGGCTGTGATAAATTTCTTCCCTACTGTGTAACGGTCGGAGTCATAAATCAACTCTTGCCTTGAATTGTTTGTGCAAAATGTCGATGTATAATGCCTAACTAGTTCCTTTCTTCCTTTGGACCAGCGCTATCTACTTAACAATTGTCGTCTTTTAGACCTATCGTGATAAATGGGGCAGTCAGGGAGAGGAGGCAATAGAATGGAAAGAATAGGTATTAATATTTTAATCTCAATATTGTATATGTGAATTGCATATCATTACAATCCGACCCCGACGAGTTGTACGAATAGACTATTGAAAAAATACGTGTGTAAGCCGCTGCATAATCATTGGAGACTGAGAATGGAGAGGAACTAGGGACTGAAAAATCGTGCATTTCCATGACCTTTCACATTAGCTCAAACATCACAACAGTCTTTGTTCAATGGCTGGGCTCTAGCGAAAAATGTCTGCCCCACAAACTCTTTATTGATGGCCATTTCTTATTGAAGCGAATAGATCATTGTAGACATCGCTTCTAGTGGTTCTGGTACATAATAGGAGTTTACAAAAATGGGCGATTTTTTATCCTTTGTCTACTTCCCTTCATGATTTAATGTTGTTGTGTTCACCTAGAACAATTTTCTTGCCAAATAAGTGGGTCAATTGATCAGTTGACCACCCTCAAAATGACACTGGACTGTGTTGCACCAGTCACTATCCTAGGAGCCATTTTCATCATTGTAAATGCCAAGGAGGGGTGTACCGTACGAGCAGAGTGCCGAAGCCGCCTGGGTAACACGGTTCAAATTAACAGAATACACAGAGAGATAAAACCAGAGGAATACAAACACAAAAGCAGGGCTAGCTACTGCTCTGGTCAAGAAAGTGGCTGGGAAGTCAGAAGATATCATTTGGTGGGAAAATGCGGAGGGCTGGTAAAGCCAATTACACACAATTTATTGCATGGCAAATCAAGGATAACCCCACAGTCTACCTAATTTAACAATGATGTTTGATGACAATCTGAACATAGTAGCATAGGGGATGACAGCAACTAGTTCAGAGCAATATGGCAATAAACAAGTAATCAAGTGATGGCAGGGAGAGTGGAGTGTAGATTCGACGAAATGAACAATTTGCTCAACCGGGGGTTTGAGTAAATAGTTGTTTTTGGTTATTTATTCGTTCTTTGCTCCATCGCATATGCGTTGACGCGGCATTTACGATGCACGACAGGCCAGTAAGGTGTCATCCCGAGTTGCAGTAAATAAACCGGTAGTGGGTCAGTTGCAGCAGGCTAAATTGTTAACTGATAACTACAGGTGTCGAGACACGGATAACTTAGCGCTAGACAGGGGTTATGACTCGTGTGTTGTATACGGAGTAGTGAATGTATGCTTGGCATTGCGGCTAACCCCGTGGAGCTGAGCCATGGGCTATTCCAGCCCCATGAGATTCGTTCTTTTAGTAAACCTCTACACCCAAGATTAAGTCCGCTGTAGCTATTATCTTATTCGCCTATAGGGGTTCGTAGCGTATGTCTCAGCTTCATTGAGGGGTAATCTGAGTGGGGCTGGAAGGATCGGAAATTTACAGTAGGATAATGCAACTGGAGGATACTATTGGGACATTTATCTCGCCGACTCACCTTTAGTTACCAGAAATACGCTTGTTTTGGTCACAGTATTCCTCTTTCTTCCTTTTTATAGTAATAAGAAATGCTGTATCCAAATATGAGGTCGTTTAGGCAGAATTTGATTAATAGCGTTATATATGTGAATAATATCAGAAGGCAAACTACTATTCTGGTTTACTCGGTGAGATATTAGAGATCTATCTGATTCGGTCTAATTTTTCGCTTATGACTGTTCTCCCACCTCGAGTAAGCAGATTCAAAGCGAACTCTTCGGCCCTTTTCTTCTCGCACTATAAGCACTCCCCTCAACCTGCCCAGCACCCTCCATGCTATGTAACCACCCAACCCTATCCTTTGTATACTGTTCAATCCTCGGCCTCAACTTAGTCTCATGTAAATGAAAATCATCCACTGTTCCAATGCGAAGAACACTATGTCCCGGGTATGCCTCGCCGACGCGATACATAAGCGAGCCACACGTTGAACAGAAGAAGTTGGTCATGCTTTTGCCGGACTCGATTGTTCGAGACTGACTATAGGTTTTGAGTTTCTCGCGGCCGCGTAGGTGTTTCAGATGGGAGTCTGCAATTATGAAATTGGAGGCGAACATGGAGGCGGTGATTTTACGACAGTCTGAACAGTGGCAGAGGAACGTGTCAACTAGGCCGGGACCTTGGGTTGGCTATAGTTTGCAGTTCATGTTAGTGTGCGATTTGTGATATTAATGTATTATACACACAAAGGCAAGTTGTATGGCGCCGCAGTAGCATGTAGCTGTCGCTTCGCCGTCTTGCGACCAACCGTCGTCTGCGCCGCCGGCTAGGGGTATGTAGGGGTTGGATTTGTCGGTAGGCATTTTCTTGGAGATATCGGATATTGATGAGGCTATGCTATGATAAATAATTACTGAAATGGTTGCAGTGAAGGAGAGGGAAAAAATGGATTACCAATCTAGTGCTGACGCCGCGGAGATCTAATTTGTCAAACATCAGATATGGTGCATCTAGGCCCCATACAAGATTCATGGTTTTTGTTGTGGTCTAGTGGTAAAATATCATAATTTACTAGGCGTTTCGGTTGAACTTTCAAGGAAGCCTCGGTTAGTGCTAAGCCTGTCTTCATCCGTATTCCCGACATTACAGATCCTACATACTCTCAAGTATATACAAAAACAATATGAACGACAATGGTCAGATTTTTGGCATTCTAAGACCTAGTTGCTGGACAAATTTTAGAGCAGTTTCAAAAATCATCACTAAAGCGGATACTAGTACCAGCTAAGTGGAGCTCCATTGGTGTTAGGCAACTTATTTTCGGACCATTCTTTGAGATAATCATTTAGTGGTAATCTCAAAAAATGAGTACTTGACTAGGGGTTGAATCAGGACGGTGTATCTGGGTCATGAATATCATTGAACAAGCTGAGATATTAACTATACCAAGACTGTTGGGATCAGGACTGTGGTCGTAAATAGTTTCCTCTCCTCTCTTTTCCCCTGAGTCAGTCAATCAGTAAGTTTACCGAACCTATTAGATATATCGCTATCCTCACTCTTTATTAAGAGAAGAGTATTAGTTGAGAAAATTCCTTGCTAATGAAGTTAGACCAGGCTCATAGCCTATTAAAATGTATAATATATACTATACAAAGCATATATGGGATATTAATATTACAAAGATGACACTAGCAGTATGGCATCAATAATGAATTGAAAAATCTCTACCTCTCAATGCCTAGCAAGAAGCCTATATCTATAGACTTCCCCCACGTATACATATAGATAACATATCCCTTATATATTAGGTATAAATTTGTAATGGAAATATGAATGGAATCATAGATAAATGAAGAGGGCAACGGATTCCGCCGGAGGAAGGAGATTGGAGCAGATTGAAGCAGGTAAGCAGGTAAGCAGCTAAGCAGGTAGAAGCAGTTTGAACGCAGTCCGAGTTGAAATCTCATCCTTCGATACAATCTGGAAGCAAGCTATATGCAGGAATGGGTGACGAAGCTGTCAGACTGCATCAAAGCCGTCTCAATTCCGTAGGAGTTTATCATCCTTGGGATGCAAGAATGATGAATGAGGTTCAGCGTTGAAACCATCCCAAAGCATGTTGATTACTGCGAATTGACTGGGATTCTCAACGGGGTTTGAGGCTTTACTGCGTCATATGGAGAAACACTTATGGCCTAGGAGAGAGTCAACGGTACCCACCAGTATTAATTCAGGCGCTTGCAGTTGGGTCATTCCCCCCCCACCCCCCAACACTACACTCCTGATGTATAGTTGCTCTATCTCCGACTGGGACGGAGAAGGCCGGTGAATATTCAGATGTCTATCCAGGAATTGAAATGTCCTCTACACTGACAACCCAATAGCTCCAATCTTGGCCAGGAGCCCTCCTTCTTCCGGGGATCGACCAATCCACATCTCTCGTCGGTCATCCCCGAGATGCTCGAGGGCGTTGAACACGCGGAGGGTCTCCTCGGGCTCGAGGTACAGCGACTGCGTAGCGCCTGACACGAACACGGGACATTTTACGTCGTCCAGGCGACTCGAGCCGTCCGGTCGGCGGAGAGTAAATTTCATCATCTCGACCAAGGTATCCATCCCCAAAGAACCAGATGGCCAATCCAATTTCCAACCGGGCCTGGAACGAACTCTGCCATGGCCATGGCCATCATGCTGTTGATCAGCCGCGTGGGATCCAGCCATTGTTCCAGCCGTTAAGGAGCATCGGAGAGATATTGTTGCGCACAAAATCCCACATGTCGTAGAAGGGATCAATATAGACGCAGGCATGGATGCGGGGTTCTGCCGCCGCGTGTAGCGCATAGTATCCGCCCATGGAAGCGCAAGCCACTGCCACGCGGGAGAGATCTAGTTCCAGCTCGGGATACTGTTCGACAAACCGCTCGAGGAGGTCCAACACTCGGCCGACGACCACTTACCAGTCGGGACGCATGGCGGTCTTCTCCCGTCGGAGCATGATCCCCTGCCCAGGTTCTTCGAATAGCCTAGATCCGGCCCACTTGCCGCATATACATAGTATAGCTCCTCCTGGATGGGGTCTGCCTCGCCCAGACTGATCACCAGTGGTACCGACTGCTTCAGTCGCTTCGACGCGGGCGGGAGATACAGGTATCCTGGTAGGGGATACGGCTCGAAGGGGATGCTGACCGCAAACGCCGGACCGTTGCCTAATGGAAGCGCCTGCACAAACGTGTCGATCACCTTGAGGGCAAGAGGGAGCACCCGGGCATCCGGCGCATGTGGTGCATCGTGGAACATGTACCTGCTTGCGCGGTAGTAGTTGGATGCGCGCAGAAATGTCCGCCGTGCCGAGACCCGGTCTCCGGTGCGCATGGCCTCATCGCCCAGGGCCCGAGCTTTGTTTGCCTGTCCTAGCCATGCGCGATGCCAGCTTTCGGGGTCGTCGTTGGCGATATCACTGGCCGCCACGTGGCATTCCCAGATCTCGGCGCCGCCATAGGAGGCGGTGGAGAAAATGCGGATAAACTTGAAGTTGAAGAAATCGGATTTAAAAAAGCGATGCATTTCGACTGAGAGCAGGGAGGTCAGAGAGGAAAGGAGAGTGAGCGAAACCATCGTCCGTCTATGTTATGTATGGTGTTTGAACTTGGGGCAAAATCGCATGTCCGATGGTCGACCGACTGCGAATCTGACGGAGGCCAGCAACAAGCCAGGCCCAGGCTTTATATGAGTACATATTCGTTTTTGTTCCCTTTCTTCTGCTCGGAGTGACTATAAAAATTAAACCAATATCCCCTTGATCAAGAAACAAGCAGCACCAAAATGGGCGTTGAACTCGTTGCAGCCGGCAGTCTGGCCCTGAAGATCCTCCGAGTGACTCCCTTGATCGCCACGACAATTCTGTAAGTGAGCAAACTCAGCTTCATTTTGATGAAGATTACCCTTAACACTCCAATTCTTCAGACTGGTCAACCGACTGGCGCAATACTTTGCGCTCTCCTCGTTTCTCCCTCCGTATACCTCCACCAAAAAGGTTGACCATGTTGGCGCTGCCCTACAACACTGGCTCCAAACGGTGGTCCCTCGGATTTGGACCGGAGTCATCGGTATCGTCTTGATTGCGCGGGTGGGGCGCTTACACTAGCCGTTTTGGAGGAGAGGTTGAAAAACGACGCATCAAATTGGAAGGCATCTTGGGTGAGAAAGTGTGCTCCTTTCACGTATGACTGTAGAAAAACCAAAATAGACACTCGCTGGACCACTTATTGAACCCGGAATGGATATAGACGGGGTGGAAAGATGAAATACCGTCCCGAGGTGCTCTTTGTCTGGGTGATACCTCGCCGCCTGGTTGAAGCGACTCGAGGGAATGAGGGACCAGGCACTGCGAGCGTCAGCACGAAGTTCCCACAGCTTTTCGGGGTTAGTGGCACCCCCAGAAAAGCGACAGGCCATGCCAATGACGGCAATGGACACGGCGGGCAGGTCCGGCTCCGATGCAAGGAAGTGGTCCGTATCGCCATCGCTGGGACTGGGAGTTGGAGACACTGGGATAATCATTGGGCGAACCGCTGGATCGATGAGCGGTCAAAATGGCGATATAGGTTAAATCGCCGTCCTTTGTGCTCAGATCCGTTCATTTTAGCGTTATTATTATATGTTGTATCGCTGGTGAGCTTTCCTTATTGTCGGTATACGTGGTGTGGCTCTCCATCTTCGGATCGGATATTGTCCGTCGTCTTGTTCGGTCGGAGTCGGAGAAGACAAAGAAACAGACATTGTAGGGGAAGTCGCCTTAGTCACCCGTCCTCTCAATCCACCTGGGCAGATGGAGTGGGTGTCTGGATGGATCCATTATACACGCTAAGCAGGGAACGTTGTCTCAAACCACAAAGAAGAGGTGTCGGGATGACTCCGTTCAGTCTAGAGGGAAGAGAGGCGTACAGTAGATTTCGAAAACGGCTTCCCTCGAAACACTCACGATTTGTTTCTCGGCCCGTACCCAGAACCACGCTAATCCATATAGGGCTCACTCAAAATTAACCCCTGTTTAGCTGTATCGTAGTATAGAACGTATTGAGATTATGTGTCAAATGAGTCATTGTTAATTACCGTACTCGCCCATAGAATATTCTAGGGAGGCAATCGCCATGGCAACGGCAGTTCTGGCGATCTGGTCTCATCCATGCCCACATCGCTTTCTTACCTTTTCAACATAGCTGTCTACATCAAGATACATTACCAAGACCCCGTAGAGCACTAACCTTGGTAGGATAAGCTGATTCTCGTTTATGCTCCCCATGGTACTCGTTCCCTATCGCAACTTTCGTTCGTCATTGGGCTTCTTGCGAAAACTGGCATCGCCCACTCATGCTGATTGACCTCCAGTGCTTTGATTGTGCGTAGATATGAACGGCAGCCCCTACCATGATGGATACACCTCTCAGCCCCAAGAATACGAAACATGGGAACAGGATTCACAATATTCACCCCCTACCCCGGGATACTTCCGAAGCCCATCTGCTACATCTTCCAACTGCAGCCTTTCCCGGTCCATCCCATTCGACGATGACCCCAGCTCCGCAAGCCAACTTCGGCCCAGTACTCTACCTCTACTACAGGAATCCGAATGGCATTCGGAGAAAGCCTACGACGAGGATCCTCCAAACTGCATCCACAATTTCATAGAATGGCGAGTCACCCTCAACAACAAAACCGTCGTAAAAGACACGGAAGAAGATCTTGTTTTGGCTCCAGGCGCCTACTGGAAGTTGTTCTTGGAAAAAAAGCTACACACTGTTCTCCAAGAGAAAGTCTCCCGTAATAAAAGGGTCAGGGTCGATGACACGGCAATCATTGTGTCAAACAGCGACCGTACACAACGTGATCTGAATAAGCGTTTCAACAAAACGGAAATAGTTTGGGCCCCTATTGAAAAACAACTCAGGATGTGGTCGAGTCATTTCTGCCGTGGAAAAAGACTCACGCTAAGAGTCTGTTTCAATTATATAGAAGACTGCAATTCCCCAACCTCAGGACGAACGGGTGAAAAGAGAGGGAAATCCTCCATCACAAGGAGTATGCTTGGCGATCGCGATGCCCAGCTGGATGCTGAAGAAAATGCAAGCGGACAGCAATCTATTTGGCGCCGCGTTTATGACTTGATGAAATGCGATTCAGCCGCATGCCACTTGGGCCCTTATTGCTGGCTAGACCCGAAGGGAAAGAAGCATTATCGACTCCGGACGCAAACACTCAGACGTCTGGTCACCTATGTGGAGAAAGGTGGTGTCCTGGAGACGCACAAGGACGTCCCAGATGAAATCCGATATGAGCTCTTCATGGAAGATCAGCAGAGAGAGGAAAGAAATAAGCGTAAAGGCGGTAATATACTTGGCAGTCAAATATCGCATTTGCCGATCAACATCAATGTTCACCTCCCTGGGGTGGCGACAACGGCTTCAGCAGTTGAGGCAGCTGGGCCAAAACCCGTGAGCTCGTTAAAGATTCCTGGTCTTAAGGACGTGGCCGTCAAAGAATATAGTGAGTGGCTTGCATCGAATGTATCTGATGATACTCTCAAAGCTGCATTTCGACAAGCGTGCGATATAACCCTGTCTGATGGCTTTGAGCTTGAGCACATCTATAAGGATCAGAATCCGGAATTGCTCGGAGTTTCGTAGAAAATATTCGTGATTGGGTTGAGAATGTGAAAAAAGCATTGCCTGTTCTCGACTTGGTGTAGACGAGCGTGTGGGCGATGGGTGCGGTTATTTGGCGTTTTTCCTTCTCGCTCATCTTGTATGCAACTTGGAAATAGGAAGCACATGTACGTTCTTTCTTTGGAGATGTTTTTAGTTTGAATTTTGTTCCGGAGTCAAATTAAAGGTTGGACAACGCGAAGCGTGGTAGATGCTCCTATGATGCTAGTGTTGTGACGTCCCATAGGCCCGGTAATAACCCTGTTTTCTGGCCCAACGAGTCTGTCTGTCAAAAGCTCTCTTTTCCTCACCTGTCATATGCTTCAGGCCCCGTTCTCGAAGTTCTGAAAAGAAATTAATGGCAGCGTCGAACGTATCAGGATATGTCCATCCATCTCGTTTCATAAGACCTTCTATACTCTGGGCCTCATTCCAGCCCTTGGCATCAACGGAGTGGCTATGTAGTTCATCCTGCGTGAAGTGATAGGGACATTCGCCTTGGATGCCAAGTTCGTTCCAATGTCTGAGATAAGTGATCAGATACATACCGTCCGAAAAAGGAAGATGATACTAAGTGAGATAGCTACATACCTTTCAACATTAATGAGTGCCTCACGAAAAGAGACTATGTCATCATCCCATGTGTTTCGGGCATTCGATTGGAAGACGCCTTGCCTTCCCATAGTCTAGATGGAACGCTTTGGCAAGGAGGGGATTGCGCTCTTTAATCCCCAGCAGATAGAGCTGATATAGCGTCGATTTGAATATTTTTTTGCTTGATCTCAGCTTGCTGCTCATGGCCCAGACTGAAAGTGCACGACGTCCAATGTCAATGTTCATTGCTCCTGTCTGGTTGAGAACGGTTAAAAATCATTTGCGCCAGAGGCTAGGTGTAGCTGCTGAATGTCTTGGCGCTTGTTAAGTCACGTAAACCGACTAGAATTATTTTTTAATATATTAAAACAAGAAAACGAATGCAACCGTATATACAGGAATGGCTGTGTGTGACGGATATGAAAGGGCCTGCAATAATGATGGAATCGCCTTAGCGCGTCACTTTTTTGATGTTGGTCATTACGGTAATGCTTGGAACGACCAGCAACAAATTGTGGAAGATATTGAGTCAAAGGGTTATTCGTATTCACTCGAAAAATGCGTTAGAGTATTGAAGATGTAGTACCGTAGTAATCCACCAGCAATATTTGTTTCTGGTTTATTGATTGGATATGACAATCTCGGGTCGTTTATGTTGTGTGGGCTCATTGTTGAGGTTGTTTCTACCATCGGCGGCTGCTGTCGATGGCTGAATACCTCGATCAGCAATAATTCCCCACCATGCATCTAGGCCTCCCTTCTGACCTGGTCTGTTTTACATCTGAACCCTGAGCGGTATCGTCGTTCTCGAAATCGGCTTGACAGGTATACTCTTCGTCACTCTTTCTGTGGAAGCTGATAGCGGGTCTCTGCAAATCATCAATCCCCAATACACACTCACAGGCCCCCCGACCGATCTTCGCACTCTCCCAAGTGTCCCTTATTCGTAACATTCTATTGATGCCATTTCGAACCCAGTTGTGCTGGGCGCAGCCAATGGTTGCAAGAGTTTCCACTTGGACAGAAACGAACGACCCCTTGTGGTAGTTGCGTGGCTTAACCGATCGGACAAGCGCCAATCAGGGTCCACTTTTGCTCTTAGTCTCACTTCGATGCCTAAAACGGGTTGAATGCAAAAATTGATCAACCCACCAATTTAAACCTCTCATTTAACAACCTTTCCCTATGGGATCTATAGTATATTTAACATTTACAGATTCATCTGGTCCCGCGCTTTCTTCTGCACTATTTAGATCCTCCAATTTCGACTTCCTGGCGGCGAGAGCTGCCTCTGTAGTAGCAGCTCCAATCCACTTCTTCCTCGCTTGCTGGATTAATTTCTTCCTCTCTGTTTCATCTCTCACTTTTATATGCCTATTTGCATCTAATGAAGTGAGAGGACCACCCATATTCACCCTTCGCTTGCTTTTACTAGCTTCCCTCCGGCGTTTTAGGTTCAACATGTTGGCATTATCATGCGCATACTGAGCGCCCGCTTCCACCAAGGTTAGCGCACCAGCCAAAAATGGAGCTAGTTGACGGCGTAGCTTTGGAGAAATAGCATCGATCTCATTTCCAATCTCGTCGGTTTTTTTTTTTGATTTTTTCAGCGTATTTCCGGAAGGTTTTAATGTCTATTACCGGCGAATTTGGTATAGAGCTTGACTCTGGAGGGGGGTATCACCATCCCATATCTCTAATACTGGCTCTGGAAGATTAGGATCGTCATTCCAACCTAGCTTCTCTAAAGCAGCATCTACATTTAAAGGATAGATACCGCATTTTTCAAAGCCAGAGCGTATTGTACGGCTTTTAAAAGCTTGGTTCCGAACCCCATAGATGCTTGAAAAAAAGTCCGATTTTTGCTTTACTGAACCACCCCACTGTACTATATCATTATTATTCTTACGAAAATAATGCTTTAGCACCTGAAACGGCACATCGTCAAGCGGCTGACATATATGCGTTGTATGTGGGATAAAATAGTATGGAATAATCAGATTATTCTCGCAGAATTTGATAAATTCATAGGTGAGATGGGAGCCATGATTATCCATAAGAAGAAGCCGAAAACCCGTCTTTGTACAGCGATTTTTACTGCTTTCTTCGAATGATTGAAGCCATTGAAAGGCTATAGTATCGTCGGTCCAACCATTAGGTGTAGGAGTAATCCAATAGTCGTCGGGGAGGTTGGTAGTCCTATACCAATTCTCCATATGGAATTCACCCTTAACCAAAAACCAAGGTGGCATTACCCAGCCATCGGCAGCAATACATTCAATTGAAGTAAGCGATTCACCAGGCCCGCCAGTTCCAATACTAGCAGATTGACCAGCCTTAGTTGAAACGACTTTTCGGGGTTTGCCTTCGCCAATTTTGAAGCCGCTTTCGTCAAAGTTATAGATATTCTTCGATCCGATTTTTAACCGCTGAATAGTATCACCTAGGCGAGTATACCAGGTAACAAGATGACCAGGTGTAACTGCTTCTAGGCGGTCCTTTTCCATTGGTTTTTGCTTGATATAGGTGTATTTATCGGGTAGTCGTTTAATAAAACGGTAGGCCCAATTCATACCAAGGCATATATCTGGATCATGCCGATGAAGAATTTGACGTGCACACTTCTGGATCATATCCGCAGTTGGAGGAGCATTTGCAGAATTCAAGGTATCGATCCAATGAATTAATGCCTGCTCTTGCTCAGTCCCTAATGCTTTGTTGGCGCCAGCATGGCCAGTTTTAGATTTGCGACCGTTGATTCTACCCCTCAGGGTATGGTATGGAACATCAAATTCCCGCGCCAATACTGAAATTACAGGCTTATCATTTTTATGGTAGGCTTGCAAAGCACTAGAGATCCGATCTTCCAAATTTTGGGATGAAAAAGGCATTTTCAGTGGTAGTAAATAGAGGTTAAAAATGGTGGGTGGGTGAGGTTTTGCATTCAACCCGTTTTTGCATTCAACCCGTTTTTGCATTCAACCCGTTTTTGCATTCAACCCGTGCGGCCCAACTCCCTCTGGGAGTTGGGCCGTGCGTTGGGCCGAGTATCATCCTTCGCGACATCTTACTTTTACTTTTGATATCATTAATACCGTGGAAGGCTTGTTAACCATGGATCCACTTTCGGGTGCAGCAAGTGTTATCGCAGTTATCCAGTTAACCGGAGTTATCTTACAAATATGTGAAAAATATCTCAATAACGTCAAGAGCGCGAAGCAGGATATTCAGCGTTTCCAAGAGAAGGTCGCCGCCCTTTCACAAGTCCTTCACTCTCTCGATGAGCTGATCCGTGGATCTGATGGCAACAAACTTACTGCTACGCAAGACCTGGTCGACAATATTGCCAAATGCTCCTCAGCACTTACAAATTTGAAAGAGAGAATCAATCCGGAAACGACGCAGAAACAGATGAGGAAATGGGGCCTTCGAGCCTTAAAATGGCCACTGGCACGGTCGGAGGCAGATTTTGCTATCATGGAGCTTGAGTCGTACAAAACAACATTTGCTTTGTCCTTGCAGGTTGATCAAACGTAGGCTCCGGACCGAAATCCGATCTCTTAATTATTCATATCAAGGGCCAACTCTGACACTGACTCAGGAGATCTACCAATTTGATCCACAAAAAGATAGACCTCAGCAGACTACAGACCGCAAAACAAGCAGCATTCGACTCCTACGACAATCAACACAGTGAATGTCTCCCGGGGACCCGGATTGACCTGCTTCGAGAAATCGAAGAGTGGGCAAAATCCCCACACGGAAAATGCATATTTTGGTTGAACGGCATGGCAGGGACAGGGAAATCAACAATCTCCCAAACAGTTGCAAGCCGTCTTCAGGAGCAGCAGCTTCTCGGGGCCAGCTTCTTCTTTCGGAGAGGTGAAGAGGACAGAGGGACAGCAAAAAAGCTTTTCCCAACATTGACCGAGCAAATGGTCAACAGAGTACCTCAAATGCTGCCTCGAGTTCAAAAGGCAATTGACGATGACCCTAATATTTCGGAAAAGGTGTTGAGAGAACAATTTGAAAAGCTTCTACTGGATCCACTGTTTGATATTGAGCAGCGCGAAGAGACCATAAGAAGAGTGATCGTGATTGATGCTCTAGATGAATGCGATTCAGAAGATGATATAGGGATTATTCTCCGGCTCTTGCCACAAGTTCGAAAGTCAACTTCTGTGCAACTACGGTTTTTATTGACAAGCAGACCTGAGTTGCCGATCAGGCTGGGCTTCGAAGGGATCACCGATGCCCACCAGGATTTGGTCCTCCATGAGATCGAAAAGCCAGTGATAGAGCATGACATATCCTTGTATTTTGAGGATCAGTTCCTACGCCTAAAACAGAGGCGCTCATTTCCACCAGACTGGCCCGGAGCCGCAGCTACCAAGATATTGGTTGATAGGGCCGTCCCTTTGTTCATTGCAGCTGCTACCATATGTCGTTTTATCAGTGATGTAAAATGGAACCCTCAAAAGAGACTTGATACGATATTGACAGACCAATCAACCTATGTGTATAAGATGGACAGCACCTATGTTCCCGTGCTAAAGCAACTTCTCACTGGCCAGAATGAAACAGAGTCACGGAAATTACTCGAAGAGTTCAAGGAGATAGTCGGGGTGATCATTATTCTTGCCACTCCGCTTTCGATCAACTCCCTTAGCCACCTAATAGACAGAGAGTCAGATGATGTCAAATGTCGATTAGACCAGCTCCACTCGGTGCTCGGTGTACCAAACAATTTCGACACACCAGTCAGGATCCTCCATCTGTCATTCCGAGATTTTCTCTTGGATCACCGCGACGACGAAAGCAAATTCTGGATCAATGGAAAGTACGCAAACCAGCGTCTTGCAGAACGATGCCGTCAGATCATGCAGGACAGCCTAGAGAAAAACATCTGCAAACTGCCAAGCGAAGGCATACAATGGAATGAAATTAGCAATGATTCGATTCAGCATTATATACCTCCCGAACTGAAATACGCCTGTCGATACTGGGCGCATCATCTGGTACAATGCACGGACTTGCCTAGCATGATGCACAATGTTTATCGATTTCTCCAGGTGCACTTTTTGCACTGGGTGGAAGCAATGAGCCTACTGCGCCTTACGTCAGCAGTATCAGGTATTCTTGATCTGCTCCAAACGGCCATATCGGTAAGTTCCGAAGATAATCATAGATGATATGCACTGACAGATTTAGGGTAACGACTCTTCTCTGATTTCAGATTTCGTTCACGATGCAAAGCGCTTTATTCTGAAAAATCGCCAGATAGTTGATCAGGCCCCCCTTCAAGTTTATTGCGCAGGACTTGTATTTGCACCCCGAACGGGGATAATACGTAGAGAGTTCAAACGGTCGCTTCCCACTTGGATATGTCAGTTACCACAAGTTGAGGAAGGATGGAGCACGCTCACCCAGACCCTCGAAGGCCATTCAGGTTCGGTTGTATCAGTGGCCTTCTCTCCCGACGGCCGCCTACTAGCGTCCGGCTCTGGGGATAAGACAGTGCGGCTCTGGGACCCAGCGACGGGCGCGCTCACCCAGACCCTCGAAGGCCATTCAGAATGGGTTGTATCAGTGGCCTTCTCTCCCGACGGCCGCCTGCTAGCGTCCGGCTCTGGGGATAAGACAGTGCGGCTCTGGGACCCAGCGACGGGCGCGTTCACCCAGACCCTCGAAGGCCATTTAGAAGCGGTTGTATCAGTGGCCTTCTCGCCCGACGGCCGCCTACTAGCGTCCGGCTCTAGGGATAAAACAGTGCGGCTCTGGGACCCAGCGACGGGCGCGCTCACCCAGACCCTCGAAGGCCATTCAGATTGGGTTGTATCAGTGGCCTTCTCTCCCGACGGCCGCCTACTAGCGTCCGGCTCTGGGGATAAGACAGTGCGGCTCTGGGACCTAGCGACGGGCGCGCTCACCCAGACCCTCGAAGGTCATTCAGAATGGGTTGTATCAGTGGCCTTCTCTCCCGACGGCCGCCTGCTAGCGTCCGGCTCTGGGGATAAGACAGTGCGGTTCTGGGACCTAGCGACGGGCGCGCTCACCCAGACCCTCGAAGGCCATTCAGAAGCGGTTGTATCAGTGGCCTTCTCGCCCGACGGCCGCCTGCTAGCGTCCGGCTCTGGGGATAAGACAGTGCGGCTCTGGGACCCAGCGACGGGCGCGCTCACCCAGACCCTCGAAGGCCATTCAGATTGGGTTGTATCAGTGGCCTTCTCTCCCGACAGCCGCCTGCTAGCGTCCGGCTCTTGGGATAAGACAGTGCGGCTCTGGGACCCAGCGACGGGCGCGCTCACCCAGACCCTCGAAGGCCATTCAGAAACGGTTAGATCAGTGGCCTTCTCGCCCGACGGCCGCCTGCTAGCGTCCGGCTCTTGGGATAAGACAGTGCGGCTCTGGGACCCAGCGACGGGCGCGCTCACCCAGACCCTCGAAGGCCATTTAGAAACGGTTGATTCAGTGGCCTTCTCGCCCGACGGCCGCCTACTAGCGTCCGGCTCTAGGGATAAAACAGTGCGGCTCTAGGACCCAGCGACGGGCGCGCTCACCCAGACCCTCGAAGGCCATTCAGATTGGGTTGATTCAGTGGCCTTCTCGCCCGACGGCCGCCTGCTAGCGTCCGGCTCTAGGGATAAAACAGTGCGGCTCTGGGACCTAGCGACGGGCGCGCTCACCCAGACCCTCGAAGGCCATTCAGATTGGGTTGATTCAGTGGCCTTCTCGCCCGACGGCCGCCTACTAGCGTCCGGCTCTGGGGATAAGACAGTGCGGCTCTGGGACCCAGCGACGGGCGCGCTCACCCAGACCCTCGAAGGCCATTCAGGTTCGGTTAGATCAGTGGCCTTCTCACCCGACGGCCGCCTGCTAGCGTCCGGCTCTGGGGATAAGACAGTGCGGCTCTGGGACCCAGCGACGGGCGCGCTCACCCAGACCCTCGAAGGCCATTCAGAATCGGTTGATTCAGTGGCCTTCTCCTCTACGCCCCATCCATCTCACGCGGCTCCAAGCATCTCTATTGAGCACCGCCAGTGGATAGCATTGAATGGCAAAAGGGTTCTGTGGCTTCCTATCGAGTCTCGACCTAGTAGGTTCAAGATAAACGGTAATGTACTTGCCCTAGGACATGCATCAGGGCGGGTTTCCTTTATTGGATTTAGTATGTAATACTCAATCATTTTTGGTTTTTCTCTTTCCTCTATTTTCTAATCCCTTTATAAAAGAAGGGCCTGGGAGAAGGGGATACTTTATACGGCTCTATCCTGCTTGCGGAATATTCCATAAAATTCTAGTAGTACCTAATAGAGTCGCTAATCCATGTGAATAGCTAGCTTTTGCCACAGAGGCTGCTTAGTGAAGAAATCGCTACGTAATGGAACCACAGAGTACTTCTGAGATAAAGATCGCTCATTACGGGTCACATGGCCTACGTTGTTTGTCTATGTGGCACCCGTACTGGTCCGCACGGGCGGCCGAAGGCAGATGATGATAATGAGATGGGTTTGAATGTAGGATCGATCGCTTCATGTTACTGTATGGTGTCATCCGAAGGAGAATTGCAATCATCTAAATTCTCAACACTAAGGCCTGCGTGCCGAAAATGGCCCCTAGCACTGTTTTACTTTGCCCCAACCTGATTGATACACCGTTCGAGAAAGGAGGCGAATTCTCGGTCTGGATCTTCTGCGTAGTAGCACCAATTGCGTCGTATAAAGCCTTTGAGTTCAGCAAAAAACTCTTCAATCGGGTTTAGGTCTGGCGAATACGGAGGCAAATAAACCAGTTTAACTCCCGCATTAGCACACATCTGCGAAATCCGCTCGGAGTGGTGAAACGATGCATTATCCATGACCAGAACAGACTTCGGCTCTGGCCATCTCCCGCAATGACGAAGGAGCTCATCAACGAAGTCTTCAAACACAGCGGCATCCGTCGAGCCGCGAAAGACTCGACTCATCAAAATACCATCTTGGGCATACGCAGGCAAAATTTGATAGCGCTCGTCACGGTGGAACTGAGACACTTGCCGAGGTGCTACACCGAGTGGTGACCAACCTGTTCGTCGGAACCCAATGCGCTTATCGCATCCAGATTCATCAACATAAACAAGATGGTACGACTCAAAGTCAGAGAGGTTATGAAGATATATTTCTCGTAGCTCGGCGTTCTGCTCTTTTGCACTCTGCCGAGCAGACTTTTTAGACCACCCTTTGGATACGAGAGCCCTCCTAATGCTAGAGGTTGACGCTAGCATCTGGAATTCATCCCATAGAAAGATAACCATCTCTTCGAGGTACAAGCCTGGTTTTTCCAACAGATGGTCACAGAGCGCTTCTAACATGGGTGGTGTTATGCTTCGTCTCCGACCGATACGAGTTGAAGGGGCATGAACTTGTCCAAACAGTCGCAGGTTTCTGCGAGTATTTTTGATCGTCTTTTCGCTACACTCAGCTGCGTCAGCCATTTGAGACGTTGTTAGTGAATGACTTTGTATCATATCACGAATAAAATATAGCTTTGACATAGGTAAATTCGGTGCCATGTTGTGCATATGATTCCACTCAAAAGGTGGTGCTGCAAAAGGATGGAATGTTAGGCATAGAGGGGCAGTGTATAGGTGTTTCATGTAATATACAATATAATACGTAATGAAACGGTTCTGAAATTTATAGCCATTCTATTCTCAGGACATAATCATTTTCGCTTTAACCGAATACAGATTAGGGTGGTTTCGGGTACGGGCCGAGAAACAATGCGTTAGAGTCCACAGGGGAATCCGTTTTCGAAATCTACTGTACTGGCTAGCCTATCCGGGTATGGGTTGATTCGATGTTGCCCCAGTGTCTGAATTTATTAATAAATTGATAAATGGCCTGTCATCCATCGAACGGACTCTGTTGTGAGTGAGATTGGGGGCGGTTATTCTGTACTCTCCATGCCTCATTGTTTTCTGCTCTTCGTTGGGAATACGATATCTACGGAGTACATATTTCCCTTCCATACGGCCTTCTCTTACGAAATACGCGTCCTCGACATGGCCTTCACTGCCCAGAATACCACTCACCAAGGCGATATCTCCCAAGATGCTATCCTCGACCATCCCCCCGAGGACAGTATCTCCGAACTGGCCTGGTCGCCTGTCGACAACCATCTCGCTGTAGCGTCCTGGGACCACACTGTGCGGATTTACGATGTGACGCGCTCGGTTAAGGGCGAAGGCAAGGCGATGTTCTCCTTCGGCGGGCCCGTCCTAAGTTGCGCCTGGTCGCCCGACGGCTCCAAGGTTGTGGGCGCGGGGGCCGACGGGTCGGCGCGTCTCGTGGATCTAGCCAGCGGCAACCCCACCACGGCTCAGGCCCAACAGGTAGCGCAGCATGACGCCCCCGTGCGCAGCGTGCGCATGGTCCAAATACCTAACAGTCACGCGCCGATCGTCGTCACCGGGTCGTGGGATCGCACCGTCAAGTACTGGGATCTGCGCCAGTCCACCCCGCTTGGCGTCCTGGAATGTCCCGAGCGAGTGTACGCCATGGAGATCAGCCGGGGCCAATTGCTGGTCGCCTTAGCCGATCGCCAGATCAGCCTCGTCAATCTTAACCAGCCCACCACCGTCTTCAAAACCCTACAGAGCCCGTTGAAGCATCAGACGAGGACCATCTGCTGGATCCCCGACGGGTCCGGCTTTGCGGTCGGCAGCATTGAAGGTCGATGCGGCGTCAACTATATTGACGACGCCAAAAAGCAGTGAGTAATTAACACGCGCCCATCCGGTATCCCGGATATATTAATTTCCAGGGAGAAAGAATTGCCCTGATGGAGATATGACCTGCAGATCAAACTTCACCTTCCGATGTCAACGGACCCCCAAAGACAACGACCCCAAGAACCAACTGGTCTATGCGGTCAATGCCGTGTCCTTCCATCCGCGCTACCACACCTTCAGCACTGCCGGCTCCGATGGCACCTACTGTTTCTGGGACAAAGACGCCCACCATCGGCTCAAGTCGTTCCCTGCCGTCGGACACAGCATCACCTCCACCGCCTTTAACCTCGACGGAAGCATCTTCGCCTATGCGATAGGCTATGACTGGAGTAAAGGGTATGCCCACAACACGCGCGATCATCCGACTAAGATCGCCTTGCACCCGGTGTCCGACGCCGAATGTAAGCCGAAGGCGACCACGACCACTCGGAGGTGACAATCGGGGTCGGAAGACAGCTGGATAACATAACAAACCAAGCTCCTGTACGGAGTAGTCCAATCATTCTTCCTCCTACCTATCAATCGACCATTTCCCGCTTGGCCCATTTCCCTGCTGAGGAAGGTAGGTCATCTGAGCCTTCAGATGAACAATGTTCCGCCAGGAATTCTGTCCTGGTTATATCGTAGCAGGTCACTCTCTTGTAAGATACACTCAATAAAACTTGCACTTTGCCATGCATATTCCATCTCAACAGTCCCCTTACATCGTCGCGAACGAGCGTGTCTCGTGTGACTAGACCAATACGAGTATATAGTAAATTTACGGTCTAGCCGAGATACATACACACATCTACAACTAGACCTCGAACACTCCGTGATGATAATCTTGTCACTATGGCTGAGCATTGACTAGAATGCGAAGCCCACTGCTGAAATTAACCGCCAATTCAACGTCTTGGAACTTTCTTGGAGATGTGATATATCAGTGGGAATGCTCCAGCAATCAAACTCGTGTATTTATCCGTATCAATGGCAGCAAAAAAATATCAATAGAAACAGTCTCTCCACCCCGATTACCACGCCAGTAACATAGCTACCCCTTAGACACCCAAGAACCTTGCCGCGTCAGCCCTCCCGATGTAGGTGCTGGAGGTGCCACCAACTGCGGGAACACCACTTTGACGTCAGGGCTATCCATCTGAGCAAGATACTCGACCAACAGTGCACTGAGGCCTGCCTCCTGGGCCTCCTTCAGCTACTCCCCCATGGGTAATGCCCAATACGACGCACCAGTACCCTTCTCCAAGTATCGTTGTATTCCATGTAGTGGGATCTGCTCCCCGAGATGGTGAATGTACCGTACCTGATTCAAGGGAGAGGGATCCCTAGGCGCCAGGACCCCGCGTACAATATCCCGAGCCACCTGCTCAACAGGCACAAAGTCGAGATAGCCCTGCCACGAGGACTTCTCGGGCAGGGGAACCGCACGTAGTTTCTTAGAGAACTCGAGGAGATTATCCATCAAGTCTAAGGGGGATTATCCCTCGCCCGTGACGCTGGAAGGGCGATGTATCCAGACGGGGAGGTCGACTTTCCGGTTCGCCTCTTCGAGCACGCGCTCGCTGGCCTACTTGGAGCTCAAGTGTAGCTGGGATCCATCGGTCGGAGGCAGGACGCTGGCCGCGGAGACCTCTGCGAAGGTCGAGGAGCGGGTGAAATTGGCGATGCCGCTGGTAGACACGTAGTGGACTGGCACGCGGCGCGTTTTTATTTTATTTTCTCCACTAAAATTGTCTTTTCTGATCGGCGAAAACAAAACCCATGGTCCAAAGACAAGCGCAGAGGTCTCAATACTCCAGCGATATGGGGCGTTTGGCGGCGTCCGAGGATCCTTGAAAGCAACATGGACTGCGCGCCCTCCCTTGACCCCACTGCCTGGTTTCGATCCATACGAGTCGAAGATCTGTAGCATGATCGCCTCGTCGGCTCCTACTCTGAAGAGATAGTACCACTTCTGATGGTCTCGATTGATGGGAGCGCCAAAATCTTCCGACAAATCCTTGAGATGCGAGACCATGGTGACAATGTCTTTGTCCTTGACGGTGGCACTCGACGCAATCGCCAGCGGACAGGTGTAGACGGTGCCGTTTAGGCACTGCCAGAAATGGATCACACGGTAGTGGCCCTGCAGCAGCTTCTCGGCCTCTTCCTCGTGGAGGTGATATCTCACGCGATCGACTACCGCAGCCCCTGTATGATCCAGATGGGCAATCAAGGCGGGCGGATTATAAGGCACGGGGAAGTTGTTGGTGTAGCGGATCCCATGGCGGAAGATGTGCACCTTGGTGGCACCGGGGACGTTGGCCAGAATCTGCTATTCTCCCAGTGGATAGTAGTTCTTCCGGATGTCCTCCTCGTCGTCGAAATTGGTCTTGGAGATGGGGACGCCCTGGACAATATGGATGGAATCGTGGTCGAGATTGACAGAGGACTCCTTGCCACGCAGGTCTTGAACAGTCACCATGCTCGGCTCGCCGCGAATGTTGGTGTAAGAGACTCCCTCTGGAGGGGAACACTTGATGGACATGTAGGGTGTTTCATCGGGAGGGAACTGCCGGCTAAACAAAAGCGGAGTGGTGATGTCTCCCTGAGGGGTTGGTGGCAGAGCACCTTAATTCTTCGCGGAGACTGGCAGTCTCTGAGTGGTAGTCATACTATGGACTGTTGCGTCTTTCCAAAGATCGTTGCTAGTACCGGAAGCCCTGAATAGATCTGCGGGGAGTGTGTGGTGAGAAAAAGATGTATGAAGTATATTTTCTTGGATCGGTTCTGCTACTGCTCGGCAACCACTATTTCCAGCAAACTTCCTGAACTCGTCGGAGTCGGAATGGAGTCGGACAAGTCGGGGTTGATGGCCGATCTGAAATGATGGCTGATTTTCTCCCTTCCAGTTGAACAGCCAGTCTTGGAACAATTAGTTAAAAACGAATTTTGTAATATCTACCGATAACAATAACTGATTAAAAATATTAATTATTATGAAAAAAACGAGGAAAAAAAAGGTATATTCACGGCTAAAGGTCGGTAACTTTAACTAAATCTTTAGTAGCTCTGTTAGCATTAGTTATATATATAATTTACTTGGTATGTGTACCATCTATACTGACCCTTCTAGTTATTTTTTACCCTATGTGAGAAAAAAGAATTGATAAATAGTAAACGCAGTAGTAAATACTAGTTCCATTTACCCTGCAACTTTTACCCACTACCTCCAAGCACGCGTCTCTTTGTTTCACTTTCCCTAAACCTGTTTTCTCTTCTCCGTTCTCGCGTGAATTCAACCCTTCTTTCAGTCCTCCATGGTTTTCATTTCATCGGAAATAGACCATGGCGCTGAATGCTTCCGAGAAATGGGATCTCTGCCCACAGGCTGCTGATCGTCATTTTGGCCCCTCGCTCGATGCGCGGTGCCGCGGGGGCTTTGATTTCACCCTCACTTTTGAACAATCCATCCTGTCTATTGCTCCTTCAGCCCTGCTGCTCCTTATCGTCCCCTTCCGATTATACTGCCTGTCTCGCGCCAGCCTTAAGACCAATGTCTCCTTCTCCCTGGCGTGCTCGAGCAAGCTTCTAGCCGCTGTTGCTCTGGTTGGTCTCCAAGTCGCCTTACTAGTGTTATGGGTTCGAAATCCACAGGTACAAACGGTCGCGTCCATCCCGGCTGCCGCCCTGTCGCTGGTCGATGCGCTGTCCATCTGTCTGCTTTCCTACATGGAGCATACTCGTTCCATTCGGCCTTCCACCCTCTTGGGGGTCTTTCTCTTGGCTTCGCTCGTCTTGGATATCCCCCAATCGCGAACACTCTTCCTGATGAGAAACCAAACGCCCATGGCAGCGGTCTTCACTGCAGCGACGGGTCTCAAGGTAATTCTACTCATGTTCGAGGCACAGAGTAAGATTCATGAACTCAGGTTGCCGTATCGCCACCATCCTCCCGAGGCGACAGCAAATGTTTGGGCGCGCACCCTATTCTGGTGGCTCAATCCGCTGTTTTTCAGGGGATTTGCCCGTTTGCTATCAATCGAGGACCTTTACTCGATGGACAGCAAACTCGCGACCTTCCATCTTCGAGAATGGATGCAAGCTAGCTGGGCCCGTCGAGGCACTTGAATGCTCCCCATCGGTGATCATTTGGCTAACGAAAACTGATAGCGCACTCCAATTCACCCTACGCATTGACCATGGCCACTATCTCGTGCATGCGATGGGCCCTCTTGTCGGCCGTCGGGCCGCGACTGGCCAATGGCCAAGATCGGCTTCACATACGCCCAACCATTTCTGATCAGCCGTGTTATCAGTTTTGTCGAAGCCCCGGCTTCAGAACAACACCGCAGCCATGCCCTGGGACTGGTGGGGGCTGCTTTCCTAGTCTATCTCAGTATTGCCGTAAGTCGTTCCTGCAGCCCCCTTCCCCCCACTGGCGGGAGATCCTGGATACTGAGCTTCGATAGATCACCACCGTCCTCTACAAGCGCGAAATGTACAGAATGATTGCAATGGCGCGGGGCTCGTTGGTCAGTCTCGTATATAGTTAGACATTGCAGATGCGTGACTCGTACGATGAATCGGCCGCGCTTACGCTCATGAGCACGGACATCGATCGTGTCACTGTGGGCTTACAAAATCTCCATGAGGTATGGGCGCGCATTGTGGAAATTGCAATCGGCATGTGGCTGCTGGTTGAGCAATTGGGCGCGGTGGCCGTGGTGCCCATTGGATTGATCGTCTGTATGTTGTTGCATAGCTCCTATCCTTGTAGATTCTTAACGCCTGTCCGAAACGTCCAACACTAACCGACCGCAGTATGCACCTTTGCCAACTCGCAACTTTCCAAATTAATTGTCGGAAGGCAAAAGGTCTGGAACGCGGCTGTGCAGAAACGCATTGCCGTCACGGCATCTATGCTGGGTTCGATGAAGAGCATGAAGATCATGGGCGTGACTGAGGCGGTGGAGAGCAGCGTGCAGCAGTACCGCCGCAAGGAAATCCAGTCCGCCATGGGATTTCGCTGGCTGTCATTGTGGACGAACACCATTGCTTCTGCCCCGTTGATATTTGCCCCAGTCCTGACGTTCGTGGTGTTTGTAGCACAAGCCACTGCTCGCGGCACCGATAGCCTGTCCACGAACCAGGCTTTTAGGTCTCTCTCCATTATAACCTTGGTCACCCAACCCGCCTCCCTCCTTATGTTTGCGATTAATGAGTCTGCAGCCATGAAAGGCTGCTTTGATCGACTCCAGAAATTTCTTCGTGCTCCAGCAGGTTCGGATAGTCGGACCGGAGTCACTGGACTCGGTGGTTCTCACAGTGGTGACTCGGGGTCAGAGGTGAGCCCCAGCCATCCCAACGGTAAGACAATGCGTGAGGGAGATGAGAAAGGGGCAGAGGCTAGCATCCATTTGACCCTCATCACCGTTGGGGTCCAGCAAGCGACGATCCGGCCTGCACCAACCGTCGACCCAGCTCTAAATCAGGTATCCATGGACTGTCCAGACGGCTCCCTCACGCTGGTGGTGGGACCCGTCGGCTGTGGAAAATCGACACTACTCCGAGCGGTCTTAGGAGAACTACCCTGCGACGCAGGCACCATTTCCGTCTCCACAAAAGACATTGCCTTTTGTGCTCAGAGCCCCTGGTTGCCCAATGGTACCATTAAAGATGTTATCTGCGGGTTCTGCGACGAGGAAAAAATTGATCATGTATGGTTTCAGACTACCATCCATGCCTGTGCTCTGGAGGAAGACCTGTCGCATCTCCCTCAGGCCGAACAGACTGTAGTTGGGAGCCGAGGAGTAACCCTTAGTGGCGGTCAAAAGCAGAGAGTGGTACGTTCAACTAGCTTCTATCCCCGCTCAACATTTACCAACCAGCGGCTAATTTTCCTTTCGTAGGCGCTTGCTCGAGCGGTCTACGCTAGACGCGGTATTATTTTACTGGATGATGTTCTGAGCGCCCTGGATCAGAAGACCGAAGCACTGGTCGTAAACCGCTTATTCAGTGAGCAAGGATTATTTCGGCGGTTACAGACTACCATCCTCCTGGTGACTCACTCCGGTATGTACCACAATCCGACCCTATAATTGAAGACGTAACTGATCATTTCCAGTCCGCCATCTCAACATCGCCGACCAGGTCATCGTCCTAAGTCGGGAGGGAAAGCTCCGAGAGATTTTGAGGGGCCAGGACATCCAGAAAAGCAAAACAGGCATAGCGACCTACGGCTATGAGGGGGTCCTCGGTGCGGAGGACGTTGCCGGTGCACCCCAGCCATCCTCCAAACCACGGCCAGCAATCAAGGCACCGCGACCGGATGACGCAGATCTGACACGCCAGACTGGTGACATGGCAGTCTATGCGTACTACTTTCGATCTTTTGGCTGGCTTCGGACATTTGGCTTCGTAGCTTCTACCGCGTTGTTTGCCTTTGCAACCGCCTTCCAGCGTGAGTTCGGGTCGAACCTGCTTTAGGATTGAACCGACTCAGGATGCTGACAGTATGCAGAGATCTGGCTTCAATGGTGGACAAACGTGAACGGAGGTTCTATTGAAAAATATATGGGTGTCTATGTTGTCCTGGCTGTTGCCGCTATGTTTTTCCGCTGTCTAACCTTCTGGTACGTGTCGTTTTCGTGGCAAAAAATAGGGAAATTGAGGTGAAAGTCTAACAATATGGTGCAGGTGGGCTCTGATCTGGATGTCGCCAATCTCCTCTCTCAATCTTCATCGAATCCTTCTACGGGTTGCTGTTGGGTAAGGGCGTCGAAGGTCTTTCTTGAAGCTGACAACCGCTGATCTTGCACAGCGCGCCTTTATCTTTCTTTGCAAAAACCGATAGTGGTGTAATATTGAACCAGTAAGGCCTTTGGAATCAGTGGTAGATGACTCGAATTCTGACATGACCCAGGTTCAGCCAGGACATCGGTTTGATTGACCGGGTATTGCCTCTTTGCCTGATTCGCGTGGTTGTCCGTAAGTGTTGTCTCTCCAAAGTTTCGCGGAGTATATGCATGGAGGTAGTAGGCTAATCCAGAATGCAGAGATTTTCCAAATCCTTTCCCAGACAGCACTTATCGCTATGGGCTCAACTTATATGTCCGTTTGTATTCCAATCTGTGCCGTCACCGTGTACTGGTTGCAGCGGTTCTACCTCCGAACGTCGCGCCAACTGCGATTTCTCGATCTTGAGTCCCGGAGCCTGCTGTACAGTCATTTTCTGGAGACCCTAGAGGGCCTGGCCACACTTCGTGCATTTGGCTGGCAGGAGAAATTTCAGGAGACCAACACCAAGCTTCTGGACACCACCCAGAGGCCCTTCTACTTGATGTACTGCATCCAATGCTGGCTCAACCTTGTTCTCGATCTCCTCGTTGCGGCAGTTGGGGTTGTAGTCATTGCCCTGGCGGTCTTACTGCCGCATATGACCAGTGCGGGCACTATCGGCCTGGCACTGAATAATGTTCTCGGATTCAACCAAGCTCTGGCTGTCTTGATTGACAGCTGGACACAGTTAGAGACCTCGCTGAGGGCGATTGCGAGACTGAAAAATTTGGAGCAGACTGTCAAACCTGAGTATCAGGAAGGGGAAGATATTATTTACCCGGAAACATGGCCGGAGCATGGTGCCATTGAACTGAAGGATATTTCGGCTTCTTACGGGTCATGCTAGGTTTGATTGGTTACAAGTGGACGACGCTGACCAGTACTTAGCCCCTCCATTCCAGCTCTGGAAAAGATCTCCATGTCTGTACTGCCTGGCCAAAAAGTAGGCATTTGTGGGCGGACCGGAAGGTGGGTATCTCTCTTTTTTCTTCGTCCTTTCTCTTTCCCCCAAGGAACCTCCTGTTTTGCTAACAATGGGTGACAATGTAGCGGCAAGAGCTCACTTCTGTTATCCTTACTCCGACTATTGGACCTTGACAGTGGAAGTATCGGGGTTGACGGATACGACCTGCAAACCCTGCCACGGGAGCTGGTACGCAGTCGTATCGTTGCCATCCCCCAAGAGCCTTTCTTCTTGAGCGAATCTGTTCGGATCAACGTCGACCCCAGCCAAAGGTTGCCCGACGAAGCCATTATCAATGCTCTCAAGAAAACGAAGGTTTGGGACGCTATCGAAAAGCCGGGGGGTTGGACACACAGATCAAGGAGCAACCTCTGTCGCAGGGGGAGCAGCAGTTGTTCTGTCTGGCTCGCACGATGCTACGCTCGGGGAAGATTTTGATCCTCGACGAAGCAACAAGCAATGTCGACGCCGAGACGGATCAGGTCATGCAAGGGATCATTCGGGACGAGTTTCAGGACTACACGACCCTTACCGTTGCTCATCGATTGGATACGATTATGGATTCGGACATGGTTGCGGTGTTGGACCAGGGGAGATTGACCGAGTATGGGCCTCCTCAGGATTTGCTGGCTCAACCGTCCATGTTTGCGGACCTAGTGGGTAGGTCCAGCGTTGAGAGCACGGTCACTACCCCGGCGTCGGGCTGAAGCAAAAGCGGCAGGAAACAAAAAACTAAGACAAGGTAGACCAGGATTACAAAAGAAAGCAATCACTATTATTCATTTGATGATCATTCCTCGGGTTTCATTTCTATAGCGCAATGTTGACTACCGATGTCCAAGAGTACCCCCGAGTCCAAAGCCCACTCACTGCCTGCCCAGTCCGTTCCATCCCCGGCACAGACTTGTAGGTCAAATCTGCTTTCGCTTGGAATTCTTCAGCCAGACGTTCGGCTGTTTGGTGATATCGTCGAACTCTGACACCAGCGGCATCTGCCAGTCCGCATTCGCGATTTGAAAGTCCTAGAGGCATCACTATCGAGGCCACCATTCCAATCATCTGCTTCTCGGTAAACACCCGCCCCGGACAGTGGGTTGCGCCACCTCCGAACGGCTTCGTCGTCCGGGCATGGCTTTCGCCTTCTCCGCCCAACGACTTCTCCAAGAACCGGCGCGCGTGGAAGGACTCGGCATCCGGGTGCAGGGCCTCATTGAAGTGCACGAGGCCACAGGGGATGTTGATCACCCCGCTCTTCTGCACGAACCATTTCTTCTTGCCGGTGAACTGGGTGTCGGCGACGACCTCAGCACCGTTAGGGAGTTGTTGTGCATGCGAAGTGTTTCGTGCCAGATGGAGCGCAGCAGCGGCATTTTTGTCGGCAGGATCTCCAGCAGTTCCGCAGGGCTGCGGTCGGGAGAATATTACGCGTCGGCGAGTTCCTTGCGGACCTCGTGGGCCAGGCCCGTCTCAGCCAGAATATGGAGGAGGGCGAGATACCCCGTGGGCATGGAGTTGAGGAGCGAGGCAAACATGGTCCGCAACATATCGGCGCCCTGGCACTGAGGGCTCATGCCGGACTGGGCCAGGTAGACATGGGTGACTATTTAACATAATAAAATTACAGGTTCAATATTACTTATCCCTGGACAGTTCTTCCAATGCCTGGTATTCCACTAAGATTGCGGGACTAGTGGCTTGGGAGTGGGGCTCTACAATACTTAATGAGTGTGTGGTTGTGAAGCTGGTTTTGCATCTGTATCAGAAAATTTCATTCTCATGGCAGTGATTACAATAACTAAATCGGAGGCCTGAAATAAACCAAACTTCAATGCGATGAAAATAAAAGAACTACCAAACGACTTTCTGCGGCGGTAAGCGAAACATATTACTCAGCTCTTTGTCGCGAACAAGTCCTCAGTTTGGCAAACCTAGAGGCTGCCTTGAAACCCCTCTTTAGGTAGAGTCCAAATCTGTGTCAAGCTTACCTTCGCAACTGCACTTGCCCCTCATCTATAGAGGGTTTGAGAAGTCATAGTTGCCTGCAACACCTTGAACCTCAAAGATGCGCCTAATTTCGTCGGGGACCGTGAACGGGAACAACTTCCAGGCGGAGTTACCTTTGTAGAACCCAGGGAAGGCCACATCAAGCAAGTGATGCATCTTCCCGCCGCGAGCTAGGTTATCCTGCGGCTTGTCGGATTTGATGAAGTTAAAACCCCAGTTCGTCATGCTGGAGGGTGTCCAGTCCTGGCGGGAGATGGGTTAGTTTCTGAGATAAGCTAGTATTGCAAGTTCTAGGGATACCATACAAGGGTATAAAACCGATCAGCCCTGATCAACGTGACTGCGTCGCTCAAGATGGCCCTGGTGATTGTAAAGCCAGCACAGAGTCCTGAACCGGGATAGACTGGTTTCTTCGTGTCCTCGAAGATCACACCAGGGTACAATTCCACGAAATCCGGTTCCTGATAGAGGGCCCTCATGGCCTCCTGAACCTCCGGATCAGGGTTAACGTCACTAAAGCTCTTGTGCGGCGTGAGGCTCATGGAGCTTCGAAGTTCGTTTAGTGTGCCGACGTGCCAATTACGCGCCTGGCTCATGCCAAGCATGACGACGGGCTTGAGCACCACGGGAACTTGACGCGACCCAAAGGCGGCTACCGGTTCATTTCAGTCAGTGAGGCGATACAAGGTGATAGATGGCTATGCAAAGCACTTACCGCTCACATCCTGCGTACTCTCCGCAATGAGCTTCGCCAGGGCCTCGGTATCGTAGGTGCCGAAGTTGTTGCGGTTCAATCCTCCAAAGGTGCGGGTCTCGGGTTGCTGGGCCGTAATATCGTCCCTCCACTTGCCCAACCCACTAAGGAAATCTCGCAGGGGCAATTTTGTGATGTCTTGGTTGGGGAATAAGCCTTGGAAGAAGTTTCGCGTCCATTTCTCGTCTCTGTTACTGACATTGGCATGCCAGCGGTAGATAAGGTTGAACTCGACGGAGACCTGGTTTCCAGTACCCATAGGGAGGTCGGATTTGTTGTCAAAAACATCGGAGAAAGGATCACGAGGGTCCAAGATCCAGCTGCTATCCGGAGCGTAGTTCATGTTGAGAATGGTCTTAACATAGTCGGAGAGGATGATGTTGACGTAGAGGCCACATGTGACGCTGATTAGGTTATTAGCAAAGCAGTTAACTCATAAGAACTTAAGCAGATATGGAGCAATTGCGTACAGTCTTGCGGTGTTAAAGAGGGCGTTGTCAACCGCTTTTTCTGCGCTTTCTTTGCTCAAGCGTGAATTTGGACTGAACCTTCCTCCTTCATTAATGCGTTTCAATTCTCCCGCGACATAGTTATGAAAGCGGTTGAAAGCAATAATCAACGCGCAGACACCCGGTGGAAATCCCAGAAGACGATATTCAGAAAAGGCATCAGGCTTGAGCATGCCATCTTTCATGGTACGCACAGCTTCCTGTTCCTTCTCGTTGTTTCCGTACAAAGGAGCTAAATCAAGATAGGAAGACGTGGATGACACATTGAAATTTGGATTGGGGTCATTTTTGGTGTCGTCGCCGGTGCGGAACAAATCTGAATGTCGGTTAGTACAACCTCAGGAGGGATTCTAACGTTAAGCGAAAACGAAAAGGACTCAGACCATGGATTATGAGGATGGCCATGTAGAAAAGCACGCTCGAGATCTTGTTCGGATGTTCTTTGGGTGGCTCGCGACGAGCCAGCAATTCTATCAAGTGTTATCATGTGCAATTATCCAGCGATTTCTGCTGCGTGTGCACATACTGTCGAAAACCTCCGAGGGATCAGGGTACAGCCTCCCTTGTTTCAATGGTTTGATACTCCTGGCATAGACAGAGCCTGCCATTCCAAGCTTCGGAGACATCCAGTTCTGGAAGTAAGATTCGATCAATCAATTAATCTCTCTCGCAATATTCAGTCTCGGTTCATCTTACATTATTCGATCCATCCGCTGTGCGATACGCATGGTCATCACCAAGATATGACAATGGTGGGTGTTGCAGACTATCCCAGAGTCCCTTAATTATGTTTCCTGTGAGCTTTTTTTGAGTCTCTGAGGAATTGGGCAACGAAGCTGCAAGTTTAATGGCACGCTCCATCTGCAGTTCCTCTTACATCAGCAAAATTGACCTTCAAGCATCTCCCTGCTTGGCAGTAAAGGAAAACACACCAAATAGCTCTTGTCATTAATCCCCTCCCTCAGAGCCTTTGTATGAGCAATTTCAATAAGAATTCCGATATCCTCATCGATCCTAAGGGCTTGGCTCTTCCCATCGCGGATAAGACCGGTATGTGCTTCGAGAAATTCAACCATGTCATTCAACAGGAGGACCCAATTGGTGGATTTCTCGCGCTTGGCGGCCTCAGTAGCATTGTCGTCGTCCGCATATGTCCCAAGAATCGAGTCGAAGCGGTCGAGCACTTCTGAGAGGACTGGTTCCGATTTTTCAGTCAAGTCTGAGCCGACTCGGGACCTGAATATATCACGAAAGCCGTGCAGTGTGGAAAGGGTTGGCGAAGGGAGTAGGGAGGACATTGTTGGGTTCGGCAGGGAATGGGCGTTAGAGGGTGTGATTTCAAGTATGAAGCCTACTAAAGAACCAAAAATCAATTTATGCACCAAGATGACAACCGGTACCTAACACTTCTGCGGGGAAATGGAAAGTTTACCCGATATCAGGCAGCGAAGCGCGATACCACAATATTCTCAATAGTGAGAGCGCTGATGAAAGATGTAGGCGAGGTTATAGTGGTATTCGGAATGCCTGAAAGAGCAGATTCCCTGCAGACGCAGCCTGTGCGGCTTTGTGGCAGCCAGAAAAGAAAGGTATCATCATTTGGCTCATATGACGTACAGAACGACTCGGCACCAATGAGTCAAAGGTGAAGATCAAACTCTACATTTAGCTTTGAACTATCACTGCGAATGTGTGCGTGATGTGTCATTGAGTCTAGGCCGGACATACGAATATGTGAAATCACAATGACGGTAATAACCTGTGACAGAACCTGGAAGCTGCAACATGTCGCCTGAGCTGACCCGTTTCGAGACGCGTTATTCCTTGGATCTCGTCAAATTGTGTCTCGATGAAGGAAATGGAAATGTAGCATGAAGGTTACGGGTATACGTCACTTTAGGGACGGGATGTAAACGTTGTACTGTCCATTTCATACGAACGTATCGTATCAAGCCGGTAGACTGAAATAATGCGAACAAAATACTTACATCAATAGATGACACATCAGTATTTTCAAATATGAACTGGACTCAGGGCCTGTAGTTTTGTATGGTTGAGCCTAGTATATATGGCGGGAAGATTAGACAGTGGATCACGTATAAAAGTGTTTTAACAAGTTCTCCATTGATACGCTTGAATGATGACTACGCTTGGCCAGAGGATTGCCTACCGCGGTAGGACTATCAACAAAAATCACCATTATGTTATTACACAAATACACTGATTAAAAGCTATGATACGTTATCTGACAGCATAGTATACAATGGTACCATACCTGATGGCAGAGGGTTGTAGGCAATCTAAATTTTAAGGTTCGTGGATGATCTCGCGGGATAATGCAAGGTTTCAAAGTTAATTTAGACTCCCGTGCGGCAGATGACCAAGAAAAGCTTTAATCAGCTATAATGACGGAGCCCAACCTGTGGTAGGATATGGATCATGTGACCGGTTTACTACTGCACATGCAGTCAGTGGCAATTGCGTAGCGTCAGGATGATGAAGCACGCACATATTATATGATCTGAGACTTCTTTATATGCAAAATGAAGAGGTCTAGCTTGTACCGAAAACGTTGGAGTTATAGCTTCTATGGGGGTCATTTTTGGGGATTTCTTCTCAGTAAGGCAGGGAGGGTATGGGGCTAGTGGGCTGTGATCGAACCCCTCAGTGACGATCTAGACGTGGTGTTCTGGAATTATGCCGCTTCTGACCGCCTTCCATTGGAAGTAGAAGGATTGATCGGAGCCCCACAAAAGACTCTGATTTCACCAATCCTTTTCCTTCTTTCTCTTCCTTCTTTGTACTTCGTATTTTAGTTGAAATGCACTCTTTTACTCAAAGAACTGGCTGGTAACACCCTCTAGACCTTTATGTTTCCGTGTTTAACAGCACTCTTCTAACCAGGTTTTCATTGTAATTTCAAGAGATGAACTCATTATTGTCTCTATCTATATGGGGCTAGACCTTCTTTTTAGCTCACTGCAGTTCACAACTACGTAATGATTGCAATGGGCCGCGATACGCCGAGACCTACAAATTGTCCTAACATCTGCTTCTCCTTCCCTAAATATACGTTTTCTAATACACGAGATAAACACCTTCGGAACCAAGAGAAACCTGGGCTGCACACTTATCTCATACGATACAATGCCTAGTCATTCACAGGCAGTGGAAAAAGGCGAATATCGCCCTGCAGCCTCAGGAGATCTACGATCTCCCTGCCCCGCCCTCAATTCTCTTGCGAACCACGGATTGATCCCCCGTGACGGTCATAATATCACGGCCGACCAGCTTAAAGATGCTCTCCAATATATCGGCGTCGGTGTCGATATCCGACATATCCTAGTGAAGAGAGCATTTACTGTTCATGATGAGACTTCTCATATCGGCCTTCGGAACCCGGGACAGGTGAATGAGTCTGGAATTCCTGTGCTAGATCTGGATCAGACTGGTCGCCCTCATGCTGTGGAACATGACGTGTCTCTCTCCCGAGAAGACCGCGCCCTAGGCGACTGCATTAAACCAGACCCAGATTTGGTTGGCAGATTGGTTCAGTATCCAGGCAACAAGGATTCGTTCACTATCTCCGACCTCGGTCGATTCCGTAAGCGGCGACATGCAGAGCAGAAGGCAAAGAACTCTGAACTAAATTTCGACTCCTCAAAACACAAGGTGGCTTGTGGTGAAGCTGCTATCTTCCAGTCTATTTTTGGTAAGGGCTTTTTCTACAAACTGCCAACAAAATACGTAAAAGCGATGTTTCAGGAGGAGCGTTTGCCATATAAGGAAGGTTGGAGACCGCGATGGACTCCGGTGATGATTCCAGAACAGTTAATATTACAGCTGGTGATATCACATTATGCCTCAGCAGCTTGATTCATAGGGGTTGGTAATCCTTTTATGCTATGGAATTATATACGTGCTAGCAGGTTACGTATCTGAGTTCCTATATCCCGTTATCATGCCATTAGATTGTAATTCCTTGCAGTGATCATGTGTAGGCAGATATTTAAGCATTGTTATCCTCGGTGGAAGCCACCACCACTGATTTAGTCATTCATGCGGTCTAGAAGCATCTTGGGAATCCTTAATCTAGTAGGAATTGTAGTGAGCAGCTTATTGATCCTAGGTAAGACAGGCTCTATATTATTCTAGCTAACCCTAGAGTAGCTGAGGTCACTAGCGGAAGCCGAGTTGAATACTGACTATAGAGCGAGCGAAACCGGGTTTACCACCGCACATTCGTCCTAAAAAGGAAAGGTTCGATGCCAGCCATTGACTATCGACGGAAGCACCTTGCCCGATGTTGCGCTTCTGAACCCCCCCCCCCCCCCCCCCCCCCTTTCTTTTTCTTCCCCACCATTTTTCTCCCATACAAATTGCCCAGATTTTCCTGACGTCTGTCAGACGTAGCTCACCACAATAGGATAGGAAGACAGAGGGAGCATAGAGACACAATCTACACTAGAGCAGGCCTGGGAGCCTGCAATCTCACCTGAGGTGATCCTCAACATCAGTCCGTATATTCAAATATCAAGGCCTGAACATACCCTTGTACAATTTGCATTGGCTGTACAAATAAAGAATCAACGCACCGAAATACAGTATCAATTAGCCATTCATTCATCCGAGACGCTACATTCGCAACCTCTGATCACTCAGGTCGCACGCCATTATCCCTATCAAGATCTGCGAGAAGGACCTTCGGACACAGCAACCTTGACAAGCTACCCGTAGTTTTATAGTCCCCCTGGTGCACCACACTCATTTTCTTCTCTGGGCGCATCACATACTCGGGTATTGCCTGTCCGCCCTTTTTGTCCCACCTCCAGCCGGCATCACCATCAGGCTCCTCGAGGGAATACCCGTAAAGCGACATTGGACTGTAATTAGAGAGTTTACTCTTCCGTATCCGGGCAATCGGATGGAAATACTCGTTTGTGGCGCCACCACTTCCGTCACCTGGGCCCCGCGGGTAGTTACCCGGCGTGCGGTCTTGCTTGCCAAGAATACGGAAGAAGGTGCCTTGCAGGCCAGAGAAATTAGAAACGATGGGCCCGCAGCCCCAGCCGTCTGTAACTTTATTTTTGGTGTTGTTCTCGGCCAGCGCGTACTGGTGCTGCTGGATGAGTACTTTGATCGCGACCTCTTCAAAGGTCAGCATGTCGGAGAGATTGTCCACCTATTTTCGAAGGTTACTGAGTCAACTAGAATCGTAATTTAGAGGATAGAAAGGGGTTTACCATCCATGCAAATGTGATATCGCCGATCTCTTCATGGTCACCAGCGGTACGTGGATCTTCTGCTTGCCCACCGATGTTGCCGTGAACGCCGGGAAACCAACATTGTTGTAGATCCTTAGCCGGGGCGTCAATAGTCTTATGCCAGAGGGTAGGAAGAAAGGTTTGTCGTTCCTCGTCAATGGCAAGGGCTTGGAAGGCATAGTCTAAATCTAACAGGAAGCACTATTTAGCGCCGGTATAGTAAGGTATTGGTGATAATAACTCACTTTTTGATAAGTTCGTGTTGTGAAATGCGTACTGTTTGTTGATTGCGATGCCAGCTTTTGTGGCCAATCTGACAAGCGGCCATTCAGGGATTCCCTAGCCATGTGAGGTCAGTGTCGTGGTAGCAGTATATCATTAATCATCCCCGTGTCGCGTACCAGAGCACCAACAGTGTCCCAAACCCCAACAACTTTAATCCTAAGATCATCTATCAAGCGCAGCTTGTCCTTATTCTGCTGATACCACGGCGTTTTCTCGAAAGGCTCTCCGTCCGTATTCTCACGGTAGGCCTTCCACATTTCTGCAAAATGCGACATGTGCACTGCAGAGAGGACACCGATGTCACTTATCAGGCCAGCGACTGAACGCACTGTGAAGGCTCCGCGCGAGAAGCCGAAAAAGAACAACTCGTCGCCAGGATCGTAGTTATTAGAGATGAAATCATAGATCTGGCACACGTCGACGTCTAATCCCCAGCCGATGCCGCCTATAAGGGAAGCAGCACATAAGCCACACTCGTTTAATAAATGGGAAGCGGCACATTCTAGCTGAGCACTCACCATATATGGCCTTTTGGAACGGAAGGTCTCCGGATCCTAGGCCGGAATGGTACGACACGATCTGCTTCACAATATTGCCATCGGCATCGGGGCCACTGGTCGCAATTGCTCGGGCGATCTTCGCAACGTTTGATGGCACAGACTTGTCTCCCTCATCAGATGCCAGCCATGTTCCGTCGGCGCAAAGAATTATGCGCTTGTAGCCTGCTAGCTTAGGCATTTGTTGCGTCGTGATGGAGCGAATCTGGGTCTTCCGGTGAAAGGCAAGGAAGAACGGACATTGACTGCCCGTAAGGAAGCTTATTATTCTCGGAAAGCCTAGTTTAGTGTTAGCCATCCAGCTTCTACATAAACCTAGCGTAGGGCTTGGCCTGGGCCCTTGTACTAAAGTAAAGTGATGGTTTATTCGGTGCATTCAACATTGAGGTATTTACATAATCGAAGTAAGATTTGGCCAGCTGGAGGAGACTACCACAAGATTTATCAATTTTAAAGTTGTATTAGGTACTTATCATGCGGGTAAGCAATGATCAGGCAGGTTGTTGCCAGATAGGGGGCTCTGATATCTACATATGAAAGAGAATTACGCCCTTCAGACATCTAAATCGTAATGATTTCATAATTTGGATTGCGTTAGATCGATCCTTCTAGGCTCCGGTTTTGCCGAAAGCAAACTGCTTGGGGAAGCTAAAGATGTCATTTCGGCTTGAATGATCGAAATTAGAAGGCTATTCCGCATTTTTATAGGTGGTGACGATATATTATTGAGTCTAAAATTTTTAATGGGACATCCTTCGCAACCGGTACCTTGGTAAAGTTATTGTATCTTAGCGTTTTCATTTTTCATGCGGGGAAAACAATAATTTTCAGTCTCCACCCGGGGTGGGAATATAGAATAGGCAACACCGTAAAACCATGGATCGCAGAAACCTTAACATGATGGGCTTGGCGATTAACAAGATGCATCACAATCGTCTTCTGATTGAATTCTGATATACATCATTTGGTATTTGGTAGTCTAGAACTCCCTGCCTGGCCATAAATTGTAAGCAAGCTTAATTCGAAGCCTGGTCGATGATCTCGTGGGGCAAGATTAAAGTCGACCTAGACTCCTATCGACATATAACCCAGAAAGAAATTCACAAAACAATTACTCGAATGTCGAAATCTGTTATCTGCTTCGTTAGAAACTAATGACGATAGTACCAGCGCTATATAACCCTTTATTAAACCAATAAAGCAGAGGTTTGAGAATTACAAAGTATAGTTTCCGCGCGAGTAAAAGCTAGGCTTCTGCCGTCTTACTGGTCGGCCTGGTTGCATTCTCTACCTTTTTTTCCATATTGCCAATGTTTATACGTCAATCCAACGGCAGTATCTTCTATAATATAGCCTAACTGTCATCTAGGACCGCTTCTTCTGGTCTGACGACGTTGCTGGAGTTTGCTGGCGTGATTTGGTATTGGAAAGGCAAGCAGGATTTATGCATAGCATATAAAGGTCTCTATGCAGCTGAGTACTTACTGCAGCCACCATCGCAACAGATCAATGTGAAGCAGCTAGTTTATAATCGAAAATTGGCGAGGGTTCCCCTATTTAAAACCAGCTCAACACAGTTGTGTGGCTGCTGACATACAGACTATTCGTAAATCCCACCCCCTTCTATACTCTCTCTAGTTCATAAAAGTACCTATCCGAATTTAGACAATATAAAGTTCAAATCCCGCCCCAAAAGTAACGTATTGCCGTGGCTTCCCCGCTGACTTTCTATTCCCTTCGTTGAGACACGATTTGACGATATCCAAGAAAGTTGACATCTCGATAGGTATTAGTTGAACAGACCTATTGCTGGTTTTTGGATGGTTATATTAAGTCAATTATTCCTAACTCTTAGCCTCTATATTAGCTTACACATTTTTCCCTACCTATCCATGGATGTCACGATCTAGACATGACGACCTTGGATCTGCCGTTACTGACCGCCTGCCGAGTTAGGGAGGTTGGATGCCAACTTGTGTTTGCATGGTTTGCATCAAGACCCCACAAAAGGATCTTGTGCCAACCAATCCTTTCTTTCTTTCTCTTCTACTCTTTGTAGTATTTTAGTTGAAATGCACTCTTTCGTTCAAAGAACTGGCTGGTAACACCTCGTACGAAATGTTGTTCCAGTCTACTCATGGCCCCACTTCTTTCTCCTATAATAAAGCGAAAGCCCTAATTCCAGTCTACCTGACTGCGCCCACCCCCATGGATTAAATAGATGGCGAGAGCAGCTAGAAAAAATAAAATTTTATTAAATACCATCATATGACCTTCGAATTTGTGCCCGCATCCGCTATATACACACCCAAATGTATGGATCTTATCCAGCAGCATAAGTACTCTTTTTCCTCAACATCTCACCAAACTTCCACAAGAATACAGGTGCAGGAGCAACAATGAGAATAGCCAAGAAACCCAGCAAACTATTTCCCCAGCCATAATGCAACGCATTATACATATACGGTGCGAAAAGCGGAAATCCAAATCCAGCCAACGACCGCAAAAACGCACCAGCTGCAAAGGCGCTAGCCGCGAAGCGCGTATATGTATCAACTATATAGTTCTGGATACACTGGAAAGCAACGATAGTACCAGTACCAAACAGCACAGCGCCGATATTAGGCGCGATCCAATGACAATGTTTCTGCGCTGTCCAGCCATAGATGAACAAACCACAAGGAATGAAAAAGGCACCGACAAATAAGAGTGGAAAACGGAATTCTGGTTTCCCGACGCCATTGTTGCGAGCCTTGAGACGGCGGTAGATTCTGTCGTTGAGGGGTGCGCAGATCTGAGAACCGAGCCAGAAGCCTAGACCCAGTGAGATGTAGCTCAAGCCGCCTATACCAATGGACTCGTTGTAATACTCTGGACTTGTCCAGAGGGAGGGGAATGTCGAAATGACGAGGTACATGATGCCGTAGATGTAGGCCATGAATAGGGCGAGGACTTGGACAATTGGTTGGGTGAGGAGGAGTTTAAATGGTCTGACGAGTGAGCCGCGGAGGACTTGTGGTAGGGCCTTCTTTTGGCGCTCTGCTTCTGTTTGATAGGATTCGTCGCCTGTTTCTTTGCGGATGCGCACTGCTCGGTCGATGAGGATTTTGGGCCCGTAGCTTTCGCGCAGGAAGAAGAGCCCCATCACTTGGATTAGGCCGTCTACTATTGATGTTGAGTAGAAGACCCAGCGCCATGTTGTGTTTTCGGCGATGAAGCCTCCCGCGATTGGGCCTAGCACTGGGCCTAGGAGAGGTGCTAGGTTGTAGATTGCGATGCCTTTTCCGCCTTCTTCGGCGCGGAAGCAGTCTGAGAGGACGCCACCGCCAATCTAAAGAAGATTAGGTGGGGTATATAGGATAGGAGAGGGTGTAAGACTTACTGCTAGCGGGGCACTTCCTCCTAGTCCAGCGAAGAAACGGCATACGATCATTTGAACCTTGTTATTTGACACAGCACATCCGATTTTAAAGACTAGGAAGAAGACCTCGGTCATAGATTTCTGAGAGAGGACCGAGGAATAACGGACCTACTGCGTAGGCTAGAATGAAGATTGACAGCATGAGTTGAGAGACTACTTCGTCCTTAACGTTGGAGTCGGCAGCCAGCGATGTGAGTGCTGGCGCAACCATCGAAGAAGAAACCGGCGAGATAAATGTAAATAGTGATACTGTATTAGTAGCAGCCCACTTCTTCTTAGTGCTCCAGTTCTTAGGGTTTTCTGGGTCTTCAGGGCCATCCCATGTCACCTGCGATTGTTAGTATCTTATACAAGTTATCGAACCTGGAAAAATAACACTGCCAACATACCAATTTCGGACCATGGCGCGACCGATTCGACTTTGCAGTCCCTGGGATTCTCAAGCTCTGGCTGTTACGGATCACCCTTCTCCGAATCAAGGTCGCGTTCGTTCGCAACGCCGTTCCTCACTTCCTGTATCGTATCGGGCCTCCCTTCGCCTTTGAGTGTTGATGCATCGTCGTTGGATGCATCGCTGTGGTAGACAGATCGGTCGTTCATATGTCTCCTTGGAAAGACCCCATCGACCTGCGCCATCCCAGGATTCGACAAAGACCGCAGCCTCATCCTGAGAGAGCCTGCAAAAATGCGCAAGCGATACCTCGTCCTTGATACACGGGAATCCGAATCCGAACTTGACATCGACGTCGATCGAGATCCGGCCGGGCCAGATTCTTTATTATGTTCCGACATGGTGTAACCTCATGTAGTCAAAGCAATAGGAAGTGAGCAGACAAGAATATGTACTGAAAGCAGCTATATGCAAAGTCAACCGTGCTAGAAGCTGAAAGTCACGCGACACTGAGCCACCAGAAGTCAAAAAAAGAGACCAAACATCGACGGAACGTCTATTTATATCAGAAATCCGAAAACACTTGGGCCCAGGGATAAGTCCCCAGAGGAACCTGCATACCGGCGATAATAAAGGACTTACAGTGCAAATTGATCAATCAGTCGAGATATGGGGCGGAAATATCGATGGAGTATTGCTGTCCATGAGTTGTCACCGCCAGTGATGTGATTCACCCAGTTCGGAGGTTGGCATTCTCAGATTTCAGTGTGCTTTCGAAATAGCCACCGCTGCTACTACAATCAAAAACAGGATTGGGCGCATTTCGAGAATTCGGTAGAAAGGTGGATAAAACATGTAGAGAACATCTCCGCCAGTCTAACCTGGTGGGGGAATCGCTCATTTGACGGCGTTCGGCATACGGCATTCGGATATGTGAAAACGCGAGAAGGCGAGAATAAGAGAAAAGAAGAGCATGCGCCAGACTCACTTCAAAAAATAATTCTTTAAATCTTTAAATAATCAGGAACGAAATAATAAATACACTTTCCATAACTATAATGTTATCAAACTATGCTGTATCATCTAAAACTATACCCGGCCCAAAGGCGACCCACCACTCTCCGGCTGTTAGGCCGCACGCCGGTTGAACTGCCACAGTTGAATTGCCGGTTTTTATTTAGGTGCCAAAACTGGACCCACTTCCGATCCCCCATCAAAAAAGTCGCTAATTTCAATCGCAAATATCTCACTAGATATAGACCTATATAATCTCTAAAGTAAACAAGGGTTAGATTATCTAGATAGTTATAAGTTCTGGAATTTTTAGATCGATCGGGGTTGTGTAGACCTCGCGACTTAGGGTGAGTATATCCAATTCGACTCAGGCCCGTCTCCACTCTTTCTCCCATAGTAAAGTATTATAAGGTCGACTGAGCCTCAGTGGTCCACTGTTACGGGCATCCCCGTCACCAAAACCAGTGACCCACAACTACACCGGTGGGGCTACTAAGATATATATTCTAAAGTCGAGATGGTAGGATTTTTAAACTTTAGTGATAAATGAGCTAATATCTCCCTTTCTAGACTAGCCCTAGAAAATCTCAATAGTAGATTTTGTAGCCCTTTTCGGATAGTATATTATGCTATTTTCTTTTTGATATTTTATATAATTAATTAATTTAGGGGATTGATATTCGTACCCCCCCTATGGATAAACGTACCCCCCCCTGCCTGCAAAATCAGGCATCATTGACCGCCTTCCCCACCGCCTTCCTTTTTTTATACACCGCCTTTATGTCAAACAACCCATATAATACTAGCAAGACGGCGGATACCTACAATTTATATGTAAACCCTATATAAAATTAAGTCACTTTTGTCACATAACACTCCGTACATACATAGGACTAAACCAAACAAATTGATATTCCAATTCTGGTTTACATACATTAACCTGCCTTCTTCAACCCCATTTTTTCATCAATATCTTCATCAAATGCATTCAAACCATCAAATTGATCGTCAATATGGCCTCTCTAAGCCTTGATTACCTGGATTCGGATCTAGATTCCGACCCTGAGGTCATTCCCGAGTCCCCACCCGCCCTGCCAAGCACCCTGCCAAGCCCGGAGATAGGCACCGAGCCAATCAACCTACCAAGCACCGAGATACCCCTTCCCCCTCTCGACCAGTCATATGCCACACCAGAGGCTGGGATCACTGCTATCAATGACCATGGCCGCGTCTATGGTTATGCAGTGATAAGCCGACGTTCAAAACGTACGAAGAAAGGTGTTAAGAAGACTATTCGGCTGTCCTGTGATCGATGGCGAACGATCCCTCCAGAAACCCAGGATGATCTTTCTGTTCCTGATACGAATCTTTCTGTTTCACGGAATCCCACAACCCTCGCTAATAAATGCCCGTTCGCTATCTCACTTCGGCTCCAGCATAACACCGGAACTTGGAACATCACAGTCGAAAATCCAACCCATAACCATGGCCCATCCCCCCGTCAACCCACCCTATCCATCGCCACCGAGAGCTTGTTAGCAAGGCTGATGAAATACAGCAGCAAATCAAGCAAGGTATCCCTACCCGTCGGATTCTTACCAAGCTCCGAGAGAGTGATCTAGATTCTTCCCTTACACCCCGTGATATCTACAATTTTCGGAAGAAGATTAATATGGAATTTCTCGCCGGCCGTACGCCTCTTCAGGCATTGTTGATAGAGCTCCCGAAGGGTAGAGAATGGATCTTTAGATACGAAGTCGACGATGATAACCATGTGACCGCGTTATTTTGTATGCACAAATCGAGTGTTATAATGCTAAAATTGAATCCCTGGGTTATCTCGATGGACTGCACGTATAAGACTAATCGGTACGGTTTACCTCTCCTTGACATTGTTGGTTTTGCTTCTACCGGATTAACCTTTCATATTGGCTTTGCCTTTATAAAGGATAAAAAGGACGATAGCTATGAAGTTGTTTTAAATTGTCTTGCTGAGGCCTATGATTCCCTAGGTCTTGAATACCCCCATACGATTCTTACGGATAAAGAACAAGCGTTAATGGATGCTATCGACACCGTGTTCCCGAATACGAAAGGTATGCTTTGTATCTGGCATATTAACATATACATCTTAAAGAAAGCTCGACCAATTCTCTCCGACCAGATCGCTAAAGCTCGACGAGAAGCCAGCACCCAGTCAACCAACCAGTCAACCACCCAGGAGAGCACTCAGCAGAGCACCCAGTCAGCCTCCCGGCGGAGAACAAAAGCCGAATTAGAGGAGGAACGTCGCCAACTTGATAAAGGCTAGAAGCAAATGCTTCGACACTAGAACCGAGTTGTTTATACCACTACTATTGAAGCAATGAATCACCAATGGGAGCTTTTCAAAGAGCGCTATAAGGATCCAATCTTCCAGCCATTAGTTGACTACATTGAAAAGGAATGGCTCTATGACTGCCCTAAGAGGTTTCTTCATATTCACACCGCTCACTATCTTCATCTCAGAGAGATAGCCACTTCTCGAACTGAATCAGCTCATTAGCTCCTAAAGCAGGACCTACATGTCTCAACAAGTGATTTACTAGTTGTTCTTCAGGCATTTGAGCGCGCGGTCAAGCTTCAATTCAGAAAAATCCAGGACGAGATCGAAAACAACAAAATCAGAAGGCCAACTAAAGTTCTACCCATTCATAGACTACTAATTGGAATAGTCTCAAGCAAGGCAATTCAACATGTGAAGGACCTTCGCGCACATTATCTTCCAGAGGGAGACGATAAACCGCCTATTCCACCGTCATGCACCTACAATTCGAAGCACACATCTGGATACCCGTGTATTCACATAATCAAGGAGTACGAAGATGAACACAAGTGTCTTGAACCTGAGCTATTCCATCAACATTGGCATTTACACAGAGTATCTGCTCCCCCAATCAATCCTATCCTTCTTCTTCAAGAGCCTCTCCAGGTTCGACGACGAGGGCGTCCCCGAGGAGCGAGAAACTTCATCAGCCAGTCAACCACTCAGCAAGCCATACAGGAGAGCACCCAGGATATCCTCTCTTCGCCAGATCCTCTCACCCAGGATCGATCCACCCGGCGAGAACCATCAGCATTCGAACATGTGCTTTCGCAGGAAGGTGGACGGGGACGGGGACGTAGACGGGGACGTGGACGTGGAACTAGCAGTGGTGAAACTGCTAGTGCTGAACCTACAAGCACCGAAGAACGGGGACGTGGTCGAGGACGGGGACGGGGAGGAAAACGCGCGCGGGGGGTTGCATAAGAAGCAGGATGATCAATATGTAGATTTTCAAGGCAGGAATCAGGCAGAATGTACTATTTTTTCTCATTAAAATGCAGTGTTTTTTACTATGTAAACCAGAATTATATGGTGGTGGCAGAATATATGGCAGAAAACTCTGTAATGGCAGAAATATATGGCAGAATTCAGTGTCGCACCAGATCGGGAAGGCGGTAGTAGTATGCACCTGATTTTGCAGGCAGGGGGGGGTACGTTTATCCATAGGGGGGTACGAATATCAATCCCCTTAATTTATTGATATCTAAGAGTAATACTTTCAACTTTTTTAGTTTTCGAAAGGTATTAACCTCTCACTAGGCGACTGAGATAAGACTGATACGGATCGGTATCGAGGCCCGTATTAAAATCCGCCGGTCGCACCCCACCAAAAGAAAAGACCAATTTAGGCCTTAACTGTTAACCACCTTACCAACGAGGTATCGATCCCAAATTTGGTAAGCAGCCTTATATATAATTCGAATAGAGCTGTACAAATTTTCAGACCTATCGGAGCACGGGAGTTCAGTTATATTGAGACGCCATTTACCTGAACCTGACCCACTCTTCTGGGGCCAATCAGACCACACTAAATTCATTACCTGGCATGTATACGGTCGGGAATAGAGTTAGTTAACAAAGCATGATTGAGGGTTGTCCGTCAACAGCAGATTGGGCGATTAAATGCCGTGGGTTCAATGAGCGCCTTGTCTATGCTTATCTCATCCGCTGAAATCTTTGTACATATTCAGACTCAAACGTCGAGCATATTTACTTATGAAAGTTCCGCCAGTATGTAATAAACGGTTCAGTAATAGATCCAATCCCAGAGGCCGTTGTTTAATACCGCTTGAATGGAGGATATTTACATATTTCGACATGTAGAGTTTGCTCCATTGCTTTATTCAAAATAGCCGATATATCGCCAATACTAAGATGTTCGAGTAAATGCACAAACAAACGCCCAAGTCGTTATTATACATTCCCCTGTTCAAATAGGTGAATCACTATATTCCAGAAAAAGCTCCGTCTCTGGCATACTGAACACCCCAGAATAATTCTCTGCTCCAGTCGATATGAACTCGTTGAAAACATACTCATTTGCATTCCAATGGACTGAAAATGGATTGCCCACCGGATTGGACAACGAACTGTATGACTGAGGCTCCAAAGGAATTATCTGCATGGCGCTCCTTTCATCATTAAAAACCCCCCGAGAAAGACTTAAAATCTTCTGAAAGAGCGTTCGCAATTCCAAAAGGGGATGGCTAAGTCCACTTTGAGCTAGGCAATCAACTATAGCGTTCATGAGGTTGAAATCACTAATGTCGGATGTAGCAACGAAATTGCAGAATACAACAAGATATGCTGTCGCAGGGTAGAGCAGGACAGTGCTAGAACATGAATTAGATTGTACTTCTCATAGTCTGTCTAGCGGTATTAGATGCATACCGATTCAAAAGGTTGACCGCAGTTTGTTTCTGGGCCGATTGGCACATAGATACCAGGGCCAAGAGTTCTTGACGAGCAGACTGCAGATAACTCTCTGTTGTGCCAGGTGCTTGAGCTTTGCCCGTCTGTAGGACATATAAGATTGTGGTCATGACTGACTGGTAGGCGAACTTCAGGGTGGATATTTCCGCCTCGGAGTCAAGACCTTTCCATTGAGAAGAGAACGAAAAGATCTAGAAATTGAGTTAGTATATCATAACAGAAAAAGGAAAGACCCAATATAGAGCCTATACTTACCTGGCTCATTCTTCCCTTAATGTATTGCATCTTCCGTAACATGTAGTTTCCGGTATGATGAAGTGATAATACATATTCGTCAGTCAATGAGCGACCCGGTAGACAGGATATTATTGTATCTTGTACGTGGGCAAGATCTAGATAAATGAGTAAGAGTTCAGATATAGGAGGGTAAGTAGGGTATAAGTCGCAGAGATTGGATGGTAGTTGAACGTCGAGACGGCACCACAATTTCCGTGATTTGAACGCATAGTTTCTGCTCAATGTGTAGCACCGAATAAAGCAGAAAACCTCTTCCTCCGTTGCGTTTCCATGAAGAGCCGTGTTGTGAAGATCCAAGTCGATGCAGATTTTACAGGCGGATTTGATGAGGTCGCCGCTCAAATCAACGTCGCCACACACTTGGTAAAGAAAAACCTAGACGTAGTTAGTTCCGAGGAAGGATTGAACCTAACTACTTCACTGGGAGACAAGCTTACCCCACAGATAATAGCCTGTAGAAGTCCAATGGATGGTGTTGTTAGAAGTGGTATCTGCTTTAATGCAGCCTGGGCGGCTACTCGATACTCTGTGGCACTCTTCTTTAGCTCAAGGACGAGTTCGGAGTCGTCTACAAAGTTAAGCACAGTTGTGAGAAACCTATAGGCGATAGCATTGACACAGACAGTATAGATTTTAGACTCGTGTGGCGATGCTTTGTTGTGAAGGAGTGAAAGGCCCATTCGTTTCAATGTTGGCTTTGATATATGTCGAAAGTAATCCGCAATAAACGCCCCAAATCTATCACTTTGGATATCTGCGTAGAATCAGCCTTCCTTTCATGACACATTATAATTGATCAGCAGTGGAGTACCTTTCAACATCCAGGTGAGAAGTTCAGTGGAAGGAATTCGAGATAATGCCTCCCCCGGGTCATTACTCTGGTTGCCTTCTACAAGTTCTCTCGAATGGTCAGACAATATCCCAATGACAGACAAGGCCGATTCGAGCACCCTACGTCTATCCATAGTGAGGCCTTGCAGATGTTGCAATTGGTGCTGAACTGTCATTTGCGCATCATAGGCTGGATCATACGAGGTTCTCGTCCCTGGCTCATAGAAGTCGCCCGGGTCATGACTTGGAATGGAGGACTCTGGCATAAATTCGGCCGAAGTATCATCGCTAATTTCTGCAAGATTTGCATTGAACTGACAATCAAGTATTGTTTGAAGTCGGGGGCTGTGGGGAGAGTGGTTGTTCCGATACTCCTGGCGGCGAGTGCTTTTGCTTCTACGCTTCATATCGCGCCGACGACAACATGAGATGCCCGCATCCTGACAGTTGCCACATGGATCGCGCCTATCGCAGCGGACCTGCGTGTTTTGTAAGCATGTTTGAATATGAATTCAATTAGTTTCTTCATACCTTGCGAGAATGGCACAGGTCACACTGCCGTGATACAATTAGCACTAGGGATATTTGATTCTTTTAGGTAGAATTCGCACCACTGATTGAGTTCGCCATCTGTGTTCAAATGAAAGATAGGTTGTCATATTGAGATTGAATGCCAATTGCTCTCCGAGATGGGACTGGTCAGGAAATGACTTACACAAAAGCTTCAAGGACAAGATGGGGAGAATACCGGACATGGAACCAGGTACTAAAAATAATATTCCTAGCAACTGCGAAAATTTCGAGCATTCGCCAAGCAATTTAAACAGTAGGCAGTGCTGATCGACTTGGCGGTTGCAAATGATTCATTGATTTCTTGGCACAGCTAGTTCATACAATTGTCTTCAGGAGTTGTCACTATTTATTAATATTTAATGACACGAGCCAGTGTATTCTCTTAGGTAGCGTCTTGTTTAAGGTTTAGTAAAGCGAGCATACCAGTTAACCGTACACCTGTACATGTACCGATAGGGATTTATTTCAACGTATGCAAGCTAGACAGTACTCAATTCATTTTGTCTAAAATGATAGCTTGCGGTATTAAACCTCTCCAGTCTAATCTTACTCTAGTGTTTTGGGTACCTTCATTCAATCGCATTAATGCCTTCAGATTCACATTATGAAATATTTGACGGGGTAGATGATACACTATCACTGTTGGCTATTCTTAGGATGGAAGATTATTTGTGGGATAGAGTGTTAACGATGGAAGAGGAAGAAAAGGAAAAGAAGCAAGGCGGGATTGCATCAGCCGAGAGAGAGATCGGACATTTTAAGACCCGACTTGCCGACTCCCGTTTAACTGTAATTTATACTACCGCACCCGTTATTCTGGCATATAAATAAATACTTTCGCCAAAGTGGCAGTATTACAGAGCATCCGCCGCTGTAGGGGATTCGGCCAGATGAATGGCAAATAATTTGCGGTAGGTTGAGGGCCGAACAGCAGCGCGCTTTGCATTTCCGGCGCAACCAATTCGACGGCCCGGCTTTGGTCGTTATCCAAGGAGGTATCGGGGAACTCCCGGGTTGTCAGGGTCGCTTGTGTCGGCTGCTCTTTCTAGCGCAGGGGGCGAGTTTGAAACTGCAGGTGTCTCAATGTTCCCCTTTGGATTTTCACTGAGACTGAGATTGAAGATGGTTTGCTCTAGGTGGAGCATTCTCCATGGAAATTCCGCAGTTCCAATGTGTCTTTTCCTCCTTGCACTTCGCGCAAGACGTGGAAAAATACACTCAACTTGGACTTTGACACAGTTAGAACACGGATCTTGCCCGTTACAACAGATTTTCATTTGTTGACAATGGAAGCAACCCAGCGAATTCAGTCGCGCAGCTCGCGGTTGCTCCCCTTGTCGATGCGAACTGACACCTACTGAGACATAACCGTGGTTAGCCTGCATTACAAGAAGCAAATCTCGGAAGCCGCCTCCTGCTTGGCATCAATCAGCAAATGTTTCTTTGGAATGGAAGCGTGCCAGTGAATAATATTTGATCTGTAGTGAGTGCAGAAGAGTTCAACGTCAGTGATGAAGGCAACTAGTGTGGGGATTGCCTGTCCAATCCAAATTTCCACATTTGATGATCACTGTCGGTGGGTTCCAAGGTATTGGGTCGATAACTTAGATTTCGGCCTTCGTATTACCAACATCAAGAATGTCAACTTTCTGCGCCCTGCCGATTTGTCAAGAAGTATGTCTTTATTTTGCTGGCGTTTTAGGTCCTCTTTGGGTTGTGGGGAGGGAGGTTTGAACTGCAAAAGACATCGGGTTTTGGAGTTGACTCCGAGTCCGGAACCTTGGATCTCCCACGGTTTACCTTTGTTTGGGTCCCGGCCCACTAGCTTTTTACCACCACTTTTTGAGTTATTCGCTCTTGTTTTGCGTTTTGCCATTGCTCTACGTCAAGAAAATCCGGGTGAGAGATTGATTGCTATATTGCAATAATTCCAAGGAACCTTTCTATGATGGCCACGTCCCTAGGTCCGGCCATAATCTTCAGAACAGGCTTTACTAATTCGATGGGCAAGAAAATCAACATTTTGACCATGTAAAATTAGTTCTGGCCTCTTGTGCGACACTTTTGTGTGCAACAATTCCTTTTAATTTGTGTGCACGGCCTAGTCCACTTAGGGCTGCCCCGTACCTACCCACGAGATATGATGATCATACAACCCATGTCAACAAATTGACCTGTATCCCACGACTTATGTTCGGAAGACGATGGAAGCATCGGTGAATTCATCGTCCGACGACCGATTCAACTTATTCGACTCAGGAGTAAGGCAGCTGATTATGTAGTAAGAGATAATTTTGAAGATCAACCGGGCTAGTGCGAAAGGCGAAGTTATTTCGATAAATCCTCGTGCAAACTCGACAACTGTGCGCAAATTGAGAAGCTGGCAACGAGGTCAATCAAAGCTTTGCCTGATATCTCGCATCAATCCATGCATTGAACTGTGTCCATCCACAACATGACTTGTCACAATTGCATGATCGGCCTAGCCTGTCCGAGCCAACAACCTCTGACAAGGTCGTTGTCATCAGCTATTGTGTCTTCGTAGCAAAGAGTTTACTAACAGCGTACGCCCTCGCCAAACCCACTATCTCTAGCGCCTCAACTTCAAGATAGATTATGAGTTTTCTAGTAAATTGTTTTGGTCCTTTCTAAGAAAAGCATCAAAACGATTCCCTGGCATGTACATTGGCCACTAAATGGCCACCAGCCGGAACTTGGGCCGCAAAAATTTCATACCTTGCATTTTCGGGCCCCAGCTCGAGCAGTAATCACACTCACTCTGAATAAATCAGTCAAAGTGATGATGCCATCGAATTCTGACACGGGAACGAGGCATGTTCAAGGCTTGAAGGTGGAGGTTTTGTCCGTATGTTGATCCGGAGCCCGGAGCCCAGGGACAGTCCGAAACCCGAAAGCAGCCCTGAAGATGCCGCGGAGAGATAATTATTGAGCAAAACGGGCCAGCAACAATATCAAAGCTTTTCCCGGGCTTCGGGCTCCATCGGTCCATGGGAAGCTCCGAACTGCGGTTCTACTAGGCACCCTAGAAAGCAAAAACCGTAGCAGCTGTCACCAACCCTGCCCACTGATCCACTCATTGATGTCCAATAGTTGTAAGCATTCACGGCTGTGGCAACCGTCTCTGTGTAAGTAAAGATAAAAGGAAGTCCATCCGCCCTCCGATGAAGTTGCTTTCCCAGCACTTATCCTAAAAGAAAGATTTCCCCTCAAGGTATACTCGCATCCTTTTGTAAAGTGATATCTTCTTCTAACCATCTGTCTCAAAGTACTATCATACAGCTCCCTCACAAAATGGCGCCTATTCATAAACCTCTCGACCGCTCCACCACCTTTGACGCAATGCTTTCCATCAATCCTCCCGTGGGACCTGTCGTCCTTCTCAATATCATTTCAATTCCGCCGGGGGCCGATAAGGAATTATTCCTGAAGACTTGGAGCCGTACCGGCGAGATTCTCAAGACTGCGCCTGGTTACATCTCAACCCAACTCCATCACGCTATTGGAGATGGCAATTTCATCGTCAACTACGCCATTTGGGAGAACAATGAGGACCTGAAGAAGGGCTTGGCAATGCCTGAATTCAAGAAGGTCTGCGAGGATTTCCCGGAAGGCACCGAGTTCCGCGCAGCCGTCTTGCAGAAGGCTTCAATTAGCGGTATTTGCGTAGGTTTGTGAATCCATAAGCTAATGTCGACAATATTTGCTTTTGATGTGCCGCCGGGTTAAGAAGCAGCGAATGAATTGATATTGGTTAACTAACGTATTCCACATGCGAGTGGATCAGTCAATCCAACCTACTAATTTCAAATGTATATATCTTAACCAAAACTCCATTAAATTCAATACACTAAAATCATAATCTATCTGGACATGCATCTCTTCTATGCCCCTGGTTTTTGTATAAACCGCATGTTGGTAATGCTCTCGTTCGTGGCTGTAAAGGTGGAGAAGGCCTTCTTCGCAGGGAGCGACGGAGAGCGCGAATGGTATGGTTCCTGTGAACGAGAAATAGGTTCGTACAACTTCTAAACTCACAATTATTGCATAATCGACTGTCAATAAATGCCGGCACCGGTTAATTTGATGTAAGGGTCATTTTAAAATGAACAGGGAGTTAAAAATAGAGAAAGGCCAAGGATAAAGGGGAAGGGAAATTAGGAAAATCGGTGGTTTGAAAGAGCCAACATAATTTACCATCGAACTGGACACACCCTCTCGGCCCTTCATGGAGCCCGAGATCTGAAGAGAAGCTCCGAGAACATTTCGGGCAGTCAACAATAAGGTCTACTGATCGGGTCGGTGTCTTGTAGAATAAAACGTTCCTACGTTAGCAAGTGACGAAAAGGTTGAGCTTGTTCACCATTCCACTTAAGCTCTCAAATTGTCATGGAAATGGCACCTATTTGAAACTCTAGCTCCATTTCTTACACCTATGTTGTGATATATAAGTTCAGCAGAGGTCCGGCAGGTCGGTCTTTAACGGGTTCTGTCGGATTCTGTCGGATTATGGAAAGTATGGAGAATCATCAAACGGGTATAAGCATACTTTATTATGGAGCAAGTACCCCACACTCCCTACGTGTGCGATTTTCGCTAGGTAGAGGCTGCGGAGGGCCCAGTGGTAGACTTTGAATTCCCATTGATATACTACCAAAACAAAGACATCCGTAATCCGTTCTGATATGCGCCTAATCTAGCCGGGGTGGGGGCGTCCGCCAGCAAGTGGAAAGAAATACGAGCTATTTGCACTATTTATGAGCCCCTCTGAGGACGTCAGTATCTCTACAGTTATCATAGTTGGTGTTGGAGTAGTTGTGCTTCATACGACATTGGTGGCGGGAGAGGTCGGAATCGATGCAATCGTTTTCCAAAGCCACGATTCAGTTTGAGGCTTTCGAGAAGCAGCAGGGTAAGCTATGGAAACCTTTAAGGTGATGGAGGCCGTTGACAAACATCATACGTTGAAAAGATGCGTGAGGACTGAAACTCCATTCAATCCTCCTTGTATTGCTTCCAGTATCTCCTCCGCATAGAAATAGAGATCACTGATATGATTAAAGTCATTGGAAGAGACATAAATTCCTCTAAGAAAAATCTGGGAACGGGAAGCTGGCTATGCGGCCAGAAACCTCCGACAATGACTAAAACCCTAAACCTCAATTGACCCTGATGGGGGAAATACGAACTTGGCCTATCTTTCTCTCCAAACCAAGACGTCAAGAGTTTGATGTTTTTGTCACCGATTTTGGGGTAATCATTTCATCATCCTCACTCACATCTTCATCACTGTATTCTGACTCTCACCAAAGGGCGATCCATGATATAATCGTGACTTCGGATCGCCCGTCCATTCATGGCGACTATAGGCACTCATGGCGAGGAGGACGATCCCCTGAACGACTTCAAGTACCACGATGATGATGCCTCACCAGACAGTAAATCACTGCCTATGCACAAGAGGCGCCGTGTCGGCCGCGCATGCGATGAATGTCGTCGAAAAAAAAAAGATCAAGTGCGACGGCAAACAGCCCTGCACCCATTGCACAGTCTATAGTTATGGTACGAAAAGCCCTTGCGTCCTTAATTTGTGACTCTCCCCGTGGCCTAACAATCCTGTAGAGTGTTCGTATGACCAGCCCTCCAATCGTCGTCACAACCCTGCCCCGCAATATGTCGAGGCTCTCGAAACCCGCCTCTCCAAGGCCCAAGCCTTTCTCCGAACCGTTCGCTCTGATGTCAACCTCAACGACCCGCAGCTAGATGTGCATGCGACGGAACAGATATTAGCCGCCCAGAAAGGAAAAAAATGCGACTGGAGATGCCAAACCGCCGATTGCCCAGGCGGATTCTACGGCAGAGACGGGGGATGAGGGATTGCTTGAGACGATGGTTGATAGTTCAGGTTGTTTAGATCGGGATGATCAGGGCCATTGGGATTATCATGGACACACGTCTGGAACTATCTTTGTTCGCCGCTTGCGCAAATAGTTGGGCGCTACGGATATCGCTAGTCCGATGTCACGATCGCGTGCCTCGATCACATCGCATATGTGGGATAGTCCAAAGTCGATGTCTGAGTCGCCTCAGGATTTTTCGTTGCCACCTACACATGATCTACCCCCCGCGGGCGGTTGCCCGCCGCTTGTGTCACAATGCGATCGACCACGCTTGTTGTCTGATGAGATTTGTGCATGAGCCTTCGTTCTTCCCCAGTCTGGAGCGCATCTACGATACCCCCAAAAAACACATATCTTTGCGCGAATCTAATTTTTGAAATTGCACCACAACGCCGCGGGCTACGGTCCTCATTTTAATTGCAAGTTAATTGTAACTTCCGGCTCCATCTCCTGATACCAATTATATATTGGTGGAAGGTATGGTGGCGCCAGGGAGCCAGTGGCCGCCCCTTTCAGGGGGCCGCGAAAATTCTGCAGCCAACATCAACGAGCGCATATTGGATGCCAACTACGACGTACGCCAGTTGCTGAATCATATCAGCAGTAACAACTCTGTTAAAGTCCCGAGACCAGTATTAGACTATCTCAAATCCATCCAGGAACTCACCACAGACCTGATTAAGAACCCAATTGGCCAGGACTGGAAGCAGCAATTTGAACAGCTGCGCCAGGAGACCAGCCAAATTAAACAAGACATTCATGCGGTGAGAATTGCTTCTTCGAATGTTAATGCCAATGTCAATGGATCAAATCGGATCCGATCGTATGTCGACGCTGTCAAAAGCGCGCCACCACCGACGCACTTTTTATCTAGTCATGGGTCGACGTCGACTAACCCCGCATCGCCTTCCGATCTCATCCAGGACCGCCAGATCGTCGTGAAACTGGGTGATTCCGACGGTATTAAACACTTCCGTACACAGACCCCTGCCGAGATCACGAAGCTAGCTGAGAGGGCACGTGTGAGAGCAGCAAAAGCCACGTATGGAGTGACAGTGGCATCAGCCAAGTTTGTCGCAGCCAGACAATTGAAGTCGGGGGATGTCTCGCTCAGTCTTCGTACCGCGAAGGAAGCAGAAATCATGCGATGCCACCGAACTACGTGGGTGAAGCACCTGTGGAAGGGATCGGAAGTGCGCTTGCCGAGCTGGGGGGTTGTTGTACATGATGTCAATGTACGGTCTCTCGGTATCAATTCGGCGGTAGGACTCGGAGAGCAAGGCCGGAAACAGAGTATCATAAAGCAGTTGCTTACTGAGAACCTGTTCAACTGGGGGGACACTGCCGAGATTACCCAGGTGTCATGGCTTGTCCTCCCAGAAGGCAAGAAATCCGGATCACTGATCGTTGAATTCAACTCACCACATACCGCCAACAATGCAATCGATAATGGAACACTCTGGGACTCGGAGGTGCTTACCACGGTCTTGTACGACCGGGCTGCGCGTATACGCCAATGTCACAACTGCCAGAAATACGGCCATATAGGAAACACCTGTTCCAACGAAACAAAGTGTGTCTTTTGCGCTGAGAAGCATCATTCTCGAGACTGCCAGCGTAAAAAGGATGCAACTCTCAGTGAACGAAAGTGCGCCAATTGCGGGGGCGCACACAATGGATGGTCGAAACGGTGCCCCGATTTCATCAGAGAGATCGAGAGGGTGCAGGTTCTTGCGCAGGCGAGGGAGCGGCACCACCGGGTGCCGGCATACCTCTCGATGGCTGCCGAAAGGACGCCGGCAGCCACAACAGTGGGACCCGGGAGTTCAGGAGGTAGCGGCTCCTGGAGTTCCACCAAGGAAAGCTCCAGAAATGGAAGACAAAGCCTATCAAAGACATCGAATAAAACACCAAGCACAGGCCAACCGGCGAGTAGTAACGAAGGGCCAACATCACCGGAGGATACCGATATGCAGAGGACCCAGGAACCCCAGCCAGAGGACATACTGCCTACCTTCACAGTTGACAGCACTGAGGCAAGTGCAATTGGAGAGTCGATCCGCCAGTCGGCACAAAGGCCGGCAAGGGGAGTCGATCGATCAATCCACACACCGGTAGAGACACGCTCTGAACCTCCAAGGCGCAGAGCACCTAGCCGGGCGTCGACATCATCGTCAACGACGACCAGGAGCAAGGGCCTCATTAGGACAATGCTCAACACATCGAAACGACCTAGGGATGAGGCATATATTCTCGAAGACCAAGAAGCAGTAATGCCAGGTACGCCATCGTCATCGGCACCGGCCGCATCGGCTAGTGAATACCAGCCATCGGTACTATCCCTTACCAGCGGGAACGCACGTCGACCAGCTAGCAAGCATAGGGCTGCCGGCAAAGAGAACGCCACCATCTTCAAAACCAACATGGCAACACATACACCGGGCCCACGGGGTAAGAATAAACGCACCCTCGACGACCAGGTCAACCTCACAATGTCAGCTCCCTCGGTGAAGTTCACCAATAGAGCCGGCATGCAGGAAGAGAGAAGAACGCGCCAATTCACCAAGAAGCATACCGAAGAACACCCCACTTTTAATGAATAATACACCCTTAACCATCATCCAATACAACACGCACCGCTCGCGAGATGTCGTCATGGCGGACTTCCTGGCGAAGCCGCAAGTCGCGAAGGCGGATATCATTGTAGTGCAAGAACCATGGGAGAACCCATACAATGACACGACATACCACCCATTGAAACAGACACACGAGCTTCTCTTCCCGTCTAGTTCAGAGACGGGAAGCAGAGCACGGGTGTGTATATATATTTCAAAGAGAATCGGTACCAACTGGACGCACTACGCACACAGCGAGTTCTGCCAGGAAGTGAGAATTCAAACGGGAATTGGCGAGGTCTGCCTCTTCAACATATATAATGAATGCGGCACCACCGATACAGTGGAGCTTCTCAGCGAACTGCTAGGGGGCAACCAACGGCGGAGGAGCAGTCAGTATACTATGATTGTAGGGGATTTCAACCTCCACCACCCTGCCTGGGGAGGCATTGAGGCCACGCAGGATATAGGTGCTGACAGGCTTATTGAGCTCTGTGACGAAGCGGACCTTGACCTATGGCTGGAACCCGGTACGATTACTAGGGACCAGAACGGAGAACAAACGACAATCGACCTGTTCTTCGGTACACCGGACCTCACCGAGAGACTAGTGGTATGCGAACTGGCCCTAGACTGCCATGCAGACTCAGATCATCTACCGATCCGTGTACTACTCGACATTGACACCGAACCGACTGTCGAGGTGAAGAGACGGCTCTGGAAGGCCATGGATACCGAGAAATTCGACATCTTTGTGGCCGACAATCTCCCAATGCTACCGCAATTAACAACCCCCCAACGAATCGACGAACCACCACGGCTGTCGACCCCCCGAAAAATCGACGATGCAGTGAACCACCTGATCGAAATCGTTCAGCGAGGTGTACAGGAATCGACACCATGGGCCAAACCAAGCCCGCATGCGAACCCATCCTGGACCAAGGAGTGCGGGGAGGCTGTCAAACACTCTCGCCGCATATTCCGTCAATACCTTGCGACACATAGCGAGGAGGACTGGGAGACATATAAACTGGCTAGGAATCAAAAGGGGAAGGTCATCAAGACCGCTCTCCGGCGGGGCTTCCGGAGTTTCATTGAAGAAGCCGTGGAGCAGGGCCCCCAGGGGCTATGGAGGGTGGCCAAATGGGCTAGGAACCGAGGCCAACAACAGCAAGGAAGCGCGATGCCGGCGTTAAAGAAAGCTGAAGGAGGGGTTGCAGAGACAGACGCGGAGAAAGTCAATCTACTCCGTAAAGTGTTCTTCCCGCAACCACCAGAAGCCGACCTCTCCGACATATATGTCAACCAAAGACAACAACAACAAGGCCACGCCTACCATCGAGAGCAGTTCCAACTACCACCGGTAAACGTCACCGAAGTGAGAGCTGCAATCAAGAAGGCGCCACCGAACAAAGCACCTGGGTACGATACGCTGCCGAACAAGTTATGGCGGGTGCTAGCGGAGCCAGGCTCACGATCAGAGAAGAGATTTGTTCCACTTCTCACTACCATCTTCGACGCGTGTGTCCGAATTGGACACAACCCCCAGCACTTTCAAACCTCCGTCACAGTGACACTACGAAAAGCCGGCCCACGAGACTACCGAGTCCCAAAATCATATAGGCCCGTCGCATTGTTAAACACACTCGGCAAGATCCTCGAAGCGATTGTTGCCACACGAATCGCATGGTGTGCGGAGGAACATAATCTGCTCCCAAAGACACACCTTGGGGGACGAAAGGGGGTGTCTGTCGACCACGCGATCCAGTTGATCTTAGGGAGAGTATACCAAGCATGGGGAGAAGGTAAGATAGCGAGCATGCTACTCCTAGATGTGGCTGGAGCATACGATATGGTATCTCACGAGAGATTGCTATATAACATGCAACAAATGGGACTCGGTGCGCTCACTCCATGGGTGCAGTCATTTCTCACCGGTAGGAGCACACGAATCAAGTTACCAAACGGCTATATGAGCGAAGCCTTCCCTACACCGACCGGCATCCCGCAAGGATCGCCAATCTCGCCGATCCTATTCCTCCTTTTCAATGCACCGCTGGTGCGTACGTGCACACTCCAAGGACTGCACTACGGGGAGAGCGAGGCATATGGCTGGGTAGACGATGTATGCATTGTAGCTATCTCTAGGAGCTACGAGGAGAACGTGAAGGTCCTTGAAAAAGCGCTCCAGAAAGCAGACATATGGGCCAAGAAACATGCCGCCAAGTTCGCACCCGATAAATTCGAACTGATACACTTCTCCAACCCGACAAACATAAAAGCGAACCGATCGGCCCAGGATGAAGACGCAGTGCGATCAGTCCGGAACGCAGACACAGTGCAATCGGTCCAGAACGCAGACATAGTACAATCGGTCCAGAACGCAGACATAGTGCGATCTGCCTGGGACACGGATACAACTCAAACGACTCAAACGACTCAGTCGGCTCCCGAACAAGACATCTGGGAGGTGCCGGATGATCCATCAGGCCATGACGGCATGCCGATTATCATACCAGGAGACATACCAACTATCCTCGCACCCACAGAAACGGCCAAATACCTTGGAGTATGGCTCGACAAGCACCTCAATTTTACAACACACCGGAAGAAGATGCTAGCGAAGGGAGCGAGCAGCCTTGAGGCACTCCGAGGCATCTCAGGTTCCACATGGGGGTCATCATTGATTGCCATGCGGAAGGTATACCAGGCAGTCATCATTCCACAGATGCTATGGGGGCTGTCTGCATGGTACTGTCCAGCTGCTAGAGCCATGCCAAGGGGCGATCTCGACAAGCTCACTAACGAACTAACAAAAATCCAAAAACGTGCGGCAATCCTGATCAGTGGAGCTTTCCGCGGAACGGCGGGAGCGGCACTCGATATTGAATTATTCATCACCCCGATCAAATTACGAATACAACAAATCATAGAGGAAACAGCCATACGGATCCTCACAGGACCACAGTGGGCATGTCCACAAATTGCATACAAAGCCAGAAAACCAACGGAACAACGACTTGGAGGCTGGTCGCCACTCGAAGCGCTGGCATTGAAGAAGCCATTACGCCTACAACCGACAGAACAATGGGAAAGGAAACGTGCATTTGTCCTTGCACCATGGGAGACAAGGATCCCATGCTTCATTGAGAATCAAGAAGCTGCATTGGAAACCTATAACAACATTTACGAAGAAGCAGTTTGCGACAAGCAAGATAAAACCGCCATGATTTTCACAGATGGGAGCGGTTTTGCTGGGCACATTGGCGCATCAATGGCCAGTCTCCAGCACGGAGTGAAGTCTCAGAGGAAATATCTTGGCAAAGACTCCCAGTCCACAGTGTACGCTGCCGAGCTCAGCGGCATTGAAATGGTGCTCAAGGAAGCGGCAGGGGGGAATAACGAGGACACAATTCCAAACAACGGGGAAATTCCAAATAACGGGGAACAACAGGCTCGAGAAGTGGTCATTTTCTCTGACAGCCAAGCTGCCATCCAGGCAGTCCAAAACCCACAGCGACCGTCTGGCCAATACGTGCTCGCACTGATATATGATCACGTACGGGCCATCCGGTCACGGAACCAAAACCAGCAAAATCCAACGAATATCACTATCAGGTGGATCCCTGCACACGTTGGTGTGGACGGCAATGAATTTGCCGATGCGGAAGCGAAGAGCGCAGCGCTTCTTGGTGCGGGGATGGGAGTTGCGACCGGGAGCGGAACGGGTGAACCGATAATCCGCCTCGCCGCAGCTGCTAAGAGAGCGGTTCGCCAGCGAATCAGAGAGCGGTGGGAGAAGCAGTGGGAGCGGGAGACAACTTCCGCACCCACAAAGCGCTTGGTGCAGGCGCCGAACAAGAAGACGCTCCGTCTATACGAGGGACTGTCGAAGCCACAATGTGCAATTTTGATTCAAACGCGCACAATGAGGATCGGGCTTCGACACTTCTTGTTCAAAATCAAGGCAGCGGAGACAGACCGGTGTAGTTGTGACGAAGGTTCACAGACACCGAAGCATGTTCTAATGCAGTGTCCACGACACATCATTCCGCGCACGAAACTGTGGGAGCAGCTGTGGGCAGTTGGTATCAAGGAAATGGATTATGACAAGATCGTGTCAAACCCGCAGGCCATCCGCTACGTGGTCAACTTCATGCACCGAACAGGTCTCCTCCAGCAGTTTCAACATATGGGACTCGAGGACGACGACGACGACGAACGAACAGGCCTCGCGGCCATGGAGCTAGGTGTGGAAGACGATGGGTATTAGCCAATGACGATAAATGATGCTGTGAAACGAGAAACTCAGCCAGAGTCGACGAACATGCCAATCAACAACTGGCCAGGAGAAAAACACCATCAATTGAAACTGAGGCAGGGGAGGTTACAGAGGATGGAAGGGAAGAGTGAGAGTGAGAAGTGAGAGATGGAAGATGGAGGGTGCACTCCATGGCGATCGTTATATATTTCTTATGTATGGGTTTTTGGGATTACAGGGTTATTGGGATGGATCTACAGGAATGGGCTGATTCCACGCTCTTTACGATCAGCATCTGTATACTCTTGGGAGTGATCCCAACTCGGCGTTTGGCTTCGAGTTCTTGCTTCAGTTGGATGAAGCGCCTGCATAGTCATACGCAACTAGTTAGACTGCAACAGGTTAATTGAACTTTGATTGATTGATTGATTGATTGATCTACGATACCCCTCCTGAACAATTTGGTAACGATGAGAATTCATTCCTCCCGCTTTCGTATATTGTCATCGCGGTTGGTTGTTTGTTCTCGGATGATGGAGCTGGCACTCTGGATTTGTCTGGCTACGAAGGCGCAATCGGCCAAGGGTAGGTCTATCTAATATCCTCGATATGGACATCCACTAACTGTCACAGATTCCAATTCTTCAAGGCTGGACGACTATTGTTAGAGGTCACTGATTCTCCAAGCCATCTGTTTCATGGTACTCTTCTTGCTATCTTCCGCCAAATTGAGTACCTGTTATTCCTATGTGGGAATTGCGCTGCGCTCATCTCTACGATTGGGTCTCCATTGCAAGGTCGCCACTGACTTCAACCCCATCGAACGAGAACTACGAAAGCGAATATTTTGGGTTGTCCGCAAGATGGATGTCTACGTCAGCACCATTTTGGGGCTGCCTCAGATGCTGAGCGACGACGACATCGACCAATAGTATCCAATGGAGATTGACGGGAATTTCATCACCACGGAAGGAATCAATCAACAACCGTCTAATTATACACCGTTGATGGCCGGGTGTAACGCACACACCCGCCTTTCTAACACCATTCTGAAGGTGGTAAAATATATCTACCCCGTCAAAAATACCCAGTATCGCTCGAAGTCAGACCAGTGCTACATGGTCAGTCATTCCAAGATCCGTGAGATCGAGCGTGATCTTCAAAATTGGATGGAGGAATTGCCTCCCGCCCTGCGACCTGGCACAGAAGTGTCACCCCAGCTAGAACTGTCAGTCTTAACTCGCGATTTAATATATTTAATTGAATTCAACTAACATCTTTCAGTATCCGACAATTACTGCATATCAGCTACGCACATGTGCAGATGGTCATGTATCGACCTTTCCTTCACTACGTTTCTGGTGGTTCCCAAGCGCGTGGTGTAGACAAGCGGTCGTATGCTTGTGCAGCGGCATGCGTCAGTGTTTCCAGAAACATCGTTCACATTACCACTGGAATGCAAAAAAGAGAGGGTTGCTCAATGGATTGTTCTGGTTTACCATGTATACGACCTATTTTGCCATTCTCTCTTTGCTCTTCTTCGTTATTGAGAACCCTGATTCACTAACCGCCAAGGACGGTGTGCTGAAAGATGCCATGGAAGGCAAGCATACATTGGCCAGTTTAGCCAAGAAGAGTTTGGCTGCCGACCGGTGCTCTCAGAGCTTGAACGTATGTATTACCATGTCCTCTGATTAATGTTTGACTAATTTGATTGCAGTCCCTCTTCAAGACTTTGCCTGAGATGCTCAAAAACCGTCAGAGCTCTAAGACTCCTGTTAACCTTAAGCGGTCAGCGCCATTCAACCAAACGGCTGAGACTGAGCCCGTCCAGTCTTCGTTTGAGAAAACACTGCCACATCGCTCAAGCACTTTCACTATGCAGAAGATGCCCCAGACTCCTGCACCCGAGGTTACGACCCGTCGCCAACAGAGTCTTGATAATACCCAGATGATGGACAATCGGCCCAATGAGAATAGTAGCCGGTCGACATGGATCTCAACAACTCCTGAGCTGCTTACGAAAACAATGTCTACACCAGAACAAATTTCTTCGGCTAGCTCCATGAACCCTTCCATGCCCTCCAATCAGGAGCCATCGAGTCTTGCATGGGCCCAGCACTTCGCCAACCTGGCTGATCTCCCTGATTTTATGCCGATTATGTTCCCCTCTGATGATCCATTCGGGTATCCCACGCAACCCATGTCCACCCTGGAAGATGACCACTTCTGCCACGACCGTGGAATGATCCCATCCCAATACCCCTGCGATGCAGCCCCACAAACAACAGGCATGGGGACAACGACTCCCACCGATCCCCGGGGGGCGTTGGAATCTCTACCCCGACCTCTGACTTTACCAATCTCCCTAATTTCCTCGGCGGGAATCCCTCGGCGATTAAGTCATCAGTGCCAAACCGTCTCCAAGCCTTCCATTCCAGAAGCTCGTCACGTATCCACTCCCCGATCTCCCAGGGCCAGAGCCCCAGTGACGTCCTCAGCAGTGCGGATCTAATTTCAATCCCGATCCAGAACCACGTTTGGCAGGGCTACAACTTCCAACCGACCAAACCCAATAACCCCAAGAACATACCAACCGAATTCGCCCCGCAGCAAGACTTCCCCAGTCCCAATGGACACTCTAATGCCAGCATGGGCATGGGCATGGAGCTCGGGATCTCGTTCGACGACCTCTTCGGAAACAATGCTACCTTCCGACCTAACAATGGGGCATGCAATGGGGCATGCAATGACGATTGGGCTCAGTGGATGGATGCCAATGTCTGATTGAATCTTTGCTTTTAACTTTTGCCCAGTTTCTATGAGGATATGCAATTATGAATGCCAAACGTTTAGCTACATATATATGCTGATGATATGTACAGTCTGATGCAATTAAGATTTAGTATTATTGATTTTGCTGAAGTCCTGATCTATTCCAACTAAACTAGCGTATATCCGCGTATCGGAATAAGTTGTAGGGAAAGCTAAGTTTGGGGCGACTAGAGGGCGGTTGGGCTAGATCACCAGATCTTCATATGGGAATAGTTCACTGGATTCTTTGGACTTACAGTATTCCTCACAATGACTTAATTGTCGATAAACTTTGATACAGCAGGGTTGTAGACAAATGCGGACTATCTTATAGCGGAGGTCTAGGGATCAGTTAGTAGACCGACATAGACTCGCGCATCTCAACGTCCTGATGCAACGTCTCCTTCATACGCGATAGCCCTCTAGTCCAAAATATATAGTTCTCCGTCCTGCAAGATAATATTCCGCCGACTAGGACCCAATTGACGGAATAGGCACTCTTGTAATTGAAAGTCAGAGCCGAGTTCTGAAGGATTGAGAATAGCTCGATTGTTGAACCATGCATTGAGCCTATAAGTTGTGCCCAAGGGCATTAAAGCGCCATCCTCAGAGAACAGGTACCTCCAAGGCTTACCGCGAGCCTGCGGGCCAGTAAAATCAGCCCGCAATTTTGTTGCCATAGCACGGATACTCTCGGCTAACTTGTGTATCACCTCGGGGTAATCCCTCAAGTCAGTATTGTCGAGTGTCTCCCCGTGTATGAGCTCCGACACGATATGGCCAACCCCGGAATACAAAAATGCCGATACAATTGTGGGGCTTTGATACCGGTCCCAAGGGAAAGAAAGCGAGCATACTCATGATTTACAGCTTCATCAGCAGTGATACCCCATCCATATTTGACGAACACATCGCCCGAAATCTACTTCATGCATTGTTCGGTAGCTCTGGGTCTCTCATCGCCATAGCATAGATGAGGGTTATCTCATTAAAAAGCGTATCGATTATCAAACCCATGATGTCGTAAATTGAAGAAAATTCCAGACCATGAATGTTGTGATGTTGGTACGCAAGTTCAGATGCACATAAAGATCCGCGGTTCGTGTGACGGCGACTGATGAAGAGACACTCGTGGCCACCCAGGGCTAGCTGACCGAGCTACGCAGTACTAATTCTAAATTGAAACTCATTAATGCATTCATTGAGTATTTCATAAAAATTAGCTTTATCTCTGATTGTAATGTACATTTTGACACAAGCCAGAAGCTCACAGGATGTGAACCTTGACATTGCAATGCAACAAGAGCCCTTCCGGGTTAGTTTGTTTCTTTAGTGTGATCCCGAGACCCAATGCTGCCTCGCCTCTCGAGGTCCCGTCCGTCTTGCCCCTAAATGGTATCTCTATTGCGGAGACCTTCTGCGTTCTTCTCGTTATCCTCTGGTCCTCTATAATGGTGCACTTTCGAGCTTCCATTTGGAACCCAAAATCGTTGGTCGACACGAGCTACTAGGAATATAGCCACGACCAGAATATCGATACCAAAGTCAAAGACATAGAAGCAAGCCTTGCTATGATACCATGCAGGATTGTTGAGAGGACGAGGTGGCATCCAGGATGTAGCGGCACGGAACGAGGCGCCAAGACAGAGCAGACAAGCGACAAGTCCGACAATGAACACTTTAGCCATCCAGCTGCCCGAGCCAAACTGCTCTATTTGCTTTCTGTTTGGAGACAGAATAACAGAAAATGCAAGTGGAATAGGCAAGAATGAAATGATGGCGAAGTAGGTTTGACCGTAGAGCTGGATATCGCGATCGATCCGACGGGTGTTTGTGTTCAGAGTGTACATACTCTGGACAACACATGTGATGACCATAATTATAGTGACCACAACAAGACCGTAGACTGCTTTGAATGCCCACGATACTGTCCGAGACCACCCTAGGACTGGATAGACTGCTCGGACCATGCGCTGTGTATAAAGTAGGTTCAAGACGAAGAGTAACAAAACACCAGCGGCAACGAAGATCTGCGCCGCAATAGCAAGTCTTATATTTGTCACGTAGCAGGCCCAGACGATTCGAATGACATTTGTGACAATTCGCGACATGCAGAAACCGAATGTCATACCGGATGGAATGAATTTGTGTCCTCTTGCGAGGTTGCGGCGGAATAGGGTCATGTGGGAGACGGCACCAGCGAGAAACAGAGCGAGGAAGACGGTGCATATCGGGACGTCGAGGGAAATCGTTGGAAGGCCGCCTATTCCGGCCGATGGGGCCATATAGGGTCCTCCCATTTTCTGGAGAGGGTTTGTTAGAGTTTCTGGTATGTGGTAGTGTAGATGGTAGATGGAGGGTTAGGGCACGAACTATAGTATTTGTTGGCAGTGATTTAGATAGAGGAAGTATGCGACTTTTCTTCAATATTGACCAGTTGAAGTAATAAATTTTCCCAGATTGTCCTTCTAGATTCTTAGGCTTGCAGAAAGATGAGGTTTCGGAAAACGAACACTATATACTCATCAAGAACTAAAACATTAAAAAGAAATCTCTGTCACCGGGCCGTTTCCAAACCGCGATCTATCAATACACATCTCAGGCTCAGCAGATCGGCCCGTGTTCCACGCGATTTCATTGTTTCCAGGGAAAATAATAGCCAACCCCGAGTCGTGGCTGTCGGGGGTCATGCTTTGTCGCTCCTGACTTGCCGGGAGGGACGGAAGCCGAAACACCGACCACCGATGGAATCGACCATTGGAGCCTCCAGGGCTTATTTTGACACTTACGTAATCCTGCATCCAGAGGCGCTTGACAAGATACTAGTCATGGTCCTCGTCTAGAACTTGGCAGGACGCAAAGAAATTGGCATTTGTTAATTTTGACAACTTGAAGAGTGATGAATTCGGCCTTCAACAGGCAAGTTTCTTTCTCGGACTTCGGATAATTATGCAATGCGAAGGCCGAAAACTCATGGTGGAAGTGTGGGTCGGACAGGCAATCTTGCCGCTCCCAGATGGGTCGCCTCCATCACTGATGTCGAATACTTCTGCCCTCAAAACAGATCAACTTTCATTCACTGTCACGGTTCCGATTCCACAATGAATCATTTGCTGATTGATCCCAAATTCAAACTACCGTTTTAGAATTGGTTCTTGTAATGGAGGCTAGCCATGGTCACGTCTCCGGGGGGGTTGGCGTGCACCGACGCTTCAACGGCCCTGGAGGGGCGCCAGTGCGAGCTGCGCAGCAGAATGTGCTGAGCTGCATCTATTGTCGCGAAAAAAAGATCCGTTGTAACAGGCAAGATCCGTGTTCTAACTGTGTCAAAGTCCGAGTTGAGTGTATTTTTCCACGACCTGCGCGAATCGCGAGGAAGAGAAGAGACACTGCGTCTGCGGAATTGTCAGCGAGAGTGCGCCGGCTAGAGGAAACCATCTTCAGTCTCAGTGAAAATATTAAACGGAAATTTGATACAATGGCGTCACCGGCAGTTTCATCCTCGCCCCCTGTGCTAGAAAGCCCAGCCGACACAAGCGACACAGAAAACGGAGCAGGGCTTGTCAATTGTCCCTCTAGGAAGGCCCAGTTTGCGGACCGCCTTGTTCCAGATAAGAGAGACACGGTGACCGAAGACCGCAACCATGATTATCGGGATACCTGTGATGTGGCAACAAGAGAAGAGGTAAATATCGTCCTGGTCGCATGGTGTCAGCCTTACGGCATTTTATTTCGATTGTCGCTATGCCAGTGCCAATGAGGAAATTTATGTTAACTGGCGAGTGAAGGTCGAGGAGACACATAGGCTGCGCCGTTCCCCCGTCGCGTTCCTACCATCGTTGGATAACGACCAAAACCGAGCCGTCGAATTGGATGCGCCGGAAATGCAAAGCGCGCTGCTATTCGGCCCTCAACCTACCGCAAATTATTTGCCGTTCGTCTGGCCGAATCCCCTACAGCGGCAGATGCTCTGGCAGAGCTACCTGGAGAACGTCGCTCCGCTCGTGACCATCGTGCATCGGCCTAGTCTTGAACAGCTTCTGGCGCAAGTCAACATGTCTGAAGACGCCATTGACCAACCAGACAAGGCACTGCTCTTCGCGGTGTACTTATCTGCGATCATAAGCATGACATCTGCTCAGTGCTTAGACAAGCTCGGCGAACAGCAAGAGGCGGCAATTCGTCGATATCGTTTCGCTGTCGAACAAGCGCTTGCCCAGGCTGATCTACTGAACTCTCGTCGCTTTACCCTGCTTCAATCTGCTGTATTGTACCTGATTTCTATTCGCCGGCATGATAAGCGACAGTTTGTCTGGACAATGACAGCGGTCGTGTTACGCCTCGCGCAGGGTCTGGAGATCCACCGCGAAAGCGCCCTGTCCGCCACCTCCCCTATGAACACTGAAATGTCTCGGCGGCTGTGGTGGCATATCTCGGTACTAGATGTGCAATCTGCGGAGGATCATCGTACTGAGCCTATGATCCACGATGGGCAATATGACACCCGATTTCCGCTCAATATCAACGATGAGGACTTAGTTCCCGGGGCCACAGAGTCTCCATGTGAACGCTTGGGTTATACCGATATGACTTTTTCTCTGATTCGATTCGAGATTACGGCGATTCATCGACGCTTAAAGTATTCTTTGGTCGTACAACCTAATACCACTGCCGAGGACTTGGTGGCACATCGTCAGCAGCTTATCACTGGCCTTGACCAGCGTTTACATGAGAATTATCTTCAATATTGCAATATGGACGTTACTATACATTGGCTCTCTGCTACATTTTCTTGGCTTGTGCTTTCCAAACTGCGGCTTTCTGTCTATGACGCGGTGACATCTGGGGATATGTTCACTACAGAAACCAAAGCAAGCATCCGTGGGTTTCTATTTGCAACATCCGTCGATATAATCGAGCTCTCGGTCCTCCTAGAGACCAGTAAAAGAAAAATCGGCAATTGGACTTGGGTGTTCAAGAATAACAATCAGTGGCATGCGCTCTCCTTCGTTCTCGCAGAGCTCTGTGTCCGTCCGCTGGGCCCTGATGTGGACCGGGCTTGGTTGGCGGTTAACTCTGCATATACCTCATGGAAGTCGCAAGATGCGCAGGCCCAAAAAGAGATTTGGCCAACCATCTCCCGACTCATGGATCGAGCCACCCAGGCGAGGAAGCGCCAGCTAGATATGTCCCGTATCCCTAGATCAACTCTCTCTCGCCAGTATTGCCGATCGTTTCCCGTCATGGAATCACACCCTTGCGGTAAAATTGATAATCTACAACAACCGCTGCCAAAACTGCCTGAGGTACTTCCTCACGTTTCAGAGCCTTCGACACACCACAATCATTCCTGTCCCGTGTTGAATGCCACGAATCTTCCGGTGGATGGACTGGCGGGGGATCCAATGTTAACATTGGTTATGGACAACCGCTTTGGCGAGTTGCCAGAGAATGTCTTTTTCTCGAACGCCGGTTTCCCGGCTGATAATATTATTGATTTCTTTTGAATGCCTACTGGACCGTACGCATAAACCACCGATTGCAGTCTTCACGTGGCGCGCATGATGGATGTTGTGTAATTGAAAACGGGCTAAAATAAATTTAAGGGACTTGGTATAATATCGTGGAGAGCAGCAGTGCATCTAATTGTGTGTGCGCGAAAATCCAGTCAGATATACACGCTGACATCTCGCTCCTCTGAATGCCCACTCGTTATAGTTGGTATTTTTTGATGAGTTCCAAGAGAAGCCTACATTATCGTCCATCAGCCTGAATATATCCAGAATGGACGAAGACAGTCTGGTCGGTCCAAATCTTCCCGAGGAGCTTCCAAACCACTGCATAATCCTCAAGGCCGTTCGGTGTCACGATCTGCATGTTTGCTCACTCGCATGCTTCGAGATCGTTTGCTTCGCTTAGCTAGTAAAGGTCGGTGGTTTGCATGGTTTGCATAGATCTACGGTATATCAGCTCTCCATGGTTAATTCCAGATCTTGCTTCCCTTTTTCCCCATCTTTAACATTTTGAATTGAGTACTCTTTCATTGTTAAAGACCTGGCTCGTCACATTCGGTATGGTAGTAGTTCAACGTCTAGAGGCCTAGGCCCTATCACCACCATGTGTTACGAGCCAGATCAAATCAACGAATGAATGCACTGCGGAAGTCTACTTACTATAGTGTTTTGGGGTGGCCCACTCGCTTGTGAAATACGTTAATAAGCATGTACATGCCTCAGGAAACTGACTTCCTTAAGTCAGCAAGTACTTGCTGTAAAAGTCGAGCAAACTAGCTAGTAATGTAAGACCCAATTTTATCCGACATTTCAAAATTTGACCCACTGAGTGGTCAAATACAGTAATCTGAGGCAATAGCTTTTAAAACGTATCTCGGCACATAAGCTTTATTCGAATGTTACCTGCATCTCGAGCTCCTGCTGTGGGTATACCACTGTAGTATCTCCCTCCCGGCGTGGCTCGTACTCACAGATAGTGGTCACTATATCTTCGCCGGTATTCACGTATCCACATGTACCACCGCTCTCATCCCGGCGGAGCACGGACTCGCACACCGTCTTTATGATATACTCCCCTATGGTTACTGGATCAGCGATACATTTCCTAACGAATTCGTCGTCAAGCGGCGACTCGACTGCCTCTGTAGTGCCATGAACCGCGAAGCAAACGCAGCACCCGCAGATTATCTCCTACGGGAAGACGGATACCCATTTGATGATTCTCCGTACTTTCCATAATCCTACAGAATCCGACAAAACCCGGTAAAGACCGACCTACCGGACCTCTGCTGAACTTCCATATTACAACATAAGTGTTGTCCATGATTTCCCTTGAGTTGTAAGAAATGGAGGTCGCGTTTCCAATAGGTGCCATTTCCATGGCAATTTGAGAGTTTAAGTGGACTGGTGAATAAGCTCAACATTTTCGTCATTTACTAACGTAGGAAGGTTTTATTTTACAAGACACCGACCCCATCAGTAGACCTAATTGTTGACTACCCGGAATGTTCTCTGGGCTTCGCTTCGGATCTCGGGCTCCGTGAAGTGCTTAGAGGGACTACGGGGGCTCCCGGCAAGCCGGTATAAGCCCGATGCTGTTCGGCTATTGCGGCACATCATAGGCCATGATATTCTTTCAACCCAAATCATATAATTTGTACTTCATAGTACCACATCCCTTTCCCATAGTGATCAAGAAACATTTCCTTTCCAGGTTATCATCCTTGTGATTCTCTACGTCGCCTGCTTAGCAAAGTCTTTTGCCCAGCATGGCACATCTCCCTGAGTCGTCTACCTCCATTGAAGTATTTGCTCTTCCAACAGGAAAGCTTTATCTTCCCGATCGCTGGCTTTTCGAGGATGGTAACGAGGATATACGTTCAGCACGCCAGCACTCTCCAGACTATAGTTTCCTCATTCATCATCCGTCTGGAAGGAAGGTTCTTTTCGATCTAGGCATGCGAAAGGTATATCACTGAGTCGGCATTTAACATGTGGATAAAGGCTAATTTTCTCTAGGATCTTGAAAACCACCCCCCGATTATTGTGGACGAGTACCCATACATCAGCCCAGATGTCCCCATGGATGCAGCCGAGATTCTAAACTCAGGCCCCATTCCGCAGATAGTATTTCTGCTATTGTGCTCTCTCACCTGCACTTTGATCATGTAGGGGACTGCGACAAATTTCTCCACGCTTCTGTCATTGTTGGTCCAGGGATCCGGGCGGCCATAATGCCAGGATATCCCTGTGATACGAGGTCACCCTTCCTAGGTTCAGTTCTTGATCACCCTGGATTCCTAGAGCTCAGCCTTGAATCAGACAAATGGGTACCAGTTGGCCCATTTCCCCGCGCCTACGACTACTTCGGTGACGGCAGCTTCTATTTACTTGATACACCCGGCCATATGCAGGGTCACTTAAGTGGCCTTGCACAGACTGGAGCACAAGAGTGGGTGTTCATGGGGGGGGACTGCTGTCATCACCGTGACCTTCTCTCAGGCAAGAGACCTGTGAGCGTTACAGTAGGACCCAACGGAACAAAGAGCTTTCACAAAGACCCACAAACTGCTATTAAAACGATGGGCTTGGTAAGGACACTGGAGTCAGATGGAAGGGTGTTTGTGGCATTGGCACATGATGCCACTTTGGAGAAAGGTATGCCCCTATATCCAGAAATGTTAAATGGATGGAAGGGAGGGCAATGGAACAAACAGATCCGTAAACTTGTTGCACAAATGTAAGGTTCTAGTTATGTGATGACCTTGCGCGCTATCAAAGGCATTCGGACTATTGGATCGCAATCCTGCAAGTTTCATCCTTGTTATGTGCCTGTACCGTTTCACATTTTTTCGTTGTTTTAGTTCTGAGACTTCTGTCTTTTTCTCCATCCCCCAAGATATGCTACTGGTTGTCAGAACCATCACTTGCGTCTGAACTTATATGGGTATTCCACGGCATAATGCACGCTTGATAGGGTGCAGGACAGCGCAAAAGACAATACACTTTTTTCCAAGCAGAGGGTTTTTTTAAAAGGTATCTTCTATAGCATCAATTTTCAAGCCTCGCGCGACCAGTATGCGCTGAATAGCAGATGAAGTGCCTCTTTTATTAATCATTTATGGGGGAACTGTTGACCTAAGGATGGTGTCTCTAAAGTTAAAGAAACCAACTTAAGGTGGACACATGAGATCCATCCATTTTGGGTAATCCTTGGCAGAATTATGCTAGCGCAGCACCATTCGGAGCACCAAAATTGCCCAGGTGCTGCGGGACTTGTCAAGGCCTAGCCGGGTGGCCTTCCGCGGAAACCCCGCACCCCCATGACCCATGAATTTAGGAACTAGCATCCCCTGCGGCTATCCATTTTGTTTTTTAAGACGGTTTGTACTCGTCCTCAAGAAGATTCTATGGGTCATGGCCATGACCTAGAATGGATGCCTTTTTTCAGCTTTACCCACACCCCGCCGGACACCCCGCCGGCTTCGCGTTCAACATCCCCTCATTTAATTGGCAAGCAATAGATCAATGCCGATACGGCCAAAATGTTATTGATGCACGTGGCAATCCGAAATTGTCTTCGCCTTCAAGCTACGTGGTTAAACAGTGCTCCCTTGCAGGAATCTCGGAAGACTCTGCCGGATGCTCCATCCCTAAATTGGGCGGCTGAGTTTGCAGATCTTTGTTTATTTAATCAAACAAAGAGTTGAATTTCTTATTTATCGAAAGCAATCCTACACCCTTGGAACCTTTCTGCGGTTATGAACCGCTTTATTGTGCAACATCTGACCACCCTCATGAGTGTGCGTCTGTGACCAGCGTGTACAAAGCACGGCAAGAAAAAACTCATGTCCCTTCTCTACCCACAACGTGCTGTGCCAGAAAATCCATGCCTTTCTCGATGGATTCAAAGGTAGCATCGTCACGTTTCAATCTAGTATCAAAGCCGTGAGTCATACCTTCTACAAGATACAGTTCAGACTGTACCCCATTCTTCAGTAATTCCCCATAGGCCCACTGAGAAAACTTTGCGTCAACAACGACATCTGCAGTCCCCTGAATGAAAACTGTGGGCGGGAACCCGGGTGTCTTCAATAATTTCTCTGGATCAACATGATCATACTCGTCCTCGGCAATGATTTGATCAAATTGGGCACCCTTACTAACAGACGTGACGAGGTAGGCCTGGCGTGGTGTGCTCAGATCGAGTCCCTTGGGACCAAACGGAGGGGTCGCCGCGATTGGCGGAGGGATTTCGTTAAAGACCTGCTTGATGAATTCGGCGGAGGGCAGAGCGGGTGCACCAGGCTTTGGTTTAATGCTAGTCCCAGTGTGATAGAAGGGATCACGGAGGTATTTGAACCCGAATAGATCAAGGATGGCCTTGGGCGGGCTGGGGCGAGAAGCCTGGTTGCGTAAGATATATTAATTACCAGCCTCTCCCAGTTTGTAGGATTGTTACTCACCATCAATAACGCTAGGCCCCCACCACAAGAGTGACCCAATGTGACAATGTTCCTGCCGTTTACTTGGATGCCATGATCCCTCTCGAGTAGTTTGGGAAGCTCGTTCTGAGCCCATTCGTACGCGGCCACTGAATCGTTGACTGGGCCGTTCAGTACGGAGATGGTGGGGCTGAGACGATAGTCTGAAGACACGGCGATGAAACCCCTTTCCTTCAAAGCCTCGATATGTGCAGTCGGAAGCATTGCCCGGCTACCAACGATGTAGCCGCCTCCGTGGAAATACAGCGCTTCACGTTGGATCAGCATGATGCTTCACATAAAGTTATTTTCTTTTCCAATTGTCTCACCAATAGCCTTGACTGAGGTAGTATCTCTAGGCAAATGCACAGTAGCCGTAAGGCTTACTTTCTGGACCCCGTAATCCACAACCTTGAAGACATAATCGATGCTTGCCATGACTGCCATTGAGTTAGCTTGCAACTGAGTGAATATTGGAGGCGGCGGAGTCCGAAGCGAAGAGAAATAGCCCAGAAGTCAGATACTAAAGATTCAGTGTTTCCGTTGTAAATATCGGCGTCCTTACGAATATCGCATGTTCCGCCCGGGCGCTGGTGGCCGCGGCCGTTGAGGCCGATTCCGCGGAACCCGCTCTCTTGGAAGTCTCCAACGAGACACGTTCGACAGCAAGGCATAACTAGGTGTCGAGCAAACTTGACACTGATGCTCCCTCTGTAGGGTAGATGACAGATCTGGTTGCCGTTATCGTGAGCCGAGACCCTATCTCAAGGTACTTTATCTCTTCTGAAAAAGTCGTCGCAAGACTACTCCGCTTAATTACTTATACACAAAGGCTTCGTGTGGTTGTAGCATCCAAAATTCGAAAGGAATTTACGCTTAAGCCCGTTGGACCTGATTTGATCTTCCGCACAACATGTAAGAGAATTCTAGATTCCTATGATAACAGCTGACAACAGGCTGATGATCATAACAGGGAATATACAGCCTCGTCAGCCATGTTCGAGGCGCTGTGGGCCGTGAGTGTAGTCCCATTATACCACAGGGACTTCATCAACTTTCGAAACCGTGCTCATATTCGTTTTTGTTAGGCCGGCGTACGGTATTGCTTCGTGAATCTAGGATCTGATCATCCCAGCATCATGGAAGCAATGGTTAAAGGGCAGCGCGAGAGACCGGACAGCTTCCCTGAATTTATCACTTGCCCAAGTGAAATGGTGGCACTGTCGATGGCAGATGGCTACGCTCGTGTCACGGGAGAACCTCAAGCTGTCATTGTACACGTCGACGTTGGGACCCAAGCACTCGGGTGTTCCGTGCATAATGCTAGCGTTGGCCGCGCGCCTGTGTTCATCTTTGCCGGTCTATCGCCATGCACCCTGGAAGGTGAATATCGCGGTAGCAGAACCGAGTTTATCCACTGGCTACAAGACGTCCCAGACCAGAAAGCAATTATATCACAGTACTGCCGCTATACCGCCGAGCTGAAGAAAGGCAAGAACATCAAACAGATGGTGAACCGAGCCTTAAGCTTTGCAACTAGCGAGCCACAAGGTCCAGTCTATCTACAAGGGGTGCGGGAGGTTATGGAAGAGGTCATCGAGCCGTACGAGGTCCAACAGGAGTTTTGGAGTCCCGTGGAGCTTGGCGGGTTGACACCGAAGCAGCTGAATTTGGTTGCCGAAGCCTTGGTATCTGCACGGGAGCCGCTCGTCGTCACTGGCTATAGCGGACGCGATACCGCCGTGGTACCTTTGCTCGTGGAGTTGGCAAACATGGTCAAAGGCTTGCGAGTTCTCGACACGATGGGTTCGGACCTTTGCTTCCCTGCCGATCACCCTGGCTGGCTGAGTGTAAGGTATGGATCGGACGAGGCAATCCGCACGGCTGATGTGATTCTTGTAATCGATTGCGATGTGCCTTGGGTCAACACGCAGTGCAAACCCGCCGATGGCACCAAAATTATCCATTTCGATGTCGACCCTTTGAAAGGCCAGATTCCGCTCTTCTATATCGACGCGATCCTACGTTGCCGCGTCAATACCGCGTTTGCCCTTGGCCAAATCGTCCAAAATTTGAAGACCGAGCTTTCGGATCAAATCAGCGCAAACCGCAAGCATTACATGAGCCGAGGTTTAGCCCTCCAGGAATCCCATGAGCGGAAGCTAGACGCGATAGCTTCCCAGGCCCAGCCGAATACCGACGGCTCATTGGGATGCGGCTTTCTCATCTTACAGCTCCGGAAGGCATGTCCGATCGACACTATCTGGGTGGTCGAAGCCGTGACCAACACCTTTACCGTGGCCGATCAGTTACAGGCAACGTTGCCGGGAAGCGTGTTCAGCTCGGGCGCTGGTGGCCTTGGCTGGTCGGGTGGCGCAGCTCTTGGTATAAAAATGGCTACGCACTCCCGCAATGGAGGGAACGGCAAGTTTGTGTGCCAGATCATCGGTGATGGTTGTTTTCTCTTCTCGATGCCTGCCAGTGTATATTGGATTGCGCAGAGGTACAAGATTCCAGTGCTGACTATAGTCCTCAATAACAATGGTAGGTCGAGGCTCACCATTTACTCTCTGTCGCAGTGAAAAAGGTTCCAGGCTGACAGACAATACTTTGACAGGTTGGAACGCGCCTCGAAAGTCCATGCTTCTTGTTCACCCCGATGGATTGGGGTCCCAAGTAAGCAACTCAGAGCTCAACATATCATTCGAGCCAAACCCGGATTACTCGACTATTGCACAAGGTGCATCAGGAGGAAAATGCTGGGCGGGACGAGTCAGTACCTTGGAGGAGCTAGCAGCAAGGTTGCCCGAAGCCATAGACGCTGTACACAGTGGCCGTTCTGCTTTGTTAGATGCGCGAATAAAGTAACACCCACTTTGTACAATGTACGACGTTCACGTTCTTAGATAGCATCTCTATTACTATACACGTCTTTTTGCATGCAGAGCTCTCGGGGAGGCTGTTAATTGTTTGTTTGGCAAATGGTTATAAAGAGAAATCAGATCAACTACTCATGAATTACTCCTGTTTGATCAAATTGATAAGCTCCATTCGGTGGCCCCCTTTAGACCTAGGTCTATGCTCATCTATTCAACGAGACAGATTCTATCGTGTAATGGACATAAGCGATATTCTCCTTATATTCAGAATGCATTCGAAATCCGTGAGACGATCTCATCTGAGTGATTGTATAACGTTCATCAATGAATCAAATACCACCACTTTTGTTCAACTCCAAATGTAGATATAACTGCCTGTTCGCCATTTTGTCCGCGCTCTTGGATCCTCATTCGATTCTCGCTTCATGACGCTTCTCTCTGCACTCATAACTTGCACCTGAATCAGACAAGAGTAAACTGTTGTGGTTGTAAAAAAGCGTCTCGATCATATGTCTATACTCCATAGCGTTACTGCTGAAGTTCGTGTGGGTTCCCTCTCTGTATCAAGAAGTCAGTTGTGCTGTCAGGTCATTCACGATAATACGCACCCTTGGTCGTGATTTTGAGTTTGTTCAACCCATTCCATAATTTGATCTTGAGAGACACAAGCTTTGACTGCGATATCAGTCATGATTGAATGAGAGACAGATGGAAGCGAATAATCTGGAGAGCGATTGCGATATTGATATACTTGTAATAAGTCTTGCTACGCTAATGTGAGAGCATATTGCTTCAAGACTTTACAACAACATCTTAGTACCTCGTACATCAAACCTACACGGGTACCGCCACATTGAGATAAGAAAAATCGAAAACTCTCCATGGTTCCACGGAATCAAAATTGCAGGAATGCGGCACGGAAATATGTGAAGTATCAATAAGAGGGTTCTTACTCCGCCGAGTTTAGAAGTGTTGAGCGGAGAGCTCTAGAAAGCAGACCACAAAAATGGAGTTGATTGATTGATTGTTCATTGGGAGAGTTATCTGAGAGCAAATACACTAAGAGTAGTTAACTAACTAGTTAGTTAGTTACAAACTTGGGGTCGGTGGCTGAGCTCTAAGGCAGCAACCCCAAAAAGTCTACGAATTGCAAAATTCAGTGGCTTGATTACAATTTCTGCCTCTCACGTGTTATTCTAAGAAGAATAAGTTGTACAAAGCAAAAGGCCAATATGAACCCTTATTCAGCTTCTTGCATCTATCTACCACAAGTGGTTTCCGATGGTTCCGTGGTGAGACCGATGGACCTTGGAAGCCGAGATGTACAAAATGTTGAGACGCAGGATCCCGGAACAGAGCCGCGGAATTCATATACTTGTAGATTCGACCACCCCCGCGAAGGCTCGGCTCTACGGCATTCACAGTCCGCTCATTCACTAAGCTTAAGCTTCGTGTTTGATGAAGACCATTATGTGTTTCCTAGCAAGAACACGCAAGGCAAGACCGATAACGTTAAGCTTGGATTTTATAGATCAGTCGACCGAAATAGTTTGCGTCAAAGTTTGCGTCAACTCGCTGCCACCGAAAAACCAAAATAAACCCGGCTACGTTATCAACCAATAGCACGACTAAACCAATACATTTAGCTTGTAAAAATCTATCTTTATATTAAGAAAGGGCTAAGAACTTATATCGATAAATTAAAATCGATTCACTAAGATCTTTATCGTAGATTTTAATTATTATTATCTATTCTTAAGATATAAACTTGTTAAAACCTCCGTGTACAAACATAAGAAATATATAAAATATGTTTGCACAAAGGATTATCTATTTCTTCATAATTTAGTATCCGTATAAAAAGATTTCAAAATTATATGGTTAAACAATATTTGAAAGGTAGTAATTTCATATAGTTCTAAACCTGAAAGGTTACATTACATCTCAAATTAATCAGTTCTCATAGTGAAAAGTAACTGTATACTCCCAAACTCTATTGAAGCCTATTCAGTTGTGAGTACTTGGTGCTGGGCACGACATCTTCAATATGACCCGTCAACATTGGCAGAGGAGTCTCAGGGTGGGGGTTTGGAACCCAATTTCCATGCACCTGATTGCGTGTTTGGAAAGGCAATTGCGCAATGGAGACCGGCTTTGAGAAGTCATTGGAGTCAAGTATGATCAATTCCCCCTTTGGGGACGAGTCCCTCTCCATATAGAATATGACCCAGCCATCGCCTTCTTCACAGGCAGGTCCCCGAGGGATGTATGCAGGCTCTGCAACACTACCGTCGGTGGCAGCGTGGAATATTGATTTCTCGCCCGTCTCCGTGTTCAACTTTATGATTGCGTTGAAGCGGGGTCTATCCCTTTGTTCTGGAGCTATCATACCTGTCAGATACACGATCTTAGACTTGTAGCCCGTCTTCCGCTCGTCGAAAATGGGAAAATCAAAGATCCCCTCTAACAGTGTCTCAGGTGGCGGTAAGGCAGATCCATCAGGGTTGGAAAGATCCATAGTCCAGCGTTTCCAATCGCCACTAGGCTTGCCTTTGGGGCCATCGTAGTCCTTTGGGTTGAAAAAGTCAAAGACGTTGAAGCTGACGAAGTGGCTTTCAAGCTTCAAGAAGCCACCTTCTTCTTCCCATGCGTTGCCGCTGTGGATGATCAGGCCGTGAGGGGCGGTATACTTTCGGAACTCGCCAGGCTTCCAGTCTGGGTGATTCGGAGAGCTTGCATTGCGTGGAGTGACCAGGAATTCCGAGAGTTGATCAGGAATAAAGCTCCAGTAGTCACCCCCAGCCTTCATCACTTCATCCGTGTTGACGCCGAATGGCATGTTGGAAAGGATGATCCAATTTTCAGTGATCCAGCCATCGTGTGGCCACCCAGGCTTATCCTGCTTGAACCAGTGTTCATTAAAGATCCGCCCAGTGGGATCAACCGAGTAGGTGCAAATGTCCGGAGTGCTTAGACCCTTGGCTGAATAGCTCCAAGTTACCAGCTCATTCTTGTGGGGATCGACTTTGGGATGGGCCGCAAAGGTCATCGCAGCTACCTGACCACCATATGGATCCGCACACCTTGTTTCAAGGGTGTCCGGATCTAGGGCGTACGGTAATCCCCTCTCAGCCAACGCGAGGACATTGCCGCCCCAGTAGATAATATTGGTATTTCCGGTGCTGTCATTCGCAAATCGCACAGACGGGTGAATGTCGTAGGGGTTTCTGTAACGACCAAAGAGGCGACGACCAGCTTTTCGCTCCAACAGCCATCTCTCAGTGTGGATATATTTGATTTTCATAGAGATCTTGCCGTCCTGGATACGGAAGGCGCAGACATGCCCATCCCCGTCGACGAAGGGGATTCCCACCTGCGGGCAAAAGTGAGGATCGACGAGTATCCGATACCAGGTACCGCTGATCTCCCTAGGAAGATCACCAAAAACGACCATCTCGTCCATCTCACATTCAAATCGACCCTGAGGAGCAGTGTCGCGAGGATGGTAGTAGTGTTCCCACGGCGAGGTGAGCCCGAAGTGGTTCTCATGCTGGTTGTTGTTGGTTGGTATTTTGAGTTCAGCCTGCAGGACTTCTGGCCTTAGTGTCGCCATCGCGCTCAAGGATGGGGTATAAAACTAAGGATATATGCAGATACACACAGCGAGAAAATTGGTTTGCACAAGTTTCACTCTCGTTATATACCGAAACGAACACCATACAGGGTGATAGCTACTGCGCTGCAGTCGGCCCCGAGTCTGCTGACCCATCAGGTTCGCAGAGGCGCGGAAGGCGGATTTGGTGCGAGCCGAGCCATTCCGCGGAATTCTGCTTGAGGCCCATCTGGGCAAAAATTACGTTCTAATGCTTTGTCCAAGCGTCTTTGTCACATTGTCATCAATCTGAAGCCACCAACCCAGCCTTTACGATAGAATATATCATGGACTCACGTGAGGTCTTTATGGAGGACACCTTCGCCGGTACTTGATGATGGAACCTTGCCGCCATGATGCTTCCACTTTCTTACATCCAACAGATACTACGAAGACTTTGAGGGACAAAGGGAGGACACAGTTCTTAGAGTGCTGTGAGACATTAGTCACAGAAAACTTTAAGCCAAGAACTCAGGTCTAGCGGTCATTGATGGCGCTCCCTTCGTTTCCGCCCGCAAATTTTATCACTCGTGCGATACCTGCCGCGGGTGGAAGTCGAATGTAATGTTGGTGAAAGTATGCTCACTTGGACAGTTTTTCTTTTTTTCTTTTTTTCTGTTTGAGCTATGATTCTACGCCCGCTGCAAAGGACACCCTGGATATCAATAGTTCGACGTGGCTTCTCTTGCGGAGCTCCTTCCATGTGATGCCTCGATCCTTCACAGTTGAGGCTCAATGTTCTATTGGGGCGCACAAGCTATGTCCTGGCCTACGCTTGGCTCAGCCATTGCCCTAATTATTTTGCGGAGCATTTCAACGGCTGTCTAGGAGGGAATGTGCAATGACCAAGACTTGACACATATAGGCAGCTTATCGAGCAGTGTTCTGTTCCGCGGAATGTTTTTAGTGTCGGATTAGGTTTCCCCGCATGAACCCTATTTCCCCAGGTTTCAAAAGAAGTGAACTAGACGTCGATAAATATATCCTTACTATACCACCTCAGCCTCGTCTGATCTGCTCGGATCTACACATCCATCACCTTCACGTGCAAACAAAACCATGCCTTACAGTGAAAATGAGCTTAATAGCTCAACAATCACTGCTCATCGCCATCATCCCACGGAAACGCTTGGCCATGTCCGACTTCAAGACGAAGTCACGGGTGCCACACTTCTCGTGCCCCAACCTTCGTCCGATCCTAACGATCCTCTCAATTGGTAGGTCTCTCGCAACCTTACATGGCCCCTCTAAGCTCTGAAAATATATTAATTCCGAGGTGTCAACCACAGGCCGAAAGCCTTCAAGATTTATGTTGCTGTGCTTACTTGCGTAGCGTTGACTTGGGTCAATTTCTTCGCAGCTGGTCCCGGAGCAGTTTTGGTTGAGATAGTCATCGAGGTATTCGGCGTATATCCGCCCGACCCCCGCTTTTCCGCCACGCTGTCTCCGGCGTCGAACGCGGCATTCTCCTCTGCGGTGAGCAAGGTGGCTTTGCTCTTTTCCACGGCTTCCATGGCCGCCGGTGTGTGCAACCTTTTGTGGGTCCCGCTCGCCGTAAAATATGGCCGTCGCGTGGTATACACTTCCTCCTACCTCGTTTTCGGACTTTGCTGCATCTGGTCGGCGCGTGCCACCTCTTACGGTAGTCTTCTAGCTTCGAGGATCATAGCAACATTTTTTGCGGGCAGCACCGAGTGCGTTGCTCCGATGACTATCGCGGACATCTTTTTCTTTCATGAACGGGGTAGAATGACGGCGTATGTGAAACTCCATGCAAATATTTGTCGCAATCCGCCAAGGCTTACAAATGACGTTGTAGGATATACTCTGCCGCGCTCTCGACGGGTGCCGCTTTTGGGTTCATGATCTCTGGGATCATGTCAATCTCACAGAACTGGAGAATGTTTTATTATTTGTGCGCTGCTCTCGTTCTAGCCACAACGGTTTTGATCCTTTTTACAATGCCCGAAACCGCATATCAAAGGGATGGAAGTGGAACAGAGGAAGTGGAAAACGAGAAAATTTCCAGTGTGTCCGAAGTGGAGCGCGCCGAGGTGTCCAGCACACCCAAGAAATCCTTTGCTCAGCGGATGGCCTTCAACCGTGCTCCTCTCACCCATGAGAGCCTTTGGAAAATTGCCATCCGTCCTGTGCTTGTCCTCTTTCTGCCACCAGTCTTCTGGTCTACTGTGTCTTTCGGCATAGGAATTGGGATCTTCGTCACCCTAGGCACCACTGCCGCAACGGCCTTCTCACAGGTCTACGGCTTTACGGTTTGGCAATTGGGATTGGTCTGGATCGCGGGTATTGTGGGTAACCTGCTAGGCATACCTTTTGGTGGTTACTTTTCCGATTGGGTAGCCAACCGCGCTACTTCCCAGAATGGTGGCATTCGGGAGCCAGAAATGCGCCTTCCCGCCGTAAGCATCGCTATGGTCACCTACCCAGGGTCACTTCTTCTCTACGGCCTGGGAATCAACTACAAAGCGCATTGGATTGTCCCTACATTGGGCATATTCCTGTGTAAGACCTTCCTTCAGCATGTGTCAAAGCTTGCTGACCTCTCAAATACAGTCTCCTTCGGAAGTAGTGCTGCGATTGGTATCAGTGTGGTCTATACAATCGACTGCTACCGACCGATTGCTGGGGAGGTCGTGGTGAGCCAGGTCGTCTTCAAATGTAGGTTATCTGCCCATCTGATGAGACCTTCGGAAACATCAATGCTGACCGACGGACTTTCTAGCCTTTATAACATTTCTCATGTCCTTCTACGCGAACCTATGGGTGGATCGCGACGGATATGCAGGAGCATTTGGCGCCATGGCAGCCTTCAGCTTTGTCGTCCTGGCTTTATGGATCCCTCTATACATCTGGGGTAAGCAGATTCGTCATGCCACTCTCAAAGGGCGTGTGATGCGACATGTCCACTGGAATGCGGACAGAGAGACGGGCGAGTAGTCATTATGTGGCACACCCCGAATAGTATAGAGCCACCTTTACCCAGTTGGACCTTTGTACGGAGAGTCCCTGTGACAAATTTGAGGAGAAAGAAACGGTCATTGATTTTTTATATTTACGCTCTTTTATTATAATTAATAGAAAAGCTAAGGTCTGTACCAACAAAATATTATAATTGCTTAAATTTACAGATATAGACTTCAGAAGCATTAGAAAAGCTCTTATGAAGACCATCGAATTTTTGAAAAGATGTGACACACGAAATATATATATTTGTATAGGACCACTAATCAAAATTTACCAAAATTTACTTAAAATAAAATGTAAAAGCTATAATGGCTTATGTTTTCTTATTTAGACAATTACTCGGAAAGGTCATATTGTAAAATCAAGTATTAAATTGAGGGTATTGTTAATTACACCCCCCCTTTGGATAATCTCACCCCCCCCCGCCCTGAAAATCCAGGCTTCATAGACCGCCTTCCTCACCGCCTTCCAATTTTGTACACCGCCTTCGTGTCAAACAACCCATATAATACTAGCAAGACGGCAGATACCTACAATTTGTATATAAACCACTAACAAAATTAAGTCACTTTTGTCACATAACACCCCGTACATACATGTAGATAGGATCAAAGAAATTGATACTCCAATTCTGGTTTACATACATTAACCTGCCTTCTTCAAACCCATTTTTTCATCACTTTCTGCCTCAATTTCATCGATTTTATCGCCAAAACCGTCAATATGGCCTCCCTAGGCCTTGCATATCTGGAATCAGATCCAGATTCCGATCCGGAGATCGTCCCCGAGTCTCCACCGGCCGTGCCAAGCACCGAGTCTTTCTCTCCCGCCATGCCAAGCACCGAGTCCCCCGTGCTTTATACTATGCCTCTCCCCCCTATTGGTTCAGAGTATAGTACGCCAGAGGAAGGTCTCGCCGCTATCAATGATCTCGGCCGTACACATGGGTATGCGGTTTCATCAATTCGGACCAAATTCACCAAAAAGGGCGTGAAAAAGACTGTACGCCTCCGCTGCGACCGAGGTCTCGTACCAAGAGATCGGCCTAACGACGGCCCAGAGCGGAAACGACAGACTACCACACTACAAAATGAGTGTCCCTTCGGTATATCGCTTCGACTAAACCAGACAACGAGTGCCTGGTTTCTTACGGTCGAAAATGCATCACATAACCATCGACCTTCCCCTGCATCAACTCACGCCGTTCAACGAAGCAATGAACTTTCAACCATCAAGGCGGATATCCAGAAGCAGCTAGAACAAGGCCTTCCCACTCGCCAAATTCTCACTAGCATTCGCAACGAAAACCCAGATTCATGTATTATCCCTCGGGATATCTACAACTTCCGGCGGCAGGTCCATATGGAGTTCCTAGCCGGTCGTACCCCCCTACAAGCGTTGTTAATGGAGCTCCCGAAAAACGGCGACTGGATCTTCCGGTACGAAGTGGATGATGACAACCATGTTACTACTTTGTTTTGTATGCATAAATCTGGTGTTGCTATGCTGAAATCCAACCCCTGGGTCATTTCTATGGATTGCACGTATAAGACAAACCGGTACGGGCTACCATTACTTGACATCGTTGGCTTTGCTGCCACCGGAGCTACTTTTCATCTTGGCTTTGCATTTATGAAGGACGAGCACCAGGACTCGTACGAAGTTATCCTCAACTGCCTCGCCGAAGCATACAACTCCCTAGGTCTCGATCCCCCCCATACAATTCTTACAGATAAAGAAGAAGCGCTGATAAATGCAATTGAAGCTGTCTTTCCTCTGACAAAGAGCATGATTTGTATCTGGCATATCAACATGAATATCTTGAAAAAGGCCCGGCCAATTCTTCGGGATCAGATCGCAAAAGCACGGAGCGAGTTAAGCACCCAGTCGAACAGCACCCAGTCGAACACTACCCAGCCAAGCAGCACCCAGCCAAGCAGCACCCAGCCAAGCAGCACCCAGCCAAGCAGCACCCAGCCAAGCAGCACCCAGCCAAGCAGCACCCAGCCAAGCAGCACCCAGCCAAGCAGCACCCAGCCAAGTATACAGCGTCAAACAAAGGCCCAGCGAGAGAGGGAGCTCACCCAGAAGGTTGACAAAGGCTGGGAGAAAATGCTAAAGCGCTGGAACGGAATTGTGTACGCTACTTCCTCTGAGGTTATGAACCAGCAGTGGGAAATCTTCAAAGAGAAGTATAACGATCCAATCTTCCAGCCGTTAATTGACTACATTCAAAAAGAGTGGCTTGATGACTGCCCAGAGCGTTTTCTTCATTGCCATACCGCTCAATATCTCCATCTCCTTGAGATTGCGACTTCTCGTACAGAGGGAGGACACTGGCTGCTTAAGCAGGATCTATAGGTTGCAAGAAATGATCTCCTCGTTGTTCTCCAGAATTTCCATCGCGTTGTTAATCTACAATTCAATAAGATCACTACTCAAATCGAGAATGAGAAGATCAGAAGGCCAACTAACTCTCAGAACCTATACAACTCTCTAGCTAAGCGGATCTCAATGAAGGCAATTCAGCATACGAAGGACATTTACGACAGATATCTTCCAGAAGGACAGGAAGATAAAGCTCCAATTCCACTATTATGCACTTGCAATTCGAAGAACACATCTGGCATCCCATGTATTCACATTATTAAGGAGTATGAAGATGAGAACAAGAGCCTTGACCCCGAGCTATTCCACCAGCATTGGCATTTGTACAGTGTGTCTGCTCCACCAATCAATCCTCTCCTTCTACTCCAAGATCCTCTACAGGTTCGACGACGAGGGCGTCCACGAGGAGCGAGAAACTTCATTAGCCAGTCAACCACTCAGCAAGCCACCCAGCAGAGCACCCAGGATATCCTCTCTTCGCCGGATTCCCTCACTCAGGATCGATCCACCCGGCGAGAACCATCAGCATTCGAGCACGTACTATCGCAGGAACGTGGACGTGGACGTGGACGTGGACGTGGCCGAGGACGTGGAAGGGGACGTGGAAGGGGACGTGGACGTGGAACAAGCAGTGGTGAACCTAGCAGTGGTGAACCTGCCAGTAGCCAAGGACGTGGAAGGGGACGTGAGGGTGCCTAAGAAGCAGGATGATCAATATGTAGATTTTTAAGGCAGGAATCAGGCAGAATGTACGATTTTTTCTCATTAAAATGCAGGGTTTTTTACTATGTAAACCAGAATTATATGGTGGTGGCAGAATATATGGCAGAAAAGTCCGTAGTGGCAGAAATGGATGGCAGTATTCAGTGTCGCACCCGATCGGGAAGGCGGTAAAACTGTGCACCTAAAATTTCAGGCAGGGGGGGTGAGATTATCCAAAGGGGGGTGTAATTAACAATACCCTAAATTGAATTGAAAAGGTAGTTTAACAAGTGTTCTAACGATTGAGGCCTTGGACCGTCCTGAGCGTGGAGCGCGATCCCCGCCCCTTGATCATGGAGTTTGAGTATTTGAAGACATCGCACTGCTCAGAGAACTGGAACATTAAGATGGAACTCATGAATCAGGAGTCTAGGAGAAGTCTGCGATTCCCCTTTACGGAATATCGCTAGTAGCCTATTGTGCTGGTAGTGTAATAACAGGCACGATGACCTTTGAGTCATACTTCCCACCGAAGTGGATTGTATGCCGCCCTTCATTCAGATTGTCGAGTTTCTTCTCGATGTGGCTGGGGAAATCCGAGCTCGTATCAATGAAGCCTTGGACGCGGAATAGTAGACTCTCCCCGGCTTCGAAGTGGATGCCCATAGGCCAAAGAGAAATTTCGAGCTTGACGACTTCGCCTGGGTGTACCTTTTCTTCCTTGTCATGTGGGTGGTAGGGAATCATGGCAGTGCTCCGTTCCGGAACCTGGGCGCGATGCGAAGCCCGGAGAATGCCTGTCGGTCCGGTATACTATAGCATAGACACGGTTAGCGCGCTGTGTAAATTCAGTGTTGGATCAAACCGCTCACCTTGACAGTCTGTGCCATCGGAACATCGTGTTGCGTGTTTATCCCTTCCGGCAGAGATTCCCAGGGAACATTCACGTGTTCTAACACTTCGCCGCTCTTGCTCAGCTTGCGGATAGACACATAGACATCCATGTCGTCCTTGTCTTTGCAAGACATCCAAAGTTCCGCCTTTGAATGACCAACAAGAGTGGTCGCTTTGTCGAGGATGAGCACAAATTCAGACGGTTTTGCTTGGTAGCTGTTCACGTGATGGGCGATGAAGCTCTCGTTGGCTTCCGGTGAGGTGGCCAACTTCCCAGAGCCCTGAAGGTAGAGTTTACGATACTCGGTCGACGGAACTGGGTAGTCAGCGAATGGCACGTCCCATTTCGGTCCCTATAGCAACATGTCAGAAAGTCTTCAGATGCCCCGGTCATAGCAACCTACAGGCTCAAAACGATTCCCATACGTGAGAATGGACACCCTAGCCCTGGGAGTTTTCTCCCACCCATTGTCAATGTTCATCATGTACCGATCAAAGAACCGCTGCAGGTCGTCAATGTACCTAGGTGTGTAAAGATCAAACCACTCCTGTGTCGGATGAAAGCGGATCCATTTATCTTTCGAAGCGGCCCGGTCCCAGCCTCTCACGGTACCAGATCCATGATTTCCCGAAGAATAGCTAGCAAGTGCGTAGATCGGTAGAGTCAGACCACTGGTGTCGTAGACTTTATCCTCCCAGTAGCCATTAAAAAGGGGCCATTTATTGAGCGCTTCGCCAATGTCCTCACGACGATTGCGGCCACGAATCGTTTTGTTGAAGATGAATGAAGCAAAGTTGCCCTTAGGAACACCACCGCGACAGATCAAGTCGCGATACTTATCCGTGAATCCTTCCCAGGGCGCTATGCACTTGAGTGACGGTGGTCTCTCGATAGCGGTTGCCCACTGCTCCGTTGCTAGCCAGGAATTCCCACACATGCTAACAGAACCATTGCACCAAGGCTGAGATGCGATGAATTCGACCGTGTCATAGCCGTCCAAACCTACCCGTCGTTAATTATCGCCGTGTTGACTTTTATCTGGGAATGGAGCAGCAACATACCCATCTGGCTTCCCTCGATATAAAGATCACCTTCACTATCCCAAGTGCCACGTATGTCTACATTGACAATTGCATAGCCCCGAGGGCACCACTCGGCAGGATCGGGGCTATGCCCCGTGATCAGCTTGTCTTATCTGAGGCATTGAGCGGGACGTGCTTACCCTTCAAATTTCTCTAGACCAGATGTGGCGCTCTCTGGTAGTCCGAGTCGGAAAGGAATATTGTCAAAGATGCGGAATCCTGGTAGTCATATCACCGTCAGATGTGGTTCCAACCCGACAGGGCGTTGTCAATTACACACCGTGTCCATATTTACCGTACGGGCTCACGGCCAATATGGCCGGGATTTTGGTATCTGTGACTGGCCTGAAAATGTCACAGTAGATCTGATGATACTGGATCAGTATGATTTCTGCAGGACTATCCCGTTTGACGAACCTTCACTCCGTCTCTAAGCGGAATCTCGACCACTTCATCAAAGAGAGTTTCTTCGTGGAGGGCACGCCTGCCCTCCGCAAATTTCCAGCCCACGGGAAGTCTACTAGTGTTTCTAGTCTGCTTCCTGTAGGGATTCATGTTTGTCTCATCTTCAGGACGGTTCGTAGGTGTCCATGGGATAGGAAATCCCCCAAAGTCAAGTTTTGGTCCGGTCATGATGCAGCTGTGGGGCAGTCTCTGACTATCCTTTCGCAATAGGTTAAAGGCAGATTCTGAGAAAGCCTTGAGCATGGTCAATCATAATGTTATAGAGTAGGGGCCATATTCGTAGTGGGCAGACATTTGTCAGTGACTATGTCCGACAACTAAGCTTGCTTCCGCGGAACTTGAGGTGGTTCCGGTGGACTCGGAACCTTGCCGCGGCGGCGAAGTGAGCTCATGGCAAGTTTTGCTTCGTGCTTACTTACCAGGAACCGTCTCAGTCATGAGCATTCCGCGAAAATATGCAGCCTACGTCTTAAGCCCGGCGATGAGTAGTTAGTTAACTAGTTAGTTAGTTAGGTTACTAGGATGCCCCACATGCTTGTTTTGTTTATGTTTCGTCCTTAGTCAGCTGTAACCCCATACAAATTGCTAGAAACTGGGGGTAATAAAACACAGTTGTCATCTACTTCGATTGGCTGGTTAGAACCACAATTCTATACCCTCGGTTTCTACTCTTAGTTAACTAGTTCCTGCTCTCGCATAGCCCAACCTAAGCAACTTCATTTCTGTGATCTGTTTTCTAGATCTGTCTGCACAGCAGAAATAATAGCAAACATAGCGGGGATGCAGATGTCTGAAACATGGAACGACGAGGTGGGACTCCCCGTGGACGATGGGCGAACGTCAACAGCGCCAGTTCAGTTCAGTGCTTCCATGGCATATGAAAGAAGCCCCATCATCTCTAAAAGTCAATTGGGTTGCTCCTGATATTGAAACATTAATGGTCATGACTAATATATAAAGTTGCTAGGTAATGTCTACATCCAGAGGCCATGAATTTAAATATGCCTTTGATATTGTTGGGTTACAACAAAAGAATATAATCTTCCTCGCCTTATTATCAAGTTGTTCATCAGCTCCAAGGTTACGTAGGTAATCATACAATGTCATGAGGTACGTATCCCCTCTTGTTTCCTTCTGTTTCCTTGCGCTGCTTTCCAAGGTTCGCTGCCGCTATCTTCGTCTCATTCCTTTTCCCTTTAGCTCTTGCCATAATAATTTTATTTAAAAAGTGAAGGTTTCCATTGCACTGTTCCAGAGAAGAGACTGAATTGTTTAGGTTGCTAGGAAATCCAAGTCGGCGGTACATTTTGGATTCTGGTCCACTATATATACGCGCTTTAAAAGCGGCGTAAAAGACTCAATTTTCTCCACAATCCGACCTTCGACTTTTCACTCCCTTAAATGCCAGAATGCCAGTCGGGATCACCATCGACAGAATTTGCCGAAATTGGCGTTATGGCACCGCAGCTCGGCAATGTTGACTTCGGTTCTTTTGCCTCCCGTGCGGGGTAAGGTCTTGCTTGTTGCTATATGCTGCAACCCCCGCCACACAGCTCTCATAGAACAAATCTGTCTAAATACTTATTTTGGTAGATTATACAGATGACCAGTCTGGATTAGCTATACTTCGTACGGAGTGCAGGGAGTGAATATCCGGCCCTCAAAAGCACACGAAGCGGCTCATCCCCTCACCATAGCTTGAGATTTTATTCTATCCTTCAATTTGATCGCAATATGAAAGTTGCTGCATCTTTAGATCAATCAGCTCCATCTCGGGGTAAAAGGTCGCCAGGTGCTTTTCGGGAGCCCCGGCCTCGGAAAAGGGAGAAGTATGCAAAAATAGCCTGGTAGGTTTTGTCCTTCTTATGCATTACTAAAATTCTAGGCTGCTTACGCTGAATAGCTCCCTATGCAAGGTACGAAAGGTCAAATGCAGCGGTAACCAACCGTGCAACCGGTGTGAGGAGCTCCATAGCGAATGCACCTACAACGAACCGTTTCAGCCTGATAATGAGTATGCGCCCTGGTTATGAGGGATCGCCATCCTAGTCGTAGATGCTTCGAATTAATCACCAAACAGGGCTTTCGACCCACAGCCGCCCAATCAAGACCTTGAGGTCACGGCCTTGCGAATGAACCGGATCTGCGACCGAATTCAACAATCGATGGCCCGCTTTGGCCCCCCTTATCCGAGCGGGTTCTGTCTACAACGGAGACACGCGAGCGACGACGTACCCCAGCCGATTAAACCACTCACACCCACGGACTTCCGATACAACTTGAGCCTCACGCGGGATGCTATAAGAGCAAGGGGCCTGCCATCTCCTCGAGACTCCCAAGATGACCCCTTTTCGGTTGCTAGAGACGAATTAAACTCCCCTAACACTTTGATTAACTTACTACAAGCCGCACGGCCCATTCTGGAACTCGGTCACGAGAAAGTCACTCAACTTTTTACAATATTCAAGGACGAGGTCCACCCTCTATATCCTTGCATCAGCTTAGAACTGGGGTATGAAGCTGTCAACGGTGTCTTTTTGCTTTTGAAGGATGCCTCACACGTGGATATTATCGATGTGGAGATCACGAAAGCGGTTGTGGCAATAGCCTTGCTGCTTAGAGGTGACACCCAAAACTCATTAGCCTCTGACCTTGAAGCCCAGTTGGCGTGGAGCGTGGATTCTTGTTTCGATCAAGTGAAGCCCCAGGTTGAGGATATCATCCTGGCAACCTTGCTGGTGAGTTATTTCTTCCGTCTCCAGGCCGCGTTCTCTACTGACGAAAGGGGATCCCTGGTTCCTACACAGTCAATTTATTTATATCTGAAGCAAATACCAGTCAAAGCATGGCGAATGGCCGGAGTGGCTGCCAAATTGTGTCTCGAGCTCGGTCTCCATCGGGAGAGGTTCTTTCAAGATCTCAAAGTGCTCCCCCAGCGGATTACAGACTGGAAGCGTCTGTTCGCCTGTGTTTATCGTCTGGACAAGCAATGCAGTTTCTATTCGGGGCTACCTTGGACACTCCACGACAGACACATCGATGTGTCTGCACTCATAATAGTATGGCTCTCTATCAGCACATTCGGGTGGATGCGGCTAAGTTCTTGCGGCTAACATCTCTGGGTCTAGGAACCACCAGAGTCATATATATCAACCATGATCTCCTTGGATAGAAATCTCTCTGAAATATGGACTCTCGTCAATGCTCCGGCATCTTTATCCAAAAACAACGAGGAACAGGTTGAGTTCCTCAACTTTCAACTACAAAAGCTTATTGACAAGATGCCGACGGAGGACTTTAAGTCCCTGGAGCCAACGGTAGTCCCACCATCATGGCTACAGGCTGGACTGAAGCAGTTTTGCCGCCTTCGCGTGCACCACATCAAGATTCTCACGCACATTGGCACATCAGGCTCAATAAGAGATTTAATCTCTGATCCAAAGTCGACTAGAACACTCGTGGCTGTAGCTGCACAATCGGTTGATTTGCACTTGGAAATGGTCAATACTGGCGAGATCAGCCCACTGGTGCTACCCACGGCCATCAAACTACTCCTGAGCTCTCTATCAATTATGCTGTTTGCCGTCTCACACTGTCCTGAGGAGTACGGATCGTTGTATAGCAAGCGCTTCCAAGCTGCTATTGATATTCTTAGTGACGTGCAGCACACCGTCAAAGACCCAGATCTGAACATCTTGGGTACCTTGGAGGTAATGGAGAAGATTACTGAAGCGAGTCAGATGTCACACTTCCAGCGGTCAGCGCCGTTGAACAATCGCAAGGAAGGCACTGACGACAGCGTCTATCATGGAGAGGCGTCCGGTGAAGGGAACTTGTTTGAGGAGCTCCCCACACCGGACTCAGAATTCTTCTCCATGTTAGGAGATTTCGATATGGCCGCAAGTGATATATTGAATGTTGACAATATATTTGGCTAATCACAGCAGAAATCAATCAATCAATCAAAGTTCAATTAACCTGTTGCAGTCTAACTTGTTGCGTATGACTATGCAGGCGCTTCATCCAGCCGAAGCAAGAACTCGAAGCCAAACGCCGAGCTGGGATTTCTCCCAGAGAGTATACAGATAGATGCTGATCGTAAAGAGCGTGGAATCAGCCTATTCCTGTAGATCCTGTAGATTCATCCCAACAATCCCGTAATCCCTCAAATCCATACATAAGAAATACACATATAATGACTACCATAGAGTGCACCCTCCATCTTCTATCTGTCACTTCTCACTTCTCACTTCTCACTTCTCACTCGCCTCTCAATCTTCATCTCTGTAACCTCCCCCTGCCTCGGTTTTAATGGATGGTTTGGTTTCTCTGGCCAGTTGATTGGCATGTTTGTCGACTGTGGCTGAGTTTCTCGTCCCACAGCATCACTTCTCGTCTTCCACACCTAGGTCCATGGCCGCAAGGCCTGTTGGTTCGTCGTCGTCGTTGTTATCCCCCTCGAGCGGCATATGTTGGAACTGTTGGAGGAGACCTGTTCGGTGTATGAAGTTGACCACGTAGCGGGTGGTCTGCGGGTTTGACATGATCTTGTCGTAATCCATTTCCTTGATACCAACTGCCCATAGCTGCTCCCACAGTTTCGTGCGCGGAATGATATGTTGTGGGCACTGCATAATAATATGCTTTGGTGTCTGTAAACCCTCGTCACAGCTGCATCTATCTGTTTCGGCTGCCTTGATTTTCAACAAGAAGTGTCAAAGCCCGACACCCATTGTGCGCATCTGGATTAGAATTGCACATTGTGGCTTCGACAGTGTTTCGTATAAACGAAGCGTCTTCTTATTCGGCGTCTGCACCAAGCCCTTCGTGGGTTCGGAAGTTGCTTCCCACTCCCACTGCTTCTCCCACCGCTCTCTGATTCGCTGGCGTACCGCCCTCTTAGCAGCTTGGCTGTCAGAGAAAATGATCACTTCTCGAGCCTGTTGGTTTCCCTCGTTTTCTTTTCTGGCTTTGGCAAGTGCCATTTCTCTTCTTCGACTACAAGGATCCGCTTTTTCTTCTCAGCTTGCCACTACATAACTATCATCCCAATATCATATACAGAAGAATGTTGCTATAAGGGAGTTAAGATTTGTAAGCAAGGAATACGCCTAGATCAGGGGATATCCATGCAAGGAAAGCGGCAGATCCATTCCTTGTCCCACCAACGATAGCTACCTAGCCTAATTTGTTGCTGCTCGTCATGGTGCCTTGGTTTATACAGTGGGGCAATATTTGGGAACCATATGACTCTCATACCCTATGCAACACCCCTTCTATATTTTTCTGTATTTCCTTTACATATGTAGTTTATTTAAAGAATTTGAGTTTGAATTAAAGCAATGAATTCATTCTCTAATAATAATCATATAAATCCTTGTCACTTCTTATACGTTTGCGGGCTCGTTGGGTACGTAGCTGAGTACTTCCCTCATTGTTTGAGGGAGAGTAGGCCTGAGTCCTTGATCAACCTCACATGGAGCAGGAGTGTATTTATGATGTATCGATTGGCACCTTAGGATTTTTATAATTATGCATCTGCAAAATACGGTTGGCTAGTGGTTATTGCTGCAGGTAGAGCCAAACATGGATAGGTACTATCTGCACTAGGTAGTTATCATTCAAGATAGTAGATGCAGATAATTATTTACCCCAGGCAATTTTCAGTTATCTGTTCCTCGTGCTCTACTATCTCACTTTTTCTAGCCCCTTCTAGCTGATAGTTTATTGATATAACGAGACAGACCACCCCAGCAACGGTGAGTTTGGTAAAGTTGCTAATATTTATCTGCAGGTCCAAATTCGAGGCTGTCTATGCCTCTTCTGCACGTAGTATGCTGTCTAATATACACCAGATTTTAGATGTGGCGTCAAGATAGAGTTAAAGCGTCTCATTTATATAGAAGCCCAACTTGTCAGGCACTGAAGCTCGTTTCTCAGAAACCCCAGGAACGCCAATTGCTTTGGGTCCTTGCTTTATGGCAGAGACGTGGCTTTGGTTTAAAAAAACGCTAAACTTTAGTGTGTTTGTCCCTTGCCTTATCGGTATGCTGTGAGACCTAGACTCAGCTGGTTTCTTTTTTTTTCGTTTTCTTGATTATTCAAAATTTTGTCCAATACCACATACTTCTACTAGCCACTCCGCAACTTGAAGACATACCCTGGATTTAACCTCAACAGGTTATCGTCGCTGGTGATCGGTTACCATGAATTGGAAATACACGACCATTCTGCTTGTCCACCTCGCGCCGATAGGAACATGTTGGCCCTACGACGAATCCCTCACCTCCTACAACATTAACGAGAATGAGGGCACGACTAACCCAGCTGAATACTGGGGAGAATGGCCTAACCATACCTATTTTCCGTCCCCAGAAAACTGGCGTTTTCCGGTGTATACCCTATTTCTTGATCGATTCGTGAATGGCGACCCAAAAAACGACAATATCAATGGAACACTTTTTGAGCACGACCTGAGTTCAAACCAAATGCGTCATGGCGGTGATGTGGCTGGCCTGGTCGATACTCTGGATTACCTGCAAGGAATGGGCATCAAGGTAAGACTGAAAGCTAGTTCATGACATGATGGTTGTCTTACATCAATTTTTCTTTTTTAGGGCATCTATCTCGCTGGATTAATTCTAATGAACTAACCATGGGGCTCAGACGGCTACTCGGCACTGGATACCACCTTGCTCGACCAGCATTTTGGTATCATCCAGGCTTGGAGGCATGCCATCACGGAGATTCATGATCGTGGGATGTATGTCATTTTTGACAACACAATTGGGACGTAAGTGCCTTCGAAGGTTCTTTTGTTTTAATCACTCAACAAATATTAGGATGGGAGATCTAATCGGGTTTGATGGATATCTCAATAACACCACGCCATTTTCGCCTAAGGGGTACAAAGCCCAGTGGAAGTCGGACCGCCACTATGTAGATTTCCATTTCGGCAACACCTACAACAAAAGCTGTGATTATCCTCGTTTCTGGAATGAAACCGGGTTTCCGGTTGATCAGCACGTTCGGCAGGAATTGCAGGGGTGTTACGATAGTGATTTTGACCAGTATGGCGATATCGAAGCATTTGGTGTTTATCCTGACTGGCAACGCGAGCTTGCGAAATTTGCATCTGTGCAGGATCGTTTGCGTGAATGGGTACCTAGTGTCAGAGAGAGACTTGTCCGACACTCGTGCATGATCATTGCTTCGCTTGATATCGATGGCTTTCGCTATGACAAAGCAACCCAAGCTACCGTGGATGCATTAGGTGATATATCGGGGGCCTACAGAGACTGCACTCGTCAATTGGGGAAAGAAAACTTCTTCCTTCCAGGAGAAATTGGAGGCGGCAATGCTCTAGGCTCGGTCTTCCTTGGCCGTGGACGACAGCCCGACATGCTCCCGGATACACTCGACAAAGGATTTGGGTTGACAAATGAATCCGACCCGGACTATTTCCTTCGTGGTCAGAATCATCAAGCCATTGACCGTGCCGCTTTCCATTATTCAATCTACCGTTCCCTCACTAGATTCTTAGGAATGGATGGCAACCTCGCGGCTGACTACGATGTCCCAGTTGATTGGACAGAGGCGTGGCATGAGATGGTGCTTACCAACGATATGATCAACGCAAATACTGGCCAATTTGATCCCCGTCACATGTATGGAGCGGCAAATCAGGATGTCTTTCGCTGGCCAACAGTCGAGCTTGGGGTTGAGAGACAGCTTTTGGCTCTCTTTATCACGACATTGCATATGCCCGGAATACCTCTTCTGCTCTGGGGTGAGGAACAATCATTCTATATCCTAGATATGACAGCTTCCAACTATATATAGGGTATTGATGCTACCACCCCCCCTTGGATAATACCACCCCCCTTTGGATCATACCACCCCCCCCTGCCTGAAAATTCAGTACCGCCTTCCCGATCGGGTGCGACACTGAATTCTGCCATACTTTTCTGCCACTATAGAGTTTTCTGCCATGTATTCTGCCACCACCTTATAATTCTGGTTTACATAGTTAAAAACACTGCATTTTAATGAGAAAAAATCGTACATTCTGCCTGATTCCTGCCTTAATACTCTACATATTGATTATCCTGCTTCTTAGGTATCTCCCCGCGCGCGTTTTCCACGTCCACGATTACCACTGCTAGTCTCACCACTACCGTGTTACGCACTGCTAACTGGTCACAGTTAGGTTAGAAGGGTTCGGTTATACTTTGCCTTATGCTTCTCAGGTTTCCAACGTCAACGATCCGTTCTCTCAACCGTACTGTTGCCTAACAGGCCTTACTGCAGGATGGGTCCTATTGAGGTATCGAGGAACGATGCCAGGTAGAGCGCCGAGGAGATCTATACCGAGGTATTGGTCTACTCGTAGGTGTTGTCAAGTTATAATCAAGTAAAGAGTCACTGAAGTTCCAAAGGTATACACAAGTAACAATGTAGGATTGAAGACGAAGAACTATACTAAGTATATGAATGAGTGTCCTTATATATCCTTCGTGCCTACTCCCTGATCTACCCCCTAGGGGTAGATACTGGAGTCACTGTATACTCCCAGGTATACTCCCATGGAGTAGGTCCTGGAGTCACGCTTAGTCAGGCGTATCCTGCGATCAACCTTTTCCTATGGAATACCGGGGTTATGCTTAGTCAAGCATGTTCTGCGGCTATCCTGCGACTAGTCTCATCCTGGGATAAGTCTTGTCCTGCGATATGTCTTGGTTACGTGTCCCGCTCGCTGGGTCCCTAGGGATCCTATGATGGTTGCTGTCGTGCGGTAGCTCATGTCGTAGGATCCGTGGTTCCTTGCGACATGGCTTTTCTTGGGTTCGCTGACACCGTGTGTTATTCTGTATCATGGGGGTACAACGGAAAGACCATGTATTTCCGTGGTATATCACGTGACTTGTTGGTTGGTTGGCTCTCGGTGGCCCATCGGTGTGGCTTGTGGATCTCCACTGATTGGTGACGGGAGTGCCCGTAACATACCGGTTCCCCGTCCCCGTCCCCGTCCCCATCCTCGACCACGTCCACGTCCACGTCCACGCCCACCTTCTTGCGAAAGTATATGTTCGAATGCTGATGGTTCTCGCCGGGTGGATCGATCCTAGGTGAGGGGATCTGGCGAAGGGAGGATATCCTAGGTGCTTTACTAGGTGGTGGTGATTAAGTTTCTCGCTCCCCGTGGACGTCCCCGTCGTCGAACTTAGACAGGATCTTAAATAAGAAGGAGAGGATTAATTAGCGGTGTAGAAACACTATATAAATGCTAGTGTTAGTGGTATAAATCAGGTTCTAGGCTCTTCTTCTCTTCGTTATATTGCTAGATGATATATATATATAGGAATCTAGACGTGGCCTTCGAATTATAGTTATATGATCTAGGAATTGGTTCTTTGTCCGGTCCCTCTAGTAGGTATCGTTTATAAATGTTATTTATATACTATATCGCTTTTAATGAGATTCTCTTAACTAGTCGTGAATAGAGCGGTTGATAATATATAAGTATTTTGATCTTCTCGTCCTCGATCTTGTTTATAATTCGACTAAATTGTAGTTCGATAACGCGCTTAAAGGTCTAGAGAACTACTAGTAAGTCATTTGTGGACACTAGAAGATCCTACTTTAGGAGCTAGTGTCCTCCCTCTATATGAGAAGTAGCGATTTCATTAAGATGAAGGTATTGCTTTATATAGAAATAAAGAAACTTCTTAGGGTAATTATCAATCTATTCAGCCTATATATAGTCGAGAAGAGGACTAAAAATTGGATCGGCATATCTCTCTTTAAATACTACCTATTGTATATTAAAGTCATTAATTGTTAGGGTAAAGACGACTCGGTTCTATCGCTTTAGTATCTCCTTCTAGCCTTCGTCAACCTTCTATTAGAGTTCTTTAGCTTCCTAGTCTTTTATACGACGGCGGTGGCGAGTGGAGGCTTAGGTTGAATCGGCTTAGGTTAAATCGGCTTAGGTTGAATTAGACTGGCTTCTAGCTTCTTAGATAGCTTATTTAAGTTAATTAGAAAGTAGTGGGCGTGCCTTCTTTATAATATTTATATTAATATGCTATAAGTAGATCATATTCTTCGTCTCTAGGAAAACATCCTTAATTGCGTTCATTAGGGCTTGCTCCTTATCGGTTAGGATTATACGGGGGGGGTTAAGTCTAAGGGATATATAGGCCTTAGTAAGGCACTATAGGATAACTTAATAGCTATCCTCCTTCTTATCCTTTATAAAAGTAAAGCCGAGATAGTAGGTTAAACTAGTAGTAGAAAAACTAACGATATCTAGTAATAGCAAGCTATATCGATTTGTTTTATACGTATAATCTATAGAAATTACCCAGGGGTTTGATTTTAATATAGCGATACTTATTTTATATATATAAAATAAAGTGGTAACGTGGCTCTTATCGTCGATCTTATATTAAAAGATCTAATTACCATCCTCTAGAAGCTCTATTATTAATGCTTAAAGAGGGGTACGACCCTAAAGGAATCGGCTCTAAACCTTCTTCTAATAATTATATATATCACGGGAAGTCATATAAGAATTAGGATCCTCGCGTATTCTAGTGATAATCTTATAGGTAGGCAGCCCTTATTTAAGCATCTTCTCGAGATCCTTAGCCTTTATAAGAACCTCCTATTTCCGGTGAGCGGGGTGGGTTGATAGTAGCGATGGTTTATGATTATACGTAGGATTCTCTATAGTTAGGACCCACTTTATATTTATATCCTAAAGCCGAAGGGAAATAGCGAAGGGATAGTCGATTGTAAGTGTAGTTGATTAGTGCTTACGCTCTACACTATCGGGACCCCGGTTTCGGTATATACGACCGCGGTCATAGTATAGTCGAACCGTCTTCTTTACCCCTTTCTTTATGGTTTTTAATCGGAGGGCTGAAACGGCATATCTATATGGCCTAGCGAAGGAATTGATTGCTACGATTCCTTCCTCTAGGGTGCTAAAATGCTAGTCTAACGGGGGAAGTGGGAATGTGAAGGTCTCGGTGCTTAGCTCGGTGCTTGGCTCGGTGCTTAGCATAGTGCTTGGTATGGTGCTTGGTATGGTGGGTGGTACGGTGATTGGCTCGGTAGGTGGAGACTCGGGAACAACCTTAGGGTCGGAATCTAGATCCGAATCCAGATAATCAAGGCCTAGGGAGGCCATATTGACGGTTTTGGCGATAAAATCGATAGAAATGATGAAGGTATTGATGAAGAAAATGGGTTGGAAGAAGGCAGGTTAATGTATGTAAACCAGAATTGGAGTATCAATTTGTTTGATCCTATCTACATGTATGTACGGAGTGTTATGTGACAAAAGTGACTTAATTTTGTATGGGGTTTACATATAAATTGTAGGTATCTGCCGTCTTGCTAGTATTATATGGGTAGTTTGACACGAAGGCGGTGTGGAGAGCGGTAAGCAGAAGCAGGCTTCAATTCAGTGTCGCACCCGATCGGGAAGGCGGTACTGAATTTTCAGGCAGGGGGGTGGTATGATCCAAAGGGGGGTGGTATTATCCAAGGGGGGTGGTAGCATCAATACCCTATATATATGGTCGCCAAGCAATGTCCCCCGCCACTGCTTGGAAGTCTCATGGCTGCTACCAACTGAACTCAACTCAATACTTTCATTGGCCCATTCAGTCGGGGCGATTCGGCTGTTATGATGAAGCTACCACCTATGACCACCGGGATCCTTCTCATCCAATACGAAACACCATCAAACACATGTACCAGATGCGTCAGGACTTTCCAGCTCTGAATGATGGATGGTGGTTACAACGGTTATCCAACCAAACCCGCAATGTTTACTATCCGGGTTCCAACGGTGTGTCCACCGAAACAGGCATGTGGTCTATCTTGCGTAGTCCCCACTTTCAGATGCAGAATCTTGGACACGCGGGAAATCAAAGCGTATGGTTCATCTATCAGAATGATAATCACACTGTCACCTACCACTTTGACTGTTCTGACCGCAACTTGGCCCTCATTGCCCCATTCGATACCCATACCACGGTTAAAAATCTGTTCTATCCCTATGATGAGCTCTCCCTCAAAGATGGCCCGACAAAGCTGCATCTCAACGGTTCCTTCAAATGGAATGGCTGTCTCGATAGTTTAACTCTTCAAGCCTATGAATTCCGAGCCTATGTTCCCAAGCACAGGTTTTTGCTTCCTCGACCTATGATACCTAAATTTACGCCGGGGCATGACTTCCCAGTGCTATCCAAGGTTGCGCCTGGAGAGAGCGAGAACCTAGACATCGCCTTATATTTCTCCACGGAAATGAACTGCACTTCGGTTACGGAATCAATATCACTCGATTCTACAACGGAATCTGGAGAAATTCCCTCGCTTGATAAGGAAACAGTTATTTGTAGGTTTATTGATATCGAGGACATGTCCTACACAGGACAGATCCCTAGTACCTGGGTCTGGATGGCCAGTTTGGCTAGTGTCTACAATGGGGTGCATCGGCTGACAATCAACAACGCAACAAGCAACGACGGGAGAAACACCGGTGCGATCGATCATTTTTTGATTCGTGTTGGGCAGCACTATAACCCGATGATCCTCGCTTCTGCCAACTACTCTAGCAGTCTGCTTCATAAATATGATAACGGTACTCTCTATATTCAACAGCGTGCAGCCGGCGCGGACATGTACCGCTTCTCGACAAACTGGGGCAGTACTTACTCTCACTGGCTCCCATACCAGGGCGGAAACCATACCATCAAGGAGCAGCACTGGTCAGGGACAAAAGAGCAAGAATGGAAAGGAAAGCATGTTCGGGTTGAGTACTGGAGCCGCTTCACGGGCAGCAGTGATTACTTACAAGAAGGCGATTGCCCCAGCTGGAATCCTGCGATCCCTCGGCGCTTCCCCCATCTCTTCTTCAATGGACCTTTCAACGAGTACGGCTACGATGCCGGCCTAGCGAATGTTGTGAAACAGGACAGTGATTCCATCTGGAAGTTCAATTTCATGGCAGAATGGCCTACCCAAGGTCAGCTTAATGTCTGGGGTATCAATCCGGATGGTCATCCTGATCAAAGCTATATTTTCGGAGACTTTGATGGAGACTCTGTGTTGGACCGTCTACCGCCATCCTCACTGAGTGTGGCATCGATCAATATTACCCAACACCCGCCCAATCCTCACTTGGCGTGGAGGATCGAACTGGATGACGCGACTCGCAAATTCAAGCTTGTACCGGCGGGCTCAAGATATGTCCAAATGACTCTCTTCTTTCTGTTGTGGATTGTCCCCGTTTCCACCGCCACTACGTGCGTCTACATCTTTATGACATCCTTCTACAAGGTCAAAGTCAATCGGGAGGGCATAACTGAGAAGAAAACGCTTATCTCACTCGCTACCCTGAAAAGGCTTAAGGTGGATAATCTTGAGGTTGGGGGATTGAAGGACCCACACGTACGCCTAGCCAACAAGTCAAGGTTTCTCCAGAGCACATCCGCCTTTCGCAACCGCACATCACACCGGCGGAAAGTCCTTATCGCCACCATGGAATATGAAATTGATGACTGGAGGATCAAAATTAAGATTGGTGGTCTAGGTGTCATGGCCCAGCTGATGAACAAGCAACTCGAACACCAAGATCTTATTTGGGTCGTTCCGTGCGTTGGCGGAGTGGAATACCCTGTGGACAAGCCTGCCGAGTCAATGTTCGTCAGTATTTTGGGGAACTCGTATGAGGTCAAGATCCAATACCATACTCTGAGAAACATCACCTACATCCTCCTAGACGCCCCGCTCTTCCGTCAACGGTCTTTGACTGAGCCTTATCCAGCGCGAATGGATGACCTAGAAAGCGCTGTCTACTACTCTGCCTGGAACCAGTGCATCGCACAAGCTATCAAGCGATTCCCTATTGACTTATATCATATTAACGACTTCCACGGCTCGATTGCTCCCCTTTACCATCTACCAGAGACAATTCCTCTTTGTCTTTCACTCCACAATGCTGAGTTCCAAGGTTTATGGCCAATACGGACGCGGGAGGAAAAGGCCATGGTGTCCTTAATATTCAACCTCGATATCGAACTTGTCACCCGTTACGTCCAGTTCGGCGAGATTTTCAACCTGTTACATACCGGTGTAAGCTACATACGTCTTCATCAGCAGGGCTTTGGTGTGGTTGCGGTATCGGAAAAATATAGCAAACGTTTATATGCACAGTATCCTATATTCTGGGGTTTAAGGAATGTAGGAAACCTGCCGAATCCTGATCCGTCAGATACGGGCGAGTGGAATAATGAATTGCCTAAGGAAAATGAGATACGTGTCGACAGTGAATACGAGCTTCGCAGAGAAGAATTGAAACGCCAGGCACAGGAATGGGCCGGTCTTGATCAGATTCCGGACGCTGATCTGCTAGTCTTCGTTGGAAGATGGTCTGCACAGAAGGGAATTGACCTCATCGCTGACGTGATGCTTGGCGTCCTCGAAGCTCGTCCGAATGTTCAGCTTATTTGTGTTGGTCCCGTTATCGATCTATACGGAAAGTTTGCAGCTCTTAAGCTGGACCGAATGATGAAGCTCTACCCTGGACGGGTCTTTTCAAGGCCTCAATTCACGGTATTGCCTGCCTTCGTCTTCTCAGGCACGGAATTTGCGTTAATTCCATCTCGTGATGAGCCATTCGGTCTTGTGGCTGTCGAGTTCGGTCAAAAGGGTGCTCTTGGTATCGGCGCTCGAGTGGGAGGGCTTGGTCAAATGCCCGGTTGGTGGTATACTATCGAGTCCACCATAACTTCGCACCTTCTAAAGCAGTTCAAATTGGCCATTGACAGTGCTTTAAACTCTAGACCCGAAGTGAGAGCAATGATGCGTGCAAGGTCTGCCAAACAGCGCTTCCCAGTCGCCCAATGGATCGAAGATTTGGATATCCTGCAATCAACCGCTATTTGGATTCACAAAAAACAGCGTGCTACGGCCCTAACAAAATCTTCAGCCTCGGGCTCAGTAAATAATGCCATTCACGGAATGATGACCACCAAGGATATGATGTCGATGAGATGCAGTGAATTAAGTGGCAGCCTGACGCAATCACTGCAGGTATCCAGTCACCCTGAATTAGTTGCAACAACGCAGCGCAGCTCCGTGATTCATAGCCGAGATCCAAGTCCCGGCCGGGACAGGAGTCCCCAGCGTGAACTTTGTGGACAGCTTTCTTTCCTCGTTCCGCCGGTTCCTACCCCAATGGAGGGCCATACACGACGCGACCTTGGAAAAGGCAGTGTTTTTACTGTGGATGATCATACAGGTGCCGGACCTCCAGATGTTGAGGATGATAGTAACCACGAGATGATGACCACTTGCGATGTCGAGGACGAGTATCAAATGGCCCCGGACTTGGCGAAGACAGGGCGCCGGTCCTCTTCACTTAGGCCCCAGTCTGCCATCATTCCTTTCACTAGGGAGGTTCTTTCGGCCCGGCACTTCACTCAATGCTCTGTTATTGGTCGACCAATTAGTACACCATCCAGCTCCATACTACCTCGCACAATAAGAATGGAAGACACTCTCATTCCACCATCACAACCTTGGACAGAGGCAGGAAACCGTCTTAGCCGCGCATATGTTTTGTCTTTTGATTCCATTCTTAGTTGTACGAACGACTACAAGTTACAGAAAGTTGATCCCTTTTTCACAGATGGCAATGGCGAGTATTACAAGGCATTTGAAAACAAACTGCAAGGCCTCAACGCCTCGAACTCCGACTCTCAACTCTGTATCGAACGATATCTCGAGAATAGTGAGAAGAAATGGTTCGATCGATTTCGAGATGCTCGTTTAGGGCGCAAACAACCGCCGGCTCCTTCGATGCAGTTTGGAAAGTCCAGTACCTCTCCTCCGGGGTCTAGCACCAATGATAACAGTACATATAATGAGAGCGGTATGTCCGACAGATACGCGGGAGGTGACGAGTTTCAACTGGGAGCTGATTATGTTCCACCGACTGGACTCAAAAAATGGATGCAGCTGCGCCTTGGAGACTGGCCCGTCTACTCCATTTTCCTCGGACTGGGTCAAATCATAGCGGCCAATTCATACCAAATTACTCTGCTCACTGGTGAAGTCGGCCAGACTGCGGAGAAGCTATATGGTATTGCAACGGTGTACCTGATCGCATCCATCCTCTGGTGGTTCTTATTTCGGTTCTTCAAGTCCGTGTTGGTCCTCAGCGCTCCGTGGTTTCTGTATGGGCTCGCCTTCCTCGTTATTTCAGTTGCTCATTTTGAGCCGAACTCATACAACCGTGGGTGGATCCAGAATGTTGGAAGCGGTATCTATGCGGCTGCTTCGTCGAGTGGTTATATTTTCTTTTCGCTCAATTTCGGCGATGAGAGCGATGCGCCCGTCAAGCAATGGTTGTTCCGCGCTTGTATGATACAGGGCACACAGCAGGTATATGTCATCGCACTTTGGTACTGGGGGTCAACTTTGACGAGGGCAACCAACACGGGCGTTGCCAATTTGCAGGGGAGCATCATCAACACCTGGAGAATAACGTACGTAATCTTCGCCTACAGTTCTCTTTCATATGAGTCGACATCACTAACATTGATCCCAGTGCCATATGCATGCCCATTACGGTCTTCCTGTGGACTGTCGGTCTACTAATTTATTTCGGCTTGCCGAACTACTACCGCGGGACACCGGGTACGATCCCTTCATTCTACAAATCCGGCTTCCGGCGGAAGATCGTTCGTTGGAATTTGGTTGTGGTCATCATGCAGAACTTCTTTTTGAGTGCTCCCTCCGGCCGGAACTGGAATTGTAAGCTCTTAAACCCGTGGCACATACACCACTTCAACAACGAAGTTATTCGCTAAGCCTCGACACAGTCCTTTGGACCTCCAACCACACCAAACCATGGCAAATCCTTTGTCTTTGTGTCGCCTTCTTTGGTTTCGCCTGGGTAGCAATCCTCTTCTTCTTAGGCCGGATGTCTAAATCACACAACTGGATCCTTCCTATCGTCGCTTGTGGTCTGGGGGCACCCCGATGGGCCCAGATATGGTGGGGAACATCCAGGACCGGCCTTTTCCTTCCATGGGCAGGCAGTTACACATCCGGTGCTCTGGTTTCCCGAAGTCTATGGTTATGGCTCGGGGTCATGGACGCGCTGCAGGGTGTTGGCTTTGGGATGATTCTCCTGCAGACCTTGACTCGGATGCATATTTGTTTCACACTGCTTGTTTCACAGGTGATCGGTTCCATTGCAACCATCTGTGCAAGATCCTTCGCTCCAAATAATATTGGTCCCGGGCCTATTTCGCCGGATATCATGGCCGGCAGTGGTGCATTGGGGAATGCGTGGTTTTGGATTGCGCTTGTCCTCCAGTTGTCGATCTGGTAAGCGTTCTCTGTTGATAAAAATATCAGACAGGCTTCTTCATCTCTGACTCGTTTTTTTCTGAACTCCAGTGGCGGTTTCCTTCTCTTCTTCCGCCAAGAACAGCTTTCGAAGCCTTAAGTGGCACAATTTTCCTTTGCTTGAGATTGGGTGAACATGGCAGAGTAGTTGAATTGTGGGGGATCTGCCAACTTCATGCACTTGCATTCCTTGCGCATGTCACTTTCTTATGTGTTTTTGTCATTTGGAATTCCCCCAACTTAGCATATAATGTAATGACCTCATAAATGTCAAGTTAACCTGACTGGAAGTCACGTCTGAAATAAAAACGGGCATTGTGCGATACTCTGTTGAAAGGAACATTGGAATTCATAATTTATTTTCATTGAGATTCGTAGACCATTGAAGTAAACCAGTCTGTTGCTAAAATCAATTGCATCCTTGGGTGTACAATACGACCGTACATTGGCGGAATGGCCGGCTGCCGCTGTAGGTAGCATAGTCGGCAAGATTGCGAGTTGCCTATGCACATTTCGAAGTGCGTGTTTGGTTGTGATTTGCTTCAAGGCCAATCAATCAATCAATCAATCAAAGTTCAATTAACCTGTTGCAGTCTAACTAGTTGCGTATGACTATGCAGGCGCGTCATCCAGCTGAAGCAAGAACTCGAAGCCAAACGCCGAGTTGGGATCACTCCCAACAGTATACAGATGCTGATCATAAAGAGCGTGGAATCAGTCCATTCCCGTAACCCGTAAACCGTAAACCCACAAACCCATACCCATACATAAGAAATAAACATATAACGACTGCCATGGAGTGCACCCTCCATCTTCCATCTCTCACTTCTCACTTCTCACTTCTCACTTCTCACTTCTCACTTCTCACTCCTCACTTCTCGCTCTTCCCTTCCATCCTCTGCGCCCTCCCCTGCCTCAGTTTCAATTGATAGTAATGTTGTTCTGGCCGGTTAGGCATGGTTGTCGACTCTGGCTGAGTTCTCGTTTCACAGCATCATCTGTCGTCATTGGCTAATACCCATCGTCTTCCACACCTAGATCCATTGCCGCAAGGCCTGTCGGTTCGTCGTCGTCGTCCTCGGGTGTCACATACTGGAACTGTTGGAGGGGACCTGTTCGGTGCATGAAGTTGACCACGTAGCGGGTGGCCTGCGGGTTTGACATGATCTTGTCGTAATCCATCTCGTTGATCCCAATATCCCACAACTGCTCCCACAATTTCGTGCGCGGAATGATGTGTTGTGGACACTGCTTAAGAACATGCTTTGGTGTCTGTGAGCCCTCGTCACAGCTGCATCTATCTGTCTCTGCTGCCTTGACTTTGAACAGGAAGTGTCGGAGTCCAATCCTCATTGTGCGCATCTGAATCAGAATTGCACATTGTGGCTTCGACAGTCCTTCGTACAGACGAAGCGTCTTCTTGTTCGGCGCCTGTACCAAGCGCTTCGTGGGTGCGGAAGTTGTCTCCCGCTCCCACTGTTTCTTCCACCGCTCTCTGATTCGCTGGCGGACCGCCCTCTTAGCAGCTGCGGCAAGACGGATTATCGGATTATCCGCCCCGGTCGTAACTCCCATCCCCGCACCAAGAAGCGCTGCGCTTTTTGCTTCTCCATCGGCAAATTCATCGCCGTCCACACCAACGTGTGCGGGGATCCACCTGATGGTGATGTTCGTTGGATTATTGTTGACCGATCGGATGGCTTGTATGTGCTCGTATATCAGGACCAACACGTACTAGCCAGACGGTCGCTATGGGTTTTGCACTACGTGGATGGCAGCTTGGCTGTCAGAGAAGATGATCACTTCTCGAGCCTGTTGATCTTCCTCGTTTTCTTTTCTGGCTTTGGCATAAGGGATGCTGTCGCCCAAGGCCATGTCAACATTCACCGAGTTGATACCAAGAAAAATACGGCTGACGGCTTCACCAAAGCACTTGCGAAAGAGCAGTTTAAAACCTTCATTGAGCTGCTTGGAATGATCTAATTCGACAAAGAAAAATGGAGTTTTTACAGTACAAACCGGAATTGATTCTCGCTTATTTTTGATGGACTGGATCAGGATCTGTGAGGGGGATGTTGTCGGCGCAGTTACGCCGGTATACCGGAGGATTTATTAATCCTACATGTTTTCGTAATTTATGTTATGTAATCGAGGCTCCATATAAATTGTGTAGAGAGCCGATACAGAAATACAGAGAGTTGAATACCATTGATTGGACCCTACATTTTACAATACGGAATCCACCGACAGATGTTGGGTGCCTTATTCTGCCTGAGGCAGCAGCACCACATGGGACAGATCCAGATAGTAGATACCCGGTCCTTGCCAAGTAACCCCACCCCTTCGGGTGTAGGGTTACCACACCGTAATAAAAATCCCAAAAAAATCCTAACAAATACTCAAATAGCAGATACATCATCCATTGGTGGAATCCATGGAATAAAACGGGGTGCTGGGGTTGGTGTATCCTCCGTAGTTAATGGCTTCGAAATCCGCTTTTTCAACCGCCTCTCTTCTTGCACCTGCTCTTTCGATTCCCGCGCCCGGATAATTCGATTGGCATCGCCAGCAGTAAGGGGGCCCCATATGTTGATCTGGCGCTTGGTAATACGGGCATCTCGGTGGACTTTATGGCGTAAAAGGGTGGTATTGTCCTTAGCAAGCTGCGTAGCTAGCTCCGCTGAAATTCGCGCACTCCGGCATAGTAGCTTTGCTCGGTGCTGAATAGCTGTATAAAGCTCGCTATCTAGCAATTCGATATCTGCCTCCAATTTACGCGTACTCTCGTTTGTACGAGAGATTCCACGGGGTGGTGAATTGGTAATAGAGCTGGGAAAATCAACCTCTGATCCGTCGTTTTTACCAAAGATAACTAGATCATCCCCGTAATCCACGTATTTTTCAAGCGGATTAAGCACCTTTTCATAGTTAATTGGGGAAATGCCACAATTAGCAAATCCCGATTTAATTACTCGGGTGGTGAGAGCATTGCGAACAGATACAATTTCTCGAAAAGAATCCGCTTTTCGGTCCACGGATCCACCCCATTGAACAACAGCGTTGTTATTAGACTGGTAGCAATGCTTTAAAGCAAGAAAAGGCTTGCTCTCTAGCGGCTGGCAGATATGCGTCGTATGGGGTATAAAGCAATAGGGGATAATGCCATTCTCTGCTGCAAAATTGATAAATTCTGGGGTACGGTGGGATCCATGGTTATCCATCAACCAAAGGCGTTTACTACCCCGAGTAGTACGATCCTTAGTTGCTAGATGAAAAGCGCGAAGCCATTGGACTGCAGTTTGATCTGTAGTATACCCACATGGTGTAGTTACTAGGGTATAATCCTCCGGAAGGTTGGTATCTTTATACCAATTCTCCATATGGAATTTACCCTTAACTAGGAACCAAGGTGCCATCTTCCAGCCATCGGCAGCAATACATTCAATGCCGGTAGTACCCTCAGCAATACCTCCATTTGGTGAAAATAGAGTCTGGCTTTTTGAAACAACTTTTTGAGGCTTTCCTTGGCCAATTTGGAAGCCAGTTTCGTCGAAGTTAAAGATATCCCGCGGGCTTAATTTGTTGCTTTCGATATACTGGTTTAAGCGCTGGTACCAAGCAGTAAGATAACCAATATTTTCAGCCTCCATTCTCTTCTTTTCCTTTGGTTTTTGTTTCATAAAATGAAGGTTATAGGTAGGTGGGATACGTTTTAAAAACCGGTATACCCAGTTTTGTTTTTGTCAACCGGCGGAAGCGACGTGTTTTCTTCCGCATTGGCGCGTAGAATCATTGAATTAGCGCACCCTTCCACCATTCTAGCAGTTGGTGGAGAGCAAGCATCGTCTAATATAGTGATCCAGCTAATTAGGGCTTGCTCTTGATCCGGATTTAATGTCGAATTGGTAGGACGGCGCGTCGAACGAGAACCCCGACCGTGAACCCGGTTATACAACAGATTGTAAGGAACGCCGAATTCTCGCGCCAACGGGGCTATTTTTGGTTTTTTTCGAGCATACCATGCAGAGAGAGCATTTGCAAGGGTATTCTCCAAATCTGGGCTTTTTTCCGGCATGTTGGTAGGATGTAAAATGGTAGTAAAAATGGTGGGTGGTGTAAAATTTACATTGAGCAAGAGTTTACATTACGGTGTGGTAACCCTACACCCGAAGGGGGTGGGGTTACTTGGCAAGGACCGGGTAGTAGCTAGATAGCTCTCTCTCTCTCTCTCTCTTTTCTTCCTGTCCGTCCCTTTTGCTCCCAGGTGAATCTACTGTACTGTTTCTCCATATCTGGATCTCCACTCCGTAGATTCTCCATCAACACTTTCATACCCTGAAAATCTTTCTAGTGCGAGGTGTGGCACTTCTTTCTAGACAATTAAGATTAAATCTTCGTGAATACGGAGCAGCTGCTCCACAAGCGTTCGTGTTCCAGGACTGATTTCATTTCATTTGATTTCCTGTGTGTAATTAAGTGGCTGAGCGCTTAGGACTCTCACGTCCGTGTGACATTTTCCGAGTATCAATGAGCTCCCGTAGTGCTGTGTTGTTTGAAAAAAGCTTCTTCGTGCAATCGCTCGCATCTGGCTTAGGAGAGAGAAACCCCCAAACGCTCCTACAACATAAGAATATGAGGTCTGTTCTTGACAGCTCCACGGTAGAATCCCCGACCTTACGCTGTGCTGGACCCTCAAAATGAGGGCCTGCAAAAAGAAGTCCTGTGCATGTCACTGGAGAGCAGTGAGGTCGAGTAAGGGTAAGTTTGTCTCGAACATGGCTTCGTGTTTGTTGTTGTCTCCGCTGTTCCCACGTGAGTAGCTATATCACTGCTTTTGTGTTCTAGGCGGGCGATGAATATACTTGAGCGGCCGTAGATCAGATGCCCATCACTTCTGCGCTTTCAGTAATTATTGTGTTTTGGGACTAGATTACTGGCTTTATCTGGGAGTGACTTTTATTGGCACACGTTCACATGGGCTTGAGCAGGCAACAAGGGAGTCGCACCGGTCAGGTTGCCACGTCGGATCCAGCAGTTCTTGAAATTACGCTTCAATATATCACTGCGACAAAAGGTCTTTTGCACAGAATACAATAGTACGAGCGCCGCAGGTGAAGGGTATGGGCCCGCAAGCCACGACCTGGGGAGAACTTGTTTGAATCCGACACAGAAAAGGTGACATCGACTGCAAACTCCTGGCACAAGCCACTATGCATTGCATGGTTGATAGCGAAGGAAATTACCTTGTTGAATCATGCACCGCTGTGCTACTCCTATTTACAGTTCAACACAGCCCTAGATCGGAGTTTAGTAGATTATACATTATCCATCCTTCGGGAATAAATCAATATCTGAATAGGAAGTTCGCCAGGTCACCAGGTCACCAGGTCGTGGTAATTACTGGTAAGGATTTACTAGTAATTTCTAGTAGGGTATAGGGGTTACCATAACCTGGTGACCTGGTGAGGTAAAATTCCAAAATTTGGTTTGACCTGGCCAGGTCACCAGGTCATCCTTGAGGTTGTTACTAGTGGCCACGTCTAAAATCCTCTAGTAACGACCACGCCACTAGTAGTAACTAGTAAATTTTAGAATGATACTTTTATTTTTTGACCTGGTGACCTCGTCAACCCGCCTAATATCACAAAAAGGTATATTGAAATAGTTACTAGTCATTACCACTAATATAAACTCAATTGGGTATAATATTTATTTCTACTATGCACCACTAGCCCTTACTAGTAATCACTAGCTAAAGGTTTTTACACTTTGTATATCGTAGAAATAAAATCCACTATAAATTTACAACTAGAATATGAGGACCTGTGGGATTGACGCCGAAAATGACCGCTTTTGAGGCCAGAAACGGCTGCCTTTCCACCCGTAACTTTGGGACGTCCAGCCGCCCCTTGACCGCCCACTGCCCTATAACACCACTATTATGCACCCGCCCAGCAATGTTAGTCATCCTCCGGTCCTGATGTTGACGCTCGACTTAGACGGCTTTTCCCCTCGTTTCCACTGGCGACCAAAACGACGCCGAAAATGGCTCCCTTTCAGCTGAATTCAAGTCCCCTCCCTTTTCGCCCGGTCCATTTGAGCGCCTATAAGATGCTTCGCCTTCCCTCCTCTCCGGTGTCCTTACACCTCCTATCCTCCCATCCTCGTTGCCCACGCCTCGAGACGACCTCGACTTTATCGTTTCCTATAACACGAATTTTCCACCCTGGTCTTTGTACTTGACCTCCTCTATGGCACCTACGTCTATAAATCCGGCTCAAACTGATGAGCACCAATACTAGACCGATCCCATTCTTTGCGAGGAAACTCGAGCCAGACTAGAACATTTTCGTAGTCTTGGATGGCTCCCTCCAAACTTTAAGCCAAAGACCTTAGAAGGCATCGCTATCGTCGAACGTTATTGGCGAAAGTGAGTGCTCACTTGGTCGGGAAAAGTCTTGTGACTAAGAATAACACGGGAATAGATATTGTATTCAATCGAACGAGGATTATATGGACTTTCTTCTTCTAGAGGATCCGACGATCTACATGAACTTTTTTGATTAGATGTTCAAAACATCACGAAAGAAACTGCTTCAGTCATATAATGAATACTAGCGACGCCTTTGTCAATACTTCGAGTTATTCGCCCGTCGCCGCGTCGGTGAGGATGCCCGTCAATAGATACGACGAGTAAGTTATATCCTATATGTTCCTAAATAGAGTATGCTTACCTTAGAAAAGTTTCTCGCAGGTGTATTCCCAGCCGAGCGCAAAATTCCCCGACGAACAAAGGACAAAAATACTCTAGATATGGATGCTTTTAGTGTGATTTACCGGCATCACTAGGTCCATTCGAGATTCTTTCGTCACGGGAGCATGATTATTCAATTTGCTACAGTCCAACTCTGGTCCGCCATTATAGGCACGCGACCTGGCGTCTTACTTCCTCAAGACACCTCGTCGTCTGGCAATCCAGTTTTAGGCAAACGCAAACGGGATGACACCTTCCAGAGTGATCTTCCAAAGCACATTTCCTTAAAAGATCTTCCGGACTCGGTCTGCTATCGCGATATCGAACTTTTCTACCTAAAAGACCTTCAAAGTAAACGTGATATCCTCTATGCCATCATCGAGTTTCGTAATCTTAAAGGTCGACCGGAAGGCGCTGATAGGTAAGCTGAAATTTTGATTCGAATTTCTCATAAACCAACTTCGATACTAATCCTTACCAATAGAACCAAATTCTTTATATACGGCGATTATCAACTGGCATATTGCCCGATAGCTCAGATCATTACGTTCGCTTTCCGCGATAGAGCTTTTGCCAATGCCGACCTCACACCAGAGCTTATTTGGCGGCTACGAGTTCTAAAAGGCAGTTCATCTCTTCCCCTCCGGTAGAAGCCCAAGGTTCTTAATATGCCTCTCCTTCGACGTCTGAACGCACTCCATACGGCTACGGACTCGATGGGTCTTTGCCAATGACCTATGATTCAAGTCGGCAGGCGCTTAAGGAGTTAGGTCGAGATGCTAGATTCGAAGACGATATTGGGCATTACAATTTCCGCCGCTAGACGGCAAATGAAGTCAACAGTATATAACTTACTAAACGCGATATGATAGATTCATTTTCGCTATAATAGATAGGATCTCTCGCAACGGAGCTGACTATCTACTCGCAGAAAATTTTACCAGCCAGGAGCGACAAAGGGTGCTCGGTCAGTCTAGTGACGCGGTTTTTAAAAAGCATTACCAATCACAATTTATTACGCGCGACGTTTAGCATATCGTTCTTCTTCGGCCCTCCCAAGAAGGTCTGGTACGCTTCCCTGGGAGCATGCTTAGGAAGAGAGATTTATCGGCACCGTCTGATCTTACCGAAGCTCATAAACGTGCTATTTGCCAAAACCCTAAAATTCTGCAACTAAGACGCGAGAAAAGAGAGCTTATGGCGGAGATGCGGTCTGTGGCTGGCACAATCAAGAACGCCCGTGACACCTTTCCACGCGTCTTTCAAAGGCATAAGACCGTCAAAAAAGACCTAGCCAAACTTCGGAAAACATTAGCGATCGAAACTCGCGAGACAGCCAGAAAGGACCATTTTAATAATGCCCCTATGCTTGAAGTTAACAGACAGATCAAGCAAATACTTCTCGGCGAATCTGATATTAAGGAACGCGATGCTAATAGTTCCACTGAAGAAGACTGGGAGCTCCCTATCCCGGACTACGTATTTCCTAAACGAGCTCGGCTTATAGAGAACTTTTACGGTCCTAACGCAGAAGATTTTCATAAGGACAAATTACTTGCTCGACGCATCCAGGTTACCAAGGATATGGTTACGCTTCTACTACTTTACGAGCCGAGCAGACGAGGCAACCGTGTTAATTGGGATCTCGATAAAGAGGAAAACATACCTATTGAACAGCCCGAGCAACTAGCGTTTGATAATAATACACAAATATGTCCAACAGATATTTGTATCATCTGCTTCGGTGAATCTCGTCGCTCGGCGTCGAACCCTCCTCCGCATAAATTTCCTTCCAAGCGACGCGGACTCACTTCGTCGTCATCTCACCGAAAGGCCACAGGTTAGCCACGGTGACGGTTCTTCTAGAGAAACCTCTATAGAATCAGAGAATCGGCAAGGCACTAAGACTCCCGCTTCCTCTATCGATTTTGATAGGGTGCTGATATATGTACCCCCCCCCTTAGATGCTTGTACCCCCCCTTTGGATGATCGTACCCCCCCCCCTGTCGGCGCAGTAACACCGGCATACCGGAGGATTTATTAATCCTATGTGTTTTCGTAATTTATGTTATGTAATCGAGGCTCCATATAAATTGTGTAGAGAGCCGATACAGAATTACAGAGAGTTGAATACCATTGATTGGACCCTACATTTTACAATACCGAATCCACCGACACCCCCCCCTGCCTAGAGAATCAGGCATTGATACTACCGCCTTCCCGATCGGGTGCGACACTGAATTCTGCCATACATTTCTGCCATATATTCTGCCACCACTATATAATTCTGGTTTATATAGTAAAAAACCCGACATTTTAATAAGAAAAAATCGTATATTCTGCCTGATTCCTACCTTGAAAATCTATATATTGATTATCCTGCTTATATACCCCCCTCGCGCGCGTTTTCCTCTACGTCCACGCCCTCGACCACGCCCTACTTTAGCACTACTAGTTCCACCACTGCTAGTTTTACCACTACTAGTTCCACTATTGCCAGTTCCGCGTCCACGTCCCTATCCACGTCCACGTCCCCGTCCACGTTCCTATGAAAGCATATTCTTAGCATAATAGTGTATAATAGTGTATACTATAATAGTATAGTATATTTCTATTATGGTAGGAAGGAGATCATATATAAATTACTGGCTCTATCTAGGAAGAACCCTAGATATCCTACATATAGTAAAAAACTATATTATGACTTCCTTTCTAATACCATAGACAATGAGATAATACAGATATCATAGATTATCTCATACTGAGGTAATAAAGATATCATAGATTATCTCATCATTTGCCTCCTAATGAACTATATAAGAAGCAAAGACTCCTATATATAACAATAATCAATCTTACCATCGCCATCTGAGTTACCTATTTAAGATAAGTATAACCAAATACATATTTATATATATATTATATAAGACATTATATAATATATATAGCTTATCTAATACTACTTCCCTATAAAATATTATAACCTACCATTAGGCTATAATATATTATCTGCTAAATTGCTTACACATATATTCGAATGCTAATAGTTCTCGCCGGGTGGATCGATCCTAGGTGAGGGGATCTAGCGAAAAGAGGATATCCTAGGTGTTTTGCTAGGTGGCGCTTTGCTAGGTGGTTGACTTAGTGATAAAGTTTCTCGCTCCTTATGGACGTCCCTATCGTCGAACTTAGAGAGGATCTTGAAGTAGAAGTAGGGGGTTGATTAGTGGAGCAGATACACTATATAAATGCTAATGTTAGTGGAATAGCTTAGGTTTAAAACTCTTTTTTTCTTCTTCGTATTGCTTGATAAGATGGATATATGGGATCCCGGCTGTTTCCTTTAAGTTATAGTTGTAAACCGTGGGAATCGGCTACTTATCTTCCCCCCCTAGGGAAGATATCTTTCGTAAATGTCCTTTATATATTAAATTGCTTTAAAAGACACTCGTCTAATAAGCAACTTATAGAGCGGAGAAAAGATTTTTGGCCTTCGAATCTTATTATTTTTAATCTTATTAGTGATCTTTACAAATTAAAGCTTAATAACGCGCTCGAAATTCCGGAGAATAACTAGTAAGTTATTATTAGACACCTAGAGATCCTGTTTAAGTAGCTAGTGAGCTCCCTCTACATAAGAAGTCGCGATCTCTAAGAGATGAAGGTATTAAGCGGTATAGTAATAGAGAAAGTACTCTATATAGTTATTAAGCCACTCCTTTTGAATATAGTTAACTAACGGCTAGAAGATTAGATCGTTATACTACTCTTTAAAGTTTTCCTACTACTAGTTTATAACCTTAAGGGAAGTGGCGTATATAACACGGTTCTAGCGCTTAAGCATTTTCTTCTAGGCCTTGTTAGCCTTTAGGTGAGCTCCCTCTCTTACTAAGCCTTTGTTTAACGCTAGGTGGTAGTTAACTAGGTGGTAGTTAACTAGGTGGCGGTTAACTAGGTGGTAGTTAACTCGGTGGTAGTTAACTCCCTCCGGGCCTTTGCGATCTAATCTCGAAGAATTAGACGGGCCTTTTTTAAGATATTTATATTGATATGCCAGATATAAATGATATTCTTTATCTTAGGAAACGTAACCTCGATAGCTTTTATTAGTGCTTCTTCTTTATCTGTGAGAATTGTATAGGGGGATTCTAGGCTAATAGATTCGTATGCTTTAGTAAGGTAGTTAAGGATAACTTCGTACGTGTCCTATTTCTCGTCCTTTATAAATGCAAACCTAAGATAGAAGCTCGAACCAGTCGCTAAAAAGCCGATAATATTAAGGAGAGGTAGGCTATAACGATTCGTCTTATACGTATAATCTATCGAAATGACCTAAGGATTCGACTTTAGCATTACAACACTAGATTTGTGTATATAAAATAAAGTAGTAATATGGCTCTAATCATTAACTTCGTACTTGAAAATCTATTCTCCGTCCTTCGGAAGCTCTATAAGTAGCGCCTAAAGGGGGGTTCGACTAGTAAGGAATTCTATATTAATCTTCTTCCGAAAATTATAGATATCACGGGGTATAAGAGACATATCCTAATCCTTTCGAAGCCCTATAAGGATTTAACGGGTTAGGATTCCTCTGCTTTTATATAGTATCTACGTTCTTTATAAGGTCGTTATAGCGGTAAATAGGGTGAGTTAAGGGAGGGGAGGGACTATGGTTATACGAAGAATTCTCGACTATAAAATTCTAATCCTAGTGTTATACTAAAGACGAAGCGAGACCGCGAATAGGCATATATTAGCGAGTGTTATAGTGTTCCGTATACGGTTCGTATTAGGAATAGATAGATTCGTATCGGTATTAGAAAGATTCGTATTAGGAATAGAAAGATTCGTATTAGGAATAGAAAGATTCGTATTAGGAATAGAAAGATTCGTATCGGCATTAGGTGGCGTTCGCTATCGGTTATAGGAGAGCCGAATTGTCTTCTTAACCCCCTTCTTCGTTCTTTTCGAGCGTCGTTATATTAGTGTATAACCATATAGATGGCTATGGTTATTCACTATAGCAATTGCGGCCTTAGGTGTGCTATATAACTAGTCGAGAGGGGGAAGCGGGATAGCGGAGGGGGTCTTAGTGTTTAGTATAGCGGGAGAGAGAGCTTCGGTGCTTAGTATAGCCGGTAGGGATTTAGGGACGATCTCTAGGTCGGAATCTAGATCCGATTCCAGATAATTAAGGCCTAAGGAGGCTATATTAACGATAGTAAAGATAAATTTGATAGAATTTAACGAAGATAGTGATAAAGAAATGGGTAGTAAGAAAGCAAGTTAATATATATAAACTAGAGTTGGAGTATCAATTTGTTTGATCCTATCTAGATATATGTACGGAGTGTTATATGACAAAAGTGACTTAATTTTGTTAGTGGTTTATATATAAATTGTAGGTATATCCCGTCTTACTCTAATTGTATGTTTGACATAAAGGCGGTATACAAAATGGGAAGGCGGTGTGGCCAGCGGTATAGAGAAGCAGGTATGAATTTAGTGTCGCACCCGATCGGGAAGGCGGTAGTCCTAATGCCTGATTCTCCAGGCAGGGGGGGGTACGATCATCTAAAGGGGGGTACAAGCATCTAAAGGGGGGTACAAGCATCTAAAGGGGGGTACAAGCATCTAAGGGGGGGGTACATATATCAGCACCCTTTTGATATGACAAATATTGATCCTCGATTGATGAGACCCGGCCTTATCACCGTCGTGAAGCCATCAACCTTCCCGTCAAGAACTGATAATTCTGCCTCCTCTCCTGAATGCCTAGTGGCGAGCACTAACTCAAATTTGGCGGAGATTTCTGCACGGCGAGTCACGAGGGGAATAGCAAAGGCGGCAAATATAGAACCTGGCCCTAAGCTAGAAACCTCATCACAGCATGCGACGCGCTCGTCCCAAACGATTCGGCGTCCAGAAGAGCAGCCTGAGGGGCAGCAGAGGGGTAAAGGACGACAAGGCAAAACGAAGGCGTCCACTATCAAATATACGCCACGTCGGTCAAAGCGATTACGAGCTCAGTGATTTGTAGCCTTAGGAATGATTCTTTTTATTTATATATTTAGGTACAATTCAGAACGTCTTAATAGATTTTAGATGGCTCGAATACTATTCTCATGAGACTTCGGGAGGACCTCAAAGTAACTCGGGAAAAAGTGGCCCAGTGGCTGAGATGCTGAAAGCGGATAAAGAAAACCTAGAACTTGAAAAACTGTAGCGTCTTTTTCTTAGCCTCAAGATATGAGCTGTCTCTGGCGCTAGAATTTGCGACCTTGCGAGTTCTGAAACCGTCGAGGGCGCTAGTTGGAGGTCGGGTGGCCAGCCAGGTCTTGAGACCCCGGTCTCTGAACCCGTTGGATCCCTGATATCGGGCTCTCTGCCTTCAGTTTGGAATCACTAAACCCAAGTAGTTGGCCTCAGGCTGCTAGTCTTCAGTTCCTGGTAGCAAATCGCTGTGTATGGCAACATGGGCTATAGTCTCGGCTTCCACTGCTCTGACAAAAAGTTACATTGGCCTTCTCCTTGTCCGATTCTTTTTAGGCGTCACCAAGGCGCCATTCTATCCAGGCGCATTATTTCTCCTGTCTGTTTTCTACACGCGCAAGGAGATCGCTCTCCGTATCTCCATCCTATATACTGGCAATATTGTCGCCACTGCTGTGGCTGGTCTAATTGCAGCTGCAACTTTTGCGACTCTGGACCAACATATGCATCTCAAAGGATGGCAGTGGCTTTTCATCATCGAGGGTGCAGTTACATTTGGTATTGCAGGTCTTGGCATCTTCATGCTGCCCAATCACCCACTCACAACATGGTGGCTGACTCCGGAAGAGCGCCAACTTGCCCACGACCGGATTCAAAGGGACACCGTCAACAGCGAGGAGTCTAAGGGCGATCTCGCCGGCTTGAAGCAAGCCATGGCCGACCCCCGCGTCTACCTGTTGGCTTTCATGCAGAATATGCACCTAAGTGCCTGTGGTTTCAACAACTTCTTTCCCACTGTCGTTGGAAGTCTCGGCTTTAGCAGCACAATAACCTTGGTTTTGACATGCCCTCCATATGTGTTCTCCGGCATCTGCTGCATCATCGTTGGTATCACCTCTGGTCGGTACAATGAGCGGACATGGCACATTACATTGGCAATGGGTGTCGCCGTGATAGGATTTATCATATCCTGCGTGACATTGAATATCGGTGCAAGATATGTGGCTTGCTTCCTCTTTGCCAGTGGTGCATACGCTGTCAATTCAGTCATTTTGGGCTGGGTCTCTGCTACACTAGGCCAGACGCCAGAGAAGAAAGCCGCTTCTATTGGCTTTATCAGCGTTGTGGCTAACGCATCTTATATTTATACGGCCTACCTCTACCCAAAAAGTGATGGTCCTCGTTACTTGACTGGAATGTCGGCGAACACGGCTTTTGGAATTGCAACTATTGGGAGTGCTTGGGCTTTGAGGTGGTAAATAAGAAAATTAGCAGGGGTGCTCTGCCTAATGCGGGTGATGTTCTTTATGCCTATTGAGAGATTACCGAGAATGATCGAATCCCGTGTTTTTATGTCAGTATTGAATAGGAAACATGCCTTTGTTCCACGATTGATGTTACCTTACGGCGATATTTAGCTTTGGGCTGACCTAGGAATCCTTTGAAAAACTGCCTGTCTTGAAAGCAATAATTGCACCATATACTTATCCTTAAGTCAAAGAATCATAATCCAATTCCATCAGTGACTGCCGTACAAAGACTTAACATAGCTATTCCATAGCCTCAAATGATATCCAAAAAGCATTGTCGTATGCATCATGATTATCCTTAGCGGCTAAAAAACCGCCGACCCAACAGGTCCATAACCAGCTTCAGTCCCTCTTGTTTTTGTGGCTTATTTATCCTCCATTTCCAAGTCTCGTGCAATTGCTTTAGGCGTCCTCCACTTCTTACCCACAAGCAAAGCGGGATGTAGACCGGTCAAGCAAATGCACGCAATTGAAACCATAGCGCCTTCGAGGATCATCAAGGCTATTTCGTCGTTGGCCAATTTACTGTGGAATCCACCCTGGAGCTCGGCCACTCGGAATGAAGATCGGATCAATATAGTTAGAACGGCAGTTGTTAAACCTGATAATGAAACTCGAGTCAGTGGAATGCCCATAGAAAAGATCGAGGTGGTTTACTTACCAAGCAAGAACGATCTCCTCATCCAGCTTGTCGGTCGTTCCTGAGTAGGGGAATGCAGGCGTCTCCCTCGTAAAACCCGAACTCCATACTCAATGGCTAGAATAGAGAACACTACTAGTGATACAACTTGAAAGACCAGTCCAGCGATCATGATGTTGACACCAGTATCGCGAAGTGACTGTTCTTCGGCAATTGAAGTGATGGCTCCACCGGCCGCTTGCAAGATCAGAGAAATCAGATCGCAAGTCACGAACAAGTAGGTATAGGTTCTTGGTTTTAAGCGTGAGAACTCTTCGCCGTAAACTGTAACAATACGACCGAGGCATAGATAGATTCCAGCCGCGAAGAATGCCGGGGCAATGGTGAGACCTATCAGATACCTAATGCATCACGCCTCGGTCAGCATACATTCAATTATGTGGTAGGCTCAGTAACCCACATCAAGAAAGCATCGAAGTTGAAAGGGTTATCATGTAAGAGAATTCGGCCCAGATATCCTATGACCTCCAATATAAGGCCCGCGACCATTGGCACCATGAAAGTCCAAGATCGAAATACGATACCCGTACCGATCTGTCCAATGAGTATGATTGCGAAAAGAGCGAGATAGAAGATGTTTCCAGCTATGTTAGGCTGATACTGGATATAAGCATCATCTAAAGGACATGTCTGCAAAGTGCAATTATCCGAATTGGACATGATCACGCAATAGTAAAGAGCCTTGGGAAATATAGTAGGTCAAATCACTTTGAAGAGAATGAGTGCTGTGGTTAAATTGATATCAGCAAATCCATGATAGATTCGTCACTATTTATGTGCAGACCCAGAGGTGTTTGACGCTGCCTATCCATAATTAATGATCATTACGAGGCTGTGTGGGTATTTTAAAACTTCAACTTGAGGTAATCTCACTCCCAAGTCCTTCGAATTCATAGTCAAACCAATAATCAATTTGCCATCAAGATTGATACGATATAGTGGATCCCTAGTAAAGCCGTTGCCTGGCGGGTCACCGATGCCAAGACTTTTCCCCTTCGACCGTATCCTTGTCCGTGTCCGTGTCCTTATCCTTGTCCGTGTCCGTGTCCTTATCCTTATCCTCTTCAACTCGCCCATTTCCTTGTCCTGATGCTCCTTTCACCAGAATAGATTGACTATACTCAATTCGGAACATGGAATCTATGTCAGGACACATCAAAACATGTCAAAATTGTGCTCGTGGCAAAATCCGATGTATCCGAACTTCGGATTCCTCTATCTGTGATCGGCAAGTAGTGGAACTCGAACATCATGTTTATTCTCAACTATAACCATATGCTAATATAAGAGCTCAGATGTCGCCGCCTTGGCAAAGAGTGCTATTTTCGGCCCGCTCGACCTCGTTACAACCCCGCTAAGAAGGGGACGTAAGGCTCCCAAATTCCATTTGATTCGTGACAGTGAATATAAGCTGACGGAAGCTTAAAAAATCAGACGAGTCGAGGCTCTCGAAGCCAAAGTGGATCAGCTCTTAGCTCGAGTCGTCAATAATCAGCACACTAAACACCAGGCTGATGTTCCTTTAGTCCTGTCTGACCCAGAACCTCATTCCATCCCGGATAAACCCCGAGATGTTATTGATCGCGGGATCGTGAGATTTGATGATGCCGTCACGATTCTTGAATCTTTTCGAGAAACCTTGATGCCATTTTTCCCTTTTATCTATATCGCACCGGAAGTGACGCTTGCGCAGCTGCGAGTAGAGAAACCGCTTCTCTTGCTAGCTATCCTCAAGGTCTCATCATACAAGAATGCAGCCTCTCAGCAGATATTGGAAGAGACATTTCAAAAAGCAGTTGCTGATCAGATGATCTTCGCCTATAATCCATCTATGGATTTATTGCTGGGACTTCTTGTGGCTCTGGCATGGTGAGTCTAATCCAAAGTGGTTTTATTGAAGATGACACTACTGACTCAAAGCCTCAATATCCCAGGTTGCAGCATCAGTCCCAGCATGAAAGATTTTGCAGCTACATTCATCTTGCTTGTGGTATCGTCGGTGATTTGCGGCTTGACCGGTTGTCGGAAACCCATTCATACTATTCACGGATGGCTATAAGCAAGGTCTCTTCAGATGAAAACAGTAGTAGACATTCGGTGAACGAGAGAAGACGAGCTTTGATTGGATGTTACATGCTATCCTCATGGTCAGTAACAATGCCCATATCCCCCTCATATTACTGACTGAGTATGGGTGTCTGCAGTCACTCGACAATATTGCAAAAGGATCGCATGATGACTCGGCTGTCCTATGTTGAAAAGCATGCACTTGGATTACTATCCAATGCTGAGATTGCCAGTGATCGCTGCTTAGTACAATTAGTAAAATTACAACAAATCTTTGAACGGATCGATGATGCTGTGGCCACTACTGCGAATCCAGTACGAGAGGTTGATATGCATGCATTCCAAACCGAAATCAACGAATACAGAACGACCTTGCCGGCAACGCCTTCGGACAATTGTAAGTGACACCGCTTGTGAGTTTGATTGATTACGCTGAAACTATTGCTAACTCACGGCCCACGGTTTAGCCCTCCTTCAATTTCAACTACACACTCTTCAATTGTTTCTATGCCAGGCTTGCTTATTTGATAAACATGAAACAGCCAACTATTCGGCTTCGCCCGCGCCTCGCTCCCATGCAGACTCAGGGCTACCACCACACCTCAAAAGTGGCCACCAACCGTTAGACTTATCACCCTTCCAGGTCGAATTTCTCAACCGCGGCATGACCGAAGCAAAGAAATTCTTTGATTACTTTTTCACATTTGCTCCGAATACACATCGGCTGATCAGTCATACCCAATGGCTGCAATCAGGCTTTAACTTGGTTCTAGGCTGCAAACTGGCCATCATGGGGGCAAAATACGCCCCACGCAGTCCACATGTTCGTGCCCTTTGCTCGGATTTGAACATGCCACACATTTTGCGGACTGTGTTACAACTAATCCAATGGCTCAGCAAGGACAGAGTGACTGTAGATGGGAAACAGCACTCTAAGTACTTCTACGAGGCATGGCTGTGGCATATTCTTGAATGGTTCGAGCAAAAGTATCACCTGGTGCCTTCTGAAGATACAGCCCAAATACCTACAGGATTATCCGATGGCGGCTTCGGGCCCTCTACTTTGGCCAATAGCGCAATCTCGCAAGATGTTCCCTTGATGGGTGAAAATTATGGCGCCACACAAGTTGCACAGGTAGATGATACAGACTTATGGCCGGACTTCCTTTGGAACATAAGCACAGATGACATACTCAATGGGTGTATGGGGCTTCCGGATATGCCGTATCCCACATTGCAGCCTGGTTATGACATGCCACTGCCATGAGAGCAAAAGATATCGGGATTTGCAAATGCAAAACACCAAATAAAGAGACCAAGAGCTTGGTCCCACGGTGGCATCACTTTGAACCAGTTTTGTTGCTGCTCACAAAAATAATCCAAGCTCAACAGGAGCTGATTTTATTTGGTCCCCTTGGATCTCGCGAATCAACGCATTGCTTGGGTAGTCTTCCAGATCCAGATCAATGTATCCACTGGAAGCCCATTTTCTTCCTGAGACGAATAAAGAATGCCCATTGATACTCCTGTCGCCGAGGATTCTCAGCAGGCACTGCGCTGCGTCTTCCGCCTGTGCAAACTCTACTCCACCACTTGAAACATGTTTGAACGTCTCATCCGACAGAATGTTTGTTTTCACGTACCTTGTGACTTGATCAGCGATTCTGCTTCTTATGATAAAACGGCCACGCTTACCATGGGGAGATGACGTTGACCCGACCACCATGGAAGAAAGCAGTTCTTCTCAATGAATGCATGATCCCGCGCATGGCCCATTTGCTCGCACAATATTGAGGGGCCCGCGGACAGTCCAAAAAAGCAGCCCCTGATCCAATCAAAGTCAAAGATGTATCTTCTTGCTCGGTCGAGCTTTGCGTGCCATTTTGCCGGATGAAGTGGTGGGCAGCTAATTTGGCGGTATACAAAGTGCCTTTAATGTTGACATCGACGACGCTCAGGTTGGGCTCCTCCGGCTCCTGATGGTCTCCAGAATACGAAAAGATATCATCGGAGCGATGTATGCCGGCATTGGCGATGACATGCGAGATTTTTCCTGTGCGAGAAAAGAGGATAGCCTTTTGAAAAAGTCGGACCTGATCATCCCATTTCGTGATATCGCAGCGAACGAACGTTGCCCTTTTGAGTAAACGGTGAGCGATATGAAAAGGCAATATACAGGAGAGGCTTGCACCTACCCATCGAGTTCTTGTTCCAACTTCCTTCCTCTTTCTTCGTCAGAATCGCCCACGCAAACCCTGGCTCTGATAATTAGGTCAATTATTTCTCCTTTGAATCATATCGTCCTTGATACATACCCTGCGGTAACTAAAGCACGAACATAGGCTTCGCCAAGGCCATTGGCGCCTATTTTGCTCTGAGTATTCAGGAAACATTACTTAAAATTGGCCGCCATACCTCCTGTAACAATTGCAGTCTTTCCCTTGAGAACATCTATATCAAATGGCTTGGTGCAATCAACAGGCCCACTATGTAGATATCCTTGCATTCTCGCTTCGGGTAGTGTCATGCGAAATTGGTTGAGACGATAATGCAAAGTTTAGAAATGGAGAGGCAGGATGACTTTTAAATAGTTGAATAGTTCAGTTCAAGCTCAGGGCTTCATACTTTATGGATGAATCCCGCTCCCACCTTAGAACTGGAGTTGCTTTGTCACATCCGATGCAAGTTGCTTACATTGAACCCCTGGTTCAACATTCGGACCCACATTGTCATCCAGACGGCAAGGAATTTGAATGGTCGATCTTGATAACCTCGAACGCTACTAGTCGGTTTCTAGCTACAATGCGTCAGCGTCTTGCATTTCTCCATACTGGGTGCACAAGTGGGGCGTCAGCTTCTTTTTCTGGCGTGCAATGACAGCTCTCATCCTCTTGCATGTCTCCAAAATGACGCAGTCTGATCGCCTTTCGCTTACACATCTTCAGGGTAATGCACTGCAAATCAGTGGCACTAAAGGCAGAACCTTTCTTATTCTATGCAACTTCTTTGTGACCTGAGGAAAGTTGTAAGGTGCACACCTCATGCCAAGTGCCAAGCTGAAAAAAATGTGGAAACTCATATCAATCAATCAATCAATCAATCAATCAAAGTTCAATTAACCTGTTGCAGTCTAACTAGTTGCGTATGACTATGCAGGCGCTTCATCCAGCTGAAGCAAGAACTCGAAGCCAAACGCCGAGTTGGGATCACTCCCAAGAGTATACAGATGCTGACCGTAAAGAGCGTGGAATCAGCCCATTCCTGTAGATCCTGTAGATCTATCCCAACAACCCTGTAATCCCACAAACCCATACATAAGAAATATATAATGACTGCCATGGAGTGCACCCTCCATCTTCCATCTCTCACTTCTCACTTCTCACTTGCCTCTCAGTCTTCATCTCTGTAACCTCCCCCCGCCTCAGTTTCAATTGATGGTGACGTTGCCCTGGCCAGTTGTTGATTTGGCATGTTTGTCGACTCTGGCTGAGTTTCTCGTTTCACAGCATCATTTATCGTCATTGGTTAATGCCCATCGTCTTCCACACCTAGCTCCATGGCCGCAAGGCCTGTCGGTTCGTCGTCGTCGTCCTCGGGTGTCACATACTGGAACTGTTGGAGGAGACCTGTTCGGTGCATGAAGTTGACCACGTAGCGGGTGGCCTGCGGGTTTGATATGATCTTGTCATAATCCATTTCCTTGATACCAACTGCCCACAGTTGCTCCCACAGTTTCGTGCGTAGAATGATGTGTTGTGGACACTGCATAAGAACATGCTTTGGTGTCTGTGAGCCCTCGCCACAGCTGCATCTATCTGTCTTTGCTGCCTTGATTTTGAACAAGAAGTGTCGAAGCCCGACCCTCATTGTGCGCATCTGAATCAGAATTGCACATTGTGGCTTCGACAGCCCCTCGTATAGACGGAGCGTCTTCTTGTTCGGCGCCTGCACCAAGCGCTTTGTGGGTGCGGAAGTTGTCTCCCGCTCCCACTGTTTCTCCCACCGCTCTCTGATTCGCTGGCGGACCGCCCTCTTAGCAGCTGCGGCAAGACGGATTATCGGATTATCCGCCCCGGTCGCAACTCCCATCCCCGCACCAAGAAGCGCTGCGCTTTTTGCTTCTCCATCGGCAAATTCATTGCCGTCCACACCAACGTGTGCAGGGATCCACCTGATGGTGATATTCGTTGGATTTTGCTGGTTTTGGTTCTGTGACCGGATGGCCCGTACGTGATCGTATACCAGTGCAAGCACGTATTGGCCAGACGGTCGCTGTGGGTTCTGAACTGCCTGGATGGCAGCCTGACTGTCCGAAAAGATAACCAGGTCCGAATTGTCTTGTCTAGCTGCTGCTAGTGCCATTTCAATGCCGTTGAGCTCGGCTGCATAAACTGTGGACTGGGAGTCTGTGCCCAAATACCGTCGCTCTGATTTTGCACCGTGTTGCAAACTGGCCGTGGACGCACCAATGTGTCCAGCGTAGCCGCTCCCATCTGTGTAAACCATGCTGTCTTTATTTTTCTTGTCACAGACCGCTTTTTCCCAGATATCATCGTGGGTTTTTAGTGCAGCCTCCTGATTCTCAATGAAGCACGGAATCCGTGTCTCCCATGGGGCGAGCACGAATGCCCGTTTTTCCTCCCATTGATGGACGGGTGATCCTGGCGATGGACGGGTGATCCTGAAGACAGAATCGGTGTTCCTGGGGACGGACGGGTGTTCCTGGGGGGGATGGACGGGTGACCCTGAAGACAGAGTCGGTGTTCCTGGGGACGGCCTGGTGATCCTGGGGATGGACGGGTGATCCTGAAGACAGAATCGGTGTTCCTGGGGACAGACTGGTGTTCCTGAAGCAATCTATCTCGCTCCCACGATCCGCCACAACAGTTCCTGGAGGCCATTAAGCTTCTAGAGGCCGTGAGCATGACCCTAAGAGCGATAGTAGTAGCTCCCTAACTACTCAGCAAAACGTAGATTAATCAGGTAAGCAGCTAGCTGGGTTTGAACCAGAACAAGACAGGCAATCGCATTTGAGTGCGGCGTTGTAGAAGAATTAAGAGGCCGCTCATTTTCGATGGCTTTCGAGGCCGATTCAACGTGTTTGAGCACTTGACATAGTAGAGTGAGGAAACGGATGCCCTTCAAAAAAATGTTATTGTGGAAATCGGATAGGTTGGTAGATCCTGAACGTGTGTTGACCATTGCACACAACGAACTCGATAAACGTTGAGTAAATAGGAAGTCAATAGTGGTTGATGTCAGTTAGTTCTCACGGTCCTTATCCTTTATGCGCAAGTCAAACGTGAGGGGAGTTCTTGGTGAGTGTTTTACTCGTTTGAAGAAATCATGTATTTAATTTTGTTTAATGAATCCAATTGATCACCACCTCAGCAGAAAAAGAAGGATAATGTTCATTGCATATTATTGGCTTATTTGTCTCTACTTGCTTTGATGTCCGTGCATTTCCTAATACCCTGCCACCCCCCAAGTCTACCAGCGATAGTGTTTTCACCCCGCTCCGCTCCCACAAGATTGTTCTCAGCCGATTGCCAATACTTGATGTCACTACGCACCCCTCTTTGCCTTATTCCCCTGGCAACCAATATTCAGCCACTCGGCAGAGAACGGACCAGCCAAGGTGCAAGAATCCCGCAGACTCGAGAGCCCTGTTCTATAGTTGCTCGACGTTTCTTTGTGCGCGCCATGTCCTGCTGTCCTTTTCGCTTTTCATCGCATTAACAAATCAAGTCTCTTTGATGCGTATTTTATGCGTTCCTGTATTTGTTATTCTTTCCGTGCATTACCAGTTTGCAGTTTGGGACCAGCGTCACTCTGAAGCTAAACTAACCGAATTGAGAATATATACAAAATGCATGCAATAAAAAAAAGTTGACGATCAAAGGTAGCAAGCAATAGCAAGCAAAGAACTGCTCGTAGAGTCACAATGTTGATGAGCGATAAAAATTAACGTACAGAACTTGAACAGAAGACTTGCGCCTTTGCGCATTGCCTCTATAGCTATTAAAGATTTTCTTAAACGGGGCCGGCTCACCCTAGCTTCCCTATGGTAGGTAGTTCGCCCGCGGGAGAAAATTGACACTGGCATCCTGGTCAAGAAGCGATAAAGGTGCTCGAAACACACGGAGTGAGGTGTTGCCGATTTCGGTCTAGTGGCACTGTAAAAATATGGACGTGGCCCGTCTCTCGGATACGAATTCCCACGCATACACCTGCGCTGCACATCTTATTATATTCGCATATCGATAACTTATGGAAACCTATGGAAACATGTAACAAATCCATTCAAACCCCAGTTCAATTGATTAGGGCTCTATTCGGTTAAATTCAACAAATTCAATGTTATTGCATGGACAACTAGTTGTACTAAGTACATCCTCAAGCGAGTCGTCGAGAAGAGAAACCGACATAATAGTCCAGCTTACCCAGCGGCACTCCCTCCTTCCGCAAAATTCCATACGTGGTAGTGAGATGAAAGTAAATATTCGGCAAGACAATGGTATGGGCATAGATAGCACCGCTAATTTCCGCCGCCTGGTCCGGGCCCATTTGAGTGAACTTAAGCTTATCAGCGTGCTGGTTGACGACATCCTTGTCGGCCTCTTTGAGCGCTTTTAGCACCTTCTCAATCCGCTCGTAGCATTCAGCATATGTGGTGGGTTTGCCTTCAGTGGTTACCGGCTCCCGACCGGTCAGTGTGGCGACCAGGTATTCAGAGAATTGGGTTGCGAGGCGCACTTGGTCGGTCACTGGATACATGTCCTCACAGAGACGTGCATTGAGCAGATCGGTAGCATTAGGGCGTTGCTCGGCTTGTTGGAGAAAGTGGGACAGGGAGCCTAGGATGTGTTCGGCCACCACAATGGTTCCGTCATAGAAGGTGTGGACCATGTTGGAGTAGGAGGTTTGATGTATGAAATCTTGAGAACAGGTTTGAAGAGTTTTAAAGTGAATGTTCTCAAAGGTTACAGACATGAGAGGCCAGTCTCACCCTAGGGGTCGGCCCTAGGGATCTAACCATCTCTAGTAAGAATTTTGGGGGCTGAAAATGCTAGGACATGATGTAATAATAAGGGATCAGGCGATGCAGGTAAAGATAATTTTGTTTTGTCTATATTCGTGCCATTTCCATCTGTTAGGACACTGAGAATGTAGGGACCAAAGGGTAGGAGGGGAGAGTTATATTGGAAAGGAGATAAGTGACTACACCCCAGGGTGGCCCCCCTGACCTCTCACTAGGTTTACTAGCCTTAGGCACCCACCAAAAAATTATGTTTGCCTTACGCCTTTCATTACCTTACCACCTTCAGGCATCCACCCACTTCTCTCTTACCACGCCCTTACTAGTATTTTACTGCTTTCTTCTTACATAATCCAATCAACATATCACTGCATAACTACCACCATGGTGAAGTACTCTGTGCATGTGAGTATTCCTGTGTGAAAGATGAGATGAAAATGCCCTGCAAGGGATGGAAATGAGCCAATTTGAAATGAAACTGACTGTTGTTGTTTGTACACAGACTGCATACCAATGGTATTGCTCCCAGCGATCCAAGGCCGAGCTCGATCTCCCCGATCTTAACGATCCAAACGTGATTATACTGGTTATCTACTGATAAAATGAACATGAACTGAGAGAGGATAGGCCAAAGGAGAAATTGATCTGTTCCTCGGCGAGCGTTTCTGTCGCTATGATGGGTGCCCAAAAGATGTGAGTTTCTTTGACATTTCTTTCATTTCTTTGTTAAAATACTAGTAAAAAACTAGTACTGATTTCTTATATAGACTCCTGCGACCTCGACCAACAACCTGCGGAAGCATTATGCTGATAAGCATGGTGACATTACCTTGGCGAGTCAAAGTGGTCGTCCCACTTTGCAAGATGAGCATGATGCTGTCGGTATGTGGTACACTTATACTACTTTTTTACTAGTATTCTAACCTAAAATAGAGTTTTATATTGCGATTCGGGATGGGTACGATGCGAAGGTTACAGCTGAAGCAGAAGTGAGGCCCCAGCTCCCTCGCAAGGCAGATGGAACAGTAAGTTGACATTATTTACTACTTTTTTACTAGTATTCTAACCTAAAACAGATTCACCTCACCAATATGCGCAAGGTGGCAAAGGAACGCGGTGGTCAAGTTCCATGTGAGCCATGCAAGGATGCAAATGATCGTGCTGGTAAGATATGATTGAGATCTACTTATTTTTACTACTTATTAACTAGTATTAGGTTGTTGCCGTGAAGTTAATGCCGACCGATGTGACAATTTTGAGCTGTTTGCGACTGGTTCTGAAGCAGAGGAAGGTGATGAAGAAGAAGAGGAGGAGGAATAGTGGTGCTACCCACCTTAGCGTTTCTACTAGTTTTTTACTAGTATTTCTACACTTTAAAATCAAAAATAGGGTATTTACCCCTCAAATATTATAGTAAATAAGTAGTATAAAACTAGTAAATTAAAGATATTAAACATTAATATATATGAAATGACCCTATCTTCACTACACATTTGCCCGTTCCCGTAATGCTAGCTGTCTCTCTTGTTGTTCCAGATCCTCTCTGTATTTTCGAAGCCGTTTCCTCTGATCTTCTAGACTCTCATTGTTCTCATCCTGGCTGTCATTAACTGACGTAGTATGACGAAGATTAGATACGGTAGGTGTCCTATAAATAGTTAGTAACTAGTATTATACTAGTAAAATAGTATATACTTTGCACGGCTTTTTGAACGACCTCGTGAGCTACTTGCCCCACGACTGGCCCCACGACTTGCCCCACGGCCTCGTTTAGACTTTGCGCGGGTAATTGAATGGTGACCCGATGAGCTAAATTCATGAAGCTCCTCATCTTCGGGGGCTATATCATCTTCTTGAATAGCGTGGTGTTTTCGTCGTTTTTTTTCTAGAATATATTAGTTAAATACTAGTAAATTATAGTAAATATACGTACCCTCCCGACGTATACTTGCTCTGAACCGTGACTCCATATCATCTGCATGATAGGAGTGCTTAATGTCGAAAGTAACACGGTTATGGTATTGATCCATATCGATTCTGTCGAGGATCCTAGATCTAGGTAATCGTGAGTAAATAGTAGTATACTAGTATATAATTAGTATATACTCACTTCATGACTGCAGAAAGTAGCGTGTCCTGTGTACCCATATGGTAGGATTTATAGTGGCTTTGCTCCACTGCATTTGTGTGCTTCCGGGCATTGTCAAAGAATTCAGGCTTCATTGGTGAGCATGCTTTACAAATACCAGCTGCAATCACATCGATCTGCTTATGGCGTATACATCCCTCAAGCTCAGGCGTATGTTCTAGAAATAGATATTAGTAAAGTATTAGTATTTTACTAGTAAATTGACTATACCCTTGATAAGCATAGCTAATTTCCGAAAATCAGGTACACTTTTGCAGTCCATTAAGCCAATCAGTCGACTACGGGCCTCAATATGCGAAAGATCATCTGGATCCCGGCTTGCTGGCACTAATTTATTGATAGTACGCATGAAGTGGATCTTACAGAAGATAAGAACGTTCATAGTATGCCATCTCCAGCCGAGATCTCGGTCATTAACCTCCCGGTCAGTCTCCTGGAGCATTTTTCCAAGTCCTAATACTAGTAAGTTACTAGTAAAATAGTAGTAAAGAGTCTAGTACTTACCTGTCATCTGTTTTGGGCACATATCACTAACAATAGATTTTATTCCACTACCATGAAGATAGTGGAACTTCACCTTTTTGCCTATACAGCGCTCGATGAGGTTAAATACCATTGCAAAAATGAAATGGTACGCTTTTGTAGTCTCCTGATTTGTAAAAACTCGGAATAAGGTGATGACTAGAAGAATATTAGTATAAAATACTAGTATTTTACTAGTAGTAGAATAGTAAAACTTACTTTTTCCATGCTCTGGGACGAAGGTGGCGAAGATAACTTCGTTAAAAATGCCTTTCACTCGCTTGTATGACATGTCAACTTCAAAGGACTCTAGTGAAGCGAGTATATGAAGCTGTTCGTCAAGCGCACAAAATATAAAGACACCTTTCTCGTTGTCCACGACCTCGCGTATATAGAGCTAAAAGATAATTAGTATAGTACTAATAATATACTAGTAAAACATACCTTCACTTCAGGATCGTGCTCTATCTGGTATTTAACCCCGTCTAATTGTCTACCCTCTGGATAGTCAATTGCTCGCCTTTTTGCAAGAATCACAGAGAATCGCTCTCTATTCGCAAAGCTTTGGTGTAGTTCGGAGAGGGTTTTAGCCCCGTAGTTCCCAGCGAGCTCCTGAGCCCCTTTACCCCGAAGAAATCCGCCTATAGATAGTATTAGTACTAGTAAGATAGTAGTAAAATACTAGTAAATTAACTTACTAACTGTAGAATCTGACATTTGTCCCTGAGCAAAAAGGTTCCAAACCTCTTCCATAAGTTGGTGCGGTGGCTTACTAGGTGGCGGCGGTGGGTGGTTATGTGTCCCTCGAGAGTAAAAGATAGCATATGGATGCTTCTCTATGTCCTTTGGGATAAAGGTACGGAATTTGACTACACACTTTGGAAAACTAGGTATGATATCGCCGCGTCCTAATGGGTGCGAGACATCTTTATAACTAGTTAGTAAGTAGTAATATACTAGTAAATCTTTAAAACATACCGCATTGAGGGGCTCGGGTTCTGGGTTGGTAGATAATAGTACACGCTTCTGGGATATCTTCATGCTGCTCCTTTTCGAAAAGAGATAAAAGAAGGCCCATATCTAGCGTAAACCGTTTTTGATAGATATTTGTGAAGTAGTGATCTGCGCGGTTATCCACTAAGGAATTAGAGCAACGAACAAATGACATATCGTCACCTGTTATACTCTATTAGTAGAATTATATTAGTAAACAGGTAGTAAAATACTAGTAAAATAGAGTATATTCACTTACCTTATGACTGAATTTTCCGTAGATCATCTTGCAGGTGGCGTTTGCTTCCTTACAAGCTTTTCGCTCTAAAAAAGACTTTCGAAGAGCATCGTAGAACCTAAATAGTAGTTAGATACTAGTAGAATACTAGTAAAAAAGGTTACATACGCTACCGCTTCACGTTGCCGTTGACCATATTGGTGGGACTCTCGAGCGTCCCTTTTTATGGCGAACATACGCGCCACAAGCTCTTCATTAACCTCTGTATGGCAGAGGTTACGGAGACAGTCGTCAATGTGAGTACAGTACTTCACCCCAGAACAGTTTGAAGCTTTTTTAGTAACATGGCATTGAAGAAAAGAGCAGTAAATGTCACTCTTTGGGCCGTCACCGCAACTAGCGTACTGGACCTAGTAAACTAGTTAATAACTAGTATAATATTGATTATTATACTCTAACTTACTAGCCTAAGTGCATGTTTCCTCTCATGTAGAGATAGATGCCGGAGATTAACCACGTATGCATACCCATTTGGGTGAGTACGTGGATATTCTGGAAGAAGTGGCACAAACTCAATTTCTGAAGCAGATATTGGGTTATTCGTCGCATCTGTTAGAGGAGTGGGTTCGATGTCTCCCGTTCCCTATTCAAAAATAATAATTAATTAGTAAATAACTAGTAAATAATTAGTAAATTTGAAGACATACCTCGTACTTGTTACGCTCATGTAGGATCTTATCATCAAGATCATTGAAGAGCTCAACATCTTCCTCTGTAGGTATATCTTCAGCTTCAGGATTAGAAGCTATAAGCTCTCTAATTTGATGATTGCGGTATTTCCACCAGGTGGATTGGTAATTCGCCATGGTAGTAAAAAGATTGAAACGATAGTTGGTAAGTAATTGGGGTGGGTGTATAATAGAGATATATATATATCAAATGTAGAGTTGTTTATCAGTAAATAACTAGTAAATAACTAGTAAGAATGTATCCCTTTGGAATTCCCTTATACATAGATACCACATATTTCATACCAAAACGAGATTACGTAACCAAACATACCATACATTTCAAAACCAAACAGTGCCTTGGTATGCTAAAATGGGGGTACCCCCCTGAGCATTGACCAGGTAACCCTAGTGAGAGGTCAGGGTGGCCACCCCCAAATGATTACTGAGGAGATAACGTATGGAGGGGTTGCTGCCTGGGGTACTACATGGTGGCCTAAGGCATCAACTCCGAGTACTGAAGTTCTGAAGTAGCCATGGGAGATATGGTAGGTTTGGTGGCAATGGATTTCTAGCAGAAAAGATATCGAGCATAGGCGTTTGCGAGTTCGGATGGCTCGCTTAGCAATGTCGATAGAAGCCTCGACCTCATTGATGCGCTTAGCTATGTCAATAGACGGTTCACTCTCACCTCTCATTCCCCGGAGCTATACAGTCCACCCCGGGAGCTATAGGTCCTCTGGGACCATGACCGTTCCTCCTGTGAGCGGCCAAGAGCGTGCCTAGAAACCATGCCATGGATTCTGGGATCGAATATGATCCCAGATACCCATGCTGTCCCAGTGAGGGCTGGTGTCATTGGCTTATCAGCTGAAGGGTGGGTCCCCGCAGTGGCCTTCGATTCGGTGGTAGGCGATGAATAATGCACTTGAGATCTAGATCAAAATACCTGTGACCCATATGGACCGTAGTCAGAAGACCGAGGACCGTTATGGTCACTAAGCCAGGGTGGCCGCCAGTTGACAGCTCTAAAGCCCACCTAGACTAGGAGCCGTGGACGTACGTCCAATGTGGACCTGCGTCCACGGCTGTCGGTAATTGGCCTTGAGTCAACTGTTCTGGATCACGGGGCCTAGAACCAAGGCCTTGCGGTCGCAGCTCCCCAACTACGGACCCACATCTCCAGGCCTGGGACCTGCCTGGACATGATTCCACAGATTTATTACATACTTAGCTTCGTGTCACTCGATGTGTGTCTAGCTTGGACAGCGAACCATACAGGCCAGGAGACGCTGTTTCTAGATCTTTAGGGGCCTCAAAGCACCCCACGGTAGGGTTACGGATCTCCAAGAAGAGAAGAGGACTGGTTGCTGCGCAGGATGATTCGAAATTTACTCAAGGGTAGGCATTTATTGTGTTAAACATTCCTGGCCCTTGTTGATACATATAGTATTTTCGGTGATACCATTTTGGTTTCGTTGTTGCGATTGAGAAGCATGTTTAGTCTGAAGCCAATCATCGACCCGATATAGACTCTAGCGTTACCTATATAAAAGCCGCAGAGCCCGGCTCGTTTGCATGCCCTAGCATCACCTCCTAAAATACTCTGGTACGGCTGAGATTCATTGATTCAACTAGTATCTCCGGTGTGTCCCTACTATATATGCTCCATCTCTGACACCTTCTTTTCAAGTTCCTGGAAAGATATAAAGTATTCCTAGCCCTGGTTGCTCCTAGTATCTAGACTTGCATTCCTATATTTCTAATACCCCACCTCTGGGAATGATTTGTTAATTCCGGGGAGCCCCCGTGATCCGTACTCAGGGGGCCAGGACCAGATGTAAAACGTGTGGGTGGCCCCACTGATCCACTGGCACCGATAGCCCAGGGGACACACTCTAGTTCCCAGGGCTGTCCAGTTCACTCCCAGGAGCTGTAGGTCCTCTGGGAACTATGAGTCTGACTCCTGGGAGCGACCAAGAGCGTGCCTAGGAGCCATGCTATGGATCCTAGGGCCGGATATGATCCTAGGAACGTGGGTCTTCGAGATAATAAGTGGGATCTGAAACGCAGGCAATAATTGCGGGCAGCAAAACAATTGCTCCCCGAAGTAATTAACGCTCTCGTGAACGGACGGGTGTGGCTCCAGGATCCAAGGTAGAGAGCCCAGGAACAATCTGTCTCGCTTCCACGACCCGTCACAACATGTTCCTGTGTAAAGGTATACTGTTTTCAGGTGTAAGGCCTGTCAACCGGGTAAGATACTATGACTGAGAGGGGAACACAATGTATTGTAGAGTGTGCCAAGACTAATTCTTGCCAGAATGCAAAGGATCCTTTGGGGGTCCTTGACTATAGGGAAACCAACATGATAGTGCTGACATTGATATCACCTGACGAACCCCTCTCGGATCGACATCGAATCGATGTCGATCTATTGATAGATCATTGATATGGCCCGCTCTGGGTATTCCAGTTGTAAGGATCTTTTATCCGTTACATCCTGGAGGACATTGAGCTCCCAGAGGCCGTGAGCATGATCCTAGGAGCGATAACTGCAGCTCCCTAACTCAGCATATCGTAGGTTGATCAGGAAAACAGCCTGGTTTTAGACCAGAACAAGACAGGCAAACGCAATTAAGTGCGGCGGCGTTGAAGAATTGAGAGGCCGCTCATTCTCGATGGCGTTAGAGGCCGATTCAACGTGTTTGAGCACTTGTCATAGTAGAGTGAGGAAACGGATGCCCTTCGAGAAATGTTATTGTGGAAATCAGGTAGGCTGGATGATCCTGGACATGCGTTGACCATTGCACACAACGAACTCGAAAAACGTTGAGTAAATAGGAAGTCAACAGCTGTTGACGGTAGTGTTAGTCCTGGTCGTTTATGTGCATGTCAAAGGTGACAATAGTTCCTTCCTAGTGAATGTTTTGCATGATCGAGGAAATCATATGTTTAATGATTTAATTGATCACCACCTTAGCAGCAAAGGAAAAATTATGTTTATTAGATGTTATTGGCTTATTTGTCTCCACTTGCTTTGATGTCCGTGCATTCCCTAATCCCCCCCCCCCCCGTCTACCAGCGATAATTTTTTCGTCCCGCTCTTACAAGATTGTTCTCAGCCGATTTCCAATACTTGACGTCACTACGCACCCATGCCACTCGGCAGAGAACGGACCAGCCAAGGTGCAAAAATCTCCTATCCCGCAGAATCGAGAGTCCGGTTCTATAGTTTATCAGCGTTTCTTTGTACGCGCCATCTCCTGCTGCCCTTTTCCATTTTCACCGCATTTGACCGAGCGCTTTGATGACTTGCTCAAGCTACCACGCATGGCTGTTCCACTACAATCCTAAGAGCACCGATTGTCTCAAATGCGAGTCGAGATATAGCCTCCCTATTCCAAGATCTCAGCATTAGCGGCGAAGGGTTGTACGTATATGCGGCGGTAGCCAATCGTAGTTCTTAATCCCAGGCTCTTTTCTGTAGAGACAAATCTCGCATGGCCTTCTAGTCTTGCGCCGTGGTAAAATCTGATTAGTAGTGTCTTGATTAGGCCCAGCGTGACTCTGAGCAAACGTGAAGAGAAACGCTAGCCGCCTCTGGCTAGTATGAAGCCTGAGACTGCAGCCTTATCTAAAAACGGGTACCTATGTAGACTACAGGGGTTCACGCACGCATTACGTGCTTTTGCCAGATCACTATGATATGGCATGCACTTTCTGTATCAAAATCGCTGCAAGCATAACGCCTTCGCCGCCTCGCAAACTGTAATCTTATCGATTTGCCAAATCTCAGATACGCGCGTGGCCACCACCATATGCGTATTTAGTAGGCGAAGTCTTATTAGTCGAACACCCCCCTTTGGTGGGAAGTCTTCCAAATTTGGACTATAATATGAAGATTACCATAAGGAAATTCAAGATCTTTATTCTACTAGGGGTCACACCACCTACACGACGACAGGCTGAAGAGCGCGAGAAAGCAAAGAGGCCGGTGTGCCGAAGAAACCCGCATGATGCGCCAGTCTTAGCATAATAGTGTATAATAGTGTATAATATAATAGTATAGTATATTTCTATTATGGTAGGAAGGAGATCATATATAAATTACTGGCTCTATCTAGGAAGAACCCTAGATATCCTACATATAGTAAAAAACTATATTATGACTTCCTTTCTAATACCATAAGACAATGAGATAATACAGATATCATAGATTATCTCATCATTTGCCTCCTAATGAACTATATAAGAAGCAAAGACTCCTATATATAACAATAATCAATCTTACCATCGCCATCTGAGTTACCTATTTAGGATAAGTATAACCAAATACATATTTATATATATATTATATAAGACATTATATAATATATATAGCTTATCTAATACTACTTCCCTATAAAATATTATAACCTACCATTAGGCTATAATATATTATCTGCTAAATTACTTTCAGCCAGCAACGCTGTGGCAGGAAGAGCACGCAATCAAATTACAGTCATTAGCGAAATCAGCTTCCGCCCCAGGCATTGCTTTTCTATTTTGCGGCCCCACTGCCAAGACATTAGCGCGCAGCTTTTACCCTACAGTCATATATAATATCCAGTAATTGTGAATATTACGTTACCAAAAGAGCAAAATACGATATTGTCTTTCCGACACGTGATAACCTACCCTCCAGGGCACCTATGACATCGAATAAGTGAGGCCATACCGACCGGGCTGGGGTAGGCGAATAGACAGCTCGTTTACGCCGCAAAAGTAAAGGATTTCTATTGCAGGCAGTATATAAAAGTAAATGGACGGAAAAAAAAGAGGAGATTTCTCTATAATGTATGCTTTTTGTTTCGAAATTGTATAACTGGCTGGATCATGGATCGTAGACAATGTATCTCAGTACGCGGAGCAGGGATTATGGCGCCACTACTAAGGGAGAAGGATAATAAAAAATAGAAGTATCATGGGAACTTGCGTTGAACTACGTAATGTGGAAGCTTGATGAAACCTTAGGTCTTTCGGAAGGGGGACAGTGGTAAGTCGACTGATCAGCGTAATGTGATCTCTGGACGATCTACACAATATAATGATATCCATTCTGACGAACAGCCTAGAGGGCATTGCCGTACTATCCACCCTCGGCGTTGACATCGGCTCCTCGCTCTAGCAGTATCTGTGCAATCTTGTCGTATCCTCCAGCATAAGCAGCCTGGAGGGCATTGCCGTAAACTCCACCCTCCGCGTTGACATTGGCTTCTCGCTCTAGCAGTATCTGGGCAATCTTGTCGTGTCCTCTAGCACAAGCAGCCTGGAGGGCATTGCCGTAAACTCCACCCTCGGCGTTGACATCGGCTCCTCTCTCTAGCAGTACTCGGCCCAGCACGGCCCAACACCCAGTAGCGGGTGTTGGGCCGCACTGGTCTAATGCAAAAACTAGTCTAATGCAAAACTTCATCTACCCACCATTTTACAACTCTCTCTACTACCCCAAAAATGCCTTTTTCTTCTCAAAATTTGGAAGATCGCCTTAGTAGTGCTATTGAAGCCTACCATGCAAGCAAGAAGCCTGTTCTCTCAGTATTGGCGCGGGAATTCGACGTTCCATACTATACCCTGAGGGGTAGAATCCACGGTCGCACTTCTCGAAGCAGTCGTATTGGTCCCAACAAAGCCCTAGAACCAGATCAAGAGAAGGCATTAATGCTTTAGATTGATACTTTAAATACTGCAAATGCACCACCAACCTCAAACATAATCTATAAGTGCGCAATTGACATTCTTCGGCGCCATGATCCAGATCGGCAGCTCGGTAAAAATTGGGCGTATCGCTTTATTAAACAACTACCTGAGAAATACACCTATATCAAGCAAAATCCTATAGAAAAAGACCGGTTGGAAGTAGTTACCCCTAGCTATCTTACTACCTGGTATACTCGCCTTAGTGCTACGATTCAGCGTTATAGAATTCAATCAAATAATATCTACAATTTCGACGAGAGCGGCTTTAAACTCGGCGAGGGTAAGCAACGAATGGTTATTTCAACTAAAGGTGGCTAATCTAGTATTGGAACTAGCGGCCCTAGTGAATCTCTCACTTCAATTAAATGTATTGCTGCCGATAGCTAGGTTATACCACCTTAGTTTCTAGTGAAGGGTGAATTTTATATAGAGAATTGGTATAGGAATACCAACCTTCCTAACGATTATTAGATTACCCTACCGCTAATAGCTAGACAGATAATACTATAGCCTTTCAATGGCTCCAATCATTTGAATAAAGCATAAAAAACCGCTATACGAAGGGCGGTTTTAGGCTTCTTCTTATAGATAATCATGGTTCTTATCTTACCTTTGAATTTATTAAATTCTGTGAAGACCACTTGATAATTCTATATTATTTCATCCCACATACTACGTATATATATCAACCGCTTAACGATATGCCGTTTTAGGTGCTAAAACATTATTTTCGTAAGAATAATAATAATATAGTATAGTGGGGTGGTTTAGTGAAGCAAAAATCGGACTTTTTTACGAGCATACATAGCGTTCGTCTCCAAGCATTCTAAGGCCGTATAATACGCTCTAGTTTTATAAAATGCGGTATATATCCTATAAATACCGATTTCGCTTTATAAAAGCTAGGCTGGAATAATGATCCTAATCTTCTAGAGCCAGTTTTAGAGATATAGGATAGTGATACCCCCCCTCCGGAGTTAAGCTCTATACCAAATTCACCGGTAAAAGACGTTAGAGACTTCCGGAAATACGCTAAAAAAATCAAGAGAAAAATCGACGATATTAGAGATAAGATTGACTCTATTTCTCCCAAGCTACGCCGTCAAATGGCTCCATTTTTAGCTAGTAGGCTTGCTTTAGTGGAAGCGGGCGCTCAGTATACGTAGGATAATATCAACACTTTAGACCTAAAGCGCCGGAAGGATACCAATAAAACCAAGCGAAGGGTTAATATGGGTGGCCCTCTAAGCTCTTTAAATGCAAAAAGGCATATAAAAGTGAGAGATAACGTAGAGAGGAAGAGATTAATCCAGCAAGCTAAAAAGAAGTGGATTGCAGCTTCTACTTCAGAAGCCGCTCTCTCAATGGAGAAGTGAAAACCAGGGGATCTTAATACGGGAGAAGAAAGTGCGGAAGCAGACGATTCTGTAAATATTAAATTCACCATAGATACTATAGGGGAAGGGTGCTAAATGTCATGTTTAAAATGGTGGGTAGATGAAGTTTTGCATTAGACTAGTTTTGCATTAGACCAGTGCGGCCCAACTCCCCCGGTGGGAGTTGGGCCGTGCTGGGCCGAGTATCTGTGTAATCTTGTCGTGTCCTCCATCACAAGCAGCCTGGAGCGCATTGCCGTAAGGTCCACCCTCCGCGTTGACATTGGCTTTTCGCTCTAGCAGTATCTGGGCAATATTGTCGTGTCCTCCAGCACAGGCAGCCTGGAGGGCATTGCCGTAAAGTCCACCCTCGGCGTTGACGTCGGCTCCTCGCTCTAGCATTATCTGTGTAATCTTGTCGTGTCCTCTAGCACAAGCACCCTGGAGGGCATTGCCGTACTCTCCACCCTGGGCGTTGACAACGGCTCCTCGCTCTAGCAGTATCTGTGCAATCTTGTCGTGTCCTCCATAACAAGCACCCTGGAGCGCATTGCCGTACTCTCCACCCTCGGCGTTGACGTCGGCTCCTCGCTCTAGCAGTACCTGTGCAATCTTGTCGTGTCCTCCATAACAAGCAGCCTGGAGGGCATTGCCGTAACGTCCACCCTGGGCGTTGACGTCGGCTCCTCGCTCTAGCAGTATCTGCACGGTTTGGCCGTGTCCGTTTTGTGAGGCCCAAATCAAGGGGTTTGCTCCTGCATCGTCCCTCGTATTGACATCCTGTTTCATGGTGGCAAGTAGAAAATTGATGGAGAATCTACGATGTGGTGATCCAGGTATGGAGAAACAGAGCAGTAGATTCAACTGGGAGCAAAAGGGACGGAGAGGAAGAAGAGAGAGAGAGAGAGAGAGAGCTATCTGGCTATCTACTACTATGGGGATCTGTCCCATGTGGGGACTGCTGCCTGAGGCAGAACCAGGCACCCAACAAAAATCAACCTCCTGGTCATGGCCGTTAAATGCTGCCAGGTTGAGCGCATTCATTGATCGCCGGTGTGTGTATGGCATTACTGCCTCCCAAAAGGTAGGATACCACAAAGAAACCCGTTTTTCACTCATATCATATACTCGATGCAGTCGATCGTTCACTTTTCGGTCTAATTTCAAAGACATCTTCCGCACGTGATCGGTCCAATGTACTGCTGAGTATTCTAAGAGGGCTTGAACATCAGAGTCGCCTTCGTCGTCTTCCAAATCCTCCATCAAAAGGTATCGCAAACATATATCGGCCATCAAATTTTCTGCATCACTTTGACCGCTCCAATATATATGATCAATCAATCAATCAATCAATCAAAGTTCAATTAACCTGTTGCAGTCTAACTAGTTGCGTATGACTATGCAGGTGCTTCATCCAACTGAAGCAAGAACTCGAGTCCAAACGCCGAGTTGGGATCACCAAGTATAGTGCATCCCAAGAGTATACAGATGCTGATCGTAAAGAGTGTGGAATCAGCCCATTCCTGTAACCCGTAAACCCACAAACCTATAAACCCATAAACCCATACATAAGAAATAAACATATAATGACTGCCATGGAGTGCACCCTCCATCTTCCACCTCTCACTTCTCACTTCTCACTCTCCCTTTCCATCCTCTGCAACCTCCCCCTGCCTCAGTTTCAATTGATGGTGTCGTTCTCCTGGCCAGTTGTTGATTGGCATGTTTGTCGACTTTGGCTGAGTTTCTCGTTCCACAGCATCATCTATCGTCATTGGCTAATACCCATCGTCTTCCACACCTAGCTCCATGGCCGCGAGGCCTGTTCGTTCGTCGTCGTCGTCGTCCTCGAGTCCCACATGTTGAAACTGCTGGAGGAGACCTGTTCGGTGCATGAAGTTGACCACGTAGCGGATGGCCTGCGGGTTTGACATGATCTTGTCGTAATCCATTTCCTTGATACCAACCGCCCACAGCTGCTCCCACAGTTTCGTGCGCGGAATGATATGTTGTGGGCACTGCATAAGAACATGCTTCGGTGTCTGTGAACCCTCGTCACAGCTGCATCGATCTGTCTCTGCTGCCTTGATTTTAAACAAGAAGTGTCGAAGCCCGATCCTCATTGTGCGCATTTGAATCAAAATTGCACATTGTGGCTTCGACAAACCTTCGTATAACCGAAGCGTCTTCTTGTTCGGCGCCTGCACCAAGCGCTTCGTGGGTGCGGAAGTTGTCTCCCGCTCCCACTGTTTCTCCCACCGCTCTCTGATTCGCTGGCGGACCGCCCTCTTAGCAGCTGCGGCGAGACGGATTATCGGATTATCCGCCCCGGTCGCAACTCCCATCCCCGCACCAAGAAGCGCTGCACTCTTTGCTTCTCCATCGGCAAATTCATTGCCGTCCACACCAACGTGTGCAGGGATCCACCTGATGGTGATGTCCGTTGGGTGTCTTGATTGGGTTTCGTTGCGCGACCGGATGACTCGTACGTGTTCGTATATCAGTCCAAGCACGTACTGGCCAGATGGTCGCTGTGGGTTTTGCACTGCCTGGATGGCAGCTTGGCTGTCTGTGAAGATGACCACTTCTCGAGCCTGTTGTTCTCCGTTATTTGAAATTGACCCGTTGTTTGGAATTGCCCCGTTGTTTGGAATTGTATCCTCGTTATCTTCTCCTGCCGCTTCTTTAAGCACCATTTCAATGCCGCTGAGCTCGGCAGCGTACACTGTGGACTGGGAGTCTTTGCCAAGATATTTCCTCTGAGACTTCACTCCGTGCTGGAGACTGGCCATTGATGCGCCAATATGGCCAGCGAAACCGCTCCCATCTGTGTAAACCATGCTGGCTTTATTTTCCTTGTCACAGACCGCTTTTTCCCAGATATCATCGTGGGTTTTTAATGCATTCTCCTGGTTCTCAATGAAGCAAGGGATCCTTGTCTCCCATGGTGCAAGAACGAATGCTTGCTTTTCCTCCCATTGCTCTCCTAGCTGTAGGCGTAGCGGCTTCTTCCATGCAATTGCTTCGGTCGGAGCCCACCCTCCGAGCTTTCTTTGGTTTGGTTTCCTAGCTTTCTTCGCCTTTGCCGTTTGTGGACATGCCCACTGTGGGCCGGTGAGGATTCTTATGGCTGTTTCTTCGACGACTTGCTGTAGTCGTAGCTTGATAGGGGTGATAAATAGCTCTATATCGAGTGCTGCTCCCGCCGTTCCGCGGAAAGCTCCACTGATTAGAATTGCCGCACGTTTCTGGATTTTTGTGAGTTCGTTGGTGAGTTTATCGAGATCGCCTTTTGGCATAGCTCTGGCAGCTGGGCAGTACCATGCAGACAGCCCCCATAGCATCTGTGGAATGATGACTGCCTGGTATACCTTCCGCATAGCAATCAGTGATGATCCCCATGTGGAGCCTGAGATTCCGCGGAGTGCCTCGAGGCTGCTGGCTCCTTTTGCTAGCATCTTCTTCCGGTGGGTTGTAAAATTGAGGTGTTTGTCAAGCCATACACCGAGGTATTTGGCTGTATCCGAAGGTGCGAGAATGATTGGTATCGGATCCCCTGGTATTATGACTGGCATGCCGTCATGGCCTGACGGGTCATCCGGCACCTCCCAGATATCCGTGTCTTGGGGGGATATGTCCGTGTCCCGGACCGATCGGTTCACGTTCGTATTTGTCGGGTTGGAGAAGTGGATCAGTTCGAATTTATCTGGTGCAAATTTTGCTGCATGTTTCCTGGCCCATATGGCCGCTTTTTGTAGTGCTTTTTCAAGAACCCGGACGTTCTCCTCATAGCTGTTCGATACCGCGAGAATGCAAACGTCATCCACCCATCCGTATGCCTCGCTCTCCCCGTAGTGTAGTCCCTGTAGGGTGCACGCACGAACCAGCGGAGCGTTGAAAAGGAGGAATAGGATCGGCGATATCGGTGAGCCCTGCGGGATGCCAGTTGGTGTCGGGAATACATCGCTTAGGTAGCCGTTTGGCAGTTTGATTCGAGTGCTTCTTCTAGTGAGAAATGACTGCACCCACGGAGTGAGCGTACCGAGTCCCATTTGTTGCATATTGTGTAGCAATCTCTCGTGAGATACCATATCATACGCACCAGCCACGTCGAGGAGTAGCATACTCGCTATCTTACCTTCTCCCCATGCCTGGTGTACCCGCCCGAGGATCAACTGGATTGCATGGTCGACGGATACCCCCTTTCGTCCCCCGAGGTGTGTCTTTGGGAGTAGATTGTGTTCCTCCACAAGCCATGCGATTCGGGAGGCCACAATTGCTTCGAGGATCTTACCGAGTGTATTCAAAAGTGCGACCGGTCGGTAAGACTTCGGGACTCGGTAGTCTCGTGGGCCGGCTTTTCGTAGTGTCACCGTGACGGAGGTTTGAAAGTGCTGGGGGTTGTGTCCAGTTTGTACACATGCGTCGAAGATAGCAGTGAGGAGTGGAACAAATTTCTTCTCTGATCGTGAACCTGGTTCCGCTAATGCACGCCATACCTTATTTGGCAGTGCGTCGTATCCAGGTGCTTTGTTCGGTGGCGCCTTCTTGATTGCAGCTCTTACTTCGGTGTCATTTACCGGTGGTAGCTGGAACTGCTCTCGATCAATCAATCAATCAATCAATCAAAGTTCAATTAACCTGTTGCAGTCTAACTAGTTGCGTATGACTATGCAGGCGCTTCATCCAACTGAAGCAAGAACTCGAAGCCAAACGCCGAGTTGGGATCACTCCCAAGAGTATACAGATGCTGATCGTAAAGAGCGTGGAATCAGCCCATTCCTGTAGATCCATCCCAATAACCCTGTAATCCCAAAAACCCATACATAAGAAATATATAACGATCGCCATGGAGTGCACCCTCCATCTTCCATCTCTCACTTCTCACTCTCACTCTTCCCTTCCATCCTCTGTAACCTCCCCTGCCTCAGTTTCAATTGATGGTGTTTTTCTCCTGGCCAGTTGTTGATTGGCATGTTCGTCGACTCTGGCTGAGTTTCTCGTTTCACAGCATCATTTATCGTCATTGGCTAATACCCATCGTCTTCCACACCTAGCTCCATGGCCGCGAGGCCTGTTCGTTCGTCGTCGTCGTCGTCCTCGAGTCCCATATGTTGAAACTGCTGGAGGAGACCTGTTCGGTGCATGAAGTTGACCACGTAGCGGATGGCCTGCGGGTTTGACACGATCTTGTCATAATCCATTTCCTTGATACCAACTGCCCACAGCTGCTCCCACAGTTTCGTGCGCGGAATGATGTGTCGTGGACACTGCATTAGAACATGCTTCGGTGTCTGTGAACCTTCGTCACAACTACACCGGTCTGTCTCCGCTGCCTTGATTTTGAACAAGAAGTGTCGAAGCCCGATCCTCATTGTGCGCGTTTGAATCAAAATTGCACATTGTGGCTTCGACAGTCCCTCGTATAGACGGAGCGTCTTCTTGTTCGGCGCCTGCACCAAGCGCTTTGTGGGTGCGGAAGTTGTCTCCCGCTCCCACTGCTTCTCCCACCGCTCTCTGATTCGCTGGCGAACCGCTCTCTTAGCAGCTGCGGCGAGGCGGATTATCGGTTCACCCGTTCCGCTCCCGGTCGCAACTCCCATCCCCGCACCAAGAAGCGCTGCGCTCTTCGCTTCCGCATCGGCAAATTCATTGCCGTCCACACCAACGTGTGCAGGGATCCACCTGATAGTGATATTCGTTGGATTTTGCTGGTTTTGGTTCCGTGACCGGATGGCCCGTACGTGATCATATATCAGTGCGAGCACGTATTGGCCAGACGGTCGCTG